ATGAAGATGAGTTCCTTGGGCCACTTGTCCTCGTCAGCAAGGATGTCGCGAATACCTTGTTTCATCTTCTGCTGCATATAGTAATGCCGTTCCGCCGGACTGAGGCCTTCCATCGCCTTGATGTCATTCTGCATGGTGGACTCGCCGCCCTCGTATGGCTTCATCAGTGTCGCGCTCGCAAACATGTCTGCTGCCTTGATGCCCCATTCTTCTGTGACCTCGACAACTGTCTGGTTATCAAAGGTCATGAGGGCTTTCCAGAACCTATCATACTGATGACGGAACTTGGGCGACATGTACACATAGAGGCCATGGTCAATCAAGACCAGCTCCGCGCGTCCGCTAGGGAGACGTCGAATGAAGATATTTCCCGGGTGAGGATCGCAGTGGACGACACCCCATTTGAAGATTTGGGCGGAAAAGAGGTCTACCATGGTGGTCATGACCTCTTTGGTAGTCAGACCAAGGCCTCCTCTGCCGCGAACGCCCTTCCACTCCTGGCGCTCCGGCTTGATCTTCTCCTGGTAGGGCTTTGTACGGAGCTCTCGGCGGGCAAGATCCATGTCAAGTGGCGGCAAGGGAGTGCCCGCTCCCGGGCTGCCTTTTCCGTATCCGCCCACCCATCTCGACGTCATGGCCTTCTTGTCCCACAGCCTAATGCCCTCTATCCATTCGGTCGTCAAAACTCGCTTCGTGGTAAGGTCGGTATACACCGTGGGGATGTAAACACGCCCCTTCAAGCGGCTCTCTGAGTTAACCAGCTCGCGCATCGTCTCTGAATTTCTTGCCTCGCTCAGGAAGTCGGTCTCTAGCTCTAGGCGCTCGGAGATGAACGGTACCAATGTGTAGAGAGGAAGGTCGAACCACTTTGAAAATATCCAAGTCACGGTCCTTTTAGAATACGTAGTCAATACCTGGATCTTGCAATTGGGCGAGACACAACTCACTTGAAGGCCCAAAGATCCCACGCAATCTGTTTCGCGATTTCGGGTTTTTGAATTTTAATTGCCACCTCTCTGCCATCCGGAAGCCTTGCCCAGTGAACCTGCGCAACGCTTGCGCTCGCGCGAGCTTTTCTCTCCATGACTCCATAGCCCTCTTTTCCGCTGAAGCTAACTCCAAACACTTCCTCGACGCTCTTGCCAAAGTCTTTTCGAATTACGGCCTCCACGGCCTTCCAATCGTCTTGGGGCGCGTCATCAAACATTCTACCAAACATCTTCTGGAACTCGGGCGGCAGTACTGCGCTCTGCATCGCAATTGCTTGGCCGATCTTGAGGTACAGCCCGCCGTTTGCCCGCAGCAGGTTGAAGAGCCGTTCTGCGTTGCGCATGTGGAGATCAGGCACAGTTCCTCCAACCCACGGCTCCGGCCGAAAATTGATTTTGTAGTCGAGGGCAGCGACCAGCGCCGTGCCAAATGTTCGAACCGACCGCGCAATGCTAGAAGCATAAACCTGTCGATCTACCGCATAGACGGTGCCGCCAACTGCGGCCGTAATGAGGAGTCGACGTCCCCATTTCCGGCTCCCTTTGTACTGCTTGGCCGCTCGTGGAGCCCCCAGGGACGCAGGAGACGGCGGCCGCAGAGGTTGGAAAGGCCCCGAGTTCTGGATGCGCCGGACGAAGACGTCATGCCGCGAGGGCACGCGACTTCGCAGCAGAGCTTGTCTGGGCAGGCCCAGGCCGCTGCGACAAAGCATGCCGGGCATTGTCGAGGATCGATGGCTCTACCGCAGCGTCATTCGGGGAAAGGAAGAAGGGCTCGGACGAAGTGGATGATGAAGCTGTCAGAAGAATTGGTGGGATGGTGGCGGCCTTGAAGAAATTCCCGGCTTTCTCTAGCTTCCGATGTCCGATCGGGGCCGATTGGGGTTGATCCGAAGTTTGACCTGTTGAGACTACATAAAAGTCCGGGTGGAGTATAAGTTGAGATGGGATGGAATGGAAATATTAATTTATCTAGATGGGTATTGTTTCTCTTGGTCTTTTGGTTCTATTTCACCCGGCTTTGCTAGATGATCTGTTGCACATTATTGTTATGTAAAGGAGATGATGCTTGGAGTACCTAGTGGCCGGATGTGGTTCTAGCAGCACGGGATGATGCTAATCGGATATAATGATTACATATCACACGAGATGCCCGACGAATTGAGAAAATGACGGTGAAAAAAACATACCCTCGAATGACAAATATACCCTATACTTACACCTAACAAAGCAATGTTATGCTACGAAGCCGCCTGACCTTGGTTTCTGACCTCGTTGGGATACGTGGTAATCTACCTATAGGGTATGCAGATAGAGCACTCCGTGTGTGGCCAAAAGTCTGCGACCACCTAAAAATCGAACCCCCCCCCCAAAATTGCATAGGGGCGATTTCAGTTAGCTTCTACCTCCGAACAACTCCAGAAAAGTATCAATTAAAAGACCTAAACTCTCTTGAAAAATAAATGGAAATTATTGTTCTAATTAATTAGAAGGTTTTGAAACCAAATTATTTATGTGGATTTATTTATGAATTTTTGAAATGTATGATTTTTGGTGGAGCGCATAGAGTGGTCGCAGACTTTTGGCCATTAACCATTCTCGTAGTCGATGATGCGATGACGAAACTCAGCACAGCACGCAGAGATAAGGCGATAAGATAGGCGCCCCCCATGTACTTCGTGTCGAGTACGAGTACGAGTCAAGAGCAGCATGCGGGGAAGAGTTCAAGCAAACAAGAGGTACGTACTCGAAATATTTTGGCACAAGGTCAGCAACGCATTCTTGCGTCATGTATTTGTTTACTTGGAATTCCGCACTACGGAAACCGTGCTTCGAGCCTGATTTTATGCGCCTACAGGGAGTGAAGAGCGAGTATCGACTGCATCATCTACTCTTACAGCAGAGTACAGCATTCTCTGCGCTATAATACTTGGCTTTGCACTTTTCCACTAGATAGCACTAAGCGAGCGACGCGGAGCAGACCCATGGATCCATTACCCGCACAACAGGGGCTCTGTTTCGAGGCGCAACGTGATTTGGAGCAGTGGCGAAACTCAGAGTGCTTGACCTCTGAAGGAGAATCTCTTGGGTTGCTGGCCGTGAATCGCTGATGGGATGCCCAAGGTGAAATCGCTACTGTGTGAAATGGCCAACATCCTTGTTTCCCACGTCACGGGCAGAGCGCCTGATGTGCCGTGATGGCACAGAATTGACGTTGCGTGTTTCTCAACCAGACGTGGAACTACCTACCCAGTAACTACTGTAGTTTTTCGCAGTGACAGTCCCCTGCAGCCCAATTTTAGCAATCAATCACCTGGAGCCGACCTGCTCGAAACGGCCAAGCTGTCTCTGTCCTTATCAAGAGGCCCCTCTGGCTGCACCATACAAATCTAGCTTGATGGTCACTCCTCCCGGGTGGATGCAGATGAACGATTACAGTAGTGTCGATACAATACTGTATGTACGAGTACAGCCCCCGTGCTCCGAAAGTGCTAAAATGGCAAACTCTCTGCTGCTAGCTGGGGCTTTTTGCGGATGACATGCTGCGCAACATTTTCGATAGCGCGGCCCCAAAGCCATCAAAGAGCCATGGGGTTTTCGTCTTAGTAGAGGCTCAGGCACGGGGAAAATATGCGTGGCGCCTCATGGGACCTGCAGCATAATTGCGGGTCAGGCGAGACACAAGGAAAATCACTGGAGCCGTTGGCCCAGTTCTTTTTCTTGTGGAAGCAGCAAATCCATGTTAGCGGACAGCACCACTAAAATTACGGGGGTGGAAAGGCCAGTGCCAGGAACGCGTAACACAACAATGAGGTGGTCAATGCGTGGGCTTTGGGGGGGATATTGCCATTTGATCCATCCATACATGTATACAGCATCACTCCTTTACGAGTAGTACATTAAACTCTGTGCGCCGTGAAAATAAAACTGGACGGTCTGGGATTGAAATTATAATTAGATTCCCATGACTACCTATAGTAGGCTCTCCAATGCTCGTTTTCAGACGCCATGCTTGTCTATCTCGTATTTGACCGTCCAGCTTTGCATTAAGATTTGCGCCTCCAACTCAATTTCACTTCCCTTGGAGGTTGCATCAAGTTCATCTCCAACAGGCACACTCAGGCACATGTACCCCCGGCCGCTAAATTGCGTGCAGCGGTACAAGACTCTTGTGTGCGCCAGCGGTCAGCGCTATGCTCAACTGGGGCCTAGCAGCCGCGAACGGCCTGTGGATTCACTCTTGTCTGGGCTTGGGCTCCCTGTGGGGGGCCTTCGGTTGGCTGTGATGCGCTAAGTGCACTACGAGACTGGCGCTTTAGCGCTGCAGCCATCAACGTTTAGCCTGTGTCCTGTGCTGTCTTCTCTCGACGCTCGACGCTCCTCCATGCGGTTCAAGCTCGTGCTGGACTGGACTGGACTGGACTGGAACCAGGACAGTCTCTCCACCCCCCTCCGGCATCATCACCAATTTTGATCTCTTCCCCTTCCCAACGCTCCTTGTTTGCTTGTTGCAAAACTCGCAAATCTCAAATTATCAACCCAGACGGCGGGCCCACCTGGAGCAAACCAATCTGGGCGCCCGCACAGGTCGAAATCTCTCTCTTTTTTGCTCCTCGGGTCTGGTTGAGCAGTTTCGACGGCGGTTTTCTTGCTCTCCTCTTCCTTTTGTCGTCGCCGAATCGCCTGCTACCATTTCTACCGTGGTATTACTACCGGTCGAACGTTGCCCTGGATCATGTGGAGGACAACAACAACGGCCTAGTGACGCTTCTTTGGGGGGCCATTCATTCATTTGGCCAATTCGCGCACAATAAACAATACCGACGACATCAATACTATTTCTCTCTCTCTCTCTCTCTCTCTCTATTCACGTCACTCCTTCGCCTTTTCTCCGGTACTCGACTCAATCTCATAGTCTTCGCGCCGCTCTCGAGTCTTGCTTCTTCTCCCTCGCCTCGCGTCGCCTAGTCGACGGTTGCTGTTGCTGGGCCGTTTCTGTCCACCGCCAGCATGCTGCGACCGGCGACGCCCTTGACAGTTCTGCTTGGCCTTGCCTTTGCTTTGCTGCTCCTCTCGGTGCTGTCAGCTCCCATCATCTCGGTCATCCCTCTCGGTAGCTTTGAGAATGTTCAATTTGGCGTCTTCGGTTTCTGCGGGCCCACGGGCTGCAGCAGCGTTGGCATCGGTTATGACATTGGTGAGAAGATCCATGATTGCCTGCCCCCCTACCCCCACCGTCATGAGCAGTTTGATTTATGCTGGTTACATGTACCAAACCAATGACAATGGCTAACAAAACATCTGCGTACAGGCAGCGTGATTCCTACCCGGAAGAACCAGGCCTTTGACCTGCCAAATAGTGTTCGCCATACGCTCTCCTCCATCTTGGTGCTTCACCCCGTTTCTGCATTCCTCACTTTGGTCCTGCTTTTCATGGCCATTGCTGCTCACTTCCGCGCTGCCTCTCACTCGTCGAGGTATCTGCTCTTCTTCTTTATTTTCAATTTCATCACCCTTCTCGTCTGCATCGCCGCTTTCGTCATCGATGTCTTACTTTTCATTCCTCACATGGCGTGGGGCACGTACATTGTCCTCGCTGGTACCGTCCTGGTTTTCCTGAGTGCTCTGGTCTCTTGCGCCATGCGACGCACTCTGGTAAGCAGAAAAGACCGAAAGAGGAGGATTGCTGAGAATGCAGAGATGAGTGGTGAAAACTACTATAACCGGGAGGCTCAAGCGCCGAAATCCAGCTTCACCATGACAACCCAGCCCACGATGCCAGTCGTTAGTGGTGGAAGCGGCACCCAAGACACCTTGCCTGCATTCGCCACATATGAGGCTCCGAGAGACGACCAACAGAGCGAAGAGCGCATCCCCCTGACACAGCGAACCACGTCTGAACGTTCATCCAACGGGAGACAGCCCGCGGTTGCCGATCTGGCCGCCGTCTCGGGCAGTGAAATTAGTAGCGCTTATGGCGGGCCGCAGAGGTCAGCAACACAGGATTCGTACGGCAGTTATGGCAACGTGCCTCCCAACACCTACGGAGCGGCTGGCCAGCCGTATGATGGCCGCCGGGTCCCCGTTAGACGAGAAACGGACCCCGTGAACGGCTACGGCGGTCGTGGGGGCTACGGAGCTCCTATGAGAGGGCGAGGAGGCTATGGCCCTCCTGGCCGGGGTGGATACGGCCCGCGTGGTGGACGAGGAGGATATGGACCGTCATCCCGTGCCGGATATGGTGGTGGCCCATACTATAACGGAGGCGGAGGACGCAGCCCGCCGCCGATGAATTATTCTTCCGATGACATGGGTGGCCAGTACAACAGACGGCAGCCGCCACCTCGGCAAACGTTTGCAGATGGCCGAGGAGGACCTTATGCCGGAGCGCAACAACCGCCACAGTCAGACGCTGCCGTAAACTATGGGGCACCGAGTCGTAATGTTAGCAACAGCGGAAGCAACAACAGCAGCAACAGATTTGTGCCCTACCGCCCAGATCCCGATCTGCCTAGGGCAGAATCCCCTCCACCGCTACCAGAAGCCACCGAGTCCGCAGTTTCATCCGTTGGGCAGGCCATCGAGATGGACGCAACACCGGCTGCTGGAGCAAGCAACAGCGATGGACAGTATGGCAACCTCAGGGATAGCGACACGGATGTTGCTGGAATGGTCAATCTCCAGCAGGGCCACCAGCCTTCATCCGCGCGGAGAGAGACGTTTGCCAGTGACGGGAGCAAGTATTCAGAAGACGAGTATGTATCATCCTGTACTGCTTCTCTCCCTTATTGCATTACTAACCAAGTTGGCAAACCATAGGCAATATGTCCCATCTCGGGCCCAGTGGAACCAGGAGGCGGGAAGAAACTCGCCTCTCGTAGCACCCCTGGCAAACACGCAGCGTGGCCCTACGCCAGATCACTCTAGGAGCCCTGCACCAGCAGCCGGTGTGAAGGAAAAGGGCGGCTATTATGAAGATGTCGATCCTCGTTTTGACCAGACAGCCCATACACCTCCGCGACGTCAGACGACTCCGCCGCCGCCGCTACATCTCCAGCAGGCCAGCTACGAAGATATGGGAGGTGGTCCCGATGGGACTCGCAGCCCTGCCGAGTCGGAACACTCCAACTTTACGTCCATCTCGCAGCGTGGTATCAACCCGCAATGGAGCCCACAGCCGCCAATGCCGCAACGCCGACCGGTACAGGAGCGCCATGACATGATTCTGGACAATCCTGATTTTAAACTCCCGGGGGGTCGATCGACGGCCGCGGGGAAGCGAAGAGTACCGGGCATGATCCCTGAGAGCGCGTATCCGAACCGCCCAATGTAATGTCGCTTAGGCTATCAACCCATCTTCTCTTTCTTCTCTTTCTCCGCGACGACAGCGCTTCTTCTAAGGCACCTACTTTTCTTTATGCGAATATAGATGGGCTGGGCCTAGTGAAGGGCTCACCACTGTTGCATTTGTTCCTCTTTTCTTTTCCTCCTCTTCTACATCGTCTTCTTTCTTCTTACATAGTTACACTCAACCTTTTGGGTGATTCTACTCTTTGACGGCAACTTGATCTTTAATGTTGATCCTCTCATATTCGACCCGATGATGGCATCTTTGGCCTGATCTATATCTATACGCCACACCTCATGGCGCTTGCGCCTTGGCTTATACATTGCTATCGACACGCCCTTTTAACCTTGTTTCATTTACTACGTACATTGCGATGCTCTACTCGACACGGAGAGTGGAGTAAAGTCATTATTCTTCCTTTTTTTCACGATAATGCGACGGACGGACGACCCGCTTTATGGGATGTGGGGGACCTCAACTCTGAGATCAGAAGACTACTAAGGTTTTGCTTGGAAGATTTGGCTATCTTTGCCGCAGGCTTCATATTTCTTTTTCTCTCTTTTTCTCTTTTCAAGTTTGATAATTCGGAAAGGCGTGTCTTGATCATACCCAGGGAGGATTTACCAGGAATGAATAAAAAGTATCAAGACCTCTGAGGCTTGTTTTGCTCTGTTGGCATTGGATATGTTACGTAGGACGCGCGGCTATTAGGATATGATAGTGAGCAGATGAAGAATAATACGTATACACGAAGTTGTCACTTGCACTGAATGCCTATCTTGTGCACTGTGCTGTTGATGTCGAATCTGGGCTGCTATGGAGCACCTTTGTTGGGATAGGTTAAGTTTCACTGTTAGATAGGTAGTAGATAGACGAGAGTACAAGTAGGGAGTTATCACAGGAATGGCTTGTTGAAGAACCCCATGGAGGCTCTGGAGCTCTTGGCTGGGGCTCTTAGCCTCGAGGTTAAACAGGCCCCATTCACTGACGATGCCTTGGAGAGAGGAAGACATAACTGGGTCCGTTGAGCTCGCTACATTGGACTCAGTTTTTGAGTTTTGATGGCAGCTTTTCGAGTTCACTTTGGTGGCAGTCTGCCTTTATTTTTGTTCACCCACTGGTTTCACTTTGGCCTCACTTTGGCCTCACTTTGGCTTCACTTCCCCAACCTCACCTCCCCACCTCTACCCTTCTCCTTTGCGCATCATCATCACTTGCAGCGCCGTGTTTCCTTTTCTCTCGAATATCTTCCTTCTTCTTGGAAACTTGCAGATATATATTCCCTCATCAAAGCTATTCCTGTTGGGAATCATAGGTAAGCCAAACGATCCTTGCCTTAGGTAATGCCACTCCAGTTGTTGCTCGCCTTGGAGTGATCGAGGGAAGGAGCCCAACAAAAGTTGTGCCTCAGGACTTCTCTCCTCGATCCGCTTACCGCTTGCCTATCCCACCTCTCCTTCTGCCCTCGCTCCCACTTGCTCGATTTTTTTCTCCTCTTACTTTTTCGTTTTCCTCTTCCTCGTCACTCCTCCCCCCTCATTCGCCATCTTCTCTTGGCCATCTTCTCTGCAGACTCGCTGGGTTGCCGGGATTTCTTGCATTATTTCTCGCTGGGTCTTTCCGCCTCACTGTTGTTTCATTCATTGGCAACTCGTGAGGGCAAAGACAGGATCTTGGAGAGAAAGCAGGCTTTGAACATTTAATTGCCTGTTCGATTCCGTCTTTGATTGGTCAATTGGTTGACTGCGGCTTGAACTCGAGCCGCCCGCCTCGTCTTTGAATCGTATATCCAACCCTTCTCTTTGTCTCTTTGCTCTCCCATCGCCTATTTTTGAACTCACTTTGGCGCTCTGATCTCCCAAGAGCGATCTCACGAAACCATAATTGTGTCGTCTCTCGCTTCGCTCGCTTCGCAGCTAACATGGACCTTCCCTTAGTTTCGATTTCTGTCGCACTTTACATCCTTTTATTCGACAAGTAGCAGTCGTTCAGTATGGCACAGGATACGGAGCCATCTGGACCAGCGGTGGATGAGGAACCTTCTTCCCCGACACTCTCTTCCCCAACACCTGTGGCATCAGCCTCAGCCTCGTCTCAGCCCACCTATACAACTGCCGGGACAATCTACAACCCCAGCTCCTCGCAGCGGCTCCAGCCTCCCGCTCGTCGTGGTCGCTTGCTCAAGTTGAACTCCGAAGCCAGTGGATTCCCTCTTGATGCCGCCAAATTTGGTACTCCCAGATCTATGCTGTCTGACGCACAGTTCAGATCTGACGCCAGTACCAAAGTGCCCGCAGCTACAGCCATTCAACAGTATAGTCCTTTGCAGCAAAACTATGATCGTGCAGTTAGCCCTGTTGTCAGCCCAACTCACGAACCCGGAATGTCATTTCATGGCGTCAGGCCGCACAATGCGTCTCTCCATGCTGGAGCTGATTCGCCACATGTCTCTCTCTTCGATAACGGCAAGGGGAAGGCGGTCGCAACCAATAATGGCAGTTCTAGCGATGACGACGACGACATTGTCAACAGCGCCCTAATGAACATGACTGTCAAATCTCTCCAAAACCTGGCTTCGTACCCGAACCCGAACCAAAAGAGCGCTCAGAAGGCGCTTCTTCGGGGGACAAGGCCAAAGGCGGGCAGCAACCTGAGCGGTGGCCCATCTAGATTGAGCACCCCATTCACATACCCTAACGCCAGTCCTGGTAGAGCAACAAACCCCCCGAGTGAAGACGCCTCAATCGGATTCAGACCTATTCTGTCGGAACCCAGCGCTCTTTACCAGAGAACCCAAGACCGTCGATGGAGATCTCGAAAGATGGCATCCGAAGCTGGAGCAAGTGGTACCTATTACAGTGCATATGAATCCCGGCGCTCGACCCCTTCCACAAACAGTGACATAACGGATCTCAATCCTTCAGCGTCTATGCATCTCGCCACAGGCCCAGGCGCGCCCAAACCTTTGACGGCTGGACCTCCTGGTCAGCGCCAATATCGCCCTTCAACATTCGAGTCGACATTCAAAGCACTCGCGACTCGATCGGTAGCCTCTCAAGGGTTTTTCAATGAAGCTGAAGAGGATCGTCCTTCGTTTGCTGTCAGGGTGGCCAACACCGTGCCATCGACTCCCCAAGACTCCGTCGCAGAGGACGAGGAATACATGTCGGCCCCCGAGTTGTCCATGAACACGTACAACGGCATGCCCGCAGTTGCCCGGAGCCCACCCCCTGAGTATGAGGAGAACCCGATGATTTCTCCTAATACTCTGCTGTACTTGACCATCAATTCCGAGCCCGACTGGCCACAAGAACAACGGTGCAACGCTGATGATGTGTACGGGTGTACTTGCCCAGCCTATGAAATGGGTGGAACAAGCGTCGCAAATTCTGCTACCCAGAGACAGGGCTACTCTGGCTCATCTGGCCCGGGGGTTCCAGGGAGCTTTCACACACCCTGGCAGCCAGAAATGTATTGTGCCTATGAGCAATGGGATGAGCCCCTAGGTCCAATGTTTCCCCAATCCTTGGGGTATCCAGGACGCTTGACCGTACGGGAGATTCAAGAACACAATTGGCGACTCAACGTTATGTGGTATGCAGGAACTGGTTTACTGGGTGACTTTGATGCGGCACAAGTGCTCTCCCAGCCTACCAGCCACAATACCAACCCGCCAGTAGCAAAGCATATTTACGGTGCAGTTGGAGAGGGACGTCCCAACCAAGCTGTAAAGGAGAGCCCCGCGGCTCGAGAAGATGGGCCTTGCAGCATGCCAATCAGGTTTGTCGACGACGACGTTACGGACGGCCTCGCGCTCTTGGACCGAGTTTTGAGCAGGGCTACTTGATTGTTACCAAGGGAGAAGTAATATTGGTCGGGGGAAAGATTACCGGATAGGTGCGGGTCAGTTATAGTGGTAATGGTTATGGGTATAATTGCACAGGATGACTTTTTTATTTTTTAACCCTGAAAGGGTTGGATGAACAGGATCAAGGCTGGGGAAATCGATTTGCGAGAGAAAAATACGGATGCTGGGCCGAGTACCTTCTATGGAAATCCCAGAATATTAGTTTGGCAGGTCGATAATCCATAATATATCACCGTGTGTTACCATTTGGGTGGATCTCAACTTGTTCCCTTCTTGCAGTCTTTCCGAAAAATGGGGACAACAATGGCCGTGGAGTAGCATTACTAAATCCTAAAATGGGGCGAAGTGACTCCCGAGTGGGAAGGGCTTCTTAGGAACGGGCCAATGAGGGCGGGTGGAAGCAGATTGATTCCAAAGCCGCTGCCGATTTGGAGCATCGAACCACGCGATGCGAACGGGGCCGGAAGGTTGAAAATCTACAAGGGGAAAATGGGACCGTGGCTTTTTAAGCACTTTGGCCAGGACCTTTATCTGTTCTTGGCTTCCTGGCGATAAAAACGGGCAACGGAGAGTGGAGCTGCCGGATTCGAGGGGCCCCGTGAATTACTGGTATGACGATATAAAGAAAAGACGGTTTCCCGCGTTGTGGCGGCGGAAATGGGCTGAAGTTAGCTGGTGACCTTTTTTTTTTTTTGGTGCTTGTCACTTTCCAAGGAGGGAAGGGAAAAAGCGAATACTTCTCTTTTCCTTTTCCCCTTTCAAACTGTAGGGCGGTTGAGGCATCATGACTGCGGCGCACGGCGTCATTGCGATTCTGGAGTCGACATATAACAGCCTGGATTTGGACACTATTCTGGACTTGTATGCGGACGACGCCAAATTGACAGCCCACTGTGAGTTTCTTTGTTTGGTTCATTTTAACCTTTTGTTGAAATGTTTGATTTTGCGCAAGACCTGTGTTGGGGATGTTGGGGGCGGGGCAGATGAGGCTGACCTTTTTGTTTTCTGAAAAAGTGTTTGGGCTAGTGAACGCCAACAAGAGGCAGATCCGGGCCTTTTACGCCGATTTGTTCGAGGCAAATGGCGACGTCGAGTTTGTGACGCGATGTATCAGCGGGACGCCTGACTTGGTCATCTGGGAGTGCGATGTGCGGTGCACGGCGAGGCGCAACTCGTCCGCCTTGGGGGTCACGAGGGGAGATGCCGTGGTGATGAGGGGGGTGTCGCTTTTGAGCTGGAGAGACGGCTTGATTGCGGAGCAGAAGGACTATTTCCATGTGGCGAGCAAGTGTTAGTAGGAGATGAAAGGACGGCTGTTACTGCACCTTGAAGGGAGGGAAAAAAAGGCAAAGGAAGGGCACCATCGCAGAGCGGATTCACAATAATCATGGGGATGGAGCGCCCGTGACGCTCGTCTCTGGAGTTGCCAAGGTGATTCTGCTACTGTTGCGGATGCCATTCGCACCATGCCCTACTGCCCTTTTTGTCCAGGGCTGAGTGCGATGATACCTATATTTGGCAGCTCTGGGGATTATTTTCATGTTCCGAGAACGAAAGCGTCTTCGAAACTGCTTTGAATCCAGGATCCGAGCGGCGATGTGTAGAGGCTGGGTGCGAGACAAGACACACCTATTGCGTGACCGAAGCCCTGGCTGTCAGAGGATGCATGATTTTTCTGAAGGCCGTTGCGCGCATCCTGCAGAGGTACCAATACGAACCTGGCTAAACTCACCTTGAACGAGATATCATAATGAACAATGCGCAATACACAATGCGCCATCGAGCACGGGTGTTTGCATTTACATGAACGGAAGATGGAAGTTGGATTGAATCATTGCAGCGTTCGATCGATAGTGGGCAGCTGTTCGCTTACGGTCGCTTCGGGTGCAGGCAGCTGCTGTAAGAGCCAGACATGCGGCAGTCGCGACTTCCTACCTTGTTCACGTTCATGCATTAGGTACATGTCAACATCAGCGCACAATTTGCCGGTTTTAACAATTTGAAATCTACATACCTAGGTAGGTAATCAGATTTGTAGTCACCAGGCAATTCATTCAATTCGTAAAGAGAAAAGCAATCGACAGCAAGAAATACATGTCCTTGAAAATCCTGAACCTGGACAGCACAAGATTCTCCCAAACGCGTCGCTATAATTCCAAACCCGCCGCCATAAAACAATCTAACCAGTGCGGCCCCAATTATCCATTTCATGAGATCCATCCAGTGTCTATATATATTCGTCTTCATTACAATTTGGCCAGAGCAGAGGACGAGGCATTGACGACTCTTCACTAGGCCCGTCGTGCCTACTGTCCTCTGCCTCGTCCTCTGCTCCGCCCTCTTCCTCATCCTCTGCCTCATCCCCTGTCTCCCCTGCAAGGCCATCCTCAAGGCTCATATTGTTATAGGCAGCAACAATATTACCCACTCTGTAACTGTCAGGGTCCTCAGCAATGCTGACGGTGCTGATGGGGTACTCTGAGTGAACTTGCTTAGCAATGAGCCTCTTTTTCTCTACATCGGGAGCTTCACTAATGCCGACGTAGTCTTTCAGGAGTCGAACATGTTCCGGGTCCAGCGTGTCCCTGAGTAGACAAAACGTCGTGTCTCCAAGAAAGCTTTGTTTCGCATGGTCGTGCAAACCCTTGCCAGCAAGCACCACGGTAGACCGGAAGAGTTCTGCATGCTCAGGTGTGAGTTCTAACGATCGAGACAGAGCTCTAGAGCTCATAAAGCCAAGCAGAATTTGCGTTTGTAACAGGCACGGATCGTAAAACTCAAAGCCATGCCGCAGATAGTACAGTCTCCAGACAGTCTCGAGCCCAATTCTCGACTCCAGTACTATTTCTTCTGGGGTTTCTTCGCCAAGTTGGCCAAGTGCCCCGTGTGGGCCCATGCTTGGTTTGTCGGTATCCGCAAACGGGCTAAATAAGCAAAGGATGATATTAAAATAGTGCAGGCTTGTTGCTGCTATTAGCTTCCAGAGAGATACCCAAGAGGGACAAGAGTGAGGCATACTGAACGAAAAGTTGAAAGGGTAGAATGGCTTGTTTGATGGACAATGACAGCGGCAAACTCTGGTACCACTGTTTGAATCTTGAGTAGAACGACAAAGTTTCTTGCAGTGATAGCTTGTTCTGGGTCTTTGGATGTGGAAAGACAGAATCACCTAGATCGTTCACAATGATACGAAATTCCGCAATTGCTTTGATAAAGTCGGCATGAGGAACAAGAATAGGCTTCTTGGTCAGCGGATAGCGTATCCGGGTTTTCGGATACCAGTCCCGTTGCACCCTTGGGTCGGGCAAGTAGTTAGTAGGAGGCACTGCAAGGAGCGGCGGACGAAAGAAGTGGAAACAATATGAGCTGGATTCGGCATGGGTTAGCTTGATGTTGCCAAAGAAAGCCTCACCGCTCACAGAGTAAGAGGAGAGGACGAAGAAGCAAAGCAGTGCCTACGCCTGATAACAAAACACTGCCCACGAGGTAAAAGTACGGGCAATTCGCATGTCCCACCCAGAGAGAGGTGGCATTTCAAACAAGCACATCCTTTCTGCCATGGCAACAGCTTGCAGCAGATGAGACCACCCAACTCTGTCGGCTGCATTCATGTTATAGGTTACGGACATGACAAGCATAGCCTGGATGTTTGTCAAAGAATCAGTGTCTGCTTCGAGCTCTCTGAGCCTCCTCACTTCGGCTGAGAACTTGTATTGCAGGGTATCTGGATTCCAGTACTCGGTACGGCTCGATACCCTATTGGATGCGTGCTAAAGGAATCAAACTCAGCACTGCAGATTTTGCGAATGTTCCTATTGACCCCGGACTCACACAAGCCGCTGCAAGCACGGCATTTACTAGTAGTGACGAGCAAAACCGGTTCCCGCCGGCAACCATATCTTTGAGGAAGTAGTCCTTATGGAAAAAAGGAAGTGTGGGGTACACGTATAAAAAATATGACTTCAGAAGTATCCTGAGCATATCATCAGTTAGCGCCACTTGTGTCCACTGAGAAGGTCTCGCCTCGTCAATCTGAGGATCAACGAGGTCGGCTGTAAGATACGGAACGTGATACTGAATTCCAAGGCCAGACAGACCCGTACGATTTTCTGGACGTCGCTGTTGTGGCTCCGGTGGGGTAATGAGTCCCTGAAAGATGAGGGTGTCAAGATATGGGTTGTAGCGTTGGAGAAGAAAACTTGGCATCTCTGTACCATAGGGGAAGCTGAATCGAGTCCAAGTTTCCGGAACAAGTGCGACTTGCGCAAGAAGATCGCCGTCTTGCACATAGCGAACGAGAGACGCAATATCTGCGCCATTCCTCACGCGTTGAAGCAAGCCTGCGGCTACGCCATCATTCTTTGTCTGCATGACTCGAAAGAGTTCTTCGTATATTTGAGATCTTTCCCTCATTTCGGCGTACTTTGCCTTGGTTATCCTGGTGGACTCGACATCCGGCCATTGGCACCGAATGTTTCTCTTGAGGCACTGAGAGCACTGCAGCGGCTGTCCCTCATCGCACTTGAACAGAGTGTAAGTTGACAGCAAATAGGAAATATATAAAATGTATGGCTAAAGGGAGAATATTATACCCGAGCTTTGCGCTTACGACATGGCACACATGCCGTATTGGTGCCGATGCGGTTGGGCTGCTGGGTTGGCGTAGACCCTGGGCTTTGGGTGCCGGCTGCTTTTTTGCTCTCTGCCCTGGCTTTTGCTCTACCTGTTGCTCTAGGTACTGCGCCCTTCGAAGGTTCTGCAGGTAGAAACTGCCGGTGCGGCTTGGAGGAGTTGCTGGAGTTGCTAGAATTGCTGGAGCGAGGCTCCATGCTTTGGCTCTAGCTGGTGATTCACGATAGTTGCATTGCTCGGGTCTCATGGCGGTGAGGAGTTGAACAAGCACGTCTACGAGGAGTAAAAATGACAGTACGCAGTTATGACGTCAAGCTCAGCCGCCTTCTAATTGGGCTCTGAACACTGGAAGGAAGGAAGCATGGCAGAGGACGCGCCCAAGATACCTCCAGCACCAGAGTCGAGCATTTGAATTTCAGTGCACTTACAACGCTCCCGCCATGCTAAAAATCTGGATACCCGTAATACAGTGCTTGCTTATAACAATGCTTTGCTTTAATAGTACAAGCACGAGGGTTCCCACTAATAAATAGCCCGAGCAAAGCCTGTGAAGCTTCCAACAAAGACATCCTCGGCCATCTGACCCGCTAGTCCCCTTTAGGCCTCCCTAGAACGGACTAGGGCGCAAGCGCTGCAAAATTGACATCAGCGATTGTGCGCCCAAAAATTCCTCGTGACAGCCAGTCTCTGCTTTTCTGGCAACCATTACTTCATCCTGGTCATTAAACTAACAACAAGACACGCGACTAGGCCAAGGAGACGTTTCCTAGCCCAACCTTGTTTTTCTCGCGAGGAGCATCTTTGCCTCTTGCATTGATTCCGTTTGTTGCAGCGACAGCCTGTTTTGCAGTTCATTGGCTTCTTGCATCTTTCCAGAATATCAAAGCCCGGCTCCCTCTTACAACCCTCGTGTCCGCCCGATTTAAGCCGATGCAATCTTAATACCCAACCGATCGAGACGAAACAAAAACGCGCCGAGACGGGGTGTTGGCAATTGCGACAGCACCAAGCTCAAATCACTAGAGCACGGAAAAGAACCAGAAACAGAAGCTCAGGAATAAGAAGCATCAGGACAAGATGGTTTATGTGCGGCAGCACAACCTCCCGGCCTTGAAGGAGTACAAGTACTCTGCCGTGGACCGGTCTCTGGTTTCGAAATACATCCTCAAGCCTTTCTACACCAACTTTGTCATTCATTGCTTCCCGATGAACATGGCGCCGAACCTCATCACCCTGACGGGATTCATGTTCGTCGTCCTCAACTTCTTGACCATGCTGTGGTACAACCCCACCCTGGATCAGGATTGCCCGAGCTGGGTCTACTACAGCTGGGCCATTGGTTTGCTTCTTTACCAGACATTTGACGCTGTGGATGGTGCCCAAGCGTGAGTCTTTTTATTCCCTATTTCCTATGGCTTCTTGGGAGTCAAACATTGCCAGAGGCTAATACCTGGGGACGAATCTATACAGACGACGAACGAAGCAATCCGGACCCCTCGGCGAGCTCTTTGACCACGGTGTCGACGCTCTTAACACAACTCTGGAAGTCCTCATCTTTGCCGCATCCCAGAATATGGGACAGGGCTGGAAGACTGTGGCCACTCTTTTTGCTTGTAAGGCCTTTCCCCTCCGCCCCTCTTCCACTTCCCCTCCATCAGTCCCACTCAATTCCGCAAGGAGGATCGGAAGAGGGACAGGTGCATGAACAAGAAGATGCTAATCGATACGGCCAGCTCTCCTTACCTTTTACGTCCAGACCTGGGACGAGTACCACACCAAGACGCTCACTCTCGGAATCGTCAATGGACCCGTTGAGGGTGTGCTCATTGTTGCCTCTGTCTTTGCCCTGACCGGCTTCATGGGAGGCGCGCACATCTGGCAGCAGAGTGCCTTGCGTGCTATTGGCGTTCCTGCGTCTCTGGGCATTCCCGAGTTCATCTACGAGCTCACCTTTACCGAGTGGTACATGGTCCAGGGCACCATCGTGACCAGCCTCAACACTTTCGAGTCGTCCGTCAACGTCATCCGTGCTCGCCGTGCCCGCGGTGACCGCTCCCGAGGCGCCCTGCTTGGTCTTTTACCCTTCTTCGCTGTCTGGGGCCTTATTATTACCTATCTCTACCTGCAGCCAAACATCCTGCACCACCATCTGATTCCCTTTTCCCTCTTCGCCGGCCTCGTCAACTCATACAGCGTCGGGCAGATGATTACTGCGCACCTCACCAAGATGCCTTTCCCCTACTGGAACATTCTCGGCGTCCTCATCGGCTTTGGCGTTGCTGATTCTATTGGCCCGGTCCTGCTGAACAATTACGGCGTCGGCTGGCCTAGCTCTCTTGGCGACGACATCTACCAAACCGCCTTTGTGTTCCTCATGCTTGGCACTGCATTTGGTGTGTATGGAAGCTTTGTTGTGGATGTCATTGTTACCATCTGCGATTATCTCGACATCTGGTGCTTGACAATCAAGCACCCTCACGTCGAGGCAGCTGTGTCGAAGCCCAATGGCATTAAGAGCCACTAAAGGCATGGCTCGAGATGACGTGAACACCTTCGTACCCAAGCATGCTTGGTACGCTGTACAGTGCGGCACCATGTGATTTAAGAGGGGAAAAAGTTTCAAAAGGAGGCGACTGGAGAGGATGGCAAGAAGAATGGAGAAGAAAATGAAAGAAAAGGCAAGACTTTATAACGCGACATGACGGATCATACAGACTATACAGGCACGAGGCCTACATACGGAAGACAGATGAGGGGATTTTTATATAGACCGGTGGCAGACAACTCTTTCAGCACGAGGTTTAGAATTATTTGATGTTAGCTACTCACTTGAGCTTTTCAAAATGATGGGGCGTTTTTAGGAATATTTTCCGCTTTCCCTCTTTTTTCCAGCATATTTTCATGTATCCTCGTGTGTAATAGATATCGGGCTTGGTGGAAGGCTACATGTATCCAGATGTACCTAGATGCAATAGTTAGAACCTCGATTTATCAAATTTTCGATTGCGATACTACTCATTATTTTTTGACACTCTAACAAAAAAATCGAAATTGTAGCAAAAGAATAATTGCTTCTCCGATACTGGGAATCGAACCCAGGGCTGCTCGGCACACTTAATGAGAGCGAGCGATGTTAGCCACTACACCATATCGGATATGTTGATTGGATGATGAAATGAGTATGGCAAGTCCATCTCAAGAGCTCCTGCTTTATCGAAGTTGGAAGCCGTTCTATTCTTTTCCTCTCCTTTACAACACAGGCATTTAGCCACCCTTGGATGTTGCTTGCAGACACCTCACATATTCCTACTATGCCCAAACTCGTATGGCCACTGCAGCATGGATTCTCTTCCTTTCGGGCACGTCCTTGGTCCATGCAAATCATCGTTGGACAAGAGAAAGGATCAACAGGCTACCGGAAGTAAGGCAGCCGAGTCAGCAGGGCGGACTTCGATCCAGACCAAAGATCTAAACTTGTTCCTATGAGTAAGGCACAAAGGCAATCTGACCCATGCAACGCCATGCTGATCGCCGTGCTAGTTAATAACTCGGCCCCCGCTCTCGAAGGATTCGGCTCAGAATAAACGTTGTTAGTCAGGATTGAACAACAGTTCGTCCAAGTCTGCCTCAACCAACTTGAGATAACAGAGAGTCACAGCGCGCCTTCATTCAGCCCTACGGCGTCCAGAGTCCGGGACGATGGATCTTGGAGCATGAGTCACAATTACAAGGTCGAGATGCATAATCCTTCAGGCACCCGAATTTTTCGCTCAAGGAAACAGCGCTCCCCAGTTGCTTATGTCAACCAACATGTAAGAATCTTCAAATAGCCTGACATGGCTGTGTTGAAATAGTTTGTGACCGTTGCGCTTGGAGATGCTAAGGGGCGCGGATTGGGTTTTGATTTGATGAAAATAATATTCCCGCACGCAACTATGCGCTCCGTTCTTGGGCACATACGGAAATTTGGGCGCCCGGAAGAAAATAAGCCTGCACAGTGGATTTTTTTTCTAAACCGCGGACCTGGGTTGCGACTTTGGGGAAGGATTCGAGTTCGGCGATTACGAGTACTGGGATGAGGGGAAGGGGGATGATTTTTTCCCCTACCTAGCTCTTCCCTGGCGCGTCCTTCACTCTTCTGGAAACTGCCTTTTGCCCCGTCTGTTGCCTCTCTCTGTCTCTCTGTCATCTAAATCTTCCGACATTGATAGAGTTATTCTGGCTGATCCATACGAGACAGAAGAAAAAAAATCAAAAAGCGGTCCTTGCGCCCACCTCCCGCTCGCGACACCCGAGGCTCGAAGGACCAGGTCAGCAAGTTAAAGCGGGCTGGGGCCGCTCCAAAATCTCAAATCAGTCAGACTGAATCAAACTGCCGTATTGCAAAAGGCCTGCCACCCCTGCACCTCGTCAAGCTCGTCGACCCTCCAGCCACTAAGAGTGGTTTCCTGTGTTTTAGCGGCATTAGCGGCAGGGTCAGGATAAGAAGAGCGGACATTCACGAATGAGCCCGACCAAAGAGACAAGAGAGACAAAGAGACAAGACTGCTAATGGCGGTCTGCTTCTCCTGCTTCTCCGGGGAACAAGAAGCAACTCTGCGTGTGGCGCCACAGGCTTAACCGGGCGTTGAAGAAATCCACAACTCCAAGTTCGTCGCCTCTAGCCAGCAACCACATCAGCTTAGCCCCAACTAAACGGTGCAAAACACGCATGTGGCTGCTACCCGCGCGGTAATCCCTAAGCATCCAAGATACTTCTTATGCGTGCTAGCATCATCTTGGTACCGTAGCAGCCCCCTCAGGCCTCGAAGAGGCTGCCGGGTCTCCGGCCAGGTCTCGCTGTCATTCGCTGTCGGGCAGCGTCGTGTTCTTCCATTTCTCTTCGTTTCTTGTTCCCGTTCCCGTCTTGATTCTCTCTTCTTCTGTGTCGGAATTACACACACTTACACTACACGCTTGACTAATTCTTACTGCTTGGTATTGGCTTTTTAATGTCCTCTCGTTAGTGTTGAAGAGAATAGCACTATCACTACTCGTGCGGACATCGCGAGCCAAGATATCCAAAAACAGGCTCTCCCTTTTCTTCACCCCGGAATCCTACCTTAATCCTACCTCTCTATTCCCTACTCGTCACCTATTATTATTTTACATACCATACATACTTCGTACCTCCATATAAGGCATAGGAGTGGCGTTGCCCGAGTACCATTTGAAGGAACCGAGAGCCCCCATATCAACTCCCCTCGCCCCCGTTTTCCCTTTCCGGGTGGCGGCCACCGTCTCGTACATAACTCCGTACACCCCAGTTGCAGCTTGATATCGCAGCTCTCAGCAAATCCGACACAACAACCACCATGGACTTCGCAGCCCAGTACGCCTTTGGCACTCACCAGGCCTTTCCGGGGGCTTTTATGCCTTTGACGCCTTCACACTCCCAATCAGCTGGCTCGGACGATTTCAGCAATACCTCCCCGCCTGTCAGTTTGTGGTCCCCCACTCCCCCGAAGCGCAGATTCTCGTGCCTTAGCGCTCCTTACTTGAGCATTACGAGAGAAGGACTAATCACCATAATCGAGCCATTGCGCTCGAATGACTGACATTTGACTGATGCTGACTCAATCACTGCGTGCTCCATCTACAGGATAACTTCACCGACCACTTCAGCGCATTTGACTATGCCCAGACATTCGGCGGCCATCACCAGCCGGCCTTTGGCCAGCAGCCGAGCCCTGTGCCGCAACACCATCACCAGGAGCAGCAGCAGCAGCACGGCTCCGGCCGCCAGCCGCATTCCCCGTCCACAAACGGCAGCGTCAACGGAAGCGGCAGCAGCACGCGAGGCGATGGCGGATCCGGATCTGCGGCCAAGACGGAGGCCAATCCCGACGAGATTCGCGGCAGCGACGACGATGATAACATGACCCCGGCCCAGTCGCGAAGAAAGGCCCAGAACCGAGCTGCGTATGTGGTTTCTCTCTGTCTCTGTCCCTCTGTCCTTGTTTCCTTTCCTGGCCCTTGCATCCCGTTTCGGGTACCCGGCATCTCCTAGAGTCACATCGAAACCACGGAGCTGTGGATCAATCTATCCATAGATGCATTCCGCACATTGTACTCTGTAGTCTTTTCCAACGTCCATCCCAATTCCCTTGCTGCTACCTAGAAGCATGTCAAAATGAATTTTTCTTGAAGGGAAAAAAAGAAAAAATCAATCCATGGCCTGCAGATCACCGCTAATCCCCCAGTGGGGGCTAAACGCTCGTTTTTTCTTCTATTCTTTTCATTCCAGCGTTGATTGACCTTGTTTTCTACCTGCAGTCAAAGAGCATTCCGCGAACGCAAAGAAAAGCACGTCAAGGACCTCGAGTCCAAACTCGCAAGCCTTGAAGCCGCCCAGAAGGAAGCCGCCAACGAAAATGAGCGCCTCCGACGAGATTTGCAAAGAATGTCCACCGAGAACGAGATTCTCCGGGCCACCTCTGCCATCAACCAGAACCAGAACGGCTCCCACTCCCCCGAGCCTCTAACAACGGGGCCCATGACATACACACCTACCGATTTCTATACTAATGTGCTTGAGGGCCACAAGAACAAGTTCCCCTCGCACCGTATAGTCACCTCTGACGATGGCCACAGGTTGCTTGCCGCGGGTGCCGCCTGGGATTTCCTCCTGGAGCACCCGCTGTACAAGCGAGGCCTGGTGGATGTCAGCAAAGTGGCCGAGCACATGAGGCGAATGGCCAAATGTGACGGGCAGGGGCCTGTCTTTTCTGAGGGCGACATCAACTATGCCATTGAGCAGAGCGTCGCTAGCGGCTCCGACGATCTCTTGTAAGCAAATGAGACACGCAGGAAGACGAGGAGGTGAGGAGAAGTGTTGAGACCGGAATGTGGAGGGGATTGCCGGGAGCCTGATATTCTTGGCCTCTTTGGGCCGGAGAGAGCGAGAGCGAATTGTATCATGACATTTGAAATGTTGCATCACGACTTGGCGTATATTTGCGGGGAGTTGCTTTTGGGTTTCTATGCACTACACTGCACTGATTATTTTTATTTGATTTGATTCTCTCAACCACCTGTCTCTTTTCTCATGGATGTGGTCAGCCATTTGGCGACTCGGGGCATGTTCCGGGGCACCTTGCATCGGGCGATCTGCTCCGACCCTATTACGATACTTACGCGAGCAGTGTCGTTACTCCGCACATGTACGAGCAAGAGGCGTTCTATCTCCTCTTGCATGACATGAATCATGCCAGTCCTCGTACATGTAGGGAGCACTGAGTGCAGCATGTACTGCTACCATCCATGTTTGGGACTTTTTGTTCGTACGAGTACATTAGCATCCACCGTCATGCGTCTGCCAAAAAGGAAAAGAAAGACAAAAAAAGGAGGAAAAAAAAGGCGTCCAACATCCTTGCATCTGTCTCGTCTGCCTTGGATATTCCCCTCATCGGAGGATGCTTGGTGTTTCAGCCGCAAAACAAAAAAAAGCAAAACAAGGACGACAAAGAGATGAGCAAGACAAGACATTCAGCCGCACCTGATACCCGCTTTTCGAATTCAGTCCAATGAGTACGAGTTTGGTTTAGGTGTTACCAGGATTGCCCATATTACTACATGCAACTTACAGGCTATGACTGAGCACGTCTGATCACGACTGAACACAATTGCCAAGCAGGATTGCCACTGGGAGAGACAGAATAGAAGTGCAAGCAAATGAGCACAAACAAGACGCGTTGACATCGGCCGATAATCGAGGAATCGCCGACTTCTGGAGCTTCGTCCGCTTGGATGGAAAGGTATTGGGTAGGACCAGGTTCTGGTGGGATTTGGTTCTGGGTTCGGTTCTGGATTTGGTATTCCTTTTTTTTCTTTCTTCTTCTCTACCCACCCCCATATCCTGTATGTATCTGGTTGCATTTGCATTGCAGTTAATCAAAATCCTTTACTTCCAATCCTCTGAGCACACCTCTGCGCGCGCAGACGCTCGTTATCTATGCGTGACACGTGTTCATCCCTCGTCTCCCCAGACACATGCAAGTCGAGCAGTATGGAGAGCAACCTACATGTTCATGCATGCCAGAATGGCCTTATTCTGGCCTTCTCGCATCAAATCGTGATCCAGTAGTAAGCAACCAAGTCGCCAGGTTGTATCGAGTATGGGGAGGGAGGGAATCATTGGTGTGGTAGCAGTGCAGTGCCGCATCTCCCCCCAGTGGCCCATTTGTCCTGCCGCCTATCACAAGACCCTGTCTACCGGATCTGCTCCCAGAATTGCCGCGCTCTTTTCTCCCTTGATAGAGCCAATAGTCCCGAGTTATCGCTTCGCACTGACCGAAAAAGAGGGGGAGGGAAAGCCACAATTATGTTTGCTGTCTTGCCCAAGGCGGCCCGCGTCCAGTAATTATACAGCCTCGATTTGAGCCTCCAATAGAGACGCGTTATTGGCATTGGTAAACCCCGCCTTCAGCCCATCAGTTGACCTATCCTGTCTCAGACCCAGGGTAGAAACAGGGGGTAAAAAAAAGGAAACCGCAAACCTCTTTGACGCGGCTAGTAGCAGTCTGTAGTAATAGCAGTGCGTGCTTGTAGTAATACAGCAGTAATACCTGGAGTAGTAGACAGTAATACACCAAAAAAAGAGGAGAAAGAGGGCAGGAACAAGACAGGCCATGGAATGGGTATAAGAGAGCTTCCCCAAGCAGTCGTCGTACCCTTCCTCCTCGAAAAAACATCCTCGACCTTCTTCATCTCTCTAATATATCCCCTTCGTTCGAGTCAATCGACGTTCCCTCCTTGATCACGTCTTTTCTTTTTGTTTGTGATTTCACCTCCATCATGATGGAAACCATTCTCGAAGACGAAGCTGAAGAGGCAGGCCTCACCCCAGCTGAGCCCAGAATCCCTCCCCTTTTCTATGTCGAGTCCACCGAACAGCCTGGTGTCTATGTTCGCTCTTTCAAGCTCCCTGAAAATATTTTCCCTCCTTATCTAGAGCCAATTCCTTTGTGGATGAAGTCCATGTTTGCCGTGGATGCTGCCCCTTTACTACACGTAACGGGGTTTGACAATATCCCGCCTCTCTTTTTTTATTCGGCTTCACAGCCTCTTCCTTCTGAGTTTGTCATGCGATTTAATGACCGTCCCAAAAGCTTTTACCTTTCGCTTACTCACGATAATTCTCTTGTTAATATCCATGACACTTCCCCCAGACTCCGGTGTGGTCCTGCCGCTCAGAGAGTCTTTCGCACCCCAGAGCTCATGGAAAACATCTTCCTCAATCTTGACGCTGCCACCGTCCTCACATCCATCAAACGAGTCAGCAAGACCTTTAAAGATGTGGTTGATGGGTCTCTTGCCCTGCAGCGGAAGCTCCACTTCAAGCCTCATCCGAATGCCCAAACCGGTCTCCATCCGCAGGCGAAATGGAACAAAGATGACCGAACGGAATTCCCAATCCTCAATCCTCTCCTAGTCAAGCATTTCGGAGGCTGCTTTTTCACTTTTGGGGGCGCATACGGTTGCCTTCGCCGAGCAGAGTCCTTCTACGAAAACAAATGGACTCCTCACCACCACATGCTGAAGAAGGTCAACATGATCGGCAGAAAAAGAGTGTACACGTCAGTATGTCCCGACCTCGATGATAGGGAAATCACCCAATCTATTCAAGACAGAGAGCGCTTCACCCGAGCCAGCGCAAGTTGGCGCAAGATGCTCGTGTGTCAGCCTCCAATCTATGACTTTGGTGCCATGATCTCCGAGCCCAGTAGCCCACCCTTTTCTCTTCCCCAGCAGATGGAAAGGGCCATCATACAGGCTGAGGATGAAGACCATGGTCTCTGCATGGGCCAACTCTATGACTTTGTCCAGGAAAGGGCTGGCTACCACCCCCTCGACTCTGTGCGGTTTCGCCTTACGTGGTTCGATTCCCAGGCCCCCTTCGTCTCAGAACTCTGCCGAAATACCACTCGCCAGTGGATCATCGACGGTGTGGCCATTGTGATTGAAATGTTCCGCACTGAGGTTAATTTCCTGGCATATCAACCTGATTCGCCAGAGCGCGACTTGTTTGAGGACAACTTCAAATGCAAGGACTTTAAGCGTCACCAATGGATTCCAGATGACACCGTCATGGATTACCATGAACCAGCATACAACCCAACTTCGCCACCGGTTGCGGGGATGCAAATGTGATTTAGTGCGGGTTTTCAGGTTCGTAACGAGGCAGACCAGATTTCCTTCCCCCCTTCCGATTTCTTACCATCCATGATATACTAACGTTGTTCAAGAGCCATAGGCACCAAGACTTCCATGTTGCAAGCGGGCGGGTGGTAGGGCAACATGGGGGCGGTTAGATTGTTTTTGTTTTCTTTTCCTTTCTAGATTCGGCTGAGGGTCGCCTCTCAGTTCGAAGGTCAGGCAGGATTGGGGAGTTTGGGATGGAGGTTGGTCAAGGCGGCGTTTTTTCCTTTCCTTTTTCTTCCCTTTTAATTTTTCCTTTTAATTTTCTCCCCCCTTTCCTCTTCTATAATTTAATTTAATTTTTTTTTTCAGAGCTGGATTGGAGCTATTTCCTCGGCTATGATGGAAGCCTTAATTGGGGTTTAGAGTCTGCTGCAGCAATGAACATTGAAATGTACTCTAATGGTGTGTTTAGATGTGGAAATAGCTAGGTTTTTTGTGTTATATTATCTGATACTTGTGCTTCCCATGTTCAATACGCCCAATGGCGGCATCTTGTCAAAAGTGAATCATAATTCATGACGTCGGTGTTCAAAGGGAAACGAAAATATACAAAGACCTCTTTTTCTCGTAGGGCCAAAGTCGCTCATTCCCAGGTATCACCTACGTCTTCCATTCTAGATGAAGAAAAACAACTGACATTTCGCGTCGTAGCTGCTGAATGCTCTAGTTGATAGGTCGAATTGCCGTCATTCCGTTGGGCATCAACTTTGGGCAACTGTTGGCGGACTGCGGGCAGGTCAATGCTACCTAATATGTTGACTGCTCGCCTGCAAAGCGATACAGCCCATCTTCGTACATAAAACCTTCTACTTGGGTACCATACGGTTGCAGTATGAAGCCCATCTTGATCTCTCGTACGACGATGCATTCTATGTCTACTTCAGGCGCAGTTGGTGCTACGACTGGACTGGACAGCAGCTGCGTATACGTAGGTAGGTAATTGTTCATACAAGGCTGCCTCAATCTTCAGTTTAGCTATTGTTCTACGCCTATAGAACTGCAAACTGTAGAGGATCGTGACCTTGCACCTGCTGAAGCCCGCTGTTCAGCTGCTGGGCTGCTGTAGTTAGTGGCCAGCCCTCCCCAGGAACAGCGGCCATTCACTCCATCCCCATCCTTCGCAGCTCTTCAGCATCTTCAAATAACGATTTTTCACCCAAATAAATACGGCAAATTGTTCCTAACGCATTACAGATGTCCTCGATCTCTTCCAAAGGCGATACACGAGCATTCCTTAGGAGTGCAGCCCAGGTACGCTTCACCATCCTCGACGAAGAAAACAGAGGCGAGCAGTCTCGCTTCCCCCACGTGATTCATCGCCACACAAATGCATAATTCTGGCAGTAATCTACCTTCCTTTCATCTTTTCAAACTTTTCATCTTTCCCATCGACAAAGCAGAAGCCATCTTTCGTCCACAGAAACCAGCAGCTCTACATCCCAAGGTAAGTGGGCATCAAGGATATATCTGAAAGCGAGAAGACACTCAAACGTCTCTCAGGTGTATTATTTTGTTCCACTCTACATTCCTTGTGATTCTTGCCACTTCTTCTCCATGATGCCGTTGTTGATTCCTTTTCAACAAGCGCAATTCGCGGTCCTGCACAGTTGAGGGCCATCATTCCGGCATCAGACTGTATCAAATTTTGTGGCAAGGTAAGTAACTCTGTTTTCAATGTTCAAATCAACTCGGCTGACAAATTGTAAGTTTCTCCTAAGTCGTGACGAGAGTTCCCTGAGAAGGCATATACGTCCGCCACTCTCGTATTTCTACTCCAATGCCCGGCTTCGTAGTATGCCTATTCGCCAGGTTGAGAGCTGTCGATATCTCCAACTTGTAGCTGAGCAATTATGGTAGGTTGTGCTGTCTCTCAATTCTAACCACTGATGCTAATCAACATCCTAGGAACCGTCTAGCCAGCGAAGGCTGTCTGTAGATCTGAAGCAGAAGAATTTCTCCTCTGCATGACTGCGCTGGCCAGTGTCAGCAGGCTCACCTTGTAGGTGTTTGTGTGCCTTGCCGTGCCACTGTTTTAATCTCTAATGAGATGGCCCAGGAATTGGCCTCAAATATGACCCGTTGTTCACTCCCTCATCCTCTGTAGATAATCGTCTTCTCTGGCGCTGTGATTATATCACAGACGTTGAAGTCAAGGACCAATATCAAATATTCAACGTGGGTCTTCCCATCTGCTTGTACCTTAACAGCGAATGCTAATATTGACTGACTGACAGAGAGGCACTAAACACAAGTCAACCTGCGCCCCTGCGCCGATTCATCTCTGATTTGACAGGACGTATCTTCTGCAAAGATTGGCTCTACCTCTCAACCGGGTATTTGACAACTTTGTAGACTGATTTCAATAGTGCCACTAACTGCCAATGTCTTTTGGACGATGAATCGTTGCCAAGATTGAAGTCGTAACCTCATTGATAATGAAGTCATTCTCCTAAGGCAAGTTCTCCAACAATGCTTTGATCTTCGCGGTCGTTCTGACACAGCCAGAATTATGACTACCAATAGCACGCAGGCTATTTGAGAGATCAAAGATTGTTGTCTCTACTGAAATCGGAACAGTCTCCTTGATAAAGTCTGCCGCTTCTTCGCGCTGGTGTACCCAAATACCACTACTAGCACAGACTGGGGTGTCATCTCCCCATTGATCGCCATTCGCCCAATATCACTCTACCTAGGGATATTATTTCCCATCGCTTCGAATTTATTTCAGCCGAGGTTGCTAATACCTCATGCCCAGTATCATGACACTTGCTGAGATTCTTGGGAAGTAGATCCGGTGGTGATAAGATGACATTTTTCTTGTGTCGAAGAAGATTTATTTCAAGGTTGGTTTATCATCCAGGCCAGTATGCTACCAAATCTAACATGTTTCAAGCCATGATTTCTCCCGATCGTAGAGTTTCCAAAAAGACAATAACGGAAATTTCACTGGAGATACACCCGACGATGACAACGATCGATGCCAGATGGTCACCGCCCAACAGCAACTGGATTTTTGACTTTGGTTCGTGTACCCCGACTTTGTTATTAATTATCATTCCCCATTCGGCGATATTGATTGTCATGCCTCGATCTCTCGTTTTATTTGTTCCGGTTTCGTTTCACGGCTAATGCTTCTCCCTGAGTCCAGGACCAGATTTTGCGAATCCCGTACGAAGAGTCATAATGTCTCACCGATGCTGCCGCATAGCATAAAGCAAGAGTATTATACCGAACATCGATCGACCGCGAGAAAGAATCCTGCCGAGACCAACCAATAAGAATTAAGCTACGAGCACCTTGAAGGGGCAACGAACGAGCGAACGGGCACCACATAGTGCGACGGCGATCGAACGAGCGGTCTATAAGGGATAATGGGGATATAAATTGGATGCAAGAGAGAGTGGGCAAGAAGGCCGATAAACCATGACCAACTCAGCGACCGACCGACCGACCGACCGAACGGCCGTTAGAGAGAATGCTGTTAAGATCGGCCGATACGTATTGAGATATAAGCACCTCGAAGGGGCAACGAACGAACGAACGGGTACCACATGGTACAACGGCGATCGGACGAGCGGTTTATAAGGGATAATGGGGATATAAATTGGATACGAGAAAGAATGGGCAAGAAGGCCGATAAGACTACATGATCGACTTAATCAACTATGACGGAACCAACGAACCATGAGAAGAGAATCCTGCCGAGACCATCCTATAAGAATTGAGATACGAGCACCTCGAAGGGGCAACGAACGAGCGAACGGGCACCACATGGTGCGACGGCGATCGAACGAGCGGTCTATAAGGGATAATGGGGATATAAATTGGGCAAGGCAGGAAAGGGCTGAGCAAGAGAGCCCGATAAACTGTGGCCGACTCGTCGACCGACCGACTGTTAGAGAGAATGCTGTTAAGATCGACCGATCAGCATCGAGCAAGCAAGCGCCTCACGGGGCAACGGACGAGCGGACGAGCGATTCATGACTGATAATACAACATGACGAACCGATCGTGATGAAAGTAACGCGACAAAATACAATCGAACGAGCTGTCGGTCGGCCCGATCTTTGTTAGAGCAAGAGAGCGACAAAAATATGCTACGAATAGCCGGCCGGTCGAGATATATTGCATGTATACATATGTATGCATATGGCAACGGAAATGTTCGATGGAGTGAACAAGAATGAACACCATGTAAGCGAGAACAGGGACAGATGAATATGAACTTCGATACTGACAAAAATAGTCCGTATCCAAGTGAAAGACGTCAACGAAAATATTCATCCGAGCGCACAAGGAACACGAGAACTTGAACAGGCAAAAGAAAGCCGCATAGCCGACTGGCGAACATATCCGATGTTGTGAACGAAAACGGAACAATCGTTTACAAGGGAGACAAGGACTTTGTTTATTTGATGTGCAAAACCAAAGGTAAGTCTTCAATTCTTCTTGGACCTTGTGGGCGGCGAAAGAAATTCTTCTTCTACGCTGAATAGATGACATCATTTCATTGTCTATGACTTTGACTAATGATGTGCTATTTTTGTAGCTTTTCAACACCTTCCGAATCCGCTGTGCATATAGAACCATCCTCTAGAGTCGATGGAAGACTCTATTGAAGAAGTGGCGGTGACGCTCTTCTTATACCAATACCGGTAAACGAGTCGGGAATGTGTTTGCTGCGGTGGCTGCATGAATCAATGGCGCTGTGTCTCTAGATCAAACGTACAAAGCAATGATCTCTGCCTTGATTTGGGGCAAATTGAACTTCGAAATTTCCGACTGGGTAACCACCAAAGCAGCCAAATCGTACAGAGTTGAGCATGAGTTCATATCAGGCATGCGCGCACCCCCGCTTAGAAGTCAACGGCTCTTCCGCTCAAGCTACTCCGGTAAGTCAAGTCTTTTTCTTTACCTCCACATGCCTTTTTCCTTGGCTAGGGAAAGACGATAGATTCCCTCAATTCCTAAAGAAGCAAGTTTTCATCATGGATAAAATTACATTACCTCCAATATTTGATTGCTCATTATGCCGTGGGCCTATCACAGGTATTCTTGTTGGCCATAGCCTAATGAATTCGAGCAGGTTTTTGTCAACTTCTTTTTCTAATTACACCCCCGTCAGAGTTATGCATGATCTGTTTATTCAAACCCTCGCCTTTCTATCCTCCTTGATGATATCTGCAGCCCTCTCTGCAGCAACGTAGACCATGGTCTGAATATTTCCCGCAGTCTGAAGAGGAAAAACGCTGGCATCGACCACTCTCAGTCCTTTGGTACCGTATACTCTCAATCTGCTGTCTACAACACCACCTCTCTCCCTTGGCTTCATGGCTAAGCTACACGCGGGGTGGAAACAGCAAACTTGGCATTGACGAACAACCTCTCTGGCATCCTCCAAAGTATCACCCTTGACCTGCGGGATGCGAGCGCCATCAGGCTTGAAGATATCTCCAAAGGGAGATGTACGGAGAAGCATTTCCACAAATTGGACATGTCGTGCAGAGATTTCTAGATCCAACGGATTGGAGTTGAATTTAGGATCCCAAATAGGAAGCTTGTCAACATCATCACTGGTAATATGGATGCTGCCACGGGAAAGGGGATGGTTCAGCATTGACATGACTGTCAGATAATTCTCCGGGCTTGTTGGCAAGAGGTAATCCGCCATACTAGGCGGGTCATGCATGTCGGTGTGTGTCTGTGAAGGGAAGAAGAAATACTGGACGCTTGGTTCGTCTGATTCTTCGAGGAGCTTGCGAATCACTTGCCCATCCTGGGTCTGCACATGCTCGTCATACGAGGCAAACAGGGTCTTCTTGGTGTCTTGAGAATAAACACCCTCTCCACTAGCAAGGGGCACATATGCAACGCTAATATTGGACTGGCCTAAGGGGCCCTTGCCGCCGTCCTGGTATTGCTGTACAAGAGCGTTGAGTACGTTGGGATCCCGGAGCACGTCTCCCGAAGGAACCCCAGAATTGACCTCGAATGACTGGCATGTAATGGGATGATCTTGCAGATTCTCTCCGACATTTGGATTGTCGACTATGACTGGAATATCCAGACTCTCAAGGAGTGACCTGCTGCCAATGCCAGAGAGTTCGAGGATCTGGGGTGACATAAGAGCTCCCGCAGCTAGGATGATCTCGCCACCACTCAACGTCTTATCACTGCCATCTTTTGATCGGACAAGCACACCAACCGCAACAGGCTCGGCTTTGGAAGTGTCGAAAATAATCCTCTTGACGGTCGTCTCCGTGATGACTGTCAAGTTTGGTCTGCTCGCAATCTCGGGAGTATAATGCGCGCTGGCAGCATGACTCCGTGTTTTAGTGGCGGGATCAATACTGCCGCCTTGCTGAAACGCTCCCAAGCCCTTCCCGGTTCGCGGGTCTGTTTTCATCTCCAATCCAAGTTTGGCAAAGGTCTCCATCCAGGCCGCATTTGACTCGCTGTAGCCTTCGCTATAGGAAACCTGAACGGGCCCATTGCCAACAAGCGAATCGTCGTGATATTTGAGGCCAAGAGTGTCTTTGGCAGCTTGAGGAGGGGGGTGGACCGTCGCAAACTTGCGCAAGTACGGCGAGAGGGATTCATAGTCCCAGCCCTTATTTCCCAAGGCACCCCAAGCATCCAGACTGCCTCTGGGAGGAAATAAGAGCATCATGAAATTAATCGCAGATGTTCCTCCCAGTTGCTTGCCACGAGCCTGGCTGATGATACGATTGTTGAGTCCCGGCTAGTGCTTGGTGTTAGACAAGACCAGACGACTGTCGTCCCATACAGGAGCTACTCACCTGAGGCGTTGAGCTGAAGTTCCAATCATATTCCGGTTTACCATACATTCCAACAACAAGTCCTGGGACCTGAACCAGGGCATCATTCGTGCGATCTTGCCCCGCCTCAATCACTAGGACCTTGACATCTGCATCTTCAGTCAAGCGATTTGCAACTGTCAAGCCCGCCGTGCCGCCACCCACGATAATATAATCGAAGAAATCTATAACGGAGCCCATGATTGCTTATGAATGATGAGCGCCCGCAAGACGATACTACAGGTTCTGCACCGCGGTTCAGAAAGAACCTCTGAGGTCGCTTCTTACAAATATGATGAAGTCGAATACCAGCGAGATCAAACTGGGCATCTCTCGCCATTTAATATCTACGTGCTTATGCCAAGGCCTTTCTTCAAACCTTTGCCAACGAGCTCTGCATCAATGAGGGAATTTCCTCGCATCACCCTCGTCAACCTCTGTGGAGATGTTGGGCATATACGAGGATTTGCGAAATCGTCAACGGAAGAATACTCCATCGAAATCCTTTGAGAAAGTTAGCGTATAACATGTGGTTGCACCCAACAAGGAGTTGCGGCAGCAATCGATTTTAATGAGGTTACATTCCGCATCTTTACGTCCCTATGGCCTGCTGTGTCACTCAGTCGAGCGTTGGTTGTGGGTTTTGTTAGTTTTGTTGCTTCCAATGACAGCTGGTTTTCCCAGATAGGTCCTAGTCCAACTTCCCTTCGAGGTCTCCGGTTAGAGTCGTGTTCGGGGTACCCGTGGAGTCAGCTTCGAGACCAAAGGCCCCCTTGTACTCCAAGCATTATACACCGCGTACCGCTGTCATTTTACTCCAAAAGATCAGGGCGTCGGTAGCCAACTGCCGATTATCCACACCGCCGACCGGGTTGTGGATCCTTCGCGGCGTTCATTACCAACTCTTCATGTACGGAGTATGAGATGCTGTGCTCGGCCAACAACCGGATGCTTTGTGACGCCATGGATTCAGTTTTGTTTCTCCGATCCTACAGAGTGCACAATGCATGGTGATATGTTGGTCAGAAGTAGCAGCCACAGCAAATATGAAGAACGATGACAATATGACACTGCAAGCGATACCAATTCCGGTTGACCCGATGGTCAAAGACGCACCTCATTATTTACTGTGTCCCCGTCTCATCGCCATTTTCACAGTCGGCCGTCAACTTTTTGCACGCTTTGCGGCCTGTGCAAAACTTTGTTAGGATGATTATTTGATCTTCTTGTCGATACTTCGGAGCATTGGCACGCTGATTATCCGAGACTTTGCATGCCTCTTCCCAGACAAAAATGAATTCGAGTCTCGATTCGCCAAGACGGCCATGCCATTCTTATGCTTCCTTTGCACACTTCATGGAAGTTAAACATGAAGAGGCAAATTAAGATCTCCCTGACAGCAATTTTCTTGACTGGTCTGTTAAAGGCTCTTCGAGAAATCCTGAGCGTTTCTGTTCTTCTTTTCCGAAATGATCTCGAAATTTAAAGATGATATAACAAAATTTCTTCGATTACGATCTCTCGCATCATCACTTTGACAAACTTGAAAGGCAAAGTTCACGGGCACTATAGTGTGGGCTGACTTTCTTTTGAAGGTCGAGGTCAGTCTTGGTATCATCTGTGTGCCACTGCTGAGGCGGGCTCCCCTTGTCGCAAACACCATGAACCCGAGGGTCAAGCAAGCTGAGAAAGTAGGCCAGTCCGAACAAGCTGGACAATCAGGTTTCAAACTTTCTAGCAGGAAGAAACGCCAGGCCCATGATACTATCGCCCTAGAATCAATTTACGACCATGACACAGAAATGAACAATGTCGCAGCTGTGTTTGTAATGCAGGCATCAAGCCCGGATGGAAGCGAGACAAATCCTAATCCTCTAGCACGAGTCCTCTGCGCTGGGGACGCTCCGGGATTGCCATCGAAAGCATGTAGGGATTCATCCTTTATGATATTGATGTTCCTACCTCTTCATTCGAATTTATGTTGCTCTGAAGGTGATTCGAAGAACAAACGCTGGTTGAGTGGACGACTCTCGGCTTTGGTGACGAAGACTTAGCTTGGTTAAGCAGATCACCGGGACGCTTCGGATCAGTGGTAATGAGCAACCATGGGATCGTGCATTGCTAGCAACAGAGCATTCATGGTCCGTTTCTGGAATACGATGAAAGAGGTGGTAATCTCAAAGAGGGACAAGAATTCGACGAATTTCACCTTTCGAAGTGCAGGGAGATTGTGGAGAAAGTAAAAAGCTCGAAGAAATAACTTGCCGCCGCCGGTGAAATTATCAACCTCCGTGGGGATTGTTACCATATTCTAACAGGCCGTCAAGTACTCAAGCCTCATGATTTTCTCTCTTTCAAGTCTTCTTTCGGCTAGTCGATGCTGTTGACAAAGCCTCGTCGAGAGGCATCTCGAGCAGATCTGCTATCCCCTTTTTCGCAAGTATAAGCGTCCCTCCGTCGCAATTCTTGTATTAGGAGACACGGAGAACATGGAGAAACACCCTATTGCTGAATTCGTCGACGTAAAGCTAACCGGCTGACGTTGCACTTTTGTTTGGTTTGATCAAAGACTTGGCCGGAATGCTTGCTTGCCTAGCGTGGGGGAAAATGAAGGTTTGGTACCCCTTTGGGACGGGAAGCATGCGACCAAATTCCCGATTGGCAACAATGAGATCGAGTTAGATCGAAAAGTGAAAAATCCCAGCACACATTCCAGGGCTTCTTTCCCACGTGAAGCAAACGCCATTTGACGCCCCGTGCTACTTATATTCCGAGCAGAAGCCCGAATGCCGAGACAAGAGCTATCAGAATTGTCGTTCATGATAACCCGCAGTGCTACTCGTGAGTGGATGCTCATCGAACTCTGTGAGCTATTTCAAAGGAGGGCAAGCCCTTGACACTCCACACACGACGATCCAGCTACCCTAATGACCCGGTTCAACCAGGACTGATCGACAACTGATACTTGGATTTGATCAATTGTTGTCTCCCTGACATTCTTTCAGCTAATGGAGCTCGCGTATAACAAGCAACAGACGACCCAGCGTAGCTGCGTATAGTGATGCCGTGTACAACAGCATTCGGCCTCATAACTGGAATGTGTGCACATAGGGCCGCAAGGCCATGCATTCCCCTTTGTGGCGGCTTATACGGAGCAGTGTATGACTGCACAAGGACAATCTAGGACGGCCAACTCAGTCCTTGCAGGATCATCTCCACATGGCCGACTCTTCCGCCTTCTGAAAAGTTCAGCTTTGTTATTCGACTAATTGAACCAGGCTTCTTCCTCAGCTTTGGCTAGACAGGGGATTCGGCGGCCCATTCGGCTGTCCTTTGAGCACCAACGGATTGATTTCCTCTTTCACAGCGCGAGCTCGGAAGAGAAATGCAAAGGCGACATAGAACTGGAGTAGGGGTCCTGAGCCGTGTATTGCCGGCTAGTAAGACACTCGGCAACCATTTGTTCTAATGAGACGACTCTAGGACTTCATGGCGGCTCGAGAGTAGTAACATTGCCTTCATGCACGCGCCCAAATGCGCCGTCGTGATTGGAGCACAGCAGGAAAAAGAAAAGAAAGACATCATCCTCTCTAGCAGAAGTCTCAGTTGGCTAGTCGGTAGTCAAGGTGTGACTGTCGATTATGACAAAAGCGACCCGTTCTGAATTCTGACAGCTTCCTGGCGACCCGCGTTGTTACCCATGCAGAGGGAGCATCCTAATGGCGGTTTCCCATATATTTTTGATATCCAGGATTCGAACGGGCTGTGGGCACTACCAACCGCGTTATGCTGCCAAGCTGCGCTTAAGCCTCTGCCATTCATCCCTTGCATACACTATTGAAAGCTCAGAGTTTTACAGCACTCCTAGTGCTCTTTCAAAGGGGATGTTGGAGTCTCATCTCGCAATGCCGGGTCAGCAGATGAAGCTATTGGCTGGCAGCTGCGATGTCCACACAGGACTAGACTGTGGCTCTAGCCAAGACATCTCCTGAGTTTTGTCGCGGATAGATCAAGCCCACAAAGCCACGTCCGGCTTTCCATCACACCCTCGCAGGACTACTGAGACGAGCCACAGCCTCGGAGCCCTTTGTGGGGCCAGAATATGATCAGCTGCAAACCAGAGGCGATAAAGCATCCGAGTCGAGCAAAATTATGGGGAGACGATAAGTCATAGGGGACATGCTCTGCCCCAATGCAATTGGTGGACGCATTAGCTGAAAGCCGAATACAGAAAAATGTGAAAAAATACAGAAAAAAGCTGCAGCTGATTCCAGAAAGAGGAAAGGCGAATCGATGGACAATTCCAGGATGATACTGGCGTTGACTGGATCTGTAACCGAGCACATCCCGTGTACAATTGTATTTCTTCGCATTTGTACGAAACGACAATAGAACATAACCATGGGCCATGGCCACAGTTATGCAAGAGGTTGACACAAGCATTGGCTGGGTTTTGGCGAGACAGTCAGCCACGGGTGCTTTTACGGCCCCCATCACTTGACTCAGCTGGAAACTGTCAAATTGTTAGGTCTGGAGGCTCAGCACAATCACGGTACGTTTGTTTGGGCGATACCCATGTCAGTTTGGCTGGGGTTACCAGATGCGGTCGATCTCCCGGTTGGCGTCGCATGTATTATTCGGGGAGCACTGCAGCTGCGTCGATTCAGATCAACGCTCGTACTGCCTCTGCCCCTTTTCCTTCTTCCTTCAGGTGCCAAATCAGAGACAAACGTCAGCCATTTCAACGGCAGGCGAGTATTCCTGGTGGCGGGAGATGCCACGAACAGCAACCTCTATCGCCTTCCCTTGCTGCTGGCGTCTCTGTTTAGCGCGCATTGTGGCTGATGCAAGGGAGAACTTGTCTGTCAAGTGCTACGAACGTCGGAGTGGTTTCACGGCCCATCTTGCGAGAACACGAGAGAGCCAGGATTAGCCGGCTCTAGCTCTTACAAGCGATCGAGCTAACACTAGAAGGCAACAAGAGTAGCATCCATGCACGGGGAGCTGCATCCAAGCACCAAAGCACCTCTAGTGAGTTCTGGTGCTGCAGTTGTGAGTGGCTCTTTCGAAATAGGAGGGTGAAATTCCGCCTCTGATTGGCATACCAAGCTCTTCCTCAACACCACGACGGTTGAGATTGTGTTCTAACAAAGACACGGCGTTCTGAGGCACTGTATCCGATTCGCTCACTTGTGTGATCACAAAACAGGGCTGGAGACGCTAGATGCTCGACAAATTCTCACACAGCAACGATGTTGTCATTAACGTGCTGATCATCGTAGCTTGGGCCGCAGTCGGGACGCCAGGATGTAATATGAAAAAGAAGATCAGTGAAAGAATGTCTCCTCAAATGTGAGACTAAGACACATGCATGTCCTTGCTACCTGAGGTCGCGGTTGGTCCTGGTAGAATTTGTCAAAGGCAAACATGAAAATCTCGGATCAAGTCGTCATGTTGCAGAATGCAATCAGTGCTAATTCTTCTTCCCTGCGTAACAATTTCATGCGAGGTTGTCTCCGTTCCAGTTTTTTGCTGCGTTGCGCTTTGGTAAGGAAAATCGATAGCTTCGATTTTTCTTCTCTCTTTCCTTTTTCTCTGCTTCATCCACCCTCCTGATGGCGCAGCTGAACTTGGCCTTCTCCTCTGGTGTTACTGTAAACGGAGCACCATCCGCGAGTTGGTTTGGGCAGCGAAGAGACTAGCACGGTGGCGCATTGATGCTTGTCATGGCCAACCGAGTCTCGGCCCTAAAAGCACGGGAGAGATGGAGCAACGCATCACGCGTGCCGTGGCCCGCTCAGAAACAGACTGGGGAAGGATGGTATCAAGGTTCGACCGTGCTGATCCAAGTGCGGCGCCAGCCTTCGGCCGAGTTTGGTTTGGTGGAACCATTGATCTCTAGATGTGCCGGCGATCTCAGCGCTCAACCATTTAGCCTTGCCATCGGCGTCTATCAGCCAATCCTTTCAACCCACTCATCGGCCACGCAAGCATGCTATCGGCGTCCATCTCGTGCCTGGCTAGCTAGTCTAAGCCCGAGCTTCAAACCAAGACGCTTTCATGGGATGTGGGTGGCAGCTGGTTCCATCGAGTTTGTAAGCCAGCCTCTCCGTCCTGCTGAGCCGCTGCCTTTTTTTTCACCCGCTCTGGCTGCCGGGCTATCTGATGCAGGTCTCATTATTCAATTTTGTCGGGTGGAGAGGAAGCCGAATTTACGCTGTCACTGTTCTGGCCAGGGTTTGGACAGGGGATTGCCTTCCTTGCATAAGCCTCCTCTGAGCTGCAAAACACAAGCGGGCGTGAAGCAGCAATCATATGCTTCCGATAGCTCGCCTCTTTTATCTGAATTTTCCGGGGACATTCAGTTCATACGCGCGGGCACATGGGTGTCTCTCAGGTCCTTGATCGAGTCGTATAAGTATTCGACAGACCACTTCTCATTCGTTTTTTATCTGTTTCTCCAAAGCCGAACCAACAGACATTCACCATGGCACTTCTTTCTGTCTTATATCGACGACCTAAGAAGGTCGACCCTGAAACCTATCGTCAGCGCCGAGAAGCTTTGGAAGAAGCTGCTGAGGCATCCGTTAAGTCGGGAGTTTCTGGCGTATCGGCTGGCATTCCAGATGCTTTGAGTTTTGATAGAATCATCAATGGCGGCACCTGTCCTGTAAGGCAACCTGATCTTTCTTTCCCGTATTGTCTGTCTCTAACGTTTTGTTGAAGCCCATGGCTATCCGCGATTTCATGAATTACCTCGTCTATGTTGAGCACGGAGCCGAAAACCTCCAGTTCTATCTTTGGTTCAAGAACTACGAGAAACGCTTCGCCGAGGCCAAGACCAGCGACATTGCCCTGGCTCCTGAGTGGACTCAGGCCATGGAGGACGAAGTTGTTGCCAAAGCTCGAAAGGAACATTTCGAAAAAATGAAGCGAGAGCCTGCAACCGCAGCCGCCATCTTCAATGGGACCGATTTTGAGAAGCATTCCGACAAGAAGGCCAACCCATTCAACACTCCCCCTAGATCTCCAAACGGTGTCCCGGATCAGGACGGGCTGACGACATGGGAGTCTATGACGTGTGGTGGCACCTCCAACGCCAGTTCGCGTACACAAGCTGCAGAAGCTTTCCTTTCGGCTGGTGCTAAACTTCCATGTAAGTCACAAGAGACAAACACTCCGCATATGAGATGAAGGGGTTTTCGCTAATCATCACTGCCGTTCTTGCAGTCAGCATTCAGCCCTTCCATCAGGAGGTCAATCGCATAATAACAAGCTACATCATGGACGGCGCTCCACGGCAACTTAACTTGGCTGCATGGGAGCAGAAAGCAACCGTTCAAGCGCTCTCTTATACGTCGCATCCGTCAGCCTTTCGAATTCTCTTCAAAAGTGTTGACTCGGCACTTCGACTCCAGTCACACCCCAACTTTATTCGGTGGTCCATCTGCAACGGCAATCTCCCTCGTGTCTGGTTCGCTCGCTTCCTTGGTGTCGCTCTCATCCTAATAGGATTTGCCGTTGCCATCGTTCTCACTCTGAGCAAGGCAGGACGCGGCTACCGAGTCCTTCCGCTCATTGCCTGGGCTTTGGGAATGAGCACATTGGTAGCCGCCTACAAGGGCATGTGTGTTGTTTTGCACGGTTTGCACCACCGCCATGTCCGCCCGTGGGAGCTTTTCACCCAGGATGACGGAGAGGAATTCGGCATGTGCACTATGGAATCATTTGGCTCCAACAATAGCTATGAGGATGAGCCATGGGTAGTCAAGTATCAAGAACGGAACATTGTCCGTAAAATCTTTGACCGCGAGATATGGATCCAGGAACCTGCTCTGAGGCAAATCCAAGATACCATCTTCCTCCAAGCACTGCTTGCCGGCTTGTTTTTCGGTCTCATTTTCATGGCAGTTTTTCTTGCCGTGCCAGGAGGCCACTTCTTTTAGAAATGTGCCACATGATATCAACAAAAACATAAACTGTAACAGTTTAGATTGTGACCTGTCTCTTTGTCTGTCTCTCTGTCTTGTTTGCCTGTCTGTCACAGGCATCTGTCCTCCATAAATAGAAATGAACGCCTTTCAATGAGAATGTGATTGAACTCCGACGCCGCTACCTGCCACTCATTGCTGTTGTTGTGAAACCATGTTTGTTGATAAAGCTGTGCCGAGTCATTATACTTCTCTTTTTTTTTTTTCCCGTGATACATCGTACATCGTACATGTTAATGTGAGCGCCGTGTGAGAAAAGGAAAAAGAAATGAAAACAGACGAAGGAGAAAAAAAGCAACAAATCAAAGGCGCATATCTTTATGCCAGAAGTTGACCCGAGCCTCTTATTTTTTCCAACTCCATCATGAATAAGTATGGCAATGCCCTCACAGCATCATTGTCATAATCAATCATTGCGTCAGTCATGATAAAATCGCTCATTTCTAGGTAAGCGTCTCTGAAGCACGCCCAGAGGTTTCTCAAGGCTTGGATGTTTATGAACCGTGGCCAGAACGGCTCATTCTCCATCACTGCATCTACAAGTTGCGTGACGACTGCCTCGGGGGTTTTGGGAAAAGTTGCGCAATCGGCAAAGTCGATCAGCCAGAACTGTACGTGGCCCCGGGTGTCTCTCCCAAGGACAAATTCAACGCCTCGGGCATCGACGCCGCAGCTCCAGTGAAGTATTGCGAGCGTCGCACCCATAGAGGCTGCAAGATACGATACTTCGACCCGCTCTGCAAGCAGGTGGTCCAAATAAGCTGGACGGTCATGCATGTCAGTATTCCATGGATCGGACAGTGGTTTGGTGTCTCCCAGGTAGACCTTTGCGAGGAAGTGTTTGGATTGGCAGGTGCTGAGAGCTTGGCCCTGGGCGCTACGGGTCAAGTATCGCCTGATGAGATACTTGGTATGGTGTTCATTCAAAGGGCGAATGTACTCCATGAAATATCCGCTCGCGTCTTCAGGAAAGCCGTTCAAATGCTTAAACGTCTCGGAGCACGGTGAGGATGAGATGTTGGGATAGAAACTTGAGCACTCAGGCACAAACGGAAGATCAATGTCGAAGCCATGCATGGTCAAATGTTTAGACATTGCCTTGAATGTTGCATCAACATTGGAGTGAACTTTGTACTCTCTAAATATCCTCTTTGTGTTCCTCGACATCTTGGTAACGCGAAATGGTGGCATGTTGGCAACATAGATCCATGCCTTGTCTGTCTGAGCCAGAAGATGAGCCTGTAGCGGATGTCTTAGCATGCTAGAAAAGAGAAGGAGTTTGGGGGGGCAAATGCTAAGGCCGTGCAGAGATTCGAAATAAGACTGACATGAGCCCAGAATGCAGCAATAGTAGAGCAGAGGCATCTTGACATGGGAGTCGTCCTCCTGGTCTTGGGTTTCTTGTCGACCGGGGGCGGTGACGGTGAGAACATGATGTCTCTTATGAGATCCATCGTAGGCAACGTAAATAGCAACACTTGAGCGGCTAGAGGTTTGAGGAATCCAGCTGGTGCCGTAACGGAGGTGTGCCACAGGGGAAAAAGAGCCCTGGAGGCGGATTTAATGGACGCCTCCTGGAAACGGTTCAACATTGGAGACGGCGGCCATGGCTAATATACCGACACTGCCGTGCAGCCAACGCCATTTTCGCATCATCACAGCCCTATCGCTCCAAGACCAGTTAGTGTTAGCTTGGAGTCTCGATATGCAAGGCGTCTTTCTTACTTGAAAACCCACCCAAAGAGGGGACGAAGTTGCTTCTATCGATGATGAGGGGAAGCGGCTCGCCCGGGCTGCCCTGGTCAATGGGTTGGCCAGGTGGATCACGGGGAGGAAAGGTAGATATATGAAGCAGCCTTCTTGTTGTCGATTGGCTTTTAGTCTGTTTGTAATAGCGTCTGGTGTTGAGTGGCCGGATGAAGGAACGATTGTCCGTACGCTTGCACAGGCGTTTATCATGCTGATTGTGGAGCTGGGCGATCAATCTGCACCAATCCCTTGGGAGCGATAAGATGACCGAAAAGCTTCTCTCCCTCTCCAGGCGGGCAACTCCCAGCTACGGAAGAGCTGGACTTCATGGGAGATCCTTGATCAAGAGAAAGATGATTAACGAGGCAGCAGTCGACAGGGGACGGCACTTGTCTAGGCCAGTCATTGGTGGGGTTGGTGGTGATTTTAGCATGCTGTGGTACAGTAGCGCAGTGGAGAGGGGGGGCCTGGATTGATTTTGGGTAGCGTCAACACAAATGAAGGGAGCAACTTTGAATTGAATCGAGTGAGAAGATGGAAGACGAGGAAGAAGAAGAGACAAAAAAAAGTATGCAATGTGGTGCTGAGAGCCACGCATCTCGTACTCGTACTTGCTCCAAGCGAAGGAAGTCGTGCATCATCGCATGATTGGACAACAAAGCGAAACGAGTTCGGTGAGGTAGGTGGGAGGCAGCGATGAGGAAGGAGCTCAGCCCAGCAGAGTGAGGGGTACCTGCAACGCCAGAAAGCTTGAGTATGGGCTGTTAGTACCAATAACTTAGAAACACAATGACCCGAGTGAGAAAGGAAGAAAAGGTTGGGTTAGCCTGGTTCGCCTGGCCATCTCGTAAAGCATCGATTTTTGATTTTTTTTTTTTTTTTTTTTTTTGATTTTTTTGGTTTTTTTTTTCATTCCCAGGTGCCGTTAACCCGACTGTAGCCTCCATAATGGCCGCCAAAGGAGACGCTCGTTTGAACTAAGCTTTGGCGAGATGAAAAGCCTGGCAAAGCTTTTCGCGCCATGATGCCTGCGACTCGAAATATTTCGTCTCGCTCACATCACTTTCATTATCGTTGTTTTCGAAAGGGTGTCAAGAACAGATTCGACTACCCAATGTTGCACGTTGATACGTCAACTCAAATCCTGCGTAAGGCACACTGGCGGCATTGGTCTGTCATAGCAAACACGCCGTCGTCGTGCCGTGTGGCGGACGGGATAACAATAGAGGCCCAAATGACATTCTTGCCCCTCTACTTTGCTTTTCGTGGTCTAGAAGCTGGTCTCAACCTCGTGCCATCTCACAGCCCTAGACATCGCTCTCTCGTGCCGCACCACGAGGTTGCTCAGCTGGATTGGCCAACGTTGTGCTCACTCGATGGCCTACATGTTGATGAGCCGGCGTCGCTAAGCGGACGGAGCCGATTGGTGAGGTCGCATAGCGTCCTTGTTGGTTGCTTGCAGGAGGCGGCGTGCTTGCTAGCGACTTTGGAAAGCCACCATGCAGTCGAAGCGAACATGCATGAGGAGGTCGCTGAAGATTGGAACACAAGAAATTAGCCGGAGAAGTTGAGCTTGTGATCACTTTGGAGCATGGCCTTTATTGGTTTCTGTGGTATCTCATTTCTTTGGTGGCTTGGGATGTATGGAGATGGCGATTCAATGACTTGAGAATGTGTAAATGCTCTTCCGTGTGCGATCCGTTTGAAATATCCACTTTTCTCCGTCGGCCGCAATCATGTCTGCCCTGATTCCGGAACAAAGTACCGGTGAGCGCTTGTGCTTATTCTTGGGAACATGTTCATATCTCGGGCACTCATTGTACGCCCGGCTGTTGGAGACGAGGCCACCGGGAGATTGGGGACAGCTAGCAGACTTGTGGGTCGTCTCCTGTTGCCCTTGGAAGGAGTTTGCTTTGGCTGTCAAATATGGAAAACATCCGAATGTGAGATCGCTGAGCATAAAGATTCCACTGTAAGTTGCTTTGTTTCAATGCCAAATCGGGCACCACGCACAGGAACGGCATCTATTGCCGGCTGTCATGTGTGAAGGTGGTGCCTCATATCCAACGCCGTGGTATTGGTGAGTACACAGACACACGATCCCAAATACGTGATAGGATCCCGCGGATTCAATTGAAAAGTTGAGCACGTGGTTTGAAGCTGATTTCTCTCATGTTCCCGTCATTAGGATGGCGCAATACAGCCAATGATGACGCAGAGATAAGGTCCTCAGAGCGCTTCCAACGCCAGGTCTGGGAGGAGCACACAAACCCGACTCCAAGCGGCAAGCCTGAATGCCAATGGATGGGTGCGAGCTTGAGTCGGCACGCACATGACCCAGGAGCGGCAAAGAAAATCACAATTGGCTTCACAACGGCTAACGGCCGAACGCGGGGTTCAGCAGGATGGACCAGTCGCCAGATCAACTCCCCAAATCTAGAACTCGGTGAGGGGAAATCGAAAGACATCGTCGGAGGGCTCCATATATCGGAGCTCCGCTTTTCCGGTCCCAATCGGAGATGGCTGACAGATTCGGGGGAGCAAGCCGTCCGTCCGATGAGGTTGATGATATTGGTGTTGATGTTGATGTTGATAAAGAGGTTGCAGCAGCCTTGCGTGTTTTCTCTCTCTGTTGGGACGATGAACATGAGATGATGAACATGAGGTGGCGCTTAGTGGAATCATTCAGCATCATGTACAGGAAGCCGGCAGATCCTTAGACCTGGAACGGACATCTCCGGGCAACGGGTATAAGCACATCAATTGGTCGCCTTGTTCAGTCGCTATCCATCTCTTTTGGCGATCAGAGGGGGAAAATGAACACGGCGCAGTGCTCTCGATGCTGACTGCTAGATTTGTAGTAAAAGGCTGGACCAATCCGTAATCGTATGTGCGATGAGATAGAATGATGCTGCGCGAAGGAACTGCGCGTAATACCTGAAGACTATTTTTTTTTCTCCTTCCCTCACGCTGCATGCATTGTTGAGTGCATACATGTATCCTTGGCAGGCATGCTCGGCCCAATCACGTCCAAGGGAGGAAGCGAGACAGCGACGTCATCCTTAAGCATATGCAGGCAGCCTGTCAGTTTTTCTTGCCTCGCCTTTTTTTGGCGTTCCGCTCATCAAATGATAATGACAGCAAGAGGCATGTAATCAGCCGGGGCAAAGGAGAGGGCCAAAGCGGGCATTTCGCCGGTGGGCCGAGCTGCCTCGGTCAGCGGCGGGTCGGACGGCTGTTGCGAGTTTTGTATGGAGTAAGCGCAGGCACTCGTAATAATACCTGATGTCCGTTCCTGGAGATGCGGACTTTGGCTGATAAAAGCGCTGTATCGATAAGCTACCCCAGGTATCTCATCCCATCTTTAGCGAGCCTTAGCGCTGAGAAGGTGCTGGAAAGCCAGTGAAAAAACAGGGGCCCTCTCCGCGCCTTTTGACGTCCAATGCGACAGCCCGAGTACGAATACTTGTACCACAGCATTGCTCGGGTATAATGACCAAAGTGGCAGCAATCGTAGCCGTAATAGGTAGGACTCGGTAGTACAAGCAGGCGCTGTGCTCCGTATTTTCTGGGGTTTGTTGGGGCGCATGAGCGGTAATCTAGAGGTAAGGCTTGCCCTGGCCAAATCAACTGCTTGCGGCGTACCAGTTTGTGCGGCGTAGATTCAGTACTTTGAGCGTCGGGATTTCCCTAAAGCAACGACTCGGGATTTCCCTAAAGCTAAAGCAACGACTCGGCCGTCATCATTTATCTTCGTCTTTCTGTCTTCTCTCTGTCAGATTCTTCACCTCTCCATATCGCACAGAAAAGAGGAAGAAAGAGACATCGACAATGACGCCCTTCGTTGCGACCGAGGAACCCGCCTCGGCAGCCCCGCCAAACCACAATCACAATTACCAGCTGCAGCGACAGCGGCATGGCGAGCACGAGGCCGACGACGACGAGCAGAAGCGCATAGCCAAGCGGCCGCGGACCATGACATCGACGGAAGAAATCGACAACACCATCACACACCCCGGAAGCGTCAAGATCAATGTCACGGGCGCCTTCATTGTCGACCCGGACGCTGCAACGCCTGCGCAGAGCGGCAGCGACAACGGCAGAGTCAGTCCGTCGCATCACGAGACAAGCGACATCCGGCTGCCAAACCACACGGCTGTAGTCAGCCATATCGCAGTAGATGTAGGTGCATGGATTTATTGTTTTGTTGTTGATTGGCCATTGCGTCGTATCTGAAAAACCTTGTCTGACCAATGCTGTGTTGTATTAGATTGGCGGTTCTCTTGTCAAGCTCGTCTACTTTTCTCGCGAAGTAGATTCCACAGACCCCGGCGGTCGCCTCAACTTCCAATACTTCGAGACGGATCGCATTGATGACTGCATTGAATTTATGAAGCTGCTGCGCGACAAGCACAAGGCGCTTAATGGGTCGCGGTCGCAAGAGCTGTGCGTCATGGCCACTGGAGGTGGCGCATATAAGTTTTACGACATCATCCGAGACGCATTGGAAGTTGAAGTCTTGCGGGAAGATGAGATGGAGTGCCTAATAGTTGGTAAGATAAAATAGCCCTGAAAGACGGAGAAAAATAACTGGGAGCTAACCTCGGACACACAGGGCTCGACTTCTTCATCCAGGAGATTCCCCGCGAAGTCTTCACCTACTCCGAAGCAGACCCCATGAACTTTGTCAGCCCTCGAGAGATCATCTACCCGTATCTTCTTGTAAACATCGGCTCTGGCGTTTCAATGCTCAAGGTTACGGGTCCTCGGTCGTTTCAGCGAGTCGGCGGCACTTCCCTCGGCGGCGGCACCCTCTGGGGCCTCCTCTCACTCTTGACCGGGGCACGATCTTTTGATGACATGCTGGCTGAGGCTGAGCACGGTGACAACACCAAGGTGGACATGATGATTGGAGATATATATGGTGCCGATTATGGCAGGATTGGCCTTAAGAGCACTGCCATTGCGTCCTCATTTGGAAAAGTATTCCGCATGAAGCTGCAGGCCGAAGCCGCAGAAGCCGCAGGCAAGTCGGAACAGGATGGCGACCACAGTGACGCGCATGATGATGCTCATGGCGATGCTCATGGTGATGCTCATGGTGATGCTCATGATGCATCCCAAGCCAGTCATTCCTTCTCCTCGGCCGATATATCAAGGTCGCTGTTGTATGCCGTGTCCAATAACATTGGCCAAATCGCCTACTTGCAGTCACAGATCCACAACCTTTCCGACATTTACTTTGGCGGCTCCTTTATCAGAGGCCACCGCCAGACAATGAACACGCTGAGCTACGCCATCAAGTTCTGGAGTAAGGGCGAGAAGCAGGCCTACTTTTTGCGGCACGAAGGCTATCTCGGTGCTGTAGGCGCTTTCCTCAAGAGACAACCAGCAAACTGGGGTCGCAGAGCCAGTCTCGAGGGAATCGAGGACATTCAAGAATGGCGAAAGAGCTTAAAGAAGACAGAGTCAGAGACCAAGCCGTGACCAAGTGATGCTTAGGAGACCAAGCAAGACAATGGGGATCGCAACTTGAACAGTGGCATGTCACATTTTCAGGCGTTCAGGGTATAGAATTTTTGGGTATTCGTATTATTGGGGGCAGTGTTTTCTTGTTCTGTCTTTTTTATTCTCTTCTTCTTCTCTTTTTTTTTCCGTCTTCTTTTTTTTTCGTTTGAATTGCTACAGCCGAACGCTGCGCCTAATATGCATACCGGTGTCGAAGAGGGAAAATTGGGTCAAACTCACAGCCTGTATAAAATTATTATAATTCCATAGGTAGTGGATGTGATAGAATCTGACAAGATTGCGCCAGAGCCGCAATTGGGGATGCAAAAACAACAGAGTCACTATCATTTCGATTCCCGTGCCTGCGCCTGCCTCTGACTGTGCCTGCCTCTGCCTGTGCCTGCCGTAAAAGGAAAGAACTCGTATTCGCATCGTATTCGCATCCCATATCCGCCTCAAACAGAAAAAAAGTTGCTGTTCAGTTTCTCGGTACAAATTGAAGATAAGGCGGCCAACAAAGGCGGCATCGATGTTTATTTTTCCCCATAAATGTCCCGATATCGTACAAGTAATGTCCAAAGCACTCCACAGTGCAACGCAAATCATCGTAAAAAACATAAAGCCGTGTGAGGTGGTAATTGTTACAGATGGATATCAAATACCGCATCTCAGATATCCCAGAGTTTCATCATCTCAAATCAACGGGTGACAATCCGGCAAAGCTGTGCCGTGTCTCTTCCACATCCTGTCCAACAAAGGAGGCCGCCATAACCTTTGATAACATCATGACAGAAGAAAACAAGAGGTCGTGAATGTTGACAAGACCCAGGTCTTCACTTCCCAGCTTCTCCCTTCTTTTTGTCTCCCTCGCCTCCACTCTCGACCGAAGCCTTGTCCATCCCCAGCTTGGCCATCAGGTTGTCCATCATCTGCTCAAATTCCTTCTCATCCTCCGGATTGACCTCACCCCCAGGCCTCTCCATTGCAGCTTTCGTCTTGACCCTCAGCTCCTCCACAGAGCTCAAATCAAACGCCCACGCCAGGCCCCCCGTAAGCAGCACCGCAAAACTGGATACATTGAGCGTTGCCAGTCCTAAAGCCTGGACGCCCAGTATGGCGCCTTCGGAATTGGGGCCCTCTTGGGGTCCTACGCCATTGGACGAGTAGAATTTGGGGAAAGACTCGCGCTGGCGACGGATCACTGAGCGGCGCGACACGCCTACTGAGGCGGCGGTAAAGGCAGCGCCGAGGAAGAAGAGGCTGAACTGCTTGAGGGGGCGATTCCACGAAGCCGAGTATGCATTGATGTCTGGCTGGCGTCGAATTGACTGAGGCTGTGATGCCTCTTGGGGCACGGCTTGTGCGATTTGTGGCGATCCCTGCGACATGGTGGATGTTCTGGCTCAATGGAGCATAATTGAATTGTCTGTATTCCTCCCTCCGAGTGACTCAATTAGGCTGTGTTTGTAGTCTTTTCCCTCCGGTTGCTGATAGTTGTAGAGCGTTCATGAGACGGTGGTCGAGGTTGGTTTTGATAGAAGCAATTTTCGCATCTTAGTGCATATCCAGCGCCCGTATCACTGTAGACGTCACCCAACGAGTTCGGATAACTGCACACTAATGCTTCCACCGACTTGCCCCAAAACGAGTGCTGGATAAACATCCTCATTACTGAATCGAATGCTAGTTGTCGTTTTATCTGCATTTATTCTCGTTAACCTCAGATCCTATTCCAAGTATGTATTTGAGACCAAGAATTTTGAGTATCGTAGCCTTGCGCTGATCGCCTGTTCCAGACCATCCATCAAAAGCCTGCCTAACCAGAATCAACTGAGCCTCACACACGTTCAACATAAAGGCTTCTTCATTTTCCAACTAGATACAACCACAACACATCCTGTGTCAAGAATCCTAACCAAATCCTACTCTATCCCAAATGGCCAAATCCAAATCATCCAAACCCTCCGCAGCACCTCAAGCCGCACCCCCTCCCCCACCATCATGGCCTGCTTTTATGCCACCCCTGCCAGTCGTCGAACTGTATCCAGAGCTTCATCCCGCGACTCCCAACATCGTCCTCTTGTCTTCCTTTTTCCCTCGCTCTCTGTGCCGCGATTACGTCGCTTTTTTAAAGACTCTGCCGCTGCAGACTACTCCTTCGCGGCCCAAGAAGGGGGAAGCAGTCCGCGTCAATGACAGGTTCCAGATTGATGATCCGGCATTTGCACTCAGATTGTGGGAAACTACCGGACTTAAAGAGGTCATTCTGGAGAACGAAACAATTAAAGATCTATGGTACGTCATGACATCCATCCAAGACACAGCCGATGTACTACTGACTGACCATCTTCAACCTCCGCAGGGGCGGCCAGCCTGTAGGCCTCAACCCAAACATTCGCATATACCGCTATTCCAAAGGCCAATACTTTGACTGCCATTGTATGCGTCGCTCCCGTTTGCAACATTCGACTCGTCCCGAAGCCAAGCCAACTAACTTGTCACTTTGCTAGACGACGACTCCAACAACCTGATTCTCGATTCCGTCCCCGTCAAAACTACTTGGACGCTCCTCCTGTACCTCACTTCCTCTGCCGAGGGCTGTATTGGGGGCGAGACTGTTTTTTATCTCCACGATCGCAAGTCTGCGGCCGAAGAAATTGCCGTGTCGCTCGAGACGGGCATGTTGCTGTTGCACAAGCATGGTGATGATTGTCTGCTGGTAAGTCGTGGTTCATCTCTTTTTACTTCCTCGTCTTCTTCCTTATCGTCAGCACCATGCTAAAGAAAATCACGGTAGCACGAGGGACGGGAAGTCCAGGAAGGAGAAAAATGGGTATTGAGAACTGATTTATGTGTGCGTCGGGGATGAAGCGATACGTTTGGGCACGGAAAGACATGGATTCACCAAACCGTGTCTTGGGCATAGGGTTGCTTGCGTTGAGGTGTGATTAGCATGCGTTTGACTAACAGAAGAGAAAGGCGATACCATTGGAAATTGAGATCCTGAGATGCATCCATTATGATTCCTATCTTCTATTCTAACAGCTTCGAACTATGCCACAATAGGGCAGAAGTAGAAATCGCATCTCCAGGCAAGTTGGATAGAGAAGAAGAAAAAAGCTACGTATGAATGGCCTTAAAATTGGTCAAAGCCATCAAAATCCATCATGACAGTCGATTTCGCCGCCTCATTATGCTCCAATCGAACCAATGTATTCTCCTTCGCATCACTCATAGCGTCCTTCTGGGACTTTTCCACAGCAGCCATCGAGCGTTGATCAATGGCATCAATATTGGCCTCCTGAGCAAATTTGGTGATGGGAGGCAAAGAGACAGGCACTCGTTGATGGGCCGCAGCAAGAATGGAATTCTTGGGATTGCACTTTCCTGCCGATGCGATACGAATCATGACCCATGGAAAGATCCAGGGGAAGCTGATGAGAGGCATTGACTTGGCTTCAAGCTTTCGCTCTGGAACGATGACCCCAGCCTCGTTTGTTGGCCCGCGGTGGTGCTCAAAAAGCGCAATTTTAATCTCCTCCTCTGTAACCTTGTACATGGCTGCCACAAACTTGTCAATCTTGGCCTCGTCGTAGCCACCGGCAGCTTCGAAGCATGCTTCGCGGAATCGTTGCTTTACTGCATCAAACTCCTTTCCGAGCTCTTCCTGTCGCTTGTAATCGCTGCCAACGGATGGTTTTGACATTGCCCAAGAGGTATACAATTCAAACTCGGTCTCCAGTTTGTGCTGCAACAGAATACGGCGCACTGCAATATCATACTGAGATTTGATTATCCTGGCATCCTTGAGCATGGCGTTATCCAGCTGGAATCGCTTTAGGATTCGCTGATCAAAGGCGTTTTCCCAGTCCGGCCGGAACTGAATGGACTGTTTGATCACTCTGTTGTAGATCGCTCCCAAGGCTTTTTTCGACTTGTAACAGACCTTCTTGTCCATAAAGTGTGGCCACTCTTTCGGATTGTGCAGACCTGGATTCCATTCTGCAGGTTCGCCAGTCTTTGGGTAGTCAACCGCCTGTGAGTGAAGCTCAGCCAAACGTAGACCTAATGTGAGGCTCATCAGTATGTAGTCATGAACAGCTGCAGAAAATAAAGTCAACACTCTTCTCTACTTACAAATGTCCGACTTGGGTCCATCGGAATCTGCAAGCCCCAAGTGAGCTGTGGCAATGAGCGGGAGCACATCATTCTGCATATATCTGACAAAGAAGTCCCGTAGGTCATTGGCATTGACGTCGCGGTCAAGTGTCGCAGGCGATGGGCTGGAATAGTTCATGGCTGGGTGGTTCCATTCGGTAGGAATCAGAGTGGGCTCCCAAATGATGAAGAAGTCGTCGCCATCAAGATCTCCTCCAGAGAGCATGTTGGGGACTGGTCGATCTCCAGTTGAAGGAAAGACGACAACATCTTTTAGATGGTGAAGTTCAGGTATGTCGACTGCCTCAACCACTCGGATATCGCCTGGGTGCAATGATGGATTCCGACCAACGATGCAAACTCCTTCGATTGCATTGGCCTGGTCGTATACTTTCGAATCTGACACCTGCAAGAAGATTTGGGGGAGTTTGTTGATGTCTTTATCCACAGTGCCTTCTGTCGCATTTGAGTGGCCTCTCAAAATACCTGTCTCATCAACACAGCCCAAGACGAAGGCGCTCTTTTCGATGGGAATCCTGGCTTTGTCCCTGAGCAGCTTCAAAGACCATGACCTCCAAAGGGCAAGTAAATTGGTCACAAACGGCTCTTGAACAGTGTCTGTCTTGAACCCGGATTGCAACAACTCTGCCAGGATCAGGGTAGATTGGTTTTCGTCGACGCACTTTGTCAATATGTTCACCGCCACATTGTTATTCTTCATTGCTTCCTCATAGAGGCTGATCTGCTTCTCCAAGATGGCTAAGAAAGCCGGTGTAGAAACACCAAGACACTCCAAAATAGTGATTGTCTGTCGATTGAGGGTGGCGGAAGAATACTTGGCACATTTGATAATCTCAAGGCCCTTCACATCGGCCTTGAACTTCTCCTGAGACTCGCGAATATAGACTTCTCCTTTCTTAGCCTGTGGCCAGACTACCAACACACCTTTGCATCCACCCATGCGAAATTGAAACGCAGTTGGTTCGGTGTAAACATCCAGTGTCATTTCTTCAATGATCATTCGGGCCATGAATTCGGATATCATTCCGACTCCATCAGTAAAGCAGTAACCATTCCTCTCGATATCAGGAATACGTCGGACGTCCGGGACGGGAAGACCTCTCATCTCTCTGGTAGTGGAGAAGCATTGGCCCAATCTAGCAGCATGTTTCGCCACGATTCTGATGTGGCCGACTTCGCCCATCCACCGGCGAATGTCGTCACAGGAAATATGATCCGTTGGGCAGAAAAAGTAAGCTCCACACTGTCTGAGTTGCGAACTGCCAAATGCCAGAAATTCGTAGCGGCGATCGCCAATTTGGATGCCTTCGTACAAGGTCCTGAGTATCTTTTTCCATACGTCTTCTTTGTTGCGAGAGGTCATGGCTATGCGGCCACTTTCCATCTCTTCCACAAATTGCACTCTTAAGAAGCGGTCCTGAATGTGGTTGAAGTAGCGGAGAACTCTGTTTGAGGTCTCGACGATGGGAGAGCTCAATAGAATGCTTGTTGGGGTAATGGCAGCTTTTCGTGCCAGCACACAGTAGTGTGGGATTCTTGTATTGGGTACATATGATGCAGCGGCAGACCATGTGAAGAGTTCTTGAGGATTATACATGACCTCGCCATTGTCCAGGAGGAACTCGAGCCTGCGTTTGGCGTCAAGAGGGTCAAGTGCAGCCAGTTTCTGGAGGAATTCTAAGGATATGGTGTGCTCGTTGAGCACCCTACGGCCGACGCATACTTCGAGCTGATATCGAACACCAAAATCTAGGTGGACAAAGGGAAATTTTGAAGGCTGCAGTAGAGCCAGTGCGTCCCCTTGATCGTTGGCCTGGGGATGGTCGAGAAAATCCCACATGGTAGTTGTGGAAGTGTCGACTTGAAATTCCTCACAGAACTGAAATTTTACGTTGAGGTCCTCCAAGGCCAGTTTCAGGTATCCGATAGCTCGCCTTGTGAGCTCGTCTGTGGTGTTGAGGGCAACGCGAATGGCAGTCCAACGACCAACTTCCAAGTAGGCGGGGTCCGATTTGGTGTTGTTCAAGGAAACGGGGTATTTCATTTCCACTGTGGCGTCCTCTGTGATGTCTGTAGCCCTTCTCCAAACGTCTGGTAGGTTGCGGGCAAAAGCGGTATTTGGTGGTAGGTTATATGTCTTCCAGAAATATTGCGGAGGTTGGTTGAACGGAAGGACGAGTATTTCTCGGTCCTCTTCTCTGCCAACGTGAAATATGGTCTTGACATGAGAAATCTCGGCGAAGAGTCTGTACTCTCGCGTGATGAACTCGTTGGCTGCCACTTTGATTTGGAGCGGGAAAAGAATGATTAGGCGCTTGGACAACACATCAACTTCCATGCTGATCATGCTGGCGCCAGGGGGGGAAGTGATTGTTTTGTTGATATTTATGGCCTCAGGCCCAATCATGCTTCCGAAATCCAACGACGAGAGGCTCGCCGTTATTCTGGTAGGGTAGTGCGAGTCGGGGGTTACCCGACTCGCAAACCACGTCTTGGTCGCCGCCATCTTGCGGCTCGAAGATTCAAAGTTAGCGAAGGTTGTGACGAAGGGGGGATATATATAGTTGCTGCCTCACCGCTTTGGGCACAAAGCAGATCACTCTTCCAAGCCAAGAGTGAATCAGCGGCCTGTTGCGAAGAGGAGGAAAGGGGGGAAGACGGGGGCAGAGGGGGGAGGGGGGAGGGGGGGCAGCTCACCTCGTAGTTGTGGATTTGAGATGGAAGAGGGAGAAGAGGGGAGAAGAGATGAAAAGAGAATCACAGACCTTATAGTGGGAAAGGGGGTAGGGCTGGCAGAGCTGGCAGGTGCAGGCGGGCAGGTGGGAAGGCTTGTTGCAGCTGCACAGGCGGGGAGGGGACGAATTAGGAGGCAGGAGGGGGGGGATTATAGGGAAACATGTCAAGAGCAGTATGGCAGGCTGCATAATCGCAAGGGACTGATTATTGAAGCAGATTGGCCATCTGATTTGATGCAGCGGTCAGAGACATTTCTACTTTAGCTGGTGTAAGAGACGGTAGATCTAGCTATATCTACTAGATCTATCTCCAGCTACTAGATATAGCTATATCTACCAGATCTATCTATGTCTACTAGATCTATTCGCATCGACTAGATATCCTTGCCTTCAATAATATGTTGATGTCTACTATATTTACCCACTGATATCTACTGTCTATATCTACATGGTATTTATATCTAGCACATCCACTCATATCTACAGCTAACCATCGTGATGGCTGTCTTTCCGCTCCCACGGCACATCCATAATCTTTCCTGGATTCAGAATCCAGTGCGGATCAAGCGACTTTTTGATGGCTGCCATGACTCCCACAGTTTCGGAGCCAACCTCCCAGAGCAAGCTTTCTTTCTTTCCCCATCCAACGCCATGCTCTCCCGTGCAGGTGCCCTCCATCTCAATAGCCAGACGGACCATGTTCTTGACACAGGCCTCGACCTTGGCTCGCTCAGCCTCGTTTTCCTTGTTGTACATGATGCTCTCGTGGAAGTTGCCGTCACCAATGTGGCCGAGGATGCTGGCAAACAGGCCCAGCTCGTCCATCTCCTTCTTGCTGACTTCGATGATGTCCGCTAGTCGGCTAAAAGGCACAGCCACATCCGTGCTCCCTGCGGAAACAGTGTCAGTATCTATGATGATGGAGAATTGCCAGACGTTGGATCGAAAACAGCAGCAAAGGGAAACTCACAAACATCCTCGCCTTCTTTTCTCAACGCCAGCATCGACCATAGAGACTCTTTTCTGGCTGACCAGAGCAGCTTTTGTTCTTTCTCGTCCTTTGCAAACTCAAAGTTGCCGCCCTTGTTGGCTGCTGTAATCTTTTCCACCAGCTTGATATGCTCCTGGACGCTGGCTTTAGTGCCTGCAAATTTGAAGAATAGCGTCGGCTTCTCGACCCAGACCCGGGGCGCGGTGAAGCCACTCAGGTTGACGACCTTCATCTGCACCTCGTCCATGATCTCGAGACACTGCACAGGGATAGCGGCTTGCATGACACTCGCAGCCGCCGATGCAGCGTGGCGGATGCTGGGGAAGTTGACAACTGCTACCGATGTCTCCTCAGGAACGACGGCGAGTTTCAGTGTTGCTATAACGGGAGACGTTAGCTTGACACTGAGATGGATTTCTAGTCCAGGATTTGCTTACCCTCAGTGACAATGCCCAGCGTGCCCTCGGAGCCCACAAACAGGCTGTTGAGATTGTATCCCGCAGACGACTTGCGCGGTCGCCGTCTCGTCTTGATGACCTGGCCATCAGACAATACAACAGTCAAGTTGATGACCCAATCCTTCATGGTGCCGTATCTCACTGCATTTGTTCCAGAGCAGTTGGTGCCAATCATGCCGCCAATCTTTGCGGTTGGGCCTTGAGATGCGATAATAATAACAACAACAGGTCAGCAATTTGATTTTCAGTATGTTCAGCAGGGACAGTATTCATCGAGACATACCGGGATCAACTGGGAAAAAGAGACCAGTGCCCTGTTTTGCGAGCTCAGTATTGAGATCTTGCCATCCAACGCTGGGCTGCACAACCACGTCCATGTCGGCCTTGTTGACCTGGAGAATGTTGTTCATGAAGGCAAAGTCAATGCTGACGCCTCCATAAGGGGCTGAGAAGTTACCCTCGAGACTGGTACCTCCCGAGTAGGCGACGACGGGAACACGGTGGCGATGACACACTCGGACGATGGTGGCAACCTGTTCAGTATTTCGAGGGTATGCCACGGCTACAGGCAGCTCGTCTGGGTTGACAGTTGACCAGCTAGAGTAGCCGTGAGCATGCAAATCGTCTGGGTCTGTGGAGATGATGTCCTTTTGATTCCCAAGCTCCCATACGATATCTGAGATGGCCTATCAGGAGGTATCAAGTTGATTAGAGAGTTTATGTCTATCAACAGCGATTCAGTATAGTTCAATGGGCTCAACAACTCACCTCTTTCATCTCAGCACGGCTGGCAAAGCCAATTTCTGCGTCGTCACTGGCCACCTGCGGAATAGCTTCATGTTTTCGTTTCTCTGCAGCATTGCCATCACTGTCATCATCGTCGTCATCCTTGATTTGCTTGGTCTTGGTCTTGGTCTTGCTTTGGGGGCCATTTCGGCTCTGTCCCGAAACGAGGCTTGAGATGGCCCAACCACTTACAGCCGCAGCTGCAGCGACGGCCAAGACGCTGCCGCTAGACCAGCCTTGCGTCGCCCCTGATTCAGAGGCGGTATTTTGCCCAGATGAAGGAGAGGAAGAGGTAGAGGAAGAAGCAAGCAGTCTGGAGGAGATGCGATAACCTCGGCAAAGGTGCGCAGGTACGGGTACATGCACTTTGGAGGCGCCATTGCTGGGCGTGGCGTACCGCAACAAGGTCCGTGCCTGGATTAGAGGCCGTGCAGGCATTTTGGATCGAATGGGCTGGGATGCAGCTAATATGCCGCCTCTAGAGGATGCGGTAGCAGCAGCAGTTGAACGACAAATCCAATATACACCAGTCCAGTAATGCGGCGTATTGATGGCAAGGAGATTTTTAATCCAGGCGGTAACCACGCATGTACGAGCTTCAGGCTATACAGGCACCAACCCCGCTGTCAGTCCTACTAAGGTACTATGGAACCTCTTACCATGGTTGCCAAGTGATTACCTGCCTAGTATGTACCTCCCGTCTATGTGCCTTGAGTTGTGCTTGAATTCCCCGTATATTACGGAGTAGTGCATAAGAGCTAATGAGGGGGGTTTGTGATGATCCCCCGCCATCGGCGACAAGTGCCGTGTTTCATTCTGACTGTCCGGCCAAGACATATTATTGCCTTCTGATGGGCGTTGTGAGACACTGCGGTCACTTTTCGTCTCACTTGGTCGGTGATGTAGCATTTGATCCAGCCCGGGTCGTCGAGCATCCGAGTCCACCTACGTAGGTGAGAGACAAGTAATATGTCCTCGTACGAGTACATGTACTCGCAAGTGCCTGCTACTGCCACGGTAACCAACCCACCAATGGACGCGTGCGAGGTGCAGGAAGCATCTACCGCGTTACTCCCGGGCACAAAAACCGTGATGTGTTGGGATGCTAATGTAGGTGCTAATGCAATGCCATCTCAGATAACTGGCTGGAGGCGGAACTGCCAACGTTGAAACAAGCAGCGCAGCCTGGCGGTGGTCGCGTTGCACAGCATAACCTAGACCTGCCGAGATCTAACCGTTGCACCCAGAACGGGATGAAGGGGGGACGCGGACACTTTACGACATGCCCGTTCCGAAAACCAAAAAAAAAATAAAACGGGTTGGAAAAGTGGCATTTTCCAAACTCGGGAATATGCTCCTCTGTCTTTGAAATCTGCTTCTGAATAGTACGAGTCTGAATCAGGGGCCGCGGGAGAGCACACCTAGAACGGAGTAGAGATTCAAGTCCTTGGGATCAATGACTAATTGCCATGGAGGCGTCTTTGTGCCACTGGAACAGCTGAATGAAACTTGGGTCGGGTCCGGGTACCTTATCTTAGGTAGTCCTCAACCTCGTAACTTGACGTTTCTGTACAGGTACGACTGGAAGTACTGCACCTACGGCTTCAGTGTGCACACCCAGCTGGGATAGGGCCTGTTCGCCTTGGGCAGGAACCGACAGGCATACACGCAGCCCAGCAACCCAGCCAGCCTCGATGCGCTCGCCACGCCGGCAGCCATGGCAGCTCTGGCCCTACCCTAGCGGTCAGCTGCCAATCTCTTAGCACCTACTAGTTACTACCTGTCACCTATCGGACTGCAGTTGACAGCTCGTACGTCAGTCAGCCAGTACAAGTACATCTCAGGTACCTGGGCAGAACCACGTCGAGCTGCTATTTTCCGCGCCAGATAAGGGCCAATGCAGGTAATACCTGCGTAAAGTGCCAACATGGGCCACGCACCCCCCTTCTGCCGTAGTACATACTCTAGTGGTAGGTAGTACTTGTGCACAGTAGGCACAGCATCATCCATCTGTCGGATTCTAGGGCTGTCCACCCGGTCCATGTAAGGGAAGCAAAAGCAAAACTGCCAGGTCATCACGCTTCCAGCCGAGTCTCGGAGACCCGCCTTGGCCATCCAGTCCAGCACGGTACGAGTACCTACCTGTATATTAGTACCCCGCCATCAGGTTAGTACCTACCCCACGGCATGAATATGTACAGCACGAGGTACCTGGCTGCGTTGTAGTGAGTGCTTGAGTGCTTCTTTGCGCTGGGTGGGTGATGTTCAGGTCAAAGGCCACCTGCAGTAAGCACCTTAGTACCTGGTCCGATGCTATCCCTATTTGAATCAAATAAAACAGAAAAAAGGAACAAGAAAAAGAAACGAAAAAAAGCACACACAACGGCCAGCTTTTAGCCCGGGTGTGGCTTTATTTTTTCAGTTCTTCTTTTCTTTTTTCTCACCGGTTTCCTTTTTTTATGAGCCCTCACTTCCATCTGTCTGAGACATTGCCCTCAGCCGCAGCGGCAAGGAAGATAATAGAATAGAGTAATCTAAACCCCCCTCCCATTATCGTGCCGGCGATGGCAATATTCAGCCCCAATATTACTAACTCTATGTAAGGGGTACGGCCTCTCCTTGCTTGTACTTACTAAATCGAGGTTTGTCCCCCGCCGTGGTCCGCATCGCGCCATGCTATGCTATGCCATATTACTGCAAGACGATATTCCCGTTAATACCTGGGAGGCAGTAGATAGTACCAGATAGGGCTACTAGGTACTACGTAGGGACCTCTATCCAGCCAAGTATTGTACCATACAGGTAGGTACCTACACAGGTACATGCATGCATGCACGTCCAGCCATCCATCCATCCATATATACACATCCATCCATACATATATATATATTGCCTGCCGGCAAGCATCCAGACCGAATTCCTTTCCCTCACCCACCTTGTTCCTACATACGCCAGCCTCAAAACCAATATATTGAAAAAGCCGGTACGTTGCCTCAGCCCCCCAGCCTTTCTCTTCAGTGCTCTCGATTTCTATTTCTCTCTCAATCTTCCCCCTCCTCTCCTCCCCCATCTGTCTCCATCACGCAATACTAACCTCGGTTTCTTTCATACTCTCCAGCCTCGCGAAAAGCTTCCAAACCTCCAAACATCCTAAATCAAAAGCCATCACAATGTCTGTCCTCGAGGTCGGCGATTCTTTCCCGGGCAACGTGTCCTTTGGCTACATTCCCTTCACCCCGGAGACCAAGGACATCACCAGCTGCGGCATCCCCATCAAGTTCGATGCCAGCACCGGTAAGGCACCTCTCTGTTCTCGCCCAACTTTTTCCGTTTTTCTTCCTCCAAGACATACTGATTTAATTATTTTTTTCTTTTTCGATTCAAACAGAATTCAAGGACAAGAAGGTCATCGTCGTCGCCGTCCCCGGCGCCTTCACGCCCACCTGCCAGGCCAACCACCTGCCCGGCTTCATCGAGAACGTCGACGCCCTCAAGGCCAAGGGTGTTGAGAAGGTCGTCGTGATTGCCTCCAACGATCCCTTTGTCATGTCCGCCTGGGGCAAGGCCAACTACACCAAGGACGACTTCATCGTGAGTTTTTTTTTTTTTTTTTTTCTTCTTCTTCTTCTTCTTTTTCTTCTTTGTAACCAACACACCCCGCTTCTCTTCTTTTCCATTCTTCCATCTTCGCTACCCCTCCCCTCCCCCTTCGCCGCTGGGTCTGTGGGACAAATTAGCTAATCCTCGGACGAAAACACACAAAGATCTTCGCTTCGGATTCCGAGCTTGCGTTCAGCAAGGCTATTGGCTGGACCATGGGCGACCGAACTGCCCGATATGCCATCGCCGTCGACCACGGCAAGGTCATTTATGCCGCCAAGGAGACGGAGCGCGGCGTCGATGTCTCTGGAGCCGATGCTGTCCTGGCCAAGCTGTAAACGGGGGGCGTTCTTTTCCTCTCGGCTTTCTGGCTGTAGATTTTTTTCACACACAGGGAAATAAAAGGGCACTTCGGAGAAGAGGTGTTTGTTTTGGGATTTAAGGCATCAAAGCTAGATAGCGCCTCAGAGTAAATGATAATTCACACATTGATTGCTTGGGATCCGCTTTTGGATTCATGATTGAAACAATTGTGACATGGAATTGAAGTAGGCGGGTGGTAAGAAAGTGTGAAATAAAACAAACACCGAGCAGCATCACGTTTGAGAACAATACAAAAGCATTCACACAGCTTAAGCCCTCCAGCGGCTCAAGACTTGACACGGCATTGATTCAACGGCTTTTGTTTCGCAGCAACAGTTCCCATTTATGTAAAACCATTGCACCGGTATGTCATTTGCTCAACTACCAATGCACCCTATGGCATTCCATGCACCCGATATTGTAGAAGAACCGGCCGGAAAGAGACAAGAACCACAGACTCCGTACTTTGTTTCATTTTGCTCATCCGCTGCGCTGCACACAACATCTTTCTCTCCTTCCCCCCTATTCCCGTTTATTCATATTTAGCGGGATCGGGCGGCGACCTTGACCTGCGCACCCTTTGCGCCCTGCTTGCTGACGTTTCGCTGGGTCTGGCCCTTGCCGGCGGCAGCGTTCTTGGCCTTCTCGGCCTTCTTGGCGGCCTGAGCAGCAGCCTTCTTCTCCTTGTCCTGTCGGATGGCCTCGGCGCGAGCGGCAGATCGGGCCTCGGGTCGCATAGCCCGGCGCTCCTTGATGACCTCGAGGGAAGCACCAACGATGGCACGCTGGGACTTGACGGCACGGCGAGTGCGCTTCTTGGCAACCTCCTGCACAGGGTGTCAGCGATTTTCTGTTTGCATTTACAAAGCCCTTTCCACCCCGTCGTGATGATATAGAGATGGGAGATGGAAACAGATGTAGATGTAGACAATGGACAAGCCAATGCCAAACACCGTCCTTCTCCTCCTTCTCCCTCTCTATCCATCATCGCGGCGGGGGTAGGGGATTCGTTCTCCCATCATTCGTCGTTGCGTACCTCAGAGATACCCTTGCGGTGCTGTCGTCGGTACAGAACCGTCCAGGCAATGCGACGGGGGTTCTTTCGCTGCAGGAACAGTGACTCCGACTTGCCGTTGGCGAATCGGAACACCTTGCTGTCGCCACGGACATAGATCTTACCCTGTGAGAAGAAAGCGCAGTTAGCATCCATATCGTCGACAGTGACGTTTGCTTTTGATTCCTCCAAATGCGAGCAGAGCTCTTCCGGTGTTTGGCGTCCCAATTCACGCCAACATCGTGTCCATTCCTCCCTACAATCCCCCCCTCGTGCTTCTTGGCCCATGCCCTCTCCCATCTCTTCCCGTCCAAGTCGTCCTTTGAAACCCGTCCCATGACGTCGCATATCCCGAAATCAAAACCAAGGGAAAACATGAGAATAGCAGCGTACCTTTCCAGGGTAGATCCTCTGGCCGGAGAAGCTGTCTTCGTAGGTACGCATCTTGCCGCGGTGTGTGGGTTATTGGCGACAAGGTGTATTTGGTTGGGGGACCCGTGAGTTTGGCGTTGACAAAAAGATGAGCAGCCGTTCCGTGGATACGTTCAATTTCACGAATTGGTCGCTGTGTGTTCAAAATGACTAAGCCGGGCCTAGGGCAGGCGTTTGTGCGCGCCAAAATCTCGGCAGTGGGCTGAGTGGGTTGTGCACGTGACTTTTCACCTGGCAGAGCTTGATTGGATTCTTGGTGGGGGGGTTTTTGGCTTTGAGCGAAAGACTGCAGCAAATTGCCTGTTTCGGCGGTTGGATTTCCTCTCAGCTTGATGCCCTCCAACTTAGACGGACCTTGAACTCCGTATTCGCAGCATACCTACTGCTACCTATACCCGGTATTAGCTTCACAACCATGATTTTATAGTCATTCTCGTCACCAGCGGGCACAACAAGTCAAAATAAATGACGTCTCGAGCCAATCTCATCGCCCGCACCGTCATAAGCCAGTTCGATAAGCTCCCCTCCAAAAGGAAGCCTTGTGTTCGCGACAATGGCCTCCACGAATGGGTGCCCCTGAGCGGCATAGTCGCCGAGAAGGATGGAATCTTGACTTGCCTAGCATTAGCGTAAGCTATTTTTTACATGAATTCTTTGATATTTGCATGTTTTTTCCTTCGAAATGCCTCCTCTAAACCGGTGTAAGCGCAGGACGGGCATGAAGTGTCTTCCGGCATCGAAGCTGGGCGATGCAAACGGCGTGGCTATTCATGACTGGCATGCTGAAATTTTGGCCATTCGCACGTTCAATCGGTTCTTGCTGGACGAATGCCAGAGTCTCATTGACGGCAGCCGTAATGATCCTGAAACTATCCTCCAGCAGAGCGACTCATTAGATGTCGATAGGGAAAGCGGGCAGTACGCGAGACCCTTTGGAGTGAAACATGACGTTAAGCTTCACATGTACTGTTCAGAGGCACCATGTAAGTCTGCCATCATCCAGCTATTTAATTTACAAGGCCATGTGCTTACTACCGCTCATCGATTCAGGCGGAGATGCCAGCATGGAGCTCATCATGGCTGCTCAGGAAGACGCATCGCCATGGGAACTTCCCGCTGCCACACCAGACAGTACACAGTCCACCATCTCAGAATCAGAATCGGCTCTTCCGGGACGTGCTTACTTCTCACAACTGGGAATTGTTCGTCGCAAGCCAGCCCGCGGGGACGCTCCGCCTACGCTGTCAAAATCGTGCTCAGACAAGATAGCTCTAAAGCAGTGCACTTCGTTGCTCTCGTCTTTAGTATCGCTACTGGTTAATCCTCCCAACGCTTACATCGATACACTTGTTCTCCCAGAGTCGCAGTTCTCTGCAGCTGCCTGTGAGCGAGCCTTTTCCGCCGTGGGCAGAATGAAACCCGTTGCTGGCAAGCAGTGGGCTGAGGGGTACGCTTTTAGACCATTCAAGGTCGAAGCCACGACTGTAGAGTTTGAGTTCTCCAAAAGGGCGGTCCAGGCTCGCTCCAAGGTCATCTCGGCAAGCAACCTTGCTGCTACGTGGTCGGCCTCGGGCTTTGAAGAGACGATTCTGGGGGGCGTGCTTCAGGGGAGGAAGCAGTTTGACATTAGAGGCGCCAGCAAGACGTCCAGGAGGCAGATGTGGATCAAGTCAAAGCAGCTCTCCGACGACCTCTCTACTTCTAATGCCGGACGTCATAGAGGGGTTCAGGAGCATTTCTCATCGGCCAGCAGCTATCAGGATATCAAGGACGGGCCATTGCTAGCCGAGCGGAGGCAGGTCAAAGCTCAAGTTCGGCAACTTGCTCTCAAGGGCTGGGTTCAGAACGAAGGAGACTCGGGATTTGGGATGTAGGTATGTAGGATGGGATAGAGCATAGGTTTCAGACGGAAGCTTTCATCTCTTGGGCAACAATGCAGACACCAGGGCTTTACATCATTTGAGACTTGGTAATTTTTTTTTTCTTTTGTTTCCAGCCAATTCGCGTCTTTGTACAAACCCGCCTCCTTCATCTTTCTGCGTCCATCGCCACAAATTGACGTTGCCGCATTGCTTTCCCCCACGCCAAGCAAATTCTCGAATATGCACAAACCGGCGGGTGTAAGCGTACCCGTAATCGTAAAAAGAAAAGCATCATTGGCAACTTGCAGAACTTCCGCCGAAGGGGGAAGAGAGTGTCCATTATTATCCTCTCCATCCCGACGCAGTCTCTCAGCTCGTGAAAACCAATCTTGTCGTCCCGCAGCTCGGAAGCGTAACGACAACTAAAAAAAAAACCCAGACATGCCCCGCCAAAGAAATTTCCTTTCAGCTCCTTTTGCATCCGATTACAAAATACATGCCTTTGTTTTTTTTTTTCTTCAAGATTCAATTAAGAATCTTTACTCGACCTTGCTCTCGAAGTTCTCGCCCTCGACCAGGTCGGGGATCTCGTCGTCATCCTCGCCCTTCTCGGCCTTCTGCATGTTCTGGTAGCTCTCAGCGAGCTTGCGCAGGGAAGCCAGAGAGTCGGGGCCGAGCTGGTTAAGGATACCGGGGACAAGCTCGGTGAGCTCCTTGTCCTCACCGTTGCCGTAGATGGCGAAGGTGTTGGACTGGACGGCGGCGTGGACTGCGAAATGATTCATGTCAGCATCTCGTCGTGCGATGTTTCATTTGTGTTTTGAGCTTCAGCCGAGGCTGTTGCTGCATCGTGACAAGGCAGGCATACCCTTGGGAGCAGCAAAGTGGATGACGTTGCCGTCAGACTTGAACATGTTGACCTCCTCGATGGCCTGGATGGGCTGGGTGTTGAGCTTCTTCAGGTTGGCCTGGAGCTTCTTGTCATCGTTGTTGGATCGAGCAGGCGCACGCTTGACCGGTCTTCGGGGAGTTCCCTTTCCACTGCACAGCGCAAAACGTCAGTTGATTTTGAATTCGAAAGCTATCGGGCGGGGGTGTCGGATTGTGGGAAAAATTCCCGGGCAAAAAAGGTGGGATGTGTGGTGATGGCGACATACCCTGCGGAGAAGAGCGTTAGATGACAAATTCAACATGATCGCAAAAGCAGCAGATTAGTTCTGCCATGAAATGCAAAAACAAAAGAACATCGCCAGCAAAGACGTACCAATTCGGCCGGCCTGGCCAAGCTTCTTGAGGCGCTCCTGGACGTCGGACATGATGTGTGTGTGCGGAAGGCGACTAGGGGTGGGAAATGCGGGGGGGTTGAAGTCGAGAGCTAGATTTATTTCGCCTTGCTATCAGTTTCTGGACTGCTCGTCGCATCATTGTTTGTTTGGGAGTCGGGCCAAGAGAGAAAAAGGGACTTTCGTCTCTTGCCAGCAGAAAAACGAAAAATGGAGACGTGTGCAACGTACCGAGGATTTCGAGGTTATGGCGTCAAAGGAACTGTTCTTTTCGTCGCCGTCGGCTTTCGTCTATTATGAGCGATGATTCAAGCAGCAAGAGTAGGTTTTGTGCGTGCCAAGACTTTTTTCGCACGGCGGATTTTCTGTTTAGCCGATGCCCTCATTCTGCCTGCAGCGTTGCGTTAGCAGTAAAAATCCCCGCCAGCCCTGATGTGCTGCTGTACCTGCTATGAGAGCGGATGCAGCCAGACAGCTTTATGCTTCTGTAGGTATACTGTGTAGAAAAGAGTAGAGCTTCATTCACATTGCTAATATTATTTTCATATTTTTATTTGATTGACGATCGAAGGGCTTGGGATGCACTCTTCTTTGCTTCAGCATGCATTTTCTGGAGCCGAGGTCTATCACTGGGCACCACCACTGGGCCAGCTGATATAAGCAGAAATAGGACAAGATGCTTACATCACGAATCAGACGACATGCAAGATAAACATCACCCAAGAAGGTATGCAAAGAGAGATAGCTACAGCAAGCAGTCAATATACCTGTCACCGCTTAAAATAGAACAAACGCAATAGTCTAGACCCAGAACTACCCCGCTTTATATAGACAGACAGGTGGACATTGGCCTTCTCAAGAGCCTCAAAAGAGCTACATAGAGTCTGAGAGGTTAGGTCAATGACGATCAACAAAGTATAAGACACCAACAAAATGTACTGGCTCCTATACCATTCCAATTACTAATAATGCATTCACAGGCGACAACTCGCATAGAGTATGAATTAATCGAAAGATTGGGTATATTCAGATACAACACATCCTATAGACATGCCACAGCAATTATCTCCATAAAAGAGAGCGTTTCGTCATCTCATAACATAAATTTTCCTCATTTCCAACACTGCAATATTAAACATCCTCCCCTATTGCACGCACCGGCAAACAACCGCCTCCCTTTACCACTTCGTCGGTCCAATTCCAGGGCCCGAAGTTGGCGCAACCCTCAGAATGGCAGCGCCATTGGCATCCAGGTTGTTGTTGATGACGGTGTTGCCCCACCAGTCGGGGAAGCTGGCGTTGCCCAGACCTAGGCCCAGGCCGATAATGACAGTGCAGAGAGCAGTGCCGATATCCAGAGCACCAGACAAGACATAGTTGTATTGAGCTGTAAAGCAAATGGTTAGTCGAACCGTTTGGAGCAAGAAACAGGTATGGGATTAAAGAAGACTTACTCCACCAGCCGAGCCAGCGTCGTCGGATCCACCAGTTGAAGATGAGACCAACAATGCACCACTGGGCAAGGTACCAGGTAGTCGCGGGCGGGATCATTCCAGCAGCTCCAAAGAGAGCAGGGAAGACAATGTAGCGGACCATGGAGCGAGGGTAGCGGCGGGCAATGATCCACTGGATAAGGGGGCAGGCGAAGCCAATCAGCCAGAACCAGTTGATCCAAGAGTACCTATTAGTAGACCGGTTAGTAAAACGAGGGGGCAACTTTCAAGATTATACTAAAGACGAGACTCACAGTTGACCGGCACCAAAGACCAGCTTGGGTCCAATAACACCCCAGATAACACTGGCGTTGTAGAAGGTGCGAGCGTTGGGGCAAGTAAGACCCTGAGCCTGAGTGGGAGTGCAAATACCCTCGATGTTACCACGAAGGAAGTTGTAAGCAGCAATCTGCACAATAGACAGCCAGATGACAGCAAATGCCTGGGCGCCAAACATGCTGCGGGGAGGAATCTTCATGTAGTGGCCGACCTTCATATCAGACACATATGTGAGACCGTTGTAGGTCATCATGTAACCCCAAGACTTGAACAGCATCATGGCGACGGGGCGGCCAGGGAGCATGTAACCGAAGATCATCTCGGTAATGATGTTAAGACCAGTCTGCTGGTTGGTAATAGCCTGGACCATGCCGACGGGGATGAAGAAGAAGAGACCAATCAGGATACAGATAATGAAAGCCCATGCGGGAAGATGCGTTGGCCAAGCCAAAGATGCAGCCATTCCGAGTCCAAAGGACACCAAAAAGATGCTAAGAAACCACCATTCAGGGGCTTCTTTGTACTTCCGCATGAGCTTCATGTGAATATCCGGCTCCTCAGATCGAGAGTCGATAGATCGGCGCCAGACGTCAGGGCCGTAGAAGAGGGCAATGTGGGTAATGGTCGAGATAAGACCAGCAAAACCCATACCGTACGACAGGGAGAAGGCAGGTCCCAACAGGATAGGGGAGTACTCCCGGTAGGCAGTCAGGTTGACAGTAAAGTCAGGGTTGAGGATACGGCTCGTGTTGTAGGGCTGAGCGTAGTGGTCAAAGTTCTGGTTAGCGCTAAGAGGGAGGTAGCGGTAGAACTCGGGACCAGCATAAGCAAGACCAATGATTCCGAGAAGCATCACGAAGATACCGGCAGAAACGTTGGCAATGGCAAAAGCCGGCGTCTGCAGAGGAGAGAGCAGGAAACCAGAGATAATTGACCAATCAAAAGAGATGGGCAGGAGACCCAGTCCAGTGTTTCCACCAAAGATCTGGTTAACAACGACGTTGTTAGGGGCGATCCAGCAGGGGAACATGAAGAGCTGGAGGAACTGGGCAATGACCTGAGGAATCCACTCCCAGCAGAAGGTACCGGCGGCGACGAGAAGGAAGAAGCTGTATCGGCCAATCTTCCAGCCGTTGGTCATGGCAGGGTCGGCGGGCGAGTGGTCATGCAGAGAGTACATGACGGTGGTGGTGATGAGCACAGCAGGCCAGACCATGGATGAAGGCCAGACGAGGTATCGTCGAGCAACACCAGCAACACCGAAGCCCATGGCTTGAGTGGAGAGGATAAGGAGGATCTGGAAACCCCAGCCGAGATGCTGCTCGTAGAAAATCTCTTGGGCCAGCAGAATGTCGATAGCGTAGGAAGCAGCAGTTCCGGCAGCCGTCATCATGGTGATGATGGTGTGCTCCTTGACGTTGAAGGGACCAGGGTTAAGCTCGAAGGTGTGTCCAAAAAGAGTGAAAGTCCAGTTGGGCATAACACGGGCCCAGAAGCAACCGATACTGCAATACGACACCAGTCAGTCCATTTGCACTTCCAGTTAACTATGTTTCAGAGCAGCAACTTACGGGTAAGAAACCAACTGCACGACTGTAGACGTAATGGTGATGGGAGCACGACGAAGGGTGAGCAAGATGTTGCAGGCGGCAACGATCGTGCACATGACAGCGCCAATAGTCCAGGCACGAATAGTGTCGACAGGAACTTCAATATCAGTAGGAGGCACCTGGATTCAACCAATGTCAGACAACAACAACAAGACTAGATAATCAACAAAGGGATGGTCATAACATACCGAAGCGCGGACTTCGGGGTAAGGAGAATCCTCCTGAATCAAAGACTCATCGATAGCCGCCTCCTTCTCGGCATTGCCCGAGGCCAAAGCCTCGTCAATGTTGTCGAGCTTGTCAATGTCGAGGAAGGGATCCCATCGATGCTGCTTCCTGAAGTTTCGGAGCTCAGACTCGACATTCCCGGCTCCGGGGAGGACGTCGACGCCCGAGGACACGGCCTCGGTCTCGACGCGAGCGTCGCTCTTGCCAAATCGAAAGCCCATCGTGGATATTGTCAGTGCGGCCACTACAGTCAAGAGTGGTGATGATTAACGCAACTGGGTGCGAGAGAATAGCAGAATGGGCTTATCTGAAGAGAAAGAGAAACCTTGGACAACGAAGGGGGAGACCCGGGGTGTTTATAGGACTTTGGCCATGATCGTCTCCAGGAGTGTACAGCACCTGCAGCACTGCAACATAACAACGCCACTGTCCGTGTGCGTGCTGGGATGGTGCTATCTGGTTGCGGGGGCCGGTTGTGGGTTGAGCCGATTCTCATTAGCCCGGCCCTGGCTTGTGATACTCCGTTTCATTGTCGCCATGCTGTACGCACGAGTAGTTACAATTTCCTACTTTGTACGAGGACTCTCGCCATTTCCTCCGATCTGCCGCTTGTCGCCATTGGTGGTCTCTGCAGGGACCCTTTGCAACGAGGATTGCGCCTGACAAGATGGTGGCGGCCTATCTTTTGGACCAGGGCCACGGGGGCTAGTCCGGCCTTGGACTGGGATGCTTTGATAGAGTCTGGAGAATTGGGGCCGCGAGTCTTGGCCAAGCAAGGATCCGTGCAAGATTGCTGGGAATCCCCTGCCCAGGCCGGGGCCGTTCTGTGAAGGGATACACTGGTACGGTAATAATGGGCAGGCAATGGGCAGGCAACCCGCTTGGCTCGGATGGGCTTTAGTGCTGGGCTTGCTGGGTTAGCCTTGGAGCCAGACGACAGCCATGGTGAGCAGGTCATTGCCAAGACGTGAAAAGGTCCCTTTGCTCTGAGCCCATCACCCATGTGGCGATTATCCCCTCCCTTAGAAGCAGAAATCCCCCGAGCTGTGTGATAGGCTTTTCGACCTGGACAATCAATGTGTGCCCACCTGCCTGATGCAGTCCTGCTCTCCCGTGGCCGGAAAATGTCCACAAACACTCCTGGTGCCGCGCCACGCGACCGGGGGCTTGCATACCAGTCGTATGGTGGCCGTCGCTTTTGGTTGGTGGCCCTTTGCCGATCCAGCTTCTTTGCCAAAAGGCCCTTTGGGGAGACGCAGCAGCGTTTGCGCTACCTGCCCAAGTATGCCTCACCTGTGGTACCTTTGGTACCTTTGGTATCTTTGGGCCCTTGGGTCCCTCGGCTAGTGGATAGGCTCATCTTTCCTAGTGGCGAGCGACGGCTTCTCCATGCTAGTCGTGCTTCTTGAATTACACGACCACTCTAGCTGGCCGGGAACCTCCGTACGAGGCGGCTTCAGGGCTAAACAAGGTAAAGCAGGATGACAAAGGCAACGGTAAGAAAATGAAGGCGAAAAAAGATCCTCATATTAGCCTCTGAAACGGTGGTTTTCGTTGACAATGGCTGAGTGGCAATTTTACCCCAGACACGGGCCCAGCGAGTCGGGAATGGGTGGTCGAGTCTCGCCAGGTCGTTCTCGTATGTACAGTACCTGTACATACGGTGCCTTATCATCTCCATGAGGCAATCCGTCCAGGCGAGCACAGAATCCATCACCTACAGCTGGGCCGTGTTTGTGCAACCACAACTTGGTAACTCTTGTTGGCAGCCCCATACCACCTCTACAAAGGTGCAGCACCAACCCTCGATACAGCACTTGGCTCGCCAGAGAGCATGGCCTAGGTAGAGAAACAACTCGGCCGCTTTGACAATGCTTTGTACAAGTAGTATTCTTATCAGCAGGCCAGTAGCGCCTGAATGCATTTCCCCATTCGGGAAAGTGAGGTTCTGCATTGGCAACGGGATCCATTAGAGGCGAGTGTAATTGGGCCGAGCCTTTTTTCTTTTCTTTTCTTTTTGCCTTTCCCAGTACCGTACTACTCATGATAATCGCATTTTCCTTCCAGGGGTGACAAAAAGAATATCGTCACACTAATACGAGTGAGTACCCGTTGCTTTCTTTTCCCATCAAGGCCATGTACGAGTATTACTCGCACAGGCGATAACCGAAACGGAGCAAGGTCATGGATCGCACCTAGTAAGTCAGCGAATAGTCTCGGCCGATACCGCTGCAGATATTAAACAGCAGTACCAACGCCGACAGTCCGTATCCATATCTATGACCAAGTGCCAAGAGTCGATCCATGCTCACCCGATGACTGTAGCCAACAGCACTTAGGCATTGTTCTGTACTGAACAGTACTGGATGTGTGGGAAAATAGGCCTAATATCCGCCCACCACTGAGCCAGGACAAAACAGGTACTGCTACCGTCCAAGTACGGCAGAATGGTATACTCGTACTATCGTCCAGGGCGGGAGGTGAGGCGCGCGATACGAAAGCAAGTAGTCTCTCCTCTGGTCGCTGATAGCACCGGGCGGGCGGCGATGCTCACCCTCCCTCCCACTCTCTCCTCACTCAAAAGGTCCTCAGCTGCGCATATTCTGGTGGTTGATATGGTATAGCCGTCGAATCATTTTTGCCGTTATCTTGACTGACGACATACTCTCGTACTCCCCCTCCCGCCGACAGGCCGCTTTTTATCTCAAAGGCCAAGAGCGCGAACCAACACTTTCCTGCTTCGTGTTTGCTGCAGGATCTTTGGGTTGAGCTGTGTCAGAAGAGGCATATTATGACACTCGTTTACCCTCTTTCCTGCTGCTACAGTCCTTGTTTCCGCATCATGTAGTATTTCGGATGCAAGGGCGTCGTCTCGCAAAAAGTGCCCCCAACGTCGCCGAGCCGCCATTTCTCACTCTGATTCCGTCTGGGCAACGGCAGTCCCTTTCGTGTTAACATGTTTTCGTCCAAATCCTCCGGCATCCAGCTGCCCCCGCATGGCCTGCATGGAGGGCTAGGTTAGGGCCGGGGTGGCTGGAACTAGACCAGGGCCTGGCAACTGTTTTTAGATGCACTTTTGCTCGGCCAGATTGCGCTACTGTGGCTAGCACATGTTGGAAGCGCGCCTCGTCTCGTTTCCTAGTTGTCGTATTATGCAGTTGGTTAATATAGCAGAGCTGACAAGATATATTATGTATGGCAGAGTGCTCTGCAGCCTCGCTTGGGTTGCTCCGCAAACCGGCTTACGGAATAACAGGCTGGAACAGGCCTGGGTGACACTCAGAGCGAGGACCAGTGATATGCCTCAGAACAGCTGTAACCATGGCCAACATCTTGATTATCCCGCAAGTTGTTATCCGCTCTCATTGTCCGATGCAACCCTCTTCGATTTGTTCCTGTAGGTAAGGGAGAGTAGTATTCCGTGGTACCGTCATAACTGTAAACGCACAGTCGGGCCTCTGTTGCACTACTACGCCTTCATAGCTAGCCCCTTGTGCTCCGTAAATCATCTGCTGCTAGCAAAAATAACCTTAAGCTGCGATTCTTGACTGATGCCGACTCCATCAGGTGAAAAAGGAAAAATCTGGAATGACTCGCCCCTTGCCACCCACTAGGAATGTTTCAAGGCCAAAAGTCCATTAATAGTCGCAGAGCTAGCAGCTGAGTATGCACAATAGCATCTCAGCTTCATTAGCAGCAGAGGCCCTTTTGTGTGACCTAGCTAACGCCTCCGGCTTATAGTCGAGCTTTGTGGAGGCGTATTTCCAATCCAATATTACCTATTCCGTAGCTTCTCCGTATTCTATTGAGCTTCGGGTAATGAGAACGTTTTAAGCTTCCCGTAGTTGGGTGTTCATCTCAAGTCAATAAGACGCCTTGAGTCGAATATGATGTCAAGCTTGGGCCACAAGATGCCCAGCCCTCCATATGAAATACCGCACGCAAATCGCCAAGTGATCGGTGGCATCCCTCTCAGGGAATACGCCGAGACGCGGCGGCTTATGCGGTACCTGCCAAATGCTTCTAGTTAATCCGAGGCTTGCTGAAAGCATATAGCAGCGACTATTAATTAGCACAAGGGCGTATCGAAAGACATATATCTCTCTTTCGTGAAAACGGTTTGGTCCGTTGGGTCATGGGTAGCCATCATTGGAACTTATGCGTGATATTCCGCGAAGACGGAGGATAGAATTTGGGGTATGGGCATGTGCAACATAGGTGCTGTTGGTTCCGCCATCCGTACTTTTCTCCTTGTGATCATTATGGTTGCTTCAGCTGAAGTGGCGCGAAAGCTCTGGCCTTGGTGTGGCAGGTGTTAAGTCACAAGCCGTGTGCGTCTCTGGCCCATTCTGGGCTTGTGCCAGCTTTAGGTTGGTAGACATGCGCAGGGCGCGCAGGGCATTCTGAGGATACAGTAGCATCACTGTTCGCCAATGGCGAATTTCAATTGGCAGACTTTGGCGCTGTGGTTCGACTGATTACTTGTGCCTGTAGTAAGGAACACAGGTGGAGAGAGGATCCATCGCCGCGCTGATACGAAGCGATGCGAAGTGTTAATAGGGGAGCGAAACAAGGCCATGCCCTTTTCTCCGAGGATTTTGTTCACTCGACCGGCACGGTCAGCCGAGAATCTCTTGGTATCGTTCTAATCGTACAGTATAGACTGAGGCAAGAGAAATATGACATGAGAAAGTTTGTTGGACCAGCATTGGTGTACAGGTAGCTGGGCATCCTTCCCACAATCGTGCATGCATTGACGGGGAAGTAGCCAACCGGCATGGCCAATGGAGAAGCGCCACCATGGCAAACACCCAGAGATAGCTGAGGCTGATAGCCCAAAATGAACGGACTTTTGCTGATGCCAAGAACAGCCACGGTGCATACTCGGCCGCGGATATTCGGTCAGCCCGGTTCTTTGCCGCGGCGCAATCATGCCTGGTCCATGAGTGAGTGCGAGTTATGGAATGGTTCATCAGAAATCAAGACCTGCCGCCGTCCTTATCGCTGTGGCTTTTGGTATGTTTCTCAATTCCGCTCAAGCTGTCTGTGTGGTATTGATACTCGCCATACGGCCCTCGCAGTAAAGCTCTCGCCCTTCCTTGAGCAAATTCTCCTGGGTGTGTGCTATCAATGAGAACATGAGAACATGGCGAATATCATGGCAAGCAGTGGTGGAGGAATTGGTCGCAATCAGCCCTTGATACCATGGGGTCAGATAAGATGAAAGGGTGGCTGTTGTTCAACCTTCCAGTCTTTCATGTCACTCGAGGACCTCACGCGCTCGTGATGAACGATCACACCTCTCGACACCATTTCAGGGATAGGCGATGATGGAGATAATGTTGAAACTGATTGCAGAGGGTTGCAGTCAACAACCTCAGCCCATGCTAATCGGTAACGAGGGTGAAAAAAATCCGGTTCTCTGGACCGGTTCCATTTTGCCACCATCCCCATACTCTCCAGGGCCTAGAGTCCCGGTATATTGATTTGTCGCCACGTGCGAGCCCCTGCTCGGAATAACCCGATGAGATGCCTATCTCTTCCCATGTGGCGGCATATCTCTTCTTGTTTTTAGTCCTCATATTGACGATTAGAGCCACACGAATTCATGTTCTCTTATCGTAGCAGCCTTGCCTCTCGGGTTGAACTTATCAGTAGCTTGTTCACCTCAAGAAAAAGGCAAAAGTCAACGGCAAAAGTCGACAGCAATCAATCAAATCTTACAGGCCCCCTCCTTGTAATTTACACGGCAGTGGCGTGGGTGACAATGAATTGCGCAGAGCTCGGGTGTGATGCGTTGCATCCAAGCTTTGACTTGCCACACATATGACTCTCTTATTTCCCGAGGCCAGCTTCTCGCCGCATTTCGTCTCTTCGAGCTGCCGCCTCTTGTTTCTGCAGCCGTGCGGCTTCCAGGTCTGCCTTCTTCTTCCTTTCTTCTTCCTCCTTGATGACGGCCCAGACTGGTTTGCTGTGTTAGCCTCGGTCTGCCCGGATATCAACGAGAATCAAGGAATGGCTTGATGGACTAACTTGGTTTATCGGATTTGGAGTATTCCTTTAGCCGTGTGACAAACTGGTCAAACTCCTGCTGCCTTTCCTCTCTGCCCTCCAAGCTCCTCTTTAGGAGCTCGGGGTTGTACCTGGATCTCAGTTCTTCCTCGGTTGGCACCAGCCAGAATGTGAGCGCTGGCCCTCCAACACTGATAATTGTTCCGCTTTTATGAGAAGATTGTTATCAGCGTCATGTCTTATGTTGTCTTGTGCCCATCACCACCGAGGCAGATTCTCAAGCCAAAGGGCCTATGTCTACTCACCCCACTAGGACCTTGATCCACAGCCCCCAGTTGAAGGCTTTCTTGGGAGGCATTGTATGATTAATGTGATTGCGGTAGGCTGGACAGATCGAAAATCTCAACAAGGGCCGCGAGCTGTGACTCTTTTTCGGTTCCTGGTACAATAGCTCATGCCTGAGGAAAGAAGCTCTCGCAGCCAAAGAGCGTCATGGAATTTGATATTGCCGTGCTAGAGCTCCCTAAGTAGGAAGGCGGTCACAATTCGAACCGATTATATAAGCAGGCACTATTGGTGCAAAACTTGCGCCTGACCGTAGGTGTCTCTACAGGTAGGGAATAGGGCAGAGCAAGCTCAGTGTGGTAGTTTTGGCGCATTTGATGGGAGTAAGAGAGCATTGCAAGGACCAATGGAGCGATACAGTAACGTTTGAAGCCATTGTTTGATAATGGCCTTGAGTTTGATGACGGCCAGAAATCACGCATCAACCTATCCTACCCTGTAATAGAGAGAACATTTGTAATTCAGGAGGCAAGAGTTCTTGAGCTGGTAAATAAGCTTTATTTTCTAGATTTCAATTTTGATTTCATATTTGCATTGATTCCGAATGCCCTAGTGAGTCTAGTGTCGTTTTGTAGTTATGTGCATAATAACGTAAAGTTGGTTGAAGCTCACCATTGTAAAAATAGCCTTTACAAATAACAGCATGCACCAAAGAGAAAAGCAGAAAAGAAAAATGAAAGAAGGGAGGATTAAAAAAAAAAAAAACAGATAGATAGAAAAGGGGGCTTGAACAAAACCAAAATCGCCAAAAAATATTATGCAATTGGAAAATGGGAAAATGGGCTCTGATCATCAAAAGTGATTCCCGTCCAACAGCTTCATGAAGGCTTCATATGCAAGTGCCTCTGGTGACATATCATGACGTATTTCCAACGCGGACAAACCGAACCTGCTCCCCCACTTCAGCTAGATGCCATCAGCGTGGAGGATGCAAAAAAAGAAAGTGCGATCTGTGTGGCTTGAACACACGACCTTCAGATAATTGGATGATTGAAGTTGGGGCTTCAGTCTGACGCTCTCCCAGCTGAGCTAAGACCGCCGCATGTGGATCGGCCGAGAGCTAATCGCCTCATATTGTAGCAGCGGAGCAGGCAGATGTCGTTATCGATTCGAATTGTATAGCGAGTGTGTCGAGAGGCATCTCCCTTGATCGGGAGATGAGCGAAGACGACTGCAAGAAGAAATAGAGAAAAAAAAGGTGAAACTTGGGCAAATCAATCCGAGGTGGCACTGTGTTTCAAAGAGGTAGCACGTAGCAGGATTGTGGTCCCTGCCTCACTGTGACATGAAGTAATATTCAGACGAGCTTGCACCGAAAAAGGCTGCTTTATTTGTATGTATGTAAGCAAGCTTCCATGTCTAGGCTACCATCTTGTCCTTGATATGTGACTGATCCATGATTGTCTTACAGTAGAAGGTGGTGTTACAGACTCTTGTGATGCAGGAACTGCAGGGGCTTAATCTTCAAGGTGTGCCCCCTCTCTTAGGCCCGAGCAACTGTGTCTATGCGCTCACTCAGTACCTACCAGGAGCTGGGAAAATAAAAATAAATCAAAGAATCCCGCCACTTCACAGGCGAGGGAACGAGGGGGATCGGCATCATGCATACGGGTACCTACTGTAGAAAAAAACGGCTTTTACGGAGAACACTTTGGCGCATCACTAGTTCAAGTGCTAAGGCACACAATAGTGCTGTACTCGTGTGTAATAATAGATGGGGAATGCAAAGGGGAGAAGGGATTTGCAAACTGTCCCTCGGATTGCGGAGTCCCGTGTCGAATTTAGCCAAGTAGGTAGGTAGCTAATAATGCTAAGGGCCAGAGCATTGAGGCGTTTTAAAGCTACAGCGGATCCTTGTCAGACGCCACGGCGATAGAAGCAGACCATAAGCCAGACATGGCGAAAATACGACTCAGAAGCGACCAAGCGACTCATCCACTGGCCACCTTTGGCTATGGCGGTTGGAATGCGAGACGAAAGAACCAGCCAGTCATGAGCCAAGAAAGAGCCAAGGTGAAGCCACGGCAATTGAGCAAAGTTACAAGAGGCCTCACCTCAGCCACCCGATCAATGGCTGCTGTCATACCCCGGTCGGCTTCGGCCTGTCAGGCGACGCCTCCAGACGTGCTAATAATAAGCCAGGGCCAGAGCTCGTGATATCAGTTAGCAGTGTTAAGCAGGAGGAGCAGTAATATTTGCTGGAGCCCTTGGTCTAGAGAGGACCCCCGGACAAGGAAGAAATGATTCTATTGAATAATAACTAATAACTAATACTCTCCGGCCTTGACTGCGAGAGGACCCGGGCATTACAGCACTACTGCTGGTAGTAAAACACTCTCCGTCCTCGTGCTGTGGCCGGGATTATTTTGCCGGTGTGACGCCCAACTCCGCTCGGGGTCCCTCTCAAACCACGTCTGGATTCTCACCCGCCGTCTTTTCGAATCCGCATCCAACACTGAAGCCGAAAAAAAAAAGGTGTTGACGCTCCTTTTACCAGTCGCTCCCTTTTCTCTTGTACTTGTGCTTGTGCGGCGATAAACGCTGGGCAGGGCTGCCAGGAAGGTTGCAACAGCGGCAGAAGCAGAAGCGGCAGTTAGCAGGGATTTTTTGGTCTTTGTTGACTTTCTGGCTTTTGGTTCTTGTTGCTTCCCTTCCCAGACACAAGCCCGTCCAAGCCCATTCATCATTCATTCCTTGACAGCTGGGCCACTTGGGCGGCTAATCAATTGGTTTGTTGTGGCGACCCAGCCCCTCGCACACGCAGAGACACATAACAGAGCCGGCTCGAGACAACACGCGCGCCTGTTCGAACCCTCGAGGCGAGAGCGTCTTCTGCTTGTCACGCGGCTTGCCGTGAATCGTCGCTATTCCCTCACATTAGCGGGCAAGCAAGCAAGCAGCGGCACCTCCAAACTGATCTATCTGCAAGCGGCACTAATCGGGCTGTGTGTGCAACTTTGATTCACCCAGCGGCGCCAAAGTTGCCAGCCAGTGACCACGTTTGGATCTGATCTCGACTTGTATTGAATTACCGAGACATCTTACCGCTCTGATCTACGCTCTCTTTCATTTGGCCGTCTCGATATCAGTATCAGTATCAGTACTACATATTTGCAAAGGCACTGCATTTCATACGAAGGGAGAATTGCCCAAGACAAAGAACGATTACCGCATCTTACGGGCATTGTTTTGCTCCCACCAACACCCAACAATAGGCCCTATTTTAGGTTCATCTTCTTGTTTTTTCTTTAGGCCCGGGCATGTGCATATCACACGATTTCTGTGTCCGCCAGCTTTAGCATCGACGTATTCTTTTTCCCTTTCCTTTGTCCCAGCAACCGACGACGAATCCATATATTTCGATACGAGCCCCAAGAACGAGAAAAGCAACAACAGTAATAATAATGGCATACGATGGTGGATACGGGGGCCAACAGCGGCCGCATGCTGGTTCAGCGGCGCATGCTCCGATGCCGAGAGGCTACGGAGGGCCCAATGAGTATCAGGACGACGGATATGGCGGTGGCGGAGGAGGAGGATACGGGCCAGAGTATCAAGATGCCGGCTATGGCCAAGGTCGGCCCGGCCCGGCCAGAGGAGGCCGTCCTCCGCAAGACGGCGGCCGAGGAGGCCCTCGTACGATGCCACCAGAGGGGCAGCGAGGGGCCAATTACCCTCCGAGAGGCGGCATGGGTCCTGGGAATAGGGGCAGGCCGAACATGGCTCGAGGAGGTGGACCGCCGGGTCCATCCGCAGGTACAGGTAAGCCTTTCCCAATTCTACTATTACAATCGAACCCGAATTCCGCAAAGTCCGGCTTGATATCAGTTCCGCAACACCCGGCTCCCTCACGAGTGCATATACAAGTACATTGAACCCAGCTCTAACGTGTCTCCTCGTGTCTCTTCCAGGTGGCCGACAACCGATGAACAACTCTCAAGGCTCGGGGTATGCCGATGGCAACTACCAGCTCGCAGACCAGATGTCACAGATGGACTTGAACGGACAGGGCCCCAGGAGTCCTCCTGGCCACCGACCTCCGCCGACTCGAAAAGGCTCTCAGAACTACGCAGACCCGAGACAAGGCCAGCCCAGACAAGGACCTGGCGGTTACGGTGACTACGGTGACGGCGGATATGGCGCTCGGCCGCCTCCAAACCAATTCGGAGCTCAGCGAAGCATGACGATGCCGAATAGTGGTGTTGGTGGACGTGGAATGCCGCAGAGACCGGCCACGACAACGGGGAACCGCCCTCCGCCTCAGAGAACATATCCTCAAGATACCCAGGGCCCCCCACAACACCAGTATAATAATGCTGGCTACGGTGATGATGGATATGGCGGCGCGTACCACAACTCGGCGATCGACGACGTTTACGACTCTTACTACGACGAGCCGAGAGCAAGCATATCGAGCCACAACTCGCAAACACAAACACAAGGTCATGCACGGCAGGAGAGTCGTTCAAGCATGCCTGACTTTGACGCTATCCCCGTGGACAACAAACGAGACTCGTTTGAGCAATCGATGCGGCCGGCCGAGCAGACCAAGCTGAATCACGCTCGATCCATGGGGGATATGCGTGGGTCACACTCTGGCGCCTTTGAGATGACGGGCGACATCCCTCAGGTCCCGCCGATTCCTCAATCCCACGCGTACCAGCAAGGATACGACCAAGGATACGGCCAAGGATACGATCAGGGACACGATCAAGGATACAACGGATACTCGCAGCCGCCGATCCCACGAGGTCCGAGTGCGCCTCCGGGGCCGGCCGGGCAGCATCCCGGGTTCGGGAATAGCCGTCCACCCATTGTCCGGCCAGGTACAGCCGCGCCGGCGAATCCGGACGGTCTGCCTGCCCATCCAACGCCGGTGCGGCCGGGCTTGATGGAAAACTCGCCGGTGAATCCGAATGCCAAGCCACCCCCGATCCGAAACTACGGAGGAGGTCCTCAGATGGGGCAGCAACCTGTGCAGCAGTATCAGCAACAGGCGCCAATGCAGCAGCAACAGCAGCAGCAGCAACAGCAGCAGCAGCAACAGATGCGATATTCACAGCAATCACAGCAGCAGCAGCTGCCGCCACCACCTGTGCAGGAGAAGGAGAGGGAGCCTCCCGTCACGCCCGGCGAGCTGGAGCATCTGAGGATGATCATCAAGGGCAATCCCAATGACCAGGCGTCTGCGCTGAAACTGGCAAAGCGACTCATCGAAGCCTCCGATGTGCTGATACCAAATATCCCGGACCCGAGAGGCAGGAACAAGGCGCGTGAGCGATACCTCATGGATGCCCACAAGATCCTCAAGAAGCTGGTCGCCTCGCAGAACCCAGACGCCATGTTTGTCATGGCAGACGGCTCTGGTAGGGGTTTGTTTGGCCCCGAATCCGATGCCAAAGAGGCATTTTCACTGTATCAGTCGGCGGCCAAGCTGGGCCATGCCGCTGCCGCCTATCGCACGGCAGTTTGCTGCGAGATTGGCCATGAAGAAGGCGGCGGCACTCGCAAGGATCCCATGAAGGCGATTCAGTGGTACAAGCGGGCGGCGACTCTGGGTGATCCGCCGGCCATGTACAAGGTCGGCATGATCCTGCTCAAGGGGCTCCTGGGACAGCCCAAGAACCCGAGAGAGGCAGTCGGATGGCTGAAGCGGGCGGCGGAGCGGGCAGATGCCGAGAACCCTCACGCGCTTCACGAGCTCGGCCTGCTGTACGAATCGGCGCAGGGCAACGACGTCATTATCCGCGACGAGCAGTACGCCCTGACGCTGTTCCAGCAGGCGGCGGAGATTGGATACAAGTTTTCGCAGTTCCGGCTGGGCTGCGCGTACGAGTACGGACTGCTGGGATGTCCGATTGACCCGCGGCTGTCGATTGTGTGGTATTCGAGGGCGGCTCAGCAGGAGGAGCATCAGTCGGAGCTGGCGCTGAGCGGCTGGTATCTGACGGGCAGCGAGGGCGTGCTGGGCCAGAGCGACACGGAGGCGTATCTGTGGGCGAGAAAGGCTGCTGTTGCTGGGCTGGCCAAGGCAGAGTATGCGATGGGATACTTTACCGAGGTGGGCATTGGCGTTCCGGCGAACTTGGAGGACGCCAAGCGGTGGTATTGGCGAGCAGCTGGTGAGTTTAATCATTGGATACTATATATATTCTGTGTTGGACTGATGCTAACGTGTGTTGGTTGGTGCTACAGCCCAGGATTTCCCCAAGGCGCGAGAACGGCTGGAGGACCTGAAGCGGTCTGGAAAGGAAAGGGCGCGGCCGAGGGAGCGCATCTCGCGCAGCTCGAAGCAGCAAGAAGGAGATTGCGTGTTGATGTAGACATGTTTTCTCTCTCTCTTTCTTCTTCTGATTTCTGGGGTTTTTTGTTACAAAGGTATAGATGTGGGAGATGCAGCAGCAGCAATTTCTCTTTCTTCTTCTGTTTTGGATTAATGAGAATGAGGCAAGCCCGTTTGTTTGGAGCAGAAAAGATACCATATGGGTAGAATGGATAGGGTTTAACGGAAAGCTTTTGATTTTATTTGCATGCTCTTTTTTTTTCTTCTTTTTTTCTTTCCAGCCGTTCTCTTCTATTTGATGTATTAATAGAGATAAGCTTGCCCTTTTACCAGACAATGTCTATGTTCTATATCTTATACCGCCGTACAATTTTGTTGTCCCGGAATCGTTTCTTCGTGCGCATCGTATCGTACATGGACCGGAATGCCTTGCGGCTTCTTGTATCTTACACCTTGGTTGTCTCCTTTCCCCATTTCACCGGCTGTTGAACAAACCGCCAAATGAAGCAGATCCTCCTCCGGCCGCGTTCCCGTCTCGTCTCGCCTCGTTGCATATCCAATCGACGAGAAACTGCCTGTCCGCTAGCTTCCTCGCATCCATGACCCTGGTGCCGACCCGCGCCTCGCCAGCCGCGAAGCTCAGCAGCGTCGGCACCGAGGTGATTGTGTACAAGGAAGCCAGCGGTGGCCCCGGGACAGACGCTGACATCATCTCTGGAGCATCGAACTTTACGGGCGCAAAGAGCACGCCGCCTTGGGGCTCGCCGACGCCGGAGGTGATGAGGCTGCGGAGGAGCGGCTCGATGGAGCGGCAGGAGGGACACCAGGAGGTTGTCCAGAGGGTGAGGAGAGGAGCTTGGCGGGAGGTGGAGAGGGCGAGGATGGAGTTGAAGGAGGCTGGGGAACTGATGCTGCTATGATGTTAGCTTGGTTAGTTCGAGGCTGAAGTGTCTTTGTTGTTGCTATATCTTGGCGGGCAGGAGTATGTATATAGGTAGATGGATACCAGACATGTGTGTGTGTGAACAGGAGAGTACATGTAATAAAGCAGAGATTGATGTGTATCGCAAGTAGTATCTGGCGGAACTTACGGATCAAAGACTTGGTTCTTGGCCAGCCCTAGCCTTGCAGACGAGCTCGATATACACCTTCGAGTCGATGCCAAGGGCTGAGCAGCGGCCGTCCAGGCGCGTCGCATGACGGACGCCATGCTGCAGAGTGACGTCGTCGATGGTGTGATTGGGGGGGGGGGGGCTCTGCTTAAGCGAACATGGTGATGGTTCTCTTGGTGTTGAGGATCAAATCAAATGACTGCACTGGGCTGGAGCTCCATGTCATGTCAGATGCAAGCATCAATCATAAAATCCGGGCCAAGTTCGGGACTGGACGCCATCAGCCGCGAATCCCTTGTACGAGAGTTTGGTCGGTTTCGCAGCACTAAAACTAAGCCTGATTTGCCTGAGATTGCATTTGCAACGGCGCGCAGCAGCAGAGAACCTTGAACTTTGCCACCACCTCGCACCGCGTTGCATGGCATCATGGATAGGATCAATACGAAACTCAATAGGAATAACACAGAGTTAGTTGTACGAGTACAATAGCCTACAGTACAGTAGCACCAAAGCACGCATCAATGCAGCGTCGCATCACCGCCTCGTTGAGTCAAATCATGGATGTAATCTGCGGGGGAACAAGTGCTGGTGCTGGCTCTGGGCTTGCTTGGCTGTTGTGCTGGACGCGCGTGAGCCGCACCATCAAATCCAACTGGAGATGCACCTAAGCCTCGAATGAAATGCCACCAGACAGGTCAAGGTGCTATTATCCCACAACGCCAGCTCCAGGGGACCCTACAGGGCTCGCAGCGCTGCCGTCATAGTGGAGAAGCGCTGAGCCAGTTGGGAGCCAGTGGGAGCCAGTTGGGAGCCAGTGGAGGTTCCCAGGCAGTGGCATGTGCAGCATCGCATGGGCTTCACCTGACTCGTAGCGGCAGGTGGTTGGACGCAATCCATGTCGCCGCGTTGGAGCTACTGCGCCGTTGGTCGTGGGTCGTGGGGATCAGCCAAAAAATGAACCCATCAAGGTTGGGGGCTTGATATTATGTACGAGTACTATCAGATTAGACAACAACTAAGACCCAAGAAACAAGCATCATATCATCTCATGCCCGTCGTTTTTGGCGTGGGTGGGCCAACTTTTTCTCGCCGGATCTCGCGCTAGGACGCTTGCAAGATCTCGGGGTCTTTCGCTGGCCATCGTATCGGTCTAGACTCTAGACCAAAGAGCAGGCGCCGACGAGGCACCAAGCTTCATTCCTCCTCCTCCTCCTCCTCTTCCACCACTACTACTTGCCATCTCTCCTCTTCCCCATCTTCCTCTTCCTCCTCTTCATCTTCGCTGCTCTCTCTCCTCTTCCTCTTCCTCTTCCTCTATACATACATACCTATCCATCCAGCAATCCTCAGTTTTGATTCTTCTCCTTCCATCTCTCCTCCTATCATATCCTCTCCAACATCCGCTCCGGACTCGATCGGGGACACAACATTGAAGGCTGCAGGCAAAAAGAGGATCTCGGTCTTCGACTAGTCTGGACGTGTTCTTTGTCTTACTCCAATCCTTCCATCAGCTTTCCCTTACCGCGGAATCGTTCCAGGCTCGATTCTGATTCTCCTCCCTCCCAAGACTTCCCTTTTCGGCGACTTCCTGGATCATATCTTTTGTTGCGTGTCTTAAAGTTATTCTTAGAACGGACGCCAATCTGAGACAAATATCTCTCTCCCAACTCCTGCAAATCCATTTCGACCTTTTCCTACATCGTATTACAGATATATCAATTCCTCCATGTATCATAGAGAGACCCCTCTTTTTGGAAACCAGTATTGATACAACTCCTCCGAGTTTGAATTTCACCTAGGCCAACTGCCTTGCCTCCGTTCCCCCCCCCTTGACGCGCAAAGGCAGCAGTATCTAGCCATTACTCTCGTCCACATCCATCGCAATGGCGCCTGAAGGGGCATCCCAGCAAGGCCGGTGGCGCCTCGGCCGTCTTTTTGGTGGCAACACTGATGTCCAAGGCGAAGGCGAAGGCGAAATCGAAAAGCCTGGGCCAGCTAAATGGAGCATGGGAATGTTGAACGATTTGGAAACCGTCGAAGTTCCAGGTGAGTAAACGACTGCCGGATGGCTTCTGCTTCATCAGTTTCATCACCGTTGAACAACTCTCTAACGCATTCTCGTGTTTGGCAGGATCTGTCCTATTGCTTGCTAGTAATCGCAACGAACCGCTCGGCCTGCGCAATGTTCATGCTCGTACTTCGCATTCCTCCATTCCAGCCGGGTTCCCTGTCGAGGCTCCCATGACTCCCGGCGGCACTCAGTCATCGGTGTTGTCACCATCATCCGGCCCCGAGAAGCCGGCTGACGAAGCCGAAGCCGAAGCCAAGAAGAAGACGGGAGATGGTAAAATCATCTTGGATCCACAACCAGAGGATTCCGTCAATGACCCCTTGAACTGGCCAACCTGGCGCCGCGATTGCGCTCTCCTGTCTCTGGGGTTTTACTGCATGATTGGAGGTGGCATGACGCCCATCATTGCCGCGGGATTCACAAATGTCGCCCACGACTTTGATGTCTCGGTTGAGCGCGTACCTCTAACCACTGGTCTTTACATGATGGGCCTAGGAGTAGGCTCTGTCATTGCCTCTCCCACAGCCATCCTGTTCGGCAAACGACCGGTATACCTCGCCGGTGCCATTCTTCTCATCGGAACCTGCATCTGGTGTGGATACTCGCCAAGCTTCCCTTCCCTCATTGCCGCCAGAGTCTTCCAGGGCATTGCCGTTTCTCCGGTAGAGTGTCTGCCATCTGCCACTATTGCCGAGATCTTCTTCCTCCACGAGCGCGCATACCGTATCGGAATCTATACCCTCTTGCTCCTGGGAGGCAAGAATCTCGTTCCTCTCGTCAGCGCTGCCATCATTGGCCGCTTTGGCTGGCGATGGGTTTTCTTGTATGTTGCAGCCCACTTCACTTGCTCCCCTTACTTCCAAATCTTGCCATGATGAATTTCTAATCTAAGTTCTCTTTCTACCTAGTATTGTTGCCATGATTGTGGGACTTGGTTTTGTCCTCCTGTTTCTATTCGTCCCAGAGACGTTTTGGGATAGAACGCCGACTCGGAGAGTTTCGAAACGACCTAGTTTCCTTCGCCGAATCTCTCATCATTCTAATCCGGCTCATGCGTCTGCGGGCCCACTCTCTCCTCGAGGCAAATCACCTGTTCGCTCTCACTCTCCTGGTACTATTGAGCGTCGTAGAGACATACATGTTGAGTTTATGCCAAACTTGGAGGCAGCAGCTTCAACAGAGACTGTCCATAAAAAATCAGGAAAAGACTCTGCGATACAGTCTGCGCATCCTCAAGTGGGATTCGTTGTTCCATCATCGGAAAACCATAAAGAAGAGGGCCATGGTCAAGATGATGTGGTTCTCCCGGAATCCTCGCGTGGGCCATCGATTCATAGCGCCCGAGCCTCCCTCGCGTCTCCACGGCCCAGTCTCGCTCCTGACCGCGGCCGAACGATCCCTCCTGCATCCCCTCATGCTCACAGCACAGCCGAGAGCATGGTCATTACCGAGTATTACTCGACAGCACCCAACCTCGACAACGAAAAGTTTCCCTCGTGGAAACTCAGAGCACCTCCTAAGATTAAAGCCTACACTCACAACCTCCGTCACCAACCGGCCCAAACCTTCATCCAGCAACTCAAACCCTATCATGGACGCCTCAATAATGACAACTGGTTCAAGGTCATGGTTAGACCATTCATCCTGTTTGCATACCCTGCTGTCCTTTGGTCCGCCGTCATCTATTCGTGTTCCATCGGCTGGTTGATTGTCATCTCTGAAAACTTGGCTGTCATCTACCGCAACCCGGAAGGATACAACTTCACAGCTCTCCAGGCCGGTCTCGTTTACGTCTCACCCTTTGTGGGCGGCATCCTCGGCACCGGCGTGGCAGGCAAGATCAGCGATGTCATCGTTAGAGCCATGGCTCGCCGCAATGGTGGCATGTATGAACCGGAGTTTCGCCTCGTCATGGCCGTGCCCATCTTGCTTGCCACGTGCATAGGGCTCATGGGATTTGGATGGTCGGCGCAAGAAAAGGACAACTGGATTGTCCCCACCATCTTCTTTGGCATCACGTCGTTTGGCTGCTCCCTTGGCTCGACAACGTCCATCACTTTTTGCGTCGACAGCTACCGTCAGTACGCGGGCGAAGCCTTGGTCACGCTCAACTTTTCCAAGAATGTGCTCCACGGCCTCGTCTTTAGTCTGTTTATTTCCCAGTGGCTCGCAGCTGATGGCTCAAAGAATGTCTACATCTACCTCGGCGTCATTCAGCTCATCTTTTGTCTCTGCTCCATCCCCATGTACATCTTTGGCAAGAGGGCGCGCATGTGGACGGCGCGCATGAATCTCATGGAAAAGTTTTAGAAGATTGATTCACACCTTTTTCAGTCTTTCAAGGGCATTTACGCGGCGTTCATTCTTGTTTTTCTACGGGTCGCATTGACAACGGCGGTGTTTTGCATCATGTATTTTGTATACCTTTTGTCGCTCTGCGTGAGCTGATGCTGTTGGGCGGTTTCCTCTCTCTCTCTCTTTTTTCTGCTCTCAGATGTCTGGGTTAAATCGTCAGTTTCAAGCAGCAACAGTTGCTACTAAGTGCAAGGCGTTGATTACATGTACCTATGGAGGAATATTGGATTCACTTACAAGTACCTAGACATGCACACATACATACATACATACATACATACCTGGATATGCTTATACATACATATATACCCATGCACAAACCTTGTGTAAATACTGTGAAGGATGAACAGGGGGGAGTGAACCAGTAAGATTGGAGTCTGTCCAGCTGCTTTGGTGCCAAGGTAATAACAGGTAGTGCCGTGTAACTCGAACGGGATTTTGCTGTGCACTTGTACTGCTTAGGTACCGTGACGCGACTGCAGTGGCATCCTGCCTACCTATGGTGGGAGCAGGCTCTGACCGGCTATAAAAAGCAAAATCAATATTGTTAGGATCCTTGCATGATGTGGTACCCAACAAAGCAACAAGGCCCGATTGGAACACACAGCACACGCAGCATCAACTTCCAATGATAACAAGCAGGATGTTTGTACAGTGTGAGCACCCCAAACGCGCACTAACATGGAGTGACACAACCTGCCTGCTGCCCGCAGCCTCTTCTGTTTTTCATGCTGCCCAATCCTGCAAAGTGCTTGCCTGGAGCCTGCACCAGAAAGGTTGACTCGACTTGCTCCTCCTGCTCCTTTTGAGTTCCTGGATAGGTAGCCGTCTCGACGATGATGAGTGCCAGAGCGAGTCGCCTCGCCTCGTCGACGACGGGAAGAGGGCACCACGCCTCCGCTCAGGATCGGCGAGCAACCACGCCCTGCCGATTCTTCCAGACGGGGTCTTGCACCAAGGGAGAAGCGTGTCCCTATTCGCACAGTTTGCTGAACCGTTCTGTCGTGGCATCTCAAGAGGTAACAAAAAACTTTGTCGAGAATATCAATCGTGAGAGCCATCTTTTGCTTACTTCTGTGTAGCGAGGCGTACAACTCGAAAAAGCCAGGGCAACCAAGCCATCACCCGCTGCGAGTTCTGGAAGTAGAAAGCCAGCTTGCAGATTCTTCAAGACCGGGAGCTGTATATATGGAGAGAAGTGTCTGTTTCGGCATGCCCAGGAAGATCTGACGGCTCAAGACGGGGCCAATGCTACGTTCGAGGTTAGTCGTCCCGCTGCTGAGGTCCACCAAACACTCTTGTCTAGGCAGTAGAGTGGGTGGGTGTGCACTGAAGGATAAATATTAAAGCAAGCTGTTTTACAGGACGAACCAAAGCGAGACGACTTCACGAGGACGATTGATGGCGCCTTCGTCCAGTTCGAAGCGGGTGCCCGCGTGTCAAAAATCCGTCTACCCAGCGATTTCTCTGCTGTCCGCATCAGTGGGTTGCCGCTAAACACATCAGAGAAGTCGGTTCGGGATATGTTTGCCGAAAGGGGGTTGCATGTCAGCGTCGACGATGTGCACATGTTGCAGATGGAAGGCAGTTGTGGAGCGTCCGTGAGATCGGACGACGTATTGTTTTCCAAAAAGACTTGTGCCATTATTCAACCTGGCTTCACGTGGGAGGGCGCCAGGATATATGCCACGCCCATTGCTGCACCCATGCCGTCTGGACATAACGCTCGACGCGTAGACTGCAAGAAGGTCCATATATCCTGGCATAAAGCAGTCAGGAATGTCTGGATGAACTTTGCCAGCGGCGAAGTTGCCCAGAGGGTGAGCGACTTGTTCTCAAAGGGCGCTTATCGAATATTGAACCAAAAAGTCACCGCGGGGGCAGCCACTGAAGCCAGGCCAGCTTTTCAATCGTGGTCACCGTCTAAGAACCGTGAATCATGGACTGTTATGCTGACCGAAGTCCCAGCGACTGCGGAGAGGAGTGACATCATGGATGCTATTACACAAGAAAAGAACAGACCGCGCTACATAGAAGTCGGCCTTCCAACGTACTCGGCCGACGCTGGACAGGCCACAACTATTATACGCTCGCTTCTGACGAATGTCGGACCTTTGGAGTACTTTGAGGTCATGCTGGAGACGAACGCTAGGCGAGTCAAAGCAACCGCGCGCTTCTTGGACGAGGAGGACGCTCGAAGAGCTGTCGAGCAACTTGACAAAAAGGAGCTCCCTTTTCATCCCAAAGCGCGATTGACGGTCCAGATGGTGTACTCGGCCAAGTTCAAGACTGGCACCAACATCTATGACGCTGTCTGCCCCAAGATCTTGCCCCAGCAGAAGATTTGGAAAAATCAAAATATTACCTTTAGGGCATACAACAGCACCGATCCCCTACGGAGATTCAGGCTCTTGAAGATTGAAGGCGAATCGGCAAATGATGTTGTTGTGGCTAAGGCTGACCTCGAGTCTATTCTTGCTGGCGTCGTTGCGAAGGAGAACGGCATCACCCTCTGGGACTCCTCCCTCAAAGCGAACGGCAAACTTTACCAAGCGATCAAGAAGCTGGAAAAGGAGTGTTCCGTAGTTATCCTTCGAGATAAACTCAAATCTGAGCTGCGTCTCTTTGGAGCTCAGGATTGCTGCGAAGTAGCGCAGCTTCGGCTGGCTGAATTGATACGCGTTGAGTCGCTCTCAACGTCCACTCGAGCTATTGAGCTCGACCCTCACAAGTTCTTCTGGGCCTGCCATGGGGGTTTCAGAAAGATTGCCACACGGCTCGGCCCCGAAAAGGCGTCATTTGACATCATCTCCACGCCCAAGAAGATTGTCATCTCGGGCCCACTGGAAGATTATGATGTTGCCCTGGCAATCATCGAAGGCAGAGAGCAAGTCGCAGAACCAGTTGAGCTGCTCGAACCCGGCGAGGCCGCACAAGAGTGTTCGGTTTGCTGGACGGAAGCTGACACTCCCATCAAGACTGCTTGTGGCCATGTTTATTGTCTGGAATGCTTCGAAAGAAGCTGCATAGTGGGGGACGTGACTACCGCAGCATTTGCTGTTCTTTGCCATGGTAATAAAGGCAATTGTAGGAGCGTCATAGGAGTTGAGGACCTTCAGGAGCATCTCTCTTCGGCCGTGCTCGAGGATGTGCTTGAGCGATCCTTTTCATCCCATATCAAGCGTAACCCTAACGAGTTCCGCCACTGTCCCACTCCAGACTGCGGCTACATCTATAGGGTCACATCGGACTCGAGAATCCAGAACTGCCCCAACTGTCTTAGACCGACCTGTTCCGCTTGCCACGAGCCTCATGTCGGCATGTCGTGTGCAGAACACCATTACTTGATGTCGGAAGGCTACCAGGAGTTCAGGAAGCTCAAGGAAGATCTGGGTATCAAGGACTGCCCAATGTGTAAAACTCCAATGGAAAAGATCTCGGGGTGCAACCATATGACGTGCGCGGTCTGCAACTGCCACATTTGCTGGGTTTGCCTGAAGACTTTTCCAAGCAGCGACCAAGTCTATGACCATATGGCTGAGTTGCATGGAGGCCTTTATGACGTGGCAGAGGTGCCCATGTAATGGTAGATGGCATCATCCTACACCCAGACAGAGAGAGAATGGTAATATGGTAATCTCGAGGCATCGATCCTCGATCAACAGGGCATTGCCGTAGCTAGGCAGTAGAATGAATCAACCAGCCCTTTTTATTAGATAATTCTGCCCATGGAACCTCTTTAAACCTGTGATGCAATTCAATTGATTGACCACTATAAGACAAAAAGCCCTTCTATACAAGAGCAAGTTGTTGACGTGGCATCCTTCGGGAGGCTGGTGACAGACTTTGGCGTCCCTGACATTCTGATAAGGAGGCTGTAACGTTGAAATCGGGTGAATCCAGCCTTGCCAATATGGGAGATACTTGTGCTGGAATCTTGACAGCTCTGCGGCATTGCAACAAGCCTGCTCCAGATTTTTTGGGCACCTCTTTGAGCAACGGAATGAAGAAGGCAAGAGAAGAATGCTCGATGAACTTTATGGCGGTGGCAACGCCATCCAAGACAGAATTGTTGGTATAAACATGCCTAAATAGGCAAAATATCTCGAATTGGCCGTTTTCTGCTTTGACATGGCATTTTATAGCGGTGCTTGAGAGGTAGGTGTTGAGTAAGTGAGAGTACAGGACATGGAAGCAAAAGAAGCCGTACTGTGCGGTAAGGCAGAAATATATTCGCACAGTCCCCGCCCCCACTACTGGCATAACGCATAAACTCACACTTTCCTCTTCAAGAACCGTTTGACCTCTTATTGAACTTTAATGTAAACCGAGATAAAGAAATACTGGCATTCTTGTACCTTGTAGGCGTCCTTTTCTTTTATTCTTTTGCCATACCAGCATCGATTACAACTTTTGAAATCACGAAGCACAAGTCCAGCCCTGCGTACGCCTGAACCCACATCTGCGGACTGGCAATCTCAGTTTTTCTCTTCAAATATGTCAAGCAAGATTCCCGCTCTCTTAGAGCCATATCTCGGGCTACCCGAGGAGGCATCACTGATAGTCTTGACAAATGTAATGGGAGCGACGTCAAACTGGCTGGTTTTACGATACCTCTATTCAATACTGCAAGGACGAGGCGCTGGCGTGGATGATACAGAGGCCAATTCTGGAGTTGTGCTCGTGAGCTTTATGAGAGATTTGGCATTTTGGAGAGAGGGCGCAAGCAGATTAGTACGTTTTTGAAACATCTCCTTCTTACTTTTGAATGAATGCTCATCATATTCTACCAGGGTTTGGACTTGGATGGTCTAAGTAGGGCTGGCAAGTTCAGCTTCGTAGATGGGCTGACTGGACTGCTCTCAGGAGGTCAGGACTCAGAGTCTACCGGAGACAAAGGGAGGATTCTGAAGAGCGGGAAGCTGGAAGATGTGAGGAGAGGCATCGGATCAGCGATTGGGGATGTCAGGCTAGGTTCCAAGGTCTTGATTGTCGACCAACTAGACGAACTTTTGGCGATATCCGGAGAGGAAGACGTGACTGGACTGGCGCTGGAAGGGATGCTGTTTTCTCTGAGAGAGGTGAGTCTCAGTCAACCACTCCTTTTCTCTTCTCAGCCAAAGCAGGATCAAAATAACATGAAATGAACTAACACGACATTACTAGCGAGTTCATGCGACAGTTCTCACTTTTTCCGCAGACGATGCTCTTCTGCGAAGCCAAACCACCTCACTAGAGCGCTCACACGCGGCGCTCGTACTCGCCCAGGCACATGCTGCAGACCTAGTCCTGAGCCTCAGGATGCTGGACACAGGTGTGGCCAAGGATGTCAGTGGCGTGGTGAGGATTGCGGTGCGTAAAGAAGAGGAGGAGAGTGCCGAGTATTTATACCACATTGGGGCAGACGGGAATGTAAAGGTGTTTGAGAGAGGGACTTGATGGCTTGTTACGGAGTTTGGAAATGAAGTGTGATAAGATATTTGTTGGATTAAACTTCAAGGCAATATCTGTACGATGAAAGCAATGTGATGGGCAGATGAAGAGATGTGTGAGCACAAACGTTATCGAGGCAAACCAACATGATCAAGGCTCGGTCAGGACATTCATCACATGCAGAATCTCAAGAGCTTGCAAAACGAATAGCCACGGGCAAGAGACACATGAAGAATCAAGATGCCATTTCAGACTTTCGACGCCCGAATCCTTACGGAACCACCGGCGCGAAAATAAAAGCAATTGGGGTCCGTTTTATAAACACCATTTGTCCCATGCTCCAGCCCCTTCCTTGATCAATCGCCCAAATTTACATCCACCGCCACCCCAACTCGAATCCATGCAGCAACAACAAAAAAAAGAAGATGAAAAAAAGAATGATCCGGCAGGAACGTCGCTCATCACTTGGTTTCCACGTATCGTAAAAAATAAGAGAAGAGGAGAAGATGCAAAGGATTCGCCAGGATTCATTAACCTCGTGGACGGATTATTTTTTTTGGTTCTTCTATTTTTTCTCGTTTCTCTCTCTTCCTCTTCTACCCTTTTGTGCATAATCCGGTGTAGCGACGAAGAAAAAAAAACCAGCAGCAGCAGAAAGAGAGCTCGAAACACCCATTGTCACTTAAGATTCCTGCTCAGCGGTCTTCTTGCCAACCCTGGCGTTCTTGGGGGCGCCAGTCTGGAAGCCGTTCTTGAATCGTCGGGAAACGTCCTTGAGGTAGCGGGTGCGGCCAGTGCCGACAGTCCTTCTCCGCTTGGCCTTCTCGCTCCAGTTGTCTGTGAAGAAGGGAAAATGTTAGATTGTCATTCTCGCAACCTGGCCGGGAGGAAGACAACGGAGACGCCTGGTCTCCAGTGTTGACTATAGGCCGAGCCCAAGGAGGGAGTACATACACTTTCGCATCTTGGCGGCGGGGTATCCGCAAGAGGCACACTCATGCTTCTGGACGTGCAGAGAACGACGGCCTATTCCAACCTCAATCAGCATTCCAATTCATTCATTGGTTCGTTCAATCCAATTCGCCATCCGTCGCAATTGCTCCCCTCCGGTCGATTCGTCGAGACAAGAGCCAACTTCTCCGAGCCCAGTGGCTTTTTCCTTCCCAAGTATCTGGCGTGGTCTCGATCGAATCTCCGTAGGGGGCCTTGACGTTGCGAGGAGGCTTCATGATTGCCGTATGTTTCCGGTGGAAGAGGAATAACTAACCGCATCGTCGGCAGAGAGTGTGCGTCTTGTTGTGACGCTTACCAAAGCTGGAGGTACCCTTCGCTACACGCAGGAACAACAGTCAGCCTCATCTCGAAACATCATCAACAACCGTCTCGCCGTATCCCATCCTCTTCCCCTTGTTTCTCGCGCAGCATCTTTCGAAAAATTGCGAGCCGGGTCGTAGCATGGGATCTCGAGAACGGCGAGCAGGAACAGTAAAACGTACTCATCTTGGCGGTCGGTGGTGGTTAGGCGTGAAGTTGGGGATGACGATTCACAAATTGTTAATTTGGGGGAGAGCAACGCCTTTTTCGCGGTGGAGTGTCGAATTGCCAGCCCTAATTTTTGCGTGGGAGTGGCGTGGGCCCGGCGCCCGTCTAAACCACGTGATGATACCCTCTCGCCTGTGCACGTGACGGCACTTTTTTCCTTATCTCAATCGCGAGCTTAGTCAGCATGCTGCTCTGCTGCCGCTACTATACTCGTACTCAGGAGGGAACTGGACTAATATAGTACCTACAGCAGCCCGTCCGTAATCAAAGCTGCTGGAACTGCGATTTAACGGCGTAAGTCGGAAGCGCCGCATTCATCTCACATTTCCGAGATGGTATGTTTACAGTTTCTTCATTCGAATTCACAGGAATTACCAGTTGAATCCTGTCCATTTTGAATACCAATGGTATTTTTGCATTTGATAACGACTGGCTGAGCAGAACAAAAGACTAATATACATGTAACCAGACTCGCTAGAAATCAATCATCTGCTCTTCTCGGCAACTCGATGTGAAAATATCGCTCATGGATATGGAAGTGATATCGTCTAAAGATCGACACGATTCCGTCATTAGGTATCTCCGATGCCAAAAGTCAATCCCAATAAAAAAATCAATAAACCAGCAGCAAACTCGAGGCTCCGTTGAACTCCGTCCTAATCCAGCCCAGGTCATTCAAGACAAAAAATATTCTGCCAGCAGCGCGACAGAGAGGCACGCATATATGAATATGCAAATATATGAATGCCATACCAAAATTCCAGATCCAACATTGCTTTCATCTCAACGCCGTATGTCCAGCTAAACACCGTCTTTTATTGTCTTCATAGCGTCATCGTCGTACTTTTTCTTCTTCTTCTTCTACGGCCATTGGGCAGGTCCAATGATCTCACCGGGAAGTACGTGCTTGGAGATTGCAGTGCCTTGGAAATCCATCGTCTCCACGGCACCGTCATTGCCCCACCATTTGGGACTGTTCATGTTGGTCAAGTACAGGGTGAAGAAGATGAGCAACGTGGATATGATGAGACCACAATCCAGCGCTGCCGAAAGAATGTAGTTGTACTGCAACCACCAGCCGGTGTATCGTCGCCTGATGAAGTAGTTGAAAACAATGCCCATGATTCCCCAGCAGAGATAGATGTTGACAGTCGCGGGAGGGAGCAGGCCAGTGCCTCCGAAGATGACGGGGGAGCTGACATAGCGCCAGAAAGACTTGGGCCAGCGGCGAGCCAGCAGCCACGTGGCAATGGGCGTGATGGCTCCAACGAGCCAGAACCATTGCAAAGAGGCGTAAAGAGCTCCATGGCTGAAGATACGAGCGGGACCAATGGCACCCCAGATGATCGAGGCCGTATAGAAGACACGGCCACCAGGGCATGTATAGCTGTTCTCCTGGTCCAAAGCGCAGACATTGGGGATGTGGCCCAAAGCCCAGTTCATCACGGCAATCTGCACAATGGCAGACCACACAGAAGCCACAAGCTGTGATGTGAACATGACACGAGGCGGCACCTTCATATAGTGGCCAAGCTTCAGGTCCTGGGCAAAGTACAACGCCTGGGACATGGAGATGTAGCCATAGTTCTTGAACATCATCATGGCAAGAGGTCGGCCGGGAACCATGTACCCAATGATGAACTCAGTGAGCACGTTGAGACCGAGCTGGATGTTGGTGATGGCCTGAACGATGCCGATGGGGATGAGCCATACAATCGGGAGCAATAAGCAAACGACATACGCCCAAACAGGGAAGCCCGTATCCCAGCCGGCAACGATGCCAAAGGAGATGGCAACCATACCAATGAACAGCGCTGCACAAATCGTATACATTAGCATCATAACTCCAAACTGTGCATCGAGACGAGCTATCAAGACAAGGACACGACATACCTGCATACCACCAATCCTCAGCATCTCGGTACTTCTTCATCAACCGCATGTGAACATCGTCCTCCTGATGACGGGCGAGCTTGAACTGGCCCCAGATCTCCTTGCCATGGTAAAGAGCAACATGGATAAGCACGGCGGCAACAGCAGCAAACGACAAAGCATAAGCAAGAGCAAACTGCGTCGGCAAGAACAAAGGCGAGTACTCTTTATACGCTGTCTCGTTGAAATTCAAGTCATTTCCAAGGATTCGCGAAACGTTGTAAACCTGACCAAGGTTGTCGTATGACTCGGAAGATTGAACAGGGAAGTAATCAGAATACCAGGTACCGCTAAAGTGAATGCCCATGGAGATGACGACGAAGAAGATGATGATGCCACCAAGCACGTTGGCGATGGCATGGAAAGGAGGAATCAGGGGCGAGCCCAAGAAGCCGCTGTACACAGACCAGTCGAAGGAGGTGGGCATCAGTCCGTATCCGTGAGCGGGACCAAAGATTTTGTTGACGACGATATTGTTCGGGGCAATCCAGCAGACCCAGGCAAAGGAAGACAAACCCTTGAAGATCCACCCGGGGAACCAGAACCAGATGAAGGCGCCAAATCCGACGATGAGGAAGAGCTTGTAGCGTCCGATGGACCAGCCGTTGGTCTTTGATGGATCCGATGGCGAGTGGTCGTGCAAGCTGTAGAAGAGGGCGACATTGACCAAGTCGGCGGGCCAAATCATGGCGGCAGGCCAGACCAAGAAGCGACGGGCCAAGCCAGCGAGGCCGTATCCAGTACACAGCGTGGTGATGCCGAAAAGAAGCTGGAAAGCCCAGCCGAAATCCTGCTTATAAAAGAGGCGCTGGGCAAGCAAGACATCGGTCGCATAGAGCACACCACCGCCATAGGCAGCCTAAGATGGACATTAGTTTCGCTCACGAGTCATCGATTTCGCAAATGGTACTCACGTTCGACATGGCAACAATAATGACATGCTCCTTGTGGTTAAATTTGCCGGGTCGGAGGTTGAATTTCAAGCCAAAGAGATTCCATTCCTTGTCGGGCATGACCAAATCCCAGCCTCTGCCGATGGGATAGGCAATCAGCTGAATAACATACGTCGTGATGGCGACGCTCGGGTTGCGAAGCGAGAAGAGCATATTGACTCCAGAGCCGACGGTGCAAAGAATCAAACCGATGACCCAGGCGCGGATGGTGTTGGCAGGGACGTCGACATCATAGTTTCGAACAACGGCTCGCACCTATAAGAGGGAAAAAGATTCATCCATCAGCTTACACAACTTTTCACTCACGCATACAATCAAGGCATCTAATTTCATTTTGACGTCTCCTTCATCTCATGGTTAAGCCAGTCATACCTCGGGATAAGGGCTGTTATCTTCCATGAGGGCATGCTCAATCTCGATGCCCTTCTCGGCATTGCCTGTCGCAATAGCAGCGTCGACATCGTTGAGGTCGTCGATGGGCAGGTTAGGGTCGAGCTTGTGTGCCTTTTCAAATTGTTGCAGATGCTGGAGATGTTGCATGCCAGGCAGATCTTGTTCCAAAGGACCGGGGATCGGAGTGATCTCCTCCGGCTCATGGCGCCGGCGGAAGATGGACGGCAACATGTCGACTGTAAGAAAACGGGTTATCGTCAGTTGGCTTCTGGTTGTGAACTGTCGCCCTAGTCGTCGCTTTATCGCCGTCGCCCGTCTGGTCGTCGACAGATCGAACGAGCCGAGTCGAATCGAATCGGGCGAGGTCTGTCTGTGTGACTCGCACTCTCTCGCTCGCTCACTCTCTTCTCTCTCTCTTGCTCTCGGTGAGGAAGGATTTGTAGAGGTGGGAAGAGAGAATGAGTGCGGCGACCTTACAAAACACCAGCAGATAATCGATGGGACGCTAACCCCATGGGCTGCCATACAGCACATCTACGCCCTGCCAATCAAAAGGCCCATAGGAGAGCGCCATTCTAGCTGCTCTCACGAGTCCAGCCGACCAGACCAGGCTCCATCTTGATAAATTCCCCGCCAAAACATGGGCAGTGTGGCTCGAGACCAGACCGAGACAGAGACGGCGCAGCACAGTGCGCAGCTAGCCCATCCAGCCCCTGTCGGTTCCTGTCATCCACCATGTGCCAAAGAGAAAAGGCTTCCCAAGGCTTAGGCCGCGGCCCCTTGTTGGTTGGCCGGCTGGCTGGGCCGGTGCCAATTCAGAGATAACCTGCTATTCCTGGGGATCAACAGTGTGCGAAGCCAAGACCTTCCTAATGGACCATAGCGTCGCCTCCGTGGCTGGACTCTGGAGACAGTCTGAACAAGCACGGGAGCACGGAGAGCGACATTCCTCGCAGAATCCACGCAAGCCGAGTCGGGGACTTGAGCTTCGTTCGAAGATGGTTCCCGGCTCCAAAACCCTCGGCCCCGTATCGATCGGTATACTGTACTCGCACATAGTACTCGCACAAGAGGATGCTCGACATCGATGTCAGATGTCTTGACCGCCTGTGTGCTTGCGCTCTGTACGAGTACTGTACGTATCCGTGTCCGTGCTGTGCACGACACACGCCATGTTCCTTGGCCGAGCCACAAAGTGCAGTAGCATGTGCTTCTCTCACACTTCCTTGCCGTGCCTAGCTGCGAGGCGCAAAATAGTCTGTTTTGTCGGCCAGCCAATGATGCAGCCAAGGGGGCCCCTAGCCTCAACGGCTCCCAGAGAGGGCTGCCCAGGGTGAGAGGCCCTTATCTCTTCCCCCCTCGCATGGCGTTATTTCTGACTTGTAATCGCGAGAAGCTGAATGGAAAATAGCCGGGCTGGCCATTGATAGCCCAGTTCGAGTAGACTACTATCTACGAGATGAATCCGATCTCGGGACCCCAGATTGCGTGGATTTGGAAGCGCCAGCACGTCAGTGCATATCCTATTACTATCTTCTATGTTCTACGTGCACTTTGCTGGGGTATCGATTCTGAGAGATTTTTAATTCTCCGCAGAGCAAAGACGAAGCCGAAGCCGAGTTCTTTTTTTCTTCTTGACAGCCCGTTTTGGGCAAATGTCCTGCGACCCTCGTGCGTACGAGTACATTATACGGTACGAGTCCCGCAACGGCGGCACGGTATCGCCTTTTCGTCGCCTCGCCTCGTTTTTTCGTCTTACCCGGTTTCCCATCCAGAAAAGCAGGCGATGTCCCGTTTCATGCGTTCCCTTACTCGTACTGTACGCACTAGCCATGCCACACACACACAGCCATGCTGTTCCCCGACATTGTGCAGACGCCACAGAGAGAAAATTCTCAGCTGCGCACCCGCTCCCCCTGCAATCTGGAGTTCTAGGCCCCTCTTGATATCTCCGGATCGCTGTGTATGTACTATGTAGACGATATCGCATCCTGCCTGCTATCAGGGCCCATCGTCATTCAACGCCATGTCAACTCCTCATCAGCTTTCTTTTTCTCAACCGTGACAGCTTCATCAAAAGGACGAGACACGCCCCGATTGCTGACCATCCAGGTGTCGCCTTGTGCTCCGCTCCGCCACCCGACAGTGTGGAACTTTTGACGCGGACCGGCCAAGGCAACAGAAGTTCCCCCTTCCGGCACCGTTTTCCTCTTACAATAATAGAGGCGGCTACAGCCCTTTAACACGGGCACAGCGACACTTGATTCAGGGCACTTTTGTTTCGGTTTTTGAGTTTTCCTTTTTCGCTTGTTTTTAACGTTTGTTCCCTAAGCTTTTCTTTTTTTTCCTCTTTTTGCCACGGAGCGGGATGCTAGTAGTTTTTTTTTAGCCCAAGAACTCCATTTGTTGCCGATCTCCCCACAATGAGGCTACCAGAGCCGAAAGTTCGAATCCTCTCGTTCTTTTTCAAGAAGCTTATATTCACCAGAGTGCCACAGATGTGATGATTGACTCGCGGAGAAACCCGAACTCTCTTAAACGGGCTCTGGATATGATGCCTGCCGTCGATTAATTTCGCTTTCCATCGCCAATTTTCGTGCTCAAAAATATGGTTTTGGGTCAAAATCCAATGTGTAGCATGATACGGGACCACTAAGCGCCAGCATGGGACAAACCCCTTGTCCGCACCAGGAATATGAGACGCAGTATACACCCTGCTGCTGCAAACGATCCTCTCCTCATCACGTTTACAGTACGCCCGGCATCACCTGCAAAAGTTCAAAGCAAGAGTTCTTGCCCAAAACTGCATCCTGGACAGTAAGATCGCAGAGTGGAGAGCTGCAGTGCTACCGGAAGACTGCCTTTTTACAATACGAGCACAGGCACTATGGTCGGTGGAAGCAGCCAATTGTAGACGACATATCAGGGCCGTGGCCCTATTCTCTGATGTTCCTTGTCCAAACGCTCTTGAATGGGAGGGACTTCTGTTTTTTCTCAACTCTACCCGAGTATTAAGTACTGAGGTTCATATTATGGAATACAAGCAGCTGCTTCTAGCACGCTGGAAACTGGATATAAAAAAATAAGCAGGGGGGGGCCAAGAAGGAGAAGGAGGAGAAACGCAAGCAAGACACAACTACAGTGGATTCAAGTCGGCGACGTGGCCCAACGAGACATTCCAAAGCGTGGTCCTTCCGTGTGTGACCTCGTCCCACTCTTCTGATGCAAAGATCCCCCTTGCGTAGTCTTGCACTCTCTCCGTCAGCAGGTCTCGCCGGCTCACGTCCATCAGCCGCGCTATTAGCGCCGTGGCATGTGCATCCAGTATGGTTGGCCTGTCTCCAAAGATCCAAAGTTGGCCCTGGTTCTGCTCGTTGAGGATTGTGTCAAGTTCTTGCACAAAATCGCGAGCCTTGGCTTCAACATCCGCGATGCTCGTAGGAGTGAACATGTTGTTGTGGAACATGTCATGGCTAGCGAGGTTGTTAACATCTTGCTTGGATAATTGCCCAACTTTTCCATGAACAAACTTACAAGACGCTTTTCAATTCCAATGCTCTGCGATGCCGCTCGGTCAAATCCTTCTTCTCCAGTAGCTCAGCCGCTCGATTAAGAATACCGTGCTTCCTTTCGTCAGGCCCAATCGTCAGAGTCATAGCATGGAAGCTGTACAGCTTTTCCATCATGTTCTGGATCATTTCTTGATGCTCCTTAGGAATTAATTCCGGTTGTTTCTCACACAACCATTTGGAGATGTCATAGCTATCCGTGAGTGGTGACGAAAGCGCAGGCGACGTCAACGCAGGCACCTTTTTCAGTGTCAGTATTCACATCACTCTCTTCAAATCTCTAATGAGATATAAGTAAATATTCATAAAGTGGGGAGACTAACCTGGCCTCTTGAGTTCACCGAAGTGAGATAGAGCTCTGAAAAGTTCTCTTCTCGATGAAGATTCACCAGCTTGATTTCAACTTTCGGTGCCGTCTCTGGATTCAGCCGTCTCCCTAGTACGAGACCAAATCGCACCATGAGTGAATACAAAGAAAACGGAAAATAGTGAAGAGTGTAGACGTCATTTTCGGCCGCCATCTTGTTATCGTCGATTCAATTGTAAAGCGAATTCAACCGCGACAAGAACTGGTACTAGCAGAGCCACGAGCAGTCTTGGAGGTGGACTGGAGTTGCAGTTGACAAAGATTCCTGACAAATGATGGCAACTCAATGGTTTTTTATATCTTGGAATGATTGAATCAATAACGAGGGTCACTGCCGGCGGATGCCTCTGATATGGAGTTGAATGAACCGGTCGCGTGTGGAGCCAAACCCCCGGACCGGCTACGCCGTCGCGTTCACGATCGGGTGCGGCTCCTTGTCCCTGCTCCCTCAGCTGCGCCTCGCTACGCCTCAGTCTCACCGAGATTTCAACGGCATTGTCTCGTTCTATATGACGAAATGCGCCATCAACCGGCGGCCCTCGAGATCTGGGGCAATTGCATCATACGAAAACTCTCTGGGTGCCACTTGATCTGTCGGTTTTACTTCTCTGCCTCTTGTTGACTGCTTTGTAGTGGCTGTTTAGTCATTGTGGCCACTCGCGGCTTGATGATACGAGTACTCGTACAGCTTAGTCCCGCATTTCATCAATGACGATACAGGTACGCCCCCTACAAAATAATTGGAGGGAGGGATGAAATATTCGGGGACCGCTAGGGAGAATATCAATAAATTCCCGAAGGTGAATAAAAATTGCCCCAGCATTTCAACCTGGGACTTTTGCCGGTTTTAGACACGACACACCCCTGATCTTCCGGGCTCATCCACATACATCCACGATCGAGAGAAACATGGTCAATAGCCCGATTGTGAGTTATCCACTTGTCGTAGGGTGTTCTCCAAATAGCCGATCACGATCTGCAAGTCATGATGGCATTAGTCCCACTGATCACGTTTTGCTGGGTCATGATCAACAATCCCATCGCCAATAATGCTCGCTTCTCCAGCCTGTTATGTTGTCGATAGCGGGCATTGCATTCGCTCTCCTTCCTTTGTTTGTATGCTGTTTGTCGGAGCAGTATCTCATACATATCCACTCCTCGCTCCGTTTTATTTCAGAAGCAATAGCTAGCCAATTGACAAAGCTCGGAGAAGAGGGATGCTTTGAAACGAGACATTAGAACCGAATTATAAATCGCTCAGAGCGTATAGAGAATGATGTCGAAGCCGCTCGCGAATCGAGCTGTACCACAGTCATAAGCAGGTCGTTAATTCCGTTCACCTGGAGTTAAGTGGCTTCAACGAATGCAATATTGTGAGATGCTTTTGATCGCATGTCTGAAGTTTCGGGGGGGAGACTAAATCCCTTGTCGAGTTATCTTCATCACGTCGTAGCATAGTTTGAGTCACTCATATACCAGAGTCGGAAATCTAGGCTCAAGACATATGATCAAGACACAAACTGTATCGAATCGTGACATATGAAACATCGCCCAGCAATATTCACGGCTTTCTGTACTCACCAGAGCACCATACTTTTTTCTGTTGCATGTCTCATCGTACACTTCCGGTGAGATTAAAGTAACGGGGCCGATAATATTCGTTTAGATTGGTAGGCATGAGGCCGGCACGAGATGTTCTGTCCCAAACGGTTATGCGAGGGGGCATTTGAGGCTTGTTTTTGTTTCTCCTCGTAATCAATCAGAAACCAGGAAAGGTTCAACATTTATGCCGCCACGAGAGACATCCACTCTGAGCATTATTAGATGTCATATCAGCTCTATCGTGTAGCTTCGAAGTCCCTTGAGGCAATATTTTACACAAAAATCGTTCAGGAAAACATCTGAAAGACAGCGCTCGGTCGTGAGATTCAACTTTTGGCAGAGTTTGAATCGGTTATGCACATTTTGGAAATGGACGAAGAAAGGAAAAGAAAAGAGAACACAGAAGGTTTCTAGGGAAAGGAAATAGGAATCGATACCGTTGAGGAATGGATAGCATAACGTGATAGACTTGTTGCACTGGTACACACATTATAAAGGCTGTGAATCTCGGCCATGAGCAACCTTTGAATACGAGTAGTGCCAAATCGCACTCTTTATGAGACAACGAGATCATGGCCAAGAGACAATGGCTGAAACTCGTAGTAGATAGTGATCTAGGCGAATCATTGCCGGCGATACGAGCACATGTATCACAGATAACTAGCATTCACTCAGTTCCCTATGGGTAGAGAGACTTGCTCTCAAAACTCCCATCCTACGTCGTAGCAGCAATGTTGTTGTTGCCACACGAAGAGGATTAGGGTCGATACACAATTGGATGGCTGGTAAAGCGAAACCATCTGTCGAATTGTGGTAAAGAAAAGGCCTGGACATCAGAAACGTGTACCCTGTAGCGTAGTTGTATACCATGAAACTATTCACAGAGATAAGGAGCTTCGATTCGCCTGATTCACGTGGACAAAAGTGGCTTCTTCCTAGGGGTTCAGCCTTGAGAGAGTTCCCCGCGATTATTTCGGACCCGGCATCTGAAAAGCGGCGAGGTACAGATCGCAGAGGCTTTTACCAATGGTGACTTTTTTGCGAAGATGGCTCCATACAACGATTGAAAATGCCAATGTCAAAGCGCTGCCACTAGATGGGCATTCGGCTGGGCTATCGACCAATACGCAGAATCAGATCTAACACGGGCCAGCGTACAATTTGATAGATCATAGAAGGCGGCTTAGGATCCTAGTTGATCGACAGGGGGAGCCGCTTATCTTCCTGGGTCTTTCCAAGGGGGCTGCGTAGCCAAGTTGCCAAGGTATTGCAGACCTTGTCCACGCAAGCAGGTATAGTAGTATTACAACACATCTATTTCCCGCTTTCCCACATTTCGTACTCTGTGGAAGCAATCCTTTGTGGCTTGTGTCTTGCCAATGGCAGAGGCATGACGAGGCTGAGCGGGGATGGGGATTTTTATGGTGGCAGATCTCTCTCGTAAACGAGAGCCATCTCCGATCAGCAGGCGTGGCACGATTAAGCACGAGCATACTATTCTTCATAGGAGGTCTGTGGCAGTGGATACCTGCCAATATCTCTGCCTATTTCTCTTCCCGAGTTGCATAAAGCGAGTTACGGAGATGGAGTCTTCCGTATGAATGATAGCGAGTGTATTGCTCCTCCATATGGTAAGCCTGCATCAATGAGCCACGGCAAGTGACTGATTACATGTGCTGGTCGGTAGTAATATTCCGTTTTCCGCACTCGTACGAGAACGTGTACGTAACACAACTTGGAAGGGCATCAGAAACTGTAGTACTATCTCGGCCAAGGATGATAGGCAATGCACCCTGGTCGAGACTCGGGCCGGCGAATGGAGACGGGTAAGGCGGCTGTGTTTTCTCCGTATCGAAATCCGTACCTGCATCTGCTCGCCGCCATCCAAGGACAAGTGAAGCACCAGCACCAGCACCAGCACCAGTGCTCCGCTCCGTACTGCCAGCCAGGAGCACTGCCGGCATATCACGATGGTGTCGTCATGAAGTGAAAAAAGAGGCAACCGGCCGGTCACTTTGCTCCCGTAGCCTGTGTCATGTAGAGTGGCGCCTCCATACCCATACCGACCAAGTAGGAAGTGTCCGACGGAAGGGCTGTCAAAGGTGGCCGGACTCGAGAATTTCAGGGGGGCCATCTCGTTGTGTGGATGCTTGGATGCGTCGCCTTGCCTATTTTGCACATAGTCGCTGGATCGAAATCGATCTAAGCAGTACCGGGCCTATTGACATTGACAGCGCATTGACTCGACTCGGCTGTGTTGCTGTCATGGCTTTCTGTTGTGGTTCCGCTCCTCTTTCGCGTTTCGTTGGGCGGAGAGAATTTGACAAGTTGTGCTTGGTAGCTTGGCGGCTTTGGTATTTTCATTTTTCTTTCTGTGAGCCCTGATAGTACAAGTAACGCGCTACGGTAGGTTGGCTCTTTCCGGTCCGAGCTCCTTGTGCACCTTCTTCTTGGTACTAGTGCAACCAACACAAAACACTCTTTGCAATTCAACGTGGCAACTGCCAATGGCAATTTGAGTCCCACCAGCTAGGTACCAAGGTACAAGCAGAACCGATGGGATTGCAACGGTCTAATCAGATAGGTACCTCTGTCACGCTGGAGGCGATGCAGGTTAGTACAGGTAGGTTCTACTGCTACTGTAAATGTAAATGTTAGGCCCTTATCAGTGACATTTGGTGCACGGCGATTGCAATTTAATAGGTTCTAAATAAAGACACACGAGTGGTTAGTACTAGTTGTAAATTGAACTTACAAGTTACAACCCTATGATGCCATGCACAGCTGACGACTCCCGAGCTAATGCATGTCTGTTGAAACGGCAATTTCCTGCTTCCCAGTTTTAATGCGGGGGCTGCACTGGACTGAAGCCATCGGGGTGCTGAGGATTGCCGACTGCGTCAGCTACCAGGGTACCTGCTGCAGCCAAGGCTTCTCACCAAGATGCTTGTACCTTTCTATGACGACAATGGGACTACTAGGTACCTTAGTACTTGTGTCAGTTCTTCGTGTTGTCAGTGTCCCTTTATAACAGCTACTACTCAGGGAGCAAAGCCTCCAGCTTCTACACTCAGCCTTGTGATGCTACAGCTACAGCCAAGCTACTAAGGTGGCAGCTAACTTTGGGCCTCCTCGGACCAACGCACGTTTTTTTTTTTTTACTCCGCGAATACGCTTAAGATTTTTTTTTTTTTCTTTCCCACTTCGCTCAGTAGCCGAACACGGCATGTGAATGGAGATGTTGTGGCTTCTTCCGGCCTCTCCGTGAAATGTCCCCACCCTCAAGGTACCGAAGAAACTGCAACAGGAACAAGAAAGGCTGCGGAGTTTGGTGGCATAAAAAAGGAATAGAAGAGGGAGAAAGCAAAGCCACGGCGCGCCCCAAGCGACCAATTGACTTTGGGAGCCTCCAGCTAGGCCTCCTCAATATCTCTCCCCCTCTCTCTATCTCCCTCCCGTGTCATCTGCCCTCGTCCATCTTCAAAAGCAGGGGCTTGAGAACTGGGGCGCGGGTGGATAAGGCTCCAATTCGTCGAGAAGCTGACTGGAAAAGAAAGCAATCTTGGAAAGCTTATCCTGTCTTACGGACAGCCCTTGCATCAATAAGATGTTTTAAACTCCAAAGAACCAAGTATTGTAATAAATAAGTGGTACATAGCAGCTGACGAATCCGTCGAGGAGGATCAAATGCAATGTGACTGCGCAGATTCCTGATTGGCCCGGCGGAGATAAGTCCCCGCGAACGAACGAGATTCTACATCACCTTGGATTTTGGTACTTTTACTTTGTCGACTGTATGCGGATGATGCTGGAAAATGCAATATTCAGACATTGATGAAACATGACCTGATCAATTTCTTTCGGAAGCAGCAATGCCCAAGACATTGAAGCCCTAAAGTGTCTGGCTGCCTGATGACTGCGAGAGGCCAATGCGGCAGTACATGTTGTGTACGCGGTGCTTGTGTCACTTTTGTGGCGACATGGGGCTTATTTTGAGTAAGCGGGCCGTCGCTAGAATGTCACCCAGAGGTGGCGTGCGGCGTGCGGCGTAACCGGCCATTGTTGCAGCGTTGGTTTTAGTGCCCGTTCCTCCTAACAAAAGTCAATTCGTAAGATTGCTGCTGGTGGCACAGCATACTAATTTAACGTCGAGTTGGGTGCAAATAGGCAGGTATGTCGGTGCAAATATGAACCAATAGAAACCAATCATCTGAGTTGTTCAATTGATGCTGCCTTGCCTCGGTGGTGCATTCCATCAATGCTCTGGTGGTTGCGCTTTAGCGGCTGTGAAGCATTCGTGAATGGGTAGGTACTTGCACATGCATTTCTGTGCATCTCATCATCACCGCTGGCTGCCACTAATACAGGACTACTAGGTAGGTACTATAGGTTAACTGACAGACAAGATGGACACTTTGGGCATCAACAATTGCTACAGACTTGATGACCATTGTACTCCGTACTGTAGAATTCAATCATGATCAATGTCAAGTCTCAATCTTACAGCACCGGCTGTCTCGCATTTGGTACCAGTTGCAACGGTGCTGTTGGGAGCCCCGTTCGTCCAGCGCTTGGACAATGCTCATGACCTCGTATCTGCTTAGCAGCAACTCGTATTCTGTTCTACGCCTCGTCGGGTTCCCATTCAATTTGCTTTGGCTATTTCATGCTCGTACAAACTGTATCTTATCCTCCCTTTTTCCCCCTTCTCATTTTCCCCCGCCATCTTCTCATTCATTCCGCAGCAGACTCGACTCGAGCCTCGCTCTAGCGCCCTGTTGCCGTCCGCATTTCCGAGGGCGGCTGATGTCGCGAGACTTCCAGTTAGGGCAGCTCTGTTGAGTGCGAGCTGACAGGCTCCAGGTCTCGATACACGGCTGCAGCTGTGCGTTGCCGGTGCCCCACGCTTTAGATTGGGTCATCCATCTGTTCGCTGTTTTTGATCACTTACAGGTACTCGTACGGAGTACAGCACATCATAATCATTGCGGCAACACACAGGTTTGCAGTTGTTCTGGTGTATTGAACGACAGCAGCAGCAGCGATTGAGTACGCACCCGCGGATACATTAATTCGACCTCTCACGAGCCAGCAAAAGCCTCCGAGTCTGTTGGGCTTGGACGATTGTCCATCTGCTGCCACCTACGAAGTCCATGACGATACAGTAAGAGCACTCGCGCCTTGTCACTTGTTCCGCCTTAGTATTCACGACTGCACGGCTCCATTACACGTACGAGTACTCGCACGCACCTGGTGCCTTGGCTTGAGCATTACAAGTACCCGTACTTGTACGAGCACCACGGGAACGTTGAAAGAATTGAAATAAAATAAAATAAAATAGGGGATCCAAGGGGACCCGTTTAGGCCACCCCTGACGCCGCAGCTCCCGAGGCATGCTGAAATCCTGCCTTTGTGCTAGCATTGATTCAATTCCGCGCGGCCGAGGGCTCCGCAATACGCAAACGTACCAAGCATTACGAGTACTCGTGCGGTACAGGTACTTGGCCCTCAACTGCATGCGTGCCCGGTCTTGGAATTAGGCAGTGCCCAGGCCCAGCAAGACATTGAGAATCCGGCACACGAATCTTGGCCTCATTGTTCGCCCAGGCCTCCCTTTTTACCAGTGCTCAAGGCTGGTAGGCAGTGGTGCTGTAGCACTTGTACCTTGTGAGTACATGGGAGCAGTACCTGGTACGCGCTATCAGGGTCGTCGTACCATCTGCATCTGCACGGCTGGCTTTGCATTCGTTCGTTTTTGCTCTCCCTCCGAGTAGGTCAGCAATCTTCAGGAACATTGCCTTTTCGTTTTCTTCCTTCTTCCTCTCCCTCTGCTCTGCTCTGCTCTGCTCTTCCCCCCTTTTTTTCTGTGCTATTTGTCCAGGAGAGGATAAGAAAGAAACACATTTTTTTTTTTGGTCTGCGCCACATCCTTCCAAGTATTATCGGTATCACAATCCAGGCCGCTTTTTAGGGCTCCATTGTTGGGCTGCAGGGAGCTCCGGGAGCGCGGAACGGCGGGCCTCTGTACTGTAGCAGGCCAGGCTGCTGAATTACGGCGAGCGCAGTGAGTGATGGCATTGAGACCTCAATGTTCCGCCCCCTTCCACTGATCGCCCTGACCAAGTACAGTACCTGCTGTACCTTGTCAATTTTTTTTTTTTCTTTTTTTAATCTTTTTTTCCTTTAGTCATTGGGGCTCCCATCTTGCTAACCACGCCAGACAGAACGGTTTCTCCGCCACCTCAGCTCCAGCTGCTACTTGTACTTACCACCGCGACTAATCCAATCCACCTCCTACCGACTGAATCCATCTCCCTCTCTCTCAGCTGGGCTGGGGTCGGACGTGCTTGACTGCTGAGCTATTCGCTGCTCCCTTGGCGCGCCCCCATACGATCCGGCAACGTCCATTCGCTCGCTCATACACCCTGTCGGTCGTCTCGCGTAGCCGTGCAGACAGAATCACCGCCCACGCCTTCGCGCCAGTCTCTTTTACCTGTACGCATCACATAATTCCGATCGGCTATCCGAATACACGCCCCCCCGAGGCTATTTTTTTTCTTTTTTTTTTCTTTTTTGGAGTTCATCATTCGAGAAGCAAATCAGCGCGTGGTCTTTCCGTGTATGCTTGTTCCTATTCGACTCGACTCCGCCCACACGTCTGTCCTACGGAAACCCCAGATAATTTCCCATCCGTCCACTCACCATCTTCAGCCCTCTCGTCCCACCATCCCCGGGTCTTGAGTCTCTTCGAACCGGGCTTTAGAGTTGCTGGCTGTCCCTCGTTATCTGCCGCCGTTGCTGTAAGCCAACCCCCCCTCCACCCCTTTCTCTCTCCCCCCAGCCAACCAGCTAGCCGCATGCCGTCGAGAGAGATTTCCTAACGGTTAGTTACTAGCTACTATATCGCATTGGGGATCTGAAGCTTCGCTTGGCCTCCATCGCTATTTCGAAATATCGCCTTGATCTTCAACATACGGCTACCGCTATCCCTCATCTGGTGCTCTCGAGCCCAACTATACCGTCCGGTCCACTTCATCCTCGAACCAGCCAGCTTTACCCGCAGCCGACCTGATATAACGTGCTTGCGCATACCGGCCCTTTGCTGTATGCAGATTGCGCTGACTGGCCCACGCTGGTGACCGTCGCGCTTCTCTGCCGTCCATACATACGCACTTGCGGGTACAAGTACAGCTTTCTGGTCTACCGACAAGGATCAACCCTTCCCGCTTGCTCGCGCGCCGTGGGACTTCGGCCACAACGGCCATCGTCAGAGGCCGCTGCCCTCTTATTTCTCAGATCTTAGCCATCTAGCTAATCCCCATTGGGATTTTGACGAAACAATGGCACCCAAGACGCCCCGTCTCAAGATTCTATCAGGTTTGTCATCCCACCCCATCCCGTTGTTTATAGCACGCCCCCTCCGTCGCTCAGCACCCAAGATGCCCATATACCCACCCTGGCACTTCGCCCGTCCCAATCTTTTAGTGTCCTTTCTCCAAGTTATTCTTTTCTTCCTAAGCCTCGCTTGGTCAAAACAAATTCCTTCCCATTGATTCCAACTTTTTGTCCCTCTTTTTTTGTTGTTTGGTTTTCCCCCAGCGCCTCAACCCGAGTCTTCGTCACAGGCAGAGCGGCTGTTGGATGCAGCGCTCTGTATCCCACAATTCGTTATGAGTGATCAACTAATGCGCATATGCTCAGTTGGCGGCAATCCCGTCTCAGCCTTCTTGTCGTGGAGGCTCCAGGCCACCAACGCCTGCGACGTCACGCTGGTATGGAAATCAGGTTTTGAGCACGTTGCCCAGTATGGCATATCGTTCAAGTACGTCGCCGCCAACGCGTAGTCCTTCACTATCCGGCTGTCTATCATATCCTAACGTTCGAATCGCAGGTCATCTACATTTGGGAATGAGCGTTTTAAGCCGCGGCAGGGTAAGAGAAGCCAATGGATCCCGTCACTTGTCACAGGAGAAGAAAACCTAGCTCACATCTCTCTCCCTCTTCACAGTTGTCCGAAACCCAGAAGATGCTGCGGGAAACCGAGACGGCCCTTTCGATTACGTCATCCTTTGTGTAAAGGCTCTCCCCGATGTCTACGATCTCGCCGCCGTTATCGAATCCGTTGTTACTCCTCAGCATACCTGTATTCTTGTCAATACTACACATACGCTTGGAATCGAAGCCGCCATCGAGGAACGCTTCCCGACCAATGTCGTTCTGTCGCTCGTCTCTGGCGCCGAGCTTACACAGCTTGGCCAGAGCGAGTTTGAGCACAAAGGATCAACCGACCTTTGGGTCGGCCCCGCCAGCCGGAATACCAACATCCCACAGTCCATTCAAGAGGATATGGCTCAGGCCATCTCCATGACACTCAGTTCCGGTCAGGTCAACAGTCAGGTATCCCCCAACATCCGACAACAGCAATATGAAAGAGTAATTGGGTAAGTGCCAGCTTCCTGGAGAAGCTCTCTTTTCTTGGTCGGCTAACAGAAGAACGCGTGCGCAGACCGATTGCTTTCCATCCTGTCAGTGTAATATTCGAAACACCTAATCATGTAGCGCTCCTGGAGAAGATGGGGGTAAAAGACATGATCTCCGATGTCATTGATGAACTGCTGCGCCTCGCCGAGGCCAGTGGATGCAAATTCGGACCCAACTTTAAGCAGTCAATCATGGACGAAATGGCAAAGCCAAATCAAGCCGAGAGCATCATGTGGCAAGACTTTATCGCTAGGCGACCAATGGAGGTCGAGACATATCTCGGCTCACCTATCAGGCTCGCTCGCGACGCCAAGGTCCCCGTACCCCGAATCGAGACTCTTTATGCCATTCTCCACAATCTCAACATTGTCAACCGCAACCGGCCGAAACAGGATGCGGTACCCCTCGGCAACGGACCTCCTAGCTCACCGAACAACCCATCGCCATATCCCCCTCGAGGCCCATCGCAAGCCGGTTTCCGGCCAATGATGCCCAATGGTAACGGGATGCCACCTCGCCAGCCACGACCTAGAGCATCGTCCAACTTTAGCAACGCGGGAGGTATGCGCAGGCCTCCGCCCAATGCAAATGGTGGGCCCAATGGCTACGGAAGGCCACCACAGATGAACGGCGGAGGTTCTCGCGCCGCGTCTCGACGTGGCTCAATGGAAGGCAATGATTTGGAGGAGTTCTCTCACCTTGTGCTGTACGATGATATCCCAGAGGGCCAGGAACAGTCTTTCGGGGCCGAAAACTCGGATATTGCTCTCAGAGAGCGGGAGTTGCAGCTGCGCCAACGCGAGTTGGCTTTGAGAGAGCAAGAGATGCGGATGAGGCGTGGTCCTCCTCCTCCTCAGCCGTCTGCGCCTCCCTCTCGCCGAGGACCGCCACCATCCAGGGGAGGATTTGACGATGACGATGACGACGACGATTATTTCGATCCATCCATGGCCACCAACATTCCCGTAATAGACCCAGACAATTTCGATATGATGAGTGTCACCTCAAGGAAAAACCGCAAAGTACCCGGGCCGCCTCAATCCCAGATACGACGAAATCCCGAAGGAGACGCTCCGCCCTCCAAGAGTAGCAGGTTCCGACCCTTTGGTCGCAATCGTTCCAGCCAAATGAGCCAAATAAGCCAAATGCCCACTGTGACTGACAACATCCTCGATGACCCGCTTCTGAGCTTCACTTCGAACCGATATGGAGCAGTGGACCGTGGTGCAATGAGCGCGGGCTCTCGTGCCAACTCTTTGACTGCCTCCCGGTTGGACGAGATGCAATTCGGTCCTGGAGGAGGCGGCGGCCAAACCATGACCATGACCAGTGGCTACCCTCGACGAACAAGCCATTCGCCAGGAAATCAGTATAGCCCGTCGATGCGAGGTGGGAATGGCAGACCTTCGCCACCAAACGGGTTCGGGCCTGCAAACGGCCAACCCTCACCACCTAACGGCATGAGGCAACCTGCTCCCCGCTACCCCCCGGGGCAAGGCAACGCGGTCGCGCCTCAGCAAGTTGAACAACAGATCGGGGTGAGCTCTCTCAATCCCCCCAAATCTAGAAATGGCCGTAGTCTGACCGGCAGTGCGAGTGCTAGCGCGGACAGTGGTGAATTCGGCTCTGAACGATCAGCATACAGCAGTCAAGGTAGTCTTCAACAGCAACAGTACCAAGGGCAGTGAGACCCATTCAATCGATGTTTGGTAACCACATATCACCATATCGTGCTCTTTTCGTCATCCTCATCAAACGTCTACATAAATCCGTACACGTCACATTAACTCATCTTTTCGATGCTTTTTTTTTTTTCCCTCTCCATCTCCCCCCTCACGCACGACGTCGATGAAGAAACGCCATTCTGCCCCTCTGGACGATATTTGTTCTGTTGCATGCATTCACCAACCAACTCAGAGTTTACAAGAAGCAATAATCGACAGATTGCTCGGCATACGATTTTCCCGCTGTGTGAGGCAACCCTCTTATCTCATGTGGCAACATATCAACACCGTAGTGGGACTACCATATACCAACTGCTTGGATGACTTTGGACTATTGTTCGATACTGGCGCTTTTTGTCTTGGGGTGGACTATCAAGTCTCGTATATACATGTGGAACGAAACCGGAAACTAACATTCATCATATCTGATGAATGTGGCATTGTTCATGCTTCCTATGGATTGGCTCTTATTTCGATATTGATCCATCCCAAAAGAAAAGAGATGAAACAACATGGACGGTCCAGGCGCATTTTGACGGCCCTGGAATATATACCTTTTTTAATCAGCCCTCGCCTGAGTTTTGGAAAAAGCCTCGCAGAGAAGGGGGTTGAGCTACAACGGCATTGTTTCTTATTTTGTTTTGTTTTTTCGGTGCGAATCACACAGCATTTTAGATTCTTTGGGTGTGGATTTTCTTTTTCCCCTTTCTTTTTCTTATGTCCTCTTTCTTCATATTCTTTTTACTTCTCTTTTTCTTTGTTCCATTTTTACTTTGGCAACCCGCCGCCATTTTTCTTGATCCTTGTTGGGGCAACAATCGGCCATGGTCTGTCTGGGAAACGCAAGCGTCACAAGCTTGATTGCAATGAATGGATATTACCAGGAGGTTGGCGCAGCGATGGGCATGCCATGTCGTGTCATATCAGCGGCCATTTGGCAACCCACGATTACTGGGCCTAATTACGATGCAGGAGCGGCAGAAAAGAAACGGCATGCCGGAGTGGCGGCAGAATGCTTGAATAATTGATAGTTGAACACACAATAAAGACATAGAATGGCAGGGCAAATAGCGTTAATGACGGGAAGATGGGAAAAAAATATGGGCGGCATTGTTCTCAAGGTAGTCCAAATATAATATGGCATGTCGATTCTGACGATGAATTTTTCTTCTTCTTCCTCTCTTTTCTTCCCTTTTGTAAACCGTGAAGCAAAACCATCCATTACAATTCATGCGGATAATCTATATGGATGGATAGATGGAGAGAGAGCGTCGAAGCTTCAAGCAATCACGTGAGTTGGCGTGGAGGGGCGCCCATTGATATCAACAATGCGCAGCAATCCATCATTGCGCTTACGCGTTACGCAACCACTAAGCAACATAAAGTTTTGTATCTCTTTTTCCACTGAAATCTTTGTTTTCATCATCTCTTTCTTTCAAGGGTATTAATCTAATACCGAGTCAATTGAGCAATGGCGTCCCGAAATCCAGGTGGATCGCAGGGCCTCGGCAGACAGAGCATAATGACGAGTGGGAGTGTGATGAAGTCGAGACAGTTGGTGAGTGAAGCTGAGTAGCCTTCTTATTGCCCTTGTTTTGTTTTAATCTTGCCTTCTCTCTCTCTCTCTCTCTCTCACGGCCTTTGGGTGTGAATTACGAGCAGGATTGTATATATAACTGACTCAACGCGGGGGGTTAGACGCATCTTCATGCTCAGCTGGAACAATTATCAGCCAACCTAGCAGATACCGAGAATTTGCTGAGAATGACAAGTGTGCAGGCCGAGGCCATGAGAGGGCTGGGGAGCTGGCACGGTGGCTTGTGAGTTTTGGGGCAAGCCGGATTTGTTGGTGGTGAGTGGAATGCTAACCGGGTCGACACACAGATTCATGGCTGCGAGTAAAGTGCTGGGGGAGGAGAGCGTAAAGGAGGTCGGGAAGTGATTACGATTTGACTGTTTACGGGCAAGGATTTGGTGTGAATCAGTTGAGGAATGGGGTTACGGCTTTGCGGGATACGCGATGATTTTATGAATTAATGTGTCAAATTTCTTTTCTTGTCAAGAATTCGGGTTTCGCTAGGGTATAGATTGAGCGACAAATGTTATACATGTTCCTAAATGTGTCCTTCTAACGGTTCAACTGGCTTGAGGATTTAGCCAGTCGTGTTTTGAAGACTCCTCTTCTCCATGATGAACACAATGTATGCCGATCCCTTTCACCTAGTAGTGAACCCTGCTTAGCTTGGATTTGGTCGCCTGTAAATGTTATATATTCGTTTGAATCGGGCGACGACCCATTGAGATGCGATTCCACCATGGGATATAGCAACCAAGAAGAGGAAGATCCCGTAGCCAAATGCCATACTAGGCACCGGGCAGTCCTCAGCATATTGAGAGTAGCGTTCATAGGCTTCAGAGATACGCCCTTCTGATTGCGGGTATAAGCTCCTAATCATAAGATCCAATAAGTCTTCCGCTTCGGTTTCTATCCTCATTGGTTATAGATCTTTCCGTCCTTACCAGCCCATCTCTCAAACTGGTTCCATTTTCTTCGATATGAGATGTAGGGCTGAGTAGGCGATTAAGCGCCAGGCCAAGCCTCTGTGAAACGTTCATTTCGGCTCGCGTGCGGAGACTCCATAATCACAAACACGATTTCGAGCACGCCGTCCCATCACCCTACGGCCTCGTCAGACGCAGGCAGCCCGTGCACCGGCGCGGACGGAGTGCTGTCAATCTCCATCTTCGGAGTCCGAAGCGACCTCCTCTTCTGCCTCGGGGCGCTGACAGGATACCGCTTCGTGTTTCCACACGTGTCGCACCGGGTGACGAGAACATCGGCCCACGGCTTTCTTCCGCCTTTGCTGAGATTCTCGACGGCGGAATGGCATGTCTTGCCTTCAATCAGGATGGCGTCGCAATACTTGCAGATGGTTTGCTTGATTGAGGGGCTCTGTCGGATCTGGGCTTTTAGCGACACCGATCTCATGTCCGACACGACTTGGTGAGACAAGTTGATCAAGGCCTTGCGCTCTTGATTGTCATGAGCAAACTCGGTGTTGGTGCTATTCCCTGTGCGAGAAGGTACGTCCCTTTTCGAGGCAGATGAAAGCTTGTCGTCATGCTGGGGATTCTCTGACTTGGTCTGTGGTTTCGTCTGCTGAGCGCAGTTTGCTAGATAGCTGGCTGCTTGATAGAGATATGAAGCTCTGGTGTAAATGTGCCTGTTTTGGATGCCTGGGTTGGCTTTTGCCTTGGCCATTTCTTCTTTGGCTGGTCTTTTTTTTCTCCCCTGCGAATGGGATGCTTGAAAATAAAGGTTAGGTTAAAGAAGAGAATCAAATTCTCGCGCCACGACAATGAAGTTTGGAAGAATTGAATGTTACAGAGGAGCGCAGCACTTGAAAATTCAGTATAAAACAACCTTGAAGGTACCGACCGAGTCACCAATCTTGCAAGCAATACAGTGCATCTGTCTGCGTGCGTAATCCACTTCGCACATGGTTTTCTGCTTACCTAATGTGCGTTGTGAGCAACCAAGGCAGATTGGCAGAATAACTTTGCCTTGCTGCTGACACGTGACTGCGCCTGTTTTGCGTGCACGGGCCACCGCTTACTCAGTCGCGCCTCACCTTTCTCTTCTCCCCTTCCCTCCGCCCTCTTCGACAGCCTCAGCTTCCCTCGTCCACATCCACCACATCGGACTTACTCCTTCGATACGTGGCATTGCAACCCAATTTCCATCGTCTCTGTCTTTTGTCTGTCCCGGCATCACATCTGCCTGGTAATTTGGGATTTTCCTTCATCCCAATCATCTTGTCTCTTCCTTTTTTCTTCGCCTTACTTTCCGCCTTCTGACGCGCCCAACTCGCTAGCGCCTCTCGCACTTCAAGCCTTTTCCGACTTTTCAAACCCTTTCTATCAACCAATTCCAACATGTCCCACGAGGAGGATCTCATTGATTACTCCGATGAGGAGATTGGCGCCAACGAGGCCGCCGCCCCCTCCAACGGAAAGAAGGGAGAGGCCGCCGCCGGTAACAATGTCGACAAGAAGGGCAGTTACGTTGGCATCCACTCCACTGGATTCCGTGACTTCTTGCTGAAGCCCGAGCTTCTGCGCGCTATCGGCGACTGCGGTTTCGAGCATCCTTCGGAGGGTCAGTCCTGAATTCTAACACCGTCCTAAGTCATCTACACAATCATATATTGCTTCCCTTTTTTCCTTGAAAGCAAGCGTCCGTCCATCTCGCAAGCAAGACAAACAAGAGTTTTGAGAAGAAGAAAAAAAGAGGAAGCATACATCGATCCAAATAATTGTTGGCTCTACAGCCGACTAACCACGGCCATCATCGTTTCATACGTGATGGCCGCAATGGCATGGCAAAGACTCTCCAAAGGCTGAAATTTTGTGGCATCCACAAGCACAAGCAGATGCCGCGACTCGCACAGAACCCTCGAGTTTGCCGGTATGAGCTGCATGGACAGGTGTCACCTGTCCCTTGAATTCACTCGGGGAACTGTGGCTGCTAAAAAAGGCTTTGGAGATAGTCAAGCCAAGCTCGGGGGGGAGAGAAGAAAAAAAGATTTCTTGTCCTTGCGTGTCTTGGACACGTGCGGGCAATCAACAGCTGGGATCACAATGACTTCAAGAACCCTTCTCGCCATGTTGGCTTGAGGAAGAAAGTCGATCCCAGTTTGAGTTGCGATTCTACACACTTGGAAAAATCATGTTCATGCTGCGACGATGGACGGACCTTGACGCACATTACCCATCGTTCGTTGCTACTTGGTTACATTTAAAGTCTAACATCCTCGCGATCGACAGTCCAACAAACATGTATCCCTCAAGCTCTTCTCGGAGGAGACATCATCTGCCAGGCCAAGTCTGGTCTGGGAAAGACTGCCGTCTTTGTCCTAGCCACGCTTCAGCAAGTCGAGCCCGTCAACGGCGAGGTCTCGGTTGTCGTCATGTGCCACACTCGTGAGCTGGCTTACCAGATCCGAGACGAGTACAACCGATTCAGCAAGTACATGCCTGACATCAAGACCGGTGTCTTTTATGGCGGTACTCCCATCAAGAACGACGTCGAGACTCTCAAGAGCAAGGACACCTGCCCTCACATCATCGTCGGCACCCCCGGTCGTCTCAAGGCCCTCGTCCGTGACAAGGCCCTCCGCCTCGGAAGCGTGCGCATCTTCGTCCTTGACGAGTGTGACAAGATGCTCGATCAGCCCGGTGAGTGCGACGCGCGGTGTTCTACCTGTTTCTAAGATGGCCATTTTTTTCTAACCCCACATAAGACATGCGTACCGACGTGCAAGATGTGTTCCGCGCTACTCCTCAGCAGAAGCAGGTCATGATGTTCTCGGCCACTCTTTCCGATGCCATCAAGCCCATCTGCCGCAAGTTCATGCAAAACCCCACAGAGCACTACGTCGATGAAGACACCAAGCTCACTCTGCACGGCCTGCAGCAGTACTACATCAAGCTGGAGGAGCGGGAGAAGAACCGAAAGCTGAACGAGCTTCTTGATGACCTTCAGTTCAACCAGGTCATCATCTTCGTCAAGAGCACCGTCCGCGCCACGGAGCTGGACAAGCTCCTTCGAGAGTGCAACTTCCCCTCCATCGCCGTCCACTCTGGAGTCAGCCAGGAGGAGCGGTAAGTTGATTTCCATATCCTGACAGCCGCTAGTCGAAAATGTAGTTACTGATTAAACGATTACAGTATCCGCCGCTACAAGGAGTTCAAGGAGTTCAAGAAGCGTATCTGTGTTGCCACTGACGTCTTTGGACGTGGTATCGACATTGAGCGAATCAACCTGGCAATCAACTACGATTTGTCCAACGACGCCAGCTCCTACCTCCACCGTGTCGGCCGTGCCGGTCGTTTCGGTACCAAGGGTCTTGCCATCTCCTTTGTGAGCAGCGAGCAGGACCAGGAGGTCCTCAAGGAGATTGAGAAGCGATTCGAAGTCGCTCTTCCGTAAGCAACCCTCCTCACATGATAATATGAAGATTGGCAAGCTAACCATTGTGAACTTGCAGCGAGTTCCCCAAGGAGGGTGTTGATGCCAGCACTTACATGGCGTCTTAGAGGACGGCTCATTTCACTCTAACGCCTCCTGTACTATTTTTTGTGCGTGTCGAGACTTGACGGGAGCAAGTGGGAGAGCATCTATCCGCTTACGTCGCCGGATATCAGAAAATTTGGGGAAACAGTCACACTTGCTTATACTATTACGTAGCTTATTTTATCGGGAGCCAAAGGGAATGGTAGGCTGAAACGCCGTGGTTTACAAGGTCAATCAAATGGATTTGCACAAAGACAATAACGTGGCCAGTTGTGTCGGCCGCGGGATGACATTGTAAATGCTTATGAGTGGTGAATTATGCGTACAAACAACACTTGCGTTGTCGGGCTTTGAATCCAGTGGGATTTTAAGGAGGAGGATGGAATGTTCCTCATTTCAGGGAGTCATTCTCGGTCAGCTCCCTTCCAGTTATTCAACATGTAAGTAAGCGTCCAGCTTTGTGCTCCAGTTTGAATGGCTTAATCACCTGATGCACAGCTGCTCGCGACTATCACCGATCCTTTCACAAAACAAAGAGACAAAGAGACAAAGAGACAAGGGGACAAGGGGACAAAGGGGACAAGGGGACAAAGAACCAAAGAACCAAAGAACAAAGACCCTCGCCTGGCAGGCAGGTCTGTGAAGCATGAATGCCGAGATCGCAGAGGCCATCGTGCTCAATTCATATAAAGGTGCTGTTCGCGCCCTCCCAACGTCTAACCTCGAACCTCTGAACAAGACACCATCTTATACCGCAGTTTCTTCTCGGCACGCCCACGCACAATGTCTACTATGTTGTCTGCTGCGAACGCAGCTTCTACGTTTACCGCAGAGGAGTTGCTTACCCTCGATGACGAGCTGCTCTTCAATTATGTAAAGCATAGCTTGCAGTTTGAGGGCGGATTCGACATCTTCAGTTCCTCCGGTGCCGACACGCTGTCTGAGCCCCAAAGACTTGCCCTCTTCGCAAGGTTGACGTAAGGAAATGCCTGTTGGTCACTAATTTGTCTGGTCAGATTATTAATTTTCCTTCCTTCTGAGCAGAGCCGCCGCACACCGAGTGCAGGATGTAGAGAGAGCCTGCATGACCCGCACCCGCACACTGTTGAGCCACTTGACTATCGCACCTCCTGGCGGAAACGGCTCTCGTAAAAATACAGGGTGGGAATCCCCCAAGGCTATAAGAGATCGTCTCGAGTCGATATATCGCAAGGAGGTCCTTGACATCTGCGGCAGGCCCGTGGTTCTCGATAATTCGTCGTTAACTCCAACGCAGCGAGCGAGACTCCCATGGGTAAAATCGTTAAGGAACAACGTGCCGGTGATGCTCGAGGCACAAGCGGATCGCTGGTGGGAGTTTGTCAGGTGGCAGGTTGACCGCCGAGGCTGTAAAGTTGAAGACTTTGGCGACTATGGATTCTATGCCTATGCGGCGGCACAGCAGCTTAGACACTGTATGATCTACGGGAGGCGATTGGGGTTAGATTTCATTGTGATGAAGGCCGCTTGGGACAGGAAAACGAAACTCCCCGAGAACCCCTGCAATGCAGGATTTCCAGCTTACGAAGAGGAAGTCAAATGACGCCTAGCATTACACAATTTCACTCAGGAGTTCCAATTAAAAGCCGACCCGCGCCAACAAGACGCCTGGACAACGTGGGTCGAGTATCTTGGCTTTGAGTACTGGGAGGCAGACAGGCTCGCTGCTTCGCTAAGGATCTCGGAACAGCATTACAACAGTGCCTGGAAAGCCTTTTATCCTACCAGTCCACTTCATCTTATGGTGCCAGAAATACGAAGAGTTTATGAGGATGTGAGCCTTGAGCAGCGGCTGGCCAAAACGCAACATGATCTTGAGGCCATGCGGGTACGGGTACAAACTTTTATTTTAAATACTATCCCCCACCGACGCAACAAGGAGTTGATTCGCGAACAAGGCATCCTGACACAATGGGTCCTGAAGCAGGTGCATTTGATCGAGGCAGAAGATGGAGAAGGCAAGGCGCCAGCCAACAAGAAAAGAAGCCGAACTGAGGACGAGGAAGCCGAGGCCAGGGAGGGAGGACATGATCTGAAGAGATGGAGACAAGGTGATGCCGCAAGTGAAGACAGTGAAGACAGTGAAGGCAGTGAAGGCAGTGAAGGCAGTGAAGGCAGTGAAGACATCGAAGACACAGTTCAACAACCGGTTTCTCAGTAAAGCCAGTCTTCGAGCCGGAGATGGCACTCTGCAGCTAAAGAGTCAACGTTGTCGATTCTGCGCCGCTCACAATGGTTGCAAGGCCGGTCGCGTTTTGCGGGCGAGGAGGAATAACATAGGTTGGGGTATGAGCTATGGTTTGTGTAATGATAATATGATACTGTTTCCGATGCAATCGTGGATTCAAGCAACCCAAGGCTACGTCTACACAGCTACCAACTGGTGCCTCTCAGGCTGATGGTAGATGTTGGTCCCTCGAATCCCTTGATGCCTTTACAAGTGCCTGACAACGTCGATTTCTTCCATGATGTTGCAAGACCGTGGCCACAACAGAATCGAGTAGATTGCTCACGAGTGGCTGCCTGCAATAGCGGCAGAGCAAGATGGAGCAAGACGTGATTTGGCGCCACAGCTTCGCCACCTCGGCAGCCTCCGATCGTGGCCGCTTGCACGCACAAAATATAGTCACTTATGTTGTGTGCTCGTGATTGAGACTGACGCGGTTGGCTGGCCATAAAGAATGATTTCAAATTTAGAAATCACCAGGCAGGCCAATGCAGGGTTGTAGCAGAGTCGAGAAGTTGACAGATGGCATCAAAGTATAGCAAGCAATACCCAGTCATCGATGATGGTTCCGGTGATGGCCGAGGCAACCCCTGTAGTGGCCATTTTGCTTTCTACTTCCACTCAGCCTACCCTGGATAGACATGGACAAGCTGGCCAAGAAACGATATTGAGAGTTTCGGGGCGGCCATTGCCACGCCTCTGATCCCGTGTCTCACGTCACATGAGCTTTGGTGATATCAACATGCGGTGAAGTGCATTCTACGTGGTTTGCTGCCATTGAGCGCCTGGTACAGAGCGCGCATATCAGTTAGTTCTGCTGCAGTTTAGATGGCCGAATGGCCAACCATGATTTCGCCGGAAACCACACATTGATATTGCTTTGGACACGTAGAATAGCCGCCGGTTGTCTTGCCAGACCAATAGAAAACCACAGGCGGAAGAGGGCGTCAGTCATTTGTAATAATCTTCCTTTGTCCAGTGGCTCCCAAGCGCGCTGTCACCGACACGTCCTTGATGCCTTACGAGTATGTACCAGCGGCTCCACTGCCTGGCCGGATGATTTGACTCAGCTTTCGTGATCTCGGCGCCTCGTTTCTTATTAGACAGTATCACAAGACTGCCCATGCGGCTCTGTACTACCGGAGCAACGACCGAGCTGGATCACGAAAAAGCATATTGGCATATTTGCTTCCGACTTCGGGCAAAAGTGTACCGGTGGCGCATGAGGCAATAGCTGAAGTTGCCCATCAATACGACAGTATGCTGAGTCATGCATTTGGGCTCGCCAAGATTGTCGGAGCTGACGAAATTGGGCTGCGACCGATTCTTAGGCAGATCCGCCCGCTCGGAAGAGCCCTGGCGCCTTGGTTCTTGATAGGTAGAGATTGCGACTGCATCATCATGCGCTCGCTGTTCGGGACATGGGACAATGTGCCACCAGCAATGCTCCCTCACCGCCAAGACGAGCAACCGATGAGCATCCGGCGAGATGACAGGCCGTGTCTCGGGGACGTGTCCATGCCGTGACCACAGGGGCAGCTCCGAGGGATGAATGCCACAGACGCCGGACGGTGTGTAGAACGGCTCAGGTATTTGTCTAGAGAGTTGAAGTGGAAACTTCCAAAGGCCAGGTTCTCGGATTTGCTTGATACACCCACGGGGGTTCTCCCTCGGGTCACCTTGCCGCTTATTCATTGTCTCAGCTCGCGGAAATTCAAGTTTCCGATGCGGTGTCTTGTCTTGTTGACTGACTACCAGAGCCGCAGACAAGATGATTATGATGCTCGCCGTCGGGCAATCGGCTCTATGGACCCATAGCACCGCCGGGAGGATGCGTAAAAGAGTATTCTCCTCGACAAGACCCGCCGCTGTGCACCAGTGCTCGTATGTACTCTGTAGATAAGAGCCCCTCTCCGGTAAATCATCTCATCAGACATCAGAGTGAGCAATGTTGCGGAAGATGTTTGTGCCTGATAAAAGCGATAACCCGTGAACCGAATCACTCCACTCCTAACTGGCTAGCCTTGCTCACTGGCTGGCTGATTTGACTCACCACACCGTAGTTGGCATATCTGTCTTAGGCTAACTATTAGCAAGAGCAGCTTTAGATGCCAAGTCATAGTGTTCTATACTAGTTAATTAGTATCGCAGGAATACAGTACTAGTACTTGGTGCTAATCGTATATCCATCACCAGTAGTGCTTGTGTCTTAGTCACTCGGACCCAATCAATGCATTCTCGTGGCCCGAGAAAAGGCATCACCGCCAAATTTCAGGCGAGCGGCAAGAGGCATGGCATGACCTTGCAGTGGAGAGACGTGTCTGAGGATGATTGAAAGAGCGGCAGCCCTCCCGGAAGCACAGCGGTTTGCGCAGAAGCCAATGGGGACCTTTCCGGAGCTGTGAGGTGTCTGTCCCTTTGGACTCCTCGTCAGACCTGTGTATGCAATGCAGCATGGAAGGCAAGCCGTATCGTTGTCGTGGCGAGTCTTGCTTTGCCTCGAGCAGGCGCGCAATCACACCTACTGTACGGAACTGATACGGAGTCCTGGGCGCCCTCCCCTCTCTTCTCCGCCTCAATGCCTCGTCTTCCCCTCACGCACTCATGCAAGGCGCATGCAGTAGAGATGGATATCAACAAGCAGACATTGTGGGGGAGACCCGCATGACGTGAAACCTGTGGAAATTATGACGCTCGCGCGTGTCTCATGCAAACCGCGTACCTTTTCCGTCACAGCCGCTGTTTGCTTGGGCCACCAAGGTACACAGCTCGCAGCGAATAGGATCGATGCCAGTTGATGGCGATTTCACCCGCAAGACGTGTCGAGTTGACCCCTCATGTTGGTGGCTGGGCTAGCCATGCGAGTTGTACATGGCAAAGCTGCAGCCTTTGCAGTTGATCCTACTGCCAATTACTACCTAGCAGGCTTAGGGTACCTCGACCCGCATAGCTTTGAGCTGATGAAATCCCCTAGGCGGAGTGTAGAGAGGATGGTTGTCGACTCCAACAGAGAATCATTGCCGGTTAACCAGTGGTTCATGAATGGCACACTTGATATCCCCAAAGACAATGAGCCTTTGGTACACTGTTGGTACGCAAGGGGGCAGTGACATTAGGCTGATGTGCGAAAAAGCAAAGATGATTAGTGCACACACTACGAGGCCAGTACTTCGTATGTACTCAGAATGAGTACTACTCCGTAAAGGCGGCAGAAAAGAGGGCGGCCTCAAGATCCAACTTGCCGCCTCGCTTGATGCTTGAGACGACGAATGCGGGAGTGCGAATATGCAGATCGTTCGAGACTTGCCACAGTCAAGGTGATCACAACAGCCGTATCCTCACAAAATACACACAGTACTGCATATACAGTAGGGCTCCGTAATCTGGTTGGCCTCTGCAGAGGGCGCTGTGGACTTGAAGCCTGCCCCCAAAAATCCGAGATGGGGACAGGGGAGCTTCTCATTGATCAGCCACGCAATCTCGGGCGAAGCTGTGTCGTGATCATCCTAGTAGTGCAACACCAAAGCTGCAGGTGTGAAATTGGTCGATGAGAGTGAACACAGAGAGATAGGGCACCTGATTGCGCAAGGGAGAAAAAGGGGTAGTATCAGCAGTTTGAGTTTCTGACCCGCTTGGAATGGCTCTCATATCTCATTTCTCATGTCTTTCTTTTCTTTTTGTGTCCTGTCAAGCTGCATTTGGGTGTATGAGAAGGCATGGCAGGCACAACAGCGACTAAGACGACGCGGCGCCGACGGCGGTCTCTGGTGGGCGATTGCTAGGGATGGCAGTTATCGTGTGCGTAAATGCATAGCAGCCTGGCCCAAGCGAACTGTTCTATTGGGGGTTTCTTTTTTGCCCCTTCTTTGTAAGACAGCACTGCTTATGATTGCAGAAGCAGACATTGTGTAACCAGACAAGGCGTGGGCTGTCACATGCCCCGGTGGCCAGGAAAAAAAAGGAGCTACATACTTGATGGCGGCAAGTGTTCCAAGTGGTTTGGATGGCTTGTTTCAGGAGTGGGATGAAATGTTCCAAGTTTAGAGGAGATGGCATCCGACGGCACTACTGCATCCCACAGGTGAGAACCCGATGCTGTGCAAGGGAAACGCGCGGTTTGCTGTATCCATTTTTACGTATTGCCATGTTCGTGTTTGGCCAGAGTGGCTGATGAGGAGCGTTCATCCATCACGAACCATGCACGACATTTTTGGAGTGCCGGAACAGGCCCGTGTGAAGGCGATGAGCGCACAATCATGGCAGTGTGGTGGACTCCGTCCGTACTCCGTAAGGATTCGAGGAATCTGTCATGAATCCTGGTTCGCTAGCACAGAGTCGTACTAGCACGCTCTCCGCAGCAAAAGCAGCCTGGCACAAACCCACTCCCTTGAAGCGCATTGCCAATCAACCTCGCATCCACTGTCTTCAAAAATAGATGGCGGAAAGAGGCTCATCGCCTCGGCGCTTTTTGATCGCTGGATGATGGCTCAGCGGCAGTGCGTCTGTTGGTCGCATCAACCCAGCCGGCCGGGTATTGCGTCTTGGACGAGGGAAGAGGGAAGAGGGCCCTGGACGGTGGCTGAGGTGCTTGCAAATGCAAATGACAGACTGAGACCTGCTGCTGTTAGTACGGGTGTTGCTTTGTAACTAGCACTTGCTAGGTAGCACTACAGGCACAAGCAACCTCATGTTTGTCCCAGCCTGAGACCTTTTCGTGGTGGTGTGACTGCGAAGCGGACGAGACGAGAGCCTTGCAAGCATTCCTGCTGCCACCACAATCGTCCATGCCTGACAAGGAGCAAGGGTTTGGAGTAGCGCTGGATGCCTTGAGGTCCCTTGACAGCGGCCAGACCGCCTTTGCCCCAACGGCCAGAAGAGTGCAGCCCCAAGAGCCCCTGGTCGAACGAGGCAAAGAGCCAAAAGTTGCGTTGTCTGATTTCGGTGGAGGCTTTGCGCGATGAAAACTGGAGCGGCCGGAGCGGACGGAGTACAAGTGCGAGGTGCAGCAGTACTTGGGCAGTACGAATCACGGTATTACTGCGGGACTCACGGTCAGATCAGGCACCCACCGAATAAACGCGCGGCGTGGACGACCTGCCTTGTACTGATCGAGGTACATCTGGTCGCGCCACGAGTACCAGCGCTCGTATCTGGCTGTACTGGTGCCTGCACCACGCAGCGGCGAGTATCGTGTTAGTAACCTTCCAGGTACCGCCGCTAGCCCGTGAGCGAGCAGGGCCGCATCTCCCTCGTCCAGATTGGACATGAGATGCTTCTGCTGTGTTTCCCTCATGTGATCACCAAGCATTAGTAAGAGCAGTATGTAGTATTTCGTGCTGTGCTCGTAGAGCGTTGATGCTCTGTGGGTAAAGAGCTTGAGAGCCAAGCCTGGTACTCGTATACGATAGAATGGCTTGGAATGGGCGATTATACGAAAGAGGCAAAGAGAGAGCCTCTGTCCAGCACCGAGTTTTCCGTCATTCAGACGAGATGCAGCGGCAACATGGCGTGCGTATCGCATCTCCAAATGGCGGCAAGTGGCTGCGATCCCCCTCCTTCCCCCTCCTTCCAGAAGTGCCAAGTACCGCGTCTGTACTCCGTGCTCCGTGTTTCTCACTTGGCAAGTGGGTATCAGAAAAATAGAGACCGCAAAATGAATACGTGCGTACACTGGAGCAATATGCGCAACACTACTAAGCAGGGATGCCGCCACTTTGTGTGCGTGCCATCTGAGTTTGTGTGCTGATCGTCTGCCAAGTCTCGGTTTTTTTGATATCCGCTTGCTTGGGTACTCACTTAGGTACTCACTTAGGTTGGCCTCCATCGTATTTTGTCTTGCCTGCGAAAATTGCCTAGTAGAGGTAGGGACGGCAGACGGAGAGCGAATAAGCACCAGACAGCACTGAGTCAGCAATCTCGCCTCCCCTTCCCGCCACCACGATTTAGTGGCAGAATTAGATGCTGTCGAGGCTCCAGCTCCAGCTCCAGCAGTTGTGTTGTTGACAGCCCAGCCGCGCCGTGGAAAGGGCAGCAAGCAAGCACGGCAGCAAGCACAGCACCAAGGAGCGAGCTGAGACAGGGGGACAGGAGACTTCTCATTTCTCGCCTGTGTGTCTTTCTCTCCCTCTCTGTCTCTTGTCTCACTTGCACGGATACAAGTACTGCTCGTAAATACATGTACCTGTACGGTACTAAGGGAGCGGTACGGGGGAATTCGCACCTACCCTAGTGGCTGGCTGCCTGTTGCTCATTACCTCATTGCCTCACCACTCGATAAGTTTTCGGGGCCCGTGCGTGGCCTTGGCAGCAGTTGGAAGTGGCAGGAACAAGAGCAGGTATAGGCAAGTAGGTCAGTTGCTCGCAACGAGCAGAGCGAAGAAAACGGCAAAGGCAAAGGCAGAGGAAGCGGCAGCGGCAGGAGCACAGCAGCCCGGCACGAAAACAGAAACAAGCTGCGGCCAGGGATAAGCCGCCCAAGGCCTGACGCTAGGCCCAAGGCGATGAGGCCACCAAGCCACCAGAGACGCACACACGCAGGCATTTTGCAATGCGAAGGGAGAGCGGAAATACTAGCTTGGTCGCACTCGTGGTTGTGCAGGCGATGAGTACCTACCGTACATACTAGGTATCTATATGTGATATCCTGGGTGGCTGTACGGAGTATAGGTGCAGATGCAGATGCAGATGCAGTTGCTTTTTGCTTTTTTTTGCGCTTCCTACCCCCGCAGACCAACAACTTCCAGCCTCTGCCATCACATTGTATGGATGGATGACCCTTTGATGATAAGAATACCTACACAGTGACTCTTACGGATGCTGTGGAGGCGCGGAATCTGCGCCAGGTGTGCTGGCTGGGCCACTGGAGCGTCCGAGCCTGGCAGCCATTCGCCAGCCACAGGAGGGGAGAAGTGAGGGGCGGGGCAGGCCTGGAGAGCGCTGGGCCAATCACGGCGGGACAGGCCGCAGGTTGAAGAAGTAGCGACAAGCCCAGCCAGGTCGATGGTTGTTGCCCTTTTTTGCAGCGCCTCTCAAAGTTCCCGACCGCAGACAGGTCTAGGTACCTAGGTACCTGACGCGGTACAGCTGGTCGTCGCGGCGCATCACAAGCACGCCGGAGCTGCGCACTAGAGGTACACGTCGAGGTACACGTCGAGGTACACGTCAAGGTACCTTAGTACCTTTGTACCTTAGTAGGAGGAGCGCTAGAACTGCCAGTGCAGACAGTGCTAGACTTGAACCTTTCCTAGTGCCGGAACCAGGCTAAACTAAGAAAAATTGAAATTCCAGGTTACCACTGCTGCAGCATCCGTCCATGTACCGTAATAATGCATGTATCAGAGGTAATCAGAGGTACCTCGCGATCCCCCCCCTTGCGCACTTTGTACTCTCGTACTCCCGCACTTGGTGTCTCTGCGTCCCGCCGCCCCCGGTCGCATTTCCTGACTGGCCGGCGCTGCTTCAGTCTGACTCTGGTCTGCTCTGGCCTCGCTGCCATTCAAAACTATGCCACGACCCATGGCCGTCATCGATTCTGCTTCCTCTCCCCCATCGAACGTCGCGATGAAGTTCGGTACCGCCCTGTAAGCTCGCCAGCGACTCTCGAAGTCTGCTCTGGTGCCTCTCTACTCTACGGCGCATTATCGTTTTTACTTAATACTGGGAATCTCTTCTTTTTTGCTTTCCTTTCCTATCCTCACGTCCCCATTTGTCTTTAGCCTTTTTCCTTGTTCTTGTGCACTGCTTGCATCGCATCGCAACTCATCGCCGTTGTACCTGGACATCGCCGCCATACTCACTCACCCCAACGGCTCCATCGCATCTTCTGGCTTTTTCTCTCCCCCCTTGCCAACACAGTCGTCATCGGCCACGGCCCTGCTGACCTGGAAAAAGAGGGAAAAGAAAGAAGAAGAAGAAAGAAAGAAAAAAAAAAGAGGACAGCTGTGCATTGCTGCCTGTACTGTACTCTTTTGACCGCTCTCTCCAAGCCTTTTTCTGTGTCCCTTGTTTTTTTTTTTAATCACTCGACTCCTTTGTTTTTTTGGTGGGCGAATCGACTCACTCGGCCTCGCCACTTGTCTGCTCAGTTGACGAGCGCTGTGGCCCCGGCTCTCCAGGCGCTGTCTCACTCACTGTCACTGCCTAGCCTTAGCTGCTCGGGCGCTGTGCTCCGAAATCGCCAGTTGGCGGCCACCTGCCCAGTCAGTCGCCACCTCAGCGCGAAAGAGTCACACAGCCGACGCTTTGTACCCACTCCCTACCTAACCTCGCTATTCCGCTACCACCAGGCTGTCACCTCGCCGCCTTGCATCAGCCCCCCGAGACTTCAGGCCACGCTGTGAAGAGTCACATCTCACTCGTCGCGATAAATACGCTGCCGCTGCCCTGACAGCCCGTACCTGCATATCCATCTCGATGATCCCTGGCCTCGACTCATCCCTGTAACCGCTGCCGTCGCGTCGCCAAACCGCCTTACACTCACAACTAACACTCACCACTCACCACTCACAGCCACAACGCCCTTCGTCATAGCATCAACAACCGACTCCAACCGCCTCGCCGCCCGATGATAGACTTGATCTAAGAGTCTCATCAACTCCCTCCCACAACTAGCCGCCAGAGCATTGGTTTCGCGATGCCTCTTGCAACCTACAAACTTTCCCCAGTCGCCGTCTCAGCTTCGTCCACCGGTCTGCTTGTTCGTGAAAAGTCGACTCCCCTTCTTATCTAAAGAAGGCCCTCTTCTCTTCATCTCGAACACGGTTCTACCTGCAGTTGCATTCACCATCATCGGATGCCATTGCTGTAGAGCTAAAAGCAACAAGACTCGGTAACGCTCGAAACTGTCACAATCCTCCGGTTGACTTAGCCTTGACGGCGACTGGAAACGTTCACGCTGGCTTGAACACCCAAGCCTACATCTCTATAACTGCAATCCCCCATCACAACTCGTCAAAATGACGTCCGAAACCACCATCTCACCCTCCTATGACCCCTTGAGTCAATACGCCCCCTACAACTCCTCTATATCCTCCTCGGCTTCGGCCTCTGCCTCTTCTGTATGGTCTGGATCCGACACTGCCTCGCAAACCTCGGACGATGCCTCTGGCTCTACCTCTTCCGATAGCGACTCATGCCACTCATACTTCGCCTCTCAGGAATCGTCGACCTCGACTCGTCGTCCTGGCCTTCTTAGCAAACCGCGCCAACAGCAACAGGCCGCGCAAGTCCCTGTCGTCCCTGTTGAGTTGCGCCAAAACCCTAGACGTACCGCTGCGGCTGCTGGAGGTGCGGGATGCCCGCCGCCTTCACTTGTTCGGCAGTCGGATCGCAAAGTAAACTTTGTCGATAGCCTTGTTGGTACGTGCCTCTTACTGACATATTTCTCAAAGACAAGATCCCCGTGCTTAGACTTTACCTATGCAGACTCGTCGACCCAGATCGTTGAAGCCATTTGGCCTCTCTCTTCCGCTCCGTGCCGCCCGGAGCCTGGCAACAGGGCCGTGCTGCCGCTGCGCACCTTTATCCAAGAGACGCTTCGGCGCTCCCGTACTAGCTACTCGACCTTACAGGTCGCTCTGTACTATCTCATCCTCATCAAGCCTCACGTTCCCAAGCGTAGCTTTACTGTGGAGCAGTATGAGGACCGCTACGCTGACCGAGCTCTTCAGTGCGGCCGGCGCATGTTCCTCGCGGCCCTGATCCTTGCGTCCAAGTATCTGCAGGACCGAAACTACTCTGCCCGGGCCTGGAGCAAGATTTCTGGCCTCAACGTCCAGGAGATCAACCAGAACGAGGTTGCCTTTCTCCTCGCCGTCAACTGGAAGCTGCACATCACCGATGAGGTCTTCCGAAGGTGGACTGAGATTGTTCTCAAGCATACTCCGCCCCCACCCCCACCCTCGCCTGGTGCCGTCTCACAGACTTTGGCACAGCAGACGTTGGAGTGGAAGCAAGTTATCCTGAGACTGAACCCGGACCTTACCAACATTGAGGGCCTCATTCCTGCCCTCCGCATGCCTGCGAGATCCAGTGATCTCTGCGCCCTGTCGCCTCGTAGTATTCTCAACCTCCCCACGGAGCAGCAGCAGCGCCGTCTGCCTACCCTGGCTTCAACCATGGCCGAGGAAGAAACCTGCGATCCCAAGTTTCTCTCCAAGTACCTGCCTGCTCCCCTGGAGCCGACGCCCACGATGGCCTTTTCAGCTACTCCTGGTAGACTGGCCCCTGCATTGGGTCTTCTTCCGACCCCGCGCCTGACGCCGCAATCAAGTGGTATCTGTACTCCTGCAGTGAGTGCTGCATCACACCTCCTCGGAAAAAGCAACGCAATGTGCCTGGCCATGGCCCAAGCTGGCAGCATCAGCACCGCTCAGCACCTGGAGCGCTTTCCCGCGACTCTGTCGACTTCCCCCCAGAACTACTGCCCCGCTCGTCGTTCTTCTCTTGCCAATTCAATCTCGACCATGTCCTCTCCCGAATCGATGGTTTCGGATCTTTCGCACACCTCTCGCTCGTCCTCTATTTCGTCTGCGTCATCTTTTGCTAGCGCGACCCTCAACACCTCGTTGACGGCTCAGTCGCGATTCCGATCGATGAAGGCGATGAATGAGAGATCGTTCTTGAGGTCGACAGTCCCCACCGTTTCAGAGAGCTACGAAGAGTATGGTTTCGCGTCGTCCCCTGAATCGTACACCGGCCCGGTTGCGAAGATTGGGAGCCTCGCTCTGGAAACCCCCTTGGCAAGACAGCAGCGCGAGCTGGAAGGAATGTCTCGGGATCCCGACTCGGATGCCGCACGCGCTCTCCAGCATCTGCACAGCCAGAGCATCCGCGGTGTTGATTTCAAGCCCAAGACTGGCATCAAGCGTAGCAGAACCGCATCGGTGGACCAGCCTCTGCAGGAGCACGTACGGGAGATGCTTTACCCCCACAGCGCTGGGAGCGCTCCTTGGCCCATTACTCGCTCGCGAGCACTTGATGGAACGGAGCCCTACTTGCAGGTACCTGTTCGCCCCAGCCCAGGAGAAACGAGAAAGAGGCTGTGTTGCTCCGCTCAGGCGGCCAGTGGCTACCAAACAGCAACGAGCGCATTTCGCCCACGAGAGCCAAGCTTTTGGGGCATCCTTAACTGAAATTTACCCGGGGCGTTTATTTACTCTGTCAAACTTATTATATACGCGAGCCATTATCGCCATCAATCTAATGCTGTTCTATCACGGATCGGTCTGGCTGTAATTTACCGATCCCGTCATTCGTTTCTCTCTCTATTTGCTGCAATTTATTCTTCCCTTTGTTAGAAGACTCATAACGGTTTTTACGGATGGCGCTCGAAGGGGAGGTCAGGGGGGCGTCTCGTTGACAACACAGAGCTTTTGATATCGCACAACTTGGGCAGAGGGCACGTTTCTGCAAGTTATCATAAACCACCGGACATGGTATCCAAGGCAACGGTTTCGCCTTAGGAAAAAAAAAGTGCGTTTAATCTATTTACTGTTTCTTCATCCAGGAACAAGGGAAATTACATACGGATGGTTACAACGACGGTGATGAAAGATATCCTGTAAAGTGTGGAAGAAAGCAATTTAAAGGTTTTGCCCAGCTGTTGAGGGGGCCGGAGGCTGTTTTTGTGCGCTTTTTACATGTACGACTAGAAGCTTTTGATTTCCTTTGCGACTTTCGACTTTTTTTTTTCTTGCTCTATCTATCTCGGCGGTAGCTGAGGCCTCATTTGCTTGGATCCCATCTTCTGCTCTAAGAGAGGATGGAGGAGAGCGAATGGGGAACAATCAAACATGATTACGAGCAGTTAACGGGTTTCCATTTCTCATTCCATAGTGATGTGATAATCGAGTGACCAGAGTAGTACTACGTGAGCTTCCAAGGCACCCATCAGCTGCCAATAAGCCCACCTCTATTACGTATCAGCAGCTACCTAGTGGTAACAAACGATCCCTCGTACAAGTACATGGATGTATCAGCCGGAGTGCGAAATGGCCCGCGTGTGAGATTCCCTGACCCCCCGCTTACGAGTACAGTACCTTGAGTACCTCGCAATAGGCCACACAAGGGTTTAGTTCCCAGCCATATTTGGTGATTTCGCTGTGCGCGAAATTGTCTGGCTTGCGTGCCAACGTGCGTGAAACCGCCCACCGAGTGAGTCATGGCGTCGTCCCGACATGGGGCCCTAAAATTTGCTTCCTCCAGCTCTCCTGAGGCCGGGAGCTTGCCTGATTGGGTAAGCGGTGGCGACTGATGGAGGGTTGTCTGTGCTCCATTTCCATGTGCACTGTGGCTTGTCAGTATTGGACTTTGTGTGCTCGAGACAACTGTAAGTCGCGGTTCTACGGAAGCGAGCTGCGTGGCTGGTCCTAATCCAACTCGCCGAAAGAGGAGATTTCCTTGATCCCGGTGGAGTCTCACGGCCCAGGCTGGTTGGCTGGTGAAGATCCTACGCCAGAGATCCCGTCAGCGGGTAATGATATTGCCAGTCCATTCACGCCGATACGCAGCCAGAGGGTGCAAAGGGCGTGAAGGAGACGACAAGTTGCCGTGCGTCAGGCCAAGTACATGTCGCGACTCGTGTGCGGGTGGAGTTGATTCGCAGTCCGATGCCCCCCGTCGAGGCCGATGTTGAGAGTATAAACGGGCTGCTCGCATGTGCATATCCCCTCATAGCTGCAGCTGCTCCGGGGGAGCCATACGTGTTGCTATATAAATGGCCTCGTTGCCATCGAATTGTCATTGATCGCCCCCCTTTTGATCGTGTCCTGAAAGCGGAGAATCTGTGAAATGTAGTTTGCATTAAAAGCCGTATATCAACATGGTATATAAACTCGAGTGTTTGGTAGCCATTCGTTGGTAACATTATTTGTGATAAATGAGAGTCCATCTTTCCTCCCTTGTTCATTTTCACACACTCACTCACACACACTCACACATACAGGCCTAAACAAAAAAAAAGGAAATAAAGAAAAAAAGAGAAGAAAAGGCAGCATGTAGCTGAAGTGGTATCGCAGATGGGGGCCGCTGCATGATTCAGCCTTTCCAGGAATGACAGTTGTGGACGTGGACCAACCATTGCAGGCAAATAAACTTGGGGCTTCTCGTGTGGTTGATTCGCCTGTTTTTGCGTCAAGCTTATCCAAAGCCACGATGAGTGAGTTATTCTCAGTCCGATAAACGTGAGCCAGGCAAAAAAAAAAAAAAAAGGATGGCGGCCAACAGAATTACTCGGTAGTGCGTGGGCATGACCAGGCGTAATGATTGACCAGGTACCAACTGAGGGGCCATCTTCTTCAGCCGGCTTGCTTGCTCACTTTGTGCAATTCCAGCGTATGTTGCAGCTGTGTATCCGTTTGACGGGGGATGGCGTTGTGTAACCACGCTTAGGCTCACCTGACCATGGCTTGATATTGATGCATTGATGCTGCAGCACCGGCTGCAGTTGGAGACATGCCAGTCCACCAAACATCTTTCCTAGCCTTTTCATTTGGCCGAGAAATAACGACCCTCCACCACTCCTAGGCGGTATGGGGAGGAGGAGCACAGTCGGCAAAATGGCTGATATGCCTGCTCCCTCATCGTCATCTTGCTCTAGTACGGTTGGTCGTCCTACATTTGAAACCTGCAGTGATGCCTTGCCAGCGCACGCTGTCAAGGTTTGGATGTGCATCGGCAGCGGCGCTATTAAGATGAGCAAGGGGTGAAGAGTGAGCCTAGGTGTTGGTATATCTCATGAGAAGTTCCTCTGGCATATGCAGTGAGAGGAAAAAGGCGCTTCGGACTCGTCGTAGCAAGTCTCTGGTCTGGTGTGAGTCGGCTCCCCATTGGATTCGACGTTCCAATGCGACAAACTCCTTCCTCACGACGTCTGCGGGTAGGCCGTCAAAGACCCAGGTGCGATAGAGGCAGTTGATGGCCACCACATTAGGCACCTCGACATTAAGCATGGAGTTGCGGATTAGCTCCATCTTGACCTCCCAGGGAGGCTGGCTGAAGAGTTTTCCACAACTCATGTAGCCACCGCGGCAAAGCCAAAAGAGCTGCCGCTGCATCTCATCATCCCACGGGCCAGTGATGAGTCTATCAGGGATACGTGTCAACGGATGAATATCTTGCGAGAACCAGTGAATACCTCGGGTGGCGAAGGCTGGCCATTTGGCCGCTTGCTGGTAATCTACTTCGAAGCACTCTCGTGCATTAAAGTGAGAGACACCACCCTTATAGGCATGGCCAACTTGATGCGCATCATCAACCCACAAAGCGCTGTGTTGATAGTGGCGCCCTTTCCCATGAGTCTCAAACCAGGTTTGCTGCGCTTGCAGGATTAAATCTATCGTGATCCAAGGTTGATCTAACACTTGGGACTGTATACATACATGAGCTCAATTAGCATGGTGACATCATGAGCGGGCTGCCATGCAGCATTACACGAAATCCTCCTTAGAAAGAAAGACAGCACGAACCTGGAATATAGGGTCCCCGCGGCACGGGACATGCTGTGCATCTTCTAACCAAGGCCCATGGACAACCGCAGGGTTGGTCGGGATGCCGAACCACTGGTCCCATGTCTCATGAAAGGCCCGCATGAAGAGACGCAGTAGAGTAGCCCGCGCCGAAAGCTTCATGCCAATGAAGTTGCTCACGCGGGGTAGGCTGAGATTGCCGCTGTAAAGGAAAATGCTTTCAAGGATTTCCGCCGGAAGGGAGTCGAGTGTCTTCCGGCGGCGCGTCGCTCGAGTGTTCATGACGGTGGACAATGATTTCCTAGTCCGCAGTGCCTTGGCGGGCGGCTGCTCCTGTAATGACTGAGGTCGATTGGTGGCGGGGGTTTTGCGTTTGCCCCTGACGTGAACCTTGGTGAGCTCCATGGCGGGAGGCTATTTGAAACAGCGGACCATCCAATGCTGGAAATGCTCTGTCAAATCCAGCAATCGCCTGCGATTAATCGCTTTGCAATCGATGAGAGGCGCGGTACTGGGGATCGCTGGGTTTCTGGTTTCTGGGAGAGAAATGGCAAACAATTTAAGGTGGAGCCAGAGTCGCTCGCGGCTCGACTACCGAGAGCTTCTTGTCTTGTTGCGGTAAGTCGTGGCCAAGACGGCGGTGAATAAACTTCAGCCGAAGGATGGCCCAAATGTCAGGTCGAGGGTTTTGTGCGAGTCCAGGCGACGCTGCGCCGAATCGAGTGCATCGGCTGGAATATATAATCGCTGGACAAGCAGCCAGCGGCTCGCCTGGGGTTTTAGCTCCATGGCTGCTTCGGTCATCCTTCAAGCCTCTCTGTCTCCCTACCTTATGCAGCAGAGCATGTGAAGGCTGGTCTCAGAAGATGACGTCGTCGAGTGTTGCAATTGGGCAGATGCTGCAAGGAGACCGCTGTGCATTGGCGGTGCAATGGCAAAGATGGATTTTGAATCTGTGAATCAGACAGAGACAAGGCGAGGAAAGACGAGGAAATGATGAATTGAAGTTGAAGAAGCTTAGACATTGCACAAGACCAACAATGTACAAAGTACCCCATTATTCCTGTAGCCTGTCATTTGAGGCGTTCCTGCGTGCTTCCTTCCGCATGGACTGGCAAACCAGCTGGACATCCGCTGGCTGGGCAGGAACGTACCAGCTGGGCGGGCGCGGGCAGGTTGATGGTGGTCCGTGCACATTGATTGCGATAGCGCGGTAAATTTTGGAAAGACCCTCATGCAGCGGCTTGATGCTATTATACCATCATCACGAACTGGGCAAAACGGGCAGGCATCGCCGGTTTTATTTGTTTTGTAATATACCCTTGATTTTTCTTCTCTTTTTATATCTACCTATTCATCTTTTGCTCTGTTTCTAATCCATTAGAGGCGGCAGTTTTGTTGACATCCGCCATCGTTCAACACCAGAGTCGAAAACCAATAGTGTCCATGCCGATGCTCGCTTGTCCTCGCGCCACTCTATAGCGATGCAGTCAGCGGCATTGCGATCGCCTGTGCCCTCGCGAAACCTCTTGCGATTCTTGCGCTCGCAAACCGACATCCCGTTCTTCAGCTACAACTGCATCCATGGATGCCCGAGTCGAGTGACGAGCGCGGCCTCCGGGCAACGAGTCGCCAGAGCGCATTCGACCAAGGCCACTTCTGGTGCGCCCGCCGTTTTTACCGAACTCGAATCCTCAATCTTTAGCTTGGAATCGCTTCGAGTTGGCAGAGTATTCAGAAGGGCTTGCGCGCGGACTTTGAAGAGGAGATCGTTTTGCACCTCGGCGATTGTGTACCAGAAAGCGTCTGCTGCGAACGGCGATCCGACTCCCTCTTGGCAAGAGAGACTATGGGGTATTGGGGCTCGAGGAGCTGCAAAAGCCCTTAAACCAGATGATTTGCCTTCTCGCGAAGATATGGAGCACGGCTCGTCCATGTTCAACAACCGCCGAATCCTGTCCGCCAAGGCAGCGCTGGAGCCACGACTACGTTGTACAGAGGTCGATGAGAATGGCAAGGTGATTCTGATGGATGGCGAGTTCAAGAAATCGGAGCTCATCGCAAAGGTATGCTGATTTGCGCACTGCCAAGAAGAGAAACAACTGTGGCGACGATGATGATGCTAACCATGACGATGTGCGTATACAGTACGGTTTACTGCCTCGCGATCTTCGCAAAATCGACTCATCAAATCTTCCGCACATCCTCGTTCGACCTTCGGCTATTCTACTTAATCTACTACATCTCAGAGTCCTGATCAAGCGTGACCGCGTGCTTCTATTTGACGTCTACGGCTCTAAGACGTCTTATCCGCAGTCTGCTTTCATGTATGACCTCCAGGGCAAACTGCAACAGAAGCCCCCTCCTGGTGTGCCGGGACTGCCCTACGAGTTTCGAGCTCTCGAAGCCGTGTTGACTTCGGTCACGTCGGAACTGGAAGCAGATTTTGAGTCGGTACGAGAGCCGGTCATGCACGTCCTCAGCGAGCTTGAGGATGACATTGACCGGCAGAAGCTGCGCCAGCTTTTGATCTTGTCGAAGCGAGTTAGCACATTTGAGCAAAAGGCTAAGCTGGTGCGGGACGCCATTGAAGAGCTGCTGGAAGCTGATGATGATCTGGCAGCCATGTACCTGACGGAAAAGGTGCACGACTTGTATAGAAGCACTGATGATCACACGGAAGTTGAGATGCTGCTCGAGTCGTATCACAAGCTTGCGGATGAAATTGTGCAGGAGGCTAGCAACTTGGTGTCTGGTATCCGGAATACAGAGGACCTGTGAGTTTTCTTTCTCTTTTTAAACTTGATCACTGCCATCGCCGTAACCATTAACATGTGCAACAGCGTACGAGCCATTCTCGACGCTAATCGCAACGCCCTCATGCTTCTGGAACTCAAGTTCAGCATCGGGACGCTGGGACTAGCAATGGGCACCTTTATTGCTGGTCTTTACGGTGCCAATTTGGAAAACTTTATCGAAGAGACGAACTGGGGCTTCGGCGCCGTCACGGCTACATCGGTCGTCTTCTCTCTGGTTGTCTGCTGGTATGGACTGGTCAGGCTGCGCAGGATCCAGCGCATCAAGATGGCGGGTGATGAGCGGCCTCGGCTATCTCGCGGACACCCATACTACGACGACGGCGCTGCCCTCGGCATTCTGGATTCGAGGAACAGGGAGCTGCTGCTACGAGCACACATGCAAAGGGCACTCAACAACAAGAAGAGGTGGTGGTTCTCACGATGAATCATGAACATGTACGATACACAAGAAAGAGAAGAAAAACAAAGGACGACATCTGGCGGCTGCTTACTCACATTTATCCCCCCTCCCCCCTTTATTCTCCCCCAACATGGCATATAGATGGCGTTGTGGGCGGATTGGACTCAATTGTTACATGTAAAATTTGGATCACACACGCACGCTCTTTTCTTTTTCTTGTTTTTAAATTTTGAAAAATGATGAATCATGAAGGTCTTGGGGCATCTCATCTCTGGGTCTACTTTTTGGAAACGGCGGGCTGATGGTGGTACTCGCATTGTGCTGTGCAAAAGGATGGCACCCATGTACGATAGACGCATGCAGCAAGCAACGCACACAGCAACTACAGCAGCTACAGCAAGCATGCAGCAAGCATGCAGCACTCACCGCCCAGAGATTCGTGTGCTCTGCTCAACTGGACGAATTGCCGGCAAATGCACTCGATTAAAATACGACACCGCCTCTGCAGGCATCAGGCAACCTGCTGGTCGTGGGCCAATCGCGGCGGTATGCGGGCGCAGGCACAGAAGACGGTGAGCAGCATGTGCCTGAGAGACGGTGACCGAAGCTGCGGCGGTATCGTGCAGACGATGGAATTGGCGGAGAGATGGGCGTGGAGCATGTGAGAGAGAGAGGTGGAAAAGGGGAGCGCAGGATTACGTGCAGAGAATGTGAAGCATCTAGAAGCCGGAAGTGAGGCCCTGATTGGGCTGAGAGTGATACGTACCTGAGTTGCTGAGATAGAGAAGAGGAGAGAAGGACTGGGAGCTGACTGGTTGACGTCATGGAAAGGGCCCTTTTGGGCATTGCAGTGTGACCCGAAGCAGCGGAAATGTAAATCTAGATAGAGTACAAAGCAATCAATGAAAACGGCCGCGATCGTCTTGACACGAACATGCTTCTCGCTCCCACCAGGCGGTACAAGGCGGTACAAGATGGGATGGATGGGAAAATCAAGATTCCCAAGGACCAGGGTTGGTGCATACGTCAAGGGGGGTCCACCTGAGAACTAGTAGCTGTCCCTTGTATCCCTTGTAAAAATGATGAGGCGGACGGGACGCCTTACCGCAACAAGAGGGCGAGCGCTATTGGATGGCATGGTGCAGCTTCCGGAGGAGAAGAGCCGGGGGGGAATGAGAATGAAGAGAAGAGGGAAGAGGAGAAGGGGATAATGGGATTGAGTTTTTTTGGGTGATGATTTCAGAATTTGGTAATATTGGGTTGCTTAAACAGAGGGAATAAGAAGCAATCGTGATGGATGGTTGACGATGATGATGTCGTGACAGGGCAGAAATCATCTTGACGTCATGGAAGCCCGTTGCTTCTCTTCTCCCAGATTACTCTTCTCGGGAGTTAAATTCAATTCAAACTTGAAGCTAACGGCATTCCGTTTTAGCGTTTTTCCCGGGTGATGTTTTTACTTGTAGCAAGTACTACCCAATTTGTTAGTCGTTGCCCAGAAAAGGGCTGATATGACGAAACGACGAAGTGATTTGCCCATCCCAATTACCTGCTAGTAGACACCCAATGCGGAAGGGAACTGACCTCCTTCCTTACTGGAGGGGGGGGGGGGCAAAGAGCGGACAGCCAGTTGTGGGTTCAACGTTGAGAACCGGTGAGCGGCAGGAGCTGCAGGAGGGCCAGGGATGCGTTCCAAGGTGCCTTCCCATGTTCATGTGGATGGCCGATGGGTACATGCGTACAGTGGAAGAGGTACTTGGGGATTCCGTGTGTGGATGCGTGCTAATGCGCGTACCTATGTGGTGCTTTTGTAATGTACCTTTTTTCATTATCTTTTCCACTTTTGATGTGTGTGTGTGTGAGAGAGGCGAGATGGAGCAAGAGGTAAGTTTTAGTTTGCGGGAAGCTGGCACAGGGATTATTTGGGCTGGGTTCGTGTATAAGACAAGGGCAGTCGCCACCTTCTCTCCGACTTCCTGTTCCATGACATTTATTTCCTGTAACAAACACTGACGATAATCAATCTTCTCCTATAAGACGCCTTCACAAACAAAGACTGCTCTACGACATCTCGTCCTACCATACGCCAACACCTAATACACCTACATACCTATCAACACACAAACATCATTCATAATGGGTGCTGTCGTATCTTGTGTAAGCATCCTCATACATCCGCCTGCCCAAACGAAAACACCCGTCTAACACCCGTCGTCAAACAGTTCGAGGCCATCTTCCGGACGATTGGCAGCGTCATTATGGCCATCGTCAGCGGCATCGGCAACATGCTCACTGCCGTGATAAATGGAATAGTTTCTCTCTGCGGAATTATCGTCTCCTGCGTGACGTGCGGCCATGCTGGTGGCCATCGCCGGTACAGACATCGTGGTGTAAGGGGTTCTAGGATGCGGAGCCGCGTATAAAAAATGGAGCCTGAGTCGAGCGAAGACGAGGAGCATGAAATCAGCCAACATCGTCAGAAATCATGACGACCGCGCTGGTGCTCTGCTTCACGAACCGGTTATGAATCACGACACGACAGAAACACATTACCACAAAGCGCAAAGCAGAGAGGTCTCTTTGCAGCGTGGACGACGAATCACACATTTTCCTTGCTTGTATGTTTGTACGATTATTGTTGGATTCTTGAGATACCAAGACCTCTAGTCGCCCTCGAGCGGTACATCCTTCTTGTTTCATTTGTCTACTGTATTATTACACATCATATAGTCTGAATAATTGACACCGTCACCGACATTCTCTTGTTTCCTCTCACAAATGCTGCTTATCGTGAATCAAATCACATGCCAAGTCGTTTAATGCCAGTCAAGGTGGGGGGATGGGGGTCTAATCCTAGTCGTCCTCTTCCATCACGTTCCTGTTAAAGAAGCCATAGATTTGTCTGGCCGATGTCCTGCCCACTATCGGCTCCAGCTCCTTCTCCGTCATGTTGGCCACCTCCCGTATGTTTTCCGTGTCCAGAACGAGGCTCTTGATGTTTTGCGGCGTCACGCCCGGCGCAATGGACAGCATTTCCTGAGGCTCCTGGTTAAAGACCTGGTCTTCCACCTTGGAATCCTTGTCCAGGCCCGCCTGCACTGCCGCGATGGGATCGGGCTCGTGCTCTAGCGTCTTGAGCGAGGCAAATATCTCGGCGGTCTCATACGGTGAGGACGACCAAATGATGCGCAGCTTTGGAAACGCAAGCGTCAGCAGCACGAGCTTGGACTGGAGATCCGACGAGACATTGGTGGGAGCAACGCTGTTGAGGCTGCCAGAAAGGTCGGCAAAAGGCTCTAGAGTGAAGGACTTGTTCTGGTCGAATTCAATGAGCAGCATAGGATTCTTGTAGTGCTGGAACATGGTTTCAGCCTGGCTGTACAGCCTGCCGTCCTTGAAGGATGAGATTAGATCGCTGATGGACTTTCGTTCTACGCAAATGTTGGGCGACAGGATGTAATCGCCCACGGTGAGCATACACGGCACCACTACCATAGAGCGCCCGTGCAGCAGAGACGGCAGCGAGGACCTGAACTCTCGCACGTCGACAACGACCCGCGGCGGCTCCGCCGTGGCCGCCAGCTTACCGCCTCCGGCGATGCGGGTGTTGACGGTGCGTAAGAAGGCCTCCTGCGGGTCCTCGATCCCGTGCGGGTCGACCGTCATGACCAGCGACATGCTTGCCCGCTCCTTGATGAGCTTGGTGAAGGCGTCCTTTTCTCTCCTGACTGAGGATAGATACCGCTGCTCCTCTACTGAGCCTCCGTAGTACAAAAAGTATACTCTGACGTTGCGGTCGTTGTGAGAAGACCGGTACACTTCTACACGACGGATGAAGGCGGCGTCAGGCTCGTACATGATGATGTACCGCGGCTTGACCTCCTCAAGTACATGCTCATCCTGGTCACCGTCGTAGGCGTGGACAACAACCAAGTCCTGCATCTCATACAGCTGATAGTAGTCTTCCATGTTCTCTAATGGATCAGCAGCAATGTCATCCTTCTGCTGTAGCGCTTCTTCCTCGGTGATCTGGACTTTTGCCATCAGGTCTGCCACCTCCCCTGGCTTCTCGAAATACTGGGCAATGCTCCCGTTATCGGTACGCCCGGACATGATCATGGACCCTCCGACATTTCCCCCTCCTCGCATTCTCCGCCTTTTGTTTGCTGGAGCCTTGCCACCCCTGAGGCTGCCGCCATGTCCGGGCCGCGAGTCCGTGGCGCTGTTGAGAGCCTTTTGATTCTCGGCGAACAGGCTGGCGCTGACCTGCGCAAACTGTCTCTTCCATCTCAAGTAGTTTCGAAGTTTCCGCCTCAACATGAAGTTGGCCGACGGTTTGTGGGCTTCCTCGGCACGTTCGCGCTCAAACTCGGGGTCGTCCACGACTGGAAGCGCATCTTTGTCTGCCTTTGGCTTCACATGCATAGTCTGAAGGAAGTCGCGGAGCTGCCGGCACGTATCCGTGTTCGAGCACATGATGAGTATGCCTCCGTTAGAGTCATCTCTCACTTTGGGCTCAAAGAAGAGATCTCGATCAATTTCTTCCAACACCTCTGCCAGTATGCCCCATTTCGGCAGCTCCTCGAGAACAGGACGCAGTGAATCAATATTTTCGCCGCTCTTCGATACGCTTTTGGGACTGGCAGAGTAGACTCGCCTCCGTGCAATATCGAATATGGTCTGAGCAGCATCAAGAAACAGCCAGGGGGATTGAGACTGCCGGGTTGATCCGGGAGGAGGGGAGTGCGCGGCGTGTATCGTATCGAGGTGTTGAAGAAAGGATACGGCATCAAAAGTAAGAATGTTGCTGAGAAGTCCACGGAGAATGGTCAAATCGTTGACAATCTGGCGCGTCTTCCAACTGACGCGGTGCCAGTTTGGATCTAATTGGCGCCGAACCAGAACGTCAAAGTTCTTCAGCAGGGCGCTATCCAGATTCCAGTCATCCATTTCCAAGCCCGAATTGCCCTTTTTGAGCTCGTGGATGCTGACCTCGACACATTCCATGATGGCATTCTGAATTTCTCTCATCGAGTCTGTCATGGGAACCTCAAGCTCAATGACCTCGGCCTTCTTCTTGCCTTCGAGAGACTGCGCCACTGTGACGTGAAATCTCGGCCAAAGGGACGCCTTTTTGAGAAATAAATTCCTCATCATGGTGGTCAACGGTGAGAATCCCGTAGTGAATGGATCTGGATTGTCTGAGAAGGCCTTGAGAAAGCCAACTTTGTTCTTCTGCCTGTACACTCGGAGAATGAATGCCTCTAGAGAAGTGGCGATGACTCGATCTGCGTGGAGAACAACCAGGCCGGTGATGAGCTCGGGATTCAACAGCCCCGTCAGGAGGTCGACTACGAGGATGCGAGAGGTGATGCTGAAGATGCCGCCCTTTGCATACATCTTTTCCCTGGCACCGACAGTCTGGGAGTCGGTGTTGACAACTGTTAAGCCCCGTGCTTTGGGCGATGCACTGATGGCGGCATGTTCGGCCAGTGCCTCGCCAATCCAGTTATTTTCGCGCTCGCCTGAGCCTACGAGAACGATGAGGTTGCTCCCAGCAGCATCGTAAGAGTGGAGGAGATTTGTGACAAGGCGCATCTGGCCCAGGCCACGGGCGAGAATCACGAGCTCATCCTCAGCTCGGAGCTCTTGGAACAGCTGCTGCTGGTATTCCTAACGGGGCTCGATTAGCCACGAGGCCAAGGAGAGGCAGCAGAGCAGGAGAACCAACCAGGGGCAGCGAGAGTTTGACTGGCTGCGGCGCATTGCTGGTCGACATCCGGGGCGCCGTGACGATGCTTCATGGCCGAAGCGTGAAGTTCATGCTACTAACAAATGAAGATCCGTTATGGAGGTACCTCTCCGCAGACGGAGCTTGTTTTAGTGCGGCCGTTTAGCGCTGTGGGTTACCGTTTTTAGCGGTACTTGGAGTCTTTGGACCTGGTCTCTGCTTTCAAGGTTCCGTTTTTATCACGTGACTAGCATAATCATTGGTACCCAAACCGTTTTACACTGGGAAATGAAAGATGCCTGATGCAGTCATGACCAATTCCATGGGTAATGAGGATAATGCTGCTGCTGCTGCTTGCATTAATCAAACATCCATATCTGCAATCCGTATACAGTAGATGCCAGCAATGTCAGCCCACAAAACCGTTGATACCCAAATGTCTTACAATGTGGCACGTAGCACCTTTGCAAAAGCTCGTTTATGACCCAACTTTGACGAATGCCAATGACGTCTCAGTCAACGTCATCCAATCGACGCCACCAGCGCCGGCTGCAAACGCCTTGATCAAACTTGCAGCGTTGCCGGCTTCAGCTAGGCGCTTAGGCATATATACTCGTATATATATAGTAGATGGTGGTTTGCTGCCTCAACTCAAACTTTCAATCTCATTCATTATCTTGAACAATTGCATGATCCTGTTTCGTGACAAGGCTATTTCGCATTTACGACGCTGCACACATACAAAGACATTATCCACTACTAAGATTCCCATCATGGACTCTAGCAACAGCCAGCAGAAGAAGGAGGTTTGTGGCTATCCATCCCTTGGCTCACCATCTGTTGCTAACCTAGAATCAAAGGGCGAGAAGCAATTCTCTATCCAGCCCATCAACGAGTCAAACGTCGACCCCAAGTTTGCTGCGCATCAAGCTCATCCCGGCCCAGCCATCGCCAAGCAGATGCCGCCTCAACAGGGCACCAAGGAGGAGCGTCAGGCGAGAAAGGAGGAATTGAATAAATAAATACACATCACTATAGCAGCTATACGATAAATCAAATTTGATTTTTTTTCTTCTTATTTTGGCTTGCAAATCATTTTGCTAAATGCAGTAACCTTATTTCATATCCATGCCACTGCAGATATCATCCGAGGTACATGTACCCGCGAAACGGCGGGGTGTAAAAGAACCATGATGCAGCAACCTCAAAACTCCCATCAAATCAAAGAGCCTCGCCCATATTATCTGCCTTGGCGCCTGTATCCTCCATATTGCATCTCCTATTAAAACAGCCCATGCAGCCAAAGCGCGATCCATAGCTTCTGACCCGTTCTGGAATCATCAAGCAGTTCGTCAGCGCGCAAGAGATGGTCTCGTGCTACTCTGCGTGATGACGACAGGGACTGGCGCGGCCTTGTGGTAATAATGCCTGTGCTATGCTGCTCCAGGGCTGGATAAGATACATACCTAGGTACCTACTATAAACAAAGGGTCCAGCGCTGGAGCCTTATTCTGGCTGATTCTACTCCGTAGCGCCTCTAATTACAGGGAGCCAGTGCGTGCGTATCCTCGCAATTAGTGCCCTTTCCAGCCGCTGCGGATTCCACAAACCCCCCCGAAGCGGAGCCCCCAGAACCGCTGCCACCGCCTGGCCTCGCCTTGCGGATTCCGGTTCCTTTGTCCTGAACGCATTTGCTCACTCAACCTCACCTCTCCCTCTTCCCTCCCTCTCTCTGCCTGCAAAACCCTCGCAAACTCTCCCTTGATGCCTCCGCCGCTGGAGACGCTCGTCCGACTCGATCCCGCCCGTGACAAGCTGCCAACATTCTTAGCGTTTCGGCCCGAGGGCATCGCCCACGCCTGCCTGGGCCTTGCAACGGTCATTAATTAAGACTCAGCTGCTGCCTTTTTGACAGCGGGCGCCAACTTTGGCCAGACGAAAAGAGGAGACGGTCAAGCTACCATCTCATCTAGGCCCTCCCCCTCTTTCCACGCCGCCAAAACGACACTACAATAGTCGCTCGTCGACGGCTCTTTTGCCTCTGCTTTCCCGCCATCTCTCAGCTTCGTCTCGCCTGGTCGCCCCTTGACCTCGCCGCCCGTCTTCCTCCCAGCGTCCGCCCTCCAGCGGCTCCACCGCCAACATGCCCTCCATCCTCAACGACGACGACAAAGATACCGTCAAGCGCTTTGTCCCCAAGCAGTCCAACAAAATCCAGGCCGTCGCCGTCGCCAAGCTCTACGTTGCATATCCCAATCGCTCGAAATGGAATTACTCGGGACTGCAGGGCGCCGTTGTTTTGGCCAACGACTTGGTGGGAAACACCTACTGGCTCAAGATGGTGGATATTTCGGTATGAATGACCCTCGAATTGCCTCCCCCAAACCCATTCGTCGTTGGTCTCCCTTACGCACAAAACGGATGGGAGACAAATGCAAGCGATGGAGGAAAGAAAATCAGAGAAAAGGATTGCAATGTTAACAGCTTTGGCAACTTGAAACAGCCCTCCAACCGCGGGGTCATCTGGGACCAGGAAATCTTCGATTCGTGGAACTACAATCAAGATCGAACCTTTTTTCATACCTTTGAATTGGAGGAATGCCTCGCCGGGCTCAGCTTTGTCGACGAAAAAGAGGCCAAGCAGTTCAAAAAGAAAATGGACGAGCGAGAAAAGAATGCTAGCCGAGCGACGAAAGCGACGCCCTTTGGCGGATCCCACCATGCAGCGGGAGGAGGTCAGAAACACAGTCTGCTGGGGAACATCTTCCACCGACATTCGACCGTCTCCATGATGCCGGACACTACAACCTCCAACCTGTCAGGCTTCTCTCACAACTCCGGTTCTTCGGTTAGCTTGAACGACGGCAGAGGTGGTTCTGAATTTGCCCTGCTTGACGCCTTCGACCCCATGTGGCGAGAGCATTACGGCCACGATCTCAGTGATAAGGGGTTAACAGACGACTTCATCAAGGACAACCAGGAGTTTATTGTCGACTTCCTTAGAGAAGAGCAAGCCCGGCTGAACAGGGAAGCAGCAGCACCGCCTCCCGCGCCGCCCGCTCCTCCTGCTCCTCCTGCTCCTCCCGCTCCTCCCGCGCTGCCTTCGCCTTCGACCAACGGCCATGCCGTGAGGGCGCCACCTCCACCACCGCCTCCGTCTGCTCCCCCGGCCGCTTCTGCCATTCCCGGCTCGCCCAATGCAAAGAGGACCGGGCCGCCGCCTCCTCCGGCTCCTCGGCGGTCGGGCGGCAAAGTTGACGGTGATCCCAGCCCACCGAGAGCACCATCTCCTCCTCGGCCGCGATTCAACGCTCCGCCACCCTTGCCCGACGCAGGCAAGTTTGCGCATCAAGTTGTCGAGAGGAAGAAGCCCGTGCCTGCTGCTGCTCCATCCGTCCCCGGGCCTCCACCTCCTCCGCGGCCTGCCAAAACGCCTCTCGAGTCCGAAGACCAGCACCACAAGTTCAATGTTCCGCCTCCGTTCAGCGGCCAGCGCGCCCCTGCACCTCCAAGCCGCGGGCCCGTCCCTCCACCGCCGCCTCCTCGAGGCAGCGATGCCGGCGTACCAACTCCCGTGGCCCTCCCACCACCTCTGCCTCCAAAGGTGCCGACTTCGAGCGCTCCTCCGTTGCCGCCACCGAGTGCCCGGCCTGTTCCTCCTCCGCCGGCAGCCAACCACGTACCACCGCCTCCTCCTCCCATGCCGGTAGCCAGCAGCATTCCAGCTCCGCCTCTACCTCCACCAATGCCATCACCAAGATTGCCTCCTCCGCTGCCCTCGGTCAGCGCTCCTCCTGCAGTGCCACCGCCGCCGCCGTTGCCTTCACCAGGTTTTGGAAGCGCTCCTCCTCCACCTCCTCCACCCCCTCCTATGCCTGTCGCCAGCGTTGCGCACCCACCTCCACCTCCACCTGGTCCTCCCCCGATCCCGGGAGCTGGCAGTGCGCCTCCAGCACCTCCGCCGCCTCCTCCACCCGGTCCCCCGCCCATGCCAGGAGCCGGAAGCGCTCCTCCTCCTCCCCCACCCCCTCCGCCGTTCCCATCAGCAGGAGCTCCTCCTCCACCTCCACCTCCGGCAATGCCAGATCGAGACTCTGGCTATTCATCAGGGCCTACAGCTCCTCTTCCCAAGGCGGATGGTGGGCGCGTGTCTCTCCTCGGAGACATTCAAAAAGCAGGAGGTATTGGATCGCTCAAGAAGGTGGACAGAAGCAAGATCAACGATCGCAGTGGGGCGGCTGTTGGAGGATCCTCTGGCTCGGGCGCGGGAGCTGGTCCTAGCCCTGCAGCTGGTGGTGGCATGGCAAATGCCCTGGCGGCAGCTTTACAAAAGAGAAAGGATAAAGTCAGCAAGAGTGGTAAGTTTTGGCTCTTTCTAGTTGTACGTGGGAAGAATGCTAGAGTACTAATTTTTGTGCACAGACGACGAAGAGGAAGATGATGACTGGTAAAGAAGAAACCTGGTGTATTAGGGGAAGAGAAGACATTCGCACGTTAGGCGTCATGATACCTGTGATGGCCGAAAAAGGGAGGGAGAGGGAAATTTATATTCCCTATTACTATTCCTTAACCATGTGAGAGGATCACGATGGCTAAATGCTAAGCTGTCCAACTCGTGGCAGTCCCAGCGTCAAGATTATTATACAAATCGGTTGCTGCCGGCAAAACAGAGGACAGCCAAAAAGTCGCAAAGCCACAGAGAAAGAGAAGAAGTACGGCTGAAGGTGGCTTGTGTTTTGGAGAGTGGCAAGCCCGCACGGGAGTTTGGAGTTGATTTTTTGGAGGGGGGAAGGCCTTTTGATGTCATTACTCAATAGATTGATTGACTTCAAGTTTTGTAGCATAAAGTACGTTTTTGAGATTTCCACTGTTTGGCTGAGTGGAAAAGGTTTGAGAGGATGAGGGAGAAGAGGCGGGAGAGAGAGAAATATATCAACAAAGATTGCACAACAGAGAATTTGAAACATGCATGTACTACGAAGAGTCGCACAACGTGGAGACAATGTTCTGCATCAAGGTGATTTCGCTGGTGGCAAAAAAAAAAAAAGGTAGTCGTAGACTCGTAGCCATAAGAAATATGTAGTATGAACAGTCCTAGTACTAAGATGGAAAACATGAACGGGTGAAAAGACAAAAAGACACCATTGTGACAGCCGCGCCGTCTCTCCCACCGCGGCCATCGAATAACCTCCACTCCGGATAAAACTGTCGTGGGACCCAGCGAGCAGCAGCAAGGAGGGAACAAGGCAAACGCCGGATGCTGGTTATCCGAGTTTTCCTTGTTCCCTCCCTCGGGCTACGTCCAGAAAGGTCTGAGAGAGAAGACAGCTGTGCCAAATCCCCAAGGGCGTAGGCTGGCCCCCTTTTTGTTTTCGTCGAGTTCCCCCCCTCCCTCCTTCTTCCTTATAGAGCGCACAGAAACGGAGGTTGGGGAAAAAATCGGGCAAGGGGGCGTTTGTCGAGTTTTTGATAGTGAGAGGTAGGAGGAAAGGCGTAAAAAAGAAAAATAATGGTCCTTTTCCCTCGCAAAGTTTGTTTCCCCCAGGAGGTTCGGAGCTGCGGCTCAAATGTCGTCAATGTCGAGCTCCTTCTTGTCGCCAGAGTCGGACTCCTCAGACTCGGACTCGTCGGCGCCGAACTCGAAGCCGGCGTTGTCGTCGCCGTCCTGGCCGTAGGTGTCGGTCTCGTTGATCTTTGCGTTTTCGGGCAGCTCGCCGAGGTTCTTGAGATTACGGGCCTCGTCGGCGGTGTACTTGAGGATGACGTCGCCCTTGCCGTCCTGGAAGTCTCGGAGGGAGAGGAGGATGATGTCGCCCTGGTTGATCCAGACCTTCTTGCGCATCTTACCACGGATCTAGACGAGAAATACCATGGTTAGCCTGGTTTTTTTTTTCTCCTTGTTATTTTTTCTCGCTGTGAAAACGGTGGTGGAGTAGCATAAGCCGCGTCATGCATGTGATGTGTTTTTTTTTTTCTCCTTTTGTTATTCTTTTTTCAAAGGGGGGGTTCAAAACGTACGTTGGCGAGACGCTTGCTGCCGTCAAAGCACATAGCCTCGAGTCGGCCGTTGCCCAACATCTTGACAACCTGGGCGTACTCCTGGCCGTCCTCCTTGAAGGTCAGCTCTCGGCGCTGGTCATCGTTCTCCTTGGTTCCTCTTCTGCGGTTCTTGCCGCCCTGTGTTGCGCAAAAAGAGCGGTTAGCCGTCGGATCTAGATCATCAGGTAGTTCTCTGATTTTTTTTTCCTCTCCTGATCGCCGCGTCAGGGGGAAAAAAACAAGCACACAAAAGTTGGCGGGGGAGGGGTTGTTTTTAGAAAATAATTTATTAATTAATTCCTCTCGCCCTCTTTTGCAGTGGTTGTTTTCCCCCGGTCTTGTTGTGCTGCGAAAAAAAGAGCTGCAAAATACGCACCTTTCCCTTGTTCTTGGGCATCTTGACTGTTGGCTCGAGAAATCTGGAGTGTCGGTGACCGTGAGATGCAGGAGGTCAAAAAGTCGGCGACTCTCAGATTTCTTATGTTGGGGCGAATATTAGCATTTGGGCGCAGTCGACGAAACGCATGCGGATTGGTGACTCAATGCGTCACGTGATGGGAGTCACCAGTCAGCGCCCTTGTTTTGCTGATTATGATTCATGCTGCAGAAGTACCAGCCTGCAGAGCTGAGGTACCTGTTAGGTACTAGTAGTAGGTAGGACTCAGTGTATGTCTATAAGAATTACCTTGTACTCTATCCAAGACAACTAAACTGAAATGGTAAAAACCACCTATTGGTCATGGCGAAGGATTTTGACTCATTCCGGCGGCAAAAGTGCATATGCATGGGCTATTCAGGTACCTCGATTACGTATCTCAGGAGTGAAGATGCAGGCAAGTGTGGCTGTGAAAGCTCTGATAGGTAGCCATAATCTACCTAAAACAGGGAATTATGAAGACAACATGATCAATACCTTGGCGGTAGATTCATGTACATGACTAAATCTAGATAGCCACTCAAGCCACTCTATTCCTCAGCATTTACTTTATAAAAAAAAATCTTGATTAAATGCAAAATCCCTAGTGGCGTTACATTTCCCGTTGTGTTACTTGGATTTCTTCAGGAAACTAAACTTGGTGGCGATATGTATTTTTCTCGGTTCTTTCCACACTTTTTCCTCAGTACCTTGCGCCACATCTGTATTACATAATCACTCTCAAGCTCTGCAACTTCCCAAGTGAAGCTGAAGCTCATCGTGAGATTCATTGAGACTCAAGTAAACACTTCAGCATTAAGCTCAGTACTGCGAAATTTCAGCAAAAGCGAATCACACAACCATCCTGTTGAGGCCATCACGGATCAACTCATAGCACGCAACAAAGAAAAGAAGAAGAAACAAATATTCTCCATGACAACCCAAATCACAACACCATCATGACAGTGGCAGCTCAACTTCCCCTGCCCCTGAGGCACCTCATCACCAAGAAATTCACCCAAATTCCGCCTATATCATCCCTCTCTTCCACACAAATCCGATTCTCCTCAGCCAAACCCTCTCGCCAAGCCTCATCACCACCGCCCTCCCCCTTCCAGCGAAAACCCATCCTCAGAGACACCATCCGGCGCTTCATCCCTGAAGAGGCGAAAAAGTTCGTCAAGCCCGACGGCAAGCTGCAGACGACCCGCGAGACAAGAGACTTCTTCCTCGAGCACAACCTCGAGCCGGACAATGGCGCGGCGCGCAGACTCACCACCGGCCCGGGCCTGCAGAACGTCTCCAAGGCATATCATGCCACCATCGCTTTCAGCCCGCGGCACATTATCCATCCGCACGATCTGCGCTTCTTTGATCCTAGAGGCCACCCGCTGGCCGCTGCGAGGCGCGCAAAGTATATCCGGAAATCTCAGCAGGAGCCCCTCTGGATCATGATCACGGGTGCGGGAGCTTCCTCGGTGGTGCGCACGTTGACGCAGAGACGCTTGAAGAGCGCAATTTACCGGAGTCTGGAGGACCTCGGCTTCCAGAACGGCGTGGGGGACCAGAAGGAGATCCGGGGAACTCTCTGGATCACGATTCACGACCCGGTCGCGGCGTCGAAGCTGGCCCCTGAGCCGTTTGGCGAGGCGGTTGCTAAGGCCCTTAGGAGTAGATGCAGTCAGCCTTTGAGAGGAGGGAGATGATGCAAGAAAGAGAGTTTCTTCTTGTTCTTCTTCTCTTCAGACGGCTGGTACATGCAAGTGATCAATGCTGCCTACTTTCGGATCTGCAGCTTGACTGGTCTAAATGCCGAGTACATGATATGATCTCAAGTATATTCGCATATATGCGGTATACATAACAGGCTCTCTACTCAACCCATCAAAGTTCACAAATCTTCACCAGCCTCAACCGGTCATATAGGCACACGCCCGAAGGACACAAAAGGTTCATCCATGTCCTCCAAACTTGGGTTGATGTGTTGAATGCAGCCATCAACAATTACTCTTAGGTCCCCCCCTTCAACTACGGATACTCCTTGGCTTTGGAACAAATTTCCATAAATTCCAGACGTTAGACTCGTTTTGGGAGTATATCAGTGTTGGGTAGACAACAAATTAGCCATTGCGGCGAACATGTTCTTCAAGAATCATCCCCAGCTATAGATATTGTAAAGATCAGCGACAGTCTTTCCTCGTCTGTGTCGAATCATTCACGCATCGGCAATGCTGCAGCCATTTTCAAAAACAGATCAGCCAGCTGCAATACTGTTTCGTTTTGATATTTGTGTAGATGAAACCATCTTCGACGTCAGTCGTCCTACAAAATGATATAATCGAGCTACAGCCGCATCGTATAATGCATCTCATGCAAAAAGTGATATAAAAGAAAAGCCGACATGGACCTTGCCAACGCATCTCCCATCAATCGCAGCTTCATCTTGGCTTAGACATAGCCAATCCCCCCATTTTCAGCCCCAGACCTCGTCCGCCGAAACAAATAGATATCTCAAACCCCATACACGTAACTGGACACAAAAGCTATCAAACGCTTCCCTCCAACGCCGGTACATGCTCTTAGTAGGCCCTAGAATCCCCCTATAGACAAAGAGTCGGGGGAAAAGAGGGCCATGAGAAAAGAAAAGAAAAGAGAAGGAAAAATGGCTGGCGGAGATTTACAAGGAGCTTCTTTTCTCTGAATCAAGAGCATCGCCTGCTCCTTCGCCTTCTTCCTCTGTCGAATAGGCAATGTATTTCCCTTTGCCTTTAACATCAGCCGTCATTGTCAACCCAAGTTTGCTCTCCTTCATGCTCCGTCGACTGCCGGGTCTCTTGTTAGTCGCCTTCTTTGGCGTTGCTGTCCCCTTGCGGCTCTTTGGTCGATCTGGTCTCCCCATTTCAAGAGGAGATCCCATCTTCAGGTCTTCGCCAGATGAATTTCGTCTCGTCGTTGGGGCTGTAGAGCTCTTCATATCGCGCATCTCCTTGATGACATCTGCAAAGCTTTCTTCCAGAGTCTTCATCCGAGCGAGAACCAGCCTTCCCATCCTATCGCGATCCGCCGAGTCAGCTCCTCCAGCACTTCGCAGTCGACTGTCCTTCATCATAGCCATGGCCATCTGTGTCTGGAAACTACCCGCCAAGCCAGTATTAATGTCCCCAACAAAGGGAAGATTTGTGTTATCGGATAGAATACTCAGGTCGGCCGAGGACAGCCTTCGGGCAGCACGCTCCCGGCTTCTCTGATCCATGCCCAACATGGCTGATCTGTTCAAGTTGCTCATGCCCGCCTGCCCATGAGGAGGCATGGTGGAGCGAGTATTGAGACTCGGTGGAGAGAAGAGTGATCGTCGAGGGGGACTGCGCATGCCAGAGGGAATAAATGATTCGCCTGCTACCATGTCTGCAGCCTGACCGCTTCGGTTTCTAGGCACGGGTTCTTTGGGAGGCGAGGCTGAAGGAGAGCTCTCAGGAGGTGGATCCATTTCCCCAGGATTGTATAGTATTGTGTTTGTAGAAAGTGTGCGATTGTGTATCCCTGTTCGCCTAGGCTTGCTAGGAGGCTTTTCCTTTTCGTCCGAACTATGAGAGGAAGCTATAACGGCAGACCGCGCTCCCGTAGGAGTTGTTGTGAAATAGTCATCAGTCTCGCTTGGGGCGGCATTGCCTCCCATCGGACCACGGGGATCAGCACTGGTTCCAAGGTCGTCTTCGTCTTCATCGTTTGTGACCAGTTCGTCATCTCCATCAGCATCGGTGTGGTCTTTATACTCGGGCATCAGATGGGCAAAACGAGGGTCCATGAATCGGGGATCCATCATGGGGAACGCCCGATATGAGGTTCCTCCAACATTGGACGCTAGGTCTGCCGGGTCGCTGACGATGGATCTGAGATCGGATACCTGCCTAGAGTTGGAACGTAGATCCCAGCCCATGCTCATTCTTCTTTGCCAGTCCGGGACAGGCCTATTGTCCGTTGGTGGCCAGTTAGTGCTGCCGACTCCATCCTGGTCATTGCGGTCCATCCAATTTCGAATCGCCGTTTGTGTCTTGCGTTTCTCGTGCCTCCTTTGTGACCTCGTGGCGTCGGGCATGCGCAAAAACAGCTCGTCGAGAGCCCTGTCCTTTTGATACCCTGCCACCGATTCTTCACGTACGCGCATGCTAGGACTGAAGATGCTGGTCCGGTTGGCCATATCCCCAAAGGAAATGGCCCGACCCCGACTTCGTCCTGGATTCTCTACCAGATCCGTGGGCTCAAAAATGGACGGCGCCAACCATAATCTTTCGTACAAGAATATACAAAACAAGATGGGGCAGTGAGTCACCTTGATGATGATACGATTGAGCAATACGAAATGGCGAAGCGGCATGCAGTAACGCAGCGGCATGAGTAGCCATGCAAAGATGTTGGTAGGTGCGATATAAGAGAATAGAGCGTCGTTTTTCACCATTGAGATGGTATTGATGGCGAAGAGAAATCTGTAAAATGTATTAGTGATGAATGGCCTTGCTAAATAGACATCAACAGGAAGTAGGAGAGTGATGCATACTGATGCTCTTCGGTGGCATTGGAGGCAATAGCCATAAAGGAGTTGGTCAAGACTGTAATGAGAATTGTCCTGGGTTGAAGAGTTAGCAAACTCGAAAAAGGATCCAACACGGTGATGATTCGTTGGAGTACGTACACAATCAAGAAGTGGCAGATAATGAGGAACAAGCACAACAACGCTCGCGCAAGCCAGTTATACGATGGCCATCTGTGGTCATGTTAGCTTCAAAAATCATTTGGCTTGAAGCGTGATATTTAAGGGAGAAGGGGGGCGCGTACACATCCCAAGCGGCAGGTGTGAAACCCATGAGGATTTGGAAAATCTTGTAGGCAACCTCGCCTCCATCACTAGAGGTGGTGGAAGAGGTGAAGAAGACATAAAAGCCGCTACACACAATGAGAATCAGAACACAGACAGCCGCCAAGTCTGCCGCCATGAGCCGAAAGGCAATGAGTAGCTGAGAAAAGTACTGGTAGTGGTCCAGGATGCTGAAGATGCGAGGCAGCAGCAGGATGGCATTTGCGGCTAGCACATCGTACGCCATGGCATTCCAGTGGTGAGGGTCGGCGAGGAAGACGCCATAGACACGCATACAGTAATAGGCAATGAGCAGCACCAGGATACCCAAGTCAAAAATGTTCCAAAAGCTCATGATGTACAGGGCAAACCCTTGTTCATTGAAGCCCACCAGTTCATCAAGCATAAAGCCCGCACTCCAGAACCAAAAGACCAGTTCCAGGCCGGTGATTTGTGTAGATCGTCTAGATAGGACGGCCAAGAAGAGTCCAATCAGAACGGCAAGGGACAGTGTAGACAGGAAAGATCTATATCGCGGCACCCTGAGACGAGACAGCTTCAGCAAGGATGCCTGCCTAGGGTCGTACAACATCACAGTTCTTCTGCCCGGGGGAACGGCAAAGTTGGTCTGCTTGGGAGGCAGAGAGCCCAGGAGGGGAGTCCTATCATCAACTTTGGGCTGGCTATTGAAGCGTGAAAAGGGGCTCGAGGGCGACTCCCGGTGCAGGCTATCGGCAGAAGAATAGAAGGAAATGGCACCATTCCAGATGGCCTCCAGCTGCTGAACCACAACCGGGTGGGCGAGGAAATGCTTGGCCGAGGCTCGGATTGCAACCTCTAGAGTTGACGTCCGCGACGCTACAAGGGGGGCATTTTTGGACTTGCTGCCTGAGCTGCCAGCCGTGGGGGGTGGTTGTGCTCCGGGCATACCTTGGAGAGGGTAAAAGTCGTAGGCCAATGCATCAATCAGCTCGCGAGTGGAGTACTCCTTGAGCAGCTTGAGGGCCAACAGCTCACAGACCTTGGCCCTGGTGTTGCTGGTGCCCGCATTGGCGGCATACAGCTGGCCTTCCTTTGTGAATTGGAGACGGTTTGCCATGAGGGCGTAGAGGGTGGCTCGCGAGAAGTGTTGGTTGCGAATCTGTTGCTGCATCGGCTTGACAAGGAATTGAGAGACCTGTGGGGACCGTAGCTGATCCCAGGTAAGCGTCGTCTCTGTGCGGGAACTCACGATGATTCGGATTGCGTGAGTGAGGCTGTAAACGGGAAGCGTGTCTAGAAAGGAGTGAAACAAGAGTGGCGTGTAAGTCAGCTAGTAGGCTTCGGGCACATTTGAAGGCTCATGGATCAGAGGGCGAGCCTGAAGATTGGATATCATACCAAGGTGCGTCGAGGAGAAGAGCGGAAGGACTGGCAGCGTATTGCGTCTCCTGCGATGGCGTTCTTCGTCTCCATCATCTGCCTGGCCCCCTTGATCTCGCCCTGCGGCATTGTCGGTTCCATAGCCATAACCATGGCGGCGGCGAGTGTTGTTGCTGCTGCCGTTGGTGTCGTCAAGAGGGCCGGGGTCGGTTCTGTTGTGATTGCTGTTGTTGTTGCTGTTGCTGTTGGTATTCCCGAAGCCGTTGTCCTCATTCTCATCCTCATCCTCGTCCTCGTCCTCGTCTGCTTCTGTAAAATCTGCCGTGGCGTGAGCTCGATGAACGGCAAATTGCCGGAGCGGCGTGACGGTAGATGGCGAGACGCTCTCGTGTCGAGCAGAAACGCGACGGGGAGCCGGTCGAGGGCGACGCAGCGCTATGGACGACATGGTGCTCGAGGCAAGCCGAAGCGCTGTCGATTGGTGCGGCGATAACAGCTCGAGCGAGGCCCGTCTCTCTCTCTCTCAGCACTCAGCCGGGAGCGCCATGGGGGGTTGCAGGGGGAGGTCGAAACAAGGCAAAAGAGGCGAACAAGCCGCTCCCGCTTTCGCGAGCTGGAGTGGAGAGGAGGGAAGAAGAGAAGAAGAAGAGAAGAAGAGAAGAAGAATCGCGGATGGCGAGAGCAAGACGGGCCTGGACGAGAGCAGCGGTCCTTCTACTTGGGTCTTGGGTGCTGCTGGGTTGGCAGCGCAGAGCCCACAAGCACAAGCGGGCGAGAGCCACTCCTAGAGGCCGTTAGTGGGCTCAGCAGGCCTGTAATGTCCAGCTTGGAGGTGCTACAAGGGTATTCCCCAGCTAATCCAGCCAAGTTGCTCAGTTGAGGGCTCCAATGTTAGCATTAGCGGTTTAGCTCGTGGCGGTAGGAGCCGCTAAAATGGAGCTCTCTGTTGAAGCTGTCTGTTGCATCTGTTCTAGCAGGATTGATCTTCATCAGCTGTGCTGTGCCGCGCCCTCCTTGTCTTCAATGTCACGACGTCAATACTATGTACCTCAGCAAAATTGGATCCAAGACGCTGGATTCGGAAATTCCAGAACATCAAAGCCCAGAAGCGAGGAACAAAACAAGACCTGGAGGGTCTGTGCGGAGTCGAGTCAGCCAGAAACCCCGACTTCTCATGACATCAAACGGCGGCTGTCGTGCTTGGCCCTCGTGGCTCAATTTTGGTCGCCATGTGTCTCGCCCCCCTTTCACGTTGCAGTGCTAATGGCTCATGCTAGACGAGGCTCCGTTTTATCGGTCACGGTCTTGGTTTTTCGGGCTTCTCTGATTCCCATTCCTGACCGTTAGTTTGGCTGACCCGCACGGCATAACGCTTTTGGGGGTCTCGAGATGGAGTCGCCGATATGCATTGATTCCAAGGTTCTCTTTTTGCGCTTCCCCTGTAGCTGTACTCGTAGCCTGTAGTCTACTACCTAGCTTCTGTACTGTACTGGTACCCATGCCTCGCGCATCAACATGAGAGCGTCGCCTCAATGCAAAGCACATCATGAGATGAGCAGCAGATTTGCCCATTTTCTGGGGTGGCACAGAAAAGTCCCTGCATTTGCGGACGGATTGATTTGATTGATGCCGCATGTCCTGTATGTACTCCGTACAGCATGTACATGTACGAGTCCATGTATGGACGCATAAATGCAGCGCTTTTGTGTGTGCTCCGTCCGGCCACATGCTACTCGTGCAGCCAACCAACAAGAGACGCAGCTCGTGGGACGCATGACACAAACGAGCGTCGATCCAGAAAAAAAAAAGAGGGTGGGCTTCCACATGTCGAACAAATACCGATGATTGGGGCAATTCTTCTCCGGCCACCGGCAAATCAAATGGCTGGGAAACACTAGACGACGGTAGACCGCCGCTGAGAGGAGCGAGTTCCTCGACAGCCTCTAGTGTTGTAGGACTGCATGTCCTCTAGCATCAAATCCATCCCCCGGCTCGCCATGACCGACCGCAAACGCCCATTTTAGAGGTGTCGTGACCACCAGGGCGTGCGCCGTGCCGAACGAGATCGCCGGCTCGGGCTGCGAAATGGCCTCTGCGCAAGACGGCTAGGTTGCTTGCAGTTAGGAAACTGATGCGATAAGCCGGTGCGGGCTGAGGCGACCGTGGGAATGAGGCCATTCATTAGCTCCAATGTTTATTTGCAATAGCGCCGACGCTGGTGGGCATTTCACGACAGCTCTGGCGACTCGTATGTGCTACCAATAGCAGTAGCTCAAGTTATTTAAAGAATGATGGACTCATGTGAAAGTGCTAGTGGTCTTGGTAGAAGAATAGCTACTATACAGCCATGGAAGCTCGCGCCAGAGTCTACCTTGAGGTTGATGATAAAGGAATCGATAGATCAACAATACAATATATGTTCCATTTTAAAAGAAATGGGTGATTTGGAAAAGTAATATTAGCCTGTAATAGCATTAATGTAATCTGCTCTATCACACTCTCTTGCACTCCATCCATCTCTTTCATTACTTTTTTATTAATCGTTTCTGTTAACTGGCTTACCACATTATTTTTCAACCGCTTTTCTATAGAACCTACCTTATCTTTAACTATCACCCTTATATACTGTCAGCTGCTCATTAACCTTAGATACCTATGGCTGAATAGTATTGTTGGTATTGTTAAGACATAAGAAAAAGTATTCAATTACTAGGTAGCTTTGGGATCCCGGCCGGACCAGGCTTCTATGGAACAACAGCACGAGTAGCCTTGACTCTTGAGGAATGAAAGAAACCGAGACGGGAATCGAAACACACCAGCAATCGAGGCACCGAAGTCGCAGAGTGTCTTCATGCGCTTTGCCCAGCCACGCAACCAACAAGATCTCCAGCATGCCCTGAAGCAGACACCCAGGGTCTTTCGCCGCCCGTAGTCGACGAGTAGAAGCTTGTCGCAGTGGTGTCGGTCGCCAAAATGCCCGTGTGGTCGTGGCCTTGAGCAAGTACAAGCGAAGCTCTCTCAGCAACTACAGCAGCCCCGTTGCTTGTTGCGTGTTGGAACGCCAAATTATGAAGAATGGAGCAGATGATAGGACGGTGGAGCAGAGGCGGAGGGATTATCTAGAACGATTGGTTGCTCAAGAGAAAGCGGCTTACTAAGCTATGTTTTTCTGGGTTGCCTCATACTGGATTTACCTATTTGAGTCAGCTGGGTCAGCCACAATTTAAGCCACCCAGCATTGGCGAACCCAGCCCAGCCACAGTCCGGCCACCAAGTCCCAGGCCCGTCAAGCGGATTGCATCGCGCTCCTCACGGATTATCCCATTGGCATTGGCAAGGGTCTCCCTTGTAACCACTATCACGTCTGTCTTGTAACCACCGTCGTGCCTGTCGCCTTGCACCCTTCCAGTGCCCGCTGGTTTGTATTTATTTATTTATTTTATTTTATTCAATAGACAGCCCAAGCATTCAAGATGGGGCAGAATTTCTATTTGGTAGCCCCGCGAGCGCAGAGGGCCTTACCTTGGGGAGGCAAGCTTGGAGAAATACTCTTTGATGGCTCAGCAGAGGTGCTCGTTCGTCTTCTCGCCGTCCCAGTTCGCCCAAATACCGCCTCAGAGGCCGTCACGTGTGACGCACCCAAGGCTATTGACACGAGCAAGAGCACAAAGAGAAAAGTTGAGCCGGAAGTGCTGGACGACTCGCGAGCCGTCAAGCAGGCAAAAACCGGGAGCAGCAAGAACAAGACGGATACTCACCGTTCCGCCACTTTTTCCAACCTTCCTTGCGAAGTACATCAACTCATCTTTGACCATATCGAATATATTGAAGATGTCATTTGCCTAGGCGTGACGAATCGATATTTCTGGGCCCTCAGTCGACAACACTTCCATGACCACTACGCCTCGTCCAGAGGGCTATGGGCAGGAGAGAATATAGTCTGCGTTGGAGAAAATGTTGAACCAGGCGATTACCCTCCTGGACTGTTCTCAGAAGAAGAGCTGGATGAACTTCGCGAGAGGACTACCGACATGCCATCATACGACGAGTACAATCCTGATGAAGTGGCGCATCCCGCAGAACCGTTCACGTTGTATCATTTCACTTTTCCCAGCATTTCCGACATGGACAGAGACATCGATGCAAAGTCAGAATCCTACCGTACACTCCTCAACTGCAGAGGGCGAGGCAGCCAGGAGGACCCGGTATTTCGGCAGAAATGGGGTGACTTGGTCTTCGAGGAGTCGACCTATTTTCCCCAAGACCAGCCTTGGATCCTTCGGAACCTCACCACAAAGGAGTTTGTGCGCTCGGAGGCGATTGCCCTAAAACCCGAATACATCCACGGTCCCAACATTGACCTTTTGGGCTTTGGCGAAGTCATCATGTCACGCATTTCTTGGTCATCGTCTTCATCCATCAGCATGAACGATCCATGCAATATTTCTAGGGGAGTGTGGGCGGGCCATTGCTTCGACATCACAACACTTGCAAAACACAGACACGAAGACAAGGGCAGGGAGTGGACAGATGCAAGCGAGGAGGTCGCCAATGAGATTGCGTCCATCTGGGAGAGCGATTATGGACCCGATTGGCGCGAGGAAGTGTGCAGTCGCTGGCATAATAGGTGGATTTGGTACTAGGAAGGACATTCAGGAGCAAATTCAAGGGCGATTATGGCCACTAGCTAAGCAAGCAGCGTTCTTCGGACTCTCTGGGAGAGCTCAACAACATACAGGGTCGGGAGGAAGCTGATTAAGCACTTTTTTAGGAATCTGTTTGGGAACTTCTGGGTTACATCTGATGCTCATATGGGTGAAACGCTCAGGCAAGGCCGTTGGCTGATGGATCTTTCTCGAGAAAGGGCGCCTTACACAATACATCCGACTCGCCTGCTGAGGTGAGCATTGTGCAAACACCTTGTCGTAGGGTCGTGCCTTATAATCTGGTCGACCCCGATAGTAGCATTTACGTTACCGCACCGCATACAGTAAAAAGTCCATTTTTCTTCGGAGCCAAGATCAGCTCCAAGAGAGTCAAAGTAAAAGCTGTTCGTGGCGCACTTCATCGGCTCTTTCTTTGATTTTCCCCATCCTCCACTTGCGGTCCGTACAGATTTGCGAATGATTGGCGACTCAAGTATAGACCGCTTCCAGTGAACCTTAGTTGCTGTTCTGCCAAGCTGAGTGCCAAAAAAAAAAAACGGCTCGGCCGTGCTGTATCCATCTACTTCAACGGCGTTGTTGCGGATTTACCGGGCCAATATATGGCTTACGGGGCATAGAATGGCTAGTGGGTGTTCTCGGAACAAGACCGCGGTACTGGAAGAACGGATTGGCTGACAGGCTCACGGTATTACGAACGGGGCTTGTATGAACGCACCGTTTAGGCTTCCTGTCCTCTCCTTTATGGAGCCGAAAATGAACTTCCATTGCAAGGACGACTCTTCGTAACAGCACCTTGTGTTGCCAGACTGGATTTCCAAGAGAGTCAGTTTCTTAAGCATCCAAGACCTCAATGCCCGCTGCTTCTAGAATGTGATGCACGCCTACCTCATCCTCTCCTTCGTCAAATTCGGTGTCATTCGTTGCGTTGCTATCCTACCCGTCGTTGTCGTCAAAGACAGAGGCGTCGTCAGTCTCATGGGCTTGCTCATCATCCTCATTATCAACATATGGACTGTCATAACTAGGATGGTCGGAGGTGAGTAAGACCTAAAATAAAATCGTCAACCCCCTATGATGGCTTGGCACTGGGCAGAATAGGTATTTAGATCGAATTCTTCTTTCAATGTGCCGTTGATGTACTAAGCGAGTCAATAAGTGGACTGAAAAGCTCAGGGAGAAAGTTGTCGGCTATACCTTGACCACTTCCTCACAGTCATTCGCGTTTATCACTTTGCCTTTATTGGCTCGCCGGTACAGCATCTTGGCCTCTTCCGCCTCGGTTTCAAGTAAATCTTACAGATCCAGTGAAGGAATGACATGAATAAACCATTATCGCAGTTCTTTGTTTTAATCGCCTCCCTCCATACACTTGCCTCTATATTCATTTCATCTCATCTCAGTTCTTAGCAGTCGTAGCCCGACATGCCGCCTTGTGCTCTTTGTAATGGGCAACCTGACAAGTTCGCCCACAATACTTGATGCCTTTACATTTCCCGCACAGCATCAGCGGCACTGAATCCTTTCCGCAATTTGCACATCCGTCCCTGTCATTCCCACTTTCACTCTCCACAGCAGCCAGCAAATCCTCGGCTCTCTTTCTCGCCAGCCTCAATACCTTCTGTTCGCCCAGGCTAACGTGCGCCGCCGCCCATGCGTTCCCCCCGACAGGATAGACGCCCTTCGCGAGTTGTTCTTGTAGCTTTTCTAATCGAGTCCCGAAGCTATCCAGAAGACTTCCAATCGATTCTACTAGAAAACGCAAAATTTCCACTTCTTTTGAATCGCTGATTTTCTCATTTGTATCGATTTTCTGAAGCGCTATGGCCGCGAGATCTGATTCATCCAATCGTTGAATACGGAGGTATCGAAGGACATTTTTCGGTAGAGGATCGTCAAGAGTAAGAGATATGGTACAGGTTGAATTGAGTCCAGCTGATGCCCAGAGCTTCTGCTTCTGCTCATAAAAAGGTGCCAGAGGGTGCGTTGAAAGAACGAGATCATAGCTGTCGTTGGGATTATCTGGTATAACGAACCCATAGAGACGTAAAAGGCGACTATTTGGCATAGGCCCATAGTAGATAAACACCTAAAAGAGTGGTCTCTAGGTAAGGGTACAGGCTAAAATCATCATTGAACAAGTGAGCATACCTGGTCTTCGGCTTCGTAGTCCTTCCCAGCAAGTATAGAGAGATTTCCAGATGAAGCATCGTAGACATGACACTGCTTAACTTCAGGCGAGTGGTTCACCATATCTGCAAATGGTGCCAAAAGCCGTAGTGGGTTTCCATTGGGTAGTACAAAATCCATTGCGCGACTCCAGACAGTGCAGAGAGCCCACTTGTACTAAATAGAAGTGAAAAAAGGGTCAGTGATTGATTCGCAATATTCATCACAGGTGTACAAAACACCTACATTTTCAATGGTAAACTTGTTCAGAGGGAAGAGATCCAGATGCAGTCCAAACACTCGCACGACTAATCCCCTGTAATCCTCCTCGATCCTTTGCTCCAGTTGCCTCGTTATGGTATACAATGAACTGCCTGCGCAAACTTCTAGCTCATCGTCCTCAAAGAAGATGCTTGACGAGTAACTCGCTGGCAACGCCGCTACATGGCTTCGTAGGCCATCGTATCCTGACTCGCGCGATCGGACAAAGAGAATATATATGGCCAAGGTGTCTTCAACAGACAAGGGCGGCTGCGCAGAGCGAAGGACTGGCCCAAGTACGGCATCAGCATATGCATGCTCGACTGTCCAGAGACAGCCACTTGGTATGGTGAGAATCCTCTCTCCTTGCTTGAAACACCGCAGTGTTCTAACACCGCGCCCGATGGCCGGGAAATGGGCCAGCTCCAAGCCGTCCAACTCGGCCCCAGATTCTCTCAGCCAGCCCTCCATGGAATCAGATTATAGAGAAGCATTGGGGAGAGAATAGTAAATTCACAGCTGCCAAGAGACGACATCTCGGGCCGTGGAATTTTCGTGGTGGGACGTCGGATCGACAGTCTAATTCTTGGCCTGTGCTGTGAACGCCACAAAACTTTCGTTAAACGGCCGTTACATACCTGTCCATGCCTACTACAACGCACCAGCATAACAAATGTTAGATTTGCAGTTCACTGGGTACGAGCTTGACCTTGTCTCATAAATCTAGCAATTGGCGGCCGTATACGGAGTAATACAGTGGTGAAATGTTGGCCGAGGCAAAGTCTCCTTGCAACCTATTCCCTGGGGGAAAATCTGTCGAGAAACTTCTACGAGATTTTGCTCAAGTCACCGAGGTTCTCTTCTAACCCTCCTCGAAGTTTTGTACGTTGCTTTTTGTCCGAGCCTCGCCCACTCAGGAACCTCCTACGATGAAGCTGTACTTGCACCTCCGAGAAGCGTCTGGCTCTAGCCATAATGCTGCGTGCATGAGCTCCACTATGACTATGGAGGTGGGTTTTACCGATCGCTCAGTTGGAATGCTGCTGCCAGCCGACAATCTTGGATGAGCTCCTCAATGCTGTCTCCAGTAAAAACAATAAGGGTAGCTTACATTGCAATGCGCCGTTTTCTCTCGTGGTCTATATACATGTACATAGGTACCTAGGTACCTCTACCTTACCTACAACCCGACAGTTTTTGTTCGCCGTCGTTGCATCGTTACCCCACAGTAAAACGTTCAGCGCGAGCGTCGAGATCGAGCCTGGCTTACCCTGCACCTACCCTGCACCTACCCTGTACCTACCCTAGAGCAAGGTAAAAATTGAGAACTCGATCAGAAATCCTACCCTACAGTGATGTGCACTTCAAACCTGTTTACCTTTCCTTTTGCTATTGCTTCATGTCCTGGCACATCTCCCACAGTTCAGACCTTCGCAATGGTCTCCCATGGCGCGGCCGAAGCAACGAAAACGGCCGCGATCAGAAGGCCTTTTGCCAGATCAAATCCTATCCAAAAAGCCAAAATCGAACGGTGCGTCTCCTGGACCTTTGAGAAACCAGAAATCGAATGCATGATCCAGTCGAAGCCATGAGGAGTGTGGTTCCTGGGCCCTTGACATGGCGGAACTGCGAGAAACGAGCGGGCGACTCCCTACAAGATCAAGTCTCATCGAAGAAGTCGAAATCGAATTGTGCAGTCCACAGACATTGGAACTTCCCTCCCGAATTCTTCGACAACCTGTCCAAGGTTTGGCTAGTCAGCCTTTGAAGACTTTCAACGCAAAACCAAAACCAAGTCTGAGGGTACAATTATGCGAAATGTAGTTCCCCTCCTCACCGGCAATAGCAACATTCCGAATAAGGGACATCTTTGTTTACAAATCTAAACTCACTGACTAACAACACCACTGTAAATCCAGTGCCTGATTTCTTCGATGGAGCTCGTGCCGGTGATCTAGACAGGAAAGTACAATGAGATCAATAAGATAATAATACCGTCAAAAAGGCAGGGATCCCATAGCGCCCAACTTTTTCCTAGAGGCCAAAGGCCCTAGAGGAACAATGGGGGTTGCGGTAGCACAAGCCGTTTTAGACGGTGCACCTGGGGCTCTTATAATGCACGCATTGCAGAACTACCTCGTGGATGAGCCCATCTACGACGGCAATGCCTATGCCTCCACGTCAACCTTGCTTGATGGTTATCTCAAACTATATGCACATCATCTGACTGCTCCTGCTCAGTCCGGACAGAGACCGGAACATCACACTACGCAACTCAAAGCCTATGCTTTAACAAGTGACGATGATGTTTGACTGGAGGGAACTGGAACCTTTAGGAATCTACGAGTCTTTGCAAAAGATTAGGGCAACCGATTCATCAAGGATGCCAACGCGAGATCGCGCTGAGGATGACCTTGCAACAACAGTCGAGGAACAGCAAGTTGGAGCCTCGAGTCCTCTTGACTTCCATGACTGCCAGATATTTGCTAAGCCAGAAGACAACGACTATGAGACCCAGGAGACCTACATTAGACGCGCCATTCTACACCAAAATGGCAACGGCGATGTAGACGACATCGAGGTCGAGGTCGCAACAGACTTTGCAAAAGCTTTGCGTCTAGTTTCACATCGGTCAGCCATCAAGATTCCCTGCATCTCCAGCGCCTGCCCAAGTTGCCGCCCCTCCTCTTTCTCCTTCCTCTAGTCGGGCCAGGAAGTGTTGAATTCTGTGTGCTAGTCTTCCTATATGGCTCCATCAGTGGTGCCAGCGAAACAAATTACCGTGGCTATGGAGCGTGGCCGCTCTGCAGGCTAGTAACTAAAGGATGGCTGGATTTCCGGGGAATATGTTTTATTCTCTACCAAGCCGCCACCCTTGCGATATCCTCCAAAGGTTGCTGCAGACCCATTATGAAAGGTAAGGCGGTTTCATATGGTCTGTTTCTTGTAGGCGTATCTGATGATGGTATTAGACGAAACCGGACAAGATGCTTGCTGAACGTAGACGAGAATGCCTGACTGGTGGCGTAGGATTCTGAAATTGTGACAACCCTCTTACATTTGGCAATTTATATCATATGCGTTGCGAAAATTGTTCAAGCCTACCCTCCCTACTAGCGGCTAAGAGCGTGTACGATACTACCTATATGTCTACCTTCAACCCTACACATCATGTCCATCATCGTCGTCACTTCAATCGCAGGCTTTCTATTTCCAATGCTTGACGGGGGACGTGGATAGAAACCTAGCATTTGCTGCTTGGATATACGCTTATTAGTTGGATTGCCCAGAGGTAGATACCAAGGCTCTAAGTTGTCTCGTACTCTCGAGAACAGTAACTTTGTCACGGTCTTGAAGAGGTTTTCCTTAGAAAACACCCAGTCAGCGAAGCCACCTGGATGGAGTGTATTCCAAGGCGTTCTTGTCTCCAATCTTGAACAGCTTTTGGAGCAGAGTCCCGTCTTTGGAGCACTGACTACGGTAGTCAGCAATCGGGTGTCCAGTGAGACTAGAACCCGTTCGTTTTGAAGGAGGAATAACTATATAGTATACTCTCAGTAGGATACAGAGACTGGTTAGACCCCCTGGTTGTAATTCTTGACTTATTTATAGCCTCCATATACTGAAAAACGCAGACATTTGTTAATCCATCATGCATCTTGCCAAGTTTCTGTGTATTCAACGGCACAATCGATAAACATCACTCAAAAGTCTGTGTAATAGCAGACGGTCAAAGGCCCAAGTTGTTTGCACACGTATTTGAGTCCCTTTATAACTTCCTGGATTTCTCATCAAGCTTCACTGATATTTCTTTTGTATCCTGGGAACCAAATTCTATTGTTTAGCTTTTTTAACGCCTAAATAATAAGATTTGGAATACTGTCATTCCGCAGTCTTCACCACATAACGGCAAATGAAGCCAGCTGCTACTATCACGGAACAAGAGGATAAAGTGTTCCAAGTTTGGGTGCCTTCAGGTGCTGTGGAACGTGATTCACTGCATTGCAGCAGCGGATTGAATGAGAAGCCCATAGAGTTTGCTCAATGGATCTTCACAACTACAATCGCCTGCCACTGACGGGATGTGTTAAAAGAACATTAAAGCGTGGTGGCCAATGAAGCTTAGCGATTCATAAGCTAGGATACGGATGATAGGGCCTTTTCAATATGCATGAAGTCTTCTAAAACATGATCACATGGTATACGCTTACATACTAGAAATATTGTGATGGAAAAAGAAAACGGCACCGGTGCCGAGAGACGTCAAATGTCGTTTCATCAGGAAAACCAAAGCCCTAACGACGCAAAAGTGCGTCGTTAGGTCGTCTCCAGCAAATAAATATTCACTCTTGAGTCGATAGTGCCATATCCTTACAGGTCAGGTTAAGATAGAGAGGTCTGACAAGGACAAGACGAGGCCAAGGCTACACGAAAGGGAAGTGTTGTCATTTTCATTGAGCTGCGCCGCTGCATCCAGCCCTGCCGGAATAACGACCATGTTCAGCTTCAGACACAGCATCCCTCATGTTCATCAAGTTATGCCGCTGCACCCAGCCCTCCCAGGATAACGACTATACTCTGAACTGGACACTATATCCATATTTCGCTCAAACTAACTGCTGCACCCAGCCCTACCGGGATAACAGTCATGTTCATGGAAAATCCCAGTAGCCTTGGATCTTGCTCTTGCCATACCTACTCATTAGCGTTGTGAATTATAATGTGGCTTGCCTGAAGAATCTAACTCCCAAAACGCAGATGATTTGGAATTCCGTAATGAGCTGGACTTGGGCGTGCTTCGAGAAGACCTAGTGCGTGACGTGGGCATAGTGGGCTTGGAAATTCGACGCTTGCGTTGTTTTTTCTTGATCCTGTCTGTTTCTTGTGCTTCGGGTGATGAAACTGGATTGTTCTCGGGTGGATCGTCTATCGATGTGACTTTGTTGGATGACGGATCATGCTTTGGAGGCGAGGGCAAGCTTTCCAGCCTTTGACTTTCGCGACCTATGTCATCATCACTGTTGTTGTCGTCATCGTCACTGAGCCTTGATTTCTTTTTGGAAGAGCTCCCATCTGTTTCTTGTTGAGTTGCAGGAGGGGTTAGAGTTGACGGAGTATGCCGAGGAGATTCATTCAATCTCCGCCTCTTGGGCCCATGATTGCCGAGATCCTCCTTGTTGTAGAATCGGACTCTATTCATAGGAGAAGTCCAGGTCCGTTCATCAAACGAACTATCCAAAGGCCACCATTCCTCTTCTGCGCTGCTTTCCTCTTCTATCGCTGAGGTGGGCGTATCGTTTGAGGCAAGTGACGGGTGTTGCTCTCCTGAAGAAACCGCATCGTTTGAACCGAGACCTCTCGGAGTGCAACCATGAGGTGTGGGTGCCAATTTCCGCCTCGTAGGCTCCTGATTGCTGAGGTCATCATCCTCCTGGAATCGGACTCTCTTCTTAGGAGAAGTCGAGGTCCGTTCATCAAACGAACTACCCAGACGCCCCCTTCCCTCTTGTGTGCTACTTTCATTCCCTATCGCTGAGGTGGGCGCATCGTTTAAGGCATGTGACTGGGGTTGCTCTTCTGAAGAAACCGGATCGTTTGAACCGAGAGCTCTCGGAGCGCCACCATCGGATGTAGGTATCATAATTTCGGTATAAGTACCTATGAAATAGATACTATTTTCGTAGCTTTTGAGCCTGGCCTCGCGTGCTCGAGGGCTGTGATAACCACAGTCATATCCAGGGTCGATTTGGGTCTCCCAATCTGGGGGAATATCCAGTGGATAGCTACCGTCGTAATCGTCCAGGGGATGATGCTCTGGCCTCTCTTCTTCGATGGAGGGTTGTGCCTCCTCTTCCACTTCGTCTGCTTCCCAGCCAAAGGCAGTGCCCTTTAGTAACCGCATAAAATGCTCAAGACACCCAGACCGACAGGCGTCAAACGTGGTGTTTTCAGCGGCCTCGCATGCAAAGAGTTTGTCTTCATAAATCGTCCTGAGCGAGGATTTATGCATAAAGTCTAACATCTCCTTATATTGCCGTTGCTTTGCTTTCTCAAACTTCTTCTCGAAATCTTCTTTGTCTTTGGAGGCTTTTGCCAGGGCCATTGCAGTGTCGAAGTATGCTTTCACGTCGTACATCGGGATTTGCATGGTATTGAACCGATGCCAACATTCTCCCCATAGATAATCTGGATCTCTTGCTCCTCGAGGGCCGGAATCAATCCATGCTTTGTTCCGACTCCTCTGGTTATACGGCGACGGCGCCTCGAATGGAGACATTTCCCCGATCTCTAAGCTGTCGCGCTCAGTTCGCTGTCGCGCAATCGGTCTGCGGCTGGCGATTGTTTTGTTTTGCAGTCGTGATCGGTGGCGGCTGAGGGATATTGACTGCCCTGGGCTTGGGTTTCGCTTTCGTGATGGGTGAACTGTTGCGGTGAGTATATGGCTACTCTGTATGTATGTAGGTGTATAGTGACGGCGATATCGTTGCGGTTTGGGCGCGTGCCAGGCGCTTAAGCGGTGGGCAGAATTACCGTGAATCTGAGAATTCCCAGCATACAAGGGGAAAAATACGCACACACAATAGCTACGACTGATCCGCTCAAATTGCGCCCTTATTGCTACTTTGTATGTAAAGATTTGTTTTGCAAACCCTCTTCTTTTGGGCAGGGATTGCCGTTTGCCAGGCTGTTGGTTAGGTATGTACCTACTACTGTATATTAGAGAGGTCTAGAAGACTGGCCTCACGATCTCGTGGCGGAACCACATGGGCACTCTACTAGTCTATATCTTAGCAGGTACTAAGCTCTCGTGTTTCAAGTAGATGAGTGCCTACCTGTACCTAGATGTACTACAGCTACCTGTTGATATACAGCATGTCTCTTCCAAGCCAAGCACCATCTTTGTACTACACTTATGCCAATGCCCCTTCACAGCACCGCTCCTCCAACTCATCGAAGATAGAACAACGCGTTCTAGTGACGGGGGAATCACCGGTACTCCAGGCTCAAGATGAGTTTGAATCCACTCAGCCATTCACTCGGGCCGCCTCACCGCGTGGTGGCGTGTACCCAGTCAAACCAAAGATGGCATCACTTGTTGCAACGGCTGTGGTTGGGGATGGAGAACCAACTCGGCCATTCACCGAGACTTCATCTTCACAATCAGAAATTAAGACTAAAAAAAAAAAAAAGAGAAACTGAAAGCAAGAATGCCTGAAACAAAGACAACACGGCCTGCGGCTGGAGATCAGTGGACTAAGAGACTGAAGCTGAACCATAGTGCGGCGGCCATTAGCCTCGCCCAGCCTGCACCGAAATCAGCAGCACAATTGAGCACAGCCTCTACTGAAACTACTCACGCTGAAAGTTGCCATCTGTTGTCGTTTGCATCCGCCAGAGAGATTGTTGACAAAGCTTCTGTCCCCATCTTGGACCTCACAGACAGAGAAACGGCTATTATCCAGGTCACACACACCGTAAGCGTGGACGTATCTGATCCGATATCTGCAACAAATACGGCAGCCGCATATCAACTACAGCGAATTAAACGCTTGGGGGCCACCCTCTCTACAAGAGTCTTCAAGTGCCGGCACTCTGCTATTCCTAAGCCTGTGGTTGCTAAAGTTCTTCGATATAAAGGGGACTCAGCCTCTAAACTTGCTAGATTTGCAGAAGTATGGAAGCGAGAAAAGCTAGTGCTTGAAAATCTAAAGCATGTAGGTCCTCTCATTTTCGATCCATGCATTGCTAGCATATTTGCTAACTCAGCATAGCAATACATTGTATCATTGCAAGCTTTTGATGGCCGCATGTTTGCATCATATCTGGAGCTGCTCCAAGGTTCGCTTTCCCGAGGAATTCGGTCTACATTAACAAAATTTGGATGCTCTGGCTATACTCAACAACACTTGGGCTGCCCTAGTTACCTGCACGCTCTACTCTCCTCATCGGGGAGCCGTTCTTATTAATTTTGGAATGTCTACACCTCTAGTAAACCTAGGGTCCGGCGGAACGCCTTGGTATCTCCCTCCTGAGATTATGAAAATGAAAATACGCAGCCCGCCAGGTGATACATGGGCTCTTGGGGTTACAATACTCTACGTACTTGGCAAGATCAAATTTCTGGAAGGACGTGGCAGAGGGTGGCCAATTCAAAAATTAACTACGCCAGGGGAGCCACAAATTCAGATGAACAAATGGATGGATATCGCCACCTGCCGTAGGGCTGAACTGAATAAAGTGGACAAGGCGGATCAAAGACAAAAGATCGAATGTCGTATATCCAAAATGTTCGAAATCAAACGTGTATTGCGGATCCAGGCTGGAAGTAGTGTGTCGGCGCTTGATACATACGAAACACATCGTAAAACTCTCACTACATGACTCAACAAACAACCAGCATGCGACTACATAGTAGGTAAAGTACATAGTAAGGCCTCTATGTTTCGGAATATACCGCACAGCTTCGCAGTACAGACTAAATAAAGTTCGAGGTACCTGGTAAATGAAAAGCTTCTACTCCGTACAAGTGGTAAATAAATTCTTATCCATCTGATCACCTGCCACTGACGAGACGCGTTAATAAAACATGGAAGCAATTTAGCTGATAAGATTTAAGTGTTCATAAGAGGTATCCGTTGAGGTGGTACGATCCAGAACTCTATTTGCTCTTGTTCTTTTATATATTGGCAGCACGCCCCCCAGATGCAGATTCAATATGTTTCATCCTTCATCAAATCCAATTATCTGAATGAGCGGTTCCTCTCGTACTAAGATCAATTACCCTTTCCTATCAAAACGTAGTCCAACCTCTAACGTGGAAATCATGTATTACCAATATTTTCAACTCATAGCCCCCCGTATCGAGAGATACACAAAAGTGGGAGGCACGCCTGGAGCCTTGCTTTTCAGCGAGGTGGGAAACGATATCGTTCGCCTTGTCGCCATCCCTATTAAACCGCAAAGTTTCTCATCGAGTTCCGATGTTGTCGCATCTACGGCCCCATCACCACAGGCTCAGAACAAATGCCTGTCTATCGAAGCCACCGCAGGTGACTCGCCCCAGGAGATGCAAGGGATCGAGCATCGAAAGCGCAAAGCTGACGGTGAAGTGCATGTCGACACCCCTCCTCGCCAGAAGCTGGTAAAAACGGAGAGCGACAACGCAAATGACGACCCCATAGTCAGTTCTGCCACATTTTCAAATCTTCCCACGGAGCTACATCGACAAATCTTTGATTGCATGGAATATCTGGACGATATTGTTTGCCTCGGTCTAACGAGCCGGTACTTTTGGGACGTTGCGCGGGACTACCTCCACACGTGTTATGCTTCGTGATTGGGACAGTGGGCTGGGGTGCAGATCGTCTTTGTAGGAGAAGACGTTAGACCAAAGGACTATCCTCCAGCGCTGTTCTCGGCAGAGGAGGTGGATCAACTGCCAGAGGAAATCGAGATACCATTAAACTACGATTATCCCACTCGCATGTTGCCTCGTCCTGTTGAGATGACGCTGTTTCAGTTTACCATTCCTTTGTTCGCTGATAAGCAAAAGTGTGTTAAGTTGTCGGAAGAGGCGATGGGCGTGTATGTGTGTTGCAGAGATCGGAACCGAGCCAGGTATGATCCTGCATTGAATGCAACATTCCGGGAGCTCATTGCCGAGGATGCAACTTACTTCCCCAGAGACCAACCGTGGATTCTTCGGAACTTGACGGCAAAGGAATTTGTCCGCTCGGAAGCCATTGCCCTGAGGCCGGAATTTATCCACGGACCCTTTATTGATGGCTTTGGCTTTGGCGAAGTTATCATATCGCGCATCTGCTGGTCAACGGTTCCCTGCCCTAGCATGGACTGCGCCGTGCCTATCCACAGGGGAGTGTGGGCAGGGCACGGGTTTGATATTACAACTTTGGCAAAACACAGGGCTGGAACCACGGAGGCAGAGTGGAGAGATGTGAGCGAGGAAGTGGCAAGTGAGATTGCAATAATATGTGAGGCGAAATACGGTCCCGATTGGCGAGAGATTATCTGCAAACAACACGGGTCTTGAGCCGAGTTGGAGTCTACCTCTCTTGGCGTCTTTAATTCGTTGCTGGAGAAGAGCAGCAGCTCTGATCTTGAGCAGGCTCTTGGATATTCCTTCAGGTCAAGGGGTAACACTGCATGAAGTAGAGAGGTAGATGTCAATAGAACAATGGACAATGTTATTCAACTACCTACAGTAATCATGTGGAGTTTTATGTGTGTAATGCTGTAAGCAAAAGTCGTACGCTTCGAGGTCGTACTGTAGTCTTGTCGTAATGTAGTCTTGTCGTACAAGCACAGTAGTAGTATTAGACTCGATGCCTGGCCGATACAGTAGATCTCTCTACGTCAGTTGCCGGATGGATGCCGGATGGAGACATGCGACATGCATCGGTCCTATGAGAAAGCCGCGCTGGGGAGCGAACAGTTCCTCTCCTTGTCACCGTTGCCAAAAGCAGAGCGATGCAGAACTCGCCTGTTTTAGCTCGATGGAGCGTTGGCTTACTTGGAGTGCAAACTAGCCGCCTATGTAGTAGTTCTCCATTAGATGCTGAGTTGGAGAATGATCCCTGTTTGCAGCAGCGCTATGCTAGTGAGACTAACGTAGCTTTGTTGATGAAGAACAGCGGTGTGCTGAAGCATGAAAAAATCTCCTCACTGAGCTCTCTGGTGGCAAGATTCATTTTTCTTGGTCATTGTCGATTTGTGAGTTGTAACATCATGCTAGTACCACCATCGGCTCTGGGCATTGAGTTGCCTAATGCTGAGCTGATGAAAGAATCATGCTGTCCAGGGAGATGACTGATGAAGGTCTTCTGGTTGTTGAGTAGGCGGCCTTGTAATGTCTTGACTTCTCACAGAACGTTACTCCGCACACAGAGAGCTATCGTATCATGCACAGTGTTGCTACTCCAATGGGATCTTTACCTAACCCATGTACCATGTACGAGTAGCGTTGCCCAAGGTTTTAACCTGATGAGGCCGTCTCCAAGTGGAACGACATCTTGTACAACTCACCAACTCACCAACGACAGAACTACTACTCCGTAGGTATCTGGCGAATGAAGGAAGGCTTCACTTTGCATTTAGCAAAAAAGTAATAATAGCCCTCGACCACACCATCAACCAGAGAAGAGCCAAGAATATTCTCTGATTTGCTGCACAGCATCTATTGGTTAATTTGGTGGCTGGCGTCTAAAATCTTTTGACTTTGTACCCTGCAAAGCCAGACGTCAAATCAGCAGTGGCTGGAGCTTCTTCCGCCCACCAGCTCGCGCCACAGGAGGTGGCAAGGATCCACCCCGGTTCTCCCGCGTGGGGTGGATCTTCCTTGCCGGTGGCATCCCTTTTTGGAGAGGGTGACAAGTGAGTGGCGGGAGGTTATTTTTACCAGCGCAGCAGCACAGTGATTTCCAGCCATTCAAAAGAGGGACAATGACGCTGATCTCATACTGTAGAGAGAGGGCAAGGCGTGCTTTAAAATTGTTGGGGGGGGGGGGGGGGGTTGTTTTTGGGTTATTGACAGATGAGATGAAGCAGGAATTGGAAGGCTGCAATGCAATAGGGCAGAGAGACGGAAATCAGGGGACACCGGCTAACGGCTAGAGGCGCGCTCCGTAGATGAAATGATGGGCACTTGCAGACGCCACAAAATCAAAATCAAAACAAAAAAAGAAACGATTCAGCAAAAAGGAACTGGAAATTCCCCGAAAAAACCACATCACTGACGTCTGTATATGTATACTGCAGAGTAACTGTAACCTCACGTTAGTTTTGCTGCATGACGCCAAAGATTACAGGCAGTGACCGCTTGATGTGATTTGCATGGACGAGCCCCGGCAGGGTGAAATCGTCGCGAGGGGCCACTCACACCTCCAGGGCTCAATATAATCCAGCACAAGCGCTGCACCTAGCAGGTAGCCCAGGGGTTATCCACCCACCCGTGGCACGCCTCGCAAGTCCAAGATACCTGGAGCTGCACACGGACGACGGCACAAAGGCAAGTAGCCGGTACGAGAGACGGCCGTGTCAAGGCGGACATTTAGCACCCAATAATACAGTTGACCTGACCTGATGCAACCCCATAATGCATTTGCACGCCCAAAAGTCGAAAACTCGTCGATGAGCCCGCCGGTGCAATTTCTCTGCCACGCCAATTGAATTGAGCTGCCAACTTCATCGACGGCGCTTCCGGGGGGTCTCATTTGGTGGGCAATAGTACTCCGTACTACTAGTCCGATATCTACAGACTACATGTACCTACTCAATGCACTACTGTACTGTCACAGCATCCATAATCCATAATAGCATCTGGGCACGACTCCATACACCTGCTCACCTACAGCACGCCGCTTCTTCCCCACAGCCTAGGCCTGTCCCGGGGAATCTTTCTGCCCTTGGCCTTGGGGATTTTTTTCTTCGTTTCTTTTTTCTTCTCTCTCCCTCTCAATTCTTGGTCTTGGTTCTAGGGACCCGGCAAAAGCCCAACGGCGCGGCGACCCCCGGTCTTCAGATAACCAACTCCTTTAACCCCTCGATGAAACACCAGAGCCTCTGCCGACTCCGCACACCGAACACCACTAACCACTGCAAGGCAGCTCTTTCTCATACAAAGTACGGAGCACTCGTACCAGCGCAGGGCCGCTTTTTAGGTACGTTGGTGCTATACGAGTATCCGATCTGCCTGCTCCCCAAGGTACCTGGTAGACCTGGTAGTGGTAGAGACTGGGTACTGGGTACGAGGTGCCGAGCACAGACTTGCTCCAGGAATCGAGTCGAACCACTTTTGCGCTACCCGTATCTCTGCCGTCTTGACGGCGGAAAGGAGGAAGGCGGTATCTGAAGCCCCCCCCGGATAATACCTAAGGTACTAGGTAGTACTAAGGGACAAGGCTTTGGAGCAGAGCAATCCGCCTCATTGCGAGTCTTTGCTATCCGCCAAGGGCGAGCTTAACAATCAGACTCCTTCTCGTCAACCACCTGGGCGGGCCCTGATGGCAATGGACGCCGGCGAGAAGCACGGCCACGAGCCGTCCACGCCCACCTTGGCCGCCGAAACTGCCCCGAAGCAGCCCGTCGAAGAAGCCGAAGTTGCTGAAGCTGTGACCCCCAAAACGACCCGCGATTCCATGGTGACCGTGAGACTCTCTGAGCCGCCGGCGCTGTCGCTGGACACCAGCAACCCCCGCGAAAGCAAACTGCCCGACTCGCCGACGCTGCCAACACCCAGCCAGCCAACCGAAGACGGCGGCCTCGATGCGACAAGCGCCTCTCGAAACTCGACTGCCACCTTGTCTGCCTCGGCAGAGGCCAACCGTAGCCTTCAGGACGAGCTTGGAGAATTTGACGATGCCGACAGCGATTGTTCGGATCCAGAGGAAGTCAACTGGGCGGAGCTGGAAAAGACGGAAGAAAAACAGACCAAAGACGAAGAGACTGATAACGTACGTGCGCAACCTTTTGTCACGACACACAAGCCATATCGTTTTGTTCCCTCTCAAGTCCCCGCTGACCCGCGATTACAGTCCACCGCTTTGCTTCTGGCCCGTTTAGAGCAGGAAAATGCCAAGCTGGCGACAAATCCAAAGACCGTCAAGGTCCAACTTGTTGAGAAGCCCCAGCCTAGCAGGCCGCGCCCGCCATCAATGGCTAAGCTCCGTAAGATGGTTCGCGGGCCTACACCCGCCGCGTTACGATACTCGATGCTGCCCCCGCCGCCGATGACGGATCTCGAATTCTACGCAGCCCTCGTCAAGGACTACCAACAGACTGCGGCCAGGCTCCCCACGCTGCTGTCCAACAAGATCCGCAAAGGGATTCCCCCACCGCTCCGAGGCGTTGTGTGGCAGAGCATGTCTGGTGCTCGCGACGCCAGCTTGGAGGAGCAGTACGAACGACTCAATGGCGAATCCAGCCCTTATGAGGGTCTCATAGGCAAGGATCTCGGCAGGAGTTTCCCTGGCGTCGAAATGTTTCGCGATCCCGACGGCGATGGACAGCGCATGCTTGGCCGGGTGCTCAAGACATTTAGTCTGTATGACACCAAGATTGGCTACTGCCAGGGCCTCGCCTTTCTCGTTGGCCCTCTGTTGATGCACATGCCCGACAAGCAGGCATTTTGTGTTCTGGTTCGGTAAGCGGCTTCCCTTTTCTTCTTCTTTTTTTTTCTCCGTCTCCCTACCTTGTCTCTGCATCCAGAGTCAAAGGTGACACAGCTACCCTTGGGCCGATGTGATACAAGTGAGTAGTACTAACCCGAGACTCTTCCTCTTTTTTTAGGCTCATGGAGCGCTATGATTTGAGAAGTTGCTTTCTGCCAGATCTTTCGGGACTTCATGTGCGAATATACCAGTTCCGAGAACTCCTGCGGGCCAATCTCCCTATGCTGTGGAGTCACTTGGAAGATCTGCAGGTAGAAACAGCATATGTTTCGCAGTGGTTCCTAAGTTTCTTCGCTACCACATGCCCCTTGCCGATGCTGTTCCGGATATACGATGTTGTTTTCGCCGAGGGCGCTTCTGAGACACTAATGCGCGTCGCACTATCACTGATGCGGAGGAATGAGACTAGATTGCTTTCCTGCACCGAGCTGGAAGACGTGATGCAGCTCCTTTTATCCAGGGGTCTGTGGGACTGCTATCATTACAACGCCGACGAATTTGTGCAAGATTTCGGAAGCCTCACAAGCACAGTCACCCGAGAGAAGCTTGCCCAGCTCGAGCAGGGATACCGCGAATCTCTAGTCGCGACCGCCAATACCGCTCGTACATCTGATATCGCAACAGCTGCAGCCCGATTCCTCGGTCGCATCTGGGCGTCGTCCGGTGCGTTCCCAAGAGGCTCAGGTTTAGTTCCAGGCCTGAGTGCGCCGTCAAGGCCGCTGAGCATGCTGCGTCGGAGCACCTCCAAACAGAGCCTTGCTTCGACTCTAAACTCAGTCGAGGCAAGCTCCATGAGCGTCATGAGTTCATCCTCGACGGATGCCACCACCGTGTCGCGGGATTCTTCAAACACCAACGAGGACGATTCCGGAAGCCGTGAATCGACCCCAGTAGGCCCCAAGGCCGCCCCTAGCACCAGTAAGAATACAGAAGATAGGTATCTGCATAGTCAGATCGAAGATCTCCTCACAGCCCTGAGCGAGCTGCAGCGTAATCATGCGCTGTTGTCGAGCGAGCTGAAGCGTGAGAGAGAGGAGAGAGACGAGGATCGCAAGGCTGTGCGATCCCTGTTGGATGGGCTCAGGAAGAGAGCGAGCCGCGGGGATGAAGCAGCAGCAAGCGAGAACGAGGATGGAGCCGACAGCCCAACAACTGAAGAAGCGACTGACAATGCTGAGGAAGGGGAGAAGGAAGATGAAGCAGAGAAGAAGTCTGATGACGGCTCGCCCGAGGCCAAGGATGCGCCATCCGCCGAGGACCTATCGGAGCTGCTTGATCGTGTGGAGAGCCGCTTTGGGAGTGAGGACGAAAACGACAACAGCAAAAAGAAGGATAAGCCTCCGTCGCCCCCACTCGGTCAGAGGTCGGAATTGCAAGTCGAATTGGATCAAGCCAAAGATCAGCTGGCCAGTGCCATGTCGCAGAACCAGGATTTCAGCCGACGGATCCATGATTTGGATCAGGAAATGTCATCTCTCAAGGAGCAGCTTCGGGAAAGCCATAGCCATGTCAGAACTCTCCACCAGGACAAGCAGCGGCTGGAAAAGCAAATCCAAGTTTTGAGGGCGAGGCCGATATCTGGGGATCCTGTCGGCGTCCGTGAGTCGGGAGTGGATTGGACTGGAAAGGCGAATGGTGGCAGCGGCGGTGGAGGCGGCGGCGGCGGCGGCGGCTTGAGGGAGTTTAAGCTCGGGCGTAGCAAGTCGGTAGCTGCTCAGGGCGCTACGTATAACAGACGAAAGTCGTCGCTGCTACAGAGTAACGATCTTGTCCCGCCGCCATCGTCGATGCCAGCGACCCCGATGGAGTCAAACGACAGCAGGTCATCGACAAATGACCTCGACACGCTGCTCCTGGATCTTGTGCAGGCCAAGACGGCGCAGGCCATTGCGAAGCAGGAGGCGGAGGAGGCGAAACAGAAGTTGGAGGCGTTGAAGAAGGCCTACGGGCTGCCAAACGACTCCCCCAACGCGCCTCTACCCGCAGGATCAGTCACTGTCAAAGTCGCGCAGCCTGCAGCCACGACGACATCTCCCGGCACCGGTGGCTTCTGGGGTTGGCGTAGGTGAGACGTGAGAAGCGGAGTGGGAGAGACACACACAGAGAGGATAGGAGGTTTAGATAAAGAGATGGGAGAATCGCACGCCACCGGGCAAGTTGGATTGGGAAATACACATATGCATCGCTGTCGCCGACCACTGGGGACCTTGGATTGCAATGCACGACTTGTGGAAATGAGCCCATGGCCTGCTGTTCATCGAGGTTGCATTTGCTCGGGAGGGGGCGCAGTACATACAAAGGGTTTCACTCTTGGGAGGAGTGGCCACGGTAGACGGAGGGTTGTTGTCTCTGGGATGGACAAAGCCCGGTTTTGTTTGTTTGTTTCTTTCTGTCTTTTCATCTATGCATTAGGGTCAGCTCATATTCTCAGAGCGAGGCGTGTTTTGCTCTTCTCTTTTTCGTTCTTTTTTTGTTTTGAACTTAGCACGGAGTTTTTGATGGCATGGAATGGGTCAGAGGATATTCATGCGAGCCGAAGCTTGCAAGGCAGTTTGAGCAGACAGACATGGCAGACGCAAATACTAGCACACGGGTTGAGATGCATCATGAGAAACGGGGGGGTTGTTGCGCATGTGAAGTCGTCGTACAGTGCCGTAGCTTGTTCTTTGTCTTTCTTTGTCTCTCTCCTCTGCCCACTTCTTATCTTCGCTTCTTTTATCTTCTGCCTGCTTCTACAAAGACTACGGGAAATGACTGTTACTATTACTGTGCCAGCGTGCTGCCGCAGCGGTGAATATGACCTCTCTCTACGTCTCCCTTGCATCGCAGCTGCAGGAGCTCATATCGCATCTACCTTAGCCTCGGCGTCACATCGCGACAGAATCTGACCAATAGACAATTGACCCCAATGGCGGCAATGGAGCACGTGCCCCAGCCAACGGCAGCTGATGCCGTCTTTTGCGCAAGCCTGGGCGGGAAACGAAGAGTTGCAGCTGAAAAGCCGAAATGACCATTTCTCGTGCCGCTGAAAATGTTTTTTGAATCCGATCAAGAGGAGCAATCATTGGGAAATTCCTTCTACGTGATGGGGAGGGAGAAGGGACTTGGTGGGACCAAGAGTTTGGCGGCAATGATGCCACCATTTCCGGACGCCCGCGAGGTGCTTGGGTTTTGTAACTTGTGGAAGATTTGGAAGCTGTGGAGGTTACCGAGCATGTTTTGGCCTCGACCTGTAACATTACCTAGTAGTTTGGGATGCTTGCCGATATGTGGCAGATTGCATGGAGCTAATGGGGGAAGAGGGTTTCGCATTACGGAGGGCATTCTAAACCAGCCTTGGTAGTAATCTCTCTAACGGCGGAGCGGCTATTGGTTTCTTGGGAGGGACAGGGCATGTGCTGTAGTATTTTTGGGCAACGTCTCATGCATGCATGCAGTAGAGTAGAGTAGAAGTAACTTGATGCCGCTCTGCTCCCTCCTCGGGGGCGGCTTTGCGCCTGGTTGGCTGCCGAGGGTCTCATTTTTTTTTTTTTTTTTTTTTTTGCTTATCTGTGACGGTCTCGCATCACGGTGTGGTTTGAGCACATCAGCGAGTGGTTCGGCTACTGCACTGCACTGTATAGTATCTGTCAGCCCCTCCTCCCGATAATGCTCGGGTCTGGTACTCTACCTGTAGTACCTGTAAGTGCTTATAGATAGAGTACTTGTACTCGTATATCAAGGTAACAAGGAGTACATATGGACCTCTAATTGAACAGCAAAACGTGGCCTCACGATTGCTGCGTGCGATTCATGGAGCTGGTGACGGCCCTGCGTCATTGGTGGGCAGGTGACGATGCTTGCTTGTAACTTTGTAACTACGTTGCAGCACCTGTCGCAGCTCTTTGCTCTTAGCGCCATCGTGTTGCATCATGCCCGCGGCCTTGTAGCTTTGCAAGCCCCAGCTTGTACCTGTTCCGCGCTGCTCCTCCACAAAGAGACCCCACCGGCGGAGCTAAGGTACTTGCTGCATACATCGGTAGTACAAAACAGGTACCCTCTCGCACCAGAGCAGGAGACCAGTTCCCCACCAGCACATGTTAATTTTGATTTTGATGTGATTCCTGGATTTTCCCCTAGCTTTTCTCATTTCTCAGAGTGGCAAGGTCATGTTTCTGGTGGAGGTACATACAGCAAGTACCTACCGAGGAGGAGAAGAAAAAAAAAAAGGGAGAAGAAGAGAAAAACGACCCAAAAAGTATATTTGACAGAAGCCACAGGATACGAAAGAGGAAAGAGACCCATCATCTTCTTCTAAAAAAAAAAAAAGGAAATAAATTAAAAGAATAAAAAAAAAAAAAAGGTAAAATAGCAAAGGCCAGTGCAGCAGAAAGAACTGGGCAGGCAGCAAGGGGAGGGGCGCACAAAATCGCAGCGTCACAACCACGTCGACACCTGCCGCTAACAAAGAACAAGCTTGCCCGCAGCTTCCACCAGACCATCACCTGAAAGCCCCGGCCCAGGCCCTTTCTTAAACTTCCCTCTTGCACACACAGCGTAAAAAAAAGCATCCCACCTGTCCGCCATACTTCCAGCGCCTTTTCCCCCTCCTCTGAGCTGCGAACTCTTCTCTCCTCCATCACCAAAAAAGGTACGCTGTAAGAACAACCGCCTCCTCCTGCCCTTGGCGCCAAAAGGAGACGCTCTGCTGCTTTTCGCCGTCTCTGGCCCTGCGCAGTTGTTATTTTCTTGCCCCTTTCTCCTCTTCGTGTCTCTGGTCTGATACTGAGACGACAGCTGTCTAGACCCTAGGAATCCAGAGCTTCCGAACCTCTCTTCGCCCGCCGCCCGCATCACAGGAGCTCGCCACAATAGTGCGACCGCCAGACCCCTCCAAAGAAAAAACTCTCTCCAAGCAAATCCCGACGACAAACCAAAAACCAAAGCAAGCATCATGGCCGATTCAGCTGGCGCGGTAAACGGCCACTCCAGTAAGGTATGTGGGCTCACTGCTACGCTTCTGCTTCCTTTCCCACTTGTCTACCGCTCGATCGATCCCGTACCTACATACAGGGAAACGGGGCCTGTCCAGTAATATCATGGATTACGGATGCTGACGCTTGGGTTGGGCAGTTTTGCATGTGACAGACAAGGCCTCAAGCCGCCACCTGCCCCTCCTGTATAGCTGACGATGAGCTCTAGAAGCCGCCAACGGCAGCACTGAAGAGCCCTTGACGGCCTACCATTCGCTCTTCTCCCAGCTTCTGTCCTGGAAGAACCCTCGTGAGTAACGCCCGCTGCCCGCTGCAAACGCATGCCCACTTTCTCGCTGCGATGCACACTTCTTTTGTGTGTGCGTATGTGAGATCGCCTTCACCTCTCGATGGGGGAATCATGGCAAGCATGGCACGGCCTCTCTTGCTGACTTTTGATTGTTCGCTGCAGGTAACTCGGCCATCGCCTATGTTTCCGTCATTTCTACCATTATCGCCGTTAGGTATCTCAACCTTTTTAGCTGGATTCTCTCCTTGTCCTGGATGATTTTGGCTACCACTGTTGCTGCCGAGGTTACAGGCAAGCTGGTCCTTAACAATGGCCTGGCCTCTCAGTTCCGCCCCCGCCAATACTACACACTTTCTCACGACACCTTCGAGAGGCTGGTTAGCGATGCCCACGGACTCATCAACTTCTTCTTGATTGAAACCCAGCGCATTATTTTCGTTGAGAATGTCAGCGTTTCGGCTGCTGTAAGTCGCACACGTGCCCTGTGCTTCGATTGACCGGGAACTAAATCTTTCAAACTCCAGACTTGCGTCGCTGCCTTCATCTCGGGCTTCCTGATCAAGGTGCTGCCCTACTGGGTCCTTGCCATCATCGGAACCTCCATTGCCTTCTTGGCCCCCCTGATCTACTCCAAGAACCAGGAGTTTATCGACGAGCAGCTCAAGACTGCTGCCGATGCCATCAATGCCCAGACTGCCCAGGTTCGAGATGCTGCTCAGAAGCAGGCCGACCATCTCGCTGCCGTCAGCAAGCAGTATGCTGGAGACTACACCGGAAAGGTCACTGAGATTCTGCGCAGCCACAACCTTGCTCCCGCCGCCGCCAAGAAGTCCCCTGTTGATTTCCCTTCCCCTCCTACTGAGGAACCCAAGGCTGCCGAGCCCCCTGTCTCTCAGGAGCCTATCCATGCCTAGATGCATTTGTTGACGCGCACGTGTGTTTACGGTTAAAGAAGCGATAAACGCAAAGCTGGGCTATCCAATAGTGCTTTTCACATTCTTTATACTGCAGATCATATCTCCCCCTGGGGTGATGGATATTTCCAAGATTGAAATCAGAACAGGCAGGACACATGATTTGGAGGGGCCGACGGTGTACCACCGATCAGAGCATCATGATATCCGCCCTATTAGCGCAAAGGGGACACATTAGGCGAAAGAAGGACGACCCTTTACGCTAAGAGAGGCACATTCACCAGGGAGGAGCGTGGAGGATAACGGCGTTTGCTACAAGGCCGGTAGGTTTGTTTTGGCAAACTTTTTTTTCTTGTCAGTTTGGGATGGTTTCATATTTCCTCTTTATTCTTTCCCTTGCCCTATGTTGAGAGTCTACTCCCCCTTTTCCATATGGACTTTGGTGGCTCTAAGCTGAGAGCTGTTTGTGGAATCCTGTCTTAGTTTTAGTAGCATGCAAATGGTTTTTTTGCAGGTTGGGTTTGCATATTATTCCCCTTTTAACCCTCTGCCTCTGTTTGAGAGTGCCTAAATTGCATGCTTGCTATGATTATATCCACGGCTTTTCCCAATGGTGCCATGGTTAAAGCCCACGTCACACAATGGCACGGCCCTGGTCTCTCTAGCACACCATGAACGGCCATCCCTTCCTTCCAGGCAGAACAATCGAGATCTCATATCTAATCTTTCCTTCGTTACATATGTTACATATGTGGCAATCGCATGTGATTATTGAGAGATGGCAAAAAGAGAATCGCACCGTGCTCTTGAAACAGGTAGGGGGACCCTACTTTGCTATATACGTATTGGCAATAAGTATAATATGAATATGTAAGTGAGTACAGTAGCCAGTATAAATCTATCCCTGATGCTGAAATTTTTGATTGCTAAACACGCAACTCCCGCCATTATTTCCATCAGCTTCCTCACTTTCTCCTCTTGCCACCACCGCCGCCGCCCTCGTCGTCTCCAGCACTCCTCTTGCGGCCATTCTTGCGCCAGTATTCTTTGCTCTCCCTCTTCTCCCTGGCTTCCCTCTTCTCGTCGCCCTCGGCCAGCTTCTTCTTGAAGGCGGCGCGGTTTTCGTCCTTTTTGGCGCGGCGCTTGGCGACCTGGTCGTTGTGGACGGTGAGAACCTTTTGCATAAAGGCGCGCGTCTTCTTCTCCTCGGCGCCGAGGACGACAGCGCGCTTCTGCATGTACGTCTTGTTCTTCTGGGGCTTCATGGCGACGATCTGGGAGCGGAAGGGCAGGCTGGCGGCGAGGGCGCGGGGGACCTGCAGGCCGTTGAAGTGGCGGGTCTGGCGCTCAATCTTGCGGTACTGCGAGTTCTTGAGCTGGGGCGTGGCGACGTTCTCGGCGCGGCGGACCTCGCCGGTGAGGCGCATGGGCTGCCAGCCGACGAGGTTGCAGACGGGATTGTAGAAGCGGTGCGGCTTGATGGGGTACCAGGCTCGCAGGAAGACGATGTCGCTGGCGAGGATCTTGTCCTCAAAGGTGGCGCGGAAGTGGCCTTCGGGCTTGGACAGGGCGCGCTTGATCTGGCCGCGGACGCCGGAGACGGTCTTGATGGAGGCGCCTTCGAACTTTGCGATTTCGAGAGCAGAGTTGAACATGCCCTTGATGAAGGCGGTGTTCTTGAAGATCTTGTAGGGGGTTCCTGTGAGCTTGAGCTTTTTGACGATCTCGGTGGACTCGTCGACGGAGAGGACGGTGCCAGTGGCAGCGATGCGGAAGCCCGGGGTTGCGTTCGAGAACGAGTTGAAGCAGACGAAGCCCGTGTTGGGCGCAATCAGGGGCGCATAGACGGTGCCGAAGCAGTGCATGTGCTCGGGCGTGTACTTGAGCATGCGGTTGCGCGTCCGCGAGTCAGAGATGCTGTAGATGGGAAGCGTTTGGAAACGCCGCCAGCCGAGCGAGAAGATGAGGGGGTCGTTGGTCTTTAGGATCTTCTTGTGCCAGCGGTGACGCTTGATGCGCACCTGGACGAAGCCCCAGCGATCCTCCGTGGCCGACAAGCCGCCGACAATGATGGGCAGCCGGGCGTCGAAGCGCGAGACAAACTCGGCGGGGACTCCCTCGAGCACCAGCTTGGCGTATTTGCCGGCGCGGTAGCCCTCGACAGCGACTCTCTGGCGTTCATCCAGGTTCTCAAACTCTTCCTTGTTGATGTCCAGCTGCTTCTTGATCATGGCCTTTTGCGCATCGTACCAGTCATCCTCGCCAAACTCTTGCTCGTCTTCGCCTCCTTCTCGTCGAGCTTTTGCCTTGTCGTTCATGAAGCCATCTCGGTCCTCCTCCTCGAATCTCGCCTTGAGCTCCTCTTTCCTCTTGGCATTCTTTTCACGCTCCGACTGGATCTCTTCCGCCGTCTGCTGCTGGGGTGCGGTTTGAGGATCGGCTTCTAGATCCTCAAATTCACCATCACCTTCGCTGTCCTCGTCACCCTCATCTCCATCTCCATCTTCGTCGTCATCAAAGCCACCGAATTCACCGTCCTCGTCCTCGTCGTCTCCACCTCCGTTTTTCCTTCCTGATGTAAACTTCTTCTTCAGGGCTTCTATGTTCTCCTGAGAAGCCCACTTGGCAGCCAAGTCCTCGTAGTCGTACTCCGGTATTGACCGGTCTTCTACCAGATCTTCGCTTTCATGTGATGTCTTTTTGAAAAACTCCTCGTCTTCCGAGTCTTGCTCAATGTCCTCCTCTTCTGATTCTTCTTCTTCGCCCTTCCATTTCTTGATAACCTCGCTGGCAGTCATGGAGCCATCGTAAAGATAGCGAGCCAAATCAGCAGTGTGGTATGTACGCTTCCGGGAGTGGAGTTTCATGGCTCTGTCGGCCATTCCTTCTTTCCACCTGAGGGCTGCAGTCTCCTCGTCAGAATCGTACTCTTCATCATCTTCCGCATCCTCATCCAGGTCTGTAATGGAGCCAAGGTCCGAGTCACTGTCCGCAAAGGCAACATCGTCATCCCCGTTGATCTCCTTGTCGGCATCTTTGCTGCGGAACATTTTACCCAACTTTCCTTCATTAAACTCCTCTTCCTCATCCGGATCTTCTTCGTCGCTTCCACTGATAAAGCCTTCATCATCCTCGTTCTCGCCGTCATCCTCTTCTTCTCGTTCGGCAATTCTTGCCTTGCGTGGCTCTTTTCTGCCAGTATCTTGTGCCTCGTCTAGTTCTTTGACTTCTTGGCCTCCCTTGAAAAGCTGTACTCCATCCTCTGTCTGACCAAGAAGCCTTCGCTCAGCTTGGAGTCCAATGATCATTTCTTCACCTTCGCCACGCTCAGTATTATCGGCATCCTTATCAAAAGTGAAACCCTTTTCTCTGGTGATCCAGATAGCATCACCATCGATTTTTAGACCGCTCCGATCAGACATGGGCGCGTAAAGCTTCTTTTCTTTTTCGTCCAGTCTCCTCCGCCCTGTCTTTCCTGTGATTTTCGCCAAGGCCTGCTCCATCGCTGGGGTAGGACAAGGGTCTGGCAATACTTCCATAGCCGACACTGTAAAGTCTCCCAGACCGGCAACATGCACTCGCTGGCCCTGAGTTGAAAAGTTTGTTCCTCGCAGATATCCCGATAGAACAATGGATCGATCGCATTTGGGGTCTTCTTCAATCTTGGTTGGGTGAGTAATGTCGCGGAAGCTGTCGATGATGCTGTAAGGGTGGGAGTTTCTCCATACGAGAGGTCGCGGGCTCTTCATGACAGATAGGAAGCGGGATAGGTTATGAATCTCACGATCGGGATATCTGCCGTTCATGACACCAGAGAGATAGAAGAGATGGGCACCCTGGTATAGCTCAGTCCACAACCTTCGCTTCAGGTGCTTCTTGGCATCCTTCAAAGCGGCAGGCTTACGAAACAGATCGAGATGGGTCAAGACACCGAACACGTTACCAGGCATACCCGTAGCAGCCAGGATATTGAGGAATTCCATAGTCTCCATTTCGAAGCCATAGTTGCCGTCAATCATGAGAAGGATGATGTCGGCCACCTTGGCGATGTCCACCATGGCCTCCAATTCGTTAGGGCATTCCACAAAAGTTAATCGCTGTTTCTTCGAGGTGACGACGGTGACGGGGCCTTGGGGATCTGAAATTGTCTCTTTGGCATATCGTCGAATTAGCGACTTCATCAGGGTTGTCTTGCCGACGCCGGGGGGGCCAACAATGGCGACGAGACGCGGCGGCGCCTCGTCCGGAAGCCTGTCGACAAGGGGAACATGGAGGCGCTTTTCTTTGATCTTGAGGGGCGGTTAGCATATGGATGAATATGGAATTACCCAAGAAGTGAGATTGTGGAATCATCAACCATTAGAAAGAGATACTGGGACAAAGACATACATCAGAGGATCTGGCAGCCTGTTTCTGAAGCTTGCCGGGCTTGGAGAAGGCAAACGCCTTGGGATTGCGATCTGCGACAAGTCAACATCAGGTCTGTGTGGCAATTGCTAGGAACTCCCAGTCTCCGATTGCAAATATCACTTACCCCCGGTGTGCTTCTTCTTCTCCTTGCTCTTGCGATGCGGCTTATGCGCTTGGTCCTCCATGATGGCTTGTCGTGGCAGTCTGCGCTCGCCGCTCAGTGCCAGAATTTGAGAGTGAACTGGGAAATTTTTCTAACTGATAGCGATAAGGCTGCTGGATATCGATAAGATGCGATAAGTAGCCCCGCTAATGTTAGCGCAGAACGAACTGCTTGAAGCACTCCACATGTCACTAAAAGCTGCGGAGCATTACTTGTCGATGATCAAAATTGACATCGAAGAGCTCTGTTGGGTGGATGTGAATGAGTTTGGAAAAGTTGCCTGGATGAGAAATTTCTGAGGCTTTTTGTTTGTCAATGTATTCTTTTTTCTGCCACTAATTGGCCCCTTTCAGCTGGTTTCAAGTTGGTAATGTCCATTTGCGCAAGACGAAATGATGAGGATGCAGACATTTTGTCCAAGTGCTCATTGCTCGATGACATGGAACACTGCCAGCAGCTGGGACAATCTGTATGGCACCCATACACCCAACCCAATACGAGGTAACAGCGTTTGGCCACGGCCACTGAAGCAATGGAACGAAACACCAAGTCGGTGTTCTTACTGTCACTTTTTTGGGAGCAGACACCGCGATATTGCACTTGCAATAAGACGGCCGATGTTTGGCGGGTCTCTCTCGATAACAGATTCACACTCGTGGATCTTGTTTGGTTGTCCACATACCCGTGTACTTGGTAAGCACCGAGGCTTTCCGGACATAAAGTTCTCGCTTGGCTTCAATTGACCCGTGATGACTCTGGCTCTTGATAACCTAAGCAAAGGTCAGCAAATCGCATCAAAAGCCGTTGGGCGGATGGAGTCGTGCTCTACCGGTTTGGGATTAGAACGGCGAGAGGGAGTCATAACGAAATTGCAGGCTGCATGAAAAGAGTCACGATGTGCTGCACCCAGTGCTTTCGCGTTACGTGGCGGTGTCTGGTGCACAAAATAGTTGCAAGAGGAAAATTCTTTCTTTTGACAGACGGCTTGTTACGGATAATTTCGGGCGCCGTAATAGATCACATGCAGATATTCAGCAGAGGGAAAGTGCGATTGTATGCCCAATGTCAGGTCGTGATAGCAGTCACGATACTGTACAGGGCAAGGGAGGGGAAATGGGCTAAGCGAGTACTGAGCTTGTATGTAGCTTTTCATATCAAATTGGCTGCAGAGGTACGCGGTGCTGACGAGCGTCCACGTAACGCACACGTACCAGCATGCACCAGTGTGTCGTCACCAGTTAAAAAAAAAAATCCATTTCCAAGGCTGGTCGCTTAGCTTAGCATCACGGCTACAGTAGCGCTTTCAAGTGTGAGATTAGCATTTGACAGAAGCAATCTTTTCTCTCGCAAGAGAGATAAACGTGGCTTGTTATGATCGTGACCGGTGACTCAGCCGGGCGGCACAGCAAGCGCAAGCATGGCCTTCCCCTAATGAGGAGTGATTTACATGGATTATGAATTGACAGAAGATGATTTGGAGTCACGATGGAAATGAGCTGAGGTTACTTTGGTTGTGGATGTCGATTGGTCTGGTGCCGATCTGGTAACTGTAGGATCAATTGCTTGAGGCTGAGCATCTACACTGACTGACAATGGAATGCATCTAGAAGCCATCATCGTCTATTCCTGCGCCGAAGACGAAGAAGAATCAGCAGAGAATACGTCAAATCAGCCAAGGCGCACAAAGTTGCACCCGCAGCGAGTTGTTGTGCGATCCTTTACGCATCCACACCACAGACTCACGACGCTTTTTATTATGTCTTTCGTCACTGCCTGAGCATCCAATCCTTCGTCTTCAGGCAGAACTCGTCATCATCCTTCGTTGGCTCGTCTCCACCCCAGACCCTCCCCCACAAGGCTGGCTCAGGGGACGAACAAGCTTCTCTTGGCTCCCTGATCCATTACGCGCAACTGGTACCCGCATCGACCCGCGCAATGAGTCAATTGGGCAGGCTGTGCGCGGCCTTGCCGGGCTAGTGGTGACTGGATTACGGAGTCCGGCATGCACACCCATCTCATTCATACAAACTACGAGATGAAGGAAGATTTTTTTCTGATGCCGGCAATCTGCTGACGCTAGCTAGCATCGTGGCCATGATGTGGACTGTGGGCCTGGCGCACGCAGCTAAGCTTTTTCCTCGATTCGAGATGTTGCCGGACGGGTCAAGAAGAAAGTTTCATGGCAGCCTGGTTGTGTATATATAGACTGGCTGATGCCTGGTTGTTGTGGCCATCTCAGGCAGACATCAATCAGATCAACAGCAACAAACAAAAGCCACATTCCAGCTCTGGAACTCAAAACAACAAAGGTTTTCTATAACCAACCACCACAATTCTTCAACAAACTCACTCCAAACTGTATGCCCATCAACTCAAACTCACAATCAACATAAGCATAAGCCAACTAACAATCAACAACAGCTCAAACCAATCTTCCATAAACATGTCTCTCATCGGACACCACGGCGGCCTTCAAATCGGCAAGGCTGAACGGCCCGGTCCCTCATTGGGCAAGAAGATCAACAAGGATCAGCTCAAGTCTGACAAGTCCTCATCTTCTTTCGGACAGATGATTGGCGGCATCCTCCACAGCCAGCGCCGGGATGAGGACCGAAGCGAAACTGCTTCCCTCTCCTCGGTTGCTACAGAAAAGAGAGCCTTATTAGGGGAGAAGAAGAGCAGCAGCTCATCCAGGCAAACACCAAAGCTTCCCAACCCTAACGAGACTCTGATGCCTCGTGCGAGATTTTGGAATTAGTGCCATGAGCCGGCGGGCACTGGCCCGCCACATTCGACTTTGCTTTGCTCTTCTTCTTCACTGCATTTCAGGCGAGATGCCTACGGGTTTTTTAATATAGAAGCGTTCAAGGGTGCGATTTGGAGTTGGGACTAGACGATTATTTTACGCGGCATGATATATGTTGAGCAGATGAAAGCCTCTGCTTATTCAACTTTTTGTTCTTTGCTATAGCTATTTCTTTTTATAATCACTATAGAATCTACAGTCTTATCACAACTTTTTGTTCAAGTGTAATCAATTGTGATTGTTTGGTTGCTACCTGTGCAAATGGGAACCTAGGTACCTACAGTGGGGAAGGGCTATCCAGCACCCCAGCGACTAAGAGTTTCGAATGTCGTAACAACGCAGAATAAAGATCTTTTATCACCATTACTTAAATAGATACACGGTTCCTGTAGTATCTACTATTCTCGCTACTTTCTGCTACTATCGCTACTTTCTCTCCATCAAGACAAGACCCTATAGTGATGGAATTCGGCCCGCCACTATGATGGACCAGGAAAAGATTATTAACGAGAATCTCATCGGAAATGGCCTTAATGCCGACCACATTACGCCTCTATTAAGAGCTACCCTCACTAGCAATTATGATGATGAGACTATCTGGAAACAAGCACGTCTATTACGCCGTCACCGAAGCGACACCTCCGCCTCAACCTCTCCCGATCCCGATGTTACCCTCTACCCTACAGACGCCATGGAGCCAAAACACCAGCATCTTCGCAAACTCTTCTGAAAAGCGCGACTATGTGGATAAAATTATTGGACAGGAACTAAGTGTTATGCACGTCGGTCTCCCTCGATTCCACGAGGTTTTCTTCGGTGATGTGGCCGGCCTTCAGGCTGCCTCAGAGGCCGTCTTCGACAAGTATCAGGAGGTGACACTCTACTCCATAACCCCGGCGATGGATGGCGCGGACGGCCAAAGGACGCAAATCAGGATGCTGTTTTAGACTGGTTCGCTAAGCTTTGCGACGATCTAGCAGCCCTTGCAAAAGATCACCATCCGAACTCTTCTCAACGCAGACCCTTGGTGCAGCCTAACAAACCAATCGAGGGTTCCACAGTACCTCGCAAGCTAGACGTTGGGTTTGTGGATGGCTGAAATGCTGCAAATAATGCTCCATACACTTGGTCCGATATCCTTGTTCCTGGGCAGCTAAGGAGCAATCCGTTGGAAGACAAACCATCCAAGGCATGGGTTGATCTAGGCAGATACGCAAGAGACGTTCTTGCTGCTCAAGATACTCGTCGTTTTGCGTTGGGCTTCACACTCTGCGGCTCTCTAATAAGGGTTTGGGAATTTAACCGTCTTGGCGCAATCGCATCTGAAGAATTTAACATTAACAAAGACAAAGAGGCTGCGCTGCGCCTTGTTTCTACAATTCTTGGGTTTCTATGGATGGAGCGAGAACAACTAGGATTCGACCCTACTATTAATTTAGAGGGCGATCGACGGGTTGTCACGATTCAGCGGGATGACAAGACAGAGCGGCTCATACTCGACAAATTGATAAAGCGAGCGCCTTGTATCTCTGGTCGGGCAACCACCTGCTGGAAAGCCTATCCCGAAGAAGACCCTCAGATGCCACTTGTAATCAAGGATTCATGGCAGTATACCGAACGCGACGAAGAAGGAGAGCTCCTTAAGGAAGCGACAGATAAAGGCGTTACCAATGTCGCCCGGTATTACCACCATGAAACCGTCCATGTCCGATCTCAAGTCGATGAGATTCACGGCAACATTCGCGGTGGCCTGATCTCCACAGACGCAAAAACCTACCAGGTGGCGCCATCTTCTCAGTTGCCTGATGACGAAAGCAAGAGTGGTCAAATTGCTGGTGTTAAGAGGTCTCTTCCCAGTCAAGTCGATAGACCCCGCGCTAAACGATCACGATCACGATCAATGTTGCCAACTAGCAGTATTAGCGAATCGGGTACACAGGCGTGTCATTGTGAGAGACTACGGAAAGGCCATATACATGGCGAGCACCACGCCGATTCTGCTGAAGGCGCTTGAAGACTGCATTCAGGGCCATGAATTTCTACATAAAGCTGGCATTCTACACAGAAATATATCCGTTAATAACCTCACGGTGAACGAGGACAGCAATAACCCCTCTTGGCCCTCGTTTCTAATCGATTGCGACCTTGCTATTAAAGAGAACTGATTAAGGGCCTCTGGAGCGAAGACAAAGATTGGCACACGGGCTTTTATGGCCATTGGTGCGCTACTTGGTAAGCAATATTCCTTTATGCATGATATAGAGTCCTTCTTCTGGGTTTTATTCTGGTTATGCATTCACAGCAACGGACCAAATACGAAAGGCAAAGTTATTCCTGAATTTGAACAGTGGAATTTCCTCAGCGTCGACGTGCTGGCCAGGGCAAAACTGGGAACCGTATGTTCGGAGGAAGTGTTCATGGTAACAGCCGGCGATGATTTCACGCCTTACTACCGACAGTTGATCCCGTTGCTCAATGAGCTGAGACAGGTTGTCTTCCCGAGTGGTCAGTTCTGGAGCCGGGAAGACGAAGGGCTCTATAGTCGCATGAGGGAAGTGCTTCGGAGGGGGCGAGAGAGGCTTGAATCTGACGACACCCACGATTGAAAGATCCCAGTCTGACGGCTGGCTTCATGCCTTCCCCAACTTTGTAGATTCTGCCGTGGCAGAACCAGCAAAATCCTTGTTGAACAAAAACAATATTTCACTAATACAAGGCCCGCCACGTGTCAATAGAAATGCTCTACAGGTACCTGAATGGTGAAGCTCGCAACACTCTTGTATCGTGGCGTTGCAGAAAGAGGAAGTCAGCAGATTGGTCAAGCAATGCGTCTACGAGATCCCAGTCAAATAGCCAGCTGGCCGAGGCAGAGCACAGAGAGAACGGAGCAACTTACCCAGTCCAAGAACCGCAAGGTACCAGTTTTGTTCAGCAGGATCACAATCAAACGCTATATGCCAACCGGATCTTTCGCGTGTTTAGCTATCTCGCCGGCGGGACGGTCTATAAATCAGTATAAGGCTGTCATTGACCTCATCGAAGCTCTTTGTGATGCTATTAAAGTGCATCGATCCCTCTACATGGATGGAAAAATCTTACACCGAGATATTTCCGAAAACAATATTACTATCACCAACCCAGGGAATGCCAATGGCTTTAAGGGCAAGCTCATCTACCTTGACTCAGCTAAGGAAGAAGGTAAAGGTCCTAGTGAGGCCCGGTATCGGACGAGTACGATAGAATTTATGGCAATTGAAGTTCTTCTAGGAATTTCACACACAAATCGCCACGATCTCGAAGCATTCTTTTGCGTTCTAATATGGCTCTGCGCTCGTCGAGGCTGGGCATTATCGAGAGCGTCAGCCCGCCGCAAAATAGTATGCTATCGCGGTGGTATACTGGAGGCTACGAAGACATTGCACGAATTAAGCGTGTTGATATGGACAAAAGTTGGCTGGAAGTCGTTCTGAGAGAATTTCCGGATGTTTTCGATGGTGTTAAGCCTTTGTGCAGGGCAATAAGAGATGTCTTATTCCCGTGTAAGGACGGTCTCTTCACTGGCACTCCACAGGATCCGAATATCCTGTATGATCCAATTATTAAAGCATTTAATGATACCATAGCAGGAATTGGGCTGGGAGTGCTAAAGAGGTAATGCGTTCCTTGTCAGTAAATGAACTATATTAGAGATTTACTTCTGAACAGTGTCACCTGGTGATTGAAAGCGAAGTGGTAGAGACAGTGACAGTCCTTCCAATGTTTTTTTTTATAATAAGAACTCAAAATGGATTGACTAATCTTGAACAGATATCACTGGCTGTAGTAATCGCTACAACATTCTGGAGTGGTGCTTGGACTCTAATGATTATAGACAGTTGCGTAAATGGAAGTTTTCCGCCCTTTGAGCGGCTGATTCGAGAAGGATCTCTGTTGTTGAGGAATGCCTGCCAAAGTCATTGAAATTGAAGATGAGGAATCTACTTAAGCCAGAAAAAAAAAAAAAAAAAAACAAGTATGAAAGGAGAAATAATATGGTTCCGTGCTCTTTCGCGACCTCCGTCTGGTGTTTGTGATTATGACGCAGCAACGGGATTGGTCGACACGAACTGAAGCTCGTCGGTCTGGGGCTCTCCTCGGCAAAGAAAACAATGCTCTCCATCTGCACTCTTTTGGGGGCCAAAAAAAGTCTTGGAGCAAAACTATTGCAAAATGACGTGGCTCAATTCCCAAAGAACTAACTAAATTTAAGCCGCGTATGCATCCAAGGTAGCATTGTACGCAGGATGTCGGGCGTTTGATGATTTAGTTCGAGACCTTGTGATACAAAAGTGTCTCTGATTCCGTTCTACGGCTTGGGAAAGGAAACCGGAGAGCAAATGTCTCGCATCAAGGGTGACAAAGGAGACCGGGCAGCAGATATCTGGCGGCAGGGTTGAGAAACAGCAGGGGTGAGAAAAGAAGCTGGGCAGAAAATGTCGGGTTGCAAGGGTGAAAAGGAAACCGGACAGGAAATAACAGGCATCAAGGGTGAATGAGGCCTGACAGCAGGGCTGAAGAAGGAAACCGGGGAACAAGGGTCTTACAACAAGGGTGAGAAAGGAGCCGGACAGCACCAAAGGCCTCGCAACAGGCATCAGAAAGGAAACCGGACAGAAAATATCTCTCATCAAGGATGAAAAAAGGAAACCGGGGAACAGGGATCTCGCATCAATCAGGGCTGAGAAGGCAAACCGGACAGCAAAAATGCCTTACACCAAAGGGTGAGAAAGCAAACCGGACGGCAGAGTTCCTGCAGCAAGGATTAGAAAGGAAACCGGGTAACAAGGGTCTCTCAACGAGGGTGAGAAAGGAATCCGGACGGGATATTTCTGGCATCAAGGTTGAGAAAGGAAACCGGATATTAGCAGCAAAGGACTCGTAGCAGGGATCGGAAAGGGAACCGGCCAGGAAACATCTATGTAGCATCAAGGGTGAGAAAGGAAACTGGGGAACAAGGGTCTCGCATCAATCAGGGATAAGAAAAGAATCCGGACAGGAAACTTTCTAGTATCACGGATGAGAAAGGAAACCGGACAGCAGCAAAACGCCTCTCAGCAGGGATCAGAAAGCCAACCGGACAGGAAACATCTGACATCAAGGATAAGAAAGGCCTGGCGGCAAGGATAAAAAAGGAAACCGGGGAACAAGGGGTCTCACATCAACCAAGGTCGAGAACGGAATCCGGGCAGCGAAGTGTCTCACGCCAGGGTCGAGAAGGCAAACCGGACAGAAAAATGTCTCTCACATAGCGGAAGAAGAGACTTGAGCCGACAAAGATTGTGCGCTCTTATCCATCGCGGGCTCATGATTGCCGTGTCTTGCTCAGAATGTCTTGGCAAAGGGAGCTACTATTCTTCCTCTAACCCATATAGAATGCCCTCCAAGCAGTATTACTCCCGCCACCGCTACTATACTAATAGTTTCCTGTGGGCACGGGAGAGATCGGCGCCATGGAGATCCAATAGCGTCGATTCTTTTCCAAGGGAGATGAGGGCTTGCAGGGTACTCCGCACCGCTGGTCGAGATGGCTCCCGCGTTGTGCTCATGTGGTGCGAAAGCTGAGGACTCCCTTGCATTCTTTGCGTCCAAGTGTGTTCCGTCGTAGGTGCCAGGCCTTGGGAATATCCAATAACGCAATGTTGATAACATATCGAGTACTTGTAGCCTGCATAAATGATACAGAGTATATTGAAGGATGTGGTCATTCAGCTGTCTCATGATGAATTCAGAAGGGGGAAAAGAGGCTGTTGGGCTCTGCGACTTTATTCACGACTTGACACGAAGCGTCATCAAGTGGTAGCAGGTCTAAGATAAAACAGAACGAATCAATTCAAATATCAAAACAGTATCCTATATGCGTTGACTAGTGCTGTTACTATCACAATCTGGTGCACAGTCATATCGCTTCCCAAACAATCCCAAACAATCCCAAACAATCCCATCTATGCCCTTGCATGATCCATTATATCCTGGCGGCCCATTTTATGCATAGGGTCAGCCCAATCGCACTCATTGACATAATGCTGTCGATGATACAATATTGTCCATCGAGAGCCTCAAAGATCCAGAGGATCGTGAATGGAGTCCATCCAGGCACTCTATTCAGCCAAAATCTGCTCCGCAGTTCTCTTCATGTAATCATCCTCGTCCCATCCATATCCAAGAACATGAACAATCTCGGCATGGTCAACCAAGATGCCGCTCTTCCAGTTGCGTGCATGCGGCTCAATCGTGTAGGCAAAGCCTGCGTGCCAGAGAAAGGTGTCCACCTCCTCCACAGTGGCTGCAGTGTTTTCGCCGTCTTCAATCAGCTCGTAGACGACCGCGATGCAGTTCATGTGGCTTCCAATAAGCTTCCTGACCTTGTGAACCTCCTTGTGCGTAGCATGCAAGCTGATGGGAAGCTCTTCCCACAGATCACTATGGAGCTGCAGCCAGCCGAAGCATTTGGCCATGCGCGGCATCTGCGAGATGAACTTGGTGCCTGGAGGCGGCATCTCCACGCTGTCATCCAACTTAAGCTTGCCCACGCAATTTTCTTCGCAGAATGCGAAATAGTTCTCCGTGGCATCCCGTTTTCCCACGGGATGATCGTACACCAAAACAGGCTCAGTCGCCACGGATGCCTCCATCATCTGGAGGACGGCGGCATTTTGGCACTCCCGCTGCATCGAGTAGTATGTTCCAAACTCCTGGGGAGGCACTTGGTCCCAGTACTGTTGATATCACATCGTCAATGAGAGTAGGTACTCGCGAGACGAGTTGTCACTCACAACTTTCAAAGCGAATGGTCCTTCTTCGCCGAATTTGACCTTCCAGACGTAGCCATCGGCTCCGCCTCCAAGTCGAGACTCAAAAACAAGAGTCTTCGGATCAAAGGAGCAGCGGCGAAGCCGTGGGTGGTTAAAATCTCGGCCCCTAAATCGGGGTGGCCCCTTCATGTACTCATCATCGAGGAAGGGCCTGGACATTGTCTGTAAGCGACGGCGTTCAGCCGCGTAACGATCGATCGGAGGCATCGTGCTATTACAAGTCGTAAGGGAATGTTTGATTAAAGAGCGAAGAATGAAGGATAAAAGAAGGAGGAAGAGGAAGAGAAAAAGGAAGAGGAAGAAGAGCAGCAGATATAGGACATGATGAATGCTGGGGGAGGGGGGATGGATGAGACAGTTGCATGAATGACTGAAGCGGTGGCTTGTCCAGTGGACGGCGTCTCGCCAATGGCCATCACACCTATGCCCACGGCGGCCTCGAGATTCAGTCTTACATCATTCATGGAGAACTCGCAGCTAATTAAACACTGCCCAGCTGATTGAGGAAAAAGCAAAAAAAAAAGCGAGTTGTCAGGTTTCACCCCTTGCATAACTGGTGGCCAGCCCCCTCCTCTAGCGGGGATGTTGGTATCGGAATCACAGTTTGTCGTTAGTCGGCGCGGTCGAGTTTTGCACTTTTCCCCCATTATGACTTTATGCAGAGTACCTGGGCTTTGTCAATCTAGTGTTGGAGCTTTGTTTGGTCTGGAGAGCTTCGGCGAGACACTCACGTGTAGTATTGACGCGCGGTTGGGGTCCCATGATGACGACAATACCACACGATCGAGGGGTTCATAGAGTCCATGATGAGCCTCGACCTGTCATAAAGTGAACCTAAAAGGTGTATATGGACACATATGAGGCTTCTGAGGCTTCTGAGTACAATAGGCTTACTTTAGCCCGGTTCTCAAGGGAGGCCGAGACTGTAGTAGACATGGTTAGCTCCAGCTTTCAAAGATCTCCTCACGGAGACCATGGTGACGATTGGCCGACAGAAAGTGCGCCGCTTTCCTCCCATACAGAAGTTCGAAGGCCGAGTATGTGGTTGTAGAATGTACAGAGGCGTTTAGGGCGTGTACAGCGTGCGGCAACAACGAAGGCCAATGTCCCTGGTCGTATTTACTCCCCATTAGTGCTCGCAAGCTGTGAGTAGCTGTCTGTATAGCTCTCTCACTCTGCCCGTTGGCTTGCTGATGGTATGCGACACTGGTGTGAGTGTGGATTTCGGCGACCTGGCACAATGACTCCTACAGATGTGATATCAGTTTTGGGTCTTTATTGTATACGAATATGTATGGGAATCCCCAATCCAGATACACTCGCTCGATATATTCTGATGCCCATTGTTCCGCCGTCCACGTTGTCTTCCCGACGAGGTACCTGACGAATTTGGTAAGTTTATCGACTATGAGCAGAATAGCGTCGGAATCGTCCGCTGCCAGCGGAAGACCGACGATGAAGTCCAGGCCTAAGGCTTGTAATAGCAGCAAGGGTATATTCAGTTTCACAAGAACCTTCTATCATCAAAATATGGCTCCTTGATTGTTGTAGTGATATAACTGGTCTATCCTCCCCGTCTAGAAGCTATTGTTAAGAATGTCTTCATTCATCTTGACCATTGATGGGCTATACTCAGACGAGTCCGCCCCCGCCCCAGCATCGAGGAGGATATCGTCGACAATCCTTTTGCTGGCTTCTCGCGCTGTATTAAAAAAAAAGAGAGAGACAAAGATGTCAGCCGCTTTCAGATTGTCATAGCCTGTAGGTATTTGATATCAAGAGAGAACTTACCCGGCGTCTGAAGCAGTTTCGAGGGCGGTAGTGCAAACTGGATTGTCTTGGGCGGGCTCATGCCGAGATTATCATCGTCATCGCTGTCCCAGTCAATCTCATGCGTCTTTCCCCCAGAGGCTGCAACCCCCTCCATGGCAAACACGTCTTTCGTCTTTTTCGCAGCGGCAGGGGTCTGCACGCTGACACCAGGCGTTCTAGGAGCCTGACTTGCTGCTGCTAGGCGCTGTCTTGCATTACCCTTGTACGGGGACATGAAAGCTTCGCTTCGCAGTTTTGGAATGGCAATCTCGGGAGACGACATGGGATCGTCCTGCCACATTGGCACATCTCTCTGCTGCGGCGGCGGCAACTCCGGCTGCTTGCCTTTCAGAGGAGATATTCGAACGCTCGATTTGTGAGGCGTCGCCTGCAACCGGTAAGTTTTGTCAAGGACGCGATGCAATAGAGGATCCTTGTTGCGCTGGCCCGATTCGCCTCTGTTTTGCAGGTTCGGCAGACCCCTTGGTGTTGCTGATATATCCGGTAGTCGTGCCGTATGCTGCGCAAACAGGATAGAAGAGTCCTCTTCTCCATCTGATTCCTGCGCCGCCATCGTAGCGCCCTCTTCATCAGCCATCTCCCGCCTCATGGCCTCGTAAGAAGATTCAAGCTGGGATACGTCGGCTTTGTTGGTTCGACTGGCCGGGGGACGAGGCGTGCTTCCGGCCAGCTCGGCGTCGTTTAGCATTGATTCATCGCCATGCAGTGCCGAGTGGTGCCCAGCGGCGCTGACCCTCGTTGCCTCTTCCTCCAAGTCGGCCGTTACGTCAATTGTCATCTCGTCTTGCATGGCGGTGCTCTCTTCTGCGCTCGTCTCGTCTTGGTTCCCGTTCGCCTGGTCTTCATAGCCGGAGAGAGACACGTTTGCGGATGACTCGAAAAATTGTTTCCAGAACTGGGAAAAGAAGCAATTAGTTTTCAATTTGCGAAACGGTTGCTGGAGCGGTTGTCATACCTTGGAAGCTTCCCAAACAGCTCGCGAGTGCTCTCCATACTGCTCCACCAGCGGCAAGATGCCCGTTGTTACGATCCTATGGGCCTTGCTGAAATTGTGATCAATCTCTGGAACATAATCAGCTCCGAGAACAAGGACGGCGGAGTTCTCACTGCCAGAGAAGCGATTAACCTACCTTGCAGCGTCAGAGTGATGGATTGCTCCAGCTTCTCCAGCTCTTCTGTCAAGCTCAGATTGCGCTGCGGCGCGACGCTTTGTTGAGACATTGTGCGATGGGTGTGTCTAGGAGGCGAATGGGTTTACGGACAGGCAAGGTGAAGCTGACAACAATCCCTGCGCCGATTCGCTTGGTGTCATCGTCATTGTTTAGTCTGCTGTCTCGATCGCGTGGAGACGCGATGAGGGGCAAAATGGCAACTTTTTGGCGGGCGGTCAATGGAGGGGCAACTTGAAATTGATGTTCACACCAAGTACAACAACAGAACAGAGCACGCAAAATTAAGTCTTTATAAACACTTGCAAGTCGATCAACTCGATTTGTGCGGTTTATGATTTTTTTCTTCTTCTATTTTTTATAGTTGTCTCTCTTCTTCTATGACAGGCTCCTTTGCCAAACCAATCATTCCAGCTACCGCTTGAGATAGTAGTCAAACATGTCCATCTTGACCAGGAGCTGAGCAACCATGCTATCGTCGCCAGTCCCGTACTGCTCCTTGAATATCCTGTCTTCTCTCCCTCTCTTGCCATCTGTGCGCCGAGCCTTCTCCGAGAGGCTGCGGCAGACTGTGATGAAAATCTGCACCTTCTTCTTGAATTCTGCATACAGAATTGATGGGTCAACATCGTCCTCCACCCCCAAGCGCTGTAGCCTTATGTGCTTAGCAAATCGCAAAATAGTATTAAAGATATCCTCCAATAGTTTGAGGACTGGCTGCTGCTTCTTTCGCAGAAACAGAGCAAGCATGATTCGATCCAGGACAAGTGAATGAAGCTCCTGCAGTTTGTCAGGGCTCTGGACCTCTTCTGATGAGCTGTTTGTAGTTGGCCGGTGGAGATCCGCCTCAATCTTGTCCAGTTTCTTCTCAAATACCCGCCAGGGAACAGCAATGCCCGTATCGAGAAAATATGCCGACACGGTGGACACAAAATGCTGTGCTTCTCTTACGAAGCGGAGTGTTGCATTGCCGGGATCTTCCCATTCACGTGCCAGGCAGTTTGCGTCGCGGAAAAGCTGGTTGACAACAAATATCATCCGCAAGACCCTCAGCAGGAGCTTGAAGATGTAATCATACTGCATCAAATTCATCGGCGTGATGATGGGGCTCAGTTGTGGCGGCGCAGTGTAGGAAAGGCGGAGAAAGTCCAATGCTTCGAGGGAATCGGGGTTCATGCATTTTTCGATTTCCTCATCAGAAAGGTCTCTCACGGCAAAGCTCATGTTGCCTGGCAAGCCGGAAACCTCCTTGTCGAAAATACGTTCATTCCTCACGACTTTATTCCCTTCTTGATTACCACTGTAGCATTCAGAAAGTATGCCCATCAATGCCAACCGCAGCTCTGAAGTTGCAGGGGGCCAGTTGTCGCGCCCACCAAGCCGCAAGCCCATGACACTACTTCTCCTCGCGACTCCTGGTTGCGCTTTCGCCGACTCCATATCAGGGTCAAACAGAGCATGGGAGAGGCGGCTGCAGAGAATACCATTTCCAAGTAACTGGAACTCTCGCTGTAACTTTAGATGGTCTCGCAGATTGTGAGCGGTAAATAGGAGCTTGAGAGTCTCCTTGTTGACCACTTGGGCCTGTGCCGACGCAATAACGCCAAACGAAAGAACAGGAAGCAATGTCCAGTGGGGAGTAGAATTCGAGAGCTCAATAGCTGATGCATGTGTTCCACAAAGTCTATCACGCACAATCCTACTGAGAGGATCCTCTGCGTCGTGTGTGGCAACTGGCTGAGCAAACTGCTCAATGGACGCGGCAATGCGCTCTTCCATGCCAATCTGATCTAGTCCGAAGAATGTAAGGATGGACTCGGGCTTATCGGCTACTGAGTAAAAGGATATTTCCATAGGGTCAAAAGCGTAGTCCGAATGGCTCGATTGGATGGCATCAACCAGGCTGTCTCGGTACGCAACAGCACGACTCTCAAGGCGCAGTATGGCATCCCAATCATAAAGCCACTTGGCCTGAGGAGGATCGCTGGATGCAATGACATCTTGCTGAGCTAGTGGGTGGTCTTCATGGAAAGTGCGGATAAATCGCAAGTTGCGCCCAGTCTCAAATATTGTCTCCGTGACATCGTCGGGCATAAAGCGCGGCATCTTGCCTGCGTCCAAGACATAGTCGACCTCTGCGAGTTCCCGGCCGAAATCATCTCGAAACACTCGTGCCTCGACCTTGACAAATCCTTTGCTTTCTCCGACATTGGACTTGGTAAAAGGTAGCCCTTGCTCGCGTCTTGTCCCAATCCACTCTTCGAGAAACTCGATCCACGGCCCAGAGACTCTCCGCAGCACTTCTCGCATAATCTGACGGAGGTATTCCTCGTTGCTATCCACCGTATATGCCTGATGAAATACGAGGTTCAGGATATCCTCGTCCGTAAGACCATGGCGAAGCTGTGACGTGAGCGCCTTGAAGGGCCTCAGAATAGCCACAACCGAGTTGACAGTGGATTGTAGCTGCAGAAGCGATCGAGGATTTCGCCCGTTAAAAGCCACCCATTCTTGAACAACCTGTAAAACCTGGCTGACAGTGCTGGCGAGGGCCACACCACATCGGCTCGGATGTTCTGAGTAGGCAGATTGTACAAAGGCACGTAGACCCATCAAGGTACTTCCGCATCTCAAGCACTTATTCTCAAGCGCCTGAAGGACATTGCTAGAGTACCCCGATGCCCTCATTTTAGGAAGTGAAGGCCTGAGGCTCTGAGATCCGTCTTTTCTAATAAAGAGAACGGACTCTCCACCAAGTGCCAAAGCCAGTAGCGAAGACAGGTATGTCTTCGTATCAACCACAGGAACACCGACATTCCTGAGCTTGAGAGGGTCGCTTGAAGAGAATAGTAGAGCATCGTACGCAGCCGGGCCAGCCTCGGTAACCATCATGGGCTGATATTTTGTGGCTGTATTGCCGGAGAAAAACCCCTCCCACGCTCGATATGGAGGCTTGGGTTTGACGGGCATCCCTGGCTCTAGCCATATGTCTGGCATATCGTCATCATCATCGCTATCGAGGGCCGCAGAGAGGTCTTCAGATGGCCTTTCGGGCTCATCTACGGGATTTAGTGGTGCATTTGGCTCCTCTGTGTCTATTGCCTCGGCAGAACCCGTGGGGATATCGTGGACAGGCAGTAGCTTGAAGAAGCCATCGTGGGTTGGCGTTATGGGATCGAGCGCGAAGGGATCCGCGTCTGCACCTGACAGAGCATCTGGCCACGAAGAGAAGACGAGATGTAAGCGTACGAGATCTCATATCATATCAAAGAAGAAGAGGCCGAGAGCCAATTGCTTACTTGTGAGATCGTTGGAAAAGAAGCTGGCCGGTGCCTCTGCCTCCAAGTCCAGCAGCAGCTTCGAGGGCTGCCAGAAGTTGGGGATGGCAAAGACATATTCCTCAGAGCCATCGCTGTCCATGGCTCACAGCAGGTTCAGCTATGGATGCATAGAGGACAGGATACGGCAGACGCGCCAGCGGAGGCCATGCGCGTTGTCGATGAACAGAGCCAAACTCCAAAAAGAGCGACGATCATGGAAGTAGTTGATCCATCCATATCCCCAAATACTGAGCACGCGCTAGAGCAGACCTCTAAGGCACTAATGTTGAGCTGCTCAGGCGGCCCTGTCAGCGTGCCCCGCCCTGCAGATTAGTGGCACAGCTCCCTGTTATGATCTCATGCTCAATGGATCAATGCGTTTAGCTTTTTCGAACTCTGCCAGCGTCACACTTGAACACTCTAGCTTTAATTCTTACTTTTCTATCGTCAAGCTGCACTTTTCTTATCCGCCGTCAACATTGTCACCCGATGCTGATTTAGGATTAATCTTGTTTCCTTCTTCATTTACTATTCCTCCTTCACCATCACTACTCTTCAGATCTTATAGCCCCGAATCTTCGTCACAATGCCTCCAAAGAAGCGCTCGCGCCTGCAGATGTCTTCGACGCCAACCACCATTCGAGAAGACAGTGCCATGGACGTTGATTCTCCTCGGATAAGCGCAACGCCAGGCTTCCTCTCTTCGGCATTCAAGCCCATCATACCGGTCACACCGTACGATAATCTCTGGACGGACGACCAGATCTCTTCACTATTCAAAGGCGTCATTCGCTGGAAGCCTGCTGGTTCGTTGCGCCCGATCGAGCTGAAGCTTCAAGTGTTTCCATGCTGATCAAGGATACTCTCGTGTTAGGGATGCATAAACACTTTCGAATGATAGCAATATCGGAACACCTGCGCAACCACGGCATCGATCCTGATATCCATCGTCACACACGCATCCCCCACATCTGGGAGAAGCTACGGACTTACTACGATCTCGACCTGATTGACGAGCGAGAGTACTTTGACGACGACGAAGCAGAGGACAAATATGTCGAGTTCTCTCTCCCCTTTCACGAATTCGGCGAATTGATGCTGCAGCGCGCCATTGCGGATCCGAGCGAAGCACCCACGTCTCCTCCCCAGCTGGAGCTTTCCCCCCCGCCCCAGAAGCGTTCGCGAGCTAGCACCGCGCCGAAGACGAGGGGAGCCTCTGTTGAAGGCGCCGAGAGCAGTGCTGCTGCTTCTGCAGCGTCACCGGCACTGAAGCCGACAAAGGGCACAAGAGGCCGCAAGAGAGCAGCTAGTCAGTCCAAATTCGAAAAAGAAAGGGTGGTGGAAAATTCTGAAGACGACGAGGACGAGTCAGAGGAGGAGGATGAGTCTGGCTCGGAGGAGAGTGACAGTGAAAGCGCAGAGAGCGGATCTCCCGCCCCGAAACCAGCGAGAGGGGGGCCGGGCAGAGGCCGTGGAAGAGGACGCGGACGGGGCAGGAGAGGCAGAGGTAGGGGCAGCTAATGAAGTGTTGAATAAGCTGCGGGATGGTGTGTGTGGTTTCCGTGGACTTGGTATAGCGGCTTGGATCAACAGTCAAGATACCCGAGTTTTAAGATATCCTTGTGGAGTTGTAGGGTTATTATATCATTTCGTCCCCTCTTTCTTAGCTACGTGATTATTGTTCTAGCTGTTCCCGTCATGCATCACTTTCCTCCTCATCCTCATCTTCATCCTGCTCTTCTCCACCTTCGTCTTCGTCTATCCCTTGGCTGCCCTCCTCTGCTTCTTCTTCTGCTTCATCACCTCCCTCGTCCCCAGCTTCTTCCTCAACCACCATTTCCTCCTCCTTCAACCTGGATTCCGGCTCCGGCTCAGGCTGTGGCAGCGTTTCCCACTCGCTGTAGTACAACAGCTTGCGAGCCCAATCCCGTCCACTGGGATAAAAATTATCTAGACTCTGGTTCGACCGTCGTGGCGGACCAGGATCTTGCATTTTAGGTAGCTCCATGGGCGGCTTCTTCTGCAGCACATTCCACATTTCGACTTCCGCCTTGTAGCTAGCATATTGGTCAATTTCCTCGGCTTGCCTCTCCTTTTGTCGTTCCACGGCTATGCACGCCTTTATAGCCTTTTTTGTAGCTTTATCAGCCCGGATGTCCATAACCGAGTACTCCAATATTTCCATTGTCTCCATGTCGATTTCTTGCTCTTCCACGTTGGTAGGAGACGGTGATCTGCTCGAATCGGAAAGATTATCTGGGGAGCCATCTTCCTCGTCCTCATCACTGTGTTGAGTCGAAAAGGGGGTATCTGGCTGCGCCTGCTGTTGTGGCCCAGCTGCTCCCTCACCAGATAAGGCCTGTTCCACTTCCTCATAAGTCATGCGCTCTTCATCAAGTTCCTCATCCCCTTCGGGAGGGTCTTCGTAAACATCGAGACGTAATCTACGAGCACTCTTGATCCAAGCTTCATTCGACTCGCCAGCCATATTCAGAGACGAAATGGCGGCTTCGGCGTCCTGTAGTTGTACCATTTCTCTGACTTTGCTTCCCATGGCATTCTTTGCTCTGATCCTAGACATAGCCATGAAAAGCGTCGTCTGAACAAGTCTTCGCGTGACTGATATGGCTAATGAATGAAAATCATCAAACGTTGTAGCCCACATCGACGGAGGTTCTTCATTAACTGAATTCCAGTTGTTGCCAGGAACTGAAGAGTTCATAAACATGCGTGCTGAAAGCTCCAGCCATTTTGACGCATGAAAGAGTTGAGCAAACTGGGGCACACCGGCAGAATTTGCGTCCTGTCGATGAACATCCCTGCTAAGCTTCTTAGCAACCTTTGGGGTGATTTCCCATACATCTCCCCACCGATTCTGCTCCCGCAACTCCTCGCGTGCTTCCTGCTTGAGCGAAATCTCATCCGCGGCTTCTTCTTGAGCATGGCAGCACTGCTGACTGATCTCCACAGCAGCAGGATACTCTGCAAACTCCAGAATTGAGCGAGACCCGTGCTGCTGCCTCAAATCAGAGGCTTCTTGGAGATGGTGCAGGTAGTGGCTGACTTCTGCGATGCTTTTGCTCCCAATCTTGGTGGCGATGCCAGGCAAGTCATGTTTCCCGAGGCGTGCTACGGCTTCGAAAAATTTCAGCTTCTCTGCCGCAGACCAGGGTGTGAGACCAATTTCACCGGCGGTGGGCAGTTCTAGGTCACCAAAAGAGCTCTGCTGCGCAGCATCCTGAATCTCCTTGTTGAGAAGCTCCAGGTATCCAAGATTAAGTTCACTTCTTTGTCGTTTGAACGGCCTATATACCGCTATCGTGTCATCCAAGGGTCTCTTAAGAGGCGACCGCAGATCCTGACTTTCTGCTGCCGATAAAGCATTTTCGTCGTCGTCTTCTTCAACGTAGTCACTTTCTTCACTATCTGGCTCTCTATGCCCTTCATATCCGGTGCTCAAGTCAGTTTCCGCGACTTCGTTGGAAGGCCTCTCCGTCTTGATCCGTGGTGGTGAGATGACGGCAGCATCTTGTTCTTCATATGAGAAGTCGGAATCTTGGTCCATGGTTCGGTCACTGGGGCGTTGAAGATTGCACTGAGAGGAGAGAACATTGTAGCAGCGACCGAATCGGGACCATAGATTGAGTCTAGGGAGAAATTGGCGTTGGATCTGGTATCATTTCTGATATACCTTGAAGACATGCAAAAGATGAAAGCCGGAAAGCTGCAGCTATAAAATCATTCGCGGTATCTTTCAGTAGCCTTAGCTGACTCAGCCACATCCACATCCACAGGCACCGCATTAGTGCTTTTTCTCGACGCCACAGTGGCTGAAAAAAAGGTTTACATAAGGCAACTTACACCAAATCTTTGCATCTTTTCTGCTAGGATTTTCGTCCAAGACTTAGAAGAGTGAAAGTCCATCTCGAACGGCATTACCATGTGCAATGCTACAAACCGTCGTGCGACGTCTCTTCCGGCCTGATGCTGGGACTGGCGTCCCCTCAGGTTGGAGCAAGGTCAACCAGCTCAGAAAATATGCGGCCGCTGCTCTCAGCAATAAGTTGAAGCTCCGAGACTATCAACAAGAATGCATCAAATCCGTAGTCTTGTCTCTGAAGCGAGGACATAAGCGAGTTGGCATATCTCTGGCCACCGGTAGTGGCAAGACAGTAAATAGCTCCCGTCTCTTCTTCTTCTATACGATGTAACATGGTGGAGCTAATTCACTGCCAAAAGGTCATCTTTACTCAGCTCATTGACAAGGTCCACGACCGCGTCAAAAATGCTGACCAGACTCTCATCCTGGCCCATCGCCGTGAGTTGGTTGAGCAGGCTGCTAAGCACTGTCAGCTTGCGTATCCGGATAAGAGGATTGAGATTGAGATGGGCTCTCTCCATGCGTCTGGCACGGCGGATATCACCATTGCAAGCGTCCAAAGCATAACCTCAAAGGGTCGACTGGACAAGTACGACCCTTCAAAGTTCAAGCTCGTCCTTGTCGACGAGGCCCATCACATTGTTGCGCCGGGCTATCTTAGAACATTGAAGCACTTTGGTCTCGACGAGAAGCGATACAACTCGCCCATTCTGATAGGAGTATCGGCTACGTTTTCTCGATTCGATGGTGTCAAGCTTGGCGCCGCTATTGATGAGATTGTCTACCACAAGGACTATGTGGACATGATCTCGGACAAGTGGCTCTCGGATGTTGTCTTTACGACGGTCGAGTCATCCGCCAACTTATCCAAAGTCAAGAGCGGCGCATTCGGTGACTTTCAAACGGGAGAGCTATCCAAAGTCGTCAACACCGATATCATCAACGACATCACCGTTCGCAGCTGGATGGCCAAAGCCCCGGACCGCAAATCGACCTTGGTTTTCTGCGTCGACCTGGCACACGTCTCAGGCCTGACACGGAAATTCCGCGAGCACGGGTTTGACGCTAGATACGTCACCGGCGACACGCCAAAGGTCGAGAGAAGCGCCATTCTCGAGTCCTTCAAGAAGCGCGAGTTCCCCGTGCTCGTCAACTGCGGCGTCTTCACCGAGGGCACCGATATCCCCAACATCGACTGCATCGTGCTGGGTAGGCCGACGAGATCGCGCAACTTGCTGGTGCAGATGATTGGGAGAGGCATGAGGCTGCATCCGGACAAGAAGAACTGCCACATCATCGACATGGTCTCTAGTCTTGAGACGGGCATCGTCACGACGCCAACACTGTTCGGCCTCGATCCGAATGAATTGGTCGAAAAGGCCTCAGTCGATGACATGAGAAAAATCAAGGACCAAAAGGCAGCAGAGGCGGAACAGCAACAGGAGAGCTCGGGCGCCAATCCAACCTCTTCTCCAGCAGTGACCTTTACCGATTACTCCTCCGTCCTGGATCTCATCGCCGACACCTCTGGCGAGAGACACATCCGCGCCATCAGCCAGTACGCATGGGTCCAAGTCGGCCCGGAGCGCTTCGTCCTCTCCGCCCCGAGCGGATCCTACATCCGCATCGAGAGGCTCGCCGAGCAAAAGGGCGCCTCGGAACCCACCTACCACGCGCTCGAGATCCGCGCCCTCCCCACCGGCATAGCAAAGTCCCCCTATGCCGCTCCGCGCGAGATCCTCAAGGCCGCGACGTTCAACGACGCGGTCCACGGCGCCGACAGCTACGCCGCCAGCGCATTCCCCCACACTTTCATCCACCGGCACCAGTCCTGGCGAAGACTACCCCCGACGCAGGGCCAGGTGGACTACATCAACAAGCTCCGCGGGAAGAGCAAGCCCCTGACCACGGGGGAGCTGACAAAGGGCAAGGCGGCCGACATGATCACGAAGCTGAAGCACGGGGCTCGCGGCCAGTTTGCGAGGATGGAGGCGGAGCAGCGGAGGCGGGAGAAGACGAGATATACCCTTGAGACGAGGCAGGACAGGGAATACGTCAGGGTCGGGCCGCTGTCGGCTTGATCTCCTCGCGGTCGACTTTTGTTATTGAAATATTGCATTTTCTGGAGTTCAATGGGTGTTTGGGAAGAGATTATGGGACATGTATGATGTACACACTATATGAATATGGATGAGTTGTAAGATGGGTGCTTATGGAAAACAAGATACTCCCAATATATATATAAAACGCAAATGCTAAAAGATTTTCGACCTACGAGCCTACTTCAATATATCGAGTATCAGACAGAAATGATCTATCACGGAGCAAGGCATATCAGAAATTATCGAAGCGAGATATCACAGCAAAAGGAACTCTTTTTTCTTTTTTTCATGAGATCAATAGACACCAAGCTTTCTTCAGTCAGATACTGCGTCAAGATGACCATATGTGTGATTGGGCATAACCGCTTTTGTGCCATGGGTATCATGCGTCTTTCCATTCGACAGATCGTAACCGTACATTGTGTAGAACCAAAGACACTTTTTTGTGCCCCCCCTTTCCACAACCAAAAAAATCAATGTTTAAATAGGGGGCCACCAGGCATCTCATCTTGGAACAAAGAGAGATTTGGTGGCCCCCTCCATGTGAAAGTAAATGCACACACGCACACACACACCACTCTTCGTCCACCGCGTGTGTTGACACCTGCCTCTCCAACAACATCGACTCTCTCTCATCGATGTGACTCCACCATGAATCAAAATCATCAATCTTGCAAACTAAATTCTTCAGCTCCAGCGCGTAGGGGTATTTTCTTCGCAATTTTTATCTTCGACGTCTTGGACGTTCAAATGGGTATAAAAGGTGAATGCCAGTCATCAAGATTGACATTTCGAAATTCAACAAGCGAGAAATGACTCATAAACAGACGACGATCAACGGCAAAAGAAAGAGTGAGAAAAAGCGAAACACACAAAGACGGGAACACGAAACGAAGACAAGAACAGAAAACAAGTGCAACAAGCAAAAATGAGGAACGCGCCAACATCTCCGGCGAATCAAAGCCTGGATATGATGCAATTTTGGACGCTCCGGGGTATATCCAGCCGGGGGGTATTCGCATGTAATGGGTCTAATTCGGCAAAGTCTAACGGAAAGGCCCAATGGGGGCGGGGTATCCTGAATTCATAGAGTGTGAAGTAGAAGGTCTCCCGCTATCACCAGACGCGCGGGTAGTGTGACGTGAAGCGATGATGTCTTTTGGAAGGGGGATGGTTAACTTGCTTTCGAAGTGGTGGTTGCTGATGGGACGGGCCCAGGGGTTCTCGTCGTCAGCAAGGTTCACGCCACTGTCGTTCCAAGGGTTTCGGTCGGCGTTGAAGCTGCGAGTGGACTCGATTGAGATGAGTGACGATTTGGAGACGTTGGCAGAGCCCTTGAAGAAGCTGCCCGCGGCAGAGTGTGAGCTGTTCTTTCTGCGGTCCAGGAACGAAGAGATGGACGTCATGCTTCCGGGTTTCCTGAGTCGATCAAGGATGCTGCTGCGTTCTCGGGCAATGTCCGCATTGAAGGCATTCTTGATGGGGGAGTCGCTAGCCGCCGAAGCGGGTGCGTGCTGGAGCAGTTTCGAATCAAAGTACTGAAGCGTATCCTCAAACGAATCCGACTTGGGACGGGGAATGGAGCCCTTCACGATATCAGCTTCGACATTGGCGGTGGCAAACTGCGCAAGCAAAAAGTCAATCGCGTCTCGGAGACCTCCAGCATTGTTGCGCGTGAAGCCCCAGACGAGAGTAGCAGTGGGAGAACCGTCTTCAGTAGTCTCATCAGGGTTCTGATGAACGGTCACCTCCACCTCGTACTGACTCTTCAGCTTGGGGACAAGATCATGCGCAAACTCGGGAGACTCCAGAAACTTGACCAACTTTGGGCCACGAGCAAGCACCAGCTCATGTTTATCTGGGACCATGCCGAGAAACTCGTCAACGCAGTGAGGCACCTGCCACTGTGGGCCAGTGACAGTGACTTCGTCACTCGCTTGCTCAGTGCTAGGAAAGTTGATTTTGCAGTTGTACTTTTGCTCAAGCTCGTCAATTTCCGAGAGACGAGCAATCAGTTCGCGATGGTACAACCGATCAACGCTAACAATCTGAGAGGTATACTCAGAATCCTATTGTAGGATACGTGTTAGTCAAAATCGTCCTGCTGAGAATTGCCCAGATTACTTACAGCTCGATCGACCATTTCAAGAATCTCGTTCTTGACAGCATCGAGATTTTGGGCATTACGTGCCGGAGTACGGCAAATAACATTGTCGACTTTGATGTCGTCATCTTCACGCCCCATGCCTCCTGAGTTTTATTGTCAGCAAGATACCGGATAAAAAGAAAAATCATTAGTTTGCTTCTGCTCACCTCTGTCCATAGCGTTGGAAAACTTGACAAAGACGGAATGCTTCTTCATGATACGCTGAATGTGCTGGCCGCCAATGCCAATAATACGCTTGTGGTACTGATCGGGGACATGGAAAGAGATGGATGCTGGCATCTCCTGTTCAACCAAGGTCAGGCCTTGCTTCATGGAATCGTAGGTGGCAGCCATGACGTCAATATTGAAGTTGTACTCGTTGAAACCGTCAAAAATGATCTGAACATTGCCTGACTAAGTGTTAGCTCAAAACTGAAAAGAAGAAAAACTCCGCAACAATGGAGGGGGTGGCGTACTCTGTCCCATGATTTTGTTAATCTTGCCGTTCTTTTTACCACTGACAAACTCCTTGTGCTCATTTGCGAGCTCAATCTTGACACGAATTTGATACTGAGAGAGAGTCGCAAGCTTCAGCTCAGAGATGACTGCCAGGGCAGACTTGACGGAATCATCGGCACCAGTCACGGTAAAAGATGCCTTATCAAAGGACACTTCGGCATCAGAGTGGGCGCAGATATCGGCCAGCATGTTGTTGATTTCTCCGGGGGTGGGGAGATTTCTGGCATCTGGCTGCTGAACGTACCATCCGGCGCCATAGAACTGGCCAGCCAGTGACATGAGCTCCCGGACAGTTCGTTCAACCGGCAGGCCTTCGCTTCCGTGGACTCGGACAGTTGTACGCTGGCATGCCAAAGGGGGGAGCATGATGTAAGTTCCGTTGGCCTCAAGGATCTTACGAACTTTATCCAGGCGGCCCAGTAGGATGTTGTCTAGTTTGGCAGCTGGAATGGTAACGTCTTTGACGAAGAGGCGAATGCGAGAGACTGTCTCGTGAAGCTTCTGCTTGGCCATCTCAATGGCCTGGGGAGATTCTCCGGTGATGTAGATCTCTGCAGGGTCGCGCCGATTCGCACCTTGTGGGCAGTATCGGTACATTTGCGAGAACATGGGAGGGAAATAGATGGCTGTTCCAGTCGACGATTCGATCAGCTTAATGTTTTTGCGGTGTCGTCCACAGACAAGTTGATGAAGAGACAACTCGATCCTCGCCACATCCACCATCCGACCAAGCTAAAAGTCGTGTTAGAATATGCAGCATATAGGATAGAATTCATATGGTAATGGCGGGGAATACTAACCCACGAGTCGATTTGAATGAGCACTCGGGCCTTGGCATGCTCAGACGACAAGATATCACCGTAGATGGCAACTCTCCATCTTTGATCCATTCGCATCTCGGAATCGCCCAGCATTCCGTCCACCATTGGAGTGAGCTTGGGACCCAAGAGAAAGATGTCAACACCACAGTAGGCAGAAATAGAATCTAGAGTCTCGAGGACGGGCTTTTTGAGCACACCAGCACTCAGGTCACAGACCAAGCTGCCCTCGATATCAATTGTGGTGCATCGCTGCATTTGACCATGAGTTAGCACATTGCGGCAATATCAAGATACTCCAGGGTTGGCGTTTGAGCATACCATGGATATGGGGATCTCATTCAAAATGGTCTCTCGGCTCTTGTTGACGAGCTCCGGGGATCCCGTAAGGCAGATAGTGGTAATCTGCTGGTCCTTGCCATTATTGGGAGTGGTGGTAACCACCTGAGCTTCAATAGGCAGAGGTCCGGTGGACAAATCCTTGCAGAGCTTGTGCAGATTTGCCAGGTTCTGGGTATGGGCACGGAGCTCGTAGACGTGGACATCATCCGGAGCGTCCTCGGGGTGCGTCCATCTCAAAACGGCATCGTTGGTAGCGTGCAGAATATCCTCGGTATTGGGACCAACCAGATCGGATGCGAACGGGACGTTGAATGAGTAGTGTATCGTGGCATCGGGAGCCGGAGAAGTAAGAGGAAGGCCAGGTTGGGAAACGTTTTTGCTCAAGCTGTTCATGGGCACACTGGGTCGACCCATGCCAAAGTTTGGGCTCATCCTCTCGGACCAGTGGCGCATATTGGCCAGCTTATTCATGATGGTTGAGGAGGAGAAGGCTGGGAGGGTCGAGTCGAGGCGGATCGCGATCTCGGGACGAGGAGAGGAAATGGCGGCCACGTGTGGAATCAGAAAAGCAAGGGGTATCGATCTGGAGGAGAGAAGAAAAAAAGAAAAGAAAAGAAGCTGAAATGAAGAAGAAGAAAGGAAAGGGAACAAGAGCTGGTGACGGAGGCCCTTTTCCTGGTATCTCGAGAGAGGTTGACAGAGTCAGGTCAGAGGGGAGAGAATGGGTGGATTTGGAGAAGGGTGGAGGAAAAAGGTCTAGCAGAGGGAACGGAAAAGAGGGTACGGAGCGCTGGGCCGTTGAGAGAGGCCGGGTATGTTCCAATGGCGATAATACCTGGCGGGTGTTTACTAAGTCAGGCGAGCTTAGTGAGGATACTACTGGTAGTGTGGGATTTTGGGGGGCCTGGACCGTTGCAGGGCAAGTACCGACGTCAGTTGGTACCTGTTGTGGTGGTAGTGGTACTGTCCAGTACTGTAGGTACTTTGCAAGCCTGGGCCTTGAAGTTGAAGCGAAAAGAAGAGAAAAGAAAAAGAACATGGCAAAACGACAACGACAACGACAACGACAAGACACATGAATCAATTACATCTGTTTCGCACCACAGATTAAAATAGCACTGATCAATTCATTAAACTATGTCACGTATATATTGAACCTAACCTTCCCCCCCCCCAAAAAGGCACTGTACCGACAGGGACCTGCCACTGCACAGCCAGGCTGAGCGAGTCCCCTCGTAGGGATTGCGTACCTCCATTACCGCTACCGCTAGACAAAGTAGAGGCCTTTTTTTCAAAGTCGGAGGGCTCCCAAGCCCCCCTTCCACCTTGTTCCAAGCCGAGTCCCATGTCTGCGGCCAAAGCAAGGAACCGAATCGTACAGCGTGATTGATGCGAGCACAAAACGAGGAATCCAATGGAACCCTCCCTGAATCCATGATCCATGATACTGTACGGACCACGCAGCACACACACACAGCAGCAGCGCCGGGATATCATGGCCTTACAGCATTAGGGACGCTGCACTAATGTACATGTGTGCTGCACTGGCACCACACGGACGGACAGGCTGATGCAGTGAGAAGGGACCAGGTTCCGACATGTACTGAGTATAAGCGCATTGTGCAGGGACACTCATGCTATTACAGCTTTGTATGTTGTATTGTACTCGTACAGCCTGGAATCCCCTCCATTCGTTCGGCAAACCAAAGCACCAAGACGGGAGCACAGCAGAAGAACCGGTCCGTACGACTCAAGTGCTGTGCTGTGCTGTGCTCGTCCTTGTACACTCTCAACCGGCAAGGTACATGGATGTACATTAGCTTACTTGGACTCGGACTGAGAACCGGACGCACAGGCTCAAGGACAATGACAGGCCGCTATGACTCTCTGGGCACAAGGTACTTATGTACCTGTACAGGCCAGCAGCACGCATGGAAAGCCTCACGCTGGCTTAGCGCATCCATGATGCAAGTCTCAGCGGTACATACAGCAGATACTTGTCGTGCAACTGCGTTCCCAGCCAATAAGCCCAGGCCAACCCGGCGGTGGGACTCAGCGCCAGGTACGAGTACGCCAGCAGCAACCAGGATCTGCACTCGGGCTCAAGTACCGTGACTGCGGCCAGCGCATCCGCAGGTACTCCGACTCCGCCCACACTTGACTGACATTTGTGGTGAGACCTTACCTAGTAGCTTAGCTTCTCCAATGCGGTACCGGTACGGAGTACATGTACATTCTGGAGCCGGGCGAGACCACGGAAGAACGCCTCCTGCCCCTTCTGGCCGGAATTGATGGGCGGCAGACGCTTTGACGACGGCGAACGACAAACATGTTGTATCTTGGTACTGAACTCCCAACAGCACAAGACTCTTTGCTTCGGCAGTGCAGGCGGCCAAACTCGCCCAAGTCTCGCACGCAACATGCTTTTCTCCGTTGGAAACGGTTCACGGCATGGCGGCGAGCACTAACTACTCTGGCTGCTAGCAGCACCATGTTAGTGCTAGGTTGGAAGTGTCCAAGTGTCGTAGCACCACCAGCTGCTGCAGACTCGCGGCAACCTTGACCACAAGTCGTGGCCATCACTGGCTGATCCAAAAAAGGCCCCAGAGCACCGCCAATCTCGAGATGGCCAACGAGATGCCGTGGTCAGCAGGATGGCTTCGCTGCGAAACCTTACCTGGCTGTAATGCACCCCTAACCCGTTTGGCACCTGTTTACCTAGTAACTACTGCTAAGCATCATTCGATAGTCTTTGCCTCGAGAGCCTCGGCTCTGCCTCGAGACGACAATACTCGTATGTACCCTGAGAGCACGGTATGTATTTGGTGGAGATGAGGCCGTCTGCCATCTCTCTTTCTCTCTCTCTCTCCTCGTCTCCGTCTCCTTCTCCGTCTCCGTCTCCGTCTCCTTCTCCTTCTTTCAGCTTCTTTTTCTTCTAGCGTTTGCCGTCGCCGTGGAAAGATCAGATGCTCAGCTAGGCGACGCCCACAAACCCACTCACCACTCACAGCATGCCTCGTCTTCCACAAGCCTGTGCTTGCACACAACATGACAAGGCACCAAGGCTCTCGATCCCGGACTCCACTACCGTGTCCACTCCCCTAGCCTGGCCTTTGCTCTCAGTGGCACACGCAACCTTCTGCAGCCCGCCCTCGCCCACCCGGTAGCCACTTTGGATCACCCAGATCATCCATCGCGAGCAGGGGCCATCAGCACCCTTTGCTAAGTCTGGTCTGTCGGTATGTATTGTTGGAGTACAAGTATACTGTACATTAGCACGTCTGTAATTTCAAGTGTTTTTAACGAGTCGCGTCCCTTGCTCGTGCTCTTTCGCCGAGACATCCAAGCGCTGTTGGGTGGTTGGTATTTGTCTCTGCCATCCAAGCTGTAGGATCGACGGCAAGATCTTCAGGTTCAGCGACAATGTAGTGGGCCCCGCTCGAAGAAACAGCAAATCATGACGAGTACAGTACGGCACAAGTATGTGCGAGGGAGGGGCGCGCACCAACTTGCCAACCAAGCTTTTTTTCGCAAACGATACGAGCGCTGATTCATCCAAGCGAGTCGCCGGGCGAACAAGAGGCTCCGAATGCTCTGTTCGCTACAGTACAGTATATCGCCTCTGTCTTCCTGCAAGTACAGCCCCGATGCTCGTTCTCGTATTACGAGTATATCCATCATACGACACGTACAACTATCTGCCATATCGGCACCCCGGGATTTGACATGTTCCGTTCGGTCTTGGATTAGACGAATGAGCCCCCTGGAACCAAAAGTACAAAGCAATTCGAGTGTGGCATGCAGTCAACAGTCTAGGAATCAACAAATCACACCCATGAGGCTCCGGCCCCTTGGCGCTGCCCTTCATCCAGCTGCCAATCACCGCCCTAGGTGCCCAAGCTGGTCGACTATGAGTACAGTACAATCATTCTCTGTACGCCGTGATTTGTGCGAGGACATCTCCTGCTACACCACGACTTGCAAACAGAGATTGGTGCGTCTTTGCTCCTTGCCGATGTCTTTACCCTCGCCTGTATCTGGCCTAGCCCACCGGAATGTGTGCCGTGTCTCAAAATTACCGCCGCCACTGTGAGAAAAAGGCCGCCTGGAAATGCGGGCGTATCTGCGTCAAGCTTGATTGATTGTTTGTTGCACGACAATGCAACCCGCATTTCGCTTTGAGGCACTGCCGTGGCCCAATCGTATAGCCTCATAGTTGATTTAGGCGGCTACCACCTTGCCTTGTCACTTGTCTAATCAACCACACACGGGCCGGCCAAGCATGAGGGTTGTATGCTACGTCAACATCGCTATATCCTTGAGCTGTGACGGGCCCGAGATAAGGCGGCTTGCGTTTTAAAAGGCTGCGTGCTTACCGGGTGCGTGTTGTAGGTTTCATCAGGTCCCAATGCTGCTGGACACACCAGGTATTACTCTTCCAGGCCTCATGAAACATGAGATCCGTCGGCGTTTCCTCCTGTCGCTCAACTCCGCCCTCAGTTCAGCTCACTAAGCTCTGCGCCAGACAGGCCGCCGAAAGCCCGACTCTGGGGCCTCCATTCCATTCCGCGAGTCCGGTACATATGGGTATTCTTTTTTTTTTTTTTTCCTCTCTTTTTTTCCTAAGTGGACGCGATCGCCGTGGACCAGACACAGAGGACTGACATGAAACTACTCGCTGCTACTGATACTGGTACTGGTACCACCAACATCAATCCAAAGCTATCGTGTGGATAAGGCCGCCGCCGTCCAAGACCCAACAAAAGAAAAAGCCGCTCTCAATAGGCCAGTCTGTCCAGTCTCCGCCCGTGCCGTCTGCGAGAATGCGTTTCCCGTCCTATCCGGTGCCCGGAGACTTGTAGCTAGACACGAAACATCACCATCTAGCGCACATCTGCCGAAACAGTAGGGCAGCTTCGTATCCCCACAGAACGCCGCAGCCACGGACGGCGGAGGCGGAGAGAGGGAACTTGAGTTTGGGCTTGTCCAAAGTACGCAGCCACGGACTACTCGATGCCGACGCGGGCCGAGGGGAAAAGCCTTTTTTTTTTCTTTCCCTCCTTTGATGTCATGATCATGGAGAAGACTTGTAAGACCCGTTTGGCAGTTATAAAATCACTCAGCTCGCGACTTGTTTAGCCATCGCCTGGTTTTCTCGGGGGTTTATGGATCCTCAGCTGGGGCCAGCGTGGTGACATGTAGTCTAACTCGTAGTATTAGCCATTGTACAGTACAGTGTATCCCGTAAGCATGGAGTGAGACTATTGCCGTACTTGGCACCCGTACGTGCCTATCCTCTATTAGTGGGACATACATGTCATCTAAAATCCATCTTGTCCTAATCATGTAGTTGATGTTGAATGATCGCCGCATACGACATCTAGAGTTTCCAAGTATAGCTGTTCCCTCCAGAGTCAACACTGCTGAGAAATTGATGTCATCTGCCATGGATGGTAGTTATTCGTTGGCTAATGAAGGTTCCCACCTTGGCATAAAGTGAGTTATGCTGTCTGTGATGTTCGTATGAGTACAAGAGACTGAGTCTTTCCTATGAGCTCTTTAGCTGTAGCAGTCACAACTCCCAAAACTGAAATCCAGTTATGGGTAGAAAAGCAAATGTGACCGTTCACCTAGTTCTTTTTCCAAGTCATTGGCTGCCCTCCAAACTTCTTTTTGGCACAGCAATTATGAAGTGATTTATACGTTTGTTTTAACTGCAACGTATGGTTGCCAGATTGTATTCCATATGCCTTAATAGCTCATTGTACAATGCAGGAGTAAATACCCCGTACTCGCGGCCTCGGTTAGGCCGGTAGATTTTCCTGTCCGCCTTGAAATGAATCAAATATCAACCTCCTATGATATGCCGGTTGCCTGCTGTGCCAATCGCCTGCTGTGCCAATCGCCTGATGCCTGGTCCCTAATCCGTTGTTCCATTTTCCCTTTGTGGTTTTGAAATATAGTCATACAAGAACTTATACAAATGCAAATAAAGCGGCACAATGTAGCCACTCGTTTTCCAATCAACTTCAACTTCTCTCCCGTAGCCACTCCACTGCTCAACGATAAACCTCTCGCCTGACGTCATCCACATACACAATTTCCCGCGATGCTCCGCGAGGCCGCTCAATGAAGGCGATTTCATCCGATCCTCTGGTAGCTCCTCTCTGGGGCTCAAGGTACCGTTCAGGGGGCCGCATGCTGAACTCTCGGTGAACAGTGGGAGCTCGCTGCATGGGGCTACCAGCATACTCTCTGGCATACGGGTGTGGGCCTTCTGTGTGACGACCATCCATGTGGATACCCCCATTGTATTCTCTGCCGGCAGCATCCGGATGTGTGCTGTGCATACGAATGTATGGTGGAATAGGCTCATATCGCGACGGTCGCGGTCGGAAGCCTGCTGGTCGTGAGACGTATTCTGTTGGCCGCTCCTCAATGATTCTGCCGTCATGAGACCTCACAATCTGAATATATCCTCGTTGCTGTAACTGATGTTCACGATACTGACCATCCCTATGGTCGTAAGGATACTCTGGCTCTGATACATATACTCTCCTCACCGGATCGTAGACCGACAGCGGCCTGGCATACACCACATTGCCTTCGTTGTACGGCCCAGTCCCGAGGTTGCTTGATGAAAGTCGAGATGGTACGCGCTCATAAATCACTTCCGGCTCTCCAGATCGGGGCAGGGGAGCAACAGATTGCCGGCTGGAGGGGATCACAGGCTCGACAAACTCCCGCCCGTACGAATCGACCATGACCCGTGTTGGTGGTCGTGGGGGGATTATGAAAGACTCACCCTCTGGGCGTACGCTCGCGCGGGGTCCCTCGAAGGGCTCCCGATAAATGCGCATGGGTTCCCGATACGAGTCATATGCAATGACTTGCGGCACCCCGGCAGGGCCATGAATCTCTCTGGGGGGTGGATGGTGATATGATACCACATCCCGTGGCTGAGGCTGAGGATGACGTACGTAGCTCTCACCCGAGGGAGGATGGCGGACATAGCTCTCACCAGACAAATGACCATCGCTAGGGAAACTTCCGTTGTGATTCGGTTCCCCAACTGGCTCACCCCGAATAGTAGAGCCCGAAGAGGATTGAGGCAGGTATGGCGCGGGGCCGGGTCCTGGGTAAGCTATGGGAGCTTGTTCGCTTGGAAACGCCTGTGACGGCTGCTCGTAAGAAGCATTCGGTGGTGGCTGGGTATATCTCAGCTCAGATTGTCCAGATTCATTACCATGTCCTTGAGACTGTCTCTGGCGTTTGCTGGGTCTGGTGTAGGCTGGAGCTGTCAATGGTGACTGTGAACGAGGCTCAACTTTGATACGCGGCCCGGTCTCAGCCTCTGGCGCTTGCCGGTCGGCCTTTCTCTTCTTCTTTCCCTTCCTCCTCTCTGTATCCCTTGCACCCTGAGATGAGCTGTCGGAGCTGGCAACTGCAGGGGGCGCGTTTCGGAGTGCTGCCACCTGTGCTGATGTACCAAAAGATGAGGCTGACTCGACAACGGGGGTTTGCACGTTGACTACAGTCAGAGGTGCTATCTTTGCTGGCTGAGGAGCAACGGGAATCAAGTCATGGTTCCGAATGACGGGGGGACGTGGCAGTAGAGGCTGATTTGGGTTATACAGGGAATCGTCGTTTTCAGATCCTTGAGACTCCGTTTGCAATACCCGATCTGGTTCTGTACGAGCAGGGCCTTGGGTAACTGGAGGGATTCCATTGTTGGCGAGGATATGAAGGCCAGGAACCCGCACCTTCTCGGGTCTACTCGAGACAACATTCGCCATCGGAGCGTGGGCTTGGGACGAAGGCTGAGAGGAGGGCCCTGCGGCATGGTAACTGTTCGCAGAAGTTGCTTGGTTATTACCGTAGTAGTCTGTGCTTGAACGAAGGCTTGGCTGAGATGGCCTGCGGCCATCTATCACCATGGCATCATCAGTTGAGTGGCGCAAGCGCGAAGTCAGATTAGACTCGGGCGTGTCATGCTTTGAGGAGTAAAAGGTGTTATCGTCAAAAGAATCACTTGCAGTTTCATGATTAGCAATCGAGCCTCCATTGGCGGAAAAGGGTATAGTAGTAGCTTGAACAAGAGTCAGAGCCTTTGCGAGTACATCGGACAGATCAAATTCAATGACGGGTTCTGCTTGCACTTGCTTTGAGACTCGACGCTGTTCGATGTCGTCTCTGAGAGACCGCTCTATTCTTTGCCTGTGCAGCTGGATTTCAGCCCTGACAAGCTCGTCAGATTTCTCAAGAAGAATGGGATTGATCTCTGTCGCCCTAGTTGCAAATGGCTTATGGTGTTGAGAATCAGTTGCAGCAGCGCTAGCCTCAGGTACAGGCTGCAGCAAGCTAGGGTTCTGACTCTGAATGCTTCCAGCAAGCTGCTGTAGAGATTCAGGCCTTGTGTCTACTTCGCCAGGCTCTGAAGGCGTTCTCGCATTGTTGAGGCTGGGGTGGGACAAGGCCGTGAGGCCGGGTGGGAGCTTGATGGTTGGGTGGGTTCCCGCGAGAATGGCATCGCGAAACCGCACAATCTTTTCGTATTCTTCAATCTCTTTCGCTTCTTTCTTTGTCAACTTGGCTGATGCAGATGCGTTTGCACGGGTAGGGGCGGCCACGCCGCTGTCTCCCGGACCCATAGCAAACAAGTGCTCTCTAAAGTTAGCAATGTTTGGATTGCCGCGTAAACAAAGGGCAGTGGGAAACGCGAGGGGATCGCGCGTGGCGTTCAAGGGCGGCTCTTGTATGAAGCTACAAGGGCTCTTCCTCAGAATATACAGTCAGCCGTGCGCTTCTCCTATGCTTCGATCATAGTGGGTGATCGATATGTGCTGATGTCTGGAGTAACGGCGATGGAATCGAGGCTGGATAGGGAGGATATTTGGGGCGGTTTTGGCCAAATAATTTGGGCGGTGACAGGGTTCGTTGGGCAGAATTTTAGGAGTGGGGCAGTCCAGGTACAAGGTACCTACTAAAATTTGGAGCTCCCCGCTGCCAATTTGAGTGCCGCTCCCTTGTACTTGCTGGGTATTGCGATGAGCCTCAGCTCTCTTTCAAGGGTACCTACCTACCAAGTATTACTGTGCTTGCAGACTTGATACCACGTAATATCACCATTTGTGACAGATGTGTTGCCGAACTGATTGACTGGAAAGCTGTTGGTTAGTAATAATATTAGGAGTACTTAGGACTTATAAAACATTGCCTTTTCTGTTTTTTTGGTGACTTTACGGTGTTGTTATTATGACGTAGAATTAGCCACCGTCCACGATGCATGGTCCGTAAGATGAACCAGGGGTGCCGCGAGTCTGGCTCAAGAGAAGAGCTAAAATCATTCAATACTTGTACGTATTGATGCTAGAGAGTACCTAGATTAGTCTGTGATCGCAGTAAGCATTCGGAATCTTCAGCCATCTCCCATCGGCGAATTATTCAGCGGTCTCAAGCCTAATGTAGCCATTTCCTTGGCGCAAGGCGGCCGAGTTTAGCAGTACTAGCCAGGCTTTAGTACCGGCGAAGAGTCATCAAGCCTCAATTAGCATTTTGGCCCAGATCTATTTCTCTTCACCACATTCTGAGCCGGATGCGTTTATACAGGCTACCCATCTCCCTTGCAGTTCAGCCCGCCATTCATATCCGCCCCTCATTTTGCAGGAAGAATATCGGCTTTCTTTCACAAACGTTTCCTGGTACCGCCTCGCGAGCATTTCACCGATCTGCGGCCTCTTCATTTCTCACTAAGATGACTGTTCCCAATGGCACCAACCCGGGGAAACCGGTTCTGTTCTTGTTAGTGAATCTTAAAAATGATGAATACTATGAACAAGGATTCTGACGACATTCAAGCGACATTGACAACTGTCTCTACCCAAGGAGTAAGGAGCAAAAGGCACAATATGACTCACGGCTCAACCATGGTCTAACTGAGCGACAGGCAGCAAAGTACAAGATCTCATGGCAGAGCTGATTGACAAGTACTTTCAAGAGCATCTCAACTTGGCTTGGGACGATGCTGTCAAACTGCACAAGGAGTACTACACCAACTATGGTCTGGCCATCGAAGGACTAGTCCGTCACCACCAGATCGACCCTCTGGAGTACAACACAAAGGTCGACGATGCACTGCCCCTGGAGGGAATCATCAAGCCCAATCCAGAGCTGCGTCAGTTGCTCGAGGATATCGACAGGAGCAAGGTGACTGTATGGCTTCTCACGAATGCCTATGTCACTCACGGCAAACGAGTCGTCAAGTTGCTCGGCATTGACGACCTCTTTGAGGGCCTTACGTTCTGCGACTATGCCGAAATCCCCTTGGTCTGCAAGCCCCACGAAAACATGTACAGGAAAGCCATGAAGCACGCCGGAGTGGAACGAATGGAAGATTGTTATTTCGTTGGTAAGGCTGTCCTTTTTCTTCTTCTTTTATTTATTACCACTTTGTCGAAGCTCCATGAAGAAACTTCACAATCTCTAACATTCAATACAGATGATAGTTTCGCAAACTGCGCCGCTGCAAAGAAGTTGGGCTGGACGGCAGCGCACCTGGTGGAGGAAGATGTCCCGCAGCCAGCAGTCCAGGCATCGCAGTATCAGATCCGCCACTTGCGGGAACTGCGACAGGTCTACCCCCAATTCTTCAAGAGCTCCTAAAAAGCGCACGGCCATTTTAACCATTGGAGGTTATACTCTGGAGATAGATACAGGCGGCGCCAAGAATCACAGTCACTAGAAAAGGAGACATCGTTACAACACATAGACGAATTCAACATACATAGATACCATGCGAATTAGTCGCGTATCATTTTATCCGCAACGTTATACCAATAAACAACTCCCAAGCCTGGACCATTGTAAACTGACCATCAACCAGTCGTAACCTAATAGGTATCCTTAACGCCTCGCTACCAACCAAAAGAAAGCATGCAACTCGGGGTTCACGGCCGCCGTACGGTGCGTATGATGGAGTCGAGCTGTTTCAATATGTGATCTCTCTCTTTCAGAGCTTCCACCCGCTGTGCCTCGGCCGTTTTTAAGTCTTCCTCGAGGTCTTTGATGTGTCGTTCCTGGTCTTGTTCGCTGTTGTCGAGACCGGGCAGCGTGGAGATGAGCACCTCGATTTGCTGCTCTTTAACAATCAGGTCTCGCGCCAGCTCGACCAGGCCGGCTCGGAAATCTTGGGGAGGGAGTGCGTCCACTATAGAAACCATCAGCGCGTGCTCGCATGAACCAACCACCGGGCAGCTCTTCGCAGGTATTCGTACCTTCTTTTGGTACCTGCTCCTTAGGTTCGCGGATCTTGTCCTTGGGACCTAGCGGCTCGAGATCGTGGCGCATATGGACAAAGTGCACAGAAGCAACGAGCTGCTGGGCAAACTAGAGATGCAATTTCCATCAGCAACCAGAGCTCGCAATGGAGAGTCTGCATGCGGTCTTACCTGATCAACTGCATCTTGCAGCTGCGTGAGTCGGTCCCCCATTCTGTAATGCTTCGACAAGAAATACTGTAGCAACCAATGACTGCGAGGCTGATGCGCGATGCGAAGATGTGCCAATAAGGCTGTAGCGCAAGTGGGATGCGAGAGCTAATCGTACTGTGCGCGATACAGTGATAAACCACGGTGCTGCTACCAGCTTCCAAACTGGAGGATAGCGCGGAAACCGGGGAATAAACGATCCGGTCCACCAGTCAGGTGAAAGTGAACACATTGCTATCTGTCCAGTTGAGCACAGTGACCTCAAGATGGCCGACGCCCACAGCGAGTTTCTCATTCGCTTTATAATACGCTCTCCAGGCCGACACATTCGCAGTCGAGCTTCTCCCAAGCCTGTTCCCTGACACTCTTTGTCGCCTTCAGCTTCGACCCAGACTTGCCAATCTCCAATCCTAATTCCCACCAGCGCATCGCATCGCCATGGCCACGCCGCCGCAGCCGCCTCCAGGCGCAATGCCAATGGGCATGCCTATGCCCGGACCTGGCTTCATGGGACAGCCGCCCACGCCCGAGCAGATCCAGCAGATCCAGCGCAAGATTGCTGAAGATGCTGCAAAGGCCGGCATGACTGTGCCCGAATTCATCGAGCACATCAAGCAGCAGCAGTTTGCGCGAATGCGCGCGATGCAAATGCAGCAGGCCGCAGCCCAGCAACAGCAGCAGCAGGGAGGAGGACATGATGGCCACAACCATCCTCATCCTCACCCGCACCCGCACCCGCACCCTCATCAGCAGCAGCAGGGCCAGCCACAGCCCATTACTCCCGGCCCGCCAAACCCCAAGGGACTTGCCGTCGCCAAGTTTCTGCGCAGCCAGGACTTGAAGCCACGTACCTCGATTCTCAACGGCGAGCGCAAGGACATGTTCAAGGGTGAGTGCCGCCGCATTGCGCTCTGTCAAACCTCAATCTCCTGATGAATGCTTACCGAATCAACAGTCAAGCGTGCTCTGCGAGCGCTGCAGTCTCCAGCATATGAAAAGGCTCGAAAGAAGAACCCTCTGCTGCCAGAAATCACCGACCGAGCGTCTCTGGAGAACACCTTTAAGCTGCTGCCCCTCAGCATGCTTGCGCTTAGAGTCACTAAGCTCGAGCCCCAGCCCGGCCCCAACGGCAAGAAGCCCAAGCGCGTCAAGGGCCAGTGGAACGTCAGGATAGAGCAGCAGCAAGAGGCCAGAGACGACATGTACTATGTGTGGCTCTGGGAGGGAAGCCAGGTCAAGCGTCAGCTGTATGCCGCCCTTGCCCTCGTCATCATCTTCGCCGTCGTCCTGTACCCTCTGTGGCCGTTGAAGCTTCGACAAGGAGTGTACTACCTGAGCTGGGGCATGCTGGGTCTTCTTGGTCTCTTCTTTGCCATGGCCATATTCCGTGTCATTCTGTTCTGCATTACGTACTTTGCCGTGCCTCCTGGACTGTGGCTCTACCCCAACCTCTGGGAAGATGTCTCTTTCATGGACAGTTTCCGACCAGTTTGGGCTTGGCATGAGGTAAGACCTTTTTTTTTCTTCTTTTATTCCCCCCTCTCCTTGTATCATTTCTGTGCAAAGCGCTAACAAGCCCTGCTAGACCGAGAAGCCGAAGAAGAAGAAGAAGTCCAAGGCTGTTGCGGCAAACTCTGTCATGGCTGCGGCTACTGGACAAGTCGCACCGACTACTGCAACGACTACGGGTACAGATACGCAAGTTGACGTGGCTCCTCAAGAGCAAAAGGTTTATGAAGCACCCAGAGTGGAGGAGTTGGACGAGTGAAGGGGGAGGGAAAATGTACTTGTACGAAAAGAGCTGTGTGGGCCACTTCTATCCGAGCATAATCAGAGCCTCTGCCGTTTCACACAGCTGCTTGCGATGTTTGATGGAAAGTGGATGACGGAAAAGGGCGAAGAGGATTTCATTGGCAAATTAGAATTATTTCATGATGCTCCATTACGGAGCAGGCGTTATGTATGATCTATGGACAAGGGTTGTTTTTCATTCCACGTTTGACACATTACATTTTCATCCATGCATTAGTTTAAGCAGTCTCGCTACCAGCGGCACGCTCATAGTACCAGATGGCACCGGGCGCCTTGGCGCAAGACGACACGGAGCCGCCGGCAATGTCAGCAGGGACTCGCAGGCCCTGGTTGCGCTGAGGAGAGCCGTAGACGTGGTAGTAGTACCAGACCTCGTTGAGCTGAGTGCCGCCGTTGTCGAGCGATCCCTTGCCGGCCTCGGTCTGGTTGTACTTGGGGCCGCCGCAGCCAAGGAAGGGGATGGCGCCGTATCCGTGGGTCAGGGCAGCCTGGATGTCGGTGAGGGAGTAGGAGGTGGTGTTGGAGGGGCGGATGTTGGCGGCGGAGAGCCAGCCCCAGGTGGGGAGGACCTTGTAGTAGGCGATGACGGTCTCGAAGAACTGGAAGAGGTCGTCGTGCTGGTTGGCCTTGGGGCCGTAGCACTCCTTGTCGAAGGTCGAGAAGCAGGTGGCGTGCTTGGAGAACTCGTGGGCCCAGAGCTCCCAGTTGGGGGCGCCCTGGTTGATCCAGTACTTTTTCATGTAGGCCAGGAGATCCATCTTTCCGTACGGCTCAAAAAGCTGGTCAATGGAAGGACCAGTGTAAGGTGGAACAGGGGTTCCGTCAGGCTTGCCGGTGGTGGTGTTGGGGGCAGGCTTAGGATCATACTGGCGGCTATATTCACACGACGGTTAGGAATACTGCATATAGAGAGCGGTTGGGGGCAATATAGACATACCTGAGATCGCAGTACTGGGTGTAGCTGCCATTGCAGAAGTCTATTTGACATGATCAGATCCAGATCCAGGCTAGCATGGTGAGAAACGGCGGCTTATACATACCAGGCCAGAGACCGTGGATGGTCCAGGTGTAGGGAGGCAGCAGCTGTCCCTCGGCCTCGAGACCGGTGTTGGTGTCCCAGAACTGGGTTTGGAGCTGGGAAATCGACCGAGTTAGCAATTGGGCTCGTAATTGTTGTTGTTTTTGTTTTATTGCAGGCTTGTGCAGGGGGATAATGCAATACATACCACGAGTCCTCCAAAAGTCTCGACGCAGCAAGAGTCCACCTTTTGTTGTTTAGTTGTGTGAATTGCTACAGCTAACAACCTAAGGAACAACTACCTTTTCGGGGACAGCACCCTCGGAGCAGGACAAGACGGGGTCGGCTATCAAGAAAAGTCAGCATGTTATTTAATTGATAGTAAATCATAAGACAATGGAAGACAACATACTCAAGATGCAGGTGTGATTGTCGGGCGTCATGTTGGGGTACAGCCCAGCAGCGGCAAGCTGGGCGCTCGCAAGCACAGCCAAAGTGTTGCGATACATGGTTTCAGATGCTGGTTGATGATTCCTGGAACTGCAATCTTTGATAGACAGACGAGCAAGCAAGCTGGGGAAAGGAAAGAGAAAAAAAAGAAAAAAGAAAAAAGAAAAAAGATCATCCACATCTCAGTCGTACCCCATGGCTTTATAGATGCAAGCAGATTCACCACCCTGGTCCATCTTGGCTACATCCAAGTGCATACAATGATCCTCCACGGCCTTGGGACTTGCAGAAAGCGGGATGCTATACCGACAGTCTCCGGTCCAGCCGCCCTTGACAGTCCTGCACGGGACCCCATGTCAAGCAAGACAGAAGGGCAAAAGAAAAAAAAAAAACTTATACAGTAAGTCAAAATGGTCCTTTTGACATGCCACATCGAGCCAAGGCCCCGAGGAAACCCCCTCCCCCGGTCAAAGAAGGGCGGCGGGGAGGCGATATCATGAGCTTCAGCTTTTGCTCTTTCGGCGCCAGATTGGGACTGGTTCTTGTGGGGGGTGGTTGGGAGGTAACGAATTGTTTGTGCTGTACGAGCACAGTATCTCTTGGGGAGTACGACGTTGGATTTTCGATTTGCATTTTCATGGGTTTGTTGTGGACAGGGATCCCAGGAACCGCGGCGTCCTCCGAAGGTGGGCATTTTCGGAACTTTTGATAGCTCGCCGCCAAAGAGAGAGAGAGAGAGAGAGAGAGGCGTGAGGTAGTACGAACAAGTAAGCTTGTTTTTCTCCGCCTTGTTGCGAGAATTTGCAGGTTTGCTGTTGGTAGAAGAATGAAGAATCCACTTGGAATGGTTGATATAAGTTGAAGGGAATTCATCAGATCTACTATACCTACCTATTCATTACGATAGAGGGTAAGCAAGATGATACCTACCTATGTACCAGCGTTAGTAGTACCTAGGTATGTATCACAGAAGACGACTTTCTTATTTTTTAAGCATACAAATGGCGTCTAAAATAATATTTCAAGCTTAAAAAGAACATCCCCACGCTGCTCAAATTCTATTTTCTCATCGGAATCCCATTTTTTTCTTTTTTCTCTCACCGAGGCTCAGCCGTTGCCAAGTCAATATCTCACCAGCTACGCAATCATCTCGCATTAGCCTATATGCATTTACAAGATGCACCACGCACGTGGCATCAGAATGCGACCTTGGACACTCGCCATTTGCTGGTTTTGGCTCGTCCAATTGCGCTGCGGGCAACACCGCCAGTCCAGTCTCCAGGCATTGACGCTCAATGTGTTATAATCCATTACTCAGTAGCACACCAGGTCACAGCTCAAGAGTCTTGTAGAAAAACGTGCCGTCCTTCAGACCTCCCGCGGGACTCATGCCATATCCCGGAACCTTTCCTAGCTCAGTGTACCCGAGTCTGCTAAAGACTGCTTCTGCCTGGTTGCCGCTCTCCGTATCCAGCAGCTGTGAGATGAAATGTTAGCACAAGGCTCTCTCTCTCCTTCACTTGAACAGGTTCAAAGCTCATTCAATGCAACCTACCAGTAATGTCCGGCCTCGATTCAGGGCCTCAGCCTCCAAGGCGCTCATCAGCGCCCTCGCACCGCCTTTGCCCCGGTGATGCTTGTGGATGAGCAGCTTCTCTACATAGCCTCGGAACGACCCCGTCTCTGAGTATGGCATCCACAGCATGACGACTCCTATGAGCTCTGGTCCTTTGATTCGGCCGCTGGGATCCAGCTCGCTCACCAGGAGCAGCATCAGTCTCCTCCCATCGTTTGTCTCTGCAATTCGCTCCTTCCACCAAGATAGCAGCTTCTCATGTGACAGTGGCAGCAGAAATGTGGCTATTGTGTGGTCGTGGGTGATGCAGGATGCGTGAATCGCTGCCAGGTAAGGAGTGAGATGCGAGTGCAGCGAGATGTCAAACGGGATGACGATACCGGGAGCAGGCATCTTTTTTGAAAAGTAGGTATCAAGAGATCGGGTGATGTGTTAAGAAGGAATGAAGAGAGGGAAAAAGAGGAGGACAAACAGGAACCGTGCCTGTGACTTGAGAACGAGAAATGTGCTGACAGATGGTGATACGAATACGTCTGTGTGTTTCTGCGCAGGCTGACGGAGGGAGTTGCGACGCCCTGTAAATGATGGGCGTTGAGAGTGCAGAAACTTTGCTAACCATTTTGTCAGCTCTAAAGTCCATGCAGTGAAAAAGCTAAATCTCTGCTTCTTTGATTAAAAAGAAATTGCGACGATTTGAGATGTGACACGAGATGAGAGGAACATGGTAATGTAGGTAGTGAGCAGCATGTGAATGGAGGCCTCGAAAGACTCACCCACGTAATACTTGTAATGTGTGATGTCACAGCGTCGTTTCGGCCGTCTTTATACGGGATGCTGGAATTGAACACTGCAAGCCTGGCAGCAGCTTAAAAGAACAAACAAATCGCTGGGCTACTGCATCGAATTCGCTAAAGATGGGATATGTCTCAGTCTCAGTCTCAGTTTCAGTCTCAGAACCCGAATTGGCCTATGAGCGATTTGACGCGTTTCCCCGTTATCGGTCGAACCGGAGGCAATTGATTTTTTGATGCACAAGTGAGTGGCGCCGCGACGAATTTTCGTACCTTGCATGAGATGGTCAGTTGACTAGCCCGCAGTTAGCAGTAGTACCTGTGACGTGTTGCCTGCAGCGCTGCGGCCCCCCTGAATGTTGAGGCGCTAGAGAGCCATGAAGCTTCAATGAGATGCATGTGCCAATTGAACCTGCAGGTCATGAAGCACCAATTCAGTTAATCTTGTATCTATATTACCTGGCCAACCCTTTCCTTTTCACACTTTTAGTCTCAGTCGTCTGACATCTCATTAGGATCCAAGTAACCCAACAGTTTCATGAGAGGAATCTTTATGGACTACTTAGTGTCTATTGTAATATTAGAACATGTTTCTTATTAGGGCAGAAGAAGCAAACAAATCCCAACTGGACACAAACAGAGAGCTGGGACATCTCTCTACCGAAAGTGTCGTTTAATCATGCCTTAATGGAAGCGTCATCTATTATTTTACTTGCTGGTAAAATATGTTTCAACACATTTAATATACGTCAACGAGAGGACCAGACGATCCGTCTCACTAAAATCTAGAGCTATACAACCAAGATGATTCATACACAACCTCTTTCTATGTTGTGTGTGGGAAACATACATCCATCAAATGATCTTTTTCGTTCAAAATGACGTCCATCGCTCCTAAGTTGGCTATCCAATACCCCGTGATCCAAATCAATGGGTAATAGCAGGTACCAGAAAACAAACAGCGATAGTAGCAGATACTAGAAGAACGTTCCATTCAGCGCCGCGTATCTGCAATGCTGTCCTTGCATTAAAACACAAATCGGCAATGATGCTCCGTCCGTGCCAACTGGGGCCCTCCATTGTCTGCTGAACCAACCTCTAGATCAACCGTTGAAGACCTTTCATCTGTGACACCTGATGGATCTGAGGAGCCGAGACACTCTATTACTCACTCTATTACTCCATCAATCCCCACTGGCGGAGAGCCTCTGACCTCGTCCACGCTACCGGAGGACCTCACATTGTCCGCTGGCCAAACCCCTGAACCACTTGCTGACCGTGGCACAGGCTGAGCGTAAATTTACCCCGTACACATGATGTTGATATTGGCGACAAGGGCTTCGACCTCTAAGCTGGGGGCCAGAAAAGAGCCGTATACGAGATTCTATAAACAAAGTCAGCCGAGACATTCCAACCATCTATTCTCCCGGGATCAAAAGAGATGGCCTCTCAAGCATATTATTAACCTACTACTGAATCCACGCGGTGTCACTGTAGGTGACGACTCGCTCTCGATTCTTGTGAACATGTTGATGGCAAAGCTCCACCGTTCTAGCCATGATTGGGCTCGTCGCGATTAACCATGTTAGCCAACCTGGTCGTCCGGCGGGGGCAATGACCTCTGAATCAAGACAGGCTCTTGGAAAAAAAAAGTAGTCGAGGCCAGCGTCATTGTCGAAGCTGAGTAGTCTCTGCAAATGATCAACGCCTGCCGTGGGTGCGTCGTCTTTGGAAGCTCGTCCGAGGAGCCGTTGCTGCTGTTTCTCAGTCATGGTAAGTCCAGAGTAGCGGCCAAGGCCTCCCAAATTTTTATTGATCTCTTTGCTGAAAATATTGTCCATGTTCGTAAAGAAAATGGAGAGGGTTGAGTGCGTAACGGTCCATGTTCGCGAGGGCCAGTCGATGATAGGGGCTGCGCTGTCAGACGTTGCTGATGAGTATTGTGACGGGAGCTTGAGCGCTATCGTGGAGGTTGACTCTGCCATTGAGGCTGATGGGCTGCTCGCTGAAGGAGCTGTATGGTATCAGATTCTATTGTAAGCTATAAGAGGTTCAACTTAGACTGATGCTTGGGAAACCCCATGGTGGTTTTTCGTATAAATTAACGTATCTACACGAGTAAGATGAAATAACATCCATGTATTATAATGTAATGGCCACTGTTTAAAATGCTGATGTGCATCCAAGACCAAACATTGCAACTATATCCAGCATACGTATTTAGGCATATTTAAATAATACAAATATATTTATAGTACTTCACGTGAATCTTATAGATTGTGGAAATCATACCCAACGGGGATGCCTTCCCTGTACGCGCAGATACAGGAGAAAGCTCAACCTTAGACTGACGCCCTTGAAATTGAAGACTTCCGCCTAAAGGCGGATCTCTTGCTTTATGCCTGCTTCTCTTAGAAGGCGAATCAAAACCGACCCGTACGTATACGATGAAAGTCCCATGTATATGCTCTGCACCACAGGCCTAGATTGGACTGGCGGACGCAACTCTATCGCGCAGACTCCGGAATCTCATAGTTACCGTTGTCGTTCGTTCATTCCGTTACACCATTTGTCCACGTTTCTGATTCTAGTAGCGATAGTAGATATTAGAAAAAGTAGCGATAGTAGCAGATAGTAGCAGATAGTAGAAGGGGTAATGATGGTAGCAGATACTAGAAGAACAAGACAAGCCTTTGACATGTTGTCTATATCTCTACCAAAGACGTTCTCGACGTTGGAGTAGAGTATTTTTAAATTGCGAGAATCAAACGCAACGAGGATTCCCTCCCGGTACGCGCTGATGTTTATAGAGTCTTCACGTTCAGACGGGGTTAACCCCTGCTGGGAGGATGTGAAGTTGGCCAGCGTGTCTCCGCCGAAGGAAAAAGAGTTGGTCGCAGCCTCACGACCATGCTTTAGAATGACCGCTCTCCGGCCGGCGTCAAATTGGAGTTCCTCGGTAGAGATGATCATGGGCAATATGTCTGCTGCCGGAAAAGAAATGCTGCCGTCGGGCAAGATCAGTCGAGATCGCAGCGTCCGTCGGAGTGAGACGATTCGCAAAGTCACAGACACCGCCTTCTTGCCAAATACCGTCGACCATTCAGCTTCCCGTCCGGCCAGTTTCACAACCGAGGGGTCGATCTGTCAAACTTTGATCTTGGTCCGACGATAGAAATCCTTCATTCTCTTCCATTCTGTTGGAGGATTCTCTGTTGCAAACGCTTCGGCAAATATGCTGCGAGTCTTGGGGCCGTCGGCGAAGACGTTCTCTCTTTTGAAAGGGTCGTAGTCTTCGCTCCAGAGTCCCTCAAGATCGCTGACCTTGCTAGGCTAAAGTCCTGGCATGCCAACTTTGTTCCATATCAGCCAAAGGGGCGATAAAATGTCCTGGAGATTGCTCATCAGAGGTGTGCTAGCGACTTACACTGGATGTTTCCAATTCAGCAGTGGAAATGTGTGGTTGAAAACACGCTCCAATCGTCTAGCCATATGCGCTTCGTCCACTATCAGTAAACCCAAGCGAATTTCACGCACAGATGGGCATTTGAGCTTGTACTGGAATATGTTGCCATCGGGCTGGACTTTGTCGTTCTCACACAGATAACGGACGAGTCGACCTAGACTATCCGGGTGCTGATCTGAATGATATCAAGGCATTTTCTTCTGATCATTAGTTAACTTGGCCGCAATCATTTTGGAGAGGTCCATCCAATTGCTGTCTGCGTCCGAATCTGACTGGGTGCATTCACTTTCTTCTCCGTTCGATGCTGCCCCCATCTGGCGTTTAGATTTGCGACCCCCTTGGCGTCGCTCGAGGAAAATAAACTTCTTCTCACGGCGATGTAGTCACGGCAACAGTGCGTGTGTTCTGTAAACCGTTAGAGTTACTCTATAGACAGAAGGGTTCAAGCTCACATCCGGATTTGTGGGCGAGAGGATTCGCATTCTCCTTTCAAAATCTGGTTTGTCCAACATGTGTGCTCCATTGACTCGTTTAGACTGTGCTTTTTGAGGCGTAGTAGGAGTAAAATGGTCAGACCTGGGAAGTTGGTCTTTAACTCCCGATGAGTCTGGTGCATTGTGTTGACAGGATTGACAATCAACGTAGGGTAAAAAAGCTTCTCTTTTCCAGTGCCAGCCTCGGTCTTGCGTTAGAGAATTTGAACCTTCCGAGACCCTTCATGTTACTCACGAACACGTCGGCCAGTGTGTCCAATTTGTCGAATATCACGCCCAAGTCTACCCAATGCTAGCTTATAGTCCATAAATAACTCTTTCAAGAGTGTTACAGGAGCTCTAGCAAATGCTTTCCAAGGTGCCGCGGAGCTCACATACCAGCAACTTGGTGTGGCTTAAGCGACTCAGCTTCGAGATCAAGATACAATTTTAGCGTTGGCCATTTTTCAATATCGAAACGGCAACTGATTGATTGGATGTCTGGGTCTTCAGGTAGCGGTTGTCTTTTGAAGATCATTTCGAGCGCATATGCGCGCTTGATTGCCTGATTGAGGGCTTCTTCCTCTTCCGGTCTCTCTGCCAAAGTTGTTGGATTGCCTCGTAAGCAGCACTTGCATCCAAGAAGTCAAGCATTTCCTGCTCATTGAGCAACGTGGTCAAGGTTGTAATTTGGCTCTCGGTGAATGTCTTCAAAACTGAAAATTCCACCAACGCTGCGGTTGTTGCTGTTGTGTCCATCCTAACAGGTAGTAGAAAGGGCAGCGATAGTAGCGATAGTAGCGATACTAGAAGATGTAACGATAAAAGGGATAGTAGAAGACTCTAGAAAAAGTAGCGATAACAGCAGATAGTGTTGGGTAGCGCAGCGTATATCCTGGGTCTTGTCGACAGTAGCTGACGTCTTTATTCCATTGTCTTGGGGCAAACAACAGAATCTGGACAGCTTGAGCCAAAATTGTGGCCACCATATCCATTTCTCCTCCTCCATTTTTGCTCAGCCGAGTCTGTGTGTGCCTTGTGTCTCAATATCGTGTGAAGAAACAACCGATTGCCCAAATTATTTTCGCCTGATTGACCATTTGAATTGTTGTACTGCTTGCTGAAAGATGGACCCCAAATGCCCCATCATACCCTGATCAAGAGTAAGAAAATTGACGAAAATATGAACTCCGTGACCTCAAATTGGTTGAAGCGACCTTGTGAAACTGCTTGCCATGTAAACGTCCTGGTTGACTGCGTGAAACCGTATGTTGTTGATCAACGCCTAAAGGAAAGAAATAATGTGTGTCTATCCAATTGTGCCCGCTGCCAACAGGAAGCGGCAAAACCGTGCATTCGTCATTTTGTTGATGAGCGACTTCGTCTTCTTTTCTTCCAAGTACCCAGCCACCATCTCGTCGGGGCTGATGAGATTCTGTGTTTTATTCTCAACGGATAAAAGGTTGGCACTGAAAGAGCTGGAGAAGGAAATGGCCTCCATAGGACGAGGAGAGATCTTGTCTAGTAATTCCACCTCGTCAGAGATGAGCTCCCTGGTTGTGCCATTGTTGAATGCCGAGGTCAGGCATAATAATTCTTTGGGAACAACATCGCACACTTCCCACTATTAGCATAAATCAGGCTCGGGAGGGTGTTCTATGGACAATTACCAACTGGCTCCACCAATTCTTTCAATGTTTTCTCGCTCATCCCGCTGTGCCTTGCAAGGACCGTTTGTCCTTTGGGCACGGTATCCCATTTGTGTAGGACTTGGATTCCCACGCGGTGCCCGAGGCCATTCCATTTCGCCAAGTTTGCCTTGATATGGCTTAAGGTAGCTGGCATATTGATTACAACATCGATGACGTTGTAATTAGTAGCCTCTGCAATTTGCAGGCGATCTCATGCTGTCGAAATGTCGGGGATCGTAGGTATTTGATGACTGTGTTTGACCTTGCTTGAGAACAGGTACGAGAATAGAGTCGTCTGTCGGTAGTGGGGGTGATGTCTATTGGTTTGGTAGATTTGGAATAGATCCTTTATTTATAGCAGTAGAAAATTGCCCATGTCAAGTGTGAGAGCTGATCCAGTAATGGATTCTCCGTAGACGGTATACCTGGACCTTATCTCGGCTGATTCGCGCGATCTCGCATCTGCGCCTAATTTGTGACCAATTCACTTATGCGCGGCTACCTACCTGAATCCACACCCACACCAGTGCCGCATACCATCAGCAAGCTAACGGGCAGAGCGAAAGACCTATACAGACAGTTACTCACAGCTTGCGAGCACTAATGGGGAGTAAATACGACCAGGGACATTGGCCTCCATTGTCGCCCTACGTTGTACACGCCATGAACGCATCAGTACATTCTACAACCACATACCCAGCCTTCGAACTTCTGTATGGGAGGAAAGCGGCACACTTTCTGTCGGCGCCGGACGTCACCGGAGGGATTCACGACTACGCCAAGAATCATCAACAGATGCACAAGGACGCATGGGACGCAGTCCAATTGGCCACGGCACGTACGAAGACACAACATGTTACGACCGACGCCACGCCAATCCACCCGACATCGCAGAAGGCGACTTGGTGTATGCCAAGATGTACATACTCACCGTCTGCGTTGGCGCATGGTGCCAGCACCAGTGAATGAAGATGGAAGAATAACATCTGTGTGAAACTATGTTACGGCGCGTTATATTTAGATAGCATTAATTCTTTGAAATAGAGATTTTGTATTCAAAGAGCATCTGCTATGAACTATGTACCAGTCGACAAATTAATGCTACCGCCTGACGACACGTCCTCTTTCCACGCCCATCTCGTACATCGTTGCTCTCTATCAGACCGGTCAAAGACATTGAAATATTTGTGTGCTATCTGGAAAATTGCGATATGGATGATGTGAACATCCTCTTTGCACAGATTGTCTATACCTTAGGAGGTGCCTACTAACCTAGGTACATGCATGTAGCCATAACCATTCTTCGGCACTGTTAAATACACCTGGCAGTAACCAGATGTTATTCCTATAAATCTCCCCACCACCTTGCTTACCATAGTTCGGATATGTCGCCGTTGATACTCCATATAAGCAATCATTCTCCTATTACTGAAGTTTAAATTTATAAGCGAGCTGAGGAAACTTAAAGAATAGTTGTTGCGGTAAATATTAAGACATCCTCTTTTGACTTAATCTCGGCTAGTAAAGTTCTGGATGATAAACAATGCGTTAACGAAGCGTCAGTAACGCAAGGTTGCATTTAAATGTTTGGTGTAGATTATGTTTTCATATCGGTAGTCAATATATTCTGTTACTATTTCAAGGCAGCTTTAATATTTCGCAAAAGCTTTGCTTAGTATATTTAGAGATGCTGCTTTATTATTTCCATAGATAAAGTGCCGTCTAAAAAACTACCAAGTCAGTAGCGTAGGTAAATACTTAGTCTCATTTATGTCTCCTACGTAGACATCTCCTCTCATTACACATATAGTCATCTTTCATCTTCAATGCCAAAATCTACCATCTTAATCGCTAAAAAAAAAAAAAAAATATTATTATTCCTTGACTCCTGGATTCACCTAAAATGAAGCCTCTCCATAATATTCAACAGCTTCCAGCGGAGTTGAGGTGTATAATTTGGTCTGAAGTTGGTTAAACAACAGCTATGCTCAATCGCTTCGGACAGGCCGCCTGAGTAGATCGGACATTCTGACGCTCATTCCAGCCGTAGGCCTTTCTTGCCGTTGTTCGCCATACACGCCCTGTACTTGCGCCAAATTTATTGATATCAAGCGGCTTACTATCACCGTGGAGCCAAACTGCTCCCCGTAATCCTGGCTCAAGTTCCCAGTCTCAATGATTTGCGGCCAAGGACCATCTTGGACAGTCGGAAATTTAGATGATATGCGTGCACAGCCTCTCCGCTATCTTTTGCCCAAACGAAATACTGGAATGAGGGGAATTGATTAATTTTAGTACAGGTATCAGTCCAAAAGACCTACCAGAAGTAGATGGGATGCCGCGTATTGTCAACGTCTAATTGCAAATGAGATTCTGTGTTTTATTCTCAACGGATAAAAGGTTGACACTGAATCAGCCGACGAAGGAAATTGCCTCTCTGTGACGAGGAATCTTGTCTAGCAATTCCACGTCGTCAGAGATGAGATTGTTGAATACCGAGAGCAGGCATAGAGACTCGGGAGTCCTTTGGGTACAACATCGCACACATCCTGTGAGCAGTAAGTCAAGTACTCGTATTATCCGCTTCCCACCATATCCGCAGGTTGAGTACTAACTACCGAGGTAAGCTCAAATAGGCAAATATTGTGAATGGGTCAGGTCAGCGCGTGAGGTCACGTGCCAGTTGAGCTTAGGCCTACCTATGTATGGGGTTTGCGGGTACTTACACATTGCGGTCTTTCCTATCCAGAAAGCGCTTCATCTTGTCGTCCCCACCTCCCAGCCTCTTATCTCATCTTTTCCCTCTCCCTTAATTCACATGGCTACCAGCGATGCATCATGTTCTCAAAGCACTAACATCAACACGCAGCGTTTTTCGCCGGGGTTAGTGAGATGGTTCTTGAGTGATTCCATACGTGGATAGCCGTGCCGCTCCGCTTGATGGCTCTTCTAGTAGAAACTGTTCTCTGCACGCAAGACTGGGAAATTCCGATACCTTCTCATAGCCGAGTCTATCGAAAGGGTCGGGGTCTTGTTGGCCGTGGATGGCGGGCAGCAGCTCATTATCAGCTAAAAGCGACCGCTATCCACCTCCGTGTTGCAATACTATTCTCTAGTGATGCCGTCTTGCGCTGAGTGGCGGGACTTCTTCACTACGCCCTCCAACCTCGTCATAACATTTACTCAATACACTTTACATAAAACTTTCGCTGATTTCTCTCCATCTCCTGCCCAATGCACTGACACATAACGATAGGAATGATAGCAGCGATGATAGCAACAGCCGGGAGCGGATCTCACTCAACGTTCCTCCGCACCGGTTACATCCGACAAAGGATGCCATCAAATTTCGAGCGCTAGACGCCATAGTCATTTGGCAAGATTCTGAGGGCCAAGAGCAGCGTGCTGAACCTGTATCTCTCGACGTAGACTTTGATAATGATGAAAATACTGCGTATTTCCGTCTGCATACCAACATTCGTCTCAGGACTAGGAGACGAGCCTTGTATCTATGCATACCCCCGGAGACTGTCTTATCCATCACATATAAGAATGAGGAGAATATACGGTCACTGGATTTCTCATTAACCCAAAAGCCCGAGTTCATCATCCCTCCAGAACCCCTTGAAAGCAGAAAGACTACCAAAAACTTGGTGGAGAAGTTCACGGCGCTTTCCAGCATGACCCAGTTCACCGTTAAGCTACAAGAGCACAAACCAACACAACCAGATGGCCTCAGTGTGATAAGATCGGCGGATCTCAAGAAGATCGCCTCTATATTCAGGCCCCGTCCCAAAACGGATCGCAAACGTGCTAATATTCAAGGCCTGTATGCTGGCAAACCAGGCCGAATCTTTGATGCAAGCACTACTGCGACGAGTGGTAGTCTTGAAGCAGAGATTCCACCGCCATATCATCTTCCCAAGTCTAGCCAAAGTCGTAGTAAGTATTCTCCATCCCATCTTTCCATGTAGGTATTCTTCCAAGCTTAACTGATTCGTCATTAGAAAAACGCAAGCGCGGGGACTCCAACGTGGATGACAATGAACTCTCTAAAAACCACGATGCTACACTACTTGAGAAACGTCTAGAAAGAATAGAGTGCTCTCTTTCAACCGTGGTTGAAATGGTTGGGATTTTAATACGATCGACACAAGATAACGATGATAGATATCGCCAGCTTGAATCTGAAGAGAAAGAGGTTCTATTCCAAGACGTCCGTGATCAGGTCAATAACACTCTTGACGAGCGTGTGGACGATTTGCTGGTTGAATGCGAGGGCAAAGTCAGAGAATGCGAACATGAACTAGACCAGATTCTGGACGAAAAACGCGACAAGGTAAAAGAGGCTTATGAAAAACAGCTCAAGAGGTTGGATGAAATAGCAAGTGACCATCAAGACCAAGTGATAGCAAATACGCGGGAAATGATTGCGGAATCTGTAAACGAGCAAATCCAAGGTGCACAATTGCGACTTGAAGGCCCCGTATCTTTGTATTTTTAGGAACTCTATACGAAGTACGATGTGCTTAGTTGTCTATGTTGTAATCCGTCATGAACTAATATATATATCTCGGCTTATTGTTCCAACAGCTGAAACTCTTGCCATGGGCGGCGCTAAGCATCTGGATATTATCACAGAAAGCGTTAACGAAGGCTGGAATAACTCGATTCCCTTGATAGGGGCTCAGCCCCAGCCGGATTTCTCTCTTGGCTTTAACCGGTAGGCGTTTAGTAAGGGGCAGTTGGCTAAGGTCTCACCATTCATTGGTGACTTCTTGACTGATGATCAATCCTTCTTCATGGCTACATACTATATGTACTTCCCATTCTTAACCTGTGAGGTGAAGTGCGAGACTACAGCACTAGATGTGGCAGATCGCCAGAACGCCCACAGTATGACCTTTGCAGTACGGGGTGTCACTGAGCTCTTTCGTGCTCTAAAGCGAGAAAGCGAGGTCCATCGGCAGATTTTAGCCTACTCTTTCTCACACGATCACCAGTCTGTACGAATTTACGGCCACTATCCAGTGATTGACGGTGACGATACCAAGTACTCTCGTCATCCAATCCGTGTGTTTGACTTTACAGATTTAGATGGTAGGGAAAAGTGGGCGTCATACCAGTTCGCAAAGAACGTATATGACTTGTGGATGCCGTCACATTTCAAGAAGATATGTTCTGCTATTGACCAGCTGCCCGATGAGCTGGACTTGGATGGCCCACCGTTTCTAGCCACCGGGCTGTCAAAGAGCCTGAAAAGTCACCATCTCATGCAGTCAGATGCCAAGGATGTTTCGCTCCCGGCCGAACGAGTCACCCATTCAGAAATCGAGCAGGAGACTGTTGCTCCCAGACCATCATTTACAGACCAGGGGGCAGCCAAGAAGAGGAAGGGTTGGGAGTAATGCCAATGCTAATGGATTAATTTCAGTACATGTGTTGAGGTGCCAGTCCAAAATACCTACTAGAAGTAGTTGTGGTACCTCATATTGTCAAAATCTAATGACAAACAAGGTCGACATAGACAAACGGCGACTTTTCTATAATTCTGCATTGGTTTACAATTTATACTTTATGTATAGTACTAATATATCCTGTATTTCTATAATATATGCTCTCAAACAGCAGGGATAATATTTTCTGGGATATAAATTATTTATCAGGAGCAGGATATATATTAAACAATTGTTAGTTACTATAACTACCTCCTGATACCACCGATAGCACCTAATAGGTATGCCTAGTAGGCAGATTAGTAGGTGCTTTCAAGGTTCTTTGGCTGACCGCTGTGGCAGGCCCTCTTCCACCTTCGTCCCATGCCACGAGTACCTACATTTTCCGTAGGTCAGCTCTTCCACTGCCTCAACCTCAACATCTCCCATTCACCTCAACCTTCATGGGCCCGTTCAGGGCACAATAGTGTTCGTTCAGGCCTAGCGGCCTACATTTCTGCAATTCACCTCATCTTCTACAATCTTGTTTACAATCTTGAAACTGTTCGGCTTGGCACAACGACCTGTTTCCGCAAATTCCCATTTTCCACAACCTCCATGGTCCGGCTCATGACCCAAAACTGTTCTGGCAGGCACAGCGGCCTGCATCATACTAATCCTCTCAACTTCCATAGTCCGGCTCAAGACTTCAAAACTGTTCTGTCAGGCACAGCGGCCTGAAACCAAACTAATCCTCTCAACTTCCATGGTCCAGTTCATGACCCAAAACTGTTCAGTCAGGCATTGCTGCCTGCAAATCAAGACACCAAGGTATGTATCCGTCGACATCATCTGTGCGTTTGTTGCCCGTTGCTATATTTCTTTTTTGTCATTAGCCCTCTTGCACTTTATAGAGGGGACGAGAGATATTCTTTTGCACCATTTCTTCACGCTACCTAGAGTTCAGAACGCTTGAAACTAACCCACGACTTTAGAATACAAAATACAGTCATCAATTTGTCGAGCGAGAAGGAATCTTCCATCGCCTTAGGGACATGCCATGCGTGCTTTAGAGGCAGGCAGTCTGCTCCTGGTATTGGACCACCTTCTATTCTCCATCTCGATCCTCTCATCATTCATATGTTACGTGGCACCGTCTGCCTCTGTTCACAAGACACGAAATGCAACGATCGGCTTCATCGTTGCATATGACAGTACGTTCTGTATCATCCCTGTCAAGTTACCAGAACTGTGAAGCCATCGACAGCGACGCCAACGCCGTTGCAGGTACGACGACAATCTACCAGCTGTTGCTGCATCGCGAATACTGAGCGACGGTACAGCAAAGGATCCCGCCAAGTGTTTCCAGCGCTGTTGGGCAAACTCCCAGAGCAGACTGCTGTTTCACGTACAGATCACTCCGTATTTCTTTTGTTTAAAAGATTGTTGCGCAGGTTTGCTTCTACTCCGTCACTTCTTCATGCCCGGTCGATACTGACGCTGTCGCTCTAGGGACGCTGGCTGGCTATAGTTGAAGCAAACAACCTGAAGTGACGACAACGGTCAAGGATTCGCTACATCCATCCCGACCCCGCATAAGCTCCAGCTCAGATTGTTAGTGGGGTGGTCTCACGCTCCCCAAAGTCTTTGAAAGAGCCCTTCGAAATTTATAGCTCTATAGAGCAGGATTGGGTGCTCTCTCCAAGCTGCTGGCCAATCAGCTCACCAATGCTCTTCACGACACTGTGCCGGGATACTGCTAGTAACTGATCAACTCGCGTCCTGTCTCCTTTTGGACAAAGCAGCAATCAGCACCAGCGGCCTCACAAACCGACGGTCAGTGGCTGTGCGTGCATTGTGCTTCGATCCACTAGAAACGGGGCTCTGTCTGGCTGCCGGCCACTTGTGATACGATGCAGTCCTCTGACGAACACGCGACATGGCTGGGTTGCACCCTGGATTTCTGGCAGCTCCGGGCCACCCCTCATCGACCTCTTTGTCAACCCTGTGCCATCACGCATAAACTCTCAACAGTCATTCGTGATTCCGCCTCCTATTAAAGCAACCTGTACGCTTCATACACCCGTAACTCCTTTTGCGTCCTCTACTCACTCTCCCTCTAGTGCTGTCTGCAAGACCTGTACTGTACTGTACGGCTGGTCTCATCCCCACACACCTCTAAAACAGCTTCCCCTTTGTTGGCACCCGATTCGCCCGGGCTGTCGTAGTCCATAAAGCCGCATCATGGGTCTCTTCGGCAAGGTCGAGGCCTTTTTCGGGGGCGAACAGAATGATGAAAAGCACTCTCATTCGCACTCGGGCTATCAATGCGATGAGCATCACCCTGCGGAGCACGCTGCCAACAGATACCAGTCCTTTGCGGCCCCTTCTTCGGGAAACATCAAGTGGTTCGTCGATGGCTGCTCCTACTTTTGGGCAGTGTCTGAGGCCCTTCAGAGTAAGTTCTGTCCATCTTTGACAAGGTGTCTCATTCAAATGCAATGTCAATAACACCTCTCCGTACAGGGGCGCAGGAGAGCATATACATTCTCGATTGGTGGCTGAGCCCTGAGCTCTACCTACGTCGGCCTCCTTCTCGCAACCAGCAGTATCGCCTTGACGTTATGCTTCAAGCTGCTGCCGAGCGTGGAGTCAAGGTTCATGTCATTGTGTACAAGGAGGTCGAAGCAGCCCTCACGCTTAATTCTGCGGTATGTCACTTGAATCGCCATGTGTCTTCTCACATAACTTTTTAAAATCTTCGCATAACTCATTCGGGATACTTGTAGCACACAAAGCATGCCCTCGAGAAGCTGCACCCTAACATCAGCGTTTTCCGCCATCCTGACCACGCCCCAGCTGGATACGACATCGCTTCGGAGATTGGTAATTCGTTCAAGAATTTGACAAACTTCAACTTGGCAACCATGTCCAAAGACACTCTAAAGGCCATTTATGGTGCGGCAGACGACGTTGTTCTCTACTGGGCCCATCATGAAAAGCTCCTTGTTGTCGACCGCAATCTCGTTTTCATGGGTGGTCTTGATATGTGTATGGCTTCTCTCTGATTCATCCCGCCATTTCAAGAGTATCGAATGGCTAACTATCTCAACATAGGTTTCGGACGATGGGATACCAACTGTGGGTATTGGTGCTGTAATATGGTGGAAGTATCCAGCTAACACAAAAATGCAGCCCATCCAATTGCAGACGCTCACCCTGGAAATGTGGACAACATCATCTTCCCCGGTCAGGACTACAACAATGCTCGAATTTTCGACTTTGCTGATGTTGGCAACTGGGATCAGAATCAGCGTGAGGCTACCCTTCGTTTCTAGAGCCAGAATCTCAAGGCGCTAATCATATGCATAGTTGATCGAACCAAGAGCTCAAGAATGGGCTGGTCAGATGTCGCCTTGTCTATGAACGGTCCGATCGTGTCTGACCTTGTTTCTCACTTTGTCGATAGATGGTGAGAGACAATCCCCAAACTTCTTTACGCCTCCCCTAGCTAACAGGATAAGGAACTTCATGTTCGACGCAAAGTATAACGACAAGGACCCCGGAAAGTATGTAAGACTCAGCATGCCCGGGGATTACGGTTCATCGCAGCGAGGATATGAACAAGAGGGTTCCGAAGAGCAAGAGTACGAAGAGCGAAGCGGCGGCGGCGGTATGCTCAGCCGCTTCACTGACTCTCTCGCTGACGAAATGGGAAACCTTGGTTTTTCTGAAGGTCACCGATCCCATCATTCCCATCGTTCCCATCGTTCTGAATATGATGACGATCGCTCCTACGATCGGCGCTCCGGTCGTGCAGACACTCGCATTCAGCTTACACGAAGGTAAGAGGGAATCTACTAACAATTTGTAAGGATTTAAACTCACTAAAACTTCATTCTAGCTGCTGCAAGTGGTCATCTGGCCACGCTACAGAGCATTCGATCGCAAATGCATACGTCAGTGCTATAACGAACGCCAAGCACTTTGTCTACATCGAGAATCAGGTACATACAACTCCAAGCATTCAAAAGAACTTGCTAGTGTGAAGCAATTGTTGACTGTTCTATCAAGTTTTTCATTACGGCCACGAGCGACGAACAGCTCCCTGTCGCCAACAAGATTGGAGCAGCCATTGTTGACCGCATAGTTCGAGCATATGAGGAGGGCCAGCCGTTCAAGGTGTGGGTATTGATGCCCGCCGTCCCGGCTTTTGCTGGAGACTTGAAGTCCAAGGAAGCCCTCGGAACAAGAGCTATTATGGAATTCCAATACAACTCCATTAGCAGGGGCGGACACAGCATTATTCAGAAGCTTGTTGCCGCCGGTATCGATAACCCTAGGGAGTACATTGGCTTCTATAACCTTCGAAACTATGATCGTATCAACACATCCAGCACTCTGCAGCAGGCGGAATACCGCTCCGGCGTCTCGTATGAGGACGCGCGAAGATCCCACGACGACTATGTCAACGAGGAGCGTTACGGCCGTGATGAAGGTCGCTACGGCCGTGATGAAGGTCGCTACGGCCGTGATGAAGATAGCTACGGCCGTGATGATCGTTACGGTCGTGATGAAGGTCGCTATGGCCGTGATGAAGATCGCTACGGCAGAGGTGATGAGGACCGCTATGGCCGTGAGGAGCGTTACGGCCGTGATGAAGGTCGCTACGGTCGTGATGAAGATAACTACGGTCGTGATGATCGTTACGGTCGTGACGAGGATCGCTACGGTAGAGGTGATGAGGATCGCTACGGCAGAGGTGATGAGGATCGCTATGACCGACGTGACGAGGATCGCTACGGTCGGGGCAATGAGGATTCCTACGGTAGGTATCAACGCCAAGCCCAGTCCGTCCAGGACGACACTCTGGATACAGTGAGCTCTGCATACATGAAACACGGCCCCAACATTGCCGAAATCTCATGGAACGGCGCGCCCCAAGACGAGTTCAACGCCTTTGTCAGCGAGCAGCTCTATATCCATACAAAACTCCTCATTGCTGATGACCGCCTCGTCATCTGCGGCTCCGCCAACTTGAACGACCGCTCGCAGCTGGGAACCCACGACTCTGAGATTGCAGTGGTGATTGAGGGCCCAACCACTCTCGATTCTTACATGAACGGCGAGCAGTATGCGGCCAGCGAATTTGCCGCCTCTCTCCGCAGACAAATCTTCCGCAAGCATCTCGGCCTGATTCCTGACCAGCGATGGGATCAGCCAACCCAGAACTGGCTGCCGGTTACCGACGCACCCAACGACTACGACTGGGGCTCATCTGCCGACCGGCTTGTGGAGGATCCTCTGAGCCCCGACTTCTTGAATCTGTGGGAAGACGTCGCAAGGACAAACACCGAGGTGTTCAGCCGGGCTTTCCACCCCGTTCCTGATGACCGCGTGCGCACCTGGGAGGACTACGACGAGTTCTTCTCAAAGCACTTCATCATCCCTACCGCCAAGGGAGACGACAAGAAGCCCAAGGATGGAGAGCAGGGCAAGGTTCCCTATGGACACGCTGTTCCCGAAGAGTTCCCCGGCGGCGTGCGGGAGTTGAAGGAGTGGCTGGGCCGCGTTCGTGGAAACCTCGTCAACATGCCTCTTCAGTTCCTCATCGACGTCAAGGATATTGCCGAGGAGGGCCTGACGCTGAATGGCCTCACGGATGAATTGTACACTTAGACTCGATTAACGGTATTGGCCAAGGTTAGCTGCGGGAGGGTCTCATAGCTGCATGAACATCTGATGGGCCATTTACATTACAAAGGTAGTAACGACAAATTTAAAAACCATTAGTTAAAAAAATGATATGTAGAGCAGACAAAGAGCATATGCAAGCACACTGCCAAAACCACAAGACATACACACACATACACAGAGGGAGGGGAAGAGGGAAATGGGAAGCCTGCCTGCCCACGTCCACCAGAGCCACGACGAGTATTGGTGTCTCTCTCATTACCGCAGTCTTCAAAACCAACTGCCCTTCGCCAGAGTCATAAACCAGTGCATGATTTCCTCGCCGCCAGCCCCCTCTCGTCAAGATTCATCAAAAGCTCCGTGTACCCTCTCCTCTTTGACCCTTTTGCCAAACCCATAAACCCCCACCTCCCGATAACTCCAAATAGAAAAAGATAGATTCTGCTGATATCGCCGTGCTTTTTCCGTACATGATTTACGCTCAGTCGGCCTTGGTGTTGCCATTAGAACCACCAAGGAACCCCTCCTTAAAGTCCCTGATGCTGATTGAATCCTCCAGCCGGAAGTGACCGCGTCCACGACGAGAGCGGCCACGCAGCCAGGAGAAGACTCCAAAGGCGATGCTAACGATGCAGCCAAAGGACAGGTAGGGGTGCTCGGTGAAGGAGAGGCGGATATCAAAGAAGACCTTTTCAAAGGAGGAGATGGTGAGCTTGGGCTTGAGGGCCTGTGGGTTATAGACGACCTTGTCTAGAGTCTCCAGGATGGACGTGCGGCTGACAAGAATGTAGTTGCCGGTCACGGTAGTGTCCCAGTACTTTCGGTTCTGCTCGCGTGGGTTGGTTAGTTATCGGTTTTCAAAGTGCAAAGAGGGCCTATACAATAAAAGGGGCGCTTGGGGGCTTACATCTTGGTCGTTGATAATGACTCTTTCTCCATCCTTGACGTCAATGCCGTAGGTGGTCCGGATCCAGCGCTGCCAAGAGACGCCGTCAACCCACGCAAAGGCCACTTCCCTACGTCCAGAGTTGGTCATATCGACATGAATAGCCTTGGCGGCTCGCAGAGCCCGCTGGTCGTCCCGGTCCTCGGCTTCTTCAATCCTCATCTGCTTCGCATCTCGCAGCTTCTTCCTCTCCAGTTGGAACTCTTGGATCTGTCTGTCCATCCACTCGTTGGCTGCGCTCTTCATCTCTCGGAGCGCACCCTGGAAAGATTCCTGATCATCTCGGTTCAAGACACCCAGCACAACAACCTTGTTGTCCATGATCTGGCGCGCGTTTGTTACCAGCAATTCAGGGACTAGGGGGAGCCAGACCGATCTCATCCAGTCCAGAACTTGATTGGTATCTCTCATTGCGTTGGGAGTGAGGGGAGGGAAGTAGGTAGGACGACCCTCTCTCGAGACCATGAACCTCGGCCAAGTAGTGATCTTGAAGCGATCGTACATGGCGGGATCCTTGGTCTTGACAAGCTTGGCATGTCCGATGAGGCTGAGGGGAAGTCTCTCAAGGGCCTTGAAGTCTTCCGATGTAGTAGCGTGATCATAAAAGTAGACAAAAATGACATCTTCCTTCTGCTCGATAGCTTTGAATGATGCCAGATCCACATCGGGAACACCGCTGGCAAGATCGACAGCCTTCTCGGCGTATTGAATAAAGTCGCCAAGTCCTCGGAGGCCCTCGTACTCAGAGCGCTCACCACCCTTGAAGAACAGAATGGTGGGGAATGCTCGAGCACCGACATCCTTGCACAATCGCGACTCCTTGTCACAGTTGACTTCTCCGATGTTGAGCTTGCCCTTCATGGTCTTGGCCAGCTGCTCCCACGTTGGTGCCATGTCTTGGCAATGAGGGCACCAAGGCGCGTAGAACTTGATAAACCAGGGGTCCTGGGTCATTGTCACTAGGCGCTGGAAGTTTTCAGCCGTCAGTGCCACTGACACGCCATCTTCGTTTGGCGTAACGACTGGCTTCTTGGGCTTCTTCTCCAGTTTCTTGCCATCAGCATCCCCCTTGGGTGCTGCCTCCAGCCTCTTCCCGTCGGTTTCGCTCTTGGGTGTTGTCTCCTTGTCATCCTCCCGTTTTGGCTCAGGCTTTGGGCGCTCTTTGTCACCTGGTTGAGGCAATGCAAGAGTCTTGGGTCGAGATCCAGGCTTTGTTTTCTCCAAAGCTTCTTCAACAAGACCTGAGAGGAAGGTCATGTTTTGACCACCAGCCACGCTTTGGACCTCCTTGCCATTCTCATATAGTGTTGTGGTGGGGTATAACTTAACACCATTCTCAACGCAAAGGTCGCTAAAGGCGATGCAATTGACTGCGCCAAATTTGAAATCGTACAAGTCGGTAAAGGTTGCCTCGCCAGCGCCCTCGGCCTTGGACGTATAGTAGAACTCGTATGTTGTCTGGAAAGTCGGAGCGTATTTAATGCAATGGTGGCAGTAAGGACTAGGTACAGGTTACATCTCAGCTCCAATTCGGCGACAGCGATATGAGAGGGTGGACGGCTACCGTACCTGTAATGCTTCACAAGAAACCACTTGCTCTTGCCGACCTCCTTCTTGAAGTTGTCTGGCGTCAGCTCTATTAACGGAGGCACCGCAACAGAGTCGAAATATGTGTTTGCGGGAGCGGTTGGCTCGTCGTCATCTGCCGCTGCCGAAGATCCAAACAGGCCAAAGGCAGCAAGGCCAGAAAGCAGAGTAAAAGGTGTCAGCCGCATGGTGGGCTGACTCTCGAGCGACCTTGAAGGCGCTGGAGGAGGGCGATTATAGACGGGAGGAGAGCAAAGCGATGCTGAGAATCAACGAATTGGGGCTGCGATGTAATCTCGGACAGCTCTGCGAGCAAAAGGGTCGAATTGCGAAGAGCAACGCAATGGGTACGGAGACGATGTTCAGAGCTGATCCATTCGCGAGACTGGACGCTGTCTGGTGACAGAGCAGCCCAAGCGATGCCTGGAGAGCTCGTGTTCAGCGATGATGACCAGGTGGAGGCTCAAGTGCGGGCCCTCGAGGTGGACGATAGAGTAGCCAGGTTGTTACATATACCAGGACTACTAAGCAGTAGCAATACTGGAGGAGTAGATAAAGGGAGATTGGAAATACGGAGCATGAAACGAAGTGGTTGCGTTTGCAAGAAATTAGCGCCACAGTGAGGCGCGTGGTGTGGCTTGACAGCGTCTGTTGATTGGCCCTTGCCAAGCTGCAGGTGCACGGTTGTTGCCTGGTACATGCGACATGTACACCTATCAAGGTACAGCAGGAGCGAAGGGGAGATGCATTGAAACTGCAACCACAACAGTGGCTTCAGACAGCCCTTTTCTTCCCCTTTTCTTCTCATTTTCATCTCATTTTCATCTCACTTCCCTTTTCTTTTTTTCTGTTTTTCATGCATCGTCATCTTCGCATTCGCACAGTTGATTCGATTTTCTCCCTCTGCTACCAAGGAAACAAAGCTTTACTAAATCAATGTCGGTTTTGGCAGTCTTACCCTAGGATCATGGACTCCTCGCGCAAGCGCCAGCTCAATGTTGACGAGGGCGATGAATTCGGAACTCTGGCATCTCTCTCGCGACCCATTAGCCCTCCGCGCAAAAGGTTTCGTCAAGTGAATGTGCAGAAGTCGCCATGGCAGCTCACTCGAATTCGAGATGTCCCAGAAGAATTGAATAAGGATACAGTTGCTCTAGGGGATATCCTAGGCGATCCTTCCATCACCGAGTGCTGGCAGTTCAACTATCTCCACGACATTCCCTTCGTGATGAATGCCTTTGACAAGAACGTCAGAGATTCAGTTCAATTGCACGTGGTTCACGGATTCTGGAAAAGAAACGATTTGAACCGTGTTATACTTTCGGTAAGTGGTCATCTTCTCCATTGGTTGTAGATGTACACTTGGCAGGGTGCCCATTTTCTTCGCTTTTCTATTCTTCTTATTTCTGTCCGTCTCTGGAAGCAATATATGATGGAAATGAAGCTGAGATTGTCTTGCGTCCTTGCTTTGATATAGGAGCATGCATTGCAACATCCCAACGTACATCTGCACTGCGCGCCCATGCCCGAGATGTTTGGAACGCACCACTCCAAGATGATGATACTATTTCACTCTGATAACACCGCACAAATCGTGATTCACACAGCAAACATGATCCCAAAAGACTGGACCAACATGACCAACGCGGTCTGGAGATCTCCCAAGCTGCCGTGGAGATGGGAGCTAGATCCCAGACTACAGCAAGCACAGCAAGCTCCCTTTGGTAGCGGGATAAGGTTCAAGGCAGATTTGTTGGCCTACTTGATGCAATATGACTCCCATAGAGTTACTTGCAAACAGCTTGTAGATCGTCTCGTCAATTTCGACTTTTCCAGCATACGGGCAGCCCTGATTGCCAGTGTTCCAGGCAGGTACAACTTGTATGATACGAGTAGCCCTGCCTGGGGCTGGACTGCGTTAAAGAGATGTTTACAAACTGTACCCGTTGAAACCGGAGAGTCGCAAATTGTGGTTCAGATATCTTCCATTGCGACTCTTGGTGCCAAGGACGATTGGCTGCAAAAGATTTTGTTTAACTCGCTAGCCACGTCCCGGAATCAGGATACGAAGAAGCCAGACTTCAAGGTCGTCTTCCCCACGGCGGACGAGATCCGGAATTCATTGGATGGATACGCTTCCGGGCAATCGATTCACACCAAGATTAAATCGGCGCAGCATATCCGGCAGTTGCACTATCTACATCCAATGCTGCATCACTGGGCCAACGACAGTGCAGATGGAGTGGGTGAGTGGTTGCCTTTATCTCTTTCATCTTGGTTTCGCTCCCGGCAAATTAATGACCTTGCTGGTTAAGACGATGAGATGACGGAATAGTTGCCCAAATTTAGAGAGAGCGTCTTTTTGACTAACAGCCATGTATAGGCCTTCTTGAACAGCCGCCTATTAGCGGCGATAGTGGGCGAAACCGTGCGGCCCCGCACATCAAGACATACACCCGCTTCAACCAGAACAATTCGATTGACTGGGCCATGCTAACATCGGCAAACATGTCAAAGCAGGCGTGGGGCGAGGCACCCAGTTCCACCGGGGAAGTTCGAATCGCTTCCTGGGAGGTTGGGGTGTTGGTGTGGCCGGGGCTGCTCTGTGAAAATGGGGTCATGGTGAGCTCGTTCCAGTCAGATACCCCAGACGCATCGCCATTCACAGAAGAACAGAGGCCTCTTATTGGCCTTCGGATACCATACAGCATGCCGCTGCAGGCCTACGGGAAGGGGGAGGTACCTTGGGCTGCCACCGCGGCCCACTCCGAGCCTGATTGGAAGGGCTTCTTGTGGACGTACTCTCCCAGTAATAGTGCCTAGTTGACAAGACGAGAGAGATTTGAAGCTTGGCCGCTGACTCGTGGGATCGCACTGTGATACAGGCGGAGGGCGGCAATTCGGAGGCCGAAGCAGGTGCTGGTGCGATGCGAGTACAGCGAACCCGGAGAGGCTGTTTGCTGGCAGTAGGCGATTTAGGCCATTGTATCACACCTTTGCTTGACGGGTGTTGGGTTCCGATGCTACCTCGCGTATGGAGTACAAGCATGGGCGTCGCCGGCGATAGAAGAGTGGCTGACCGGTGAGGCGGCAAAGAGGGCCAATATTGTTGCACGGAATGGCCACACCTCGTCGCTGTCAGGTTAGGATGGGGTTGTATTTTTAGTTGGGCGATGCCGCACAGACGCCAAGGTGGTGTGGACGATTGAGCGAAGGATGTGATGTGCCGACAAGGATATTGCTGTTTCTGTTTCCCACGAGGCTGCTGGCTGTTGTTTGTATGTACTCGTACATGCAGTATACTTGTACAGCACTCTAGCCAGGGAGATGTTGGTGGCAGGGCGTCTGGCTAAATCCTTCCTGAACATGGGCTGATGATTATTCAATCATCAATATAGCATAGCACAGCACAGAGCAGCAAGCATCATCTATGATATCGGAGTATCAAGTTCGGGGCGCGCCTTTGCTACTAGATGTCTGCATATACGGAGGGAATCCTTGCAAGGCAGCGTGACGTGTGGATTCTAGCGCAAGCCTGCCCAACGGCTTCATTCGTCTCGCCCTCCCGCTCTCCATCCTTTGGCTGCTTTTGGACTCCCAAGACTCCGTAGATCGCACTCAGATTGCATCTGGTTACCGCTGAAGAGCACATGGATATGGACCTAACTTGGCTAGTGCTAATACGCCAGTTGGAGAAGGAGTCTCAGTAGCCCAGCCAAAGCCACAGGCGGGGATTCCCCTCATTCCTCGGCGAACCCAAAGCGGCATCAACATGGCAAAGACAAGGCGCAGATGAAGATGGTGGAGGGGGCAAAAGAGACAGGGCTCCAATCTTTACTCTGTCCGGCGTAGTAGGAACAGCGAGTATAGGCAGTGGCATCGCCTGGAGAAAAACTAGTTTCAGTGGTGAACGGCGGCCTCGACGCCACCAACATCCGCTAAACCGGCCCGAGACAGCGAGGGAAGCTAGAGCCCATGCTGGAGGGGTCAGCGCCATCGGCGGTTCATCCTTGGCGCGCGTGCTGCGACAAAGATTTTTTTTTTTCTTTTTCTTTTCTTGTTTCTTCATGTCTCGTCCCTCGGTTCAGCCGCGCGGGCTGAACGGGTTAATGTCGGCCGGTCTTTTTTTTTTTCTTGCCCACGCTTGATGGCGGAATATGGCGTAAAGGCGAGCACGCGGATTGCACGATGGATGACTTGATTATGTGCTGTGGAAGTACTGCCATGTACTGGTATAGATAAGGTACCTCTCAGTTAGTACCAAGTACAGGTTGTCAAAAGAGATACTCGTCCATTTGCTGAGATGGTTACTCGACGTTAAACTTGGCTTTGCTTGTGCCCCGTATAGACAGAAACACGGAGCGCCATCGGATCGGAGCAAGCACGGGAGTTACTCCGTAACACAGCCAGTTCAGTTTATACATACAGGCATAGTACCTGTAATTAATTAGTATCCATACCTTGGTAACACGGGGAGTTATGCCTCGTGTCTTTTAGCATCATGGCGATGCTACCTGATAGGTCGTATGGAGTACTCGTGCCTTAGCCTACGGAGTAACGTAAGGTACTGTATCCTCTTTGTGCCACCTCCATCTGCTAGTTTTTTATACCTTGCCTGTTGAAGCTGTCCGGAGGTACCTCCTAGTACCAATCCGCAGTAGCCCCAGCATTGCCTCGACTAATAATGTCTTAGCACCTGATACTCGTGCTGCAGCAACTTCCTTGCTCATCTTCATCATCATCTTTTCTCGCCCACTTCTTCCGCGCTCCCCTCCTTCTGTCGACAACCTCTCCGGCCGTCTGCTTCGCCCAAAGGGATTATCGGAAGCCTCGATTTTCTCTCTTCTCGCCCCATTGGTGTCTCGTCCTGCCAGCTGGCGCATGTCGAATTGGAAGAGCGGAACCAGCCGAAGAAGCTTTTCTCTCTGTGACTCCTCGGAGCAATTGGATCGTCTTGCGATTCAACACGAAGACTCGACAAAGTTTCAATCATATTTTCTTTCTTTTTCTTGAAAAGAACGCTGCTTCTGCGTCTTTCCGCTCGAACCCCCCCTCGGGCACACCATCCAGGGACCCCATTCAGATCGAAGAGGAGGAATAAGAGAGAGTTGTTATAAGTCGAAAGCCGAACCGAGACATCAGGCGTTTTCATGGTGGCGTCCCATCGACCTCTCGAGCCCCAACACTTGAGCGAGTAGATCAAACATCTCGAGCTCCCTCTCTCCACGCGAGAGAGACCACTATACCACCATGAGTCCCGCTGCCGGTGGTAACCCCGGGCCGTCTGGCCATGATCCCCTAGCCTTTCCCTCTTCGTTCCGCTCCGGATCTCCTCTTGCGGAGCAAGTGCTGGCTCAAGACATTGCAGAGTGCACCGATGACGATTTCGACCCTGCCGACGACCAGATCGACGCCGAGCATGGCCATCACTTCATGTATCGCCGGCCTAGCGGCGTGGCCTACGGAGCAGCTCGACCTGCTTTCAACAACTCAAGCGGCCTGGAAGAGCCCATCCTGACACCACTAGAGCGGAAGCAATCTCGCGACGCTGAGCGCAGTCTCCTGCGAGATAACCACGTCCTGCCGCCGAAGCATGCCCACAAGAGCCAGTCACTGCCCGCTCGAATGTACCGAAAGATCTTCAGCACCAAAGTCCCTGTCGACGAGTATGAAGAAGAGGAAGAGGATGCGCCGCTGCTCTCCCGTGACAGTGACCACGACTATGGCACACGAACACGCCGACAGCCATCCATCTCTGCGGGCGACGATGATGTGGATGAGCAGTGGGAGGAGGCTATAACATCGGGACGGATTCGCACGACATGGCAGCGTGAGGCCAAGACGGTCTTGTCCTACTGCGGGCCGCTGATTGTGACCTTTTTCCTCCAATACTCGATCAACGTGGCTGGCATCTTTGCCGTTGGCCGCATTGGCACCATAGAGCTGGGAGCTATTTCATGTAAGTCAAACCACTGATTCTCAACGAATCTTCAAAACGGAAGACACCAGAAGGAGAAATGAAACTAACGCTTGAACCCGATGAATTTGATTAGTGGCCAACATGTCGCAAGCCATCTCCTGCTTGGCCCCTTTCCAAGGCTTGGCCACAAGTCTGGATACCCTCTGCGCTCAGGCTTATGGATCCGGCCACAAGCATCTTGTCGGCTTGCAGTGCCAGCGCATGGCATGCTTCCTGCTGACCCTCTCCGTGCCCGTCATCATCCTGTGGCTTTTCGGAGCGGAACCAATCCTGCAGCGGATGGTGCCCAATCCAGAGTCTGCTCGACTTGCCGCTCTCTACCTTCGAGTCATGATCTTTGCGATTCCCGGTGTCATCCTGTTCGAGTGCGGCAAGCGCTTTACACAGTCGCAGGGTCTCTTCCAGGCAACCACATATGTTCTCCTTTTCGCCGCTCCCTTCAATGTCTTCCTCACCTGGTTGCTCGTCTGGAAGCTGGAGTACGGCTTCGTTGGCGCGCCCATTGCCGTGGCCATTACAGAGAACATCTTGCCGGTTCTCCTCTTTTGCTACGTCCGGTTTGTCAACGGCCGCGAATGTTGGGGCGGCTTCAGCAAGCGAGCACTTAACAATTGGTGGGTCATGATCAGACTGGCGCTGCCGGGGATGATCATGGTTGAAGCCGAGTGGCTCGCTTTCGAGATCCTGACGCTATTGGCCAGTCGCTTCGGATCCGAGTATCTTGCCGCCCAGAGCGTTGTGTCGACGATTGCGTCCATCTCGTACCAGATTCCTTTCCCCATGTCGATTGCCGCGTCTACTCGCGTTGCCAACCTGATTGGCGCTGGGCTTGTCGACGCGGCCAGAGTTACTGGCAAAGTGGTACGTTGTTCCCCATAAGAATAAGCAGAGCATAGCAAAGGCAAGCCTTACTGACCTGTATCCCAGACGTTTGTGACGCACTGTATCCTCGGACTCGTCAACTTTTGCCTCTACAGCACTCTTCGATTCCACCTGCCGCTGCTCTTCACGGATGATGAGACGGTTATTTCCATCGTGGCCAGCATTCTGCCTGTTGTCGCCGTCATGCAGGTTTTCGACTGTATGAGCGCCGGCGCGCACGGATTGCTCCGTGGTATCGGCAAGCAGAGCATAGGCGGACCAGTCAACCTAATCTCATACTATGTCGTCTCGCTGCCCATCTCACTCGCATTGGCCTTTGGACTCGGCTGGAAGCTGCAGGGACTATGGGCCGGTGTCAGCGTGGGCCTAATCTTGTATGTCGAATCCTCATTCCATTCAACTCATCCCTAAAGCGATGATGCAGTAGCCAGAGCCTTTTTGACTAACTCGGATGACAGGGTCTCATCGATCGAGTATACTTATCTGCTCAAGACCGACTGGCACCAAGCGGCCCGAGAGGCTGCCGCCAGGAACGCAGCGGGCTAGAAGCCGCGCCGTGGCGTGCGTTTACTCATCCCAGGTCCTCCATTTACGGAACTACAGGCCGTGTCCGACGTATCCAGCAGGGAAGAAAACGACAGTGTATCCGCCGCGTTGACGACTCAGAAGCAGCAGGACAGTAATTTGTTGTGCGAGGAGAGCTTTTGCTTCGCGATCCATAGAATTTGGGAAGCGGCGGAAAGGAAGCGCGTGAATTGAGTCGAGGGCCGTCCGTAGGTGAATTGGTAATAAACAACACAAGTAGCTGTAGGGAAGCCTTGAGGAAAGAGAGCATCTAGATGGTTCCGAATACTTAAGGAGGCGGGTAGCATTCCTCCATGGTTTTTTATAGGGCATGTTTAGGTAGTTACAGGATCACAAAAAGGCTTGCATTGTTTTTGTTAACAAGTTTGAGCATTCATGGTATCTCTCATTCTCCTTTATGTTGGGGACAATAATATTCTACCCTCCCAAAAATAAGTCGCGGGAAGCTGTCCTCCCATTCCTCCCCCCCAATAGGTTTTTTTCTTTTTAACAGTTCACGATTTCATCTGACACGCCGTCCGTGCCGTCCGTTTAAAACTCCAGATAAGATGAAAGATTTCTGAGAGAGAGGAAGAAAACAAAGAGAGAGAAAGAAATTTTGGCAGTTATCCTACTCGAAAAAAAGGCAACGAAGCACGAGGGAAATTGCACATTAAAAAAAAAAAAAAAAAAAGAAAGAAAAAAAGAACCGGTTTAGAATCAATCCTTACTCCAAGCGAGAGCTGGTGGTCTTTTGGTTTAGCTGAGCATGGAATGTGTTCGGATACCCTTGGGGCCGTGTTCACTGTTGAAAAGAAATGGTCAGTTACTGTGACTTCTCCTGAATACATGTAGACATCTGAAAGGCAACTCCTCAAACTGGATAGAAAAAAAATTAAAACTCACTTGTAGTCGACTCTGCTCAGGCTCATTGACTTCTGCGCCTCGATGGCCTGAGCGTCCATGTTGGAGTGCAGACAGAAGGCTATCCTCGCAGCCACTTGGGCGCCCAGGAACATGGCCTCCTCGAAGCCGTTCTTGCTCCACTCGCTCAGATACGTGGGCAGGGCAATGGTCTTGATGCTGGTGGGCGTCTGGCTGTGGAAGTGGTGGCCACTGGCGGGTCCAGCAGCCTCGGACCCGACATTGGGTGTTGAGCCGGTAGCGACTTGGATCGTGTCTCTGCCGGGGATGCCAAAGGTGGCCGCCGTCGTGGCCGCCTGGAGAAGCGGGTTGACACCGCTGCTGGACAGCTGGTGCGGCACTCCGTTGAAGGAGCCGATGGGCGTCTGCGAGCCGGTGCCGGCGGGCGTGGCGACGTTGGACGGCAGCTCCGACGTGAACATGGTGGCCGTGGACGGCGAGATGAGGTGGCGCGCGTTGAGCGTCTGCAGAATGTTGTCCTTGAGGCCGCGCAGCCGCGAGCCGTTGCCGACGAAGACGAGGTTGTCCCAGCAGGCCGGGCGCATGTACATGTCCTCGACGCCCTGGATGGTGCGGTAGATGGTGCTGGCGATGCGGTCGATTTCATTGCGGTCGGCGAAGAGGAAGCGCTCCAGGCCGACTTCGATGTCGCGGCGGATACGCTTGGGCCGGAGCTCAGGGGGTTCGGCATTGTCCGTATCGGCGTTGGTTTGGTCGCCGTTGACGACCTCTGCCGGCTTGGAGTCCACACCATTTTCAGTGCCATTGCCATTGACCTTTGATTCCTCCTCGAACTTAACAAGGGGTTCTGAAGTTGGTACGGCGTCGGTCCCTACAGTGGCGGGGGGCTTAGCCTCCGCATCAACCTCCGATCCTTGTGCCGGCTCTGGTGCTGAATCTGAGGCGGGAACCTCTCCGCCGGTGCTGCTCTCCACGCCCTGCATATGGATAGGCATAGATACGGATTCTGGCGCTGGTGCAGGCGCGGGTGCGGGTGCAGGCGCCGGCACCTCTTTGGGAACCTCCTCCATGACAATCTCTTCGTACGAGAAGGTGTTGCGCATCTTCTTGGAGTTGGGCTGCCGCACGGGTCTTGCTTGAGCTGCCGCCTCAGCCTCCTTCTCCTTGTTGGATTTACGCCCAGGCTTGCCCTTTTCCTTTTCCTTCTCTTTCTTAGCGAGAAATTCCTTGGTCTGGCCGCTGGTGACAATGCTAGCCACATCCAGGACGCCATCTTCATCAACGTTGGTGTCGAGGCCATCGTTATCCTCCATGGTGACATCCGACGGCTCGTTGATCCGCGGTATCTCTGCGGTTGAGTCAGCACCTTGTTCTGTTGTTGTGCCACCTTGGGTTGCTGTGCGCGACTGGGACTGTGATGCGTTGGAGGGAGCCTCGACGGGAAGCTCAACGAGGCCCTTCCGAGTCGGGGCGTAGGGCAGCACCTCGCAGATGCCGCTCTTCTTCAGCTGCTCCGCCATGTCGTGGTTGAAGCCCTTGCTCTGCAGCAGCTGCTGAAGTTTCTGCGTAAAGACCTCTCCTCCGCTAATGTGTCGGTCGGGCTGCGGGCTGCCCAGGTCCATGTGGTTGATGACGCGCCCGTCGTGGATGGCCGTGACGTCGACCTTTTCGTAGCCAATGTCGATGACGGTCATGTTGGGCCACTTGAGGCCGTACTGGGTGGCGATGCCGCTGTGGATCAAGCAGAGCGCAGGCGTCTTTGTCTTCTCGAAGATGTACCGCGCAATGATCTCGCAGTCGGGCCGCGTCCATTGAGGGGATGCCATGAGCATGATGGGAGTGTTGTGATATGTGGTGGTGAGTAGGCCGTGGACGTGATCGAGGAAGGCGAGGAAGGCGTCCATCTGGACGATGCGGCCACCTGCAAAGCATTAGCCCATGGGTTCTCTCTTCAGGCTTATATTCAAACTTCGTCCTCCTCCACCTGCTTCTGACATACCCTCAATTGGCCATACGGCGCCCTTGTCCTCGTCCACATCCTCCACCCACTCCTCCTGCTCCACGCCGTCAATCATCTTGGTGCGCTTGTACGTGTAATACGGCCGCCACTGCTGCGGGTCCTCGTCGTCCCTGAACATCCTCGTGGGGATGCGATGAGCCGGAGGTGACAGCTCGCCACAGCCCAGCTGGGCCATAGTGGTTCTGCTGCCGGGGCAGATGATGAGGATCTGCTCCTCGCGCCATTTCCCCCCACTGGCCATTGCGAACGGGCTGCTGTTGTTGTTGCGGTTGCGGTTGCGGGTGTAATTGCTGCTGCTGCTAGTATTATTATCTGCCCTGCTGGGGTAATTCTGCCGCTGCTGCTGCAAAGAATCGCGCTTCTAGTGGCCGATGCTGTAGCTGAGCGGAGAGCCCGTGCGAATTGCCGCTGCGCCGCTGCCGCTCGTCTTGGTGGGTGTCGAGAGGCGCTGGAGGTGCTGCTGAGAAGCTGTGCGACGACGACGCGATGGTGTTGAAAACGAGCCTTGAGATGCTCTTGGCTCGCGCAAATCATAGCGTTGTGGCGTGGGCGTGAGTGTGGCGCGGCCGCTGATAAGTTTTGTGGCGGTGCGGTCACCACTACGGATGACGTCTTGAGTCTGAGTCTGAGTCTGAGTCCGAGAATCAGATCCAGCTTCGGTGTGTATCTGCTGTTGTTTTCTAGGAGTACTAGAGGTGCTGTGGCCGCAGATTCCAGGGTGTGGGTTTTCCGCTCTGCTTGCTGTAGCATTTACTCCGAGTGCGTTTTGTGAGGTGTCCATTGTCTTTGCCTCTGCCTCCCTCTCTCTTTAATATGCTTCAGGGCATATACGGATGGCAATGGTGAGCGTGAAGCAACAAAGAAATGAAAACAAGAAAAAGCGAGCAGTTGAATTGAAAGAAGGAAAGAGCGAAATGTTTGTTTACAAGTAGGAAAAAAATTGTCAAAGCCTATCTCGGTTCTGTATTTCTCGCTGGCAGCTGCCAGACTGGCCAGCCAGTCTGTTCGACATTTCCACCCTCAGCCAGGCCAGTCACAGCTGCATAGCAGTTCCTCTCTACGGCTTCACACTGCCTCTAACATTCACTTATGTATACGCAGCCTCATAGTCATGTACAGGTATTTGAGAGTCAAAAAGGTTCACTTTCACGTTATCCATGAATAGAGTCCCAGCCATGGTTTTTGAAAGGACAAAGCATGGAAGCCTCTCCCTTCCCTCGATTAGAATTACTAAAAGAGCAGAAACACTGATCCCAAAACTAAAGAGAAAAGAAGAAATATCCGCTGCCGCGTACGCAGTATCCTGTTTGCGACATCATTTGCCTCGTTATTGATGGTTCCCTCTCCCCCCCAGTTGTAATATCATACACCAAAAATGTTTCCCCGTCACTACCTCTGCAACTGCAGCACCCCGTCGTTGCTCCATGCAATCGCAAAAAGGGCATCCTAAATCTATATAAAAAAGCACAATGCCCAAGTCTCCAAACGCCACTGATTTTTCTTCATCAAAAGGTAGTCCCAAGCAAGCGCTTCATTCTCGAAGCCGACAGCGCCGCCCAGATATCTCGGTATGATATAAAGAGCTTTATCCCAGTAAAGATCCGCACGCCAATTATTAGTCGATATCCGTAAATGAGAAAGAACAAAACGAGTAAAGAAATAGTCGAATGAGAGCGCGAAGGGAATATAATAATTTCGTGTATCCGTCCTCTTGGCTGCTGGGTAATGAATGCTGTCTGTTTGTCGTCGTGTCGCGTGTTCGAGTTGTATCGTTGTCTAGTTTGCCACTGTCACTGCTTGCGCAGTTGCGGTGGGTGCAGAGGGAGAATCTTCAACTTCCTTTGCTTCTTGAGTCGTCTTCTTGGGTGTCTCATCAACAATCTTGTCCTCCAGCAGAGAGAATCTCCGCTCAGAAGTGGGAGTGGTGACTGAAGAGCCGTTATCGCTCCACCGGTCCTCGGTCACACCAGTGTAGATGGATGAGGTGTGCTTCTTCTTGTTGGATGCCGCATCCGAGTTGTCGGCCTGCTCATTGTGCGGTTCGCCCAACAGAGCGTCATCCTGCTTGTGTGCCTCCAAGTCGGCCTCATCGCCACTGGACTCGTCGGCGCTGGACACATCCGCCTCCGCAGCCAGGGTCTTGCGCTGGGGCTCCTCTGCGGCATCGCTCTCTTCGCTTTCAGAGCGCTCAGCCTCGTGCTCTTTCTGCTCCGTCGTTGCCACAGCGTCGATCTTGTCGGCGTTGGCTTCATGGCCTTCCACATCGCCATCGCTGCTGAATGTCTGGCTAAGTGGGCTCTGCAGGCTTAGCTCCTCGCCAGCGGCGTCCTTGTTGGCAATGCGAGACATCCTGGCAGGGCTGCGCGTTGGCAGAGGTGGGGGCACTCTCTTGGCGATTGTCACCACATTGCCCCGAGCTTGGATCATGCGAGAGGAGAGGGCCTGTGTGCTAGTTCGCTGCACCGCAGCGACTTCAAAAACCACGGGCTCCTCCTCTTCAATGTCATCGTCCTCATCGGCATCATGCATGTCGTCTTCACTGTCGTCATCGACATCCTCATACAGCCCTTCTTCTTCGCTTGATTCGTCATGGATCATCGCATCTTCTTCACGGCGAAGGCTTTCTGAGAGGGATATGGCATCGCTGTCGCTTAGCTCTGCTTCATCCGCAGAGTCGGGGCCGACAGACACGTCTTTGGAGAGTCTATGTCCGGCATCGCGGACGATGGCGTTTGCCACCTCCACTTCTTCTTCTTCAACCTCCTCCTCCTCTTCCTCGTCTTCTTCTTCATGTTCCTCCTTTCTTGCTCTCTCTACCTCTTCATCCTCTTCATCCTCCTCCTTTACAGATGCAATGTACGCTGGAGAAACCCGCCCGTTGCTGTCGCTAGGACCCGGGCTGGGAGACGTCGCGGGCGTGTTGCCTGTATCAGTCTGAGTACCGGCATCAGTCACCTGGCTCCGGATGGTACGTGTTGACACGTAGCTACCCCGGTTGCTCCTTGATACAAAGGTATCCATGCTCTGCCGGCTAAACTTGGACGCAATAACGGGGCTCATGGGAGCCTGGTTCATGTCGAACAAGCTACTTGTCGGTCGAATGCGAGAGCCAGCCTCACGGATCTCGAGGCCTGCCATTTCCAGCGCCAGGACACCAAAGGGGTCGGGGTCATCCGCTTGGGGGATACCAAACGAGGGGTGAGGAGACGCAGGCATCGACGCTGACTTGGGAGGGCTTGTGGTGATCAAGGCGTCACTCGGAGCCGGCTCTGCAGCGACCCTGTTGATGACGGCGTTGTCGTAGTCAGTCCTTCCCTCGGCCATTTTGAGGACTTCATTCAAAGAAGTCGTCTCTTCGACACCTCGCGCGACATTTCCAGCTAGGATGTCCATATGAGTGATGTCGGTGGAGCCGTAAAAGCGGTCGTTTTCGTTGCTACGCTCGGACAGCATGCACCCATACAGGTTGACTGATTGCTGCTGGCCTCGGGCTTTCATGTATGTCAGCACGGTGTTGCCCAGGTCTCTCCAATTGACCTCGGATTCATCGGAGCCGAGCGAAACGGTCTCTCCCGACCGAAGCTCTACATCTTCGCCGAGAGTCACTCGCGGCCTGGAGACGGATTCGAGCGCAGAAAGACTGCTAATGACTAGAACGCAGTCGTAGACGTCAACTCCAATGATGAAGCTGAGGGTTGGAGTGTGAAGCATAATGCCTGAAGGCGGAGACCAGGTGCCGTCCGACTTTCTGGCAATGAGAATGCCTGAACCACCCGAACCAGTCATCCACAGGCCACTCCGCATGCATGTGAAGACAGCAATGCCGGCGGCATTCTGTATTATTCGTTTGGGGATTTTCTTGGGGATTTGATCCAGCGTCCTGACGCCTGTCGAGGTGGAAGACGGAGACGCCGGCACATCGTCGATAGGGGCGAAATAGCCGTCCACTATGAGAGCTCGGATTAGTATTGAATTCTCAATTTACCCCGTTCTGAAGCAATGAATGGGTGCTCTTGAATATCAAGAGCCTTGCAGCTGAAGAGGGCGCCAACATACCGCAAAAAGACTTGAGGATGCGGGCGGCTTTGTCGCTCTCAAGGTCTAGCGTCGCGGGCCAAAAGGCTTCTCGCTGAACCCGCTTGACCTGCATGTTGGCGGCGTCGGTGTTGATCTTGGACAGGCCATTGGGAGGCGGAGGCTGCGAAGATCTGTTGGGCCATCCAAACATGCTGCCACTACTCCGGGAACCGCCAGAGTTCCTCTTTTCCCATGAGGGCAGGAAAGCAGAAACGCGCTGCATGGCTGCGGTCGAAAGGGGTCGGAGGGGCCTCTGTCGGCCGTTAGGGCAGAAGGGCCGTCACCGCGCCTGGGGGGTTGGAGGAGAGGAGAGGAGAGGACAAGGAAAGCACCGGGAGGAGAGGAGAAAAGGGTGAGGAGAGCATCAGCCAGCGCGGACGTCGACGCTGCCACCAGGAACTGATGAAGCGGCCGGTGTGGAGTTGTTGTAGAGCACGAAGTAGAAGGATGAGAGTTTGCGAGCCGAGCACTTCAAATTCGTCGGCGACGAGGAAGCGGCACTGCCCTTCCTCCAGGTGCTTACAGAGCTCCACTGCAGTCTTTTATCACTAATGGCCGGGCTCAGCGCTGCTGGGGGACGCTGCTGGGGGGGCATCCACTAATGGCCAGCCCAGCCCAGCCCAGCGCCGCACAGCACAAGGCGACGTCCAATTCAGGGCCCGCCCCTGGCTCGCGGGTCAAGATCCGGCTCCAGAGCGTTGTCAACCAGGCTGCTAGCTGCTCTAGCATGTGCGCTATACCGGCCGAGAGACGACATGGAGTGAAAATCCTGCTTAGCGGCAGCGACGGTGGAGGGAAGCTTCGTGAAGGCTGCTCCCCATCCTCAGCGAGTGCGCACAGCGATTGGACCGCCTGGACCGCCTGAACCGCCTGGGCCGGCGCCATGGCCAGGTACAGAGAGAGAGAGCACAGCTATGTCGCTCGACTATAGTGGCTCTACCCACTAACCTAAGGTACAGTACAGCGCTTGTGTGTGTGCCCGAGCTCAAATAAGCTGCCAGCCGTCTTCGTCTTGCATCATGCATCATCCAACGTCTCCCGCCACGATCAGGTACGTCTCAATCTCGGGCGTCGAAATTAATTTCCATTTCCCGTATTCATCGACGTGTTGTTTGTTGTTGTTTCGTGCACGAGCGGCACATACTTGGTGGCATGAAACCCGCTGAGACACCGCGAGTGCGTGCGTTGGTGCACCCGCTCAGCCTTGTCTCGCCTCTTCGGCCGTGTCGCCGTCAATTTCTCGTTCGATGTCGTGCAACGGTGATTGCCTGCCTCCCTGCCATGCCCTCCACGCTGCACTTTTTGCACTTTAGCAGCCAATCACAGCATCCAGCGTCGTCCACATGAACCAGGCTGGGTTGCCTCTGTCTTGATCAGATCAGCAAATTCATCGGGAGCGGGGGATTGTGATTTCCCCTCTTCTACGACGGCTGTGCCTCAATTGGCCTGGGCTGTCACACGCTTCGTATTCATGTTGTCATGGATAAATGAGATTTGATCACCGCCAGAGACACAGCAAGACGGAAATCGCACGCATACATGCTTGGCTGCCGTCAAATCTCCACCCACCATGCCTACAAGGAGATGCAATTGTGTCTGCCTCATACGGGATGATTCACACACAAGCAAGCACGTCCACTCAAGTGAGACCCTCTCTCACCCCCTTGAGAGGTGAAATCCGGATGGATACATGGCTGTTCATCACAGCTCCGGCGCTGCCCTTGCCCATCTCGCCTCGTTTCACGCAAGCAAGCAAGCTCTCAGCATTCCCGCTTCCGACTCTGTCCCAGCCCATGAAAAGGACCAGCCTCCAGCCTCTCTCCTCGTCTCCCGTTTCTTAGGCCCCCCTTCCCCCTGCTTGGCATCAACGATTAGCGCATCTATTCGGGTGATACTGACGTCGCACTGCAGGCAGAGCCGTCCATTTTAAAACCGATCGCCCACCAAGATTGCTACGGAGGCGTGCTAATTGGAATTAATTATGGGACGGGCAATTGAATCAAAGTGTAACATGGGCAAATAGGGCTGCTAGAGGGCGGGAAAAGCATGGCCCTGGATCCATGTTCCTGAGATGCTGCTAACGTTGAGCTTTGTGGGACCCGTCAAAGTCAATAACGCAGGATCCGAGGCTATTCTATTAGTATTGCCCATTGTTTGCGAGGACAATAAGCTGAGAGCATGGCAAACTCAATTCACGCGGCATCGTGCTGTGCCGCCAAAAGCTAGATTGGCAGATATCCCGTACGATTAGATTGATCTGTTACTGCTTTTGAACACGCGCATATTAAGCTGCATTGCGCCAATTGCTCCAGGCAACCAACCGTGGAGGGCCATCTCTCAGAATTTGTGTGACGGTGACACTGTTTTCATTTGCTGCCTTGTTTGCTTCTTCTTCTTCCCGTTCATGCAAAAAGGGGGTGATGAGACACGCGTCTGCATGATGAAGACGACGACGACGAAGAAGAAGCAAATCCCTCCTCATGCAAAGTAATACTACATATGGATACCAGTACTACCAGATCGGATAAAGTTCCGTTGCTGATAGTACCATCTGTATGGTATGTGCTCATATTCTGTATTTTCGTTTATCCCTGTCTATGCGGCTACAAGCGCAAGTATGGTGACGCCAAGGGGCCGGTAATTTGCTCCATACAAGCAAGTAAGCATAACTAGAGTTTCAGCTGAAGGAGACACTGCGCTATCCCCCCAGCCGATTCCCTCAACCTCTCTCACTTCTCATCCTTCGAATTTGTAATAAGAATGCTCCGTCCATGTGATTAGATACTATATAAGTCAATTTCACCGCGGAAACCAGATGTGTGCTAGTTTAGACAACGACAGCATCTCGGCCAGGGAGGTCGTTGCTCTCGTCAGCTTAGTCGTGGCTCCGTAAATGAAGTTGACCATTAGAAGAAGGAAAAAAAAAAAAAATTAGGAAAAAAAGTAAAAAGGGGGAATATCTCAAGGGAGTGGTTACATCTATTCAGCACCCCAACTTGGCCATCTAACACTCAGCGACACCGCCGACTTCAAGTGTCGTAACAAAGTGCAGAGGAGCTGCATTCTATTTACTGCTCGAATAAACCCCGGTTTCTTGACTACCCGCTCCTTCCGCTACTTTGCTGTACCATTGCTATATTCCTCTAGTATCTGCTATTATCGCCAGCCCTAAATTTGAGAGGTGGGATACAGGATGGCCTGTCTCCATCCCAAAGCCTCATTCATCTTGATCTGATGCTAGACACTTTTTTTTTTCTCTCTCCCTTTTCTTTTCCTCTTCCCCGTCAACTAATTTGACTACTATAGTCTTGCTCTTCTTTTGTCTTTTATTCGCTCTTCCAGCTGGCCTCTTTCTTTTACTACCTTCTCCCTTGCTTCCCTAGACTGGTGACTATTCCGGTTAGTGGATGTGACGGTGTTAAAAGTCGCCAGTAATACGAGAAAAAGACGAGATATGACGGAAGAGCATCTAACGCCAAGGTCACGAGCCAAGTTTTAGAAAACCGACATACTCGTATACAAGGCTGAACTGTTGTGGACCGGGCTCTCCCCATTCTGCGGGCGTTTGATGCCCATGTGCGTCTAGAAATATTCCATCAACACACCTACATATATACCCAGTACCTAAATGTATATATATGTATGTGCTTGATCTAGCAATAATATGCAAGAACTGATTCAATGATAACCCATGTCGAATCTTTTGATAGGGTGACTGGATATAACGGTTAATTCGCCATTGTGTGTAGAGATGCAAGGCGTTTTGTGTCATCGAGCCTTTAAATGAATTAGTCCATGTCTCCAACTAGGCTAACATGGCATAGATCTTTCATAGAAAAAAAAAAGCTTGCGAATTTGAATGGACATCATATTACGGCTTAGATCCAGCCATGCGGACAGAGACGGGGCCTCCAGAACGCCGCGACAGATTCCGAAGAGCATATTCGAATCAAAATAGCGCCACGATACAGCCAATGCATGCCAACAAGGTTTCTCATAATTCAAAGGACATGCCACATGGCGGGACCAGATATCAACTGCATTGGACTCAGATATCAACTGTATTGGGCTATATAATCGGGCGTCACTCAATCTCGCCTGAACTTGGTCAACCTTTTTCCTTTACAGCCCCCCCTCGTCGCTATCACATTCACTGGCACAGAAGCGAGAACGCAAAATACTAACAGATTCTAACGTCCTAACGTCCTAAAATCCAAATAGGTTGAGGCACTGTAAATATGAAGCGTCAATCGCTCCAGGCCCTCCGCCACAGCAAGGAAGGGTGTCAAGTACATCCTTAACAGATCGTAGGCAAATTTCACTGCTCTAACCGTTAAAAGAATACATCTCTCCATCCCCAAACTCGACTAATTCTCATCAGCAGTGGGGAGAAAAAACTCAAGTCGTCAACATCTCCATTTCAATCTCAACTACAGAGTACAGCCCCATCTCACGTCACAAAGAGCCGTCATCGCAATAGCATCAATATTCTAGTACCATCTCATTAATATACAATCAGCACCCACCAGCGACACTCTCAACTACGAAACCGGCACAGAAGCTCACACTCATTTACCATCTTTCACAATGTTCAAGTCAGCTCATCCCACCCGTTCCCCAAGAAACAACACATTTCAAATCAAAGACACTTACTCACCCCTTCTCAAATTTGTTTACGAATACAGGGCCTATACCAATCTCTCGCCCAAGACCCGGCTGGGCGTCGGCGTCGCCATCATCGCCTGGGGCTGCGCAGGGCTGTATGTCTCTGATAAAGCCGAGGAGAAGCTTGGATTCACTCCAACCGAGGAGGACAAGGCTGAGCTGCGCAACATGGCGCCCAAAATCACAACCGTGGACAAGAGTCAGAGATGACACGAGAGAGGTGGCAAACTGCAATTTTAAGAGCAAACTCCAGAGATGACACGTTCAAGCTCTCGTTTATACCTAAGCCTGTATTATCAAGCATAAAGCAACATCAAGTACAACATACATGACAACCAGTGTTATGAAAAGCCCAGTCTATTGCCATCACTTGCGTTCTGTCATATCAACTACCTGATAGTACCATTGGGCTATTCTTTTACTAATCTGTACATTTTCGCGTGTTGCCCCCTTTCATCCTCCTCTCCCACCATCCATTCCATCCCTTTTTGTTTTTCACTGCCATCCTTCATACCACCAGGCACGCAGCGCAAAGCGATACTCATTATGTAGCCCAGGCCACGAAATCATGACGGCGTACCAGGAAACTGCCAAAGCCGGCCGGAAACCCCCCCTCTATGTCGGATCGAAGTCTAAAAGAACTCAACTCCACCCCCTCTATCCGTACTGAAATGCAAAGCAGCACAAAGACCACAAAGACGCCACCGATGCCGAGTCCTCATGCATGCGTGGTAAGCCGAATGGCTCGTCGCGCATAAAGTTGCCCCTATCTGCGATCCCGTCGTTTGTGTTGGAAAAAAAGCAAGACACAAGGAAACAATAAGGAAAAAAGAATAAAGACAAAGGAAATTAACAAAAAAAAAAAAAAAAAAAAGACCAAACAAAAAACAATCTCGAAACGCCGTTGGATGCAACCACCCTGCGGTTTTTTTCTTTGGATTTTCTTGACCCCTTATCTTGATTTTTACCCCTGACAAAATGAAAATGAACTGCATCAATTGAAGCAGTATGCGCGGTTCCAACAATCTTCTGCCTCATCAGCATGACTATAAGAATATCTTAGCGTCCAACTGCATATTCTAGAATCCCTGTTATAGCCAGTAAGTATGCATGACACGGGCCCTGGTATTGGCCAGTAGTAATACAGAGCCAGGTTCGGGTGGGGAACCTGGACTAGGATGTTTTTGATCTCCGGGCAAAAGTATCTGAACAAAAGAGAGAAGAATTTTGCTTCTTTCCGTCAATTCTGACATACAGCCACGAGAGAACAATAAAAAAAGGCTAAATGGCGATTCGAGTTGCGCTGGACGTGCCAAGAGTCTTCATATACTCCAATCGGTTGGCGTAGGATCCATCTGGAAGTGCAATAGCTACTCCGCGGGATTAGGCTCGGCCTTGGTTCCGGTCTGTGTCTGTCCGTGATTAGGGGCTGGAAGTAGAGATGGATGGATTGGAGATGGATGCGCACCAGGCTGGAAGACTTGAGACCAGTCAAGACCCGGTTGTTGGTTCGGGTTGGAACCACCGTACATGGGGATACCGTTCTGACCAGGAGGCATACTGTAGTTTGGCATCTGTTGATTGGTCATGGAGCTAGAGACGTCGCCGCCATACTGCTGCGAGGCACCCATTACAGGTCCAGCCATGTTTCTCCGGTCTGCATCACCATCAATTCTACCCATGCTGCTCGATCTGGAGAGCTGGCTCTGATCACCTCCCATACTGTTCATACCATCCTGAACGGAGACAATGCCAAAGGGGTGGACGATGTTATTTCCTGCCATGTTACCAAGTCCATTCAAGTGGTTCAGATCTCCTCCATTTTCAAGAGCGGCCTTTTGCTGAGCCTGGGCATTCTTCTTCACGTGAGCCTGGGGGTGAGACAGGTGGCTAGCGCCGGTGGGGTTGCCACGGCGGATAGAGCACTTCTGGAAGTGACGCTTGAGAATGTCGCTTCGGGAGAAGGTGTCCCGGCAGAGAACACACATGTAGGGGCGATCACCAGTGTCTAGGAAAACAAGCGTTGGTTAGCTTTCATTTTTTTTCTTCCTTTGAGCGGGCTTGCAAGGAGAGTTTGGGAAGGTACTCACGGCGGAGCAGGTGGCGCTTCAAGTGCTTGGCATGGAGGTACGTCTTGGTGCAGTGAGGGCAGGGGAATTTTCCGTCAGCATCCTTAACAGGAATAACGGTGTTCTTTGCGCCAGTTCCCGCAGCCTGAGCAGTAGGCCGTCCAGGAGCGCTGGGCAAGATTCCGCGGCGACCCTGAGATCCAACGACGTGGGTGGGCTGTTCGCCGTCCTGGAGGAGCGAGTTAGGCTGCATCAGTGAGCCCGGGCCGTAAGGTGAGGCCACGCCAGGTTGGGCCATAAGGCCACCCGGAGGCATGGGGCGGAGGACGGGAGGACCACGTCCGCCAACCGGTGCAGGGGCAATTGGCTGAGGATGCGAGACGGCCGCGGTGGCTTGAGGCATCATAGCAGCAGACGTGGCATAGCCCTGATGGGGATACGGGTTCTGCGCCATGGAGTAAACTCCAGGGCGAGGGCCAGGCTGCGAAGTCTGCTGGTAGCTGGGAAGGTTGTTTGGAGTTGGCGTGTTTGGGGTGCCGGGAGTTCGCGGTGTATGCGGGTGGCTTCCGTACAACGGCTGCATCGCAACGGTATGGGGCTGCAGAGGCGGGAGCGTCTGCGGCAGAGGAGAGCCAGTCTGAAGCTGGTGAGGCGAGATGGCAGTGGGCGACGGGTATGTTTGGGCCGCGGATGTCGGGACACCATTGCTCGGGTACTGAGGGTTGTCCATGATGCTTTGCGCGAAGACGCGTCGAGAGAGGACGTGTGTTGTGTTTTTGCTACCGCGAGGGAGAGAGAGACAGCAGATTCAACAGGCTGCGGCCAGGAAGAAGGCTGCAACGTCGAAACCGAGCAATTGGCGGGAGGAGAACCGAAGACGCCGAAAAGGATGCAGCAACTCGAGAATGAAGAGCAAATGTGTAGAAACAAATTCTCAATCGTTCAACGAGGCCCACGCGCGATGTTGCGAAAGGGCTGCGGCGTTCTGGGGAAGGTGGAGGTGAGGCTCTGAGTATAACAGGTCCCTCACGAGAAAGATGGTTAGGTAGGGAACAGTTGGAGTGGGGTGGAGAACTGGGTCTCGTTCCTATTTTATCCTGGAGAGAGAAACTGTCAGGTAGGGTCACAAAGGCAAAAGTAACTTCCGTGGAAGAGCCATGAGAGAAAAAAAAAATAAGTGCCAGAAAGCGTGGGTGTGAGAAAAACGCTAAGCAGGGGAGGGGGGTGGTGGAGTGGCAACAAGCGCCTTTGCCAGGGTGCCGAAAACACAAAAGTGGGCCGTTGCAGTGCAGCCAAGTGCAGCGCGCTCGCTGCAGTACGAGTACCTGTACAGAGTACCTGTACATGTACATGCACAAGCCCAAGGCAAGTACCAAGTACAAGGCGCTCGTAGTGCCCGTTGGGAGTTGCAGCGATGGCGAGAACGCGAGCGCAGGCCGGTGGCGAGTGGAGCCACAAGCAGCGCTATCAGGCGGTATCGCGAAGGCCGCAAACAGAAACCGAAAATCGGATTGGGGACAACGGCCAGCGAAGATGCAAAAACGCAGCAGAGGGCATTGGGTTGGGATCCTGCCTAGCAGAATGGATACGGGCAGCTCTGGTGCAGGTAAGGGTTCTGGCGGGCAGGCTGGGGCATGGGAGTGGGATGGGATGGGATAGGATGGGATGGGATGGGAGGGGATCCAGCGTCAGGACTGGAGGTTTTTCTTTCTGTCTTCTTTTTTTTTGTGGTCTTTTTTTGGAGAAGCAGAAGAGGACGGGACGGGCGACCGAGGGGCCCTCTTTTGTCCACATACCTTGGCGATGCCGCGGCTGGATATCCGATGGCACAAAGACGGCGACGGTTTTTGGCTCTGGTCTGCGCAGGCCTCGAAATAGAGCAGTGAGAGTGGGAGGTACGAAAGATATTCTTGAAGACCAAGACGTGGTTGAGTAGTTGCCAGCTCGGAAAAGTGTTGAAGGAGGAAGAAACAGAAATGGCAAAAGTCAATTCAAGGGCAAGAAGACTGTGCTATCGTTGTGATTTCAACGGAGGAGAGCCGGAAAAAATATGGCGAGCGCAAGGGCGCTAGAAGCCTCGGGGACTGTACTCGGTACAAGATACAAGGTACTTTGCTCCGGCGACCTCGAAGAGCCCAGACGCGTCGGACGGAAGTGAGGAGAAGAAACCGAGAGAATACTGCAGTACCTTGGTACTTGCTGTACTTATTGTACTCTGCACTATGTCTGCTAAAAAAAGAAGAAAAGAAATGGGATTTTTTATAAAACCCAATATTAGTTGAGATGTATACTCGTACCCGTACATGTACGCGCGGAGCACCTCGTCCAGATAACAGATGCAACGATTTGTTTCAGTCAGTAGCTTGCCTGCTTGCAGCAATACATGGCCAAACAAGGGAGCATCAAAAGCAGTGAGGCGTATAAAGTTTCCCGCTAAGGAGAATTTTGTTTTCTTTTTCTGCCTTTTTTTGCGCACATCACTTGCCACACCACATTGTTTGGCACCCACCACGCAATGCCCTCAGCGGCACTAGTGGTGTTGACTTCTGACAAGCCACAGCGTATTATCTGGACTCGCCGAGCAAAGACATAAAACCGCCAGCACGCGGCCTCGCTCACCTTCTTTTTGCCCGGTACCTAAGCTTTGCATTCCCTCTGCTCTGCTGTACTGTACTGTACTGTACTGTACTGTACGCTACAGTATTATTCCAGTCCCCCTTCGCCCGTCCCGAGCGCTTCTCAGGCGCCAACTTGTGCACGGGGCTAGTCGCTCGCTCGCTCGCTCGCACGCACCCTTTTGTTGCGTCTTGTTTGGTGATTATGATTAGTCTGGGCAAGGTACCTCCCGCCACCGGATGATCAATTAAGCAACATGCCTGGTACTTGCTGCACAGCGGCCATCACCTGCCGCATCCAGCCCCCGACGTGCGCTGTTGGATGTACCTGAGTTGTAAAGGAACAATCCCTCGGCCGTCCCTTGTGTATCCGTATTGGCACCCGCCTCGAGAGAGTTTCACGCCAACCGTCCCAGGTGAAGCAGGGCGAACAAGCCATCTGCCAACAAAACAACCTTGTGTACGCGGTGCTGAGCCTCAATGAGCGTGATTTCCTCTCCAGTCGTCAGTTCTGCCCGCTACTGTACCGCGAGTACGGTACGGAACATGTACGAGTGTCTCGGCCATGGCAAATTGACGACACGCCAAAACCAAGACACTTCAGGGTTCGAATGATGCCAGCGCTGCGACCAGGGGGCGGCACCTTTTACTCTTTCGCGTAGTGGCAGGGATTCCAAAAGGCTCTGGCGGCAGACGGTGCCGATGCTCGGGGAGGGGGGTGTGTCATGGCCATTGCAGGTTCTTTGTGACGGCTCGCCTCCAACCGTCTCAGCAACAAGCGATGGCCTCTGGCCCTGCTGGCGGCCAAGCCCCTCGTCATTGGTGACTTGTTCTGCGCAAATACTCAACGTAGACGCGGATTGCGCTGTAATAATGCCCATGTCGCTCCCTAGCCTCCCTACAGACGCTATCTCGTCTAGCTCCTGGGCTGCCAGCAACGAGTGCTGCCAAGTGGCATTGATGCCAATGCTACCTGTCCGGCGCCTGACGTCTCGTCTATCCCAGCCGTCTATCTGACCACGATGCCTCGCGTTCGATCACGGCGGCATGGGAACCCAAAGCCCAAAGGGTGCTTCGCAACTAAAGCCGAATAGGCATCAACCATTGCTATTCCTCATCATCGTACATACAAGCGGCACATGTGGCATCCTGGTGTGGTTGAGTGGCATTTTGATCGGGGGAAGACTCCCACTTTCCGACATTGAGAGTAGGAGTAATACAGCATGGACTCTTGGGAGTACTCGTAGAAACGGCCGTGCTGGCTGCATCCTTTTCGACAAGCAAGTTGTGTTGCAACCTGGTTTGAGCCATCCTATGCTATGCATCCTCGACTCGTTTCGTCTTCAGGAAGCACTTTGGCCGCGACGCCTAATTACCTCATAACACGGTCCGGCGGTCAATTAGGTCGCCGACGTCGCTGTCCATCGTATAAGCTCGGGTTTTGCTGCTTCCTGTGCCGTACAAGTATGTAGTGTCGATTATTTTTATTCCATTTTATTTTTATTTTTATTTTTATTGCTCAGTACTTCCATTTCTTATTGTCATTTTTAGGTATTATTCTTAGTCCTGTCTGTGTGTTGGGTGCTGTACAAGTACGTTCTCAGCCCGATCCCGTCTTGCTCATCTCCGACTGCCACCACAAAAGCACCTGTCGCTCGTACGAGTATTTACCACCCAGTAGCGGAATCAAGGGCTCGTACGGTGACAATGCAGCATCAGGATGGCTGAGCAACGACACTAGTCCAATTCCTCCCTTGCCTTGCTTGCCCTTTGTTGTTGAGTGCTTGTACCGTAATACTTCGTAAACCGAAACCTGGTCAACGTCCGTCTGATGAATACTACAAAGTGCCTGTACTGTACTACTGCTTGGCACTCTATACATTGAGCTACTGGCACATGCTAACGAGTACAACAAGCAAGTCAATGCTAAATCGATATTAACTTAGGTACCTTAGTCGTGCATATCTAGGTAGCATTAACAAAGCAGACCCTACACACATATTGAGCGTCAATGCAATCCTGCTACTACTAGTGCCGAGGTAGCGGTATGTGGCCGTTCATCTGCAAGTACTACCTAGCTCTCATAGGAGTATCAAAAAATCTGTCAATGCCCAAAGGCCGCTGGAAATGGTGCTGGAAGCCCGCATCACGCGGGATGTCAAAATACAGATGCGCAGGGTATCACCGCTAATGTACTGGCCGTACGGGCCATCAGCCTCTTCTGCATCACATGACTATCAAAAATACCCAGTTTGGATCAAGGAAAAATGTGCCACGGTGTATTATCCCGACATGAGATGCATATCATGGGTTTGATTGGCAGTTGTTGAGAGTTCCGAGCAAAAAGGAAAGAAAAAAACGGACCGGACCAGATGTACTTTGATGACAGCCGTGTCTACCCATAAGCATTAGTACCTTCTCAATGTATCTGGACAAAGAAAAAAAAAGATCCAAGTATTAGCGCCACTAGGTTTCAGGTCTTCGGGCTTTTTTTTCTTCCAGATTTTCTTTTCTTTTTTTTTCATTATTATTTTGCCCTCTCGCTCTGTCTCTCTCAACTCAAGGCGTTGCCTGTAAGCTCGCCGACTTTGCTAAAACTCTTCCATGACAACTTGTACACCGCACGGAGCTCAGCGTACAATAGGTCCTACAAGCAGTTATGCGCACGAGTCAAGCAGGAGCATGCTAACCAAAGGACTAGCATTTCGATTCCGGTCCGATACTGCTGGGATGTCGGCTTCGGAGTATTGAAAAGGGTACCAAGTATTTCTGCACGCCGTTACTGATTGGGGAAAAAGTCCCGCAATCGCAAGAGCAGTTCGGCTTAGTACTACTTGGTACAGTTGTAGAGAAAAAAAAAGATAAAACCAAAAGGATCAACATCTGCTACATACACTAGCCGAGATGCTCAGCCGGCCGAATTGCCTCCCTCTCTTGGGCTCGCACCCGCTTGAGATCACGTCATCCTCGTACTCTTCAATCTCGTACTGTGTAAGGCCGTTTTCCCGTTTCTATTTGCATCTCTTTTAGCACTCTTCGATTACAAAACGCAGTCTGTTAGAGAGAGAAAGACAAAAGCCGACGAGCTCGGCCGTGAAACGTCCGCCAATCGCTATTATTACGCGTCTACGCCTTCTCAAACACCCCTGCTCCATGGAAAAGCCATGGCGGCCAATGGCATCTAGCATTGGCCTCAATTGGCTTCGAACCCACAATGGACAGATCTTGGTGGTGGACCCAGGCCACCCTCCTTCTTGCGAAGGCCTCAGGGCCCCATGCTCGCTCGATTACTTGCGTCCCCTCCTGAGCGGCAGTGATTCAAAAAGCTTCGACGTGGAATCCAGAAGCTCTGGAGCCCATGAGCGGTGGAGTCTTCCCGCTGAGGGACGCAGATTTGGAGGACCCCGTTTCCTCGCCCCCAGGTAGATTTCGTTGGCCCGGGAGTCAGCGCCTCGCTTTAGCTTTTTGCGGCTCTGTCGATTTGAATCCACGATCAAGGGTTCAAACGTTGTCGAAGCGTGATGCTCTGGCGCTTGCTGAGTGCCGACCGGACCGCATCATCAAGTCTCAGGTTTCTCATCACGACGATGCCCATGGCCGATGCGCCCCTAGCTCCCCTCCCAGACTCGAATATGACCAACGCTTTCGTCGGACAACGGCCGAAGGGGAACTTCAGGAGAGCCGGCCTTCGCCATTTGCGAAAATTGTCCGCCGGAGCAACCCTGGTAGAGCAACTTAGCTTGCTAGTGCAAGTATGTAATTTTTGTATTTATGTTTTATTTCTTTTTTTATTCTTTCTCTCTTTTGACCTTGACGTCCGTGCCAGTCCAACAGCAAGGGGGGTCAAACTCTCGCAGTCTTTTCTTTTCTTTTCTCTCTCTTTCTGTTATCCGTGCAGCACATCCCCAGCCCCCCTCACGCGGCTTTGCAGCCACTTGCTCAGAGGCATGTTGGAGGAAGCTAGAAGTACGAGTACATAGACTACAACACAGGCACTAACATGGTTTTAACATGGGTTTAGGGTGTACATATGCTCTCCGTACACACTCACCGAAGAGAGAGATTCGGCAAGTGTTGTACTCCGTAGATTGGTCGCGGATTGTTTTCGGCGAGTGGGTATTAACGCCTCTTTGCCTGATCTGAAACCGTTTCGTCAAAGAGAAACATGAATGGGAAAATTCCTTATTTTTCGTGGCGTCTGTCGCTCGCCAACATGCCCAGCGCTATAGCGCTACAGTACAGCACCGTCGCAATCGCTCAGGCCGTTTCTGTTCAGCCTAGTTGGCGGCTAATTGGGGGTCGCCGCATCGTTACGTCACCCCCGTCTTCCCTGCCCGCCTCTTGCGCACTCCCGAGTTTTCCCCAAACCGACTAGCTCCAAACCGCGTCGGCACCACTGCGCCTCACCGCCTGACGTGCAGATTTTTTGGACTCATCTCTGTGGCATCTTATCGGTCCAGCAAAACCCGGCGAGTCAATTCTCACCACTAGCGCAGCTCGAATCTAGACAATGGGAGCATCCCAGCCGGCTGACAAATGGAGTATTGCCATACCACCTGCTTGCGCCATGGCCCAAAGAGGTAGCAAGCCCGCCTACCAAGTGCAATTCCTCCCATCACTGGCGACAGGTGGCTGGCCAAGTTCCAGGTGGCCCCCTCACGAAGACGCATGAGTCGCCGGATACGAGTAAGTCTGTGGCCGAGGTAGCTGCTACTTGTAGGCATTAGGACGGGTGTAAGAAATGGCGATGTCATGGCCCAAGTCCCAAAAGCTACTACTAGGTATGTATGGCTCGGTAACTGGTAGGGACAGTGTCTGGCGACACGGGGCTGGACACGACAACTGCTTACTCCTGTTCGTGCTGAAGATTTACATTGCGCGCGCACATTTGAGTATTCTGACGGCTGGTCACACTCGACTTGTACTCTACTTGGCAACTTGGGTACAGAATACTCGCTCCAGAGCAGGAATCACGATTCAAACGCGCACCAGTCACTAGAGATCCCTGTCGTTGATGTTTTGTTCCAAACCGGAACTGCTCGAATTGGAAAACCGAATGACATGCCATTTACCTCAACGTGCGTGGCTGGCCTCTGAAGAAAAAACTGAGACATTTCATCAGTGAAAATTGCGTTATCGACAAATCAACAAATCCGACAGTGCGTTGTTGGTGGGTGGGATGCTCTCCATTTTGTTCTTTTTTTCTCGCCTCTTTTTCTTGTGGCCTAGCACGCCAACCTCGATTCCAACCTTCTGGGACCCGATCGATCGTGGCAGAATTGAACGCACGAATAGGGCATTTGTGTAACGCTGGAAAGGACCACGGTGGCCGCTGGTATCCATTCTGTCCGCACACTTACTTCGGCATTGGGGCCAACGTTCCTGGCGATGCAGCGGGACCGGTGGCACGAGTGGATAGTTGACATGTTGGCTGCCCGTTCCGAACTTCTCCATCGGCCCCATTTCCACTGCGTTGCCAGATCCGTTGGGATCAAGATTTAGGACTGGTGGCCTACCAACGCCCGCATCCGAGGAGAACCACAGCGGACGTCCTCCGTATTTTTTTTTTTCCTTTCCCGTTGACGATATGCTGCTGCTACTAGCACATGCGCCCTGAATATGCATCACGATGGACTCCATAGTAAGATTGGGCTGATATGCTAATACTACTGTCCTCGCGCACGACCAAGTAGGGCCTCGTGCTTCCCGTGTAACGGGCGGACACCAGAAGCAGTTTATTTTAGGCATGGCATTGCCAACGTGTTTACGAGTACTTACACGCCTCTCGACATGGTTCGAGGCCTCGCGCATAGACTGCCTATCCGCGACTTCGTATTTGTGCGCCTCTTGGCACCTTGATAGCTCGATTCTATCAACTACTTGCACATGAATACGTGGTGGCCTAGGCTTGCTGCTGCCAAGCATGAATCGCCGCAATGAGCACCGAAACGGGCCAGCGGAAGAAACTTGACGGTACATGTACAGTACAGCACCTCGTCTCATTTCAAATTCATTTCCCAGTGCGGTCATTTGCACAACGGCAGGACAGGCATGTGAGAGCCACCATCACTGCTTCTCAAGGCAACGTCCAGTTGGGTTGGCGACGGATTTCTCATGGATATAAAGTACCATCTACCTTGTCCTCTACCTTGTACCCCTGGCGGGAGGGCGTCTCCATTGTTGCCGAACTCTTTACCGCACATCAAGATATACAAGTCCACGCCCCAATTTCCCGCCGGCTGCGACGGAGTCCGGAATGGAACTAGCCCCAACCAAGTCACTGCCATTCGATCCTCGCAGTTTTTGGCGTGCAGGAGGCCATCTTGGGTCGCTTCGACGTCACTGCTAGCATCCAGGCCCGCCAAATAACCCCGAAATTGCAGGGGTATTTGGCATGTTAGCGCGAACTTTTCCAGAGCTTGGATGCTTGGCCCATCCTAATGCGAAATGTGCTCCGTACGGAATATATTGCTAGCCCAGCCACTGTGACGAGAATCATGCTCTTTGTACTCCCTACTTTGTCCGACAAAAAATCCGGCCAGCGGCTAGCTGTGGAACGAAGGGCGGTGACAAGAGGCTAGTCGAGGCTAGCAACAACGAGACGCTCACCAGCTCACGATGGCCTCCCAAGGGCGTTCTACCGCTAGCGGGCAGACAACCAAAGTTCTCGAGCACAGGTGGTGTCTGCAGAAGCCCCAAACGGGCCACTATTGGCGGGCTTCCACGTGGGAGTGGCCTCGCGAACATTGCAATGGATGAGGAGACTTCCGCCATGCAACCATTGGGGGTGCTGAACGGGAAAAAGGCTCTTCGCGGAGCCGAGTCTTACGGTAGGTCTACCTAAAAAAAAAACCAAGACGCGCAAGACAAAAACATCACTCAATGGTGGTCTCTTTACTCGAAACCTCACGCCATTGAATGATGCTGACCACAACAAATCCCCCCAAGAGGGAGAGTGGCTGGCCGCAGTCGAAACTCTGCGCCCGCACTCTCGTGTGCGAATCAGAGTATGTAAAACAGAGAAAATGAGCTACAAGTCACTAGTACAAATTACTGATGACCATGAGCAACCACACACACAACCAAGTGCCATTGGGAAGGAATCACAGGAAACAACAAATGTGCCGTTCAAGAGTCGAGGATGTCACCTGATGATGGATTTACAGCCTTTCCGTCAGCCGTCCAAATCCATATGTTGCATCGCACGCAAAACGTAATGGTGTGGCTGTTGGGATCAGTTGTTGACCTGCATGCTCATCCTCATCCAGGTTGGCAAGACCATGTACTCAGTACGAGTACACGATACAATGGCATCTTACGAATACACCTTCCCCATTTTGCCGACGGGCCTAAGCTCCGATTCAGCACTCGAGTCTTCGTCTGGATCCCATGTCCATCTAGCTTCGGCATCCATGCTTTGGTTTGCTAGCACAAGCGCCGAGTGGAACCAGGGCTTCTCAGAAGTTTGCCGAATGGAGCCGACATATCAGGCTATTGCTAGGCTATTCAGATTACCTAACATGCCGTGAAAAGGTCCCTAGTATGAGCGAAGACTTTGCGCGTTTGCCAACAATGAACCAACTAGCGCCGGCGAAAGCGGGAATATACATGCAAGCCTGTAGTGGCGGTAACTACTAGCGATGCTGGTACGAGTACGGAGTACAGAGTACAGAGTCCAGAGCACTGTTGCTCTAGCATTCCCAACGAAGAAAAATGTCAGAGGGAGCAGAAGGGGGGATGCTTTATCCTGCTGCCTGGGAGATGGCTCATCAAGCAGCTACCAACTCGTGTCATCTCACTAAGTGCTAATATACTTGTGAATAGCACTACTCCCGTAGGGTCACAAGAGCTTCTCTAGGCCAGGATGACTACAAGACTACTGGTGCGAATGTAGCCCAAACGTCACGTCAAACCCTTGGCATCCAAGTAATGCAAATCAGGCACCAAGAAGAGGACAGGGCTTGCATTCGTATTAGGTGCGTTGCTGTTCTTGGAGAGGGATGGCTGGGCATTTGGGCCACACAACGCCCCCAACATGGCACCTCCGTGGATGCGAGAAGGCTCTGTACCAACAAGTACATGCATACCCTACTCGTACGTGCTGCAATGCCACCAAGGAGCGGACCGCTTCATACCCAAGCAACCAAGGTACTGCCAGGTTCTCCGTACGTGCGAGGGACTTGGAGTACGAAGCGGAAAGGGGGGCCAGCCTGTCCAACCCCTCACAACGCCCCATGCTGACCAGTCGGGTTTGCAGGAACCCATTAGTACAGCCAAGTGGCCTCTCGATGGAAAAGACCCCCACGCTGGATCAGATACCTCATAGCGGCAGCTGCGGCGAAATGGGACCGCTCTACTGTACTGGCTTGTAACCGCTAGGTACCGATGCATTGACATTACATTGCCGAGACACGTCGCCAGCCAAAGGGGGCGTAAATTTGTCCGAAGAATGGACTGTCTCGACTCGAATTGCAGTTCAGCTTCAATCCCAATGCTTTTGGACTGTACGAGTAAGTACACCGACAGTATCCTTTTTTTTTTTTTTAATTAGATTTCGCTCTACCAGCAAGGTCTCTTGGCGTACAACTACCTCCCAGTATGGAGCGATTTATTTGCGGCTTCGTCCTCGCCATGAAAAGCGGAGCTTTTTAGGATGCCAGCAACCGCATACTGTGAAAGAAGAGTACTGCCTACTAATAACCTGTGAATCAAAGCATCACTCATAGCCACCAATGGCCGAAGGCTGCCCTCCTTGCATCATCTGAAGCCAATCTCCTCTGCCGTGCTGTCCAACGCTATTTCAGGTGGGTGAGACCTCGAGTCAGCTTTATGAATGCTGCAAGGCTTCTATTATTCTGTCACGTTGGCTTCATATTAACGGAAAGATGATGTGAAACACGTCATCCTTACGGAGCTGATTTCCATCCTCGCCTGTTAAGGTACCAGGTTGACTTTCTTCCCCTGCTTCAAGGCCCCCCTGTATGTTTTCTTTCCTTCTTTGTGGTGTTTGTTGGGTAGAGTTTATACTCCGTACCTGTGGCGTAAATAGGCGGCGTTATCTAAGGTACATGGGGCCGAAAACGATTGAAGCCGTTGGCACGGATATACAAGAAGCTCGTACGAGTTGCCTTTACATAGAACTACTCCACCCCCGGCACTTGGTATACTTCCCGATGCTAGCACGAGTATCAGCTTCCATCGTTGCGGGACAGTCCGCTGACCTTGCGCCATGTACTCCATACGGAGGGCTGAACGGGGGCTTGGGTGAAAGGGGAAACAGGACAGAAAAAAAAAGGAAGGGCAGGGCGCCCGGTATGCAAGCTTATCCGGCATACAAAGTATACCAGTACGAGTATACTCGCCCAGGGCCGGAGACGCAAAAATGGGGAGATCCAGACGCATGTCCACATTACCACTTGTAGTGCTACAAGCACTCTCCGCATTCCGTATCCAGTCTCTCTCTCCGGGCCAGAGCTGCCCCGACACGGACCCCAATGCTACATGAATCCGATAGCCGGGCATCGATCCACGCGCCGAGAAGGCCAGTACTATATTACCGCCGCACTTCATGTGTTTACATTGCACCCCGCTGGTGTTTCGTACTCGTACAATCACTCCATTGTCCTGACTTGGATGACATGGATGATGTTTCTGAGAGATGGACAAACAACAAAGGATTCAACAAGTGTTGGCGCAGAGCTCAAGGGTACGACGGGCTGTGCGTGGTGTGCCCCTGGCACCGGAAGGGTCCCAACGCTTTCCGGGCTCTTGTTTTCTCTTTTCACTCTGTCTACCCGCCCAAGTCTCTCCCTGCCTCGTCTGCCTTTGATACACGAACGCCTCAGTGATACGTGCACCAGTCGGATTCGAGACGACGGCCCCGACTATATACGTGGATCCGGTGAACGCGGCTGTAGTACGCCATGCATCGCGGGAAACCGGCCGGCCAGTGCCTGGGCGGTTCGGAGGCGCCACCATGTCTCTGTTCACATCATAGTATCATGTCGGTGCACGGGTCGGTGTCTATGAATCTTGGCAATGAGTTGTCTCAATGAACGCCGGCAAGGTGCATTACTTCAGGCTCTCTTTGTTGCCTCGCGCTCTCTTTCTCTCGGCCTCCCTGCTCCCAGCATCCAGTAATATGGACTGAATGCTTGCACGGCGCATGATCGTTGGGCGTTTGTTATTGGGTCTTGCTTTTTCTCTCGGTTTCCCTGCAAGGACATCCCAAGCGACGAGACCTCGGTGGTCAGGGCCGGGGTAGAGTGTCCGGTCGACTCGAGACATGTACGGGTACGAGTATGTCTACAAACAAAACATATACCGGTACCTGTACCGAGTCGCAGGATAAGACAGGCTGCTCGGTATTATTGGCCCGGATGGATTTGTCTGGTGGCGTGAGAGGGGCGTTGTCAACCTTGCTTCGGAGTAGGGTTTCATTGCATGTTGGTCAGAAAAGCGCTTGTGACTTTGCAAGCCTTTTTGCTCGTGATGTCACGCAGCGTGGATGATGAGAAGTCTCAGCCGTGTCTTGAGAAATTGGTCCTGCACAAAGCACTGTCGGTGAGCGCATGGTATATGATTCGAGGAGCCGTCGACACTGTACTCCGTGCGTGTCTGGATATTGGAGGGGTATTGCTGCAAGTCCCTGCAGGCATCACCAATCGCGGACACGTACGATACCACCCGGTCAAGGGATGATATGGACGCGTGCTTGTGCAGGTAGGGCCGGGCCAGGCCAGGCCAAACTTGACCTGCTGGTACTCGCGCTCCTGGTTTGCAGTTGCTTGTACGGAGTAGTGTTACCGCTGGCCTCCTTGCCTTGCTAGCGTAGGAGACGGGGAGCGACGAGCGGCTTCCGGAGAATATTTCGGTGGCTCGACGCATAGTTTGCTTGGCCTGGGCCTTGGGCCGTTGCCGCCATGAGACAAACACGAGGTGGCAAGTTGATTGTGCTGAATACTTGTCCTTTTGTGCCGTGTTGGGTTGTTTGCTTTTCGTTGTGGCGTTATCTATTACCCTGTGCAGATACATCGGGGGTCTCTTGGGCCGAATCGGTGAGAGACTATCGAAAGCGCCAGAACTTTGCTTGCCTTGTGCTGAGAGACAATTAAATCTTAAATTGCATTAGCTCCTGGGCTGTGAGTCTCGGCTTGAGAGATTATTGATGCCCCGACCCCCTCATGCAGCGGAATATGCATGTTTCAATCCTGTGGCTGTCCTAAGGCACACGGGGCGGCAGGATATGGAGTGAGCATTAGTTAATGTACGGGGTAAATAACCTGGAGCAGGGTGTTATTTTTAGGTACCGGGATCATGTACAGTACTCTGTACTATTGCGGAGATGGGCTGTGGCAAAAGATGAGAGAGGGTCTTTGGGCGGATTTGAGAAGAAAGAGTTGAGACTTGAGTTGTGATATACTCGTTGCTACATGTAGGTACTTGTGCAATACATGCGAGACTGAAGGGTTGCTTCTGTTGTTGTCTGCTCTTTACAGTTACAACTCCATTGAATCTACGTTCTAGATCTTTGAGAGAGTTTTGAGTTTTGAGGAGCGATATGTGGCATCTGAGAGATGAGAGTAATGGCTATGAGAGTTGCCAACAGGAATTACACGCATCAACTCATTCATATCATAGGTAGTCTACAAGCCGAGAGTTTGTTCTAAGCATATCAGCGTGGCTATCGCATTGGGTGACTAAGCAGGCAAATTCAACCACAAGGCGGGGCACAAGGTGCGCCAGGCTGGCCAATGAGATGGCGAGAAGCAGCAGCCGATTTCCCAAATTTTGTGCCTCGTCTGAAGATCTAAGCGACTTGAAGCTGATGGATTGATGATTTGACGTTCAGTTTTTGTCTCTCTCTCTCTCGTCGCCACAATGTCAATTGCAGCAGCGCCCAATGCGCTTCGAGCCTCATCAGGCTGCGCCTCAAGGCTGGGCCTGTCTCTCCACAAGGGCCCGAGATCAAGCCTTTTCCTGCCGGCCTCGTCGATGCGAGTAGCCAGTTTCACGACGACGGCGCCGCAATGCAAGCGCAAGACAAAGGACAGCAACAAGCGACGAGGCGTCAGCAGCCTCTATGGATCGGGCCCGCGTGAGCCGCTGTCCATGTCCAACATGCCACTGCCGAAGCCGGTCGAGTTCCAGCCCAAGATTGAGGTTGACGAGAGCCACGGGCTGTGGGGGTTCTTCCCCGCGCCGGGGAAGCTCCTGCTGACGCCCAAGGAGACGGAGGAGCACGGGCGAGCATGGGAGGTGGAGGAGCTGCGGAGGAAGTCGTGGGAAGACCTGCATGCCCTGTGGTGGAAGTGTTGCAAGGAGAGGAACATGCTGGCTACGGCGAGGGCGGAGCTGTTGAGGGGGAAGCTTGGGTTCGGAGAGCGGGAGATTGATTCACGGGATGAAGAGGTGAGTAGCCTTGAAGCTTGGGATTTTGATTTTTTTTTTTTTTTCTTTTTTCTTTTATTTTCTTTTTTACTAATAGTTGTGTCGTGTGACAGGTTACGAAGACGATGAGAGCGATCAAACATGCTCTTACGGAGCGATTCTACACCTGGCAGGATGCCGTCGAGGTTGCCAAGTCGGATCCCGAGATTAACCTGGAAGGAGGAGAAGGTCAGGTGTACACGCCGTCTGCATACGAAGAGGGATACGATGATGTTCCTGCTACAGAAGAAGCAGGCAAGGAGTTGAAGGAGCCTCTACGGTAGAAGCGAGGCGAGGCGAGGCGAGCGGGCGTTGGAAGATCAAAACCAAAGAAGAGAATACCGAGGTCAATTTTAGAAAAAAAGGGAAAAAAGGTCAGCGAGGTTAGGGGGGGAAGCGGTTCGACGACGGGCCCAGCATGATATCACGGAGATGTATTCTGGCCGGCCGCGTGTAGTACTACCTATGTATAGGATTTGTGTACCTGTATCCGACGAAGCAATTGGCATGTATATTACTACTGGTACAATACGATATACTCGTATACCGAACTATCGAGATGACTTGATGAACGCAACTAAGGCTAGAGTCGAATCAATTTCAATTTTCAATTTCAATTTCAATTTCAGCCCGTGCTGGTCATTTGGCAGTCCCCAGCGACTGACTGGGAGCTGGAAAAAAGAAAAAAAGACGAAATGAGACGAGGCTCGCCTCATTAGAAGGCCCCCCCTATTTTCTCCCCCTTCTTCTCTCTCTCGCTAACCCCTTCTTTTTTTCATTTTGGCTTTATGCAGCGCTGGTACTGATGCTACTCCGTCCGTGACCGTTTCATTCAGCCCGGTGACCAGGGGGTTGAAAGTTCCGGGACGGTTTATTGATGAGCTGGTACGGGGAGTATTGGCGTGGTGGTACATCCGAGTACGGCTGCGCTAACGGGGCATCTGGAGATGCTACCTATGCGGCGTGGCCTGGGGCGGCGGTGAATGGAAGTACTCGGAGATGGGCAGCTGTTAGCTTGGGTACGAATTGTGGAGTTGTGATGGATGGTCTATTCTCTTTTGATGGGCCGCCAGGGGATATGAGTAGGATGACGGAGAGAGAGAAGAAGAGGGAAGAGAGAAGAGAGACACCGCCTTATGAAACAGTATTGATGATGAAGCTGCAGCCTTGTTTCTCTCTCTTTCTCTCTTTCTCTCTCTCTCTCCTTTACTCTCCTCTCTCTCTCTCTATCTTCTTTTAATCCTACCGTCACTTGACCAATTGCATCCTGCTGTGGTTGTGGCCGTTGCCATGCGAGATCCGGCACTTGCTGCTGCTCTTGTGAGACATGCTGCTAGTCGTACGGGGTAGCCCTTTGGGATCAGATCAGGGGAGCTGGAGATTTGGAGACGGTATTACGACGGCGGGGCAATTTTCACGGACGACTGTGATTTCACGGTTGGGGCCTCGTATGGACAACTTGGCGAGCGGTGTGTTCATTTCGAGTATCTGCCGCTGAATGATTGTGATTGTGATTGTGATTACGATTAGCATGAAAATAGGAAAATGATCAGAGACGGCAGAACAAGAATAGAATGAATTAATGAATTAATTGTCGACCAAATTCCCCCCCTAGTCGGAATCCAGCGTGCTGATGATTTGAACGGTGGAGCCGCCTTGCCCAGAACAGCTCGACGCTCGTCTCCGCACCTCACCGATTGATTTGCTCCCAAAACCAAAGCCAAACCAAAACCCCGCCACTTGCAACCCCTCTACTTACCTACCTACTACCGCTGCTACTCCGTGCTCCGTATTAGAACCAAAAGCTTTGCAACTCTTCAAAAGCTTCCTCCTCTCCCCGACATACTTTTTTTCTTCCTTTCCTCTTTCTGCCTGCCTGCTGGCTATCCCCCCCGGACCGAAGCCTGCTCTTTCCACGCCCATCACCAACCCGTCTATTATACCCACAGCCATGGAGGAGATTGCAAAGGAGTACGATGTCATCGTCTTGGGCACCGGTACGTTTTGCTGCCTTGGCTTGCTAGCTGGCCAGGAGCTTGAAGCTTCGGCTTTGGGCATCCGCATCGCCACGCAATGGGCTCTGGCATCTCCAGGAAGCTCTTCTGTTGTTTGCCAGCTAGCAGTTGTGTCCATGAGCTTGGTTCCTTTGCTGACTTGACCCCCTTTTTAATCAGGCCTGACCGAGTGTATCCTTTCCGGGTAAGCGGACGACGTCAATGGAAACAAAACACACAGCATTCATGGCCGTCTGTACTGACATCATCCGTGTCTTCAAGTGTCCTGAGTGTCAAGGGCCGCAAGGTCCTCCACATTGACCGCAATGACCACTACGGAGGGTATGTTCTGTCCCCCCTGGCTCCTGTTACGTCGACGTGGCATCACCGCCATTGAGGGCACGGGTTACTAACAACGCTTTGCTCCAACAGAGAGGCTGCCTCCGTAAACCTTGAGACGGTAAATCTCCATCCACGAATTTACAATACTGCTGCATCCTTGCACCTGTACAGCGCATTTTCTAACAACCCCCCTAGCTCTTCAAGAAGTACGGCAACTTCAAGGAGGGTGAAGAGCCCTGGAAGAAGTACGGCCGCCTCAATGACTGGAACATCGACCTTGTCCCCAAGCTCCTCATGTCATCCGGCGAGCTGACCAACATCCTCGTCTCCACCGACGTCACCCGATACCTGGAGTTCAAGCAGGTTGCCGGCAGCTACGTCCAGCAGGGCAATAGCTCCAAGGCCACCGTTGCCAAGGTCCCCTCAGATGCCGGCGAGGCCCTCAAGTCGCCTCTCATGGGCCTCTTTGAGAAGCGCCGCATGAAGTCCTTCATCGAGTGGATTGGCACTTTCGATCCCAAGGACCCTGCCACACACAAAGGTTTGCCGCCCCCCTTTTCTCCATGCAAGGTCCCCCGTTTTGGCATGTCATTGATGGGTGACTAATCCGGTATTTCTTCCACCTTGATAGGTCTTGACATGAACACCTGCACCATGAAGGATGTCTATGACAAGTTCGGCCTCGAGGATGCCACCAAGGACTTCATTGGCCACTCCATGGCCCTGTACCTCACTGATGACTACATCACCACCGTTGGCCAGGCTCCTGAGGCCATTGAGCGTATCCGCCTGTACGGTAACTCCGTCGCTCGATACGGAAAGTCCCCATACATCTACCCCCTGTACGGTCTTGGCGAGCTTCCCCAGGGCTTCGCTCGTCTGTCTGCCATCTACGGCGGTACCTACATGCTCAACACCAACATTGACGAGCTCCTGTACGATGGTGACAAGGCCGTTGGCATCAAGGCCACCATGACCGGAGTCGAGGAGATGAAGTTTGAGACCAAGGCCAAGCTGATCCTTGGTGACCCCTCATACTTCCCCGGAAAGACCAAGGTTGTCGGCCATGTCCTGAGGGCCATCTGCATCCTCAAGCACCCTCTTGCTGGAACCAACGACAGCGACTCTGCCCAGATTATTATTCCCCAGTCCCAGGTCGGCCGAAAGAACGGTAAGGATTGACCCTTTGAAAGCAAAAACACACTTGAAATATAGTCCAATGCTGACGTTTTCCTTCACAGACATCTATGTGGCCTGCGTCTCATCTGCCCACAATGTCTGCCCCAAGGGCTACTGGATCGCCATTGTCTCTACCATCTCTGAGACTGAGGCGAACCACCACCTCGAGCTCCAGCCCGGTCTTGAGCGTCTCGGAGCTATTGAGGAGCAGTTCATGGTAAGTTGCTAGTTCGATTTTATTACCCGCTCTGCCCCAGAGGCGAGAGTCAACTATTTCATCAGCTCCTGCGCCTCAGCCGAGTTTCCGGAATGCTGACTTGCTTTCAAACAGGGACCTCCTATCCCCATCCACGAGCCCCTTGAGGACGGCACCAGGGACAACATCTTCATCTCCAAGAGCTACGATGCTACCAGCCACTTTGAGACAACGACGGATGACGTCAAAGACATTTACCGCCGCGCCACCGGCGAGGAGCTCAAGGTTGAAGGTCTGAGGGAGGGCATCAACGTTGCGGAAGAGTAAGAAGCGAAATTAGTGGTTGCCAATCTTTTTGTCTGTTAAATCATGCTATCGAGATCTTTGGAGTTGATACTTCTCCCCCTCTAAACTTTTTGCGAAGAGCGACCATGTTTTTTTTTCTTCTTGTTTCTGGTTCGGTAAATGTCAATAATCATGATTGAAAAAAAAAAATCATCATTTAAGTACATCAAGCATAGGTGGCAAAGGACAAGTATCGAGAAACAAAGAAAAAAGAGGAAGGCGGGGGAAATCTTATCATATATAATAAGACTTTCTCATCACATCATCATATAGGGACTTTTTGTCAAAGCAGTATATTTGTACTTTTAATTCAAATTCGAAAGCCATTAATCTGATTTTCTCTCTCTCTCTCATCATGATGAATCGTTGTCGTAGGCGACTTAATGCCGTATGCTACTACTACTACTGCCCCTTCCATCGAAAGGAATATCTATCCATTTCTGAACATCTTTCCTCTCCATATATGAAAAACGAAACAGGGAAATGAATTCTCTATACTCATTCACCTCCTCCGCTCTCCCCCGCTTCCTCAACCCTTCCTTTACCGCGCAGCCTTGCTCCAACTACTTTCTTTCTGGATTGTATAAAACACCCTTCAAGAACGCCCAACTCCTGAGCAATAGTGTTTTCCCCTCGTAAACGGTGCGAAAGGTTCTAACACTTGACAAATTTCAAAAATAGCCGAAAAACACAGAAAAAAATAATGCCAGCAATGATATGAAAGAAAATGGAGGAGGCGGAAAAAAAAAAAAAGCTCCCCAAAGTTTTTTTCAAATGGCTTATCGTCGGTTGGTTTTGCCAATACCGCGCTTTCCGGCAACCTGTTGTAGAAGAAACAAGGTTAGCACACGAAATGAACAATTCAAGCAAATTCGTTGGCTCGAAACTTACCAAGTGCTTTGTCAGAGATGCAGAAGTATGTCTGTCGGCCTCTCCCTGTCGGGCCATTCTGTTCATCCTCTTCTGGTTGAGCTTGGCTATCCGCTCGGCCTTTGACCTCGTGGCCACGTCCTGGACACCCTCGTCTCTGCGGCTGACGGGGTGTCTGCTGGCAGGTCTGCTCAGAGAGCGCAGACGCTGGCGATCCGTCTTGGGAGTGTCGACGTCCATGGAGTCGGCGTCCGCAGTGCCGAGGCGCGATAATGAGCGGCCGCGGCCGCGGGTGATGGCAGTGGCGCGGGCTCGCTCGGCGATGTCGGTGGTGTCGACACCCAGAGTGTCCAGGGCGTCTTCCATCTCCGAGAGCGGCTTCTTGACAAACTTGCGGGGGATGATGGCCTGGTTCTTGAGTCTCTTCTTCATGCGAGCCTCGTTTCTGATGAGCTGCTGCTTCTCCCGGATGAGCTCTGCCTTGCGCATGATCTCGGCCTCTTCATCGTCCTCAATGTCTTCGTCCGACTCGTAGAAGCCTTCCTGCTCGAGCCTCTCCTCCTCCTCTTCCAAGGCGGCCAGCTTAGCTTCGATATCAGGATCGACGTAGTCGTAGACATTCTTTCCGTCAAAGATTTCGGGCATCTTGTCGTACTTCCACTCAGGATTCTTAAGCATCCAGTCGGCGCGCATGTCGACGTTGTAGACACCAGCACCACCATTCTCCACCTCGACGTCCTTGGCCAGCCTGGGTCGGTCAGGGTCGTCCTTGTCATACTTCTTCTTGTTCTTGACGGCCTCGGGAATGAAGGTCTCAGGGGCGGCGCCGCCCATAGGCTGGGCAACGTGGATACGGGCCATGACCTCAGCCAGACGGCCTCCGATGGCTCCGCTGCTCGTAGTACCAGCCTTGAGCTTCTGGTTCACGCGCTCAGCAAGCAGGCGCTCACAGGCAGCGTTCTTGACCTCCTGCACACCCTCCAGGGTGTTGCAGGAGAGCTGGAGCATCTCAACCTCGCCGGCCTTGAGGATGGTCTGCAGTTCAGCCTGGAGCTCTGGCGACAAATCTTCGGGCCGGGTGATGTCAATCTTGTTGACGACAAGGAAAACGAGCTTGTTCGAGAAGAGGGGCTTGATGCTTCGGAAAAGCTGAATCTGAGCCTGGACTGAGTAACCACACTGCTCGGACAGATCCATAAAGTACATGATGGCGGATCTCAAGTGAGCGATAGCCGTGATACTATATTAAAGTCTTTGGTGAGTACTGTGTCAATTTGAAAGATGTAAGTAGCGGCATCGCATACCTCTGCATTTCAATGGTGTTCATCTCCTCCAGAGGGTGATCAAGAATACCAGGGGTATCGATGGCCTGGAATCGCAGGTACTTGTAGTCAAAGTGACCGACAAACAGACTCTTGGTGGTGAAAGCGTAGGGCTGGACATCCACGTCGGCGCGGGTGATGCTTCGGAGGAAGCTGGACTTGCCAACATTGGGGTAACCGCAGATGAGCAGGGTCCTGGTGTTGGGGTCGATGGCGGGGAGACGGCCGAGATGCTGGCGGACCTGGTCCAGATACAGCAGAGGGTCTTTCAATCGCTTGACCAGCGTTGCCATGCGACCAAGGGCCGCCCTCTTGAGCTGCTTGCACTGGTAGAGCGACTGTGCGTATTTCAAGAGACGGACATAGTCTCGAGAGATGGTCTCGACCAAGTGCTTGGCAGTGGACATCTGACCAAGGGCAATCTTGAAGTGGTCTGCATCGTAGAGGGTGTTGAGCAGATCCTTATGGAACGGGTGGATGTCCTGAAGGCGAGGAAAGCTGTCGAGGATGGAGGCGAACTTGTCGGAAAAGGTCTCCTGTGTGAACTTGACCTTTCGTGTGTAGAACGCTAGATTTGTGTAAGCGAGCCATTCGCCATGCATGTACATGATTTATGGCATTGGGCGATGCCGCCCAATGGCTGTTGATATGCGACATACCTCGGATTCTGCTGATTTTGAAGCCGGCGCGGATCTGGGTAGGTAGTTTGCGCTGGGTCCTGCTCAGCACAATGTCCAGGAACTCCTGCTGAGTAGGAACCGGGGGAATGTCCTTCCACGTGGTCTTCATGGCGGGCAACTTGATCGAGGAGCGCTGTTTGTGGTGAGACTACAGCTTTGAGATGTCCTCGTCGCTATTTTTTTTTTTTTTTCTGGATACCCCAAAAGAACTTCGAGGTTAGCAAAATGCCGGGTCTAGGCTAGGCGGTGAATTTTTTTTTCTCGCTGTGGGCGGAGCCGTTGCTGAAAAGGACTTATCGATAAGCGGCAGGCACTTTTGGAGGGGCAGACATGTGCAGGATGAGCCAGAGGTATCGCCGCATACAATCTTATACTGAAAAATACTTGAATTAGGGGACCCCGCTGAGTGGTGGGGAAAGCAGCTGAGATGGAGCACAGTGTAATACAGTGTGCTATGTCTGGTGAAGCGAAAGCCATAAATTCTTTTACATAGTGGTCTTTGCAAGGTGCGCTTGGTAATGTAGATAAATTACTGGTAATGGATTTTGGATTAGTTACAATAACTGGCTCTTATCATAACTGTTCACATACCTTGTTTGAAAAGACAATGAATGCCAGGAAGCAGAACGAAGGAGAACAGGGCTCACGACCTCAATCTTTTCCATTTTACGACGTCTTTCCACATTCTACTTGACGTGAATTTCTAATCCTACGTCATGAAGCACATGATGATATATATTTCTGTAATTATACATATGATATGAAACAAATGGTGAAGACAGACCTATTGACTACCTATATTGTGATAAACTGATTCAGTCAGTATGACATGAATCACGTTTGCTTTCTTTCATACCAAGACCAATCCACCCAAATAACCGCCAGTCAAAAAAATTATTTACTAATCCAGCTGATATCTATTTAGCTTATATAGGCCTTTATTAATTGATATTTACATAATAGGCAACATCAGGCCATCATTACCTTCTCTTTCCTCTACCATCCCGCGAGTGATGTACAGTGCGAATTGCCCCAATCGCCCTCATACCCAGTAGCTAAACTTTTTTTTTTTTTTTCATCCTCTTATCTCGTGCCCCGCCAAACTTTCGAGATTCCTCTTCCTCTCTTCCTCCTCCTCCTCTTTCAACAAGAGGAGCAAATCGCTGATTCCATTTGCTGCTGCCCGTGATTTCATATCCAGTAAAGGTAGGTGAATCAACAACTTCCTGACGAGTGTCATTCCTTTCCCTTGGCTAGTGATAAAAAGCTCATACAGCTCCAGATCACAACCATCGCCTCTGTTTCTCCCCTCTCTCTTTTTACCTTGCCATTTTTACCTCACGTGCCCTTCAACAAGATGGCCTCTTCCTCCTCCCAGCTCCCTGCGTACAAGCAGGACTTCCTAAAGTCCGCCATTGACGGTGGCGTCCTCAAGTTCGGCAGCTTCGAGCTCAAGTCGAAGAGAATATCGCCCTACTTCTTCAACGCGGGTGAATTCCACACCGCGCGCCTCGCCGGTGCAATCTCCGCTGCCTTTGCAAAGACCATTATCCAGGCCCAGGAGGAATCCGGCCTCGACTTTGACATCATCTTTGGCCCCGCCTACAAGGGCATCCCCCTCTGCTCCGCCATCACCATCAAGCTCGGCGAGCTGGCGCCCCAGAACCTGGACCGCATCTCGTACTCGTTTGACCGCAAGGAGGCCAAGGACCACGGCGAGGGCGGCAACATTGTCGGCGCCCCTCTCAAGGGCAAGAAAGTTCTTATCGTCGACGATGTCATCACCGCCGGCACTGCCAAGCGAGACGCCATTGAGAAGATCACAAAGGAGGGCGGCATTGTCGCCGGCATTGTCGTCGCCCTGGACCGCATGGAGAAGCTTCCTGCTGCCGACGGCGACGACTCCAAGCCTGGCCCGAGTGCCATTGGCGAGCTGAGGAAGGAGTATGGCATCCCCATCTTTGCCATCCTCACCCTGGATGACATTATCGATGGAATGAAGGGGTTTGCTACTCCCGAGGATATCAAGAACACGGAGGAGTACCGGGCCAAGTACAAGGCAACCGACTAAAAGCTGCCTCATTGGTGTTGAGCAAGTAGGCGGGCAAACATAACCTACGTAGTAGTAAATCCGATTCTTCACTGCCCAGGTAGATGTTGGACAAAAAGGAGCAAAAGAGCGAAAAAGGAAATGCTTCAGTATAATATCCCTCCTATATCTCAAAGTATCATCGTAAATAAGAGCAGTAGCTAGCTAGTCTACGTAGAATTGGTAGGATTCAGTATCCATATTGGGAGTAGTTATTTTATTTTAATTTTTAATATTAATACTATCGATTCATTCTTGTTATTCCTTCCGATTCCCAATTCCCAAGATGCCCATAATCCTTTAGCCTTTTTAACCTTCACTGAGTACTAAGTGTTTCATTCTCGTCTCTCTTCTGTAATTCAAAGTCAGCAAACATGTCAAGCGTATGAAGAAACAATTGATTGCTCAATGGTACTTACAACAACCCATTTGTCAAGGCACAGCATCCTTTTTCTGAGCAATGGCGGCTGTTGCCGAGTCGTTATAACTTTTCGAGTCGTTTTGTAGCTCATCTCTCTTCTGTGTTCAGCTTCCCCTTCTGTTTGGTCTTCTCTTTTCGTTCATGTTGTCTCCCCTCTTTCTTTTTTCTTTTCTTTTCTTTTCTTCACCTCTCCCCAATTTGAGGGAGTTTTTATTTGTCTTTTTTCATTTTTTTCTCATTTTTTCTCATTTTTTTTCTCATTTTTTCTCATTTTTTTCTCATTTTTTCTCATTTTTTTCTCATTTTTTTTCTTTTCTTCTTTTTTTGGTGTTAATTTTTCTCGTCATTGTTGACCACCCTTCCCTTCTATTCTAAGCCATGTCATTAGCCATTAACGTGTCGTAGGCGTATGGCGAAGTATGCCTTTATCATATCCCAAAAGGAAAAGAAATCCCAAATCCTTCCCACCCAATGCAAATACAGACGCCAGAAGAAATAAGAATGCCATTTCGCACCGCGAAAGGATGCAGGTATACTAGCACAGTTTAGAGCGATTCGGCCTCCCCCCCAATTTTATCCCAATTGATGAAATCATTGCGGCCCGGTAGGTCGAAAACCTGCGGGATCAGGTTAGTACCAGATATGAGTCAAGTATGGATTATCAAAATGGATACAAAGCACAAGGTATAGACTGGATAAAGATAAAGTAGCAACATACCATGTTGTAAAATTCACCAGTGAGAGTCGTCGTATTGCTTCGACCAATATTTCTGAAGCCGCATTTCTGGAAAAACTTGGTCTCCGATTTGCGGCAAATGAGAGCGACGCGGTCTGCAACGCCCGAGCTGTGAATGCGCTGAACGTACGACTTCAACGTAGCAGTGCCGAGGCCCAGGCCTTGAAGATGGGGGCAGACGGCTATCGAGTGAATGCATACTGTTCGACCGTCGGGCCGGTGGCCAACAAGCTCGCTCGGGGATCTTTCCTCGCCATGGAGTATCTTCAACCAGTTCTTGGGGTAGTCCATGTCTTCGTCTGTCACCACAGGGCTGCACCCTTGAGTTGCGATTATGTGGACGAGCATGAGCCTCCTGACGTCTTCGGGGCAGCCGCCGATGTTCCATCCCCGCACCTTTGTCGCCATCCACCAGTCTTTTCGCTCTGTCATGTCACAGATGTTGAAGAGACCGTAACAAAGGTTGTTAGAAAATCGGATGCGATACTCGACCTATCCTCTGTTTAGTATTCTTCTTTGAGAGTTATAGAAGGGAATGGTGGGAAGTGAAGCTGACCAGCGGGCTACAGAATCCTCTAACAGAATGTTCAAAAGCAAACTGTTCCAGTACGACAGCTGTATCAACATGCTGGGGTTTCAAAAATGCAATCTTGGGGTTGAAACAAAAGGGAAAGGCTCGCCTGAATTCCTTCGACCGACAAACGCCATAGAAGTAGAATTGAGAGATCCTGTCAAACCCTATTGTGCCGACTTCCATCTCCTCATCGTCTATGTCAACAATATCGTTGTCGGCAATTGGCAGAAATGGGATCAAGTACAGACTACCCCCCAAGTTGGTGATGTAAGTTGACGGAATCAACTCAATAGAGTTGGCAACCGCCGTGTCTTCTTGCCTCTGCATCTTCTCTTATTTCTTCTTCTTCTTCTTCTTCTTCTTCTTCTTCTTCTTCTCCTACTTCCTCTCCTTCCTCTTTCACTACTAAAAATTGCCCTGTGTTGAGACGAAGAGGGGAACGTTGGCTGACTGGGTTGGTAACGACTGATGGGTAAATTAAAATTAAGTAGGAAAGGGGAAGACCGAGTAGAAATGGCAAAATAGCCTTAGTGGCCATGCGAGGGTGTGATATTTTTATCCTTGGCAGCCAGCCACGGCTGAAGACATACATGATACAAAGACGAATAGAAGCTCACCAACGGCAAAGTACCGCCCCCCCAAAAAAAACCAGAGAAAAAAGCAATCACAGTCTCAGATGCAAAACAATAATTTGTTCTTGATAAGCCGCAGCTGCAGGTGGCTTGACACAGCTGGGCAGGCCAATACTCCACGGATGCCTGTCATGTGAGACAGGATTTGCAAATGATAAAAATACTCTGAGTCCACATTCACCATCGTGGGAGTTTTGCCCTTGAGTTTGACTCAAACAGAAATCAAACCAGTCTTGTTGAGGTCGTCTGCTGCGGTGTACTTTGTGCTCGTCAATAGGATACCTAGTAGTAGTACAGTATTCCCTGTGGGTGTTCTTGCACCCGGACAGGGGAGTTGAAACAGGCAGGCAGATGGGCAAATGGGACAAGAATCGCAAATCCACTACCGTATTGGCTTCTTCCACCCCTGAGGTTCCGGTCGATCTAGTGTCCGCACTATTAGCAGCAAGTGTCCGGAGTATGGATTCCAGGAATATTTCGCCTCCAGCTGAGTGGACTGGCAAGCATTTGTGCGGATGTGGTAGACAATGCAAAGTCCCCTGGTCCCGGCTGCGACAGGTCAGGCTGAGCTGGCGAGGGCAAATGTGACTAGTCAGTTCATTCAATACCGTGCGATATCTCTAGTCACAAAAATGCCCTACCAGACTCAGTCCACCCAAGGATAGAGTAGCAGCCGTATAAGCAGCCCTTCTGCAAAAGAGGCACGTTCCCCCTGAGCGGTGGGATAGAAGGCGGCTTTACGTACCAAGTAGTGTATATCATTTAACACACGTGTTCAGTCATATGAGCTGGATGCGCAACTTTGCATCCGCCCGCTCATGAGACGAATACGACTGCATGAAGCGAGGGAGACTTTCAAGACTATTCGAGTCAAGTTTGAGTAAGGGGGAGCATTGCCGGGCGGGGAAATGCACCACGTTGCCAATCACATCGCATCATACTCCGGGCGAGCAGTTTAGAAAACACACGGGGGTGAGTGCTTTGGACGAGAAAAACAAGCGGTAACCACTTGTAACTCCCATGTTATCAGCTCTTAAGCAGGGAGGGTTCGGCGTCATAGCACACAGGACCATGATCACCTTCTGGTGTAATCCACATGGAAATTGTGAAATTGTGCCCCAGCGTAGTGTTGCCTGAAATGTCTCTTAAAGTGATGAGAGTGCAGAGCACGGGGTACGGGCATAGGGTATACACACCCTCAATCTGAAGAGACAATTTGAAAAAGAGGCGAGGATGGAAAAAAGAGAGAGGCTGGTGCTGGCACATTGTGCTCACCGGTCGTCATGTATGAGGCTGAGAAGACCGGACATGGAACCATACTTGATTCCTTGCAGCGTCCCGCACAGGCCGTTGGCCATGCAATAGGCTTGCGCTGGCCGGGTTGCGATGAAATGCAACAGCCCACGTCGTATTCTGGAGCCGCGGGATAGGCATGATGCCACATTGAGCGGCTTTGTGTCTTACATTTCAAGTACAATTCTCTCTCGCATGTGCTCTGCCACTCAACAAGCACGAAAGGGCTGGATGTTAATATAGCGGACCCGGCCGGTATTGGTCGACTAGCCAGGGGTCTGTATATAGCGCTGACAAAAAAAGAAAAGAAAAAGCATATCAAGAAGCAGGCTGCGTATGAGGTTTGCAGGAAAGGGCCCATTTCGAGTCACACGCGTGTTAATGATGGCGCTTGTTAGAGAGGAGTGCGGAGAGTCACGCCATGAGACTGGTCAACCCAGACAGATACATGTGCATCAGCGAGAGCGGGAAGAGGGCCCTTGTAGCATTGGTGAAGAGGAGAGCGACGGCCAGTAACTTTCCAGTTATGATTTGGGGGGAAAGTCGGGTTGGGCTATGCTCATTTCGCATACTTCGAAGGATGAATACCAGACATGGGGCATGCTCCTGGCGGCAGGGAGGGCTCAGGACCAGCGTTTGCAAGCACGAGTACGGGGTAAAGACACCTGCTTTGCCTGTGCTTGGCCCGTCCAGTCCTCTCTGGCAAAGACGAGAGCCGGGGCTCATGCTCGCAGTGTGAGTGGCTGGCCTGATTCCAACGCGCACAGATGGCGAACTAGCGATGCGGCATGCAGGCTCTGGCATCCCCGGAAACAGCAGCATGCTCGTACAGGCAGTGGGTGGGCCAGAGACGTGTCCAAGGGTTTCGCCGAGCTTGGACGGGATTCTCGACGGTACTCTTGCGGATGATGGGGCCGTCAGGTGCAGTTCTTGAAGGGCGGCTCATGACGGGAGAGACAGACAGCAAGACATGATGCAAGTCCCCGCACCGGTGAGGCTCTCCTCGTCGTCATTGGCAAAGGCAAAGGGAGACGCGGCTTATTGGCGTGTGAGTGGCTGCAAAGCTGAAAGTCTGCGGTCAAAGACAAGCGCAGGGAGAAGCAGAAGGACGAAGGATAAGGCAGGATGTTGTGGATGTTGTGGATGTTGTGGGTGGCAGGTTTGATACTCGACTTGGCATGATGCCTACTAACACGGTCAGGTGGGAGGTCGCGGTACGAGGCACAAGTACATGTACATGGACAGTACAATCAGTACAATCAGTTAGGTACCTTTACTGGGCTCGTACGCGCGTAGTCGAGAGACTTTCATTTCCCATAATGGCGGCCACATGTGAGATACTCACAGCATATTCTTTTACAGCGACTGATGAGCTGTGGCAAGCGTGGATTCGCTGATGCCATCTCAAAGTGAGAATTATTACGTTGCGGGAAGCTTTGCGCCGTTGCCATCTTACCCTGTACTCGGGCATATTCGCAGCCCTCTTCCTCATCTGTTCTTTTTGGGCGCGACATATGGATTTTTGTAAATAAGAGCTGATTATTATTTCTGCCTGTAGTCGTAAAGAGATGTTTGATTCTGCAGCTGTTAGGTCGGACATACCTGTATAGTATTATGAGTATGCTTCTCATCACATTTTTCTAGAATGAGTGTAAGGATCAAAACATTTCAAAAGGACTGATGATTACAAGCATCAAATACACCGATAGAACGAGCATCCATCAATGAGTTATCGAAGAGACACATGCAGCATATGATGGAGGTTTGAAGCTGGTTTGGTGGGCGTCAAGTACAGGGTATGACACTACATCGCGCAACTTGAGGAGGAGGGAACTTTGGTCTGAAGGCATCTGCTTGGTTGAAAAGATGCATTAAAGTATAAATCTGAATAGCTTACCCTACCCGCGCCGTTACAGTTGAACTGGGTGATATCAAAGCGATGCTTCACTATTAGGTAATAATTGCATTGGAGCAGATTTCGTTTGCTGCTCTCGAGCGAAGGATTGAGGGAACATGCAGAGGCCATCTACGGAGGACATACTTGCATTGGTACCTAGCGGTGATGTGTTGCGGTAAAACTTCAATGGATTCCAGTGGGATTTTCCAATCTCCACTCTCTGATCCTTAAATACCAAGCTGGCAACAGGCTAGTCTAGGTATTGAAATACTGTAATGCGATCCTATATATCTTCGTAGCTACCTGCTATATCTAGGAATAGGTGCAGTCTGAACTTATTATCCTCTCGCAGAAAGCGGATGCAGACATCAAATCATCGGCCAAAAACAGCAACTGGATGGTTCATCAGCGATGCTAATCCTAGCACGCAGAGGCTAGAAACAGGCGCTAGAACACTAAAAGACCACCTGGTGCACCTAAAATGCCTTCCCAGCACCTACCCAGCACCCAAGGGACGAACAAAGTACGTATGCGCCCCGCCAGCGAAAGCACTACGGCCATTACCTTATGTACATGCCTGCTCTTCAAACGCTGCCATTCGCTGCGTCACCGCCCGGCTTGCCTTGTTTGAGGAGAATGACGCCCAAACCGGGAGCTTGCCAACATGCAACCTAGCTTTTTTGCCCCTCCAGCTCCGGCTAGCATTCTACACACAGCCCCTCCCTAGTCCTCCCGCCATCTCCATTGAATCTATCCGCTACCAACGAACAAACGGGAGCCCAGCGATCCGAACGGTGGCCGTATACAGTACAGCCCTGCCCGCGTGTTTGTCTGGACGAACATCATTCTTCCAACCAATACTTGTTGCGCGGAGGACCGGCAATCGCCTCATCACCCCAACAACTTGTCCAGCTGATATTGAGGACTATCTCATACTCTGACTAAACATACGGCATATTCCATAATTCGCCGGTCTTCTTTGAGGTTCCATCTCACCCCAGATCCGGCGCTTTTCTCTCGATATCATTCTCATTCTCATTCTCTTCCTCTTCCTCTCCCGCCGTGTGCTAAACACCCACATCAAGATCCCAACATGTATGTCTTGTCCTGACTGGAGGTGACTGGAGGTGACTTGGGGGAAGGCTAACGTGAATTAACTTGCCCAGGCGCATCACTCTCAACGTCTTCAATCCTCATGGAGGAGACCAGGATAGCCTGGTGACCCTCGAAGTCTTTCCCGACATGACCGTTTCGACCCTGCGCGAGTCCGTCCTGTCCGAGGCAGGAATCCCCCCGACGTCGCAACACATCTACCACAACGGCCGACTCATCTCGGACGATGCCAAAACCATGGAGCAGCTGCAGATTGGCGATGGCGACATGCTGGCTGTCCATGTTCGGGATATGCGAGGCAGCACGGGGCCTCCGGAGTCAGCAGGGCGGCCTCCAGCTGCGGCTCGTCAACAACAAAGCGCTGCTGCCACTCCCCCGGTTGGAGCCGAAAACGACACGGAGATGCTTCGCCTCCAGATTCTGGGCGACCCCGCCGTCAGACAGCAGCTGTCCAGGCAGCACCCAGAGCTCGCTGCAGCCATCGAAGACCCCGCGCGGTTTCGAAGAATATTCCTAGACAGTCAAGACCGAGAGCGGAGAGAGCGGGAGATGCGGCAGCGCGAGATTGAAAGACTCAACGAAGACCCCTTCAATGTTGAGAACCAGAGGAGGATCGAGGAGATGATCCGCCAGGAGAGAGTCATGGAGAATCTGCAAAATGCCATGGAGCACAACCCCGAAGGTATGTACGATGACGTCCCATGACCCCTGTGAGATGCGGGGGCTGACTATGCCACGTTTACTAACTGCCTGTAACCAGTGTTTGGCCGCGTTCACTTGCTGTACGCCAATGTAGAGGTCAACGGCCACAAGGTCAAGGCTCTTGTCGACTCGGGCGCGCAAGCAACCATCATGTCGCCGTCGTGTGCAGAGGCATGTGGTATCATGCGCCTGGTTGACAAGAGGTTCGCTGGCGTTGCTCGAGGTGTCGGAACGGCTACTATCATTGGCCGGGTTCACTCTGCCCAGATTAAGATTGGAAACCTGTTTCTGCCCTGTAGTTTCACTGTGATGGAGGGAAAGTCTGTCGAGCTGCTCCTCGGCCTGGATATGCTCAAGAGATACCAGGCTCGCATCGATCTTGCAAGTGACAAGCTCATTATCCAAGGCCAAGAAATCTCGTTCCTGGGAGAAGCCGAGATTCCGAAGGAGGAGGAGGCTATTGTTCAGGAGCCTACTATCCCCGGACCGGCAGGGACCGCGATTGGCCAGAGATCCGGAGCTGTCATGCCTGCTGAAGAGGCCCCCTCGCAAACCCCTTCAAACCCTACGCCTGGAGCGCCACCACCACAGGCCCAGGCACAAGCACGACCACCGCAGCCGGCGGCACCCTCTGCCGGCGTTACACCAGCCCACATTGACAGTCTCATGGCCATGGGGGCTACCAGGGAACAGGCAATCCAAGCTCTCCAGGCTGCCGAGGATAACGTGGATATGGCGGCCAGCTTGATCTTCTTTTAAACTACCTAACTATACCTAATGAGAGCATGAGTACTAAATCAATCAGCATTTACCCCACGGCCAGGGTAGGGTGTCGTTCAGGCGAGGTTTACATAACATATGGGAATTCATGGATTTCATTTTCTTTGCTTCTTGCTTTTTATTAGGAGCAATTCGTCCTTGTATTTATTTTCTTTCAACAAGGCGACAAGTGGAGAATTCATCATGGTCGTTGGATGAGATGAAAGATGATGGCTGGGAGAGTATGTAACATCTAGAGATGCTTGGGAGGGAGCCCGTTGCGATGGATGTAATAGAGAAGAAGATAAAAGGTACAGAAGACGAAGACATGCGGAGTAGAAGCTGCTCAACAAATCGAAACGCATTATTTGCCTTGGGTCATTATGATATATCTCCACTCCTATCTAATAGTCCCTCACAACATTTTGCTCCACTGTAATTATGAAATGCCACATAAAATGATGAGTTAAGAAAGGCGATGCATCTTCTCATACAACAATCATCGAATCTTGTAAACGCATGGCTTGAGAATCGCCCCCTCGTTTTCGCCAGCCTGATCATCCGCCTCCTCATCCTGCACGCGACCAAACATCTTCTTCTTCTTTGGACCAGCGTCATCTGGCCTGACGCCCTTGCCCTTTGTAGGAGCAGCACCCTTGATGAAGCGCATCGTGACAAACATCCTGTTGGACAAGTCAACGGCCTCGCGGCCATCGCCCTGCAGGACGAAGCCGCGCCTCCTCAGGGCCTCGACAAAGGCCGAGACGTCCGTCTCGCGGCGCTGGTCGTCCTGGCCGTCCACCTCGACGGCGAGGTCCTTTTCGTAGCGGCCGGCGGCCTCGGCCTCCTTGGCCTGGAGCTCCTTCTTGGAGGGCTTGCGCCGGTTCCCGACGCTGTGGGTGACGGGGGCGTGCTTGTTGCGGACGGGGCCAAAGCGGCTCTTGATTTCGGCGACCCAGAGCTCGCCCTTCCAGTGCAGCAGGCGGTAGGCCTCTTCGACGAAGTCGAGCCAGTTGGTGCCCATGAGAGCGAGGCAGAAGATGGCTACATTGACGGAGCCGTCCTCCATGGGGATGTTGGCAATGTCGGCTTTTGTGACCAGAGGGCTGGGGCTCTGGAGGTCGAAGCTCTTGATGTCGAGATGGAGCTTGGCCTTGTCCGCCTGGAGCGACTCGGCCAGCCGGGCATCGCCACATCCCAGGTCGGCAATGGTGCACGTCCCGGCAGTCCTGGGCAGACAGCTGGCGATGAGCGGAAGCTGCGGGGCATTGGGTCTGCCCTTGCCGGGCGTCCTTATCTTGGCTCGTGTGCGAATGTCTTGCAGGAAGCTGTCGACGGGGTTTTCGGGCCAAACCTTGACCTGGCGGCGGAAGCCCTCGTGGTACTCGTCAAACATCTCGGGGGATTCTTGGAACAGCTGGAAGGCCTCTTCCGAGGGCCGCGTGTAGAGCGTCTCGTTGAGGTGGCGGAATCGTGCGGAAACCAGCTTCTCCCTCATCGTGGCCTGTAGGGGCGTCAACTTGGGCGGCGCCGGAGGCAGAACTGCTGCGGTTTCGGATTTAGATTTAGATTTGGAGGGTTCGACTGCTGCGGGTTCGTCCTGGGATTTTGATCGGCTGCCCTTTTCTTTGTTCTTTGGCTGGCTCTGGCTCTGTTGGTTGGCGTTCTCTTTCCTGTCCTTCTTGCTCTTCTTGCTCTTCTTATCGCTTCCTTGTTGTGACTTTGCATCATCAACCTCAGTCGACTTCTCGCTGCTAGCTTTGGTCTTGTCGTCGGATCCCTTCTTTTGGCGTTTCGAATCCTGTGCGGGTTTGTCGCTGCTGGGCTTCTTCCCCTCGACGACAGTCTCCCACAGATCGGCGACATTGGCCGCCGTCACAGGCTCGTCTCTTGTGGTCCTCTTCCGCTTCTTGGCCGAACCACTACTGCTTGCAGTTGCAGGCTTTTCGGCCTTGAGGGCGTCGGAAGACACTGACCACCCGGGAACGGCGAACATTTTGCTGTCTCAATTGAACACTGCTCTGTTCTGTGGATGAGATGGCGGGAGCTGGAACTTTGTCGATGGAGATGCGCTTCAGGTGCTGGAGCGTCCATGAACTTTTTTTTTTTCTGCTCTTGGTTGTTTATCGATAAGGATAAGCTCTTGTCAAGTATGGGGTTCGCCAGACAATGGCCACAGCGCCGTCAGTGGGTGGGTCAGTGCTACAACAGATCCACGATCCATCCCATCAATGGCCCTGTGAAAGCAGAGATTCTTTGCCATTTGCTTGCCATAAATACGAATGCGACCGCACATTATGGTGATGGAGCCACGATTGAAACACGATTGAAACACACTTGATGGCGGCTGAGGCATCTGCAAGAAGCGATTCTACGCTCGTTCACCTCTATCGCTACCGCAGCTGGGTCTAAGGGATCGGAACGGAACAGATCAACCAAAATCCCCGGTGATGGCCGTCTCCACTCGATCGCGCCCACCAAGGCACAATATGGAGTTGATGGAGCCAAACTACGGCATCATAGACTACCTCGTCTACTGTCTCTGTCTCTGTCCTTGTTTTTGCTTCTTTTGCAAGACTTTTTCTTTTCCAGCATTCCCAAGCCACGGCCTCGAAACTCTCGCTGCCCCCTGTTGGGGTTCCCGCAAAAAAGAGCACCTGAGCCGGTTTTGCTTTTTCTCAGCGCGCTTCGCCACTCGTCCTGGGCCGCCCTACTGCATGGGGGACTGACAAAGGCTCGCAGGACTGCCGTACGAGTTATGTTGGGAGGCTGGGAATGTCTCAGCCGCAATGTCTTGGACGGGCTGCTATTCTCGCAAATATTGACCTGGACAATAAGACTTGGTACCAGTACTTGTCCATGGCCGGAGCACTAGTCCGGCCTAATGCACCCTGTATGTGATGGCCTTGGTCTCTGGAGGTGACAGTAGCCGAGACTGCAGCCATCTCCATGTCAAGCCAGTCAAAGCATCCGGCTGGGCAGTTATCACCGAAGGATTGGAGAGCTCAAGGCAGGGAGATATGCAGAGCCACGTATCACTAAGACTAAAGCATGCAAGGCACGATTATTGCCTCTCAATTCTCAATTCCACGGATTTTATGCACATGCGGGCAGCATAAACACCCACCCGCCTTGCCATCAGACTATCACTGGCCCAGCATTAGCAGCCGATACACACAAACGATGTCTCCGGGCAAATCGGAAGCGTTTGTCGCCCAGCCGCTGTCTGAGGTGGCGGATTTTGGTACGTGGACGTTCAATGCATTCACAAAGGCCTCTGCATGTACCCCTCCCTAAGGTACTAACCAATATAGCAGCACCTCTACTAAGAAACTGCGAGCATACTAATACCTCTAGGTTGCCTTACTAAGGTACCTACTACCTGCCTCTATATAAGACGTGCTGTTTCAGCTCTCCCGGCGACTGGAGCCTTGTCTCGTTTCCCTCATCTTGGGCGCCAAATCCAAGGCATCTCAGCATCCAGCTTGAGCAGCCATGGCGCAAAACTTTTTCCTCTATCTTGTCAAGCCGCATTGCGTCCTCTGTCGAAATGACTTGCCGCGCCGGCGGGGTTTGAGAATCCCCAGAGGAAGCTCCATGGAGTGGGAGAAGGATGTGGCGGGCTGTAGGTCAGATTGAGATACGGACGGCTGCCTTTTGCTTACCAGTTGTGATATCGCAGTCTTTGACGTGGCTCTCAATCAGTCTCAAGACCCCGTGGTCTATACTCTCAATACTACTCTCGATGAAGATGGCCCCGTTCTCGACCCGACATTTGATCTGGAACACCAAGGCGTCAAGATGACAGTTACCGTGGCTCGTGACAATCCCAACCCAAGTGCCAAGCATCGGCCCTTATTCTTTGCCCATCAGCTCTGTTGCAAACTCGTTGAAAAGCTGCAGGGAAGCGTTTCCTTCCGTGATCTTTACTATATAGCAATGCAAACGCATAAAATCTTGGCCCAAGATTTCTGGGGTGAAGAACATCCGACCAGTCTCGCCTCATTTGAGGGTACCCTCCAGAGCGGAATCGTTGACACTGAGAATACAAGCTTGGGATCTTGCCTCTTACAATGCTACACGCTTCCCCTAGAATTGCAAGGCTATGTATTGACATATCTCTTTGCGGATGGGAATATGAATAGGGATGGGAACAATATCGTATCTTCGCTAATGACGGCTATCCAAACCCTTACAATTGGCTGTCTTCCTGCTTCTTCGGATGTCCACAATCACCCCAGCTTCAGAAAACTATTGCCCGCGGACCATGTTGAGGTAGCTCACGTTTCCGCCTCTGTCGCCACCTTGTTTGGGCGCCCCTATATGAGGGCGATTGAGGTTTTCCACAGCCAAGACCATCACGATGTTCCGGGCCAGCAGTGTGTCGAACTGAAGATAGATTCTGTTTGCCAGATAGAGTTTGTTGTCGGAATGTACGGCATAACGGCCATCAGATTTCACTTAAACGACAACTCTGTCTCTCCCTGGCTGGGAGATGCTGGAAGAGGATGGCGTTGCAAGCCAATCGATGTCACCCGTAACGACCTCAGCTTTCCGAAAAAGGTAAGAGATTTCTTCATTATAACTGATTGCCGTTTTCTAATCCATGGATATCCATATTAGGGACAGCAAGGTGTTGTTCAACGCTTTGCCCAACTTCTTGTTCGGACCCCGGCGGATGCGCCTCTCACCGCCTTCTGGGATGCTTCCATGAAACCGTTTCACGATGGCGTGTGCTTCCTTACTCACTATTTCACAGAGATACATGAGGTGCGGCTCAGCCCTTTCCCGGGGCGGCCGATGTGTGTGTATTTGCCGCTACAACTCAATGGTCGACCTGTCACTGGAATAACAGTATATGCGTCCGACCTCGGCACCACGTGCATTGCGGTTCATGAAAAAGGCGCTCATTACAGGGTGTCAGCCCCTGACAGAAGAGGGGTATCATGGACTTTCCATTTCAAAGAGGGAGAAGAAATCGAAACGCTGGGCCTCGTGACAACCGGCCAGAGCGGTCACCGGTGTGGCCCGTTTATGCTGGTAAGAACTTCTTCATGCAACCTTAAAGGCACAGTAGCATTGACCTATGAGCTTGGCTTCGCACATTAGTTTAAAACAAATCTAGATAGGATCGCGTATTTCGGCCCTCAAACAGCACTGCAAGATACAAGCGCCCAATGGGTGTCCTTGATACCGGATCACTTGAAAGAAAAATGTGCGGTTGTAGGCCTGGTTGTGGACAAGGCGGCAATATCATTGGACGGCATCAAAACCATTGGAGTTCGCTGCATGCCAAAAGAAGGTGTTGCCACCAATAAAGCACCGGTCTCCTCATCCGGGCTACACTTGACTCTACCGACACCTCCAAGATGCGTGAAGCGAAGGCGTTTCAAGCACGAAGGAGTTGTGACCAGAGCCCACCTTTACGACATCAAACAGATCCGACTTCTAACGAAGCCAGCTCGTGATTTTGATAATTTACCTATACTTCGCTACTGCGGGCTATGGATCCTCCATGGCGACGGATCGGTCGATACAATCGGCTGTTGGGATGGCGCCTTGACCAAGAGCGCCAAAGTCATCTACGACGAGACACAGGGCCGACTGACTCGCATCATTTTCCGGGTCAAAGACGGAAGATATCCGGAAAACCCGACTGATTTAGTTCCTTTCATCTTCAACATCACGATCAGAATAACACCGCATGACAGCAGCGAGCAAGATCGTGAAGAGGAGCCCTCTCACTACGATGAGATTGGCAACTATATCACCTATTGTAAGACTGGGTGGAAGAAATATGTGAGTAATACAGTTTAACACTATGGGCAAAGAGTAATTATTACTGAAGATTGTGCTGACGACCAAAACAACAAAAATGTAGGTTGTTTGGACTTATTCTCCAAATTCTGATAACGTCCAGCACGCTTCCTCCGAGACTAAAAACTTCAGTATACCACCGCATAATGAATGTAATTTAGTGCAGATAGAGAATTAGTGAATAAATTGAGATTGGGGATCAAAATTCGGCGAAGAAATCTTTGGGTGGTGGCAATCTACAGTTTGACCCGGCTTGGATATATTGATTGCCCTTTTCTTTTTAGTTATGTTAAATAGGTACACAGGGAAAAAGAGAATGAAAATCTATGATAGTTACATAATCGCAGATCGAGTTATACTCCATACATGCTAGGGCAAACTAGAAAGTGGAAGCAATCTTGGATTAAGATGCAATTCTAGACAGAAAGCGGCATAGTCCATCTATCAAATATTAAGCTTGTCATCAGCCTCCCGAAGCCAGCTTCTAGAAGACGTTCGCGGGATAATGTGGAGCCATCCAAAGTCTTTGCAAAGACTGGCAGCTCTCGTATAATGCCAAACGAGATGCTCTTCCGAGCTCAAGTTACTATAAGCAATGTACATAGATCGCCGGGATGTGTCGGTAATCTGACAGTATGGATGCACGGCTAGCAATTGATGTACGTATCGAGATTTTCAAGGGGCAGCAAAAGAAAGGGGAAGTGTCCTTGAATCCAGAACAGACATCTTGCCTCACTGTCTTACCTCTCTGCTCACCGTAACTTGCACCAACATATGCCGTAGAATCAGAGCTATTGTGGGAAAGTGATGCGAGATGCAAGTTCTTAGAGGGACAAATCGCCATGGCTAGCCGCCGACGGGAGGGACGGACTTTGTTCAATATTACACTGCCTTGCGCAAGCCGGATCCGGGTTTCCAATCATAGACCGGAGACCATGACAAGATAGAAGAAGGGAGGAAAGATTATTCAAGTTTCGAGATCAGATGCTCACCTGAGAATACCTGAGTATGCAACCTCATCGCCGTTCGATTGTGGCGGGACCAGTATTGAGTGAACGTCAGTGATTCTGGGTCTACGGGCGACTCAACCTCTATAGAGACAGTGACAGTGCAGGCAAGCATGCAAACCAGGTCACCAGATATATGAATCGGTGACTTGAAAGCAAGACCAGAGCTTATATCCACAGACATGGGATGGTCAGCTCACCCACATTCCCGACAGAGATGGGAGGATCCATCGTACCCGCGCCCTTGGTAAGACACAATACGTCGAGGCGGCAGAGGACAAAACGGGCAGCGAGGGTGTTTGCATGGCGAGCTGCGGCCCTCAAAGCGAGCCCACGGCACGCGTAACATGTGTCGCGCTTTTGGCCAGATCCACAGAGCGACAATACACTATTCTGGCGCATGGTGACATGAATATCTCTCATCCGCTCCCGAGACAGCGGCGAGGTACTACAGAGATTTAGTCCACGACAGCAGATCTGGTCGGGCCCCGGTCCCCTGCCGTTGCATGTGCTGCCGCGCACAAGGATAGAGCGAAGGAGCTTATGGTGATGCCAGGGAACAACGGCCCTGCGGAAGCGGTAGTCTCAGACACGGCCGAGGTCAATTGTAGATGGTGAGGTTGGAGGAGGGGGGAGTCGAAGTCTTGCATGAGCTCTGGCCTCGTCCCCTCTTCGGAGGTGAGAACGCCCTGACTGTTTTGTGGCCCCCATCATGATCCGCTGGCTGGGGAACAGCTGTCTACCCAATGTTGGCTCCGCAGATATGGTAACCATCTTGTATGTGTGAATATGAGTCTGTGTGTGTTGGTTTCTAGCTTAGTACAATCCACGTTTATTGAGTATCCTTATCTGTGAGGTCTGTGGCGCTGGAGATGACGCAGGAAGCCGTGACGAGACATGGCGTATTTTGTCCATCCAGCACGACGATAATGAACTACAGTACAGTCGTATCTGCAGTGCTGCCGCTGCCGCTGGTCTCATCCATGGAAGCAGAGCGGTAAAAGGTCATGCCATGCCATGAAAATTGTGAGTCAAGAGACTTTAGGTCGCACGTGGCGACAAGTTTGTGTACCACAGAGACATAATTCGACCAACATAAGCGGCGGCGGATCAACAACAAGGTGCATGATCTAGAGTGACGGCGTTTTGGCGGTGAGTGGATCATGTTCGTAGATGGCCAAAGGACAACACCGAAAGTGAGGTTGACGATGATTAAGTGAGGATCAACAGTCTGTCCAATATACTCTTCCTGTACCGCCCATGTATCGTGGCAGAGAGTGCAGGTACAGTGTGTATAGCTACACCTACACCTAGACATGCTGCGTGTGAAGGGACCGAGATGCCCGGTATGTGTCGTATCTCTCTGTTTATCCGCCTTGTCTTGTCCCGTCCGTCTCGCTCCCGGATCCCGAGTCTCCACAGGTTCGACACGTTACGGAGCAGCCGCTCCCGCAACCCGCGAGGCTGTGGTCAATGGCTTTCTTAGGTAATTGTCAAGATCCACCAACAACACAGTCAGGTGTCTGAGCGGTAATTGTCGTCGGGCCTGGGTGGCTGGCGCGGACAAACACTTGCGCCATTGAACGACACCCGAAGCCGCTGAACCTGGCTGTGCGACACAACTCACTGCTCTGGTGCCTCTCGCTGCATCGCCGTCGGCATCGAAAAAGGCTTGGCAGCGCTTGTTGGACCGGTGAGAAGCTTAGTTGAGTACTAGGGGAAACCAGCCGCATTAGGGTGATTTTAGAGGTTTGGCAAATGCAAGCCATAGCATGGCCAGGAACAGCGCATCGCTGCATGGCCTGGCAGATCTGCTCGTTCCTTGAGTAAGCCGCCGGAAGTTCGGCTCGGCCACCACAAGATTCGAGTCCACCATTATATTCGTAGGCTTGGTAGGCGCAACGAGAGCCTGATGGTTGAATACACCAAGTTGTTTCGTTCACGTCTTTAACATTGCGTGGGCGCTGTGATGCTGGGACATCGCAATGCTGGTTTTCAGTTAGAAGCCCATATCTGGATGTTCATAAATGATATCAATCATAGCCCTTCTTCTGCTGCATCTGCATATATGTTCTTGGTCTGCTTATCAAAGGGGATCGGCGACGGCCTTTTTTTTCTGTTCTCTACCTTGTATCTCACTCACCTTTCTTACCTTCATAATCACACTGTCGTGCTTGCCCGATCATTCTTCTTTGTGACTTTTCCCTCGCGACACCAAACAGCTCTCATGATGGTTCATGCGCGTGTTTTTTTAATCGGCGAGAAAGCTGTTCGAGTCGTCCACTTGAGAAAAACTGCTGCCAAGACAATAGAGGACCGCAATCTCGTCCTTCTAAAGTCGCCTTTAGAAGCGGCTTTAGAATAAGAAACTTGGTATCGGACAATGGGTGCATATCCACGACGGCGCCGTCAGCCTTGAAGCAGTGTCTTATGCTTGTTCACACGCTGGCCTGTGCCCGCCACAGATTCAACACCATGGTGTAGTAGCTGGAGCCGACTGCGCATGGATAAAGCTGGCACAACATCGAAAAAAGGTCGGGCGTCTAACATGCATGCCTAGCCATCTGGGCTAAGGCCGGGGCAGATTACCGGCCGAAGTTGCAAGACCAGCAGGAGAGCAGTTCTGTTCGTCTTACCACGAGAAGCAAAAAGATTTGACGCCATCTCTTGTTTTATATAGGATGGATCTTCTCACTTGCTCTTGGACCGAGGAACCTGGAAAAAAAAGTTATTGTATTTCTTTTTGTCTCTCCTGCAGGCTTAGATGACCAATACTGTTGGTGATACAACCCACCTGAGCAAATAAAGCGAGGAGATAAAGGAGGGGGAGAAAACAGAAAAGAGCAACCACCCCAGCCTCTTGAGCTTGAGAACCTATACCTCTACTTATTCGGTACCTGGCTTTCCTTGCCTGCCTCGATTCGGCATCTGCGCGTGAATCCAACCTCCAAGACAGGCGCGTCGTGAATAGCTGATTCCGACCCGCGAGTCTGTCTGTCTCCCTGGAATCTGTGTCGACCAACAGCACGGTGCCATCCGCCCAGCTTGGCACCTTTGACATCCCGGCATCCCAGCACGCTCGTGTTCTCCTTGCGGTCCACGCCTCATCCCCCCTTCCCCTCTGCGCTGCGGCCTTTCTGCAAACTCCCGCGGAGAGACAGAGACAGAGGGCTGCACCTGTTCGCCGGTCCGGCCCCGATCTGAAGTATTGATTGGTCTCTCCCGGTTGGTTCTCGATCGGAAGGAAAGGTACCTACTCTGGGTTTTGCCGACAGCCTGAAGCATCAGAGTACTACTCTAGGTACAACCCGATTTCTTGTGTCTGCGCGTCATGTTATCCGTCTGGCTCCGGCTGCTCTAAAACAGGACAAGTCAGTGTTTGCGTCTGCCGGTGCCGCTGCTTGCTTGCCGACTCAGCGGTATGTCAAGTATAATGATAATGTGTCAATAGACGCTCTCTCCCGGATGAATCTCGAGGTTGTTCCTTGCCAGCTAACAGTCTCTATTAGCAGCAGCTCACCACCCTGATTGGAACAAGAGGTAGGGCCTACGTTGGTAAAGTGACTGACTCACCTGTACTTGTCAGGTTCCATAGGTATTCCTGCCTGAGCTTCTACTATTGTCACTTCAGGTCTTGAACTCTCCCACTTCTACTGCTGAGTACCTCTACATCTGGTATGTTTTGCTGCTGTTGTTGATGGGTATACCTTGTAGTTCCGAGCAAGTATCTTCAGCTGCGGCCCCTGCTTGGATGATACCTTCAGCACTAACTCGAAGCACCAAGAGCTACCTCAGGACAAGGTAGCAGGTGGTAGCTGGTCCCAGGAACGGAAATACAGGTAAGTTGGAGGGGAGCGCCTGCCCTGTCTTGGGCGACCGCCAGCAGTCCATTTTCTCGTCTTTTTTACTCCACCCCTCCCCCCTTCTCCGCCACACCCTCAACACCTCATCACAGATCTCGAGATGCCTTAGTGCTACTCATGCTCTGCCAGGTACTTGTTCCAAAAAAAGCAATGTGAAAAAGGATCAGGGAAAAAAAAAGAAAGAAAAAAAAAAAATACCACCTGCGATCACTTGCATGTGCGCTTGCTCTCTTTTCTCTTCTTTCCCTTTCCTCCCTGCTCCTTTTGTTCCTCTTATTGGTCCCCCCTCCTCATTTCTACCTTCCCCTCTTCAATTCTCTCTTATACATGCTACGTTTTACCCGTTCATTTTTCTTGCTCTCGTCTTCTCTCCTTAATTGTCTTGCCTCGCTACTGGCAGCGGCTGTAATCGCATGTCTTCAGTTGGGCCTCCTCTTCGTACAGCTCGACGCCTCATCCTGGTCCTGCTGTGCCCTCGAGTTACACCGGCCATGTTCCACTTGCTGCCATTCTTCTCCTCTTGTCCATCCGCTACTTGATGCTTTCGTCCTTTCGGCCAGTTGTGCTAATACCATCATCTCCCCCCCTAGTGGCTGAGCACAGCAGCAAGTGGTGTCATCTTCCTTCTCTTCCGCTGCACCGCCTGCGGGTTTCGAGGCCGCCGTCCTCCCAGTCCTGTCCCCTCACATGCTGATCTCCTCCCCTTACTTACGGTAAATTATCTCACCGCATGCCCCAGGGTGATATATGCTTCTCCCCAAATACGTCTACTGTCTTGGGGTCGTTTAGCTCGCTTCAGCATTCTTGAAACTGTTTCATCAACCGGTGTCTGGCTCTTCATCGTACGGAAAGACACGACGGAATCTGAACGACTATTGCTGCGTAATATCCGGCTCTCCCACGAGGCAAAGAATTTCATCATGGAGGAACACTCTGCTACAGCAACAAAGGCTACCTTGGCAGAGTCCCAGGGAAGCTCCTCACAGCAGAATGACGGAGGGAAGGACGATGTGAATCGTAAAAAGACGAGCACAAGAAAGCGAACCAAGACTGGTTGTCTCAGTGAGTAACAGTTGAACTCCATGGTTTTCAGCCTTCTCTTTCCCCTTCTTCTTGTCCTCTTGTTCTTTCCGCCTCCACTTCCATCTGACAGAAGCTCTTGTCTTTAGCCTGTCGTAGGAGGCGAATCAAATGCGACGAAGGCAGACCAATTTGCCACAACTGCATCAAATCGAGACGAGATTGCGAAGGATATAGCCAAAGAGTCATATTTAAGGAACCTCTTGGCTCGTTCTCGTCTCCTTTTAACCAGGCAATCTTTTCTGGTCCCTCAGGCATCGTTGATGAGTCTCTGCCTGCACACCGGCAGTCCTCAAGGGGACTATTTCCGGCCATCGCGCCGAGACCACCGACCTTTGACCAACACCAGCATGGCTTGCCACTTCAGCCTGCTTCTGCTCCATATCAGCAGCAGTTTCATCGAGGACCAGTGTTGCAAGACCCTGCAGCTTATAGTATGGGCTCTGGCCAGTTTCTGCAGACTCCCTACAATCCGCAGTTCCCCAACCCCCTACTTGCGGCAGAAGCCAACGGAGGGCCTGGTTACTTTACTAGGCCCCCCCCTGATGCTCAGTATTTTTCTCTCCAAGATGGCAGCGCTGCTGGAGATATGCTTGGCAATTTCGGTAATCTAAATGGCAACCACTCGCTCAATGTCCACATAGGGGGAGCCATGACCCAACCCCTAAGCAATCAATGGGAATTCGACATGCTGGATGATGAAGCCTCCTTGCCTGATTCCGACGACGATTTACCGGACGTTAGAGGCAACCTGCCGCCGATAAAAAACTTGGCACCAGAACGCTGGACTGTAAGTCCTGTAGACGTCAGTGTCTTTTCGGCCTTTGCCCAGAGCGACGACGTCCAAGCACACATGGAGACTCCTTATTCCTCTGAATTCTGGGCTAGTGGCCTGAACACAATCTTCATGCATTTTATCAATGTCACTGGGCCCGGAATCTCAATCTTCGAAGGAGACATTTCTTGTGCTTCAGACAGATCCCGAAGCAAGGCTACGGCTGGATCTGGGAAGAGCCTATGGAGCTGTAAGTCAATTCCCTTGCATGAAGGACAGAACGAGAAGCCTTCTGACATTTCAAGTAGACGCCATTCCCTCACTGGCGCTTCAACATCTTGGCCTATTTCATGCGATGCTCGCACTTGCAAGCATTCAGCTTGCGAAGCTTCGAGACAGCCCTCCGACGGCAGCCTTGAGGCATTATCATCGCGCCATACGCCGCATAGCGAAAAGCGTCAAGTCGCCTGCCAAGAGAACACAGCCGGCAACTCTTGCTGCCACTCTCTTGCTCGGCTACTTTGAGGTCTGGTCGTCTGATCACACCAAATGGTGCAATCACTTGTTTGGCGCTAGGATTCTATTCCGCGAGATGTCTTTAGCAGATATGACCCGATCATGTTTCCCTGCGAAGCGCATGCGACAGCGCCAGGAAGCTAGAGGGTATCAACTAGGACACATAAGCTCCTATTTTTATGGCTCTCATTGCCACCCAGCGGCAACACAAAATGTGCAAAAATCTCTCGACTATGGCCTTTTGAATGCAATCACAGGACTCACTGTGTCTCCGGAAGCTTACGGCGATGTAGAGGGTCAGCTATCAGACGAGAAATATTCTTCGGTAACCGATAAAGAAATTGAAAAATATGATATTATTTGCGATCTATTCTGGTGGTATTGCAAAATGGATGTCTATCAGAGCATCTTGGGGGGAACCAAGTTATTGTATGTCCCTTTCTCCTATGGCCGGCTGAAGGATGTATCGCTAAACTAGAAAGCATGGAATATGAAAATTGGACACAGATTCCCCCGAGAGCTCCCTTTTCAACATATTCATCAGCGTATGTTAAATCCGCCCCTCTCCTCCCATTTAACCTTGAGCAATCACACTCAAAGCTGACACCCAGTTAGATATGGAACGTATGACCACTTGGTTTTGTTGCTTGGTCGCCTCTCGGACTTTGTGTCGAAGGACTTATCTCGGAAACAAAAAGCCATAGAAGCTAAAGGAGAGAACGCTGGAACCGGATCCCCCCCAATGTTCCCAGGCATGTTCCCGACCTTTGGGAAAGTACAGGCCCCTATGGGATTTAGTCCTCCACGAGATGGCACGCCGCACAGTGATTCTCAGGATGACATTGACCCAGAAGCTAGCTATGAAGCTGCACTGCAAGAATGGAATGCTATTTACCGTTCCTTCCAGATTTTCAAGAGCCGTCTTGGGCCCGAATTTCAACCCCTCAGCGATGAACTTGAGGAACAGACAAAGACGCCATTCGGGGACCCGATCTACTTTCGAACATACTCCATCGCTGGCATCTGGATGAACTACTACATGGGATTCATTCACCTTTATAGAAGCCATCCCTCGATGCCGCCAGTTGCAATGCGGGCGGCGGGGTTGATGGCTAAGAAGACGGCGGGGTTTGCTCTCAGGATTGGGCAGATTGCTTCCGGGCTCGCTGCCGACTGCTCAGAGTACACGGTGATAAATACATACCTCGGTGCTGCCCTCATTGAGAGTTCATTCTGCGTCTTTGTAGCAGGCGTACAGGTTCGTACAAAAGCCATTCCACCCCCCAACCTCTTTCAGTTGAATGTATGTCTACCTATGGGTAATATACTAATGGTCTTTTAGTATAATGACACTAGGCAGAGAGAATGGGTCATTCAGAGAATGCATGACATTGCGCGCCTCACTGGATGGCAGTCAGCGATGCAGATTGCCTGCGGCTGTGAATCGGCGTGGATAAAATCTAGCCAGATGGGAGGACCGGCATATACACGTCCAACAATCATCAACAATGTTCCGTCTACAATATGGAAAAATCCTCGCCGGATTGATAAGAAAATCGACGAGTCTGAATCGGGCGAAGAACGGCGGTTAGTACTGGCCAAGGCTGAAAGAACACATTACGCAATCGGGATACTAGCAATCGAAACAGAACTCGCGAGACTCGAACTTCGAGACGATTTAAACTAACGAGCGGCATAGAATGTGTGATGTCTTAGAAGGGCAAACGCAGAATAGAGTGCGGAATAGAGAGCAGAGGGGGAAAAGGAGCAAAAGAAAAAAAAAAGAAAACAGAAAAAAAAAGAACAAAGGAAGGAAGGAAAGAGAAACAGAAAGAGAAAAAAGGCTCAAGTATCGATGAACAGGCAAACGGGCTCACATTCACAGTGATTTTTGGCAGACGGCATTATACTAATACATGGGAGTATTTGTGTGAAGGATTTTCGCAGCGTTTATGAGAGGGTAATGAGAGACTGGAGTGGGAAAGGGCAAGGAGTAAAGGGGCAACAGGCTGCTGGCGTGGGAAATTTACTATTGACGAAATCAAGTGCAAATGCGATCATCTTGTTTGCTTTCTGACATTGAGATATCTGGTACTCTAGCATGTATCTTGCCTACCTACGTGGTAGTACCTAGCAGTATTGATGCAGTCCGCGGGCTGGCTGAGCGAGCTTGCGCGCACTCACTCATATAGTCACTCGCATGAATGAAGAAGGGGAGGATTGCAATTAACGCAGTTATTTTCTATTCTCGTTACGCGTATCGTTGTTGATTAGTTTGATGGTAGCCGATCGACGACAGCCGCCATCTCGTCGTCTGTGTATATTCTGAAGCCCTTGTCTTTGGTGACACTGGCTAGCTGCACATTTTTGGAGTCTAGCTTCTCCTCCATTACTTGTTTCAGAGTCTTGAGAACCAGTGTCTCCGCATCGGCGATTGTTAAGGACTATCAAGCTTGTTAGTGAGTGCTGCATAGGTACTCATGTAGTTAAATATGAAGGTGAAAAGTAAGCCGACCTTGTGATATTCGTTTTGCAGCTCTGCCTGCGCTCCCTCAGAACCCGATCCAATAGCCTTGGCGTCAAACCGATAAAATGTGCCACTGGGCTCTGCATGGAACAACTGAGGACCGTTCTCGTCGAAGCCGGCAATGAGGAGCGCAACACCAAAGGGCCGGCTCATGATGGTCTCCTCTCCGTCAGCGCCCTCTCCGAAGCGCAGGGCAAGGTCGCAAATCGCCTGGGTGCAGCTCTCTACGCTGAGGGACTCGTTGTAGTTGAAGGCGTGGCTCTGGCACTCGACGCGGGCGTGCTCAATCATGGATCTGGCGTCGGCCTGGAGGCCGGACATGGCGCAGCCGATGTGGCGGTCGATCTCGACAATCTTTTCGACGGAGGAGGTTTCGAGGAGGGAGGATGTGACTCGCTTTTCGACGCCGAGGATGACGCCCTCGGATGTTGCAATTCCAATGGCGGTCGACCCGAGCTTGATGGCCTCGAGCGAGTATTCCACCTGGAAGAGACGACCTTCGGGGGAGAAGGTGTTGATGCCCCGGTCTGCGGGTGCGTTGGAAGTTAGCACAAGTTCCTTGTCTGTCTATTCGTATGTGCATTTGTCGGAGTGCCTCTGATCGTTTTGTGCCTGCTTCGTCACAAGAACAGAGGAAGAGAGCTTAGGAGGGGAGAGGAGGGGGGAAGCTGCTTGCCGTATTCAGATCTTGCCATAAACATCTTGACTGATTGTGTGGTTGGATTGGCCTAGAGATGCCGGTGAATGCCTTTGGTAGGACGAAAGAGTGGTGGAGAGAAGAGGAGAGGGTGGTGAGGCTGCGAGAAAGGCTGAGCGAAGGATGAAGCTGCGAAGTTGCTTGCTATACTTGCTATCAGGCAAACACTGGGCCTACGCATCCAGCTTCCCTGCTCCAGGTTCCGCAGTATGAGTACGTACCTCGTAGTGGGGGAGGCAGAGAGAGAGAGAGAGAGACGCCGGCGCACCGCCACAGCTGGCGCCACAGGTCGAACTTGCAAGCTTACAGTACCTTAGTAGCAAGAGTAGTTACTAAGGTACACTGCCGGAAGCGTGGTTAATCCGGCGCACGGAATGGCAACCGCGACGCGCCTGGTGGCCGTGTTTCACCCCACCATGCACCGGTTGAATCAATACAGCAGGTACTCCATAGTAGCTGGTAGAGCTTGCCTTGTGACTGCTGCGCATGGCAGGCCATAAACGAACTACACTGCACTGCACTTATACCCAGCACCGGCAAAAGTTCGTTACCATCACCACAGCCCTCACCTCACAGCGGAAAAAGGGAAAAAACCGAGAAGCGAAAACAAGACGAAAAAGCAATCTCCATGATAGTAAGAGGGTGAAGGGCATTTCTTTTAGGCTGGCCCAAGGCGACTGGTACATCCCTTTCCGCAGCTGCGGATGTAGCTCGCCAGCATGTCGTCTGGCGTAAGAACGAGGGCATCAAGCCGCGCCAACGCCTTTGCTGACGAGCGATCCCGGGTTTCTGGAGCCAATGGAAGCTTCCGAAGTGGCACGGCGGATGCGAAGAATGCAGAGCCCCAATTGGGAGCCAACGAATCAAATAAGCGGTCCTCGCCAGGCCATGCGAGAGAGAGACTGGGCAAGGAGAGGCGCTTCGAGGAGCGCAAAGTCATAGAGCGGTCCTTTGAAGCCCATGTGGAGCGAGTCACGTCGCGGACAGCCAGTCCTGCCAAGCAAGAGCAGCAACGGCGCGCCCAGCAGCAGGCAGAGATGAGGCCGGCCGAGATGCGCAGGCAAAAGTCGTCGACCGAGCTGCGGCCCAGAGACGTGCGGGCAGAGACGCCTCCAGGTACGGTGTATTCTCCTTTCTTTTCCCCCGGGTGTTTGCTGCTTCCTTTACTTCCACATGAATCGCTCTGTGTTTCTCGTTGAGAGCTGACTTGTACTTGTCATGATAAAGTCGTCTGGAACCCGGAGGCGTCGTTGCTGCCGCATACCTCGGCCGCCCTGGCCTCCCGAATATCGATCCCCCCGATTGCATTTGCGATTCCGTTTGCACCACAGCCGAAACCCCTGAACGAACTGACATTGGAGGCTCAAGAGGCAGCCATTGTCGAGGATCTGTTATATGTTTTCATGGGGTACGAAGGGCAGTACATTCGATATGCTCGAGGGTATAGTCCCAACGAAGAGAGGGACCGACTGTCCGGGCCGCCCTTTCGGATCTTACCAGGTCTTGATCCCAGTTTACACGACCTGACCAAGTCCATGTTGAAGATGGCGACCTACTACTCGGCTTTGGAAGCCTTTGTCGACGTGCAGAGCCGTGAGGAGTTTGGTGCTGTGAACCATGCGCTGTGCGCGTCAGTGAGAAAGTGCTTGCAGGACTACCTGGTCATGATTGCACAGCTCGAGACGCAGTTTCTGACGAGCGAGTCGTTCACCGTCCACGTCCTCAACATACACACCCTACCTACGTGCCAGATGCTGTCTCACCTCTACGCAATGGCACAAGAACTCTTGAAGAAGAACGCGCTGTTGGACGACGAAAGCGATGAGGAAGATGACGATGAAATAGACGATTATGACAAGGTCCTCGAGAGGCTTGCTGAGGGAGGAGAGCTTGTTCCTGGAAGTTCCAAAGCCTTAAAGGTCTGCAAGGGCGGCAGCGTTTTGGGCCTGTTGGCCTCAAGGCTTGAATCAATGGGTGGTGACCCGGCTGCCCGATCTCTGTTAACGACATTATTGCGGGACGCCAGTCGGCCGTATATGAAGATGCTGAATGAATGGCTACACCATGGCAGCATCCATGACCCCCATGCCGAGTTTATGATTAGAGAACAGAAGAGCATCGGACGAGAGAGACTCGAGAGGGATTATATTGATGAGTACTGGGAGAGAAGGTACACTATTCGAGACCAAGACGTGCCACCCCAGCTGGAAGGCGTCAAAGAGAAAGTGCTGCTGGCCGGCAAGTATCTCAACGTCGTTCGCGAATGCGGTGGAGTAGATGTAAGCAAAATCGTGACAGAACTACCAACGTCGTTCGACGATAAGCGATTCATCGAAAACGTCAACAACGCCTACGCCCATGCCAACGAGTCTCTCATGCAGCTCCTCCTTACGACGCATGAGCTGCCGTTGAGATTGCGTTCGCTCAAACACTACTTCTTCCTCGACCCTTCAGACTCGTTTTCATACTTCCTCGAGCTTGGCTCATCAGAATTAAGGAAACCAGCCAAGAGTGTCAACACAAGCAAGTTGCAGTCCCTACTGGATCTAGTCCTGCGCCAACCCGGAACCGTGGCCTCGCTAGATCCATTCAAAGAGGATGTCAAGGTGGAGATGAACGAGATCACCCTGATCAATAACCTCCAGCGGGTAGTGAACATCACAGGGATAGAGTCCGGCCAAGTGATGCAGCCCGTTACCAACCAGCAACCCATTGAACCAGATAAGAACGCAACGGGTTTTACGTCGCTGCAGCTGGATTATTCAGTTCCGTTTCCCGTCTCTCTGGTAATAAGCCGCAAGACAGTCTGGCGTTACCAGGCGCTCTTCCGTTTTCTGCTTCACCTTCGCTACTTGGAATCTCAACTGTCATCGACGTGGCAATCACACACCGGAGCCGTGACCTGGTCTCACAAGGGCCCGAATCGGGAACTTGAGGCCCTGAAGCGACGTACCTGGACATTAAGAGGGAGAATGCTTGTTTACATTCAGCAGGTGCTGTATTTCTGCACTGCGGAGGTGATTGAGCCAAACTGGACAAAGTTCATGTCTCGGCTGAAAGCCAAGGACGAGATGTCGGACAAGCCATCCGGGTTCAACCGGACAGTGGACGAGTTGATGCAGGACCACGTAGACTTTTTAGATACGTGCCTCAAGGAATGCATGCTTACAAACAGCAAGCTACTCAAGGTATGTTGACGATCTCTCTTTGCCCTCTGTTGGGAGACGCTTATGCCATTTACATTCTGCCATCTTTCTTGTCTTGTTCAATGCTAATACCGTTGTTTGTCTAGGTCAACTCTAAACTTATGCAAGCATGTGCCATCTTCTCGCAGTACACTAATTTTGTCACTCGCGAGATTGAAAAGATCGATCCCGACCTCTCCAGCGGCATCAAGCCCGACACCATGACCCACGATCAATGGCAGCGCTTCCAGACCACCAAGGTGCCCTCCTCCCGCTCGACGTCAGCACAGAATGATGCGTCGACCGTGGACGACACAGAGGCACGCATGAATCATCTTTCCGACATTGTCCGCAAGTGGGAGAGCAATTTTGGCCGCCATATGAAGATCCTCTCCGACTCGCTGAACCACTACGCTGCGACGGAGACTGTGGTGCTGCTGAGTCTTTGCGCTAGGCTGAGCTCTGTGAATCAGGGTACTGAGTGGGCTGCTATTGGAGCCGAGGAGGATGATCAGCCATAGATATCTGAGAGGGAGGTGCGCCTTTGAAAAGGATATTCTTCAAGGAGCATGTTGTCATTTCCGTCCTCTAACGACTGCTTTATGAACTTGTCAGATTATGTTGGGCCGCGATTTGATCTTTTGGGTGTAACGGCGTTGGACATGTCAAGAGTCAGGGGGGAGTAGGAGTGGGCACACTGATTGAACGTAATTACAAGGGGGATCTTCAGTATCATCAGCAACTAATCTCCAGCTGTTGTGTCACGACCAGATGAAACACCGATGGAAAAGGGAAAAGGTCACGGAAAGGGCATCTCTAAGCACAAGGTTATCATACCCCGCAAACAAACGTTCATATTTTTTGAGCGATATATATCAACCGATATAATAGATCCTCCCAAGCGCTATCGAATTCCAGCAGTCCTGTCCATGCACTCGTTCCGCCCATGCCAATGGGGAGAGAGAAAAAGGAAAAAAAAGGAGAAGCAAAATGCCACCAGATCCTGGGCGCCGCTAAGATCAAGAGTGGCTCGTGAGAGCTTCGGTAATGTAAATGCCACAGTATGCCGCGGAACCAGAGATGTTGCCCTACCCGAGATGAGATGCAGGTGATATATGATGATGTAAATAGAAAAAACTCAGGGCAACTTTCCTTCCCAGCCTTGCGGAGCCGTCCCGGTTCTCCCCGTGTTGGGTGAGATGCTGATAAGTGATAAAACAAGAAAAGAAGAAAAAAGAGGCGTGAAATAATGTGTGTCATAGCACAAGTGCTGTGTATAATGAAGAAGGGATGCTTCTGCACCAAACACCTAGGTGCTTGATTCAACGGCGATCATAAGATGAAAGTAGGGAAATAAAATAAAGATGAAAATGCCCAACGTTTCGTGTATAAGAATAGTATAAGAATAGAAAGGTAAAAGCAGAAAAAGCCTGGTATTAAATTCGTAACTTCGTTGAGAGGCTGCTTGTACAACCTTTCGTCGCAAGCAGTCATCATTTGAAAAGACTTCGGAGGTCCATGAGTTTCTGTCTTGCAGCCTCTGCCTTGTCCAGCGCCTTATTTTGGCCGTCCATGCTGAGGCTCGCTAGTTTCTTCTTCTTTTCTTGCAATTCGAGCATCTTTTCTTCAAAACTATTGCGCATAATGTATCGGATCGTACGCACAGGGCGTTTCTGGCCCAGGCGGTGCACACGATCGACCGCCTGAGCTTCGGCTGCCGGGTTGTACTGCGGTTCCATCACGTACACATTGTTACCGGCAGTCAAGTTTAGGCCCAGTCCACCGGCCGTAATGGAAACAAGAATGACGTGAATGCTGCGGTCTTCGCGGAAATTGTCCATGGCCACTGTGCGTGCCTGTCGTGTCATGCTGCCATCTAATCTTGTAAACTTGATGTTGGCTTCCTTGAGAGCCAGTTCGATGAGGTCCAAGTGCGATGTCCATCCTGAGAAAACAACAGACTTGAATGGTAGTTCTTGAGGATTGGCATCGCTGGCGGCTTTGGATTTGAGAAGATCCTCAAGGAGGGCTTTAGTCTTGGTGTGGGGCCCGTTGTAATTATCGAGATCTTTTCGGGCGTGTTTAAATTTTGATTTGAGAATACCGTCGTGTTCGCCGTCTGCATCCGAACGACGGATATTGACGAAGCCGAATCGGACATGAGCGTTGCAAACAATGCAGGGACCGGCAAACTCGCCGGGCGACAGTGCGGCCTTGGCTCGTTGCTTGAAGACTCTTATGCATGATCGACAAACTACATGAAAACAAGACGTCATGTATCCTATTGTGTCGTCTTCCTTCTCAGCATCTATTGGTTGCTCCTGAGAGGAGATCTTCTTGTTGCATTCTATACAGTTGTCATTGTTCGTATCTTGCATCAACGTAAACATTTCGTGCGTTTTCTGGTGAGACAGTAGCGAGCCGCCTGCATTCTCATCGTCTTCGTCGATGTCGATTGCCATCTCCGCCGACATGCCTCGCAGGGCTGCCAAGTCTTCGTCATTCAGCAAGTCTTTACCATGTGCACAGAGCAATCGAAGGCGAAGAATGGCTTTGAGAATGTGGATATAGGTGTTTCCGCCAAGGGCCACGGAGGTAGGGTTTCCAGCCAAGACCTTGACTCGATCCTGAGCATTCCGGGCAAAGAGATCGTATATGCTGCGTTCCTCTGGGCTGAAATCAAGTTTGACGATGAGGTCTTCTCGGGGAGGCAAGTCGATCTTGTCCTTGAGTCGGCGAAGGGTGATTGAGTCAACAAGAATACGGAGCTTGGGCACAATGTCAGGGTCACAGGCCTTGAACGGCTCCACAATGTGACGAAGGAATTTCGATCTATGGTGAAAAGGCTCCAGACGAAGAAAGGACAAGAGAGCTGCGAAATCATCCAACCGGTTTTGGACAGGAGTTCCGGTTACAGCCCACCGCCGTTGGGCTTGGAGACGAACTATGGCCTTGAACTGCATCGTGGTCTGCTCGCGAATCATGTGTGCTTCGTCTAGAACGATGCGGAACCATCCAAGCTCTTCAAGGGGAAAGCTGCCTGTCTTGGCCTTCCGCCGAGAGCTAAGCTCGTTGGAAACAGATCCGTAAGTTGTAATCACGATGTCGAACTGTGCGAGCCGCGCCAAATCTTTGATCCGGTTGGGCCCATGGTAGATGTGATAAGAGAGCTTGCCAGGAGCTACGTGCTGCTTGATTTGCTCCTCCCAATTAGTAATTGTGCTAAGAGGGCATATAATCAGAGTTGATCTAGTGTTTTGGGACACGGGCGTCAAACCCAGCGGCGCCTGTATCGGGTCCATTTCGTCCCTTGTCTGCCTGGTTTCCGGTGCGGACGGCTGCTCAGGCGTGAGCCGCTTAAATTCTCGTGCTTCGTCCATGGTGCTAGTTATGAGCGACAGGATGCTGAGTGTCTTTCCAAGGCCCATCATATCAGCTAGTATACCGCCGCGGGTATCTGTAGGGACTGTAGCCTGGCCCTCGTCGGTGATGACGTTATGAAAGACCGGTTGCCCAGTCGGGGCAAGTTTGGTCTGCCAGAAAGAAACCATGCCCTTCTCGTCTAGCTGTAGCTCGCGAGGTTGTTCTCTAGCTATCATGAAGTAGAGACCTTGTTTCTGGTGAGTGAGCAAGGGAGTTATGATGCAGTCGGGGGGGTCCTCGGTGGGTAGTTCGTCACTCCTAGTAAGAGAATCAAATACCCCCATGACTTCTGAGCGGACTTCTTCAACGGTTCTGGGAGTGAAGTTTGTAACTCGAGGGGGCTCTGAGATAGCATAATTTCCATTAACTCCAGAGGCCGTTTTCTTGAGTGAGCGCAAGTAGTCCGCGGTGTGAGGGTTGCAGAGTCTGATGCCTCTCTGAATGATGTAGGGCTGCTGAAGCGGTATGCCAGATCTTTCCAAAAGGGTCCCAACATTCCTGGCGTACCTTATCGGTCCGTACAAGACAATGTCAAGGATGTAAGAGCGTGACACAGCCTGGCCGGGTACCTCCCCAGGTCCCATAGGCTGCGGCGGCATACGACAGTCAGTCCTGACGCGAATGTTAAAGTCCAGCAGAGGTGCCAAGGCCTTGCTGGCGGAATAGTCGACCATCCCGATGATTTGTCTGGTGTGGTCACAAACGGGAACGCGAAAAGTATTGCTGTCATCGGCCAACCTCCTGAGGATAACCTTGATGCTGGGTTGATAGTTGGGACCCCACATGCTCTGTACGCCCGGCTTGGGCGATGGGGCTCGAGTGCAGTTTGCTCGGGTTTTGATCATGCCATAGCAAACTTCTTCGTCCTTGGGGTCAAGGGGCTTTGTTGGGGCAGCATCGTCATTGACTATATGATTGACGGTAAGCAAGAGTGCATAACAAGAAGATTCTCGGGGTGGATAGGAAGCCGCTCATACCATCTGTCAAGTCAACGGTGGATGATCCAGGGTTAGCCGCCCTTGCCGCCGCCTCCTCGGCCTGTCTCTTCCAGTCAGCCTGAACCGCCCTTATAAAGGGAGTGGGTCGATAGTCGTCATCACGTCGCTGGCGCTTGGAGCGCGGCGAGTCGTTTTCGATGTGAGGAGAAGAGGAACGAGACGGCAATTGAGGCAGCAGGTGAGGCGGCAACTGAGGCAGGAGGTGAGGCGGCAATTGAGGCGGCAATTGAGGCTGCACACGAGGCTGCACACGAGGCTGCAGTCGAGGTTGTAATCGAGGTTGTAACTGAGGCCGTGACTGAGGCTCTGACTTGGGTTGTAACTGAGGTTGTGACTGGTCAAAACGGGCGTCTCGGTGCGGCACATCTCTATCGGTCCTCTGGTACGGCAGGCCTTGAAAACGAGTATCATTGGGTACGGCGGTTTGCCCAGCTGGTTGGTTTGTCACTGGCGATTCTGTCATTGGCGAGCCCATGATGGCTGGATCAAGAGGGCTGTTGAGCAGTGCGGTGAAAGAAGTGGTGTCTGTATCTTGTCCTACCGGGGGCATCTGCTGCCATGCAGTTACGGGCTGACCTGATCCATTTTCTTGAAGATTCGAATCACTGTATTCTTGGTATGGGCGCTTTGGAAGACCACCCGTAAATGGGTAATATGGGATACTCGGGCCAGCGCCTGGAGGCTGCGAAGGCCCACCTAACAAAGAATCAGCAGAGCTCGACAATATTATTTCTTGAAGGTAATAGAGTTGGCGAGCATAGGGGCGGATTGAAGTCTAAGCAAGCAGTCTCGCAGCGGCATTGTATCGTGATGCTAAGAATACCATCATACGCCGGTGATGGTGACAGATTCCAGATTCCAGGACAAAGGCGAAGTGAATAGGATGAAGGAAGCTGGAGATCTTACCGTTTGTAGCCATCAGTAATAGATTAGGTGGCGCTCGAGGCTACACAAAGGGAGCCTCCAGAGAGCAAAGGTAGGAGCCGGAGAGAGAGAGAGAGAAAGAGAGGAGGCGTTTTACCGCATGTGTGACGAAGCTTAATTCGTCATCACACAGGCTCATGCAAGGGTAATGATGGATGGGGGCGGACGGGCTGTGTTATTTAATTTATGTGCTTCTCTCTCTCTCTTTCTGCGCGGTTGCGTAAGCGGGAATGCCGTTTTATAGACGGGAAGATACGTGGTTTGGTCACGGTGTGAATCGCCAGTAGAGGGGACAGCCAGGATGATGTTGCCAAGACGTAGCCCGCAAAGAAACAGCTGCAAGGAAATCCAAAGCAGAGGGAGAGGGAATTATGCGAAGAAGAAGTTAAGGTGAAAGAGAGAAAACAGGCGACTGGAACGACAGTGTTCCTTATGGGGCGAGAAAAAGGCGGGAGGCGAACCTAGGTGAGGAGGAGAGCATGAGATAGTGCGCGGCTCTGGCGAGAGAAAAGAAAAAAGGAGAGAAAAACCAGCTGTGCTAAGATGCCGAGATATCGATGTATAGAGCACGAGGCTCCAGCTGGCGAGCGTAAAAGCGGCCGTGAGGTGGCCACAATCCAGGTTGTCGATAACGATGCAGACGGCTGTCTTTGTCTCGGAACAGCAACGCGCTTTTTTTCTTTTCTTTTTTTTTTCTTAAGGCGGCCTGAGACAGCGGCAGAGACACAGCCAAGGTGGAGGAGCAAACCGGCGAGGTAGCGGACTAACAGCAGTAGGGCAGCCGGGAGGAAAAAGAGGCCGGTCTGGCGATTGTTATTGGAGACTGGAGATGTGTGAGTGAGTCTCTATGCAGCAGACCTTGAAAGAATCATGTTGAGTCGCCAGGCAGGTCACAGCGGTAGTGGGAATAAGTGGAATAGCGGGATAGCGGACCCAGCGTAGTGGGAAGTACATGTACAAGTACGGGTACTAAGTGCCAGGCATGTATTGGCGGCTTCTGAGTGGCTGGAGCCGTGGGAAATCGCTGGGAAGGCGGGGCGCGAGATGGCCTAGAGGGGGCTCTGCAGTACTGGGAGGTACATGGCTGGGCATCGGGAGGTACTCGAGATGGACCTGTCCAAACCTTTACTGACAACATTTGGTCACATGGGCAGCTGATTTCCTTGTGCGAGTACCCGTCGTTGAGATTGTAGTCTACCTACACAGTACTACCTTATCAAAGCATTGATCCTGGATGTTTTGCTGCTACGAGTACTCATTCCAAGCGAAGAAAAAGCATGTGATTGGAGAGCCGCAGAGAGAAAAAAGTTTTGCCAAAAAAAAAAAAAAAACAAGGCAATCGATCTACATGCTCATGCTACACGCAACTCTTCGGAGGAGCCGTCTCCCTTGCAGCTGAGCCTCGTCACCAATCGCGGCACATTCTTGAGACTGACGTGGGAAAAAACGATGTATCCCAGAGGGGGGGAGGGCAATGAGGTAGGTATCTTTTGCTACATTCGACGGTAACCGACACTACAGGTCAAGTACTATCTTGATACTAAAGGATTCTGCTCCTTGGCCGTATCGACTACTGACTGGATAGTACTAAGGTAGAACTACTGCCTGGTACCTCCAATTCCATCGTCTCAAAAATCAAGCTTTTAGAGCCGTCGACCAAATGCTCTACATGGACTGACTCGACTTGACTGGTGCCACACCTCCGCCAGATGCACGCAAAAACCGCTTGCGGCTACTGCAAAGAGCCAAAAAGAAGGTCAGCTGCACGCACAACATTTGCATCGACAGGGATCGTCAAGCGCTGGCCCAGTCCGTGGGCCCCGTTTCACTATGTGGCGCATCTCGCCCGCATTGCTCTGCCACCGACTCCGTCCCAGCCCGCCAGAACGCTGCCAGAAGGCCCTGCAGCGACCTGGAGACGCCTGAAGCCGGCCTGGGGGGGGATTCTGGAGGCTCCCAAGCTCCCCAGGGCTGGAGTTTTGCAGCGCTGGAGGGGCCCTACCCTTGACAGATGCGGCCACGTGACCAAAAAGCCCAGCACCCAAATGCATGGTGTCACCCACCACCCTGCTGCTGTTGTCCGTGATCCCTGGATGCGCTCCAAAATCCCCGAGCAGACGATTGCCGACCCAAGCGTACTGGGCCGTATCATGTCAGTTTTCGCCGTCGTTTTTCGTCTCGTCGAATCAACCCAGGCCCTCTCATCTCTCAGCAGTGCCCGCACATTATGCATGGCTGACCACGAAGTCGCAGCCGGCTTTTGGCGCCAAACAATGACGGCCACACCCACCTCTGGGGCTGCTGCCAATTGCCGTCACTCGTGAGCATGAGGGATAAGACACGCGGTTTGCAAGTACATACGCGATACATGTGCATTCCCTTTCCTTGCTTTTCCTCGCTTTATATACGCCACAACTGCAGCGTGCTAGTACTAGTAGTATGCCCAGAGCCAAGAGCCAAGAGGAGAGGAGAGGGGAAGAGAGACAGTGACGCGTTATCAGGAGCTGGTCTCATTGCATATTGCATGAGTTGCATGAGAGGTGAGAGGAGAGAAAGCTTGCTAGACACGACGTGACCAATAGAACCGCGACTCATGGCAACCGCGTCTTCTGCCGGCATCGAGGCAAGCAAAGGCCGCTGCAACAAGGGCCATCACAAGGCTGCTAGCTTCGGACCATCCGAGCTGAAAGGCGATGGAGCTGCTGCAACCCCGGCAGAGAAGCACTCGAGCCGTCTTTGCACCCAGAAGAAGCGCTAATAATGCCCATGTTGGGAGTAGCATGGGACGGTGCTTTGAACGAGTGCTGATCTTGATCGACAGCAAGCACAATTAACGGTATCCAGGTAGAAGCGATATCAGCATGCGAAACAGTCGTGACCAGAGCCAGACTCGTCACAGGTTTCAACCAGAGTAGTGACAAAGACGAGTCTTGGCTGTCATCAACCCGCCAAGATAAGGCGTCTCGCCTTTGTTCCCAGTGAATGAGTCCGATCTAGACAGACTGCAACTGCACAATCGATCGAACCCTTCGGTTCAACGGAGGGCACTTATCGGGCGACAACTACTCCGTACAGGTGCTAACATTGACATGAGTGGATTTGCTGTCTTAGAAGATGTCTCACCTACGTGTGCCTCGTCCGCGTCGACTGGCGAGTCGTGCCCCTATTGGTACCCTGCGGAAATCCCACATGTCATAGCCAGCACAACCGATCTCCAGGAGCTGTATTTTTAGCAATACGTGGTCGTATTCTGAGCTGGCGGTTTGGGGGGGGATGCATGTTTCATTCACTGCTCCACCTATAGATGCTGGACGGCAACGATGGACCGTCTACCTAAATGCCATCTATCTCGTAAAGACATGCATGTCTCATTACGATTAATTGCTGCCTAATCATACCTGGTAATACCTGGTAAATGTACAGAGTGTCCATATTCGAGCCATCTTCAAGGCGATGAAAGAGCATGGCAGGTAGATGCAACAGCATTATCCAGCAATGCTCTCGCAAATCGCGCACTCATAACATATCTACCTAGTATGCACATGATTGGGTAAAGATTGTACCTCGGTTTAGGTACTTTCATTTCCTCATCCAGCTTTGGATAATCTGTTTGTAGCAGTACGAAAGAAGAAGCAATCCAGCTGCCTGTGCATCAAGTACTCTCCGCGCAGAGATACCACTAACTAAACTAAATCTCAAAACTCTATAATATGGGAGTGACTATTCAGCACCCCACACTCATTACATCCCATTCGTAAAATTAAAGCAGCCGGGGTAGTAATGGTAGCAGATATTAGAGGAATATGTGGATAGTAGCAGGTAGTAGCAGATAGTAGCGATAGTAGCAGATAGTAGCGAGAGTAGCAGAAACTAGCGATAGTAGCAGATACTCCAGGAGCTGTGTAATATCTGTTCAAGTAACGGCGATAAGAGATCTTCATTACACGTTGTCACTCCATTCGGAACTCCTCTTCGTCGCTGTGGTGCTGGATAGGTAGCCAGCTTGGGGTGCTGAATACTTGTAGCCCTTCCCTATAATATTGGCAACACTCTAAATCGGTACAATATGTATTATGTAAGCCGCTCCCCACGAGCCGACCTTTTGCCTTCCAGCTTGATAGAACCGTAGCGATATCTCGTGCCTCTGGCCAAATCGAAAAAAAAAGGTGCCCCGCCATCCCCGCCAATCCCAGTCCAAGAACTGCTCAACACCTTCGTACTAGCTGGTTGCAGAACAGCCTGGCCACTGCCAGAGCACAAATCGGAGGCTGAGCATCGTTTAATCCAGCAAGCACAAGCACAAGGACGAGGACAATGGACATCACCAGCTTCGTTGTCCAAGGCCGGGACCAGGCTCTGCTCTACGGCGACTTCTCCACCTATCATGGCCAGCTGTCCAAGCGCCTGCTCAACTCGCGCAAGAAGCTGGGCATCGTGACCAAGAATCGAGGCAAGTTTCGCAAGCCCGAGCAGGTGACGGCCGAAGATGTCCAGGGAAACCATGAGTATGATAGCATCCGCCTTCTCCGCTTCCTTCTCCATGCCTCACAGCGTGTCCCGCCGCGGCAATTGAGCTAACTTGAGCCTGTTGCGCCCCCCAGACATGTCCATCTTCTCCTCCTTACCAGCGAACGCGCCTGGGCTCAGGCAATGAGCATCAAGGCTGGACATGCAAACGATCAGAAGGGAGTTGCCGGTCGCGCCCGGTCTCACATTGTCTCTCGGCTCGAGAAGGCCGCTCGAAGCGCCGAGCAGATCGTCAGCATCCTATCACAGACCGACGTCACCGGCGCCACCACGACCGATATTCTCGAGGCTCGGGCATACGCATCGCTCATCCGAGGCGCCATGCAGTTCGAAAAGCAAAGCTGGGAGCCTTGCTTGCGGAGCTACGCAACCACCTACATCATCTACAACGCATTGGCTACCGCTAGCAAGAGCGACATCTTCAAAGACTTGCTCTCCGAGACGGTCGAGCCATCAATCCGGTTTGCTGCCTACCAGCTCAAGACGCCCCGAACGGTTTCGGTTGCTACCCTGGCCAAGAATGCCTTTCCACGATCTGACGACGCTCTGGTTCAAGAAATCAGCCGAATTGATGCCACCCTTCTCGCCGATGCGAGCCCAGAGTCCAAGGACGGCGTTGCGGTTAGCGAAACTGCCCCCCAGACGCTGACTTGGCGAGCCCACCAGGTCCAAATTGAGGACGCCCAAATAGCTACGTACTGGTCAACTGTTGGTGAGGCCAAAGAGAGGCTTTCTCAGACGGTTGCCAAATCTCAGGACAAGGGACTCCACGAGGTAGCTGCCGCTTATGATGAAATCCTAATATCCACTCAAGATGCGGTTGATGCCACAAAGCAGGCCATCGACGAGCTCAAGGGAGACGGCGTTGGCCAAAGCGATCCTAGAATGCAGCGGCTACAGATCACCCGCACGGCGGTCAACTATGAGATGATTAGCTGGAGAATCGGCCGAAACCGGGTTCTTACAGGACCCCACGACGGTGCCACAGAAGAGTATGAGTTGCGAAGGAGGGGAAAGAAGAAGGACGCAACATCGGCGGAGGTAAAGAAGGAAAGAGAGTTACCAACTGGAAAGAAGCTGGGCAAGCTCAAGGAAAAGGCTGCTCTGTACGATGGAATTCTTCAGAACTTGGAGTCTATCAGAGAGCTCCCCGGAGTCGCCGCTGACGAGGAACTTGCTGCCCGGATCGAAGCTTACGAGAACTACTTTATCGCACTTAAGTAAGTACCACATTCAAAATGCGCCTCTACCCATATTTGCGCCGGAGGAGGGATAATTCAGGTGCAATGGCTAACGAGGATATATAGGCATCTTGCGGTTGCCCGGTCACACGCCATCATTGGCAACTCTGCCAACGCCTTGGCCCTCATCAATCGCGCTCTTGGAATCAGCCTAAAAGCTGTGGCCAAGCTCCCAGACACACAGCCCATTTCTGATGAAGCTCCTTTGAGCCTCGACATCTCCCCTGCTTCCGTCAAGTTCCTGGAACAGGTGATTGATGGCGAGCTGCAGCGCCACCGCGCGATTGTCCACGTCGACAACCTGCGCAAGAAGCAACCCCAGGTCGACGAGTACGACAGCCGCGTTCCCCTTGTCGAGAAGCTGCAGGAATATCCCGTTGGCGGGGCCGATCTCGCGCACATTGTCGAATTCCCTCCGAAAGAGGAGGTGGTCCCCGTCAAGCCCATCTTCCTCGATGTTGCCTGGAATTACATCCACTATCCCGGAAAGGAGCCCCAGGTGGGCGGCCAAGCCGTCGAGAGCGTCCAGGAAGACGAGCAGCCTGCTCAGCCGGCCAAGAGAGGCTGGTTTGGCTTTGGAAGGTGATGATACTGGTGCACACGTGTTGTATCTTGCACTAAAATTAAAACAACGAAATACTCTTTCTAATGGTTCCCGGCCCCTCTTATGACAGCATCTCTCCTGTCCCCTTCTCACCTTGTGACAAACAGTCCGGTGACTGTTGATCTTCTGCTGCATCGTAGCCAGCAGCAATGCAAACAATATACTCGTATATCCCTGAGGGCTTTGTCTCACAAATAGTTTGCCATGCAGATTGGTGATGCGTGACACGGGTAGTCACATTACGAAAGCACAGGTCTCTGGAATGAGAAGCTGCAATTCAGGGAGACTCTGCTTTGTGCCCACAGCAAACACGGGAAGCAGAAGGGTGAAATTGAAATGCCTTGCCAATCGTAATGACCACGCCCCATCAAGTTCTCGTCGATCAAGTAGATTTTGATTTCCAATTTGTATCATCGTGCCTCGTTTTTCTGCTCACCCATCGTTTCTCAAACCCGCTACTCATGGCTCCAGGCTACCGATCGCCGTTCGACCATGCTCCCTCGCCCAAGCCCATCCACATCGCAGATGGCGCGCTCCCCATCCTTGCCATCCTCCTCTGCGTATCCATCATCCTTTGCCTTGCGCTCTTCACCTTTTGCGTCGCCGCCGCAAAGCACAGCCAGTATCTCCAACCAAAAGACGACAACTCCGTACCAGCGCCGGAGATGGCCTTTGACCAGTCCTCCGTTCCAAAATACCTCGCCGTGCACTCTAGCGAGGATTCTCAGAGAGGAAATGTGCAGCAGCCGCTGCTCCCAACAGAAACATACAATAGTTCACCAGGGGAGGATGTCGAGACGGCAATACGGCGAGCTGAGAATGTGTATAAGGGCTCGATCAGCTGGCATGGGATCAACACGCTGAACACATCCTGGGGGTGGATGGCTTAGAATATCAGACTATCATCACGTACGGATACCATTTAATATACCAATCCTTCTTACAGACACGGTCATACAGTCACAGTCATTAGCAGGCATGAACAAGATATTGGAGATTTTCAAAAAAAAAAAAAAATATTTAGAGGGGAGAAAATCATTATCATCTAACTATCAAAGGTCTCTTTTCTCTTTTTTTTTCGTTTGTCCCTTTGTCCATACCCCCAAGGCGCATTGATCCCTTTGCGACCGTCCAATCAATCATTCATAAACAACCAAGAAAACAAAATAGAATCAAAGAAGAAAAAACATCTCCTAGAGGTTTTTTGATGCTCCAACGCCTGTTCCGCCAGCCATAGGTATTAACGACATTGGTAAAAAATAGGCAAGTGCATAGCAGCTTAGGCGGGATATGAGTACATCATAAATACAGCAAGAAGAGGGATCTATGCCACGCCCCACGCTTCTTTTGAATATTCGAACAGTAAATGGTTTTGATACAAGTGGTTTGAGAAATTTTTTTCAAATGGTATTTTTTGTTTGTTTTGCTCTTCGCTTTTCCTCTCCAAGGCCACCTTAAGGCTTGTTCTCATCCTTCTTCTCGCCCTCGGTAGACTGCTCGCCGGAGGAGGACTGCTCGGAGCTCTCGTTGCGGGCCTTGTGCATCTTGTCGAAGAGGTTCAGGGAAGCGACCTGGAGCTCATCGGTCTTCTCCTTGATCTCAGCGGCGGTGGCAGTGCTGTCACCAGACTGGATCTTGGAGACGTACTCGCGGAGAGAGGCAATCTTCTCACGGAGACCATCGGCCTCAGCCTTGTCAAGCTTGTCGGAGTACTCGTCGAGGGCGCGCTCAGTGTCGTTCAGGACGCTGTCAGCGCGGTTGCTGGACTCGATGGCGGACTTGCGCTCCTTGTCAGACTCGGCGTACTTCTCGGAGTCCTCAACCATCTGCTGGATCTCGTTGTCAGACAGACCAGAGCCGGAAGCAATGGTGATGGACTGGTCCATGTTGGTGGACTTGTCCTTGGCGTGGACGTGGACAATGGAGTCGGCGTCAATGTCGAAGGTGACCTCGATCTGAGGGACACCACGGCGAGCAGGAGGGATGCCAACAAGCTGGAAGTTTCCAAGCAGCTTGTTGTCACGGACGAGCTCACGCTCACCCTGGAAGACCTTGATCTCGACGGCAGTCTGGGAGTCGGCGGCAGTGGAGAAGACCTGGGACTTCTTGGTGGGGATGGTGGTGTTTCGGTTGATCAGACGGGTGAAGACACCGCCCAGGGTCTCGATACCGAGAGACAGGGGGGTGACGTCGAGGAGAAGGAGATCCTTGACCTCACCAGAGAGAACAGCACCCTGGATAGCAGCACCCATGGCGACAGCCTCATCGGGGTTGACGGACTTGGCGGGGTCACGTCCGAAGATGGACTTGACGGACTCGGCAACCTTGGGCATACGAGTCATACCACCGACCAGGATGACCTCCTGGATGTCCTTGGCCTGGAGACCAGCATCCTTGAGGGCCTTGCGGACGGGCTCAATGGTGCGGTTGATGAGAGGCTCAACCATCTTCTCGAGCTGAGAACGAGTGAGCTTCAGGTTGATGTGCTTGGGGCCGGAAGCATCGGCAGTGATGAAGGGCAGGTTGATGTCGGTCTGGAGAGAGGAAGAAAGCTCAATCTTGGCCTTCTCAGCAGCCTCACGGATACGCTGGATAGCCATACGATCGCCAGAGAGATCAAGGCCAGAGGTCTTCTTGAACTCGCCAACCATGTGGCGGACCAGGTGGATATCGAAATCCTCACCACCAAGGTGGGTGTCACCGTTGGTGGACTTGACCTCGAAGACACCGTTCTGGATCTCAAGGATGGAGATATCGAAAGTACCACCACCAAGATCGTAGACGGCGACAACGCGGTCAGCCTCCTTCTCAAGGCCATAGGCCAGGGCGGCAGCGGTAGGCTCGTTGACGACACGGAGGACGTTGAGACCGGCAATCTGACCGGCGTCCTTGGTGCTCTGACGCTGAGCATCGTTGAAGTAGGCGGGAACGGTGACAACGGCGTTCTTGACAGGCTTGGACAGGTAGGCCTCGGCAGTCTCCTTCATCTTGTTGAGGACGAAGCCACCAATCTGGGAGGGAGAGTACTTCTGGTCACGAGCAGAGACCCAGGCGTCGCCGTTGGAGTGCTGGACGATCTTGTAGGGGACCTCCTTGATGTCACGCTGGACCTCAGCGTCGCTGAACTTGCGACCGATCAATCGCTTGGTGGCGAAGAGGGTGTTCTCTGGGTTGACCACGGCCTGTCGCTTGGCAGCAACACCAACCAGTCGCTCGCCATCCTCGGCAAAGGCAACTACTGAAGGAGTGGTACGGGCACCTAGATGCGGTCTTGTAAGCAAAATGGAAGACACGAGGGGGGAATGGGAAGGGCAAACAAGCATTGACTAACCTTCTGAGTTCTCAATGATGCGGGGTGTCTTGCCCTCCATGATGGCGACGGCAGAGTTGGTGGTTCCCAGGTCAATACCAATGACGGCACCCTGGACCTTGCCATCGCCCTCAGCAGCTGTTGACTCATAGCGAGCAAACTTTGAGACTGCAGGTGTTCTGGCAAAGGCAGCCGAGCGAGCGGCAAAGGGAGTAGCTCGGGGAAGCTATTCGGAGGCACGTTAGCAGACATTCACAGACGACGCTGTTTTCTCGGCATTGCGTCACTTACAGCTCTGGAGAATCGCGCGGCCAACATGTCGAATGGAATTGAGGGTATACAATGGATAAACAGGGAAGAAGAGGAAAAGAGAGGAAAAGAGACAGACACGCGATCTGGGGAGAGGCGTCTAGATATGGGGAGAAACGGATGGACAGCTGGAGAGGGAAATGGTGGAGAGGTTTGAATTTTTTTTTTTCTTTAGCCTTGGAAAAACCGCTCTGTGCTGCGAGGGTCGGCCATAGAAGCCGAGAGAAAGAGGCAACAGCGCAGTCCCGCAATCCCGGTCCCACCCGCCGCACCGGCATTAGCGGAACAAGTGTTAGTCCGGGCTGCACGCGCTGGAGGCGGTACATGCGGAGAAACGCTGTGGCTCTCTTTACGGAGAATGCTTGCTAGCAGCAGAGACGAGATGGAGCATTGCCAGAAGCTGGTGGGGACTGAATCGGATGCTTGGACGAGTGAGTGTTAGCGGAGGCTGCAGAGGCCATCACGGACCGCGGGAGGAGCGAAGCTGAGCAGCATCGGCAAGGACTGGCCAAGGCCCAGGCTATGATCGGCTCAAGGCGGGAGGTTTTCATCTACGAGTACTGCTATATGCCGGTATCTACTAATCTTGCCATCTTATGTAGTAATGGTACCGTCTTGTGACTGCTGGGTGTTTCAAAAGTGGCATCCAGATTCGATTCGGTTCAAAAAACTTCGACCAGCTTCTAATTTGGAGTGTGGCCGGCATAGACTCGGTACTCAAATCTGTTGGCTGCATAAAAGGTTCAGCCCACGCAGCGCCTCAAACCACCAAAAAAGGGAACATCCATGGAAAAAGCCCTTGCGCTCCAGCTGTCAAAAGCAAACCCCGCTAGCGGCCGTGTTCGACGACCCTGCGGCAGGCTTATTTTTGTCATTTTTGTCATTTTTACTTTTGCTCCATGTCTCTTTTTTCTTTTTCTTTTTCTTTTTCTTCTCGCTTTATTTCTACCAGTACTACTAGCAAGCGCTATGCCGTCCGGTGGCGTAAAAGTAGGATGCTTGCCACGCTCTATCGATGCATGTTTTATTGCCTGCTGAGTGCTCCGTAACTTAGTACCACCAGCCAGCCTGGCTTGATAATGACCTGTAATTTCCCTGCAATGCATGTTTGACGCTCTGCTACCTGAGCAACTGAGGTACTGGCTACCTAGCAGGGGTCTTCGAAAGGCCCAGAATCCAGTCTATGCATGCAGGGCGTTGAAGCGTTCCATGGATTCAATATAATTTGGAGGTTTGGGTGGTGATGGGGGGTGCTCCAAACCAATGGAAGGCTCCAAGTTTGCATGCACGGCACTGCACAACTTGCAGCCTCAGACCGCAAATTCAATCCTCCGGCAAAAACAGTAAAGCAGTCATTAACCATTCGTCATTCGTATCAGTTACGGCATATCATCATGCCATTTGATGCCTCGGTATTTTAACTGCTTAGTAGGACAACTCTGTTTCCCTCAAGAAAGCTTCCTGTCATTGAATCATCGACCCGCCAGACGTCATCTGTCCACTCCACTCTCACCCATTGTGTCTTATCCGGGGAGCCGCCACAGCGCTGCTGCTCGCAGGTACAGGGTACTTGTGCCGTGCTCCAGCGGGCTTGCTGGGGGCGATAAGGCGCCGATGCAGCCTGAAAGTACCCTGTACGGCGCTTGACAGTAGCTGCGCTGCGCTGCAACTCCACGGTGGAATAAGCCACCTCCATCTCAGCCCGTCCAGCCTATGTTTTGCTTCTTCCTCAGAACCCAATCCCATCACGACCTTCTCCTCACGCCATCTCCCTTCCCTCCCCCTTTCCCCATTTCAACTCGCATCTCGCACCAGCATCCTCACGCTTCCATTACAGGACCCTTCCTTTGCTTGGAGCATTGACTCGGCTTTCCGGCCCTTCTGGAGGCAGGCAACGCATCCTCACCAACACCACCCAAACGTGCTTCAGCCGGTGCCTGTGCCTGGCTGCCCCCTTTGGGTGCTGCAACGCAGCGAACCCTCCCGGCCATTGAGCCCCAACTCATTGCAGCTAATTACCCGCCGACGACGCTACTATGGCTCGCAAAGACGATGTCTCGTGAGCGATTCCCCCTGTTGAGCTGCCCAAGCTTCGTTGCTGTGCTGTTGCTGATCATTTCGATATCGGATGACTATGCAGATACTATACCTCCGATCGCCTCATCTCCAGGATCCAACGAACGCATTTCCGGGTCCCTGTGCGCTCACAGTATGTCACCACATGGCCATGCCTATCCAGCCTCGTCTGCAATTATCCATCTACATCTGCTAACCAAAGCGTTTCACTCTCCATCTAGACATTGGCAGTTGCGTTCCCTCATAAGCGCTGAAAACAACGACAACCTCTTTTATCCCGGTGGAGTTGGGAGCCGCCAAATCCAGCGACTCAACACCATAGCTCGCAGCTGCGAAACGATCAAGCACCTTACATTTGCACCACGGTGTCTGGTCGCCGAAAATGGATGGCTGTGCTGCGGAAGCGAGACGGGCGAGTTTGTGGCTATAAGGCTTGAAGGAGAAGGAGGTCGTGCCGTCGAAAACCCCCAGGACACATCTGCTGGCTCGGATTCTGATGCCGGGCCTTCCCTGGGCAATGAGGGCTCCACGACCTCGCCCGAGGAAGCTGCACTCAATATGCTCACAGCGGCCGCTCAACAGTCAGCCAAGGTGACCGCAAAGAGCATGAAGCTTGCTACGGAGCGGGTCAATTGCATCACCCTTTGGTTTCCGCCCCCCAGTGGGCAAGGTTTGCCCATTGACGGCCGTGCTTACACGGAACCTGTAGCAGTCCTGGCCAACAACGATCGAACCGTGACGCTTGTCAGCCTAGCTGACTTTGAGCAAAAGGAGCAAGCTGAACCCCTGGACGTTGTCCACTACCCCGACTTTGTCAACAGGGCCATCATCTCACCTGATGGGCGACTCTTGGTCGCCATCTTGGATGACCCGTATCTATACGTTCACCAGCGAGTTGGCGACTTCCCGGGCGAGTGGGAGCTCAAGCAGAGGATCCTGCTCAAGAGCCAGAATAAAGAAGACAAGACGGATAGCCGTGGAAGCTTTGCAGCGTCCTTTTCTACGTCTGGTGGCTACCTTGCCATTGGAACTCAGCACGGTACCATTTCGATATTCAACGCGACGCAGTTGACAGACGAGACGGTTGACTCGCTCATCACCACGTTCCAGTCTTCCCGTCCCAACAGCGGACCAGGAGCTATTCGAGACATGGCTTTCTGCCCAGGACCGTATGACCTCTTGGCATGGACTGAGGATCGTGGTCGCGTTGGTATCGCCGACGTGAGACACAACTTCATGGTTCGGCAGATCATTGATCTCAACAAAGAATCGGAGTATGAGCATATCAATATATTTGACACTCACACCCACACCATTGATCCCCGACTGCTGGAAACTCGCATGACGAGGGGGGAGCCCTCGAACCCTCCTATTTCCGCAGCCAATTTCTTCAGTGCCCAAATGCTGCACCAGCCACTGACATCAGCTGAGACGAGAGTTCTTGAAGCCATCCAGAGCGAACGTCGGCGCCGGGAGAGGCCGAACGCTCAACCTGGCGACGAACGAGGCAATGGAGGGCTTGCGGCCTCAATGGGCTGGATAGGAGGAACCGGAGCCACACCCACGGCAACATCTTCCTTCACTACCCGAGCCCGTCAGAACACCACCCAGACTCCCAACGACCTGATCAATATCTACAGAGAACATCGAGAACGGGCTCAAGAGCGTGTGCGCAATGCCCGCCAGCTTATGCGTGAAACTAGCCAAGGCGGAGGTGGCAGGGCCGAGCAGCGGTGGATCGATCGTATCAACGAGACCATGGCTGCCCTGCGAGACCAGCGCGACAGGCAAGATTCATCATATCTTTCTGTCCTCGAGATTCTTCAGTCTCGGGAACGACTCACGGCAGACGCCACTATGACTGATGAGCGTACGCTTCTTACACCTGCTGTCAATCAAGTGGCCAGCCGCTATGAGGAGAGCGCCGTACGAGGGACACTGGCACCGGACCACGGTGTCTTTGAAGTTCCCCCCTCACCAGACAATACATCCGGGCTATCTTGGAGCCAGGACGGCACCGTGCTGTAAGTATTCATCGATGGCTCATTTGGATGATTATATATCAATGACAGACACTAACGCAAAATGCTCTATCTAGTTTCATTGGTGCTCAGAATGGCATCTACCAGCTACGCGTTGATCTCTCTGCCAGGCAGTTTTATAACAGTATAACACTGCACTAAAATAGCATCCTCCTCTACCAAGGGAAGCCAAGGAGAGATGAGCCCACCGAAAAGAGTTCTATATTGTCACGGAATAATGCATTTTGCAAACATAACAGGGATGGATGGCGTTGGCACTTGAGGCTTTCAGTGTCTAGGCGCATCAAAGTTGCCCAATTTGGACAACCTAGGGAAAAAGTTATCAGGACCCTCTTTGCGCCTCTGTGCTTTTTTTTATTCTGCTTTACTTGGCTTTGGTTTCTGAAACTTCCTCGTTGTCCTTTCTCTTCTTATTTTTCTTTCCTCCTTTTTTTTCACCTCACTCTTTTTTAATGGTCTCCGAAATGAATGGTTCACGATATGGATTCAAGCTGGGTGTTTGGGTACTAATATTGTCTCTTTTTCCCCCTTCTATTCCCGCTTTCCTCCTTTCTCGTTGTGTCTTTTCGACGATTTGGCATGGAATGCTTGGTCTGCACAGGGTGGGAGTATGAATTTTAACGCGAAGTTTGCTTTCTGATGCCTTTTATGGGCCAAAATCTGGATGGATCCAGTCCACCTGTCGCTGCGGACGTGTTGCATGGTTTGCTTGCTTATTGATTGTGTATGATATCCGGCCTAAATAGGGAAATTGCAGTGTTTCTTTTTTTCCTTTTTTCTTTCTTTGAATCGCATTAATAGCATTTATGGTAACGCAATTCAAGTCTTGATATGCGAGTGATGTCCTATGAGTTTGCCTGGCCGTATAGAAGCCGGCCCACCATTTCGGCAATGGCAAGGCTGCTTGTCAGTCCAGGGCTTTCGATGCCCAGCAGATTGACCCAGCCTTCGTATCCTTGTTCCTTCCTGACGATAAAGTCCTCGAAGCCCTTGTCTGTTGCCGACGCCGCGCCCTTGGAGGCCAGCTTGGGTCGCATGCCGGCGTAGTCGGGCACCAGGGCGCTGGTATCTACTCCCGGGAGATACTTTTGGATTTCGGCAACGGCCTGCTGCAGCCGTGAGGCGTTGACGGTGAGATCGTTGGGGTCGTCCACCCACTCGACGTCCGGCCCGAAGCGGATCCGTCCAGCCAGGTCGAGGGTGAGATGGGTGCCGAGGCCACTGGCGCCGGGCTCGGGGGCCGGGTATATGAGGCGGGAGATTTTGGGCCGCGAGGCCGAGTAGGAGAAGTAGTTGCCCTTTGCGTAGAAGAGCTGCTTGCGCTGCGCGGGCGGCACAATCATGTTGTGGACGGCGACGGAGCCGAGGCCGGCGGCGTTGACCACGGTCTCGGCCGTCATGGTGGAGATATCGCCGCCGGGCCCGTCCGAGACGTCGATTTCCCAGCCCGCGCTGCCGGGGGGCGACGAGGAGGAGGAGGAGGAGGGTCCTCCCGAGGAGAGCGGGCGGATGCCCACGACGGGGGAGCTCAGGGCTACCACGCCGCTGGCTTCCTCGAAGAGGCCCTGCAAGCAGAGCATCAGGCTGTGGGAGTCGACGATGCCCGTCGTCAGGCTCTCCAGGGCACCAGCCGCAGCCAGCACGCCCTCGCCGCGCTCATCAACCTCCTTGCCAGACACCCACCTCACGGGGACGCCAAGCTCCTGTGTGCAGAGCGCATGGATCCTCTCCAGGGCCTCCCTCTGCGCGTGGTTCTGCGCGACGAGCCACTTGCCCGTCCTCCTGTAGGGGACGCCGTGCTTGTCGCAGAGCGCGTACAGTAGGTGCTTGCCGCGGATGCAGAGCTTCGCCTTGAGGCTGTCCTTGCCGTAGTAGATGCCGGCGTGGATGACCTCGCTGTTGCGCGAGCTGGTCTCTGTGCCGACGGCGGAGTGACGCTCGATGAGCACCGTGGAGGAGCCTGGCTGGAGAGAGAGCTGGCGGGCGATTGCGAGGCCGACTACGCCTCCGCCGATTACCTATATCGTGTCATGTTAGCGAGTGAGTTTGACGAATTGAAAGGGGAATACGCTTCATTCTTGTCCGTTTGTCGTGGGATCAGACGGTATAAAATGTAGGATAGTGTTCTGGATTGTGAGACAACTTGCCGCATGAGTGAAATCAGCTTGGACCGCCGCTGTTGAGCTAAAGTTCAAGGCCTGGGCATGGCGAGTCTGGCTGGACAGACGAAACAATCTCGTTGCTCTTCTTGCCAGCATTTTGCCTACCCTTTTTGAAACTGCAGTTGAGCAGTAGGGAGAACGAGTTGAGGTTGTTTTAAATGCAGGGTAAGTCGGCTATATGAGGTGGAGAGCTTCAAGAGGAGCTTCATAGGAAAAAAGGCGATGCCCCACATAGATGTTGGATCTGGAGCAGCAGGTCATCATTACCTTAAATAAATACTCATAAACAGTCATAATGAAACGTTGGACATACATGTGAGTTTGCAATATGTATTTATTGGCGGATCTTGGGAGATTCTCTTCATTTCTCGGGTGATATAGCCTTCTCTGGGCACATCGATTGTGACTCCATGGACCGGATTGCGGTCCAGCAACGCCCATTTCACAGGCATCTAGATATCACTACGGAAAGAAAATCCCATCTGGTAAAAGGGAAAAAGACCATTGATATTATAACCGGACTGATTTTTACTCATCACCCAGACGCCAGCCAAAGGCAACCTGCTGCCATGTTGCAAAACTCGCATAACAATCAAAGTATGCGGTCCAATGTAATTTGGCCGCCATTTTTCAAAGCAATAAGACTACTTCCACACGGCAATCGTAACTGCTGATCGCCGCACAGCAGTGAATCAACATACAAGGTGTATCTACGCCGCCCTGGACACAGCCTCGCTATCGTCGGCTGAGATTGACGGTCGAGCAAGATTTGAAGGCACCGACGGTTCGTTTGGCCCGGGAGAGGTAGACGACAAGTCAGAGACTTGCTTTTCTATTCATGTGTGTCAGCTTTTGCATGCATATTTCGTTTCCACTCCTTCGCTTTCTAGGTCCAATTTAGGCAGCAGGAAAAAAAAAAAGATAAGGTAACCAACCTAGTTCACGAATCCGATGCCGGAGCATCTGGTTCTCCCGTGTCAACATTTGTGTTTCGGCCTGATAAAAGGCGCTTTCGTCGCGGAACAGAGACCAGTCCCCGCTCTCAGCACTGATGGAGGTCGCCCGCAGTCGAGGTGAAGCGTTTCGGCTCGGCGTCCTGGACCGGCGCTGCATGTCGGCGCGAGCCATCTCCATAGAGTTCCGATGGTGAGGAAAGATGGGCGACCGAGAAAATGAGGAGCCAGAAACAGAGGGAACATGGTTTCCAGTTGGAGATTGAGTCGAGATGGGGACGGGGAGAGACCGATGCGGCCTCTCAGAGCCAGCAACACTCGCAGTCGCACTCTCCTCTCCACCATTCGCATGCGGGTGGCTTGCTTGAAGACGCTGAAGCTCTAGCTGCTGTTGTCGAATCATGTTCAAAAGGCGATTCTGCAAGTTTTGGCATCCATTAGTTTTCGCTCTTTCCACCAGCAGTACGCATTAATAATGGTGCTTGTTGCTTACGACATGGCCCTCCTGCTCTGCCTCGAGCTCCTGATGGAGCTCACCCAGACTCGGCGTCCTGATATGGCGGCTCGACTCGGAGGGGACACCACCGCCAAATGGCTGCGGGCTCGCCCTCATGTGATCTTGGAACATCTCGCCCGGCGCCGGCACCGTAGGGTCGTTTAGCTGGAGGTTCATCAGGATGGTCGATCGTCGCCGGCTGGGCGGGGATGCGAGGCTGCGAGCTAGAGAGCTGTTGGACGATCCTGAAGGCGAGTTAGAGTGGTGAGGGCAGGTGGTGGAAGCAAGAGGGAAAAGGCGCAGTCGATGGACAGGCGTTTTAGCCGGGAGCAGATCGGCTGATTCCGACTTACTGCGTGAGGGTTCTCGTTGGAGGCCGGCATTCATAGCGGCAGCGGCATGCAAAGAGATGGACGCGGATCGAGGCGATCCAGTGGGGGATTCGGAGCGGGGCACGGAGGGGACGTCACCGTTGGCGGCCATAATCCAGTAATTCAATTACTGTCGGTGATGGTGATGTGGGCGAGAGCGAAGCTGCGTTTGCTTCAATGTTTGTTGTCGCAGAGAGAGGATTGGTGATTTGTTTGCTCTGTGTAGGTATTCCAAGGTTACAAAGCTGGGAGATAAAACTACAGATAAAACTGTGTGCAGATAAACTGCAGATAAATCTGTAGGTAGCCTAGCGCAGAGTTTACTCCCCTAGGTAGGGCTGATTGCGCCGAAAAGTATCGTCAGGTCCAGGTGTCCAAGTGGCTTCTGGTGGTGGATACCGTATCTGAGCATGGATGGAGAGCGCGTAGGTAGAGGAACAAAGAACAGGTGTTTGTTTTCAAGGCGGTCGATCGATGGGATGAGTCAGGAGTTGTTGAGTAGATGACTGAAAGCGAAGGCTGCCATTGCCATGGTGAATTGATGGGACGACTGGAAGGGGGCGTGCGTACAGTATTAAATCAACGGCTGCGCATTATTACCCGATGATATTATTATGCAGCAGCACAAGGTTTGACTCCAGCGTGATGTGCCGCTGATCGACATTGGAGGCGAAAAGGCAAACGGCTGGTGGTTCGAGGTTTCGTACCACTTCCTCGCCTGGTTGCCTGGCTGGGAGAGCGAGTCCAGTGACTTGGAGCGTCACCAGATCGCTGAGCAGTGCCCCGTAGCGGTCCATTAGCAGCGGTGCTGAGGTCGCTGTGGCGCTGAGCTCCGGGGCCTACGGGGGGCGGAAATACAGGGGCTGGCTCTACTGCCCGGCGTAGCTGATGCTAATGGATTGATGCTGGGGACTTGCACAATCGATATATTCCGAGCGGAACGAAAACAGCCTCTCTCCGGCATCATGGGAACACACTTAGTCTATCCCAACGATTCGTTATTATCAATTTTTTCATGTTCATTTTCTTTCCTGACGAGATATGCCCTGTCTGCTAACAGAAATCCGAGCTTCCTTGCCCTTTTCTTCATTGCCACCTATCCACATAACCATGCAAGTCTGATATCAGGATACATGTACCATCTATACCCGAGATGCCGCGTTTACTGACGGAAATCCGAGCCTCCCCATTTCTTCATCGCCATCTACCAACCTAACCAAGTCTGATATCGGCATACTCCGGATCCAAGACAACCAAAGCAGCCATACCGCCCTCCTCCACAACCTTGGTGTCAATCACCATCGTCGCCAGGATCTGCGCCGGCTCCGTGGTGCTGAAGTTGTCGCTGGTCCGGTGGTGGCAGCCCGGGGCCTCGAACCAGGTGCCGCCCGCCGGGATCACGCGCGTCGGCCCATCGTTCATCTTGTTGAGCACGGTGCCCTTGATGACGTAGACGGAGATGGCCGCGCCGCCGTGCGTGTGAGGAGGCGTCGACGAGTTGGGAGGGAAGTCGACGAGGAGCCCGACCGATGTCTTTCCGGGCGAGTTGGGCAGCTTGTTCTGGAAGACCGGGGTGACGGTTGGGAGAGGACGGCTGGATCATGGCGAGGGGACGGTATGTTAGCATTTCTCGTGATGTAATGTGTTGCAAGAGTGTGCGGGTGTAATGTAATGCCATGCGTGTAATGAGATGAAACGTGGGAACAGAAGATGATGATGGGAATGTCCTTACCCTCGCTGGTACGGCACGTCGTCAACGGTCTGGTATTCCTGAGGCTGAACAATAGACATTGTTGCGGTCTTCAAACGGGGTTTGTTATGTACTTTGAGTGTTGATTGTTTTGTAAGTTGTCACACACAATTCTGTAATCCAAATCAACACTACCTCGACGCTATATATACCTTATTTCATTCTTTATTCAACCCGTCAACATCCAATGAAACTCAATGCCTCAACCAAAGGCACCAACTTTTTTGTTGGCCATCCCGCTTCGGCAACCCAAATCTGCACCCGGATACCCGCTGTCAGAGCATCATTGCCCCGGATTGCAGCGGGGAAAGACTTCCAATTGCATCTCCGCAAGCCTCATGACGAATTGGACCAGCTGTCAGCTTCCATGGCCTAACCTGCCAAGTGCCATTGGGTTCGCTCTCGGAAAGATTGGGCAAACTGCCGGCCCGGAGGCAAATCCTTGGGTGCCGGATCGGGGCTGGTCAGTAGGCTATCCGGCTACTCCCAGACGCCACCCTATAAGCTCAACAATTACGCGAATCTGTAGGAAATTTGTCTTTGGGGTGACGACGTTGACGGAGAGGATATACATTTGATCGTCATTAACACCAACAGAAATGAAGTAGACTATGACCCTACAATTGTTGAGCGTGGGCTCTTTGGCTGACGTATTCAGAGTACGTGTCTGTAGGAGTGAATGGATGTTGTTGATGAAGTGGATGGATTGGATGAGTCAGAACGCATTTCAACAAACAACAAACCACTTTCACGACTGCATTCATTGGTAAGCATCTGGAGTAACTGTCTACGTACTACGTACTACGTATGCTAGTTGGCATTGTGTCGCCGGACATGAAATGCCATCTGCTTGAAACGCCGCTCTTCCCAGACAAGATTCGCGAAGCAGCATAAGCATTGCTGACTGGGCCCGTGGGCCTCTCGGGATTGTCCGTTGCTTAGTAGATAGCCTCAGCTGAAATTCTTGCCCAGAGAAGCAACTATTTGTTTCACAAAACTAAAGCTAAGTTTCAGAAGAAGATAACAGAGCTTACAGAGTACTTGCAATGCACAGATCATCGCCAGGGAGGCCGGCTTGAGTAAGCCCTTGATGAATCGCGCTTGCAAGCTCCCCCATGTTGTTTGCTGCTGTCAAAGGCGAAATGCAAGGATAATAATAGTCTAATCATTGCATTTATATAGAAAGCCGGATTTGACTATTTACAATACAGTGCTCGGCTTGAGAAGCAAGGGAAAACAACATGGACGAAAAAGCAGGCGGGTGTGACATTCTTCCACTATTGTTTGTCTGTACTGTTGGTGTCCTGTTGGTCTACTGTTTGCCTGGTACTAACCCATGGTCCTGAAAAGGTATGAAGTACTGTACCTCATTCCGTACCTGGGCAGTACCGGTGCCTTTTGCACGAGCCACACGAGCCACAGTGTAGCCCATTTCGCTTTTGACAGTACATACTACTAGACGGGCTATATCCGGGACTTAGCATTATTACAGAGTGGTATTAAGGATTCCAGCAGCACGGCAAGGCCTTGATCCTGCGTCCTTGGCTCCCAGAGTGCTGTTTCCCCCGTGGCCCGTGCAGGATATGCCTCAGCCCGAATGGGAAAATGTTTCTGCTGACAACGGCTCATGGCCGCGCTGCGGGCGGTATCGGACTGATGAAGTGCAAGGCAGCCAGACCGGGACTGGTACTTGTATGATCCAGGGCGCAAATATACAGGTACGAGTGGTCCATGCTCATGTGTAGGATGCTGTCGATGCTCGCTTCAGGTGCCATGCTCTGCCGTGAGTCCACGAACGGAATAACATACGACAAGCTGAAGACCATAGCTTGCCTTGTCCTCTGGTTGTACAGAATACCAATTGCATAAAGCCCATCAAGAGTGCTTCATAAAGATCCTGAGTATTCGATTTTGCCATGCCGGATGAGATCAAAGAGTCGCTCTGAAACCCGTGCGGCCACCTGCTTGCCCCGTCAATCGGCGGCCAAAGCGTTGAGGGTTGTGGTCAGGGCTCGTCCGTTTCCAAGCCACGCGACGGCATAAATCGCGAGTCTGAATGAATCAAATCGGCAATCTGCGGTACTGGTTTGAGCATTCACTGACCCCTCTCTTGGTGCTCATACTGCGATTGAGGTAGAGAAGAACAAACATCCAGAGTTGTTTTAATTGCCGTGTCCATGCTCCACTCTTGTTGGCCACATGATGACTCGTACACATGTATGCCGTTGTCATCCACATACCTCGTCGTCCTGTGCGCGAAGACGACCAATCGTCTCGTGTCGTGATATCTTACGTGCTCTCAATACCTTCGCGACACGGCCAGCAGGGGGACTGAAAAGTCTGTTGCTTACGAGCACAGCATCCATTTTGTAGGCTATGCCAGGATTTCAGGGCCCAGCCCAACAGATCGCAGCGGCTCTTGCAGCCTAGCATCATGCACGCTGCACGCACAGAGGTTTTGCATACTCGTATGACGCGCTACTGCAGGAACATTGCCCCATGCTGCGAATACAGTATTCCGTACTCAGTAGACATCGCCGGCCTGAGAGGCCATTGAACTCTGTGGCTCTTGATGACAAACAACGGCCGCGTCAGTCACTGGTCCAAACCTTGCGAGAAGTCGTCGCGGTCGCAGTTACATCGCGGGCCAGACTCTGCTTTCAAGTGGATCTCAATCCCTTGCATCTCGTAAGAACTGAAAGAGGACGGCAAAAGCTTGCGTGAGACTTGCATCACGAAGCGGCCGTTGGTCCGCAGCGTGGACGGACTGTAGGATCGGATAGGTTAGAATGGCATTTGATGGCATTAGTAGCACCCCATCCTACGACTGAAGCTGCGGACGAATCATCTTGACTTATCGCCCACGCCCACGCCCTCGATCTCTCACAAACACATGCCAGAGAAAAGAGATTTGTTCGTATCTGTAAGGTGACGGGCTGTGCAGCGTGTGTAGTAGGTTGTTGGCCGTCACCCTGTACAATAGATACTCTGACCAACCGGCAATACTATCGAGCTTGGCGGCGTTGGGTCCAATTTTTTTATCGAGGCTATGCAACTGGGCGATGGAAAGCCTTGGAATGAAGAAGGTGAAGAAGCCAGACATATCCTTGGATAATGGTCGATCTCCACGATTGTCGTTTCAACGCATTCCCCACCCCGGGCCCCGATCCCTGTTGGGTGGACGGTCCGACGGAAGGGTGGACAGGAAAAACTTTGTCTGCCGCTCTCTTTGTTCATAAAAATGATACGATGGCTGCCTACGCGAAGCAACGCGTGCCCTCGTTCGTGCCTTGGAAGCGGCAGAAAAGGTTCGCACTATCGTAGTCCTTGCAGCAGCTCCTCTTTGCGCGCTCGCAGGTTCTTGGGGACTCGGAATGGTCGAATCGGGATCGAGCCGCTTGCCGCGATAGGGCTTTTTACTTTTTGCCAATGGGAAGCGCTGCAAGGCCTCGGCCCTACGAGCGATGCGCGATGGCTCTCTCAATCTCTATTGTTGCCCACCCACTCGAGTCGGAGCTCCACGCCAATCTGTCCGAGGGACGAGGGCTCATGCTCAGCAGGGCCGAAGCAGCTAGCAAAAGCCTGGTTCTTGTCTCGCTGATCGCCGTCGGCCTACCGGTAACTCGTGGGTCAGCAGGATACTACTAAGCAGATTTCAACCCTAGCCAACAGCACTAGCAGGGCCATCCCAAATCACCGGAGACAGATGTGAAGCCTGCAACTCCGGACGGCCATGCTCGTCCAGCAGTCTGGTAATAATAGAAACAGCAATAAGGGGGACCCGAGTAACTGGGAGCCGGTGCCGTTTGCATTAAGATTGACGATATTACACGATGATCCTCTGGCATTGCCTCGCAAGCTAGGGGCAGCTCATGTTCGGGGGTCCTTGGGCTCCCTCATCTCGGGGCAGCATGGCCCGTCCTCGTAATACGTCTTTTAGACGCCTTTTTGTACCCCTGCTAAGACATGCTTTCCTTTTTCCTCTGGCCGGGAGAGGAGGCGTTGTTGTGCGAGGCGCCCTAATCTCTCGGCCATGATTCGCTGATCGGCAAAGGCACTCGGGTCAGGCAGAACGTCATGCTTGAGCAACTTTGTTGATTTTGGCTCGGCGTAGTTGGTTCGCTGCTCGCAGAATAACACCACCAAGAAGGAATGAAGAAGGCAGCGCGGGCGAGCTGGCGTCGTATCGTCCGTGTCTTTTGCCCGCTATAGCTGGCGGGCTGAACAAAAGAAGAAAAACGTGAGGGACAAATTTTGGCTAAGAAAAGTAAAATAAAAAGCAAGGAAAATAATGTGATCAATAACATGGTTAATTTCTTGGTCTCACATGTGGTTGGGTTGGGGCCCCCGCACTTTGCCTTTGTTGTGTGCCGCTGAATGTTTGGCGAGATTCCATGATGCTGTGCTGCAGCTAGCGGCAAGTCTTTTTGCTAGCTGTCATCTCAGCTGCCATGGATCGTGTTACCTATCACAAAGTAAAATCAGGTGTGCTTTTTGAGGCGGGAAGTAGGTGCAGCACAAGATGCCGAGCATTGCCTAAGGTGTAGTAGGTTCGTGGGCAGTATGTCCTCGTACGAGTAGTACATAATAAATGAGATGGATGGCTGGATGGGTGTTCGTTGGAATCCTTTCGCTCTCAGCCTTGTTAGCGCGCCTCAGACACACAGGCACAAAGAACTCAATGCACCAGCCACGGGCAAACAACATTTGATTCTAATGGTGGGATTTGGTTTGCTCAATCTAATTTTGGTGACAGCTCGAATATTTTGCGGCTCAGTTTAGTTATTAACAATACAACAATACAATCCATACAATACAATACAGTATGGACAAGTACAGCACAGTAATAGCTCGAAGCGCCCGGCACTGCTCTGCCGCCTCTGCCAGGCCACGGATTGCCGGAATCGCCCTCCGCCGCTGCAAAGGCCCTGCCCTACCTACAGTGTAGTGGGCTCTCTCGCCCTGGCATGGCTCCAGCAGCGCCGATGCCCGTTGTGCCGGCGCCCACAGCCTCTCTCTGTGCCGCCTGGAGCTGCGTTATTGAACGCCTCAATGAGATTGCCTACCTCCACTAGGCCACTGTAAGCCTCATGGCACCCCCGCCTGTCACCGCACTGTCCGGCCCACCCCGTCTCTCAACCTCACACTCACTCACACTCATCCTTGACCCCTGACCCTGGCTCTCTCGTGAAAGCTTTTTTGACGAGATGCATTGCGGTGGAGACGTTTTTCTTTTTGACGTCCAGCCCAAGACTCATTGGTCCCATGCTCGCATTTTCTCTTTATTTTTCCTGCTCGTGAGCTCTGATTTGCCGGGCTGGGAATGGGACGCTACTGTACTGTACTTGTACTTGTACTGAATCTCAATCCGTCTTGCATTTGCCAAGCTGCAACCAAGTACTTGCACCAGACGAGTATTAGTATTACTAGCCCGCAAGTCCCACCTCCTACGACGGACTGCCCTTCTCTCCCTCGTCACAATGCCATCTTGAAAGAAGCAAACTACACAATCCTTTGCTGTGCTTTGTGCGTTTCCTGCTCTCTGCGTCTGTTTGCAATCCCGCCACATTCACTCCACATCTTCTTTCAGCATTGCTTCCATCCTGCTCCCGCAACAAGTGTATATCGTCGAGGGCCATCTACAAACCCTCGTCTTTGCCTTCTTCCAGCCTATATCGATTCCATACCTTCGACTATTCTTACACAAAACGCCCATCTGATTAGAACGCCGGCCTGTGTTGCGGCATTACTCGTATACGCCTTCGATCACATTCATTTCCACTTTTCCTCTCTTCTCGCCCTCCTCTGAAACAGTTACTTCTCCACAGCAAACCTCTCACTGGCGACATTTCATGGGTCCACCAAGCATTGACTGCAAGGACCAACCTCCCAATCACTTATACGCATACGCAAGCCGTCACTTATCGCAGGTTTAGCTTGGCCTGGCCAGTCCCCCAATCGGCCTTGCGTTGTCTGACTTGGTTCCGTCATGGCCCCCAGCATCAAAACCGACCCCCTTGAGGGCGACACTTCCTTTCCCCGAAGAGCACACACACCCATACCCGATCTCTCAGGCGAAAGCGAGAGCATATCTTTATCGAAACCGGCCAGATTTGGGCGTCGAGAATCGAGACTCGGCATTCGAACCATCTTCGGACGCTCTAGCAAACTACACAAGGGCGAGGAAAGCCTGCGTTCACCCAGCTCTCTCAGCTCACTCAAATCAGCAAAGGCATCTCCTCGATTTGGAGGCTTTCGAGCGTCACTTGCAGAGATGAACTACTGGCCTTATGGAAACCAAGCCAAATCTGAGCTCGCTCTTCCCATGGCCAACTACCCGTGGGACTCTCTTCACGAGAGGCCTGGCGACGGCCAAGATTCACAATCTCGCAGTCCTGCTGCTGCTTCGTCCTCGGGGAAACGCACACCTGGCATGAGCATTGCTAAGCAACCCCGTCCGACTCTCGACACCTGGACACTGCCATCCCTGTTCCGTGCATACCAGCAGGCACTCAAGCAACAGTCTCTTGCCGCCGTCTCTCTGCCAATTGAGGCTCTGGTGAAGTTGAGCGAGAAGACTAGCGTTGCCGACATGATTGCACCTCTTTCCCAAACAGACATGAATGGAAGTGGCGGCGGTGGCGCCGCAAGCACTAGTGCTGGTGACAAATTCAGGAGAAGAAACCGCGGAGATTCTCTGTCCACCTCGAACCTCCCGTGGACGACCAAGATTTACATTCTTGTCACGGCTGGCTATCTGCTTCAGTATTCCGGCGATGGCGCCATTGATCGGATGCCCGAAAAGGTGCTGCGGCTGGGCAAGTTGTCGGCAGCCTTTGCCACTGACATGATTCCGGGTCGCCATTGGGTGCTGCAGGTTTCGGCGACCGCAGAGGACGATAGAGTATCTACAATCACAACTGAGTCTCGGTCCCTTCTTTCCAAGCTGTCATTTCGTTCAACTTCAGAAAAGCGCTACACCTCCAATATACTCATGGTCTTTGAAAGCGCCGAGGATATGGATGACTGGATGACCAGCTTACGCGCAATGATCGAGCAGCTTGGTGGCAGAAAGAGCCTCTCTGAGGTTGGATTGCCCAAGGAGCTTGATATCAGGGAATCTGATGGCAAGAAGGACAGCTTCGACGGCATGTATCTTCGCGAGAAGAAGAGCCAGGGAAACCTTATCGACAGAGAAGCCGTTCGAACGACGCAAGTCATTCCTGCACACCCCTCGCCTGTTTTGCAACAAGACCACGGGCGCAGGATTTGTGATTATTCCATTCCCATGATCGACTTCGACTCCGTAACCCATGACATGACGAGTGACGATAAGTCGACAACAAACAGCGTCGTCTCCCATGACGGTCGTCAATTAGACAACCTTCGACTATCGCTCCTCTCGACTGGCCAACGAACCAATTTGACGTCTACCACGTCTTCGCCAGCCGACTCTCCAATCCGCGAGAGATTTCCTCTGCCAGGAGACATCACCACTATTCCGGAGACTGCGCAGCCAAGGCCCAACGGGAGTGTCATTATGAATCGGCGAGTGTCAGCGCAGGCTATGGGAACCTTTGTTGGAGAGGTTGGTGACGGCATGTCCGAACACGGCCCAATGCCCTCTCCGCCCTGGGTTAACACTGAGCCACCATCTCCTTCCGATCCCCGTGGCACTCACAGCTTTGGCGCCGCCTCGATGCAACAGCTGGGTCGTCGATTCTCCCATGTCAAACTCTCTTCTGCTCAGGACCCAGCGGGGCATCCTCCGTCCCCAACCACTGTAGGGCCTCGGGTCTCGCTACGCAAGCTGTCAAACATTCGCACAGGCCGCCCCCTGTCTACAGTTGAGGATCAGCCATCCCCAAAAGAGAGCGTCATGCCGGAGAGGCCTGTGACGAGCCATCACGCTGATACTCGATCGCAAGTATCATCCGCAGATGTGCCTAGTGTCCCCAAGCTACCTCGAGGCCGACCAAATGTTCCTGAGATGCTGGGACGGCGTCTGAGCTTGGTGCCCAAGGAATCTCGAAGTCATTCGGGCCCTGGCCTTTTCATTTCTCCTGGGCTTCAAGCTGACGGCGCACAACAACCCCATTCTGAACGGCTCACCAGCTTAGAAGCAATGCGAAAATATCAGGACACCAAGGTGTCATCATCTACGTTTGAAGAAACTAGTCCGATATCTGAGCGATTGTACTATACATTACCGTCTCATCTCACAGCTGCGTGGGGTGATAGGGTTAAGAGGAATCGAGCCTCAGTTGATACTGACGGCGAATCAACACGGAGCTTTTCTCTGGGCTTCTCATGGGCTTCTAGGCCTAAGCGAGCCAGCATTGCGTCTGCCTTTTCCGAATGGTCGGCCCCCGGCGATATGCGCCCAATCGACACCATTGTAGAGACACCTCCTCTTTCGCCCCCTCCAACGGGGCCCCTTCCCCCAATTCCTTCGAGACCCTCGTCTTCTTGCAGCAATCATGCCCAGCTTATGGGCCGCAAGAAGAGTATTCCACGGATGGTTATGCCTCCTCCGGCACCACCACCCACGTGTGCCCTGCCGCCAATCCCACAGAAGCAAATGGCCCAGGTATAAATGACTGGGGCGGCATTTGTGTCTTCATTTCCTTTTTTGTTTTGAATACCTCCATCGGTTTCATGCGAGTATGCAGCATCCTTTGCAATACTCAGCATTAATCATTTACACAGGCAATTGGCGTTAAGAATCGTAGAGATTCCTTGGTCTCAGAGACATGCTTTGGCGTCTTAAAAAGGGAACCTGTTGTTATTTCTTTTTGTCTTTTTTGTCTTTTTTTTTTTTTTTGTCTATCTTCTTTGTATAGTTGAGCGCTGGGATGGGAGAAAAATGGCGTGATTGCGCCGAGCCTACTTGATGCATAATGAAACTGCATCCATATATATTTGTTTGATACTGTTGACGACTGGGAAGGCTCTGATGATATCGAGCCTTGAGAGGGATAAAGCATTGGTTTTACTAGTGTAGGAATAGCCTCTTCATCGTACATGGAGGCGCGACTTGATCTAAAGTCGGTTTAAATATATCAAATCTGATTTGTATTTGACAAGTGCATTCTGGATGAGTGACTGCGCTTTGCCTCCTCTATATACCTAGGTAAGTATAAGATGATTGACTGGCTTCAGTTTATACAAGTGCGCGAGGCTAGTGAGAGTGCCTAAGGTATCAGTTTCCGGAGGGGACTCGATGTTATCATCTTTTTGTTTTCTTCACCATGTCCATACGGTCTTCCTGCTTGTACCTACCTATTCTAATGTCACGGCAACAGATTGAGGTCGAGAAAATGATAATCCGATGCGGGGGGGACTTCAACCGATGCACAGCTTGGCGTTGAAACTTGATCACTTCAACCAGCTACAATCACATTACTCTGCCTCATCATCAACATCGAATGAGCGTTTCATCCGTCCAGTTCTTCGATTGGGCATAATCAACTAGGTAAGACAAACCAGATATCTCTTCTCATTGGACCAGGTCATACGTCAATGCCTCCACCAAAAATGATGTGGCTGGGAGCGCCATTTGGTCGGTGGCTGGGGATTTTTCTCTAGGCTCGGTTCGTTGCCGCCCATCCAGCCCACCTTGTGCCTGAAGCTTGGCTTATCATATGCCAATTCCCATTACGAACCAACAAACGGGAAAAAAAAGACGAGACAGGGAATGAGGCGGGACAGCTTCTTTTTTTCTCGCTGGTTCAAAAAATGTCCTGCTGAGACACACAGACAACAAGCCTCAAACCCCTGAAAGCGACATGATGCACACGCCATCGTCATCCTACTGAGGGCCCTCGTTGCATTGCATTGCGCTCTTTCGTCCTCGCTATCTATTCGTCTGTCCCATCTCCAGCTTCTACACCGTACCCGATCTTTGCTGTCTTCCTCCTGCTTGGGCTCTCAGCTCAGAGTCCAACGACAGCAAAAAAAGCACAGACGCATCCGCCTCTTCTTCCTCCGCTCTCTCCTCCTCGCTTTCCCTCTCTCTTTCGATCTCTCAGCAGCAAGCTGGATTCTTAACGTATCCCGTCCAGTTAGCGTCTCCATCTAGGGATCCAGAAACGGCACGCAGAGACAAAACATGCCGGCTCTACCGCTTCTTTCACGGCGGCTAGTAGACGAGCTCGCAACCAGAACTAGCCATGGCGATGCCGCCTCCCTCGTGGCTCGACAGCAGGGCTCCGCCGAGACCACCTTCGTCGTCATCCCCGATTCATACGGCTCCCTCCACGACTCCCTCACTCCAGGCGCCATCGTCGGCATCGTCATCGCCTCGGTCGTTGGCTTCATCTTGCTGCTGCTAGTCATATACACGATTCTGGGCTTTGGCCCCGTCTCCACGCTCGTCCGCACGGCAGAGGTCACTGAGTCCAAGTCGTACGTCTCCCGCAGCATGCTGAGCTCCGCCCGCCCAAAGAGCGAAAAGCCCAAGAAGAAGGTCCCTTCGATGCACGGCGCAAGGGTGCTCTCGATCCGCCGCGAGCGCACCACGAGGACGTCCAAACGCAGGAGCGAGAGGAGAGGAAAGGAGCCCGTCATAGTAGAGCCTGCGCAGAGGAAGAGGGAGCCGTCGCCGCTGACTACGATTTCTTCGTCGTCTGGAGCCGGACCGGCACCCAGGAGGGATCCTCTTCCTTCGGACTACGATGAGGAGAACGAGGTGGTTGTCATTGAGGAAACCACTCCCTCCTCAAGGCGGCATAGCCGAAAGGCCGGCCCATCGAGGGACGCGGATGGTCGGGGCAGGAGATCGAGCAGCCGACGGTCCAGCTACAGCGAATACGACGACAGGAGATACCGCCGCTAAGCTGCTGGACGACTGCATGCCTATTGATTCCTGTTTTTGTCCCTTTTTTGTTATATATTTCCTTTTTTGCCTTTTTGTTCCATTTTGGCTATCGAATCTTGCTTCTCTTTTTGCAGTTCCAAGGTCACAACTGCTGCAAAGTTTGAGAGTACATTGATTTGATACCAGAGAACATGGCTCTCACATGCGAGGGCAGCTAAATGCACGTTTTTGGCCGATTGCAAAGAGAGGCAAGCAAGCAATGCGTAATGATGCGATGTTGGCGTTGGAATCTCTCTCTTTTTCTTCTTTTTTTTTTAGACAATCATACTTACAATGCCAGTACATAACGACGAAGGATGAATGAATAATGGATAGCTCTGGGAAGAGTGATGAAGTCAAAGAGATGAACAATCTATAAACTACCTACCTAGTAGCCACTACCCTGCAGCTAGATGTACAATAAAGACTGTATTTATCTCTGAGCCTGTTCAACAAAGAGGGACAATTTCTTGAGTATTTCCATCAGCACAATCGCTACTTTGTCTTTGGCATGTAGAAAAGGATGGAGCGGATGGTTATATGATTCAAGTACTACATTATAGTTGTTGCATCAAGCCATAGGCTACCTCATAAGAGGAATTGAGAGGCGAGACTAATTAATGACAAAGGAATTATGATGAGAGCTCTCAAGGTATTATGAAGGCCGGTCTCTTCAATTTATGGATCAAGTTCGCTTTAGTTGGCCGTGCTGACATAATACTTGCGATTCTGCGGGATCCCGCGCTCTACAGTAAGGAATTGGGGGCAGCACCTTTTCGATAGAATAGCCCAGATATGAGATGACGGGCGAGACGCGAGGCAATGCCTCGGCCACGATGACGCCAAAACGGCTCAATTTCATCACGGGAAACAAGAACAAGCTCTTGGTGGTCAAGGCGATCCTGGGCGATACGGTCAACCTGCAGAGTCAGCCGCTGGATCTGGTGGAAATCCAAGGGACAATGGAGCAGATTTCAGTGGACAAGTGCCGAAGAGCTGCGGATCTTGTTCGTTTTCCCGGCCAAATAATCCATTTGATCCTTTAAAAGCTGCAGCTGACTGACTGACTGACTGACTGACTCTTTGTAGGTCCAAGGCCCCGTGCTTATTGAAGATACAAGCTTGTGCTTTGATGCATTGGACGGGCTTCCGGGTCCGTATATGTATGTATACAAGGCAAGGCCATTACCTTGTTAATGAGTACCTACCTATGGCTTTGGAGCTACTACTAATCCAATGGATCTTGTACAGCAAATGGTTTTTCGAAAAGCTTGGGTGCGAAGGGCTCAATAACCTTCTCGCCGCATACCCGGACAAGTCTGCCCAAGCCGTATGCACATTTGCCTATTGCGAAGGACCAGGCCATGAACCCATCCTCTTCCAAGGTCGCACCAATGTAAGAAAGATCTCACAGCCAATCTCTTATTCCCCCCCTTGTTCCGTCTAAGTAAATAAAATAAAGGGCAGGATAGTACCGGCAAGAGGCTCGATGGGTTTCGGTAAGAAAGGCTTATTGTATTCTTTTTTTTTCATTCCATATTTACTAAATACTCATTTGTTCACAGGCTGGGATCCGATATTTGAGTACCAAGGACAGACGTATATTATGAAGCCCACCCAGCTGCCATATGCGCTACATAGCTAACTTTGCAAATAGGTATGCCGAGATGAACGAGGTAGATAAAAACAGCATCTCGCATAGTTTACAAGCATTGGAGAAACTTAAGAAGTGGCTACAAGAATCGTAGGTATTACAATCCTGAATAGTTGGAGTCTTAATTAGAATTGGGATATATTAGACAGCTCAAGTATTGCATGTGGGCAATTCAAGTTGACAAGGGCGTCGATCCACAACTTGACTAAAATTGGAATCATATTTTAAGGGAGTGACTATTCAGCACCACACGTTCGCTATTCAGCATCCCATTCTTAAATTTAAAGCAGCCTGGGTAGTAATGATAGCAGACATTAAAGGAATATATGGATAGTAGCGGATAGTAGCGATAGTAGCAGATAGTAGCGATAGTAGCAGATAGTAGCGATAGTAGCAGATACTCCAGGAACTGTGTAATATCTATTCATGTAACGGTGATAAGAGAGATCTTCATTATACGTTGTTACTCCATTCGGAACTCCTCTTAGTCGCTGGGGTGCTGGATAGCCCTTCCCTATTATAATCGTCATCACCCATTTCACCTTCCACTGTAGCAGCTAGAAGTTATTTAAAAGGAAAGCCCATTTCATTTTTCTAATTCCGCTCCAAGGAATCATTTCTCTTTTATATCCGGATTCCTGGGCCGAGCCTGGCTTAGTTACCAATCCCAGCTACCAATTGATCATAGGGCCGGCCAAATCCTCCCATTCAAGTTGCTACAGAGAGCAAAGAGTTCTATGTCGTATAGTCCTGTTTTAAGTCACATAGCCCTCTAGGTATTTTATTTATATCACCTATCCGTCTAAACGCCAAATCAGGTCCATGCCAAAAAAAAAAAAAAAAAAAGCGGCCTGCCTAGAAACCAGTCTCTGAATCCGATTCAGTAAACTCATTACTCCAGTTCGATTGTGCCTATTGTCCTCCGTTAATATTACAATGCCTGAAAAAAGAAAGAAAGAAAGGGGGCATAAAAGGGGCACTCACCTGGAGGCTTTGCTGTGGTGTCGTATACGACCCTCGCAATGCCGTCTACTTCGTTGACAATCCGCCTGCTGATAGCCCTGAGGAGACTCCACTTGAATTCGTATGGCTCGGCACTCATCATATCTAAGCTGGTCACGGCTCGCAGAACGCAGATGTAGCCGTAAACCCTAGCATCTCCCTGTACACCGACGGCTGGACGACAAATACAAGTTAGAAATCGCTCCAAGTACGCAAGTGCAAGCGCAGAAGGAAAGGGGGGTTTTTACCTCTGTTGGTGTCAAGTGCGGCGTAGGCTTGGGTGACCTAAAACTCTCTCGTTAGCAAAAGCCTCTCTCGGATGGCAGGGTTTGGTTGCGTCGAACCTCGTCGTAGATGCCGGCCTCTCGGATCATGGAGATGAAGATGTGATCCGCCTTGCGCACAATTTCGACTCGCTCGGGGGTGACCTCGCCGATGATCCTGATGCCCAGACCGGGTCCCGGGAAGGGGTGTCTGCCAACGAGCTCCTCGTGGATCTTCAATTGCCGACCGAACTCCCGCACTTCGTCCTTGAACCTATTGGACCCAAATTGTTAGCAACAGGGACAAGTAATCACCCTCACTGGTGAAGGTTGTGTACAGGACCGAGGGTAACGTACAGCTCTCGCAGCGGCTCGAGCAGCTTCAGCTGCGCCTCCTATTATTTTCTATTAGCCTCTTTCATCACCAAATATCGCATGGTTCAACTTACGCCATTCTGCATACGAGCAGGGAGCCCTCCCGCATTATGATGAGCTACACGAATCTTAGTCAGAATACTGCAGAGGCGTTCCGCTGAAGGTGGATGGGAAAGTTGGGAAATGAATAACTCCAATGTGGCGAGGGAGGTTTCAAGTCTGGCCCTCGTGTGAGCTTGGCAGACGGGGCTTGGCAGCCTCGCCGTTACGCCAAAAGGGGGGGAGAACAAGGGATGAGAAACAGCTGAAAGACGTACACTTGATTGTAGAACTGGCAGCTCCCTTGAAACTCAAGCTTTCCACGATATCCGCTAGACGGGGTTAATAATTTCGATCCTTGAGGTGAGCAGGGTGGAGAACTAACCATACAGCGTCCCCTGAAGGAACCATTCAACCTTTCCGGCACGAGCTGTGTTCTCTGCTTCTTTCTCAATACTGGACACAGGGTTAGGCCAATTTCTCCATGGTTCGATAAGCGATGAGGCGCGAGCTTACCGGAGTGCCTCAATCTCAAAGAGGTCAATGACTATCTGGAGTCAATACGATATATGCTGGCCAGCTTCCAAGGGTTTGACTCACAAGTCCCGCCGATAATCTTCCTCTTGGCTTCAGGCTCCGTGACGCCTGCAAGGCGGCCGAGGAAAAGCTCGGATCCATCCACCACTGTGAGATTGATTCCCAGGTGCTTGTCCAAAGTCTCCTTGACTTGCTCGCATTCGTTCAGACGCATCAGACCTATTGGACACGTTTAGAACATCGCCATCAAGTTGGTGGGCATGTCCTTGGGCGACATCGTCTTACCAGTGTCGACGAGAATGGCATGGAATCGGTCTCCAATGGCTTCCTTCATCAGCTTGGCGGCTACAGTGCTGTCAACACCGCCGGAGACGGCTCCAATCTGTGTACTTAATTAGCAGGTCAACTTTTTGTCGTTGGGACAAATAGAAACACGTACAACCTGGGCGTTGTCGCCAACCAGCTTCCGAATCCGAACGATCTCGTTCTCCAAGAAGTTGTCCATTTTCCAGTCTGCTCGGGCGCCGCAGATCTTGAGAGCAAAGTTGGCAAGAATATCAGTCCCCCGCTCAGTGTGTGAGATCTCAGGGTGGAATTGGATGCCTATCACCCATACTTGTAAGCAAGCTCTAGAATCGGCCCAGCCTATCAGGGGCGCACATACCAAAGATTGGCATAGATTTGTGGGCAATGCCAGCAAACTCGCTGTCCTTGGTGGTGGCAATGATCTCAAAACCGTCGGGCAGATGAACAACCTTGTCGAAATGACTCATGACAACTACAGACAGAGAATGTCAGATACGCATTCAGACCATTTGCATAAAGGAAGTGAACGAACCGTTCAAGGAGTCTCCCAGTCCGTCAAAGAGCCGATCGCCGTGGCTACCAACCTTTCGGATGGCCAGCGCGGTTTCGCCGTACTCACGGTTCTTGCCGGGTGCTACGCTGCTTGGATCCACACGCCACGCTGGAACAAGACTATCAGCTAATGCTCATACAGAAACAAACAAGGGCGATGACGAGAGCAGTACCAATCAGTTGATTGCCGAAGCAGACGCCTCTTTTACATTCACATGTTAGCGACCTTTCCCCTTTCCATGGGGCCTTTGGTGGATAACGTACAACACGGGGACACCAAGCTCGAAGACCGCTGGATCCACGCTCGGGGAGTCGGGGGAATACACGCTTGATGGTCCCCCGCTCAGAATGATGCCAACTGGTTTCCAAGAAAGATCTTTGAGCTTTTGAGTACAAGGTAACATCTCAGAGTACACCCCAAGAGACCTAAGCCGTCTCAAGATGAGCTTTTACTATTGTCAGTGTTTGGTTCCCGATAGTATATGAGTAGAACCAACATGGCTGGTCTGAGATCCTAGATCCAAGACGAGGACGGTCTTGACGAAGCAGTATGGTCAGCTCAGAGGGCATTGGATATGGATAATGAACAGGGACTTGTTCGTATAAGCTTACGTCGAAGACATCATGCGGCGGCGCCGCTTTGGCCGTGTCGCTCATTGTACAGGAGATATTTCCACCCAAAAGGTCCAAAAATGAGAAGAATATGTCTCCGCCCAAAGGGTCCAAAGATGCGAAGAATACAGTGAGGGTCCCTGCAAATAGGATACACACGAACCGTCAAAGAGCGAGGAGCATCGTCACCAGAGAAATTTTTTTCACGCCAAACCTTAGATGGCTGACTAAGCTACCCTGCGTAAATCAGGCCCCCCACCACCACTACGATTCTCCACTGCGCCGCAAACTCGCGAGGTCCAGGCACTCAAGCGGTTGACAAAATAATTATGTAGAATCGGAAGAGGATATTGACCTACGAATTATAAAGCCCCTTAAAATCGATATAGTAGAGATTTTTAGGTTGGATTAAATAATTCATATGGATACCAATATCTTATAATTCGAATGCGGAATGCGCCTATAGTGGGCTTTACTTGATATGATAGAAAGGTGCAAAATGGATTGCAAACTAACTGGTTAACTAGGGTTGACTACCTATAGTCAAACAGTGACCAATTCACTTGCGTACGGTTGCTTGCATGTTCACCGCCACTGCATGTTTCCGCACACAGGTGAATGAAGGTTGAAGGTTCCAGAGTCTATCGCCAACTCCTTTGTTGTACCAATGATGTGTGTAAACGGGAGGGGCCTTTGCCGAAGCGTGGGCCCGAGCATATCCAAAAGTGCAAAGGAAGGTGCAAGCCTTGCCAAGATGCGGATGTCCCCTGCTTGAAGAACGGTACCAAGGTAAAGAGGTGCGAGCACTGTATCAATAATGGCTTGGTGTGTTCCGACTTCAGCCACGTTCCAACACTTCCGCCTCGATCTATGCTCAAGGTGCCATGCGAGAGATGCGGACATCTTATGTATCCTTGGAACCTAAAGGGCCATCTGCCACAGTGCAAGGGTAAGTGCAGCGAGTGCACGCGAGGAAATGTCCCGTGCCTTTTTCAGCTGGGGGGGAGATGCCAGCGATGCGCGAAACTCAAACTTGATTGTGGCGGCTTTACCCATGAGCATCTTGCTGAGAACAAGTACATTTGCAGCCGGTGTGATACTGCGTATGGATCACCTGTAACGCTCTCCCAACATCTCACTCGGTGCCGAGGCAAATGCGATCCATGCAAGGCCTCCAACATTCCTTGTCAATGGGGAGGCACCAGTTACTCGTGCAAGAGCTGCCTTGGTAAAGGGATTCAGTGCACTAACAATCTGACCGCTGATGCGCCCTTGGAAACCGAGGTGCCATGTCCTCATTGCTGCGCCCTCATCCCGCAAAAGAGGATTGCGACGCATGAGAAAAGATGCAAAGGCAGATGCTCCCATTGCAGGGAGCTGGATATACCTTGTCAGCATTCTACGGGCGGGGCACACATCTGTTCTAAATGCCGTGAAGATGGGGTGGAATGCACATTTGAATAGCAGGGAGGCACAAGGGCCATGTTCTCAGAAGGCTTCTCAGCCGCCAGAAGATTTAACCCAGAAGAAGGGACTTCAACGGTCAGGGAGTCAAATGTATGGTCGAACGTCGATGATCTTCTAAGAAGCTAGCTATGGGATGTGTACCAGCAGAGCCCTTCGTTGCCTTTACATGGCGGTCGGCTTTAACCAGCTTTGATTCTAGAGTTGTTGTTTCTAAAGATGCAGACTCGAAACTTTGTAAGGCTCTTGGAGCACTAGAAAAGATATGAAAGTTGGGCGTGAAGGATATTGACAAGTGGAATGCGGGATTCGGAAAGGTGCGCCTTGTGGCAACCTATCCGGTCGAGGAGATTTCACAAATCAGCGATTATCGCTGCCCCTCGTGGTTTGGGCTTGATCTTTGTATAGGATACGAACATGATATTATCACTGTTGTGCAATCCCCCGCTCTCCTGGAACTGTGGCGCTTCAGCTGGCAGAGGCTCTTTTGCCTTGAAGTTGTGCTCTAGGCTGAGATGTAACATGTTGGCCCAATTGATCATGTGGACGGACATAAAGTTACGCAGCCAGCCAGGGTGCTCAGCTCACACCACTCAATGGTGATTCGAAATGGGTATTTAAGTGGTCGTATACTCCGTCGTTGTCAACAGCAACCCGACCTGTTTTTTTCTCATCCAATCGTATTCCTGTCGTAAATTACACCCTTTTAAACATTTTCTCTTTCCTCGACGATTTCACAATGCCCGTCAAAAACTACGGCGTGTGGAAGGCAAAGCCTGTCAGTTACAAATTTGAGACTGACTGGGATGATCCAAAAAGCCCACACCTATATCTAGTGTTTGACGACGGTAAAATCAGGAATGCAGAAGCAGCAATTAACATCAAGTCTGGTGATCACAAAGACTCTCGTCTGGTGTACTGGCCAGTCTCTGCCTTAGACCACCCCATTATGAACGAACTTCAGGCAGTAAAAGATGGATTCCATTCCCTTGAAGAGGGGTCGAGCGATCTAAGACTCGACTACATCCGGGGAAACATGTTCCAGAAACAGGCAGGCAGACTCCTTCCCCACGATATCCCAGAGGAGAACAACGATATAATTGATGTCTTGGAGCCTATTATTAAGGAAGCCATTTCCAGCAAGGCCACCATCTACCTGTACGGCTCGCGCTTTAGTGACGGGAATACCGGCAAAAAGGGTATTCACAATGTGCACATGAATCAGGGGAACTCGAAGAAATATGCGAGGGATAACGGTGTCTACCAGGACGGAGGATTTTTTATACAGTTCAAGAACCATTGGAAGGCCATCTTCCTTGGCTTTGCCTCTCAAGCCGTCCACACCAACGATGACGATGGCTCCCCTATCCCACCAAATGGCTATGAAACCTGGGCTGATTTCTTGGATCCAGAGGTCCCGGCTAGAACACGCGAATCTAACGAACTGCATGACTCGCCTGTCCTCATCAGTCAGGCGTTGGTGAATCCTGCCGGCCCGGATAACCAACCTGGCACCAAGCCCGAGACCGTCTCTCTGACCAATCGCACTACACATACAGTCGATCTCACCGGATGGAAGGCCATAAACCAAGCCGGCCAGTTCGAAGAGCTGCCAAAGGGTGCCAAGCTAGCCGCCAAGGAGGTGTCCAAGGAGTTCAAGGTCCCAAATTGCCCGCTTTCAAACAAGGGCGGAGTGATTACGCTTCTCAATGCACAGGGCAGCAAGGTCCACGGCGTGAGCTACACGAGGGCGCAAGCGAAGTGGCAAGGCAACACGGTTCTCTTCAGACAACCGGGTGAGGTGTTTTAGTACTCACTTGATGGTCACACTTGGGACTTGACACTCACAGAAACTGACGCCAAAAGTATTTGTCTGAGTTTTGTATGCTATTGTAATAGTAATTCGGAATTATTATATAGTTAATTCTTACTTCGTTACCAGCATTGGAAAGCTCTTTATCGCAGTGTAGATTCCCATATTGTTGTGATCTTACCGACATCTCCGCTGCCACCTCTCTGATCTTGATGTTTTCCCAACTGGTGCAACATCCTTGGCCTTACAAAGACAATTCCACCTCAATAAAACCTCCTATTACACCCGATTACCCCGTAAATTCGATAGCATGAATCGAGATCGACGCTAAACCGGCTCTATAAAGCCACCACGATTTCAGCTGAATGTCAAACTCCTCAAAGTCAATACAAGGCTAATTGGGAGTTGGCTGGTTAGCCGACAGACAGCCTCTATTAGGGCGCTTCCAGCATCAAAATCCCCAATGCCGTCGTGAGTCTCGATTCGTGAGGGGATGGGATTTGATGTTAATAGTCTTCAGCCTGGCACGTCATACTCAACCACAATTCTAAGGCAAAGGCAAAACGCCATTCTGCTCATTACATCAGTAACCTCGACTCCAGATGTCCTCCTCCATTCTTTTTCATCCCTCAAGACAAGCTATGTAGCTGCTACTTTAGCCATATTTTAAGGTTATAGAGGTTAAACTTATAATCAATATGAGGGTTTTCAATAAAGCCATACAAGTTGATATTTAAAGTTATAAACATATTCTCCTAGGCCCATGTGGCGTTTTAACGAACTTGGTTGTGCTAAAGAGACCAAATCACAGCAGCTGCCAAGACCTCAGCCTTTCTCATAGCCCCAATACTAACGCCAAGCATTCCATCATTTCGTTTAGGAAGCGACAAATTCGCTTCACGAAAAGAGGCGTACGCCAAAGGTGTTTTTCAGCTCGCTTAGACCTTTTCCGGTACAACTGCTTGAACTTGACGGGCTTGAACTTTTTCGCGCCCTACAAGGTTCATAACCTAAGTAACCTGCATTCCAAAAACGCCAACTTCCCAATCGAAACCCCATCTTGGAGACCTGGATCTGGCCCATGACAGATATTGACAGCATCAATGAATGACAAAAGTTGTTTCTTAACAATATTAGTCAGGTCTTTCTACGACTGGAGTCTATTGCCCTTTGCCAACCCATATCTAGTCTTCTTGTCCATATCTCTGTTAGAGCTCAGTAGCTCATTTCACCAAGGCGACTCATTGAGATGGAGGATAACTGCGCCAACGCCGTCAATTGGATCGAATGAGAACTAAGCGCGGAGCAGTAACAGCTTTGCTATGTGTGTTGACTAGTGTAAAAGAAATATGCTCCAATTGTCTTTAAACACACTCCTTACATGTTTCTTGCACACATATTTACCTATCTACCTAGTAGTAGTATGTGTATATGTATATATACTAAGTATGCGGGTGTCGCTCAGATTTGTGGCATACCCCTTCCTTTAGAGACTTGGATCCAAGAATGCATTTTTCTCAATACTGCTTGATATTCATCCACCATCGCAGCACCCCATATCCCAGAGTAAATAGTCCCTCGCTGGTTATATCATCAAAACAGAGAACCTCCACACGTACCAAAAAGTCGGCGGGAAAGCAAAAGCAACGAAGAAAAACGAAACCCAAGAGGAAAGAAGAAAAAAAAAAGTAACAGCAGCAGAAGTAAACTATTGGGTATGTATGCATGTGTTAGAAAAAAGGAAAAACGTGTTTCTTTCAAACCGACCCGGTCTCCCTCACCAGCTTCTTCTTCTCTTCTTCAGCCTCACATGTCGCTCCCTCCCGAGTGTCCACCCGCGCCATTTGATGCACCAAATCCGGCGTTCCCTCCCTGAGGCCCGCCAAAGAAAAACGTATCAAAGGGATTCATTGGCTGTGCAGCTTCCGCATAGTCGTTGTGCACACCTTCCCAGTTTATGCCAAAGCCAAAGTCCATCTGGCCCTGCTCCACGCCCCCGAAGCCGCCGTTGGATCCCGTCCCGAACGTCTGCAAAAGCTCCATGGTCTGCGCATCTGGGTACTCCATGTGGCCATGGATGCCAAACTGCTGGTTCTGTTGGGCCATAAACGGGTTCCCGCCGCTGGTACTGCCAGGCGTGGCTTGGCTTCGTGGCAGAGACGGCGATGCAATCATCGACTGGTCCATGACTGAGCCGCCATCATCATAGCTGCTTGTCCGCTGTGTGGGACTCGGCCGGCCATGGCTGTGGGCGTGGGAGTGAGCCATTGTTACCGGCGGAGTGGCTATATCCCCGGCTGTCGAGAGGCTGGGTGATGACAAGCTATCACCCATTGCCATATCAAACTGGAACTGCTGCTGCTGCTGCTGTTCAGATTGGTGATGGTGGCGATGTCGAGATGCTGGCTTCTTGGGAGCCATGTCTGCGGGAGTAGGAGCCCAGTTGGTGGTCTCCCTTCTAGTTGGCGGTCGACGGGTTTGCTGGATAGGTGAGCCAAACCCTCCTTTTGAGGTGGCCATCTGGATGGTGGCCTTGGCTGTTCGATCAAAAGCATCGCGGCATGTCTCCGCCGGTGGGCATTTATCAATCATGTCGGTAAATACTGACTTTGCTGCCAGCACTGTAAAATCTACTTCGTCCATAGTCTATAACACGTTATTTGGTCAGCGAATCCAGTCTCTTCTTCTACTTCACCCATATTCCTCCTCATCTCTCCAGGAGAATTCTAATAAGGGCACTTACCAGGCGGCTTCTCACGGCAGGAGAATGCCATATGGCGTAGAGATATGATATGCCGGCCATGAACAAATGATGCGTAGACAAGTAAGTATAGCTTACGAGACTGCTCAGATGCAGCTGTCTATATATGCGGAGAATCTTTTGCCCCGCCTCTGCGACCTTGAGGTATATACGCTCCTCGTCTTCGCGTAGCTCAGCAGTGAATGCCGTGGGGCTGTTGACTTCGTTTGAAGGGTTGTACTCTCCCTCGAACATGGCAGGGATGCTCAAGCTCTGCTTATACAGCAGAACAATGGCCTGCCAGTAGTTGAGAAAGAGGAACTCGGTCGAAAAGGCCACTCCAGTTTCTTGTTTTGAAGGCGCATTGTCCTTCCATTCGCGAAGTCTCCGGTCAATGTCCATCCGCCACGACCTGTACGAGTCGAAATGGATAAGATAAGGAGACGGTAACGACCTATTCCTTTCTAGATCCAGCGACCTCGCCTGGGTCCCTGTTGTCCTGGCGATTTGCGCTTGGTTATACTGCAAGACTTGGAGAATCTCCGACTGTAGCATGCGCAGCCTAAAGTAGTGATGGGCAACGTGCTTATAGCTCGGGTGATCCTCGCCAGAAGGTGGATCTAGAAAGCCATTCGGCGTGATGAAGGCATCGTCGAGGACCGAGGGAAACTCGGTTGTGATGACTTGGTCGCTGATGCCAAACGGCCTACCAACGCAGGTGCTTACCAGCCTGTCAAACGAGTAGGTACACCACCATAATCGGCGTCTCATATCGCGGATCCAGAGACGTCTCCCTCGATCTGAGCTGCCGCCATTCGAGTCTCGTGACTCAGCATGGTCTTGTGCGTCTTGTCCACCGCCCTCTATATCCGTGCCGTCCTCGTGGTGGAGGCCAAGGTCGACCGCGAGACGCACCGCCACGCCAGTTATATACCAGAGTCCCGGTGGAACGGGGCGAAGAAGCGCAAAGTTGGCAAGCAAAAGAACGGCTTGTAGTACCTCGAGTCCACCTCCACTGCTGCTGAGGCATTCCTCAAGGTGGACGATTGCACTCGCATGATACTCCTCCGGCCTGCTCTGGTTCCGGCCTTGTTGAAACTGCAACCTTGCGTTGCCAGAAGCCTCCGCCTTGACCGGCTCGCCCACGATGACACCGCAACCGATAGCAAAGACCATGTTGAGCATGTATAGCTCTCTCGCACTGAGGCCCCGGCCCTCGTTTGCGTACGCCCGTTCAAACATGCGCATGAACTCGCCGCGATGAAGGATGGGAATCTGCGGGTTGGCATGCTCAAAGTAGAGCGTGACCAGGCGCATGGCCACGTCTCTAGTCGGGAATGTGGCCGGCTGGATGGTTGGTCGAGTATGCAACCCGAAGAAGGAGTCGCGCATCGAAGTGCCCGCGCCAACTGGGTTTGACTGATTTGAAGAGACGGACTTCTCCAAGCCGCCGTTTTGGTCTGATACTGAATACTGCACCGCCGCAAACACGACGCGGGCAAAAGAGACTCCCGATGTAGAGGCGAGCGATCGCGGCTTTGCCGGACTGACAATGTTTAGCATGGCTGGACTCTGATCACCCTGCTTCTTCGCTGGGAGCAGCGCATTATCCAGTGCCTGGCTATGATGGCTTTGTGTTCGTGAGCTGCGAGCGTCCGCCGCATCGGTTTGTCCAGAGTATCCCGCATCGCGTATGGCCGGAAAGCTCCCATCGGCACCAGGACGGGAGCATACGTCTAGATCTTCAGCCGGCGGGAATGAGATATTGTTGGATGCCAGGAGTTTCTCAAGCACCTCAACACGGGTTTCGAGATAGAAGACATAACTAGAGCCACCAATTAGCAACGCTACGCTATCAACTAGACCGAGAGATGAAGAACGGAGTTGTGCAGAGTTGATCCAAACAATATCTTTTCCTTGCTACCTCTCTCCCTCTCTCTCCTCTCTTGCGCATCATGTAGTCTTCCACATCTGCTTACCTTCTCGGAATCTCCTTCTTCGTTATTGGGTCATAGCCAACACAAGGAACGCCAACCTTGTTACAGCTCGCGCAGCTGGGGAGCTTCTGATCGCACCTATTCTTACGCAGGCGACAGCGATTGCATGCGCTCACATTGCGGAAATTGCTGCTCTGTCCAGGCTTGCCAGTCGGCGCAACATTGTCGGAGCCGGTCGCAGCAGCGGTGTTGGTATCGGTGTTTACAGCGGCATCATCAACAATGGCAGCATCAATTGCGCCGGCTCCGGCACCGGAATCATGACCAGGACCAGAGGCGGAGGCAGAGACTGAGGCTGAGGTGACAGAAGTGCCAGGGTATGCAGCCGAGGCTCCGGCCTCGCTGCGGCCGCTGCTGCTGCCACTGCTTGTGGCCCCTCCTAGATTTGCATCGCCGGGTAGCTGCTCAGGACTCGAGAAGCCGTTGCGCGATGACGTGCCGTCGTACGAGTCCTGCCGCTGACGCTTGACGCTTTTCTGGAGGATCGGGGACGGCGGGCCATGAGTGGGCATGGTTTAAGAGAAATAAGGCAAGGTCGGCTTGTGTTAGGCTGGCAGTCCCCCAGCGAGGGAGAGCTTTGAGAGGTTGGGGTCGGGAAGGGGGGGTCGGCGTCAGATCCTCTGGGGGAAAAGAGCAAAGCCCAAGGCGAGAATCTGGGATAGAAGAGGAGGATGGGCACGGCAGCCTGCATGCACAGATACAGATACTGTACACAAGTCTCCGTCGGCTCCGGTTTTTTTTGTCGCCCGTTCCCTGCTATCCCTTGCCTCTTCTCTCCGTCTCGTCGGTGCTGTCGTGCTCTCTCTCACGCAGACGCACACACGCCACACATACACAGTCAGGCGGTAATGACAAGGACAAGGGAACCGGTTCTCGGTCTAGATGGATAAATCGGACAGCCACCTACAAGGTCAGATCGCAGTTAAGCCAGCGGGGGGGGATGTGGGACACTATGCATGCAGAGCACAGAGACTCGATTCAATTCGATTCGGCTCGACTCGACTCACCTCCGGCTTGCCAACGGTTTTTCTTTTGGTCTTGGGTTGCAAAAATTGCCCTGTCCCACAAGCACACCGTCTATACGTAAGAGATGCTTCCTTTATTCTCCCTTTTCTCCTCCTCTTGCCGGTCCTTTCCTCTCTCTAATATCTGCGCCTTGTCTCTCTCTTTTTTTCATATATATGCGTATACGTGTGCGTATGTATTTTCAACAGCTGGCCAATCTTGTGCGCGGCTTTCCTTGTTCCGCTATCCCATCGTCCAGATTCAGTCGCAGGCCGAAAATCGGCCAGGAACAAGCGGCAATCGGAGGGGCGTCCAGAAGCACAAGCGGTCGAAGACACGGATGGTCGCTCAGGTACCAATATGACGACACGTTGACAGGAAGAATCTCAGAGAGCGGCCGCAAGCGTGGCATCAACCATCCAAAAGGCGAGTTGTTTGGTCGCAGCGCATAACCGAAGGCGCTGAGCGTGCGATATAACAGGTGCGGAACAGGCGCCCCAGACGCGCCGAGCCACCAAAGGTCGGATCGGATTGCTTCCCCGGCGAGGATTGATATGCAGTCAACCGGCGAGAGCTGTGCGAGCACGCAACGTCGGCAATGCAAGTCAGTCAGCACCTTGCAAAAAGGCCTGGGCGCAGTCGTCTGGTATGCGGCGGTATCACGATGCAGGAGGCTGCAGTATCGGGTATAATAAGTAAGGTAGGGATGCAGCAGTAGTATAGTCGTAGTAGCAGCACCGCACGAGCAATCAGACTGAGAGTACGGAGGATGGGCAGATGCGCTGCAGTGACGCAGCAATGCAGCAATGCAGCGAAGTATCTAGCGATGCAGTATGTACGGTCGGTCGTCTGTCGCATGTAGTTGTCAAAACTCCATTGCTTTTGGTTTGGGAAAGGGAAAAGATGGTGGGCAGCCGCGATAAAAGTGAACCCCACGAGCGAGGCTCGGCTTAGTAGTAGCAGGACCTCGCTGCTCGGGCTCACGATGGGGCCCGGGATCAAGCAGTACCTGCAATTGGCGGCGCGCAACGCCTAGCCGGCATGTAGCTGCTAACGGCGCGGCCATTCAGTGGCGGCGGCCCCATGTGCTACCGACACTTGACACGATTAGTGGCTACGCCTTACACATAGCGCTATCTTAGCACGAGCGAACTGCCTGTATCAGGTAATGGTTGATAAGAGCACAGAACTGGCAAAAGAATGGGGGGGAGATTGACGACGGAGCGAGAGAGAGGGAGATAGAAGAGGCTGAACCAACCGCCCGGCGCGCCAGTCCCCGCATTTTGGATATAACCTACTCGTAATAGGATCATTGGCCTCTGATTCCCAGCTTCGTTTATTCATTTGTTTATTTTAATTTAGCCAAATTATACCCGGTATAGGTATAAGTTAGTAGGTAAACTTGGGGACTTTGCTGCAGGTTTGCGTAATCATGCCTCGCCTTAGGTAATAGTAGAGTCTCAATGAGGTAGCATCAAGATAAGGCATCTGATACAGTACCTAGGGAAAAGAATTATGGAGATGATGGAGATGGAGCTGCTGCACCTTAGTATAGTACCCTATAGCTTAGGGTCACCGATAGCCTACAGACTACGGATCCAGTAAGTACTGCACATGTACTGTGCCTGCGAGATTTGGAGAGGTGCCACTCGGCGTGCATGCGAGCGCATACGCTCCGTAACTTTAGTCCCCACAGCAACAGTCACAGTCCAGCTATAGGTAGGTACTATTTATATTAATAATGCTAGGTACGGACAAAGAGCCGTGCATGTTGCTGTCTTGTTGTTCTCTGCCAGACAGCGTGACTCTTACCTAGAGCAGGCAAGCCGGGTGGGCGTCTGCTTGATGCCATCATAGTACAGTACAGGCAAGGCAGGGTACTAACACCGACCTAGGTAGTACTCGTATACCTGGGGCAGTAGGCTGATGCGATTGCATTCCCCTTTTATTTTTTTCAACTTATCTCCGATTGGCAACTGCGGGGACTTTGTTATGGGGAACAAAGGATGTCAGCTTTGCAGAGACGATGAGAGTGGCAGAGGTACGTGTACAGTACTTTAGCTGGGATCCATTTCGATCCCATGCCAGCCAACCAGCCTTAGTAGGGAGGATGGAGTCGTTGCGGGTTTGACGGAGACATACCGCTATAACTCTATATTTGCTGGAGGCACTGCGACTTGCACACAAGACCAAGGCCGTTGTACTGCTCCGTACTGTTACTCCGCTTTCAAGCTTGCGTGGAGACCTTACCTACTACCTAGGTAATAATTACTCCGAATAGCTCTTCGAATTCAGACATTCTACCAGATACTCAGATTCATCGTCTCTCAACATTCCATTTCATCCCGTTTCTCTCTTCTCCAATCAATGGTAATGCTTAGAATGTAAGCAAAATCACAGATAGCAATCCATGCTACTCGTACTACTAGGTACCTACCTAGGCAAGGACAAGGTAGATGCGCATATTACCTACCTAGGTACTATTCACAAAGTCCATCCGCATAAAACCCACACCACGCAGCAAATCCGGGGTAAGATGAACACCATGCACATGCCTTGATACACACACCCAGATCTCTCCCTCCCTCTCTCTCTCTCTCTTTTATTCTTCTCTCTCTCTCTCTTCGCCTCGTCTCCCCACCTCAAAACCCCACGCCCCTCCTTCGCTTCAGCACAAAACAAAACTACCACCCGTCTCCGTCTCCTACATCATACCACAAAAGCTCCCTCCCACGCTTGCAACAACAAACGGCCGCTTACCTGTGTACTAGCAGCGTCACATTAACTACCATCCCATCTAACCGCTCTGAAATGGTACCATACTATGCCTTGCCAATGCCACTTGCATGCCACACTCTACATTAGCGCCAGACACACCACACTTTTGCTCCCTCCAAACCAAGGCCAGACCGTGGCAGCCCAATCTGCTGGCTTGCCCACTCGCATCCCGATTGGCCCAGCATTCATCCATCCCGTTTCCCCCGTCTCCCCCGTCTCCTTGGTGTCTTGCTCTCCTTGCTAAATCGCCATCTCGCGTCCTCTCTCCTAGTCAGGCACCAGGATCAGGCTTCTTGTCGGAACTAACTGCAGAACCCATGGCGCCATGCCACCTTCACCTCGTCCCTTTTGTTTCTTTTCCTCTTCTCTCCCCCACTTCTACTCACACTCCCCCCATACACTTGGTCCTGCCCGGGTGGCGGCATCTTTGCCAGATACCGAAAAGCTCACCTTCACCGCAACAGCACACGACGAGCTACTCGTATATTGCCACCACGCAAAGTTTTTGTATTTGTCAAAACTCTCAATGGCTAAACCCAATGCATACCTAAACCTACTTATGCAAGTACTAGGTACCCAATACTCAAAGGAAGGTCCCAAGCCCACCACCATGGGGGGAGGAAAACACCTCTAACCAGTAATATCCATCGGTCCCATCCCGCCCTGCCCCCGTCATGTCTCGTCCCAGTCCAACCTGTCTCCAACCAACCGTAAGCCAAGCCAGCCTTCAAGTGCCTAGTTCCAGTTTCCAGAGCCTGACATTCCATGTCTTGTACCCCGTGTCCAATATCCCGTTCCTAATGCCTAGTGTCCAATATCCAGTCCCGGTGCTTTATGCCCTGTGCCATATACCCAATGATAAACTCATAATCCCAATCCATGTCCTTGGTCTCCATTTTCCACACCGGCCTGATCCGAGTCTCCCGATTCATCCATCCTCAGACCATTGCTACCGCGTATTGCAGGGCCAGCGAGTGTGCCTTGCCTCCCCCACCTTGGAAGAGGAGAAAGGGGAAATCCAGAAAAATAAAAATAAAAAATCGAATCCGAAATAGTGAGAGAGTCCAAAAATTAGCTCCATTCCTTGTTTATCCCAGAGCTCCAGTATCCTTCTAATCGTCCAACAGTGTTGGCCCAAACGTGCTTGCATCAGATGTCCAAAATCAAACTAAAAATAAAAAATAAAAAATAAAAAAAGTAAAACCGAAGACGGCGAAGAATAAAGGGGAGAGAGGTAAAGCCTCTCAAGGCGCCGTTGTGCCTGACCGAGGTCATCGCCTTTGTCAGCTCGAAACAGTGGGTTTTGAAGTCGTTTGTTCAAGCCGTGGATTATACCATTTATAAAAATAAAAAATAATAAAGGTGAAGATAAAAATGTAGTCGTCATCTCGAAGTGCCGGAGCCGTCTCGAGAAAGGAGATCCGGGTCGAGAGAAGCGGGGGAAACCCAAAAATATAAAACCTTAAGCGCTTTCATCATCATCATAATCTTCAATCGTTTCTCCAGAAACTGGAGGTGGAGCTCCCTCGGTGATCTGAGAGCTGAGATAGGCACCAACAATGGTGATCAGACCGCTAAACCACCAAGCGAGGCCCGAATAGCCAGATTGCAAACCCATAGCGTAGAGGAAGCCAGACAGGGTAGGGCCGAGAGCTCTGCACAAGCTAGCCGTGGACGCTGCGACGCCATTGATGGTGCCCAGAACCTGCTTCGTTGGGGCCGAGTTGGCCAAGAGGATTGCGTTGCTGGGGTATGCCATTGTCGAAAAAGTACACTTCCAGATGACCAAGAGGTAAATGGCAGGCATTCTCAGGCTCTCCGGGAGGAGTACCACATAAGGCGTAACGAGGTAAAGGGCAAAGTAGGAAAAGGCAATGAGGCGAAATAGGCGGAGAGGTCCAAGTCGACGGGTCATGGGTGTCACAATCAGATAGTTGGACAGTAGGGAATAGAAGCCCTGGACGGAGATGATGACGCCAATGGCCTTTGTTTCAAGGCCGAATCCGTTTACAAATTTGAAAGGAAGCTCGAGAATTGGCTCCTTGGGAGGGGCGGTGCTCAAGAAGACAGGAAAGAGCTGGTCATACGTGATGGTGTGGCTACAGACTGGTTAGTACATTGACGTGCCATGGACACAATGAAAAACATCGACTTACAAGGCGAGAATGCCATAAGAAATAATGTTCATCACGACTGGCTTGGTGAAAATCTTGGTGGTTTGATCGGGCTGTGTCTCCGAGGCCTCAGTGCCAGCGACGGCTTGACGCTCTGTATTGCCCTGAGACGGCACTCGAGGTGATGCCCCTCGGCTCCGGTAACCGGGTAGCTGCTCCTCTCTCCCGCGAGCAGAGTCAGAAACGGTATCGTATCCAAGTTTCTGGCCATCAGCGAGAAGGCTTTGCGTCTCAGGCTCATCAGCTTGGCCGTTAGTGGTTCGGCTGAACAGGGCAACAATTCGGTCACCAATCTCGCGGCCGCGATCCTTCTCACCCTTCTTGCCAAGATGGGTCTCTTCCAAAAAGAGGATGCCAACGACAACACCAAAGAGAACAGTCGCTGCGCTGAAAAGGTTAGGCAAGAGATATGGATACTGATCCCAGATTGAGCCGCGGGGAAAGTATGCGGGATAGCTAATGCAGGGACGAGCAAGAGCGCCACCGATCATAGGGCCAATGATGGAACTGGAAAACCTGGTTAGAATAAAAAGCGTCTGTACATGGTGTTGAGAATACTCACCCAATGCACCAAACCATGGGCATAATGGTATACGCGCGAGCTGTTGGCAATCTCGTTAGCATGGCCCGATCGACATCACACGGGGAGAAGATCAGAGGATCATCCATTGGGGAGGCAACATACGTTGGTGTTCCTTGACTGTCACGAGCTCAGCCACAGTTGTCTGCAGCACACCGATATTTCTAATAATCAAGTTAGAGTCGAGAGCTTCCAATGCATCGCGGGTAAGGCTATCTCATACCCGTTGAGAAGGCCGCCCATTGCTCTAGCAAAAAGGGCGACCGGCAAGCTAGGAGCGAAACCGAAGATGAGAACACTAATGGCCGTACCGATGAGGCCGCTGAGGAGAACAGGCTTTCGTCCGATCTTGTCACTCAGCTTTCCCCACATGACGCCAGTTGCAAACTCGGCCAGGGTAAATGCGGAGGTGACCATGCCAGCGTAGACGGAAATTTGGGTCGGATCCGAGGTGATGTTAAAGTCTTCAATCATGTAGTAAATGTACGGGAAGATGGACATGAAAGCAATGGGTTCACACAATCGGCAGCAGGCTACATTATCACCACATTAGCCATCATGTGCATTCAAACCAGGTCCAAAGCGAGAGAAAGAGTACTTACCCAGCACAAACATCTGCTGGGCAGGGAAAGGTGGCAGCGGCTCCTTGCGCCGAGTGACAGATCCGCGACGCATATTGGCTGACTCTTGGCTTAAGAGGCGTTGGAGAGTGAGAGTGTTGCTTAGCCGGGACAAACGGGAATCAGCTGTAAAAAGCTACCAGCCGAGCAACAAGGTTTACGAAGCTCGTATCTAAACACACTGGTCTAGAAAGCGCGATTGGAGATGGATGATGAGTTTAAGGCTTCGAGCAGAGTAGAGCTGATTGTTGTTGGTGTTGGACAAGTAAATGGTTGTCCCTGTCAATACCGTAGCCGGTGTAGTAGGCGACGACGGGAGAAGGGTGTGGACGTGTATGTATATATCCAATGTAGGATAGACAAATCAATCAGAGTAAATCAAGTAGATGGATAGGGCTGTAGTCGTGAGACAAGCTTGATGGAGAACGTGAGAGAGGAGGAGAGGCCGTTTGGTGAGAGTGGGAGCGAGTGATGATATATGTAGTGGTGGACGAAGCCATGAAGTACGTACCAGGATACAAACATGGTGAGGATCCTGGGGTTATAAAGCTGAAAACATGACAAGCATGGCGGCACAAGCCCCGTTTCCCCCTAGTACGACTTTTGGGCTGTGATGTGAGTCCCTACTAGGAACCATGACCAAACACAAAACAGAGTTGATCTTTTCACTCGGTACAAAGCATTAAGGCAAGCGACAAGGCCAATTGGGCGTGGGGCTCTCGGGGTGGCCTGCCTTAACCCTGCAAGAAGTAGCAAGAAAAAAATACATGGGCCACGCCTTAGTGCTCAGGGCCTTGAATTAATTGAGGCTCCCGAGTCAGCCATAGCGGGTGAATAGCGAAGCACCGTGAAGGACGGTACATACCGGGTACATGGGAGGTGTGCAGCAGGTGGGTTTGGGGGGGTGAGGGGGGTGGGCTTGCTTGTCCTTGCCTTAGTGCCTCCGACAGGGCAACATGCTAGGGCCAGGATCTAGTAAGTATTTACAAGTAGTCGTAGTGTAGCACAGGCACAGGGCCCGACCAAAAAAGAAGTCGGGGGCAAGGGGGGTCGTGGTGGAGAGGAGAAAGGATATGGATGGTGATGATGATATCCGTTTGGCAAAAGAGAGGTGTGTGAACAACTTCGAGGGGGTGGAAGGATCGTCCGGATGCGAAGGAAGACGACAAAAAAAGAGACACAGACGGGCGGAGGTGATTGTGATGACGCCGGCGAGGAGCGGGAAGAAGGGGCAAAAAGGCAAAGGCAAAAAGGAGAAAGGAAGAGAAAAAAGAATAGGAAAGAAAAGTAAGGCGAAAAAAAAAACAAGAAGAAAAAGAAAAAGAAAAAAAAAATAGATCCCTGGCAGGCAGAGGCAACAGGACACGACCGCTCCTTCCAGCGGCGAGGCGCAGTGGGCGCAACTGCCGCACGCTTTTTTGGCCGGTTCTGTACACCGTATTTTTCGGTGCACGGCTTGTGTAACCCCAAAAAAAAGCAACGTCAACCTCAGCCCTCAACACATTGAAGCCATCGCGACGGCCATCGTCCGACCAGCCGCAGCCTCCGCCCAAGTACTATGTATCGTCTACCCGTCGCTTGTTGCAGCCCGTCGCCAAACCAAAGTGTAACAACGACTCCGGTTGGTCACGCCAGCTGTGATTTCGGCCGCGGCTGCGATGGTGGTTTCGCTTGGGCTTCTGGCTTCGTTCAGCGCCTTTGGAAATCCCCAATTTGGAAGAGGGGTGCAAACTACTAGGAAGTGTAAAGGGGGGGAGTGGAGTGGCAAGACAGGAGCACCACAAGGTGAGAAAGTATTAGTGCAATTTTGCTCCTCAGGTACGAGCTCGATGGCATGACAATAATAGCAGCAGGCTAGTCAGTTGAGCGTTCGTTGGGCCAGCGAACAACGTCACTTCGCTTCGTCTGCCTGCCACCGTCTGTCAGTGCTGCACTAGCAGCCTCGAACTTATGCCACGGTGTTACTCGCTGCGTCCGCCTTCGAGAAGAAACAGCACCGACACAGAAGATGACGGTTGTGTGATTCGCCTGCGTTGCCGTGGTTCGACATGGCCATCGGCCTCTCGTGATAGACTGTGCGGATACCGACAGAGGTCGTACGGGCCGCTGCTGGCGGCCGCTGCATTATTGAATGTGTGTGTTGTGATGTATTATGCCGAGCCTGGGAGACACACCAAAACCTGGGGTCATCGTCTCGGGGACAAATTCTTGATCGCCCCGAAGCAGTTTGAGTTGGGGGACACCAGAACAGACACACTCTCATCGCTTGAACCATGCTCCGATACGGAGTGTACTTGCATCTGGGCGACAAGCACCGGAGATCTACTTGCCGGGAGTGGACGTAACAGGCGCCCGTCTGTGTGCCTGTGCGGATACATCAGTACTAGGTAATACCTTGGTTGTACTCCGTACAGTCCTGTACTTTGGGCGCACTTGCAAGGAGGTGGATCGATCAACCTCGTTCGCTACTCCGTACTTGCGCAAGCAGTGGTTGGCAGCAATAAACGACACAGGCAGAGAGCGAGGTAGGGAGACGGACATGGAGAAGCCTCCCTACACCTGTGCCAGCATTGTGCAGACTACTACAGAAGCGCCTCGTTTTGCCTGCTGCATCTACAAAGTACGGTCACCTGCATAGTCGATGTGAGTTCAGTGGGCGGCGCAATATCATGTTAGTCCTATGTGCGCCCTCGACCTGCAAGCTAACAGCGGCGCCGTATTAGTGCACTACAATTTTCTTCTCAGAGATTTGCTCAGCTGCCGTCTTCTGCACCAACAGACAGTTGGGTGTTAGCTGGCCACCACACTCCTTTTTTTGCTTCCACGTCAGATTTGTCTACTGGCAGGTACGAGAAGAAGAGCAAGCCCAACGCACCCCCTGTCACCGCAGGATCCGTCATCAATGCTCTGAAATCTCAAGAGGAGACATGTAGCTAACATATGCTAGCCTGTATAGCTTGTCTTGCGGCTGTAGCACTCGGCCACGCGAATGGTAGATGAGCACGGGGGGCGAGGCAGCTATGCGTTGGCTTGGCCTTTTGGACGCCTTGCGAGCGAAATATTTGCCCAACCTTGGGCAATGACGGTGGTGCGGCCAAGCCCCCCCGGTCTCAAGCAATACTACTGTACTTCTAGGCAGCTCGTTTCATTGACCTCCAAGTGACAGGCGACCGGTGTGCTGCGGCAGGCTGCATGTAAGTCGAATTTCCTGTGTGCCGTATATGGACAATCAAAGTACCCGCGTATGTGGATGCATCCAGCGTGTGACGTCCTAGCCAGATGTGCTAAAGTATCTACAGGTCGGCCTAGCAGCTACCCTAAATTCTTTCAGCCTCTGGTAGCACGATGTACGACAACGCAGAATGGCAGCTTGGTCGAGTTTCATCCACACGCCAACTGGGTGGGGCCGGTGAAGCTGTATGTCTTATCACAAATGTGTCTTGTTGATGGCAACTACAGCAAAATAGCAAAAGGCAAGAAACAACAATCGGCAACAGACAGATGGCAGTAGACAAGATCAGGCATGGCACTGCGCCTCAACTGACACGGAGGATTTTGGCCTCCAGCAAAGGCCACCCAAGAGCGCGTGCAGCCTGCGGTCCGTTTGCTCTGCGGGTTGCCGTCGCGCTTGGGAGGGGGATGCACTTCCGAATGGGTCCAGCTGCCTTAGACAACCAAAGAGGACGACATGCCACTTCACAGCACCAACCGGTCATATCCCTTCTCCCAAGCTGCACAGCGCCTCCAGGTCATTAGGGCAAGCATATCGCGCCTACCTCTGGGTGGAAGCCCAGCTTTGAGTGGTCAACAGGCGACACCCGGCCGCAGACGGGGCACATGATGCCACGATGCATACTCGTACAGCTATGCAGAAGCAACAAGCTGCTTGTCATGGACTCTTGTCAGCCTTCTTTTTTCCCCTCTTTAGCAGCCACCCTTGCTCTCTCGCTGTGGACCCAGCAGTTGTGTCGTGCTCTACCGATACAGGCATGAGCCACAGCCGCGGTTGGTCGAATGTACATCCAAGTACATGTATACACGGCAATTCTGCCCCATATCCTCATGATCTGACATTGTTGATGCGGCATCATGGCTTCGGACGGAGAAACGCCAAGGCTCGCGACCGACGGCGGCAGGGCGGCGTCAATATTCCCTCATTATATCCTGCGCTCTTATTAATCACATTGGGGGTGTCACCCATCCCAGGCCGCAGCGTCCTTGTCCTGCTGCAAGTAAAGTGACTGAGGTCAGCTGACAGACCTTCTGCATCTAGCCAGCGGGATGCAGACAAAGGTTCACAGCCACTCCGGGAAAAGAGAGTGAGCGAGAGATGGGCATAGGCAGAGGAAGTGCTCTCTGCCCATTGGATTGGCGCGTGCCATATTGCAGCGCGGCCCAATTGCATGCGTAGGAACCTATCTAGGGGGACTGGTTCCACGACATCATTGCGAGAGAAGGCGGTTCGGTCATGCCGCTTGCCATATTTGACTGGGGAGTTGATGTCATTGTGGAAATTTATTGGGTTATTGCTGTGGCCGTGCGCAGCCAGCATTGAACCGCGAGCCTGGCCAGAGAAGCGCTGCTACAGGCTTGAGGCTGCGTCAGTCGGCCTGGTGTCTTCCGTTTCGTGCCTGAGTCCGTGCCCAACTCCGTCCTGCGTTCACGGTCTGATGGTCTCAAAATCTGCAATGTGATGTAGGCGCAGGTTTGAGACTGTCGTATAAGAGTGGCGCCATAATGTCCAACCCACAGTACCAGGGGCGGCTTGTGTAACTGGGCTTCTTCCGGCTTCAAAGCCAACTCTGCGGGCACTTGAGTTCAGGGTATGCAACACTTCCCGTCCCGGATAAACACACTGGGCTGAGCAACAACAAACGGTGAAGAGGCGAAGAAGGAGGTGAAGGAAGGCAGGATGGAAAAATTTCGAAGATCAGCGATGACCAATATTCCGATATGCTAGCCATTACAAAAAACGCGCAGGCCACGTGGTGAGAAGATTCCGAATGCGTGGGGATGTCTAAAAAAAACATCCTCTGTATCAAAGACAGAGGCCGGGGAAAAAAAAAAAAAAATTAGGAGCGGTTCTGCATCGCCCAACTATGCCCAAGACTCAGAAGCGGTCCATCATCCCCACACCCTATCATGGCCGCCAAGACCTGCTACATCACAGCACATTGCTGTTTGAGTCTTTTCTCAGCTACTCCGTGTGGTGATAACTTGAAACTGCCAGTGTGAACAGCCTATAGTGCCTATACGAGGGGGCCACGGCTCCATCGGACGATGCTTAGCGCTACGCTTGCTTTGGCTGGTCAGAGACAGCAGTCAGGAAATCAATGCGGACGGAGATAGGGGAAGGATTTCTCCTCGAGGGCTTTTGGCCACGTTCGCTCGGTCTGAAGACATTCGTTGTCCTGAGTGGTCGAGATGAGCTTTGAACTGATAGCCTGGGCAACGGAACTGGCACCTGCATCCGAAGACAAGTCTTAACCAGGGACTGCAAGGGCAAACATGTAGAAGTGACGGACTGACAAGGTTGTTGACCGCGCGAGAGTGCTAAGCACCTTGGCCCTAGTCCGGGGACCTGGTGCCGGTGACTATTTCACGGTATGTACTTGGTGCTGAAGCTGGAACTAAACAAAGAGAAATGGCGGTGATATGCTTACAAGTTTCTAGTGGCATTGCGGGGCTTGACATTTTACCAGAGCGCGTAAACAAGTGCGGCAGCAAGATGGAAACGAACATTAATTACCAAAATAACCAAGCCACGATGAGCTCGCCCCCAATCGGCGAATGGCCACCATGGAAAGAGCAATGCCGGGTAACAGTGCTAATGCCACCCATCAATCTGGTCAACGAGCTCTAGACAATGTGCGCCACGGCAAGGAACGAGGGCCAGAAGGAGAGGGAGGGGGGGGGGGGGGGCGTGAGAACCAGGAAGAAGTGTGATGCGTCCATCTCGTTACAGGGCCCAGGGTCCCCCTGATATCAGAGCTTGAGAGGCTAGATGTGGAGTCGGTACGTCTTCCGGCACCTCTGCCGTTGGGTTCCAGAGTCTCGGACAAGCTCCAAAGTACCTTGGGAGTATCTTTTCCCTAGCTCATGGCCCACCGAACGTTCTTGTCACCAAGGTTTTCCCCTTCCTAGCTCGACCAACCTTGCTGGCGCCTCCTACTGACCCGGACAGGTGGTCCGGAAGCCTAGGAGGACTAGAAGGTGGACTTGGGGCATGGCCCGAGGCATGGCGTTGTATTCGCCGCCGCTGTGGTCAGTAGCGGCCAGCCCTTTGCGCGGCAACGCCTCCGCCAACGGAGTGATTTGCTGGCGGCGAGATAAGAGAACGAGGATGACGTGTTGGAGAAATATGTTTCGAGCGCATTGCGCGCTCAATTCAAATCCCATGTCCAGGATTTGGTCACCGGCTGCACGGGTGCATACAGGCAAATAATACCCTATACCTCTTGCTGATGGTAATTGGTCACCTTGGGGATTTCCGCTTACTGTGTCACCTTAGGTCCATGTATGTCTATTTTCATGTCCTCACCGAGCAGATGCAACGAGGAGCCAGAGCATACGAGTACTACATGGTTTGTACGGACCACACGGAGTTGGCGGTGTTGGTGGCACGTAGCGGCTAAGATGATGCGGAGATTCGCTCACCACCAGCTGGGTCAGGGCCATCTGTCAACAAGGCTTGATTTGAAATTTTTCTCCCCTACCAGGCTATACGTTGGACGGCGAACCGCCAGCATCGCCGATAGTCCCTAAGCCGTGTTTGGCTGCCTTTGCCAACGCTGTCACGGCCTCCGCGAAATAGCCCTGAGAACGCTTGGACCTTCGAAATGTAAGGGGGCCGCAAATACGTACCCCTTTATTGCCTTACTGGAGACCTGAGATACGGGGCAGGTTTGGGCGGAAAACCTGCTCCCACTGTTGCTAGCATGAGAGGCCACTTATGGGGGTCAACCCTACCAGACAAATTCATGTGGCCGCATGCATGTCATGCAGCTTGGGGAAAGCAAAAAGCATCGAAGCCAGAAGCCCAACCCTATTTGCCGCGCAGCAAAGAGCTAGAAAAAATAAATAAATAAATGGTACGACAGAAAAACTCATGGGGAAACAGAAACAGCGGGCAAAATCTTTTCTCAAAACCTTCTCTCTTCTCTTCCTTTTCTTTTTTTTTCTCCTTCCCTTTGGCAACAGCATGCAAGGGCGGCCAAAAGGGCTGCCGCATGGACCACGGGATCAACGTTTTGTGCCTCTCAGAAACCCTGGTCGTGGCTGACGGCGACTCCTCGTACGAGAGAATGTCAGCACTGCTGCAAACACTTGAGCGAGACCATCACCACAGCCAGTGTGCCTCTGTGTTACCCAAGGCGCACTGCACGGTCTAGGATCAAAAGCTCACTGTTACCGCCAGCATTGGGCAGCGGCGAGCATGCCAAATTATGCCCTATGCCTCTTTTTCACACCCACCCCCTCTAAGTCACTTTTTTTTGGGGGCTTTTTGGGACTGAGAGGAGAGCTCACCGCCAGATCGCTTGCCTTGCCTTGCCTCGCCTCCCCTCGTGATCCTCATCGACTGAGTGAGCAGATCCCATCTGGCGGCCCTGAGCTTGCCCTAGCCCGCCCTTCCGCCAGATTTTCTTCGTGTCTTGGTCTCAGCCAGTGTCGTCATGGCCAAAGCTAGTGCAGGGACCGCTGCCCAATGATTCAACGCATAGCACCGACCGCCAAGGGTATCGTGGTTTCGGGGAGCCCTCCCGTACTGCCGGCCTCAGTCCACACGTCCGGTTGAGCCAATCCGTCTCCGCTGGCGCTGCGAAACGGCGAGCGCCATCGGAAAAGAGGGCTTCCACAGAATGGGTGGCAGGAAATCTTAAAAGACTCCTCACATGCCATCACTTAGCCGTAGCGCGCTGCATGGCGCCCCATCCCGCGGAAGATGGCAAAAGCTCGGTGGGTTCGAGCTTGGGAGGCTGTGATTGGGCGGCCAAGGGTATAGGAGTAAGAAAAGGGGAACAGCCCACGAATCTGTCGACCCGGCGAACCGGATTCCTGATCTTTTACCTAGCATGTCACTCGAATTCCGGCCGTTTCAGAATCGCTTGACCAGCAAGCTGGGTCGCGGCCCCCCCTTAGGGCTAGTCCTGTTGCCAGAGCTTCTCCAGTTCTTCTCATGGCCTTGTTGCCACGCTACCACCTGGGTAATACCGATCCAAGGCTCTCGCGGCTTAGCACTCTCACCTCAAGGCACTCCGTAAAAATGGTTATGTCTACTACGCACCCATGCAGTACGCTATCCAGTCCCAGATTGATTACCGCCATCCCGGCATCTAGTCTAAGGGACAGTGAGCAATGCCGAGCAGGCGGCCAGTAAAGGGGGGTTTGGCAAAGGGCGACTAGAAAAATTTTCTCTTTACATCCGATTGTAGGGAGCGCAACCAGCGAGTCCATGCACCTACTCCGCACTGAATGCGAAATTGCCCATATTACCCAAGGCGGGGGTCTGGTTGTCAACGGGGGGAGGGGGGGAAGCGCTTTTCGATACTTGTACTTTACCAGGCGGTTAAGTCGGATAAGACCAATCTATGCGGTGCGGCTGAGCGGTGGCATTCGTTTTCGCGATCCTTTTTTGCTCGGACGCATTATGCAAAACCCGGATTCCCACCTGTATCAAACCGACATGGATCTGGCTTCCAAGGTGTACGAGCACGGCACGATTGGCGTTGGCCCCCCCGGGGACGAGACAGGTCCTCGTAAGAGCTACTCTTTCGCCTTCAGCTCCAAGCTCCTTTTGCAAGCTCACTGCTAAGGCCACGCACGTGGGTCTAGGCCCATCGAGCTCGTTTTCAATTTTTGTTCTCGAAACTTTCGAGTGGGCACACTTGCCTAGAACTGGATTTAGGGTGCAACGCCGGTTTCCATTTGGGCTGAAAACGCTAACAAGATTCGAAGCGCTCTAGCCGGTCAGTCCACTCCGGGGAACGAAGCCGTTGGGCTCCGGGCAAATGAGAATTGTGTCGATAATTGCCATTATTGGCGCTAGGCGTCGGCCGATTCGGCTGCAAAAGACTACTAGTATTATGTACCAACTGGTTTCCCGAGCTGTGGCTTAAATTGATCGTCCAGCCTGAGAGGTATCGCGAGGTCATCTTCCTGTACATGTACTGCTAAGTATGCTTGAATGCCCAAATGGTATGTAGGAGTGCTCCATTCTCCCATGCGTCACATGGCCCTCTTCGTACGACCAGGAGATGCAGTTGCATTGGCGTCCGTGGCAGCTGTAGCGAAGCCATATCGTTGATTCGTTCACTAACCGCAAGGATGCCTTAGCCAAGACAATGGTCGTCCGGACGGGAGGAGTGCATTGGTACGGCGTTGGGTACAAACCGTGTGTGGTTGCACTCTGGATATTGAATCGTCAGGGTTGGCAATATCGCTCGACACGTACGTCCGTGGCCTCCTGAGAAGCGCATGCCTGCTACTCCGTACAGTCTCGGCATTACGCGGGATGAACGGTTGAACGGCCGGTACCATCAAAGTCACTATGAGCCTCGAATATTGTGACGGATACGGATTATGGTATTTCTAATCACCTAGGGGTCAGCCTTACGGTCGATCGAGTCTCGGTTACAACGCTTGCTCAAAGTATCAGTATTGCAGCAGCGCTCAAGTCAAGTTCCCCCCAAAAGCTGTTCTGTGGGGTGCAAATGATGTTGTCATTGCATTTCGGACGCCTGGATATTGTATCCTATTTCGAAACATGTTCGTGCATCCGGTGGGCTGATTCTCGCATGCAGATTGACGTCCATTGCCGCAGCTGCTGGTGTGATCTGCACACGGTGCCATTGCAACATGAATGAAGACAACGAAATGCTGCACGGCCATGCACTGCATGCAAGTGTTGAGCCTGTGCAAATGGATAATACAACCATGGCACCTGGCTCGGCTACGGTCAACACAGGTGGGCATTATTGTCCTCCGTGGTATTCTGTACGGAACACCACCAGTACCTGTAGACACCAGATGGATTGGGAACCTGGATGCTTCATGCGGGATCGTGCTTCTGATCCTTAGGATTTGGGGTCCACAGTCAGCCAGGCCAGCTCGCTCATGGCGAGTCACTTGGGCGACTCACTCATCGTGGTGCTGCTCAAGACCCATGCCAGTGTGTACTTGCAGGCTTGCTCAAAAGCCGCGAAGGATTGTCTGGTACCAACAGGACTTTGTGATAGTGCTTGAACGGAGACCAGATACATGCATACCTGCACGGTCTGCAAACCCCCCCTTCGTAACGCCATTCTCAGCAGCACTTCGTTCTCTAAGATCGACCGCCAATGCACTCTATGACTAGGCGCGGGCGTAGAGGCAAAGCCCTTGTCGACGGGGCAGGGGCCGCGCAATAGACCGATACGAACCTGGCCCTTGCGCCTGCTCCATTACGGCGTGCGTTTGAACTTCATCGCCTCGTGATCATAAGCGGTCACAAGGCTGGTCTTCTCCCTGTCCTTTTTGATTCCCTTGAGCGCGGGAACAGGCTTCAAATGGAAATAGCAGCAGTATTGGAGGATCTGCCATCGGCTGAGAACCACCGATAATAACGCGCTTGTGCATTCGCAGGATTGCAACCGGGCGGATTGCAGCCAGGTTTGGAGTCATCCCATCCTCGGTTCGCACATTTATTGACTCTTGAGTCGATTGTCCAGAACCAGATGGGCTGATACGCGACGGGGGGATCGCTCCAGTAACAGCCATGCCCAATCAAAGCGCTGTTGATCTGCGAACCTGTCCAGCCGCACGGCGATAGCTACGGCGTAGCCGTACAGCCAGAGCGTACACTTGCATGTTTGCTGGCACATATCTGTCTGCATTGGGTACCAATACTGATATGGCGGAGCAGGCGTTCACGACGCCTACAAGTACACGTATGTGTGTGCACATGAGTCAAAGCCCCATGAAAGCTCCGTATAAATATATACCGGCATTACTTGTTCAGTACATGCTTTAAGCTCCTGATGCTGGAGCCTACGCAAAGCCCCGGGCGAGGATCATGTCCTCGGTAGAGGCATTGCAGCAAACATATGCTCCGTATTACGGCGTGTGCTCCGCAGAGTACTCCGTACGGGCAAGTGTTTGTAAGCATGTACTCGAATGGATTTGTTGAGGCACAGGTAGGCAGGCCAATTGCGATGCATGCAGGGCCGTCAGCCGAGCCTTGTTTTCTGGCACAAATCACCCTTTTGGTAGCATTTGTAGAGTGAGACGAGCTTGATGTGTCATTTTGCGCAGGAAAATCGATAAGTGACCGCTGCAACGTCCAAGCAAAGTACGAGCAGAAAGGTATTTACTCCGTGCTCGGTAGGCAATGCTGTCTCAGATTGCCTCGGGCAACTGTATTTGAACATTTTGCCTCAATAGCATAACTCCTGGCAAGCGAGTTCAGCTTCCGACGGGGTTGGATTGGCTGCGAGCCGACGTTGCGATGCGAAAGTAATACCAGGTGCGTTGCTCTCATCCCAATTGCCATTTTCAGTGTGCCATTGATGCATTGCCTCTCACCAGTGCTGCAAATTCACACAAACATTCTTGTAAGAGCCCCAGTTGTGCCGGCCTGGAACCACCTCGCCATTGTTCCGTATACAAGCACTGTACATGTAGGCGTGCCCAAGATAGCCGTGACAAATAGCCTAGGCAGTAGGTTGCTCTGGCATCCATCACTTTCCATGCTCATGCAGGTCGACAGATGTGTGCTGTGTGTGTTCGCTGCCTGTAGCACTTGGTTTGCTGTATACGCACAAGAGGGTAATGCAACGTGATTCGTACATAAGTTGCGGATTCGACGGCACCGGGAATGGTTGGATTCTCCCCAAAGTCACCCAATGATGGGCTTCATACGGAGCATACTCCGGAACTCCTGCAGCTGTTCGCAGCTTCAGCGCCTCGCTAAGCTAACCACTCATTCACCGGTGAGTGGGTAGATGGGTGTCGAGAGTCGATGCCCTGCTCGCAAAGCCTTCTACTATTTGCCCCTCTTGCATGAGGAAGAGGGGCACTACGGCTGTCTTGCGCAATGAGTCTGGTGATGATCGACCTCATCATGCGTCGCCAAGGTGTGCTGAGCCGTACAGGATGCCCAGAAACGGAGTTTCTGGCGGACAGGCTTCCTCACTCAGCATGCCGGAAACACAGGCGCATGATCCCTAGATGGAGAACTCTCTACCCGATGAGATTGACTGTGGGATTGATTGGTCTCGTACAGTGCATCCCTGTTCAGCTGGTGGTTGGGGTAGACTACCCTGATGCACGCGTACCCTGTCCATCACCCATCACATACTTGTACAACTAGCTCCATCGGGCGAGCTGCCCATGGAACCAAGTATGTAGAGTCAAGTACCCTGGGGTCCGGCGAATGGGGTGAGTCAGAAGGGCGAGATGCAGAGCCAAGCCTGTGGCTGATGCGATATCGAGCGTTTTTGGTGCCTTGCTGTTTGATAGCCGTCAGCTGTACTCCATACAGACATGTACAAGCATGCACAAGCAAAGGCTGGCTACTCCATAACCATCGGAGGAAAGGTCCAAGTTGGCCACTTGCATGACGTGACGGGCGCGTTGTCTAGCCCCCAGGAAACCTGCGACGAGAATGGATGCAGCCCTAGCATGTCGCATTGATACAGAGCTGCAATGAGAGACTGCCATGAGGGGGCTTGCGTGAGATCCCCGCTCAGGGCTCGCTCTTTTGCTTCTCTTGCCCTTTTGCTCTTCTTTTTTTGGAGAGTAGGATGGGGCAGAGCTGCCGCTGCAGCGCGCAAGAATGTACCTTTTTACATTTTACGCGAGTTTGCTGTGGGTGTAAGACGCTAGACCTACTCTTGTCACACGACATGAAGTTGGGAAGCAATAGCAGACAGCCTTTTTTGAGGTATTTTGAGCCACCTCCTCATGGCCAATTGGTAGCTGTGTCGACCGTGAACAAAACCGTTTCCAACTTGCCCGGCCTCGTTTACGGAGCTCAACCGGCATAAACGGTGGCGTCTAGAGTGCGGGCGACTTGCAATATTGAGCATGAGTCGTGATAGCGTGAGAGCTGTTTTTGGTCTGGCACCCTCTCGGATCCCGACAGCGCGGTAGGCATCGCCTGGTGGGAACGGGCCGCCGTGGCTCATAGCGCTCGAGCCGGGATCATGAGATGGACCTGTTGCGAACAGCCACGAAACCGCATGAAAGAGAGGGGGTTGCGCGCGCGCGCGCGTGTCTTGTTACACATGTACAGTAATCCAGGGCTGACCCCGTCTGGCCTGGACAAACTAGATGCTGTACGGAGTACGGAGTAGAGGTAGGCATACACCCCCCTGGTAGCAGCGGCCGTTGCTAGGCTGGTGTGATAACGACGGTGATGATTCAGAGCTGGAGAGCTGGAGCTCGTGTCTAACCCAGGCACAGGCCCTGTATACAGTAGTCCGTGTACCGTAGCAGCATTGGTAGAGTAGCACTCGCTCTCAATAGTCTCCGACGTGTGACACGACTGGATAATACGGCCAAGGCAGCATCGCATCCGCACGAGGTACCCGTAAGCGCCTCTCCCTAACAGCCTCGCACAGCTTCCCCACGCAATGCTCCCAGGAGGTCACTCACAATGGCTACTGGTACTTGCGGCTTCCCCATGCTAGGTCGTGGGTGAAACAACCAATCGGACCCATGGCCATGCTGCCATGTGAGATTTTGAGATGTGCGATTTGGGGTCTAGGGCTCGCTCTACAGGCCATCTGAAGATGCCCTTTTTGGTCCTGGGCGGCTGGCTATCCGCGGCGCCGGCGTGACGTAGGCGGCGTCAGGCGACCAGATCTTATTGTTTCATAGCAACTGGAGAGGCAGGACATGATGGACTGTCCAGGGGAGCTGTTTGCGGCTGTTGTTGCAGCCGGGCTGATGATTCATGACTATACTCCGTACGCTGGGCTATTTGTGAGCTGCCGAGGCTCCACAACGCGGCCCGGGCGAGGATCCCAAGAAGGCCTGTCCAAGTTGGACGATCCAGCCGCAACTTCTGGATGCAAGCGACGGCTGAGCGCGAGAAAGGGTGCAAAGCCTTGGGACTCCAGCAAGGCGCAGAGGGCGCAGGATCGTAGGATGGCCTGGGGCCGGGCCTTTGCCTCTCGAATCTCTGCGGACCGGCTCGCAGGCCAAGTCAGGGCGGGTCGGGTCGGTCTGGTTCTTGGCCTCATCCCATGGGCTAAACGAGGGGCCGAGCTGAGCTGCTGGTCCGCCATGCCATATCATTACCTCATCTGATACTTGTTTGCGTTGCCATCGCTAAGCAGCAGTAGGTCAGCAAGCTGCTACTTTCGTACCACCACCACCTGTCTGTCACATATAGCCATTCTCGCAAACGCAGTTGGCCGAGAGCTTGGCCATGGGCGGGCTAGAGCCTTGGTAGCCGCCAACAGACCGGGAAACTGGCGGTGCATCTCCGAGGGAACTGAGTGCGGATGACGGGGGTTGCACAGCGGGACGACATTGAAGCCTAGGAAGCAAAACAGAGCAAAGCAAAGCAAAGCAATGAAAGGTGAAAAAAGAAAAAAGAAGCTTGGAAACGCTGAGTGAAACACTTCGAGGCCGCAAAAGTGGGCAGCCCGGGTGATTGCCTTAGCCGATGCGTGCAAATCGCACTACTGGCAGGCGCGGTCCCCATTTGTCGGCCTATCCGCGCCACATCCACAGTGAACCTGCAACCGCACTTCAAAGCAAAATTCGCAGAGTCAAGCTCCCAGGACAGGCATCCAGACCAACTCTTGGGCGAGCGTCAAGGCGGGATCCGAAGCCAGGAACAGAGCCAGGGTGAAACCTGGTACCAGGACGAGAAAAAAAAAGAAAGAATAGGCTTCCGGGCAAGCACCGGACGAGATCGCCGCCGTCGCAAGCTGGTTTGGTTTAGTCCAGACAGGTGGCGCCGCGGAAGACGACGAGACGTGCTTTGTACAGCAATCAAACTGCAGCCAGACGCACACCTGTCCATCGGTCAGTCATACCTTGCAAGTTTCGATGGACAACTGGTCCAGTAGACGGCGAAAGAGCCGCTGAGAGAGGCGGCAGCGAACGCACACGCCCCCTCCCTTTGTCCCTCTGTCTCTTCCTTTAATTTCCTTTCCTGGATTTTCCTGCTTTGACTTCAGCTCATACGGCTAGACGCACGCAGGCAGACGAATCCACGATAACGCCGCCGACCAGGAGCTGCGAGACCCCGACCCGTCTCAGGATAGGAACGAGAACATCGAAGCGTCATAATGGCGGGCAAGAAGGGGCAAGACAACAGCAAAAAGGCCGCGGGTAACGCGCGCAAGGCGGAAAGCGCCGCGAAGAAGAGTGCAGCTGCAGACGCCGAGCGTGAGACGGCGGAGGGCGAGAAGTGGCAGCAAGGAGCCAAGAATAACTCTAAAAAGTACGTACGTGGCACGATGGTGCATGGCATGGCATCGCTGCGCATGCATAGTCTGTGCTTGCTCGCCTCATCCGGCTGGCTACGTGTCCTAGGTTCCCGTTCCCATTTCCCCCTTCCGCCATGATCCACACCCTGTGCCTCTCTCCCTTTCTACGATACCCACCGCCTCTGATAGTTTGCGTCAGTAGCTGACATTGGCTCTCTCCAGGGAAGCAGAAGCCGCTAAGAAGGCCGAGGCCGCGCAAAAGAAGGCTGAAAAGGAGGCTTTGATGAAGGAGGAGGAAGCTAGTCTAAATGCCCGTGCAGAGCCCAAGAAATCTAAGACGGCTGTCAAGAAATCTCGGGGTCTGGACCTCTCGCAGCTGGATGACGACAAACTTGGCGCTATTAGTGCCTCGGGTATCGACAACGCGCTCGATGCCCTCTCCCTTACGGCTGGTGGGGACGATTCTAAGATTGACCAACACCCGGAGAGGCGATTCGCTGCCGCATATCACCGATACGAGGAGCGAAGGCTCGCCGAGATGAAGGCGGACGGCAGTGGCACTGGGCTTCGACTGGAGCAACGCAAGCAGAGGATTAGAAAGGAATTCGACAAGAGCCCCGAAAACCCTTTCAACCAGGTTACTGCTTCATACAACGCCTCTCGGGACGACATCAAGGACATCAAAGCCCAAGAACTTGGCAAGATCGAGAAGAGACTGGGCCACTAGAGACTGTTATGATGTAACTGGAGCTCACATGAAAAAGTTTACGACATTCACCCGGTTGGTTATACTGCCTTGTATAGAATAGGTTTGCAAAAAGTTGATCGGATATCGGAGACCAAAAAGGCCTGAGAAACAAGCCCAATTGATTATATTCCGCAAACAGACACTTCAATATCTGTGCCAGTTTGCGCTTCCCAAATTTGCTGCTAATGACCCTTTTGAAACCTGGAATTCTTCTTCTTCTTCCTTGTCTCTTTCTTGCTTACCTGCCTCCCCGCGATGCGAATTTCCACGACCAGTGACGTCTCAACCCCGCGGTAGCTTCTGCATCATTTTGTGGATTTGCGCGGCAGAATATCTCACCGCTCATCTTCACCGCCTTCTCATCCCCCGGCGGCCCGGGATTATGGCAACTCCTTGTCGTGTCGCGAGTGTCATCTACTATGTAGTGACGAGTACACTTCTCGATTGCATCTATGCGATAGTAAATAAAGAAACATTCGCTGGCCGATATGACTTCTCTCGCCCTGGGCCATCTGCCCTCACTGTGGCGACAGCACCTGCTTTCGGAATTGTGAGTAGTGCGCGCGCGAGAATTGAGTGGAAGAAGCCAGGAAAGCAATGTAAACACGCTTGACGTCAAGCTAACCAGCCACCACAGCGCCGGTTTGAAGCAGGCCTGTCCCGAAGGAGTGTTTGTGAGCTTGACTCCCGGGGATCCATCGCTTTGGTCAGCGGTGCTTTTCGTCCGCCATGGTAAGTTAATGATTACATTGCATCCTCTTCGTGTTCTTTCTCGCTAATCTTCGTTTCTCTTGAAAGGCCCCTATGCCCCGGCTGTTCTTCGATTCCAAATCTTGTTCCCCGATGCCTACCCTCGAGCTCCACCACTGGTCACCTTTTCGACTGATATCTTTCATCCTCTCATCACACCTCTGACAACACACATGTATCCCACGAGTGTTGAGAATGATGGGAGCACTGCAGAGAGACCGAGGCTACCCCCCGGAGGCTTCAGCTTGGAGCACGGCTTTCCAGAGTGGTTTGGTGGTTCCGAACGACTGGCAGCTGGAAGTCGCCACGGCAGCCGTGAGCGAAGGGGTGCATCGCCATCAGCATCGTCTACAAAGTCAGCGAAGTCCACAGGCGACAAGCCACCATTGGTGCCTCCCAAAGACGACGTGCCGCGGTACATGCAGACAGATCGGAGGACTATATCAACATACTCTCTGCTAAAGTATATTCGAAACACGTTTGTTAAAGGCGAGGTCCTTGATACAGTACCACTCGCTGCGGCTGGAAACCCTGGAGCTTGGCATGCGTGGCGCACACATAGGCGCAAACAAAGAAAGGCGCTTGACGAAAACATTAAGAGTAATAGGTTAAGCAGGCTTAGCATATTAAGTGATTTACAGCCCAAGGGGGATGCCAGCGAGCAGGGCGATGCGATAGCGTCTGATGCCAGGAGTATAGCTTCTCAATCCACCATGGCTCGAGAGCCCGGAGAGTGGAATTGGGATGGCGTGTGGGAGGACAGAGTGAAGAAGGGCGTGGCATCCACCTTGACCGAGTCGGTACTATACGGCGCATCAGGGATTTCCGACGATATGGTACGTTGTTCAACTGTCGTTGTGATTTATGTCTCTTGTCCAGCAATGTCACGCTAACCATGAGGTTTCTCCAGATTCACTTCTTAGCCCTGGAGGAGGGAACTATCGAGGCTGTCAAGGGCAATCTTCGTCGAACATTAGATGCTTCAGCATGACATGTTGTTCGTGCCACCTTTCCTCATCTTTACGATTTTTGCCATGGCACGCCATCCTTTGCAGATAACCATACACTTGTCTCACACTCTTCCTACACTTCATATGCCGTACAGGCTTTAATGATTCGCACCATAGCATCTGAACTTTGAGAAAAGGGCTGGCCCAATATAGTTGATATCAAGATTTTGAGCGTACGCATATATTTAATACTTGAGCACCTCTGTGTATACCTATGCATCTTTACTTGCTTTTATGGAGTCATACCCCATCGATCAATATATGCCGACTGCTAGACTCTACCTACCTTAGGTGCTACCTGGTACCCACTGGGTAGTACCTTCAATTGTAATATTGATAGCACTCAAGTCACTTTATTCGATAAAACGCAACTACCACGATCTCGTTCTTGCTGTTTCCCCGTATCAATTATTTCCTTAGATCTAAGGTTTCTGTACTTACCTAGTAGTGCCTTCCTCTTCTTTCCTTCAAATCGTTTACCTGCTACTTGCTCGGTACGTACTATCCCAACCCCTGCGAATACTCTCCTCAAACTCTCCTCAAACTCTCCATTATTTCTTCCACCATGCATAATGATTCTACAATAGCTGCCATCAGCCCTGCAAACAACGGCCTTTGGGTCATCTGGCAGCATCCAGCTTCAGCTATTGCCTTTCTCGCTGTTATTTTTTCTATACTTATTCTTGTCGGAGCCTTTGTTTCCGACGCATGTCTGCCAGCATATCCGTATGGATTAAACTGGAAATTCCATTTTACACGCCGAAAGAGGAATCGGCCATCCGGCTCCAGTGCTGGATTATACGGACAGCTTTAAGATTTATTATCTTGCCTGACATACGCCTTACGTGTATCATGATTTTTCAAGTATGTAGATTCAATACTCTATTCCACTTCTCAGACATAACGCTGATCGACTCCTCCTTCTTCAGCATGGAATCGATTGAGAATAGGCCATCAACTTGCTTTGAGCCGTCAACGTCGAGAGAGCGAATATTTGTGAAAGATAAGCCGAGCCCACTTCGAATCATCAAAAGATCTCGTAAACACACCGTATATGATGAGAACACCCCCAAAGGTAGCTGTACAGCCGCATATGTTGACGTCAGCCCGACTGGCAGCCCTCCTGGAGCATTACTACGTTCTGTTGATGGGACTTTGAGGATTCCGAGGCGGCGACCAAAGACTGTATCCGAAGAGAAACACGGGAATGACGCGGCAACAGGCGCAGGACGATCTTCGCAGAGATCAAGCCTCGACCACAGGTCGGTGAGCAGGGTCGAGATCGACGATATTACCGAACAGGACAGCACGCATCGAATCCCATCCTTTTTTCGATACCCAACAGCAAAAATGAAGGCGTTTCGACGAAAGCGCCATAGCGTTATAAGTAATCTTGAGGATGGAGATGGAGATGGCAACCTGTCGACGTGTATACTCACCAATGAGTGCAGTGGGCGGCGAAATTCTTCATCCCGAGCAAGCTCTAGATGTACAAATTATGATCCGAAAGGCGCATATTGCTCTATAGACTCATCTGTATTATCAACCCCATCGCTTCGGGAGAAATCTACCTATGTCTTGTCTCCGTATATCCGCGTGGTATCACAAACGGCGGGCATATCTACAGGTCAGCAGCACATCTGGGCTGCAGTCGAGGTAAGTGGCAGGCTTTTCTCGCCTAGCGACGGCCCTGAGCTTGAGCCTCAGATGACACCGTACTCAGATCAAGGTTTGTTGTCTTCCTTGTACATGCCTGATATTCTGAACCACGCGGCCGAAACGCTCATGGTTGCTATTATAGCTCTAATGGATTGAAATAGATGCTCATTCGAGGTTCGGCTGCCTCTACAATCTAACAGTAGACATATTACCCAAGCCAAAGTCATCTCTCCTTCAGACTACATGCCTGCAGCAATTTCCAACGTATGTTTCTAGAATACATCCGACAGTTGCATTCTGATGTAAACTGACACAAATGGTTCCATTATAGCACCATGTTTGTGGGATCGAGCATTCTTCTTCTTGTACATGTCATGTGCCAATCAAGAACAGCATTTTCTTCTTCCTCTTCTTCTAGACAACAAAAGCACATCAGGCAAAGGTCAGATGAACTGATAGAAGATCTCCAGCTACAACTTGGAGATTCTCTCATGACTTATATGAGTATTCATGTGTCTTATTCACACTCTGCATTCCCTTCCAAGCCGGCTTCGGCAGGATCTGTTGAGATATCTTCGCTTCATACTAAACTCAGCACGACAGCGGAAGCAACTATAAAGCTACACAATGAGCTCTCGCCATGGTCCCCTCATCCAATATTGGTCAAAGATCGGTTATTGCCACTGATTAAAAGCCACTGGGGCCCCCGAAAAGCATCCGAAGCGATGCAGCAGATGTTGAAGAAGCGTTCTACCCTAACCTCAGAGCATACTAAAGCTCTAACAGAGGAGCTTGATCAGGATATAACGCAGGAGCTTCCACATCACCGTTATTCTCCAGCAATTGATCCAAGGCAAACGAGTATCCAAGGAACGCGACAAATGAATGTCAAGTCGCGCCCTTCAAGTCACCCTCTACCAGTGGCAAGAGTTTCGTATGACTGGGAAGCTGGAATGAGGGGGGTATCTGATGGGAAAGTTGCTGGAACAGGGAAATCTGGGAAATCAGGCAAAGGAAGAAAAGAAGGAAAAGAAGCCTCTTTGGGTGACAGATGGTCAGCGACACCGGGTGTCCTTGGAAGCCCGACATACAATCTGGCGAGCGACATGTATGGTGACCGCGACGAAGATGGAGAAGATGACAAGAGGAACAAGGGCAAAGACCAGAAACACGGGGCTGCGGGAGATGATGGGGGAAAGAAGAATGCTGGTCTTTGGACTTGGGCAACGTGGTTTTAGCTTGTTCTTAAGTCTCCAATCAAACGGGACATTTGGGGACTGTCAATCGAGGAGCAGTGCGGGTTTACGTTTAGTAGCATGTACCAAAAGGCTATAGAGGGGACAGTGGAAGTTTTGTGTGTTGTACAAGCTTTTATTCTTTTTTTTTTTGTTTCCCTTGATATATATTTTCTTTTCTCTCTGATTTCTTACATGGCTGGACTTAGTTCAGCTCATCTTTCCATGGAATAGAAATTTGGGCTCCCTTGCGAGAGACGGTAATGGCCGCAGCCCGGTTGGCCGCTTTGATTGCAGTGTCGATATCGAAGTCGCCTGATCCGGCGCTCACGACGGCCAAGGCGTAGGATCCAACAAAAGTATCGCCCGCAGCTGTGGTATCCACGACGTCAGCCTTGAGGGCAGGCACCAAGGCCGATTTGCCGTCCTTGGTGGCGTAGTAGACACCTCGGCCGCCGAGGGTGATGATGACGTTGCCAACGCCTCGCTGGATGAAGAGGGCGGCGACTCGCTCGAGGCCGGAAAGGTCGTCGAGATCGGACTCTTTGCAGCCCGATAGGATGGCTGCCTCGGTCTCGTTGACCACGAGATGGGCGAGGTTGTGATAAGCCTCGTCGGGGAGTGTCTTTGCGGGCGCCGGGTTGAGGAGGACGGGGATGCCGGACTCGTTGGCAGTGCGGAGGGCTTTCAGGACGGTATCAAAGGGGATCTCCAGCTGCATGATGAGCAGGTCCGGGCGAGGGCCCGGAAGGGTGGAGAAGTGCTCCGGCAGGAGGGTGTGGTTCGCCTCTGCGGAGAGGATGATGCGGTTTTGGCCCGACGGCTCGTCGACGACGATGATGGCGATGCCAGTCTTGCCATCTTCACGGACGGCGACGGCCGAGGTGTCGACGCCGTACGAGGTCAAGCTGGAGATGAGCTGCTGGCCATATGTGTCGGAGCCGACGGCGCCAATCATGGAAACATCGGCGGCCGGGGAGGAGAGGTCGGAGGAGCGGGAGAGCTTGCCGCAGGCGACGGCCTGGTTGGCGCCTTTGCCGCCAGGAGATGTGTTGAAGTGGTTGGCGGTGAGTGTCTCGCCGGGAAGAGGGTGATGAGGGACGTAGGAGACGAGGTCGATGTTGAGAGAGCCGAGGACGGTGATTCTAGGGCGAGCCATGGCTGCTGGAGGGAGGTAGAAGAAGCTGTGCTTGGTGATGCGATGGGCGACGACAGCAGCAGGGCTGAGGAGAAGCTTCAATTCAATGGCCAGTCGTGGTCCTGGTGAATCGGGGCGATTTGCTTGCCTTTCGAGTTTGCGCCCAGGTATCGATTAAGACTAAGGTTCTGGGATATGAGACTGAGTATGGGGGAGACGACGGGATCCCCGCGATGGCCCTCTTTTGTCTGATCGAAGCAACGAAATGTTCGGGTCAGACAGAAATGGTGGGGTGCCGCATGCGAATGCTTCAGAAGCTGCCCCTCCACACTTTCAGGGCCCCAGTTTCTAGAACTGAACTGGTTCGGCCGGTGCCGAGTCATGCAGCTCTCGCAACACTAGAGTAGTTTCCATCTGCTAAGAGTTATTCGCGGCGCCAGTAGCAGCGACGGCGGCGGCGGTTAGGTATCCTATTCTGGACAGTCCTGGGGGATCCGCTGTTGGGCGCGTGAGTTACTCGTTTTGTTTCTTCTCTCTAATAGTATTCTGACGGCCGGGTCCGAGTGTGGAGCGGGGCGGGAAGCTGGCCGGAGAGAGCCGAGCTCGGGCGTTTGTGTTACTCGTACGTCTACAATTCTTTTCTCAACGATTGTTTGGCTGTTGACTGTTGGCTGTCACCTTTAATAGTCGAGTTTGCGATGAACAGCAGCACGTACGTGACACGGCGTGCAAATGGAAATAGAAAACCACTTCGTAGGCAACGAGCCTTGGGATGGCGTACCAATTGACAAAATGTGTATATCTTCTTGTCTACTCCCGGAGCGTGCCACACAGGACAACGTCCTCGCCGAATGGGTGCCATGACACATGCGAGAGCCTCGCAACCGGGAGAGGAACTCCCGCCGAGTCGGTGACTCGGTCTGGAGATACAACTACGCCGCCTTGCCCCAGCCATGTCGGCGCAATCGTCACAATGACCGAGTCGATCAGGTTGTGGTAAGCAGGTTCGAGGAGCGAATTGATAATCTGGCCGCCACCCTCGACCATGACGCTGGACAGGTTTTCCGCTTGGAGGGCGGCGAGAATGTCGTCCCAGCTGAATCGTAGCCGGCCAGTTGCTTCGGAGCGGGTAGAGGGCACATGGATGTATTTGCCTCCGTGCTCATGAAGCAGCTCAACGCTTGCAGCAGGCAGGCTTGAAGCCTCTATGCCCGTGAGGACAAAAGGAGCAAGTCCGGCACCGCTCCGACACACCTCAAAGACCTTGTCAGAGCGGCGCGGCGTCCATCGAAGGTTGGCGTCAATGATTATCGGACGAGGCTGGCGAGGAGCCCCTGCGATCCGGCAGTTGAGAGCCGGATCATCTGCCAACACCGTAGAGACGCCCACAAGAATAGCTGCGTGCCGGGTCCGTAGGTAGTGGGTCATGGCTTTTGAGCCCGGGCCGGAGAGGCGAGTGCGGACTCCAGGCGCCAGTGACAAGCTGGAATCGAGTGAAGTTGCAAAGGTTAACGTGACAAAGGGGCGTGATCTCGAGGCATCCTCGGCATCCAGCTGTGGTGGGAGACGAGGCTCGAGGAGAGCCGCTGATTCGGCTGGAAATGTGAGTTGCTCAGCCATGATGAGACCTGTATAGCAATAACTGAAAATGAACGCTGCCGTGTACCTATCGGATATGTCAAGTCCGGGCAAAGGTGTATTTGACAAGAAGAGTAGAAAAACAAGTGAGTTGCAAGTGTGTTGAGCTACTTAAGTAATGTGTGACTGCAGCAGTTTTGGTGTATGTGCAGAGTGGGGCCTAAAATCTCACACGTCTTTTCCATGCTTCACATAAACTGGCACCCACGACATGAAGGTTCTACAAAAGCAAAGCAACAGACTCGAAAGACGTCGAGTTGGGTTTAGGTTTGTGGATGCGAATATTATCCCCTTTAAACATGCAAAATCGAGAAACTTGGGACATGGCAAAACAGCCTCTCTCTGTTGGCTTTTGAATTGACTGCGTCAAGGCGGCTTCGACGTCGCCTTGTTGCTACGTATAGGGATTCCGTCTTCATCAAACTCGGCCCATTGGAAAAACGTACACCCATCTTTATCGGGTATGGCGCTTGCATAGCACATCCAGAAGTATTTGCCATGGTTCTCCTTTTTTCGCTGCACAACACGCAGCACGCAAGGAATCTCGCAGTAGCATCTTGGAGTGAGTCTAGGGTGCATCTCTGCCCGATAGTCTCGGTACGTGATGTTGATCCGCTTGTTTCCCGCAATGGGATGTGGATCAATGGACAGCGCTGGTGAAATGGAGTGCTTCCACTCTTCCTGCATCTCAGCATGCATCACAAGGAGAGAGTTATGTGGCAGGTGAATGGATATCTGTCCCTCGCCGTCCGGATCGTCTGGGCGCTTCGTTTCAGCATCTCGCGGCAGGATCTTGCGCACACGAAACTCCCGTGCAACGCCCAGGGAGATTGATCCGATGACAGCTCGGGGGCCTAGGTATGTAAGGTGATCACTGTGCCACCCCACGCTCTGTTGGGCTCCAGCATAGCAATTGACAAATGCAGCGTTGGGCACCCACGGCTTCGATGGTTGGTGTCTCAGTTTTTTGCCTCCAGGGTATCGAGTCTTGATACGAGTTTGGATTTGCTCGTTGACCGTCTCTTGGACAATTGGCTTTACTTTGGCGAGTGTCGGCGTGAGTTTGCGTACATCCTGCAAGACCACCAGACATCAGTTGTGTGCCGATTCGGACGAGCGAACGAAAAAATCAAACTCACGTTAAGCATGCCTCCGTTATAAAAGTAATCATGTTTCTGCTCCTGAATCTTTTCAAATGACTCGAGAAACAAGCACGAAGTGTGCGGGCTGGCCACAATATTCTCAAACAGCTTAAAGGTGATTTGCTCAAACGACTTGGCCTCGTCCAGCAGCTCTCTCAAGAGTTCATCTGCAAGCTCAGCTGGGAGAAAATTGTGTATTATGGTACATGGGGTGTGCTCTGCGACATCTTCTGGGTCATATAGATGCAGGGTGCTTCCTTTTTTGGACTTTGTCTTTTTCTTGGGCGGTGATAATGACCCATCACTGGGTTTTGCATATTGCCTTAACGACTGCTGGTGTCCTATGACGGCACTTTTCCTTGTCCCTGGGCGAAAGGATTTTAGAGATTCTGACGCTTGGCCGACACACCCATCGTGAGCTAGCAGGACATCTAAGAGAGTTTCCTGTTCAATGAGGGGGTGTAGCGACGATAACATGGCGAGCTTGATCTCGGTCGACTCTTCGCCATCTTCTACATCTTCCAGGGCTGTTTCCGGTTCCGGTGTAGCGTTAACATGGGTCGATTTTCGCTTTGGACGCGAGAGAAAGGCTTCCATGAGGATGGGCTGAAAGACGCAGATATGGAGAGGCAATTTTGCACGAAAAAAAAAAAAAAAAAAACTGGTAAAAAGACGAAAGTTGTCGATTTAAATAACCGTTTGGAATGCCATGTATATGGGTGAAGCAAGTGTAATGGGGAAAATCATGCACGATCAGTCGACGACAATTCACGGCAGGCGTGAGGCGTGAACATCCAGAGCAACACGAACCCACGTGATCCACTTTGTCCAAAAGAGGCAAAAAGATTTGATAGCCTCGATATATCGATTTGGACTGGATTGATTCATCTCATGACGGCATGTAGAAACAAGATGATCTCAAGGCTATCTCTATCTGGCAAGGAGTACTCAGTTTGTCTAATCATCATCCGAATGCTCGGCTGATTGACCGACCAGTCTGAAGATGCGGAGGCTGGTACAAGGAATCACGATTGGCATCTCGACGGTATAATACGGGATGGATAAATTCCCGGTAGCATCCTGTGCTTCAATAGAGCTGCACGGTGCAGCTCCAGATAGGTGCTGATGCATTTCAAAAAGTCAGTATTCACCTTGAAGCATTCAGTCCATCAGCTTTTTTTCTTTTCATCCAGCCAATATTACCTTGGTTTCTATTTTAGGCCTAGGTTAGCACTCTTAGCCGCACTGGAGGAATATGGGGAAACTAGGTGGCGGCAGATCCCAGGGCCGAGGCACATGTCAGATTAAGCGGACCTCAAAATGCAGACCGAAACCAACCAAGAGATCACGACAGGCAACGCATCGAGCTGAGAGCACTCGTCTTTTCTCCCTTGGCCATATCATATCATATACCCGTCCATCGCTGCATTCTTCCCCTTCGGCCTAGAAGCTTGTTCTTGAGTTCAGATTGCGCCTTTGAGGCGCTCTGCCCTCCTCTCCCCTCCCCTCCCCTCCCCTCCTCCTCTCCACACCAAACGAAACCGAGACCAAAACCGCAATGGCCGCGATGCTCGAGTTTCGCACCCAAGGGTTCAATCCCTATGCGGTCAAATACTCGCCGTACCACGACTCCCGCATCGCCGTCGGAACAGCCGCCAACTTTGGCATCGTCGGAAACGGCAGGCTCTTCGCCCTTGCGCTGACGGCGCAGGGCATCCAAGTTGAGAAGACGTGTGTTTTTACTTGCATATCGAAAGAAGCTCGGCCTTCCAGCAGGGCGCGTTTAGCGGAATTGAATTGAGGCTGACCAGAGGACTTTTTTGCATTTGCGCCGGCAGATTCGATACCAACGATGCGATATACGACCTTGCCTGGTCCGAGATCAATGAGAACCAGCTCGTGGTTGCTTGCGGCGACGGATCGCTCAAGCTCTTCGATATTGGCATGAAGGAGTTTCCCATCATGATCTTCCACGAGCATAACCGCGAAGCCTTTGCTGCTGCTTGGAATCCCGTCACCAAGGACACCTTCATCTCCAGCTCATGGGACGGGACCGTCAAGATTGTATGTCATCAAGGATATACACACTCCCTCCCTCCCTCCCTCTTCCTAACACTCTTCATACTTCATACTTACAACCCATGCCTCTTCTAGTGGTCGCCCACTCGCCCCTTCTCCATCAAGACTCTACCCATCGGCAGCTGTACCTACAGCGCTGCATTTTGTCCCTCCAACCCTTCCCTAATCTCAGCGGCCTCTTCCGACTCCCACCTCCGAATATTCGACCTGCGAATGCCCTCCTCCGCCAAATACCACCTCGCCGCGACCGTTCCCGTCCACGCACCCCCCAGCCACCCCGGCGCCATGCCGGCCGGCGGTCCGCCCTCCGAAGTCCTCACCCACGACTGGAACAAGTACCGAGACACCGTCATCGCCACCGGCGGAGTCGACCGGCTGATCCGAACCTTTGACATCCGCAATCCCACCGGCGGGCCGCTCTCCGTCATGCATGGCCACGAGTACGCCGTGCGGAGGCTGTCCTGGAGCCCCCACGCCAGCGACGTCTTGATCAGCGCCAGCTACGACATGACCGTGCGCCTGTGGAATGATGCCTCGAACCAGCCGCAGGCGCCTGTCCCCACGGCCCAGCCCGGCGCACAGATGGGCGTCATGAACAGGCACACGGAGTTTGTCACGGGCGTCGATTGGTGTCTGTTTGGTGCTGGCGGCTGGGTGGCTTCTGCCGGCTGGGACGAGAGGGTTCTGCTGTGGGATGCGAACCTTTTGATGCGCCCGCGGTGAGAATAAGGGAGTGGAGGGAGCAAGATTTTCACATTAATCAAACAAGAAGGAGTACAAGAAAGCACGCGGGTTTTTTGTTTGTTTTTGATACCAGGGGGCGTATTATCAAAAGAGCCACCCGTGGGAGATTAATCATATCCTGAACAGTAGAGCGTCATGTCACGGTGCCCCCGTCGCGGTTGGAAACTCATGCAACATGCTAAGAAAAAGTTGGGCCAGTTTTGACATAAAGAGATTCTACCTTGGCCAGTTGGAATGGGTGTCCATGTATTATTTTCAAATAGTGAGAGCAGATTTTTGTTTCATGTGTGAAATTCAAGTCATGACTATACTATAGAGTAAACCAATATATATCATTACATGCGTCATGATGTTTTGTTACAAAGAAATCGAGGAGATTTGTCCCTTTTTTGTGTGTTCCCATCCTGTGTCTTCCAAACTGTAGATTCCCAGTAACACCGTAGAATTTGATAATGTACAAGCCGTCTATGTCGATGAGTTTTTGAAAACGTGTAGCCGTAAAATACCACGCCTTATCCAGCAGAGCACCTCTGCCTGAACAGATACCAAGCATCAGAAAACGTAGAATAGTAAAGAGTTTCGCTGCTTCATGAGAATGCAGCCTTTTGTCGTCCCACCCCCAAAGCGTCGTGTCAAGAAAAAAATTCACTTTTTACCACGAAGACTCAAAGCCTCCGCCACGTCGGTCACCTCTGCCACCTCGTCCACCTCTACCACCCCTTGAGTGTGGTGGCGGCGCATCACGTCGCGCACGCTGTCCCATCTCAGCGAATGGGTCAGGAGGTCCACGACGCTCGAAGCGACCTCCACTGTGACGGTCGCCGTGACGGTCGCCCCGTCGGTCACCTCGCCTGTCATCCCGGTGCATTCGGTCACTGTGGCCGTCTTGGATGTTCAATCCGGACTTCAGGAGGCCTTGGTTCTTCGCCCAACCGTGGGAGACCGCAGGAGGCTCTGGCCAGCCCCAACCCTTGATAGCCCAGTCGTTCAAATCGTCAACAAGGTCCTCTCTGTCCGTAAGCTGACCACCGAACAGTGAGGTGTACGCGCTGGCCATCATCTTCCTGGGAAGGGCCTGGATGAGAGTCTTTGTCTCCTCGTGATAGGCGGGCAGTTCTTCCACTGCATTGATATCGACCTCGGCGCTTTCAAGTGTTTTGTTGGGCTTCAGGGGAAGGCCTCGCAACAGCTTTCTGGCAGAGTTTGCCGACATTGGGGGCACAAACAGCCAGCCCTCGCCACTCTTGTTCTGTCGTCCGGTACGGCCCAGTCTGTGGATATAAGATTCGCGCTCCCTGGGAGCATCAACCTGGATGACGTGGGTAACGTTGGGGAAATCCATGCCACGAGCTGTGACGTCTGATGAGAAGAGAATACCCGTCTTGGAGTTTCGGAACATGTCGGCTGCCTTTGTTCGCTGGAATTGGGAAAGTTGAGACTGGATAGCAAAAGTAGGGATTCTCAGCTGGCCACTCTGTCTCCGCTGGTAGCCAAGTTCACCGGCAAGCTCAACCATGGAAGTTGTGTTGAAATAGACGATGGCCTTGAACGGGGGCAGGGTGGGATCTTGCTTCGCAGCAGCAACCTCGCGGTCGACCAGCTCAAATAGTGAAGGGAACACGTTGGCCCAGCTCGAGACGGTGACGACGTTCTGAGGAATCCTGTCGTGGGTGAGAGTTTCGTGCTCGGGAATGGTCTGGACGAACTCGAAATCGTGGGGGCGAACCATCTGTCGGGCGAGTTGAATGACGTTATCGGGGATAGTCGCAGAGACCAGAATCGTCTGCCTGACCTTGTCCTTGGGCAGGTAGCTCTGAATTGAGTTAAGTTCCTTTTCGAAGCCGACATCAAGCATACGATCTGCCTCGTCCAACACAAGCGCAGCCAGCTTAGGGGCATCGATTCCGCTGTTGGGATCCTCAAGAAGGTCATTCAAGCGACCCGGGGTGGCCACCAGGAGGTGGCATCCCTGCCGCTGAGTCTGACGCAACATGGCAGACTTCTGAGTACCTCCAACCGCAGACTGCACAACCAAGCCGGTGCGTCTGCAAAGCCGCTTCGCCTCGGTAGCAATCTGTTCTGCGAGCTCACGAGTTGGCGACAGCACGATGCCGCGAATATCGTCAGACCTGGCATTTCGGGACGCCTTTCGTGTGGCCAATGTCGGGTCTTCTTCGATCATGCGCTGTAGGAGAGGGAGCAGGAAAGCAAGAGTCTTTCCAGTACCGGTCTTGGCTTGAGCAACACTTTGAGCATGATCAGTATAAAATTACTTGGACAGATGTTGCCTCATTCCCTTCTGTGTAGCTTACATGTCAGTTCCCTTGAGGGCCGGATTGATCGCTTTGGATTGAACAGGAGTCATGGTATCGTAACGCATATCCTGGGTGATTGCATCTAGCAAGTTGCGATGAACTCCGAGCGTCTCCAAATCCTGGAACGACGAGATTTCGCCAGGTGCAGCATTTTCAGGAACCTTGTCCTCTGCGACAGCAGCGTCGGCGCTGTAAAACCGGGTGAAATGGGCGAAGCTCTTCAAAGGCGCAATCGGACGAGATAATGATGCCGGGGCAGAAAGAGTTGCTGGAAAGGCTGTCCGAGCGCTCAGCAGCTTCGTGCTTGATGTCGCTGCGCGGGCCAAGCCGCTGCATCGTCGAATTCCGTTCCGAAACATGATGATATCCGCTTCTTATACAAAACTCCAATCAATTATCAAGATCAAGTATATGTATCAGAGCCCGACGACACAATCAAGTGCCCTTCGGATGAAGGAATATCGGGAAGAATCGACTGGGAATGTCGCGTGTTTTCTCCAAGTGCCGATGAAGCTTGTCTTGGATATTTTTTTTTTTCTTCTTTCCAACCTGAGCCCACTTAATGGCAGAAAAAAGTTCAACCCCTCCAACCGCTGTTCCGAGTTGGAAAAGTTATCGATAAGGCTTTAAGTGCAACTAACTATTCTGCAATAGGCTAGCTGCCTGTCACTGCTAATATCACGAATCGGAATTGGTAGGTACTTCGTAAATGAAGCTTCTGTTGTAATCACAATCCAAACGTATCCAAAGTAATGAAAGCAGTCGACGTTTGCTTGCTTCCCGTAAAACACCTTTTATACTAGATAGGCTGTCTAACAAATTCTTCCTCGTCAAACAATTGATTTCTTTCCCAAAACGCCAACCACCATGTCCGAATAGTGCCGCCGTCTTCCGATTATGCAATATAATGTTTCCCCATGCTTATTTGACTGATTCCCAACTCCATATTCCAAATCCTCTGATTCTTAAAAGTCACAGCACACGCAAAACCAATACCAGTCCTATCCTGCTCCGTGACGTAATGTACAGCCGTAACCAGTTTTATAACATATCCTTGCTCATCTCATACGACCATCCTCCATCTCGCCGCAGCTTGTCACGAGCCGCCATATCCTTTCGAATGTCATCCTCAGTCAAACGATCCAGGCCGCTCCAGTTGGCACTAGACGTCCTCTGGCGGAACTTGTGCCACTTGTCCTTGCTCTTATTGAAAACTTCCTCCATGATCAAGGGCGCCGGTGGACCAAAAATCTGCGATGGGTCCATCGACTCTTGCGCCATGAGAGCCCGCCGCAAGTCCGGAGAGTCAGCCCACGCAGCCACGTTCATTCCTTGAGCTTCATCATCGTCGTCGTCATCATCATCAGTCTGAATCTCGGGAAGCTCAATCGAATCACCGTTTTGAAACCGCGGCGAAGCCTTCCTCACACTCCCCTTGATACTGGCCAACTGTCCCGGACGGGCTGGTGTCTTGTGAGAAGGTCCAGCAGCAGTTGAGCCTGGCGCAAAGGGAATCGGGCCCTTTGAGATCTGGGCCATATCAAGAGGGTGGGCTGCTTTGATATGGCTGCTGTGCTGGCTTGTGACGGCAGCCTTGAACAAATCTCGAGTCGCGCTGGGAGGGGCGGCTGGATATCCATTCTGGAAGGCAGATTTCGTTGGCAGGTCCTGCAGGTTATTAGTCTTTGAGGACCTATAGTGGGTGGCACAAGTTGGGTTAAGACATACCTTCTTGAATCCCGTTGAAGGCCTCACTGGTGGGCCTTTAATCTTAGGAGCATTGTCCACCTCTGACTCATCATCACCATGTTCACTGGTCCGGCGCCGCTTAGAATCCTTGGTCTGGTATGCTGGCCCGCCTCGAGAGGGCGGGGGTCTTGAATACGTATCATCACTCGTCTCTGGCACTAGGGTGCGTTTTGCACCCGCTTTGGCAGCGTTTGATAGGGCACTAGCAGGTCTGCTTGGATCATCGCGCATGCTGGCCAAGCGGGAGGGCGGTCGAGCAGGCTGACCCTCAGCTTTTGAAAATGCCGACCTCTGCTGAGCCAAGGTTGAATCTGGTGGGCCGTTTGGCTGTGGCCGTACTGCCGGGGGCGGAGCTCTGGTCTGTTTAGCCTTTTCAATAGCAGCCTGCCTTTTCTTCTCTTCTTCCTGCTGTTTCTGCCGCTCCAGCTCAAGGCGCCGCTGTTGGTCTTGTTTTCGCTGCTCCTCTTGTGCTGCAATTCGCTTTCTCTCCATTTCTGCCTTTGCCTCCCGTCGTCGCTGCGATTCCCTTTCATCTTGCTCCTTTTTCCTGGCAGCCAATTCTGTTGCTTTGGATCGGCTAGCAGAAGAGGTAGCCTTGGGCACCGAAGATTTGGCCTGGTAAGACGACTTGCTGGTTTTTGATGAGGCTGTCGAATGGGTAGAGTTCAAGGTATCATGAGACGCGGTAGATACTCGGCTGCCAGCAGGCTGGTATTGCGAGTGTTGTGAGCCGGTGTTGACCCTAATAACGGTAGGGGGGGCTTTTATTTTTGAGGCTGAATCTTTCACTGGCTTCACTGGTCGCTTGATATCCTTGCCGCGGCCGGGCAGGGTCGGTTTAGTAGAGGAAGGGGGAGGCATGGGAGGCTGGGCGTCAGACATATCGGTGTCTTGATCCATCTGTCTGGACTGAGACGCCTCGCCAGCTCTCATCTTGCGAGGACTGGGCGGGCCAGTCTTGGAGGGATTAGGAGTTGCCTTGATTGCCAGCCTCTCGTCTTGTCTCTTGGCAGCGATTTCCTTCTCCATAGTAGCCACCTTCTCTTGCTCTTGGGTGAATGCTCGAGCCTTTTCTCGCTCTTTCTCTCGTGCCTTGTCAAGTTTATCCATCTGCTCTTCCATGCGTTTAACTTCATTCTCTCGGCGCTTCTGCTCTTTCTCTCGTTCTGTAGATGCCCTAGTGCGACGTGCAACCGGCTTTGTTGGGCTCACGGGCTCGGTAGGTTGAGATTCGATCTCCTGGGGCTTCAGAGCGATAGACTCCGAAGATGGTCCCGCATGCAACGCTAGACGGGTGGATGATGGCGACATTAGGGACTTCCCTTCAGCGTTGGTAGCAAGTAGACCGCGAGAGCTCTTCAAAATAGACGACAGCTTGCTCTTGACTTGCTTTAGTGGGCTATCCCGGAAGCCCCGAGTGGGTGATTTAGAAGGGGTGTCAGCCAACTCATCGTGAGAAAATGCCAGACCGGGATTTGATATGGAAATTGCCTTAGATAGAGGAGCAGTCTCTCTCGCCAAGGCAGAGGAATCAGTCGGCATAGTTGATGAAGATGATGACTTTGTAGGATTAAAAAGGCTATGAGCCGTATGCTCATCAGCCTGAGGTGGGTCGTCATCATCTCTATCCTGAATGCCTTCCATAATGTCCGCTGTGTAGCTCTTGGTCAAGATTGGCCTCGCGTCTCTAGCTTCTCTGGCCTCCCTGGCCTTTTTGGCTGTATTCGGCGATTCAATCCAATCATCGTCATCGTCATCGTGAGAAGTCCGCGGTGTTGTAGAGACCGGCTCCTTCTCGGGAGAAGCCGCCTTTGGGCTCGTAACGGCCTGTGCTTGGACTGGATCTTGCTGTGCCGCTGCCGCATTAGATGTCTGCTTGGTTTGTCCAAAGCTTCCTTGCGGCTTGCTCAGCATGCTGATTTGATCTTGCAGTCTCTGCGTATATGTCTTCGTATGATTCACGCCAGGTCGATCAGCCTCAGGGGCTTCATAGGCGGGGTAAGCGTCCTCTGCTTCCACTTCCATGCCATTGGCTTTGTCCTCGTGTGTTGAGTCGTGTTTAGCGAGGTTTCCGAGGCTTTTGCCGCCAGTCTGTCTCTGGTAGTAGCTTGTCCTGCTACTGTTCCCGGTATCGACATGGCTGTTCCGAGACTGTCGCGCACCAAGGCTTTTGCCCGAGGTAAGAGGTTCCCGGGCTGGCAACGAAGCAAAATTCAAGCTACTTTTTCGAACAACGGGCCTAATCGGGCTTGACCCCTCAGATGCAGACTGCTCATCATCTGAAGATACTTCAAAGTGCTTGGCAGAAATGGGTGGGTTCCTAGAAGATGGAGCCGGTGATGTTACGGGCGCTTCAGAAGATGGCTCATCCGCATCGAATTCTTTGGCTGGCGACTCTGGTTCGTCCTGTGTCGCATCATATGGTACATCTGGCAGAATATGTGTTGTTGAGTCCTCTTTCGTTGTTGGAAAGCTCTTTGTCGGAGACACTGAAACAATTTTTCGGACCGGGCTTCGCCTTACTGAAGATCCGCCAGGGGGTAATACGATATCGCTGTAGGGATTTGCAAAGTCTTCGGGCTCCGCATTTTCGCTAGGATCCGTGGCAATGAAATCTTGGCTCCCATAATAGCCAGAATCCTGCAGGGCTCGAGGAGGAGGAAGCGGTCGCGAGGGGGAGAAAACTTGTCGCTGAGGAGAGACGGGGTTCGTGACTAGTGGTACTGCCTTCGACGCGACCTGATGTAGCTGAGGAGGATGGGGACGGGTGGTATGTGACAAGGGCTGGCTTTTCGAAACACTAGGGGATGCTGCTCTAAATACATCGGATAGAGGCTGGTTGTTATCTATTAGAGTGACGTTTCGTAAGGGACGTTCAAGTAAACCCACCACTCGCGCCTCGGCTGCATTGACCTTCCGAGTCGTATGGGGTGTTTTGCCCCTAAGTTTACCAGGAGTTTTAAATGCTTCTGTGATATTACTGGAAAAGGGTGTCAGCATAACCATCCATTTTGATGGATGGTGAATGGGGGGCGGAGAAACCAACACTTCGTTCTCGTTCAAGATTGCAGCCATGTGCTCATTAAGCCATTCAACCTCATTGTGGGCAGAATAAGAGAACTCCTCTACTTCTGATTGCACAATCTCCAGCGCAGATGCTCGCTCTTCGCCCACCCACGCCGCGGACCCGACCTGGAGACGCGGGCCTCGCACAGCAGTCATGATGTCGCGCGCACAGCAACAGGTGCAATGTCAGATTTGCAATGCAGGGCTGATAGGGATCGTCTCTGGATTTTGTCACAACATCGGGGGAGTGACGTTGGTGTTTGGCGTGAAATCAGTTGTCGAGGAGGTCTCTAGGACGACGATGGGGATGGTGAAGGTACAAAGTAAATAAGCTGGGCTTGTTCATCATTCCAAGGTTGCAATGTTTTGATGCGCTCCAGATCGGGTTAGTGCTCCTACAGGTAGCTCCCAGGTACTCGAACCTTCGCGTCTTCACACCGGCATTAAGCCGCACGTGATAACGTCATCAATCACGTGTCGATACGGCTTATCAGAACCCAAACACGGGGGTTGTTTACTTGGGTCGCGTCCCTGGCTCGGTGGAGTTGCTTGTGCATTAGAGCGACAAGTTTGTACTATTCAATCCAGCATTGCATCGCGACTTGTCACAATGAGGGTGATAGAAGTGATCATTGACGTAAGTGCTCCTTTCCGCGCCTGACGTTGTTACTTATCTCGTTAACCCCTCTAATAGGGCTTCAAGTCCTATGCCGTGCGAACGGTGATATCAGGATGGTAGGCTTGGACCCCACGACGAAAGCTTTCATTCAGCGTTATTGACCAGCCTAGGGACGAGAGCTTCAACTCCATCACCGGCCTCAACGGCAGCGGAAAGTCCAACATTCTCGATTCAATATGCTTCGTTCTCGGAATCACAAACATGTCCACTGTCCGGGCGCAGAACCTCCAGGTATACCGGCTCATGGTTCACCTTGCGTGTGGCACACCCCGATCGAGTAGTAACACGGAATGCAGGATCTCATATATAAACGAGGCCAAGCGGGCGTCACCAAGGCCAGCGTCACGATTGTCTTTGACAACAGAGATAAGAAGAAGTCTCCCATTGGATTCGAGGAGTATGCCACCATCAGCGTGACTCGACAGATCGTTCTTGGCGGCACGTCCAAGTATCTGATCAACGGCCACCGCGCGCAGCAACAGACGGTTCAAAACCTCTTCCAATCCGTCCAGCTGAACATCAACAACCCAAATTTTCTCATTATGCAGGGACGAATCACCAAAGTCCTCAACATGAAGCCCGTGGAAATTCTGGCCATGATCGAAGAGGCTGCGGGTACGAGAATGTTCGAAGATAGGAGAGACAAAGCGTTGAAGACAATGGCAAAGAAGGAAACAAAGCTTCAAGAGCTCAGTGAGATTCTCAGAGACGAAATCGAACCCAAGTTGGAGAAACTGCGCGGAGAGAAGAGAGCCTTCTTGGATTTCCAGCAAACACAGAATGATCTAGAGCGGCTCTCCCGCGTTGTGGTAGCATACGATTACACCAAATGTCAAGAGAAGTTGAAACAGTCCGCGGCTGATCTTGAGGCTAAGAAGCAGCGCCATCAAGGCCTCGAAAGTTCAGCCGCTCGTCTTCGTAACGAGATTTCTCATCTGGAAGAAGATGTCAAGAGAATACGATCACAACGAGATAAGGAGCTCAGGAAAGGTGGCAAAGCACAAGGTCTCGAGGATACGGTGAAGAAGCACGCCAATGAACTGGTGAGACTCACAACAGTCATGGACCTGAAGCATTCGAGTTTAAATGAGGAAGAGGAAAAGAAAGCCGCTGTCGAGAGGACGGTGTCAGAATTGGAAGCTACTCTCAAGATAAAGACGGCAACATTCGATAACGTCAAGGCAAAGTGCGAAAAAGCCAAGGATGACTTGGCAAAGCAGAGCACGGAAGCCGAATCTAAAGAGGAGCTGCTGCAGACATTGCAGACTGGAGTTGCTTCAAGGGAGGGACAAGAAAATGGATACCAAGGTCAACTCCAAGAGGCAAAAAATCGCGCTACTGCTGCCGCAACCATCCAGGAGCAGGCAAAGATCAAGATTGCACATTTGCAAGGTCGAGTTAGGGAGGAGGAACCCCGAGCTCGGAAAGCCAAGGACCAGAACGCCGACCTCTTGCGTGAGCTGGATGGTTTGAAGTTGCAGGGACAGAGGCTGGAAAAGGAATTGAGCAAACTCGGTCTCGAGCCTGGCCAAGAGGAAGCAATGTACAAGCAAGAGTCGAGTTTGCAGCAAACTGTCCGAAGTCTGCGGCAGGATTGCGACACACTGAAACGACAAGTTGCCAACATCGAGTTCAATTACTCCGATCCTATTCCCAACTTTGATAGGTCAAAAGTCAAAGGCCTAGTTGCACAATTGTTCGCGCTTGACGGGGAGAGAACTCAAGCTGGAACAGCACTGGAAATATGTGCCGGTGGGCGACTGTACAATGTCGTGGTTGACTCAGAAGTCACGGGCACGCAGCTGCTTCAAAAGGGCAGGCTAAGAAAGCGAGTGACAATTATTCCTCTAAACAAGATTTCGGCTTTCAAGGCGTCAGCACAAACCATTGCAACTGCACAGAGACTTGCGCCTGGTAAGGTTGATCTCGCACTGTCACTGGTTGGCTATGATGATGAAGTGGCCTCTGCAATGGAATATGTCTTTGGCAATACACTTATCTGTGCGGATGCCGAGACGGCGAAAAAGGTTACGTTTGATCCCAATGTAAGAATGAGGAGCATCACACTAGAAGGAGATTCCTATGATCCTTCTGGAACACTTTCCGGTGGCAGTTCTCCAAACTCCAGTGGTGTTTTGGTGACATTACAAAAGCTCAACACTCTGACTCGGCAGCTCCATGAGGCTGAAACACAATTGAAAGATATTCAGATCATGATTGCCAGAGAGAAATCCAAGCTAGATCAAGCCCGTCGGATCCAGCAAGATTTAGACTTGAAGAAACACGAGATCAAGTTGGCTGAAGACCAGATTAGCGGAAACTCATCTTCTTCAATCATCCAGGAAGTCGAAAACATGAAGGCGACCATTGCTGAGCTGCAAGCAAGCATATCCGACGCCAAATCACGCCAGGCTGAGGCCAGTGCGGACATCAAACGCATTGAAAAGGATATGAAAGATTTCGACAGCAACAAGGATGCCAAGCTAGTAGAACTTCAGAAGTCTCTAGACAAACTGAGGGTGAGCCTCGAAAAGAACTCAGCAGCTGTTAAAACCCTACAAAAAGAGCTGCAGGGTGCTCAGCTAGATCTAGAGCAAGTTGGGGGCGACCTGTCAGCGGCTCGAGAACAGCTTCAAGAAGTAGAAGTTGCCATCAAGGCCCAGCAGAAGGATATCGAGGATCTGGTAAAGCAGCAGGCCAAGGTGACAGAGACGCACAAGACCGTCCAAGCCGAACTTGATGACGAGAGAGCCAAGCTGCATCAATTCGATGATGAACTTAAAGCCTTGGAGGATGCCACACGCTCAAAGAATGCACAGATCACAGAAGAAGGTCTAGAGATGCAGAAGCTTGGTCACCAAATCGAAAAATTCCACAAGGAACAGCAATCCGCGGCGGAAAACGTTGCTCGGCTCGAAGCTGAATACGAATGGATTCACGACGAGCAAGACAAGTTCGGCCGCAGTGGCACGCCCTACGATTTCCAGCGCCAGAACATCGGGGAGTGCAAATCCACACTGCGGAACCTGACAGAGCGGTTCCAAGGCATGAAGAAAAAGATCAATCCCAAGGTGATGAACATGATTGACAGTGTGGAGAAGAAGGAAGTCTCGCTCAAACACATGATCAAGACTGTCATCCGAGACAAGCGCAAGATTGAGGAGACCATTGTCAGCTTAGACGAGTACAAGAAGAAGGCGCTCCAAGAGACTTGGGAGAAGGTGAATGGCGATTTTGGACAGATCTTCTCTGAGCTTCTCCCAGGAGGCAGTTTCGCCAAGCTAGATCCTCCGGAGAACAAGACGATCAGCGACGGTCTTGAAGTGAAAGTCTGCCTGGGCAAGGTGTGGAAGCAAAGTCTGACAGAACTCAGTGGTGGTCAAAGGTAAGCGTCTACTCTCTTTGTTTGGCATTTCTAATTTTGCTACAATGTCTATATGTGAACACAGGGCATGCTAACATACGAGGCAACAGGTCACTGGTCGCACTGTCGCTCATCATGGCTCTATTGCAGTTCAAACCTGCGCCAATGTACATTCTCGACGAGGTCGATGCCGCTCTCGATCTTTCTCACACACAAAACATTGGACGACTCATCAAGACGCGCTTCAAGGGCTCGCAGTTTATCGTCGTGAGTCTGAAGGACGGCATGTTCCAGAACGCTAACCGTATCTTCCGCACACGCTTCAGCGAAGGAACGAGTATGGTTCAGGCGCTTACGCCAGCGGACATGAAATGATTGAAGCAAAGAAAATGATATTAAAAGAAAGAAGAAAAAAAAATTAACAAACTTCCGTATACTCTAACTCTAGGACCATGCGATACGATGTGACGAGAAGTATGAATGGGATTCAGGAGCAGGTGGAATATAATCTAACACCAATGTGGATATAAAAAGAGAGAAATAATATGAGCCTTTTTGCCTTTTTTTTAACCTCTATCATTATGTTAAGTACGACAAGGGAGATGTAACCGTTTGATATGTGGATGAACACACACAATGAATGGACGTTATTTCCGACGAGCTCCATACACCTCCGCCACAGTCCATTCCTCAAAACTCCGTGTTTTTCCCATGGTGATCCATCCTCGCCACCACAATTCAACCCGTTTCAACCCATTACTTACCACTTACTGGCCTACAAGGCCAAATGAGGGCCCCGCTGCAGAACCTTAATCTCCATACCCACTTCTAGTGACAATTCCAGGTCTTCTGGGTCGTCTGTCTTTGAAAATATGGGGGAGAGTTGCATGCCAAAGCAGCCGCTCTTCGGAGCCCCCTCATCAATGTTTCGATACTTCCTGAGCGAATTATCGGGCTCCACCTTGTGTCGGATCCCCGTAGCTGGATCGACATTTGGCAACTTGCACCTGTATATGGGGTCCCATTTAGCACGCGATTTACGTACGAGTAGTAATTGCAATTTTGAACAGGCAAAACGGCTTTTTTGACGGGAAAGCCTCCACATGTTGTGGCTTGGTTGTTTTTTGTTTTTGTTTTTTTCTCGCACGGAAGCGAGGGGCGGGAGTGAGCACGAGTCAAGGGGTATGATAAAGTTTAAAAAAAAAAAAAAATCAAGAGAGCAAAAGAGAGTTTCAATGATACTTACCGAACGGTGCGACAGGAGACGTCGAATACACTCCCTGACACCTTGACTGTGGCGCTCTGGGGAGGCTGGGAGAATTCGATTCTTCGCCAATCGTCCTCGTCGTACTCTTTGAGACCAGAAACTAGTCATATCAAGTTAGTTGAGGGTACCGCTCAAGCGTGGGGGGGAGGGAGGAGGGAGGGGAGTCTAAGTTCAATAATGGGGGTGAGAGAGAATGGCCCAAGGGACATACCAATAATATTCGGGCGAAAGCGGCGCGCGTCCAGAAACTTGAGATTTTCATCCTTTTGAACCTTGGACTCTAAAGCGCGAACACTCGTCAAGTTAAGGAGATGTAGTGGGTACTTTGAGAGGTCATCAGATGCAAAAGCCCGCATGGGGGAAAGAAGGGTAGATCGGTCCAAACTTACTGCATCTTGAAAGTCAATGACAGGCTGGTATCCGACATCATCTTTGCGCGGCGCATTCCTAAAGACTTCTCTTCGCTGAGCTGGGTCTACCATGAAGATGCTTATTGGCACAGCGACCCCTAGATACACGCCCAACTCTGGCGGCACCTCGTTTTTCAGATTCAGCGCATGGATGCTCTTGGAGAAAAACAGAGTATCCTCGTAGTGGTAGCCTGCAGCTTTAATTTCATTGGGAGAGGGGAAGTCAATTGACAACATAAACTCCTTTTCTGGGGTGGCGCCGAGGCCACGGCTCAGTTTGGCAGATGTCCACTGAATTATGCCCTTCAGACCAGAATCTCTCCATGGGAATCTGATAACGATAAACCGGCCGCCCACTCTACCAAGCTGGCGGCTTGTCTTGCTAGCATCCGGGAGCCAAAGGTCAACCTTGACATTTGCGAGCAATGGCACTTGCCTGAGAGTGATAACTTCCCATTGCGGACGCTTCTTCGGCTGAGTTTCCTCTTCTCCAGATAGTAAGGGGGCATTCGTCGCTCTCGGGTTCTGTCTTGCGAAAGCAAACAGGCGATCAAACTCAAGGCCCTTGGGCAACACTTTGCTGTGCCCAACCTCTATACCCCGGCATGACTTGACAGGGTATACGTATAAGCTTTGTATCTTGGGGGCCTTGCCTGGCTGGTGGTTGTGATCCGGCGAAGTCTGAGTCCGGAGGTTGCTCTGAGATGCTGGGATGCCAAGTTTGGTGTGAGTTTGCCGCAGTGCATCACTGCGCTCCACAGGAATCGGCGGGAACAGGATGAAGATGGGAATGACAAAGACGACCACGGTGGTGAGCAGAAGGATGATGGCGGTGGCGTCAAACAGAGCCACGACTTCTGAGATGGACGGCATCATTGTATCAAGCAAGAGTCAAGGGCCAGCCTCGAATATGGATGATATCGCAGGTTGCGGCGTTGACGGCCAAATCGTTCCTGGTGTCGCCCCCGATATCCTCAACACATGACAATGGAGTCGAGAGGCCGGCGTCCTAGCTTTCAGCCTCAATGCAATAGGGTTGGCGGTTGCGGCTGACAGCGGCTCAATCGTGAATCTACGAGCTGCTCAAGATTTGATGTTTTCACGGTGCAGAGGCGGCCAACGGATTACGTGAGCAATTCAGATAGGCCATCTGATAAAACGCGGCCCCATTCCTACCTTGGTACTAAGTGCTCGGCCATGATACAACATGTAGTCACTGTGAACCAACCTGTGTCGCAAGTCTTTGTTTTAGGGCGCCCTGCCGCGTGTATCAAAAGCCTGCGGGACAAGGAACGAGTGTCCGTGTTTCGCCAAGTGGCTGGTATTGCGCATTCTTTAGGGTAAGCCACCTCAGCCGAGCATTTGCTGTTACAACTTAAGTTTAGCTGTGATATACTTGAGCTGTGCCTCGTCCGCGGAAAAATCATGGCAGAAAAAAAAGGCCGGATACGCGTGTACGAAATCGCGCAGATAATCAAGCACGGCTTGCAACTGAGCTCTCTTCGTGATACGTAAAAATATTCGATTTGGTTGGCCGGCGGCAGAGCTGGAGTCTGAAGCGGCAGCCTTGCATGTGACGGGAAGAGGATCCCTGCCAGGAGAAATTTCCAACACTTGGTGCATTACTCGTAGACGCCAGTGAGATAGTCTATGATAAACAGCCAGTCGCAGGTGCATGGTTCCAGTGACACCGGAAACTGAGGCACCCAGGTGGGGTGGAAAGGGGTTTGAGGGGGCCAGCTTTTGGTTGGAAGACAGAAAATGAGCTTTCTCGTACGAGTGAGTGGACCAGGCATCTTAGGGAAACGAGCAAGCTCTGTTTTCTGTCGATGATACGTAGTACTGTATAATTGCACCCGTGGCTGACCTCCCCAGCACAAAGGCAACGTGGCCCAGAGCAATGGAGCCTGAATAAGAGATGACTGAACGTCGAGCTTTGCCAATATCTGACCAACAAGTTGCCAGTCCTGGAGAGGCATGATAAAGCAGAAATATCGACCAGCGGACCCCACCTTTGTGATAAAAAGTACGGCAACATCCCGTGTCTACTGCATATGCAGCCTTGTTGAGATGAGCCGCCGCCACCTCGGCCTTCGCGCCAATTTCAAGCAAGCAAGGGCGGCAAAGGGAAAAGAAAAAAAAAGAAAAAGAGGTAAAAAGAAGAAACAAAAGATCTCTTTTCACGGAGCATACTCCGTACCTGTATAATCGGTTCGGCGACAATAAGCACCAGCACGTGCTTTGGAGAGGAAGAAACAATCCAGTCCTCCAGACGACGGCAGCGCGCTACTAGCTCAGTGCTTGGTGCTGATAGGGGAAACTAGTCCGTTGCTAGCAGGGCGCCGTTGAAGCTTTTCCATTCTTCGGAGAATAGCGTGAGTGTAGCGCCATATGGAGAACCTGGGAGGTGAGTTTGGAGCGGCCGGCACTGGCTACTCACAAACGTGGTTCCGATGGGCCAATCCCAAGACATTTATTGCTGGCTGCGCCGCCGACGCAACCAACGGACGACTGCTCACCATCACCAGTGGTTGAGCATGAATCTGGACTACCCGATGTTGTGGTGAGGTGCGGGCTCCCCCCTCTCCCCCCGGCATTGTGACATATGACCCGGAGATCTTGTTGGCTCATCATCCCCATATTGCTAGGATTGTCCCCGTCCTCTGCCAGCCTGGCCACTGCTTCTCAAATTCTGCACCGTTACCAGGCGCTAATGGCCACTCGTCGCCCAGAGTCCGGCGGATAGTGCAGATTAAAAGTGGATGAGCCTCGGTGACCACTTGTACAAGTACATGTACTGTATGCACCAGATTCGCAATTTATACTCCGTGGTGGCAGGGGGAAATTGCAAATAGGAAGAGCGTCTTCAACTCGAGGCACGGGCCAGTGCTAGGACAAGATATTCGGCCAGAGAACGACTGAGGAGAGCATGCCGCCTTGCCACACGCATAAGTTTTAATTTCTGCTGGCCGTTGCTGTAATGAGATGAGCAATGCTTCCCTTGAGTGAATATGAAGCCGCGGAAATGGGGTTGGCGTGCCTCACCTATCCTTGCAGGGGATTAATCGACAGGCCTTCTTAGTCTTCCCGGGTCAAGCCGACCAAAAAGACACGCAAGCCAACTTGTACAGTACGACGTGGTTTTTTTTTTTTGGTCTTCTCTTCTCTCTCAGTTTTTTTTCTCTGGTTGGAGGAACTTTCAATTCCATATCGAGCTTTAAATCTGGGTCGACTAGTTTGTTGAGCGTAGTGGTGGAATAAAAGGGTTAAATACGCCTGCCTCCCGTCGAGTTGAAATGGCACAGTATCCACGGATTAGTAGTACCAACACGGCGCCAACGTCATCAAAAGTACGCATTTCGCATTTTTCCTGTAGTCGGACATTTTTCCGTTATTTGCTCTAAGGCATGATGTTGCTTATGCAGGACGGAGATTGCACATTGGCAAGGCCAATCTTCTTGGGACCTGAGGCGTGCAAGTGTGTACTGCACCAGCCTTTTGCGATTCATCACATTGCTGTTCAGGGCCATGTGCTCTGGAAAGCTTAAGTGCCGGCAGTTGGAATTAGATTTGCGGTTGCCATGCGTATTTCAAATGACAGGCTCGTGTTGCGGCGACCACGTTTGACCTCATGGCACAAGGTTTGTGGAAAAGCTTCGTGCATGGAGGGCGGATATGCCAATGGAAACCCGTACCTTGGTCCCCCGACAAGGAGAATATGCCCCCATGTGCGCGCTTATCTGCCCGGTCGGAGTACGGAGCATGTGCAACATGCTGGAAGTCCGTGCAGAGCAATTGTCGGGTTTCCCTCCTAGCTGCCGCGCTGAACTTTGAATGGTACGAGCATTTAGAGTTATTATTCCACGACGAGTTGAACCGAGACGCCACCGTCAGCGCACGCGCCGTTATGCCCTCTATTTCACTGCCTTGTCTCAGGCGATGGCAAAAGCTTGGCAGTTCCGGGCTGGTGTAACCTCGCTGGAGATTGGAGAGCTTCGGATGGTGAGCTAGGGACAGCATTCATGGTGTCTCTTTGACCGGATTCGAACAACCAGCTGCAGCACCCCTGTCCCTGGCATTGCTGCAGGTTGATCCAAACTGCGTAAGTGGGCTTTCCAGCTGCTCTGAAGAGGCACTGGAAGATCCTCTCCCGGAAATCAAAGCCTGCAGCATTAGTGCCATTGGACAGAGATGGCGCCGAGCTAGCACGGACTTGTCGAAGCTCGTCGAGACCCGTCACAGTTCGTCGCGTTGTCTTGTGTATCCCTTCTAGAACCCTGGCCACAGCCTGAGGGTTCAAAGTCTAATACTACTAGTAGTAGCACGAGTCTGGACCCTCCACGCTAGGTTGTCTTAAACCTGATCTTCAGCCACACGAAACGCCAGGTTTGTTGAGCTTGCCGGAAGCTTTGCTCTGTGGTTGACAGTTTGATAACGGATTTGTCAGTTCTGAATCATGTTTGCTCTGTTTTGTATTTATCCCCTCAGCCAAGAGATTTCTCGACCTGCTTCGCTGCAGTGTGTCGTCTGACCATCAACCAACGAAAATGCGAGGTTGGCGCCATATGCTCGGTAGCAGCGGAGTACTTTGAAATGAGGACTTTTGGTGTACATTTGCAGATGCAGGGCATGGGTTATGGCCTTTGGTTTACCTGTGAGGCATTATTTAGCAACACATGCAAATTTCCAAGCACTGATATTAAAAAAGACCTGGACTGGTACACGTTACTTCGCGCAAGGTACTGTACATGCAAGTGCCGTATCCTTGGCTGAGTCCTGTGCGGAGGCATTCTCGGGATGGAATACAGCGCGAGCAGGTCAAAATGCCAAGGCTTTGATTGGCTGAGACTCCATTGGCAAACGATGCAGTCAAGAAAATAGCAGTGCTTGGCGCTGTGCCTCTGGACCGATAGCCGTTCCCTAGACCTTGCAGATGGTTCGAGGAACTCCAGGCCTGGAACGAAATATGTGTCTGAACACGAAGCGGCGGTGCGAGACGCACGACTCGAATTGCGATCCCAAGAGGTGACGACGCACGCTTGTACTCGTAATGGCGGGATGCATCCAGGTGCCTGTGTAGCTGTGCATTACGGAGCATTATTTAAATAAGAGTGAACTTGTATGCCAGATGGAGAATTATGCTAGGGCCTGGATCTTGGCTCGCGCCAAAATGTAAACGGCCGTACCCATGCCTCTGTCGTGCCGCTCCCGCGCTGCCGATATATCGTAGTTCGAGAGAGAGGTACGAAGTACTCGTACAAGCCATGGTGTCGCACAAGTCCCAGCGGAGAGTGAGCGGCCTTGTATGGTATTGGACAGGTGGGTAGTGCCCGACGTACAGTAAGTTGCAGTCAATGGCATCCAGCATCGGCGAAAAAGCGTTGAAGAATTGGGTCGTTGCGGATCAGGTTGACGCCGGCCCCCTGCAACAGGCCCGGGGAAAAGCCCAACCAAGCGCGCAGCCTCCAGCCCACTCGCACACCTAGCTCGATATGTTGCCAATGCACTTTTAGCTGCATCACGGGCCTGGCGATTCATGCCTCTCGCTGCAAGCCCATCTGTGGGAGGCTTCTTCTGGGACATTCATGGTCTGTGCACGGCCGCCTGGTGGTGTGCTGCAAATTGGGTGGCGCCGGACCCTGTTGCCAGCAAGGGTCCACACGCTGTGCTCTTTCTCACCGCGGAAGGCAAATGTCAATCTGGGATGCTAGGCTGGGCTGGGCCGGGGCTGTGATTGAGGGATGAATGGCAAGGTGACGGCCGTAGTTCTGCGTTGAAATCCAAAGATGGTGGTGGTGATGGTGGAGGAAGAGCAACTGATTGATGCAAGAGGAATCCATTGCCTGTTCCCCGGCCGGTAAAATGCGACAAGGCCGTCAGCCCGTATTACATAAGCGCGAACAAGCACATACGTACCTAGTGGTACTATTCTTAGTACGAATACACCATACAGATACAGTCCAGCCTGAAGGAAGGAGCAGCCCAATGTCAATTTCGAGGAAAGGAAGGAGCGGCTAAGAAAAGGCTGGTATGGCCCTAGTACTGTACCTCTACGAGTACTCGTACTAAGGTGCCATGTAGGCAAGGTACCTGGTAGTGCTAAGGCAGGTAGGCACGCCACGAAGTACGGAGGACGACAAGCAAGGTAGGTACAGGTACGGCACAGCAAGTTTGCTTGGAAGGTACTACCTACTACTATACTAGTACCTAGTAGGTATTAGGTAGGCTCTGTAGGGCAGGCAAAGGCTAGTCCATAGCTCCTTCTCGTGCAGAAGTTAGTGCCGAGCGCCCCATGCTCAGGCCGCGAAACGCGGAATCGTCAAGCTTCGTGCTAGCAGCTCCAACTCCGGGCTAGCACTCGCACAGGTAGGAGTGACTCCATCCCTGGTAGCTCGCGGCACTCCGGCGTGCGTACCTGTACCCATCCTGTACCTGCGCCTGTGGCCGTGCTAACTTTTACCTATCGCCAGGTCGCCGTTTGAACGCCATCGTGGCATCAACCACAATTTGAAGCTCCTGAGCCGCCTCGCGCAAAGAGACTTTCGCACCGTACGGAGCACCTGGTCGGGCCGGAGACTATGTCTTCAACCCCACGCTACGAGTCCGGTCCAAGCCCCGACAGCGACTCCGAGGCTGGCTGCATGTTCTCGACACGGCTCGCCGTCCAGAGCTCTGCAGCTCCATGCACAGGCATGTATGTACCTGTCCAGATGGATCGCGATCGCCCAATGGCTTCTCCTATACCGCTGCTGCTAGGCCTGGGATTGGCATGTGCGGCCCCAAGCACAAGTACAGGTACTCTGTGCCGTTGTTATCGCCGACTCATTTGCAAGGGGATGAGGACGGGAGCAACGGAGAGTGTCCGGTCGGCCAGCCTCGCTTGTCCCAACAATCTGCAGCCCTGGGAGGCAAGAGGATAAGAAAAGAAGTCGAGAGGCAAGACAAGAAACAGAATCTCGTGCTCTGGTCATTGGCAGCTCGGAGCTGTATGAACGGCTTGGGTTGGGATTGTTGATCAAACCACCGTGTTGTATACTTCTCCTCCCAAGCCAAGCCATGCCGTTCCTAGGTCTCTAGGCCCATGAGTCTCTCCACCACCCCAAAATACTACTAATGTATGTACAGGATGCGACGTACCGGCCAGTATGGATGCACTACTACTTGCCCGCCCAACTGGGCCAAGGCGGTGCTCAGGATTCCCAAAGCCACCTTGGCATGGGTACATTCTACTGCGTACATGCAATGACTCCTGTGTCAGTCTGCTGCGATTCAGCATTTCTTGCCTCCCACGCAGGATGCCGCACACATACGACGGGGGCGCACAGTATAGGCACTGGTGCTGTACAAGTGCACTCGCCCTCGCCCTCGCCCTCGCCCTCGCCTTCTTTCCTCTCATCGAGGATCAGAGGAGCCTCCATCTCCTGAAAGAGAGCTACGAGTACTACTAGTTCGACTAGTAGTACATAGGAACAAGAGGCCGGAGGTTGGCGTGGGGTGCCCAAACCCGTTGCAGAAACCCTGGCTTCTGCTCCCCGTCATTTTGCTAGGCTGGTCGCCGCCACCCGGCTGCTCAGACCTTGTGGAGGTCCTTTTTTAGAGGCTCGATTCTGATTCTGCAGTTTACGAGGGGTAAGGAGGGCTATGTGCAGCTTGGCTTTGTTCGCTGGGTCCTTGGTGCCTGCTGCCACACCCCCGGAAGCGTTATTCGTCGTCCATAATGCCTCGACGAAGTGGCACCACTAGCATCATTTTGAAATACGTCCCCTTGCCCTGGTCGCTTTACTGGCCTGAGAAGCTGTACTCGTACCAAATAATGGGAGCACGGAGCTCAATGCCTGTCCTCCCTATCAAGTACCGCCGTGGCACGCTTGCCATGAGAAAAGAAACGGCCTCTTGCTACCTTGTAAGAGGCTCCTAGATTGATCTGAGCTTGTCCGAGACTCGTACAGGCATATGCTTAAGTCGACGGTTGAAGAAAAAAGATACATCCGGCCTGCATCTAGAATGCCGCGGCGGTGGCTGCTGCTTCAATGTCACCCCATAACTTATCACTTTCAGATCCAGCCCGCAACCACTACCACTCCCACCACCACCCTCGATCATTACTGCGCTGAACACCCGCCTGCCCCAGCTGCGAACCTGACAGGATTTCTCTTGTCCTAGGCTTGTTCACTGTCGAATCACCTTTATGGAGGGTACGCATCGATAGATTTGCGTCCTAGCTGGAGCCAAACGCCCGGCAGGACCCCATGTGTATTGCCGCCCAGGGGGCCCTCTAACCGTCTTTTCTTCTGCCCCGCGCCTTTCCTCCGTTACTAGAGCTTCATCTTCTCCTTGTTCAGTTCCCAATTTTCTCTCCCCTTGCGGGATTCTCCATCGACGACGGAGTGCCCTGTGGGAATGCGCTGGGCCAGTTCCCACCAGCCGTCTCCGCTGTGGACCAGGCATTGATTCCCTTTCGGAAGCCACACGCTCAAATAGTATCGACCGAGCATTGATGCAGGTGATTCGTCTGGTTGATCCTCTCTCAAAGATCTAATCTTGTTCAATCCAAATTCTCCGGCTCGACTGCCTTTTGCGTGTCTTGTCATCGTCGGATCACCTTACCTTGAGAGGGACAGAGAAGAAGAAAAGGGGTTAGCTTGCAAACGGTTGTCCCATTTACCCACGACAAGATCCGCAACCAAGCATCTCCATAAGTCTGCCTCCATGGCCCAGGAAATATCATTACGGTAGCCTCTTCTGGAGCTTTCACGCCAAACGCGATTTCTTGTCCACATCGTCGGCTGGCTCCCAAGGTCTCTCTCTCCTCATCCTCACTGCTTGGTTCTGCCTGAGGGCTGTCCGAGCTGCAGCTGCACTCGCAGCACTTTACCATCTACGTACTAAAGCACATGAAACTCTTCACGTTGCTGCCACCCATTATCTATCCCCAAGCAAGACTTGCGCGTCCACATTGGACCGGCACAGCTCCCCGCAGCGTGGGCCCTTCACACTGTGCCGGCTGCTGCTCTTGCTGCCTTCCAGCCGTCACTGCATGCTTGTACGTTGCCTAACCGCCGCAGCCAGAGACCGATCTGGCGAGACGCAGTGACAAGCAACCATTTCGAGGCCGAGAAGCTTTGCATACCCCATGGCCGCCATACCCACAGACTCCTCCTCACTACGACTATTACCGGTTCGGCGTTCGTCCCATCCCCTCTGAGCAACAAGCAAACAAATACCACCAACCAACCTTGCGGGCTGAATCTACAACCAACTACTACTACCACCACTGCCATATTCTGCTTGGCCTTTGCCAGGCTCTTCTTGAAGCCGGGAGTCATACAGTGGTGTCGTTTCGTCTCTTGCCTTTGTCAACTCTTCAACCGTCCTCTGCGCGGTTTCCCCCCTCCTCTTGGACCGACACCTTCCATCAGACCCCATCATCTTCGGCTTCAGACCTTTCCTTTGGAGTTCCGTCAACGACATCTCTGGATCTGCTTGAGCAACTTGAAGTTGCTACGTCGAAGAAGATTAGCAAATCACGACAAGATCCAATTAGCGACACCTCCATGCTAATCGCTTGGCAACTCGACGACTACTTCTCTGTTTTTACCCTTCCCTTACCTTAATGATATTCCCCCCAAAAGAAAAAGAAAAAAGGGCGACGGCAATAAATCCCTTCGTAACTTTAGCGCTGTTTGACTTTCGATGCGACGATCCCGACTGTTACAACCCTTAGACTATTCGTTGAGCATGCGAAAAGCCGGAAATTTTTCAACCATCTTCAGCAATATCTTATCGGCATACCCTCTGGATACTCTTGGACACCTCGATTTCCCTACATAATTGCCATCATGGGTGATTACTACCGCCAGTTTCTTTCTACAATGTCGGGGGCGGATGGCTATCTGCCTACGAGCCCCGACGAGATGAACCAGGTCCTCGGTCCCGGAATTCCGCTACCAATGTCAACCCCTCCAATGCACTCTCCATATCCCTCCACTATGGGAAATATGGGATACTTCGCCGGCTATCCGGAGCCCACTATTATCAATGCCCCCAAGGCAAGCAAGAGCAGGCGGCGGTCAGCTGCGAGTCAAGGCGGGAATTTAGACCAGGTGAAGCATCGTAGGACACGCTCCGGCTGTTATACGTGCCGCAGCCGCCGAGTCAAGGTGGGCGAAGTGGAAGCTCTGCACAGTTAATTTCAATAATGTGACTGACACGATACAGTGTGACGAGACTCGGCCCATCTGTGACAGTAAGCCTTTAAACCGCAATGCGGAAAACTCTGTCCACTTCTTAAAGCTAACGACTGGCAGGATGCAGGAAAGGAAGTCGAGACTGTATTTACCCTGAACCGCCAGGATCCAAAGGTAATTCGGGTCAGCCTACTGCCAAATCCAAAGACGGTTCATCCGCCCAGTATATAAGTCCCACATCTTCTAACGAGGGGGAAGAAGACGACACAGAGCAGGAAACAAGACTCGGAACTATTCCCGATGATGACGAACCCGATGGGCTACCCCGGCGAGAGTCGGTATCTGCCTTCTCGCAACCGCGGAGAGCAAGTGCAGCATCACCCAACATGGCCCTAACGAGCGCCCGCCAGACTTCTGAAACGCCATCACAAGACGGTAATAAGAGTGTTTCACCTTCGACTTCTAACGTAACGACGGGCAGCTGGACGCCGGCTGGTTACCAAGGGGTGGAAGCGATTCTGCCGGCGAGCGGAGGCTTAGACCGATTACATCTGCCCCAAGATTTTCGGAGTTACCTCCGATACTTCAAAGAGAACATGACAAACTACCACTATGGCCTAGCGGTCGACGAAGACGACTTTTTCAATTCCGAGCTACCGAGTGTTGCGATACAATGTGAACCACTGCTCAATGCTTTGGTTGGATTTGCCGCGTACCACGTCACTTTGCAAAATTCACATGGACAACTTCAAGACTTCCTGCAGTACTATAACAAAAGCGTGACTCAGTTGCTGAGTCTTCTGAAAAGAAAAGAAACGCACAGTGTCCATGTGCTACTGACAATATTACAACTTGCTACGATCGAGGTAAGCCTTTGGATTTGGCCAGGAAAAGTAGGTTATAATCATACTAATCACCTTTTATTCTCCCTTGTAGGAGTACCTAGGAGATTGGGTCAACCTCATGGGCCACCAGAAGGCTGCATTTGAAATTCTTACCCAAATTTACACTCCGGAGACAGCGATGCAAACCTCGATAGGCCGAATGTGTCTCAGCTGGTATGCTCGATTTGATAATATTGTTGCCCTGATGGGTAGATTTCCCACGGAAATACCCCGTGAATGGTTCACGACCATGATTGCGTATTATCAAACTCAAATGGCGTCAAACCCCACGGAACTGCGTTGGAAGATTGAAGATCGATCCGCTCGCCTGCGCCTCATCTCTTATGACATGTCTACGTTGTATGCGCGAGGAAGCCGGAAGCAAATCTCACCGACAGATTACAGTAATGAGCACTGTTTTCTGACTGCACAACTTGAAGAATGGAAGGGAAGCTGGGACCCTATGTTATGTGATCAAAAGCATCTAATTACCGATTTTAACTGGCAACGTCCGTTGAGCCCCGACGATATTGTCAATCCGTACCGCCCAGGTTTACTCTACGATCATCCCCTATTCAACAGTACCGTCATCACTATGGAATGGCATAGCATTGTCATTATGCACAAAACTCAGTCACCCAACATCTCTCCAGAGCAGCTGTTCTCTGAATTAGGGGGTCATGCGTTTACGGTTTGCGAGCTCTTCGAGTGTTTAGAGTATTGGCCAGATTTACCCTCGGGAGCATTAATCGCGGTGCAACCATGTCTTGCAATTGCAGGCCTTTTCTTGCCGCACCAGCCGAGCAATAATATGTGGTTACGAAGGAAGTTTGCCCTTTTGGAAGCTCAGGGGTAAGTACATGTGGTCTATTAGGTCCAGCTTTTCCCATTCACCCTACTTCTCCCCCCCCCCCCCCCCCTTTATCTTTGTCTAGATGACCAGCCAGCGGCATGGTTCTGTTCACATTTATCTTCTCATCACTCCTTTTGTTTCTTCCCTGGGAAAAACAGGCTACATTTTTTTGCCATCAAGGTGGTTCTAACGCTATGGGGTATATAGACATATTAACCCTGCAACTCGCCGCGAAAAGATGGCAGAGATCTTTGGGGACCCTTCATGTGCCCGGTGGTGGTTGCCGAACGATGAAGGCTTCACGCCGATTCTCCAGAGCGTAAGAAGCTTTGCCGACGAGCGAAACGCCAGGGCGGTGAACACACAACAAGTCAATCTCCGTGAGGTGAAACACCTCTTTGACAAACTGATCCTTTAACGGCCGACGAGAAATCAATACCGAAAAAGAACTAGGAATTACTATAGATTTGGCAACATGGCTTCACCGTTTAATTTTTGAAATTGGTTGATAAATGGTTGATACGAAAGATTTGGGCGTCGGGAAAATCAAGTGTGCAAGGGCAACTTTCCTGCCCCCCGTTCTATAAACCACCGATGCCGATCGATGGCCCTCGAGGCTTGTTGATATCAGAGAGCTGTGTCATTCAAATTTTCAGGGGGAGCATGCAAGCGAACAGGTATATATCACGGCCGATAATTGGATATTTCGATTTCAAGTTTCCATCTATGGAAATCATGCTGGAGTCAAAGGTTCCCGAGGCACCAAGGACGGCGCGTCGGGCATAGGGGCGGGTGGGATTTGAAACTTTTCAACTTGATATCCTTTGGCCCGCCCAGGATGGGAAAATGAATGGGAGTTTCCACTGGACAAACAGCACAAGGCGAGGAATTTATGGAGGCATTCACGACTGGGCGTTGCTGGTCAGCAAATTGCTTTGTGAGGAAGTGTGTGTTAATACGTGCTATAGCGAAGAGCGGTTGGGCATATTTTTCAACATGGGACACATGTACACCCAAACACAATCAGGCGGTGTACTTTTTTTTCTTCCAACGTATAATACCTTTTTTTTCTTCTTCTTTTTTCCTTTATAAATATATATATTATTGCTGGTTTGGCGCATTGTTATGTGCGCGCTGTCCCGTAATCGTGTTGGTTTCATGATTCGACGCTGTACAAGTGTTTTCTTCCTCTACTCCCACCTCCCCCCTGGAAGAACTAGGTATTTATTATAAAATTCACCGTAGAAATCAAAAGCGGCTATCCAGGCCCAAACATTAACTCTCGTCCTTGAGAGCTTGTGCTTTTCAGCTCATCCAAAAGAAGAGAAACAGCTGAAGGGATCTACTTTTCATCACCTTGACCCCCTTCTTTTTCTGCCACGTCCTCTGCGGGCGCTGTCTCTGCTGTAGTGGATTCTTGATGCTCTGCTGCTGCTTCCTCCCCTGAGGGTTCAGTAACATGCACATCTGTAGATGATTCTTCGGTTGCATCTGGGGTCTCCTTTACATCGGGTGAGTCACCGTTTGCTGCGGCCGTCGCCTCTTCTGCCTGTTCGGTGGTATGAGCATCAGAAGTGTCGATAACGCTAGTAACGTCATCATCTGTAATCTCCACAATGCTTTCCGATACCCCTGTTTGGCCAGCATCTGACAAGTCAGATACGGTGCCTGCTTCGTCCTGCCCGGGGTCAGAGACCGGTAGAAAGAGGGGAGGCGGTGGACCGGAGATTACTGAGTGCTCGACGATGACGGGGACTTCCGCGACTTCGGGTTCCTCTTCCAAGACGTCTGGGCCTGCCAAGTGCATGGTTCTCAGTCTGCGAGAGACTCCATCTGCGTCTTCCTCCTCCGCCTCCATGACGGTTGTTACGGAGCTTCCGGTGGATGGGCTGCTCCTGATGTGCCTGCGAGTGTTTGTGCGGTTGACCGACCCGTGCGAGCCATCGTCCTCGAGCTCGCTCCCGCCGGGTTGCGCAGCCGTGGGCTTTAGGATCTGAGGCGGGGGAGCTCTGCTGGCCATGATGTCGAACTCTGGTGGCGCCTCGAGGCCTTCTGCTTCGGGGGGCAGTTTGTAGTTCTCAGCCGGTAGCAGGTCGTACAGGTCGCACACGGTCTTGAAGAAGACATAAAGCCCGGTCTGCCCTTCGACGGCCCAGAAGACGCTGCGATGCTGGAACCAGGCGTGCGCAAAGATGCGGTGCAGCCGACGGAAGACGTTGACCAAGCTCTTGACGCCAACATTCTTGCTATGAAGATCGCTGACCACGACGAAGCGGCTGGGGAAGATCTTTTGGTCCGAGACCACGTTGGCCGCCCAGTCGAGGGTATGGCAGCAGTAGTCAATGGCACAGCAGCTCTTAGGTTGCTCGTGCACAGCGCAGAGAAACTGCCATTCCGACGCGCGCATCTCGGGGCACGTGCTGGCGCTGCATGGCGGCGTGTCGAAGAGGAAGCCGACGATGAGAGAGTTGCACTGCGAGATGAGGAAGCGGCAGAGCTCGTAGAGCCAGAGTGTGCGATCGATGCCCGGGGGAGGCTGTGCGAGCTGGAGAGCCGAGGCGCGCGTCAGCGGCTGCGTGCCGGAGGCGGTGCTGTGATAGTGGAGAGCAGCGAGATGCTCTTGGAGTTGGAATGGCGAATCTAGCTGATTGCATGGCAAGAGTTCGTCTTCATGTTAGCCCACGAAGTTCCTATGCAAGCTCTCGTGAAACGGGGGGAGGGGGAAAGCAGCCATACCTCGCTCAGCGGCACCAATGGAGGGCCAGCCGCCATGTCTGCAGCCTTTGTCCCGGGGTGTATCCGCCGAGAGGAACTGGCATCCAGATGCGACTGCTCCATCTCGGTCGTCGCCAGAGTCGCCGCAGGGCCTCCCGAAGGCGAGTTTGGCCCTATCTGGATTTCTGCTGGCGGCGGGGGGCTGGGCAGACGAGGGGAGCTCGGCGCCAGAGACATGGTTCGGAAGTGTAGCGCGGCTCTTTGGTCTCAAGAAAAGGGCAGAAGGAGAGGACGAGACAGTACAGAGGGAGGAGGCAGATCTGATATCGTAGAGTCGCGATGCTGTTGACAGGCTGGCTAGCTATCCAGCCAATTGGGGTGTGGCTCAAGCTGGAAACTGGATGCCATATGGCTTAGATGCATAGACACCCTCTTGAGCTTTGTAGACGCATATGGTTGTCGACTTGGCTCAATCAGGTATAGAGACGTCTAGCGGGGTGCGGCTTTCCTCAGCGGGAAATCGAGCACGTACCCAAAGAAAGGGCGGTACATCATCGTGCATGCTGGGCTTGGTAGTGCCTTATGTAACCGAGCATTCAATCTCGACCTTGACTACCTACCTACCTATATCCAGCTCTTTTTATTCATATCTTTCAGTTTTGGACATTCACACAATACCCTGCAACTTGATGCCTTGAATCTGTATTCAGTTCGCACACACAGACTGTTGTTGTCATTGCCTCAGCCATACGTTATGAATTTCGACGACGATGCCCCTCCAGACCTGGTTGAGGTCAGCGGTGGAATCCAGGACTCAGAAGAGGGAGCCAATATAAAAGTGCCCATTACCATTGTAACAGGTGAGACTATAGCAGATGAAGATTATATGGTTTATGCGCCCTAGGGTCTGATGGAACAAACCAGGATACCTCGGTGCTGGAAAGACGACATTGTTGAATTACATTCTTACGGCTCAGCATGGAAAAAAGATTGCCGTCATCATGAATGGTAAGTGTTGCTGCTTGACCTCGACAGTCTCTATATATGTATATCTGAGCTAATTATTTTTTTTTCTATGAAAAGAGTTTGGCGATTGTATGAAGCTACCTAAATTACCCTCATGTTCCAGTCACATTTCTAACCGTCTGTCATTTATATAGCTGTGGATATTGAGAAATCTCTCACAGTCAACCAGGGCGATAAGAGGGTAGAAGAGTGGCTTGAAGTTGGAAATGGCTGCTTATGCTGTTCTGTCAAGTAGCGCAACTCCATTATGAGTCTTTCTTCAATCGTCCGAGATACTAACGTCAACTAGAGATACCGGCGTCAATGCCATCGAGAGTCTGATGGAAAAGAAGGGAGCCTTTGACTACATTTTGCTTGAAACAACTGGATTGGCAGATCCCGGCAACATTGCACCTCTCTTCTGGGTCGACGATGGTCTTGGCAGCACAATCTATCTCGACGGAGTAGTGACTCTAGTAGACGCAAAGAACATTATATACAGCCTTGATGACCCCAAGGGCAAAATTGAGGACCACAACGAGCATGACCACCATGGTCCTTTGATGACGACAGCTCACGTGCAAATTTCGCATGCCGATGTTATTGTCCTCAACAAATCCGACTTGGTGAGCGAGGAGGATCTAAAAATAGTCAGGGAACGCATCGAGTCAATCAACGGGGCCGCCAGAATACACGTCACGGAAAAGAGCGTCGTTCCTCAGCTTGAGGGATTCCTTCTGGACCTTCATGCATACGATCAGTTCAACGTGGCCGAGGCTAAAAGCAAGGGCCATAGCCACCTGGATCCTGTGAGTGCCGACATTAAAGAGTGGAAGAGGGGGAAATGGAGCGCTTGGAACCAAATGGGCATGGACATGCAGCTAACTAATTCTGTAGACGATATCAACTGTTTCCATCCCCGTCCCAAGCCTTCGCCCTGAACAGCTGGAGGATGTCGACCGATGGCTACGGGCGGTTCTCTGGGACCACAAGCTGCCGGGTGCGGAAAGCGCCGTGGAATTTGAGATTCACCGATCAAAAGGCCGCCTCGTTTTTAGCAATGGCAATGTGAAACTATTGCAGGGGGTAAGGGAGATATTCGAGCTCATCGATGCCCCCGATGGTGCAGATGTTTCTTCGACAACAGGCAAAATCATCCTAATTGGTAGAGGGGTGAAGGACATAGATTTTGAGTCGAATTTTAGACAAATGATGAATTGATCAAAGAGCGACTCGAGATTGGGGCCATGGCTCTATTTGCTTTGACCTTTCATTGGCTTTTGATAAAGTACCTAGTAGTACCAACTGCCTTGACGGGCTCTAACTTGACACATACCAACCTACTCAACTTCCTCCCTTTGCATCAGGCCCGTAGATTCTTATATCTGTGCTCTATTCTGCTATCGAGTTCCATAACCTGCTTCAAGGGAAGGGAAATTGTCATCGGCCAGCCTCGTACTCGGTTTGGCCCGGTTTGATTGGTTGTCAAGGCAGAATTCGGCGCGGACCCACTTGAATCCGGCCAGCATGCTCCGCGCCAAAGCCCAGCCTTCTTGGACGCCGCCAGACAAAAAAGATTCAAAGACGACAATAGACAGTCGGGACGAACAGCTACAACGGAATTGAGCTTCGATTCACGATACCGATATACTCGCGACACGATATTCAAAGCCTCGAGCCGGTGCCTCTGCGCAGCCTCGTCCAATCATGAATCGACCAGGTAGGATTAAAGTTCCGAATCGCCCCTTCGACAACTTCAACCACTTCTCAAGAGCTCATGCCGAAATCGCCACCACGGCCGATGGAGTTGACGGAGGATGGGGACATTGACGATACATGGCTCTGATGCTCTGGAAGAGGGGAAGGGATGCTTCGAATCAGCTCTTCTCGTCCGACCGTGGGAGAAACAGACATGGACTCGGTCCTCATTGTCAAAGCCCCACCTACAAACGGCCATGTTGGTTGCGGCAGCTGGCTCTGATCCGAGCATGACGTCTGATCGCAGGGGTCGTGTTTGGGTGGGAGTTTTAAGAAACGAGCTTGAATTCTTCATACATCACTGTCACGGATGGATCTCTTGGAACCAGAAGCTAACGACTCCATGTTCTCTACAGGAGCGGTGCCGCAGTCCCTACGAGGGATGCCAGGCGCTTTTGGAAGCCAGCAGCAACCACAACAAGGCCGATCAGTGTCAACTCGATTACCAAATGGTAAATTAGGTACTTTACTTGTGTATTGCGGCGGGCCGGACTTGGGGAGGGAGGGTGTTTTGCTTGAATATTGTTTCCATTGGTGATCAAGTGGCCAAGTGCTGACAGCTGGCTTGATGCCGTCGTTATAGCAAACAATGCTTCGGGCTGGGCTTTCAACGCAGCTGTGCCCATGGGAAGTGCAGCATTTCAAAACCAGGCTCGCCAGCTGGGCGGCAACGTCAGCTTTGCGCAAAGCTTGAGCGGGTCACAACCTGCAACACCGCTCGACCTGTCGTACGTTCTTTCCATTCACCTCGTTTCTTTCGATTCCTTTTCCATCCTCCCCTTTCTCTCTTTCTCCATCATACACCGTTACCACCACCTGCCCAACCATCTTGGGCCATCATGATACGGTATACACAGAAGAAGCACAAACTGGTCAACAAGCCTGGAGAATCGTCAAACATGGGACCCGGCTCGCATTCTACGTCTGGCCTGGCGTACTCCGACGTTCTCAAAGGCTCCTCAAGCTCGTCACGCCCTCCTCGACTCATCGGACATACTGAAGAGGATGTTCGGAATGGTTCTGTTTTATCACGGGCGCTGACCTCCGTGCACAGGGAATTTCCATCTCTATCGAACAACTCCCAGCTTCCCAGCACGACCCAAGGATCTATGTGGTCTACGGCGGGCTCCAGAACCATAAGCGGGCCAATCCAGCGGAGTCAACCTGCACCGGGGCCTTCTCAACAGGGCGGACAAGATGATCTGTTTGGGCCCCCATCCTCGCGGATGCAGTCAAATCAGGGTCCTTTTCGATTCGGAGCTCAGCCAACGCAGGTCCAGCCGAACAGCGTCGACGACTTCCCTCCGTTGAATCGGTCATCCAACGGCGAAATAGGCTCAGAGCGTGGTGCCAACTTGATGTCTTCTCTGGGCTTCAGTCCGCAGAACCCTGGCTCTTCAGGGCCGATGCCAAACAACGGAGGTAATGGCTTACTGAACGCTCTCACAGCGACAAACCGAGCAAACGAAGTACGATCACCGCCTGCTATTGGCACACCAAACGGTACGAAGGATTTGATATTACCTTTTGCTCTTTTTTCCCTTATGCAGGTTGGATCCGCAATTTAACACATCATAGGCCCTGGTAGACAGCAGCAGCAACCGCAACAGCAGCAACACGATGGTAAGCAGAAGGCGGCCGTGTTTCGAGAAGACGATTCCGGTAAGGCATCAGAAGTGGCCTCGCCAGCTGCTGAGGGACGAGGATCTCTTGGCGTGATTGGAAGTGAAGGTCCGAATGGAAGATCGATCGAGCGCAAGGATAGCCAGGCTGCGGAGATTGTAGATCCCTTGGCCGGCATGTCTGAAGTTGACAAATGGGGCATCAAAGGCCTACGGACGCTGATGAACAACTATCCCGACTACCATGCCATGATAATAGGAATGGATCCCAACACCATCGGTCTTGATTTAAGTTCCCCAGAGTAAGTAACAGACCTAACATAGCTTTTATCTAGCGTTGTGATGAATAAGGAGACGCTTTTGCTAACCATATTGACCCTAGACTGATTTCAACCCAAATGTACTCATTACTCGACGACACTCCCCCGAAGCCGACGGTGAATATAAGTAAATTTCGGCTGCCCGAGTGCTACAGTGTTACGAATGTGCAGCCGATAGATACCAAGATACAGAGTTTCAACGAAGAAACTTTGTTTTGGATCTTTTACAGCTGTCCGATGGATGCCAAGCAGCAGATGGCCGCAGTAGAACTGTGAGTTGAAGGGGAAACCAATTACTGCTCTTCTTCTTTTAGGCATGCAGCTAACATGTACAAGACACTCTCGGAACTGGCGATGGCATAAGAAACTGCAGGTCTGGCTAACAAAGGACGAGCACATGACTCCTCAAATCTTGAGCCCGAATCACGAGCGAGGATACTACATTGTATGGGACACAACCGCCTGGCGGAAGGATCGTGTAAGTGGACAGATTGTGTTCGGTATTCCGTCATGAAGGTCGTTTGGAACTAACCCTTTACATAGCGAGAATTCACCTTGCACTACGGAGATTTGGATACCTCTCTAGGACAGCCGCCGCCGGTTATGCCATAAGAAATGGATAGGAGTGAAGTGGGGATGCTCCCTTTAGCCCGGAGAAGGATTGCTTGCTGTTTAGGGACATGGAAGCTTGGTCGAGCTGCTTCATCATTTTGGCGTTTCAGCCACAAGGACAAGGATCGAGGAATTATTATTGCTTTTAAAGGAATGGGTTCGGTATCATGACGGTCCTGGAATGCAGAGTCGGTTTTCAAAGGCACGCCGATACTCTTAGCTTGCGATGGTTAACATGGGTTGCATTTATGAATTAAACGAGAAATGGCTGGCCAGAACGAGAGTGCTGCGGGCCGATGTTTAACCCGATATATGAGCTCGGTTGTCTCTTGACGTGCTGCGTGTCTTTTTTTTTTTCTTTTTTCTTTTTCTGTGAACCAATTGTATTGATTCTCTTCTGCCGTAATTTTCGTTTGTCGACTTCATTCTTCCTCTGCATCTTGTCGCGTGAGGTATCTTACTAGGTACATACTTACTCAGCAATTTAGAGATGACGGGTTGCGGGAATATTAGCCGAGGTTCCACCATGACGGACTGGCAGCGTATTACCTCATGCGAGTCCAGAGTACAAGTAACCTGCCGACTGTTATGCGTGTCTACCTTACCTTAAACTCGCATGAAGACCTCTAGTGCCTACCCGACAATGGGCTAAGGATCGACTGGCCCAGGACCGAAGGATACGAATCATCTGGCGACGTGCGCATTGCTGGTTCTTGTCTTCTCGCAACCTTCATTTTGCGTCATTCTGAAGCTTCCCCAACTTTGTCGGCTCTGATCCCAACTCCACGCCTCACCGACGGCTCCTCGTTCCACCTACATCCCATCATCTCCCTCTTGCGACATTGCTTGAAATTCCCCGGTTGACTAGCGCCCAAGTTGCAGCCTCGAACGGACATCATGTCGGACGAACAAATCTCGCTGCCATTCTTTGCCATTGTCTTGCTTGTCTCGGGCCTGATAGTGCGGTACCTTTTCTTCTCGGGACCGCGCCCCGAACGGCCGCCGACGAGGACAGCAGAGCAGATATTCAGATCCAGAGAGGTGGCGGTACAGAGGATACAGCAGATGTTTCCGCAGGTCGAGCGACGGAGCATTCTGTGGGACCTTCAGCGAAACGGTGGCAACATCCAGAGCACCACAGAGCGGATTCTGGCAGGCCGACTGGAAACGGTATGACTTGTGCCTCCTTTGTTTCACAGGAATATGCGTTTTCATGACTGTGTAGTTGGTGATAAAAACTAACACCGGGTATTATTTATGGCAGCCTCCGATTACTTTCCAACCACCACCTCCTCGAAACCAAACCCCCCCTAGTGGAAGCTCCGGTCCCGCGACGAAGCAGCCCGAGAAGCCATCTCAGCCAGATCTGATTACACGCTACAACTTGAAGAGCAAGATTGACGAGGGAGCCGCCACGGAAGAGAAGAAGGAGAGCGAGGAGGACAAGAAGGGCAAGGGCTGGAGCTCCAACCGTGACGAACGGCAGAGCGCTCTGCAGCGGCGAAGGGATGAGATGATTCTGGCGGCGAGACGGAAAATGGAAGCCAAGATTGCGGCGGAGAAGGCTGCTCAAGGATCTTCTTGAAGGGGCAGTGACGGTGGTGAAAAGGGCAGGACAGCATGGTGATTTCGGAGGAATCCTTCTTGTTTTTTTTTACGGGTGCATGGTTATGGTGAGGCTTTGCAAGCATTGGCGTTTTTCATTCTGTAGATGGAAGGCAGTGTAGGATATCTGATTGTTTTGGGACGCTGATGGGAGCTGATGTGTGCATAGTGGCAATGTGTGTAGCTGCCGGTTAGTGCCTATTAGGTAGTAATAAGTTGTGTGTATAAGACGAAAGGTTGGGTGTTCTTAAGATAAGTACTTACGTCTTGGGAAACTGTAATTATTGCTGTGATTACGTTGGGTTGAGATATGCCTACTTGATATACTATACCTCGAGTGTTGGGAATACCGATTCTGCGCCGACTTTGCAGAGTGGGATAGCATCAACAATTCGATGGGAGAAACCACCAAAACACGCAATACCTAAGCAATAGATGGTTAAGTACAGGCGAATGTGCTTCTTAATGGGAGCCAACACCAGAATATAAAAGTCAGCCACGGTCTGGGAATAAATCGCCGGGAGGCCTCGACAAATCGACTGATGATGGCTCAGGCACATGTGAATGAGCCCCGCGTTTGACTTCACGTGGGTGCAAGGGTCAGCGGCTTGACGTCAAAGGGCACCATTTGATCAGAACACCTATTGGGAATAATGTACTTGTAGGTGCAGTTGTTTGGAAGTAGTACCTTAGTAACATGTGGACGGGATACAGTACGAATAGCTCTTTGGACGGGTACCTAGGTAGGTAGGCAAGCTAGGCACAGATCCCACGGGCTCGTGACAATCCGCGGCAAAGTTAGTTCAGGTTGTTGAAGCTTTGGCCCTTTGGCGGGGCATGAGATCAGACCCTGAACGAGGCTCAGGCGCCCCCTCAGCCACAGCGCTCAGTGCGCTATCCAACAGCTGCTGCGTCACCGCGGGGACCAGGCACAATCCATTTAAACAAAGTTTGGGAACCTTTTGCGTCAGAGCTTTTCCCGCCTCAGCCTTCTCATTCTCTGCCTTGTTTACGGCGGTTTGTTTTCAAAAGCACTAACCTGCCTGCTGCTAGTACGAAGTAGCAGCATCTTATCCTTGTCCTTATCCGCACGCATCGCGACGTGAACCTCAAACATCAGCGGGCAAGGCGCGTTAGCTGCTAGCTGCGAAGACATCGAAGCGCATATTTGGGCCGCTTTCTTTTTTGTATTTGTGTTGTTTCAAACAGCGCCTCTTGGCCCTTTGGATCGCGAATCCCTCCCTCTTTCGTGCAGCAAGTCTCTCACTGAGGGAATCGCAGCACTGGCGTCATTTTAGGTGGGTAAGCTGCATTCTCCCTTGAGCTACACCAGTTCGTCGTCATCTTGTGTGGAGTGAAGATTTGGCGATCGAGCACTTGGCAAGATTTGCCGTTTCGTTCTTTTGCTCCTCCACCTCCAGCGGGCCTTTTTTTTTTTTTTTTTTGTCAGGGTTTCTGCTGTGGGTGATGAGTTCCATTGCAATTTAGTGAGCGTCACCTTTCTCTGCTGGCAGGCGCATCAGCATCAGCATCAGCACCAGCACCAGCATCAGGCTGACAGCTGGCACTTGCTGGCAGCCCTACAGCCCTTGTCAAGATAAATAGTCTCGCTGCCTCTTTTCCCTCCCTTCCCTTCTTTCCTATTCTCTGCCTCTTCCTACACCAGGGTAATGCTGCAGCCTTGCTTGTTCGCTTGATTTTGCTTCATGCACTGTAATTGCTCTTGCTAACAGCTGGTGCGCCCAGAACAGACTTCAAAGGAATTATCCATTCGCCAGCGTTCAACGAATTTTCGAGCAACCACGCAACTGCACAACTATACCCGCTCCGCCACCGACCTTATACCTCTTTGTCTAAATATTTACGAGAAAAAAAAAGTAGTCGATACTGTCGTCTTCATCACGCCGCGCCTTTGGTTCGATTTGGCTTCCGGCCCAAGCACCATTGACGGACCCCGGTCCAGAGGGCAGATTTGTTTGGCGAGTCTCAAGAGCGCTTTGATATGGTTATTGCGATTCGGGCCTCAAAATAGAAATACATACAATTTCAGACCTGGGAGTCAGCGAAACGCTGCAACTTCTGTGTTGCGATGGCGCCCCAACGAGACTATTATGCCGACTTGGGACTGACTCCAACGGCAGATGTTGCAGAAATCAAGAAGCAGTTCCGAAAGCTAGGTGTGTAACGATTTGCTTTCTTCTTCTTTTTTTTCTTTCTTTCCCAATCAGCAGATTTTCTAATTACTGAATACAGCTTTGAAATACCATCCTGATCGCAATCCCGGCCGAGAACAAGAAGTCAACTCTCAGTTTCAGATCATCCAAGCTGCCCACGAAGTCCTAAGCGATGCCGATGCCAAGGCCAAGTACGATGCTGCATTTATGCGGTCCGCCAGCCGATATCCTGGCGCTTCGGGAGTGAGAGGGAATCCATGGCAGAATGTTAGCCAGCAGTTTCCCGTTCCGCCGCGGCGTACAACGAGAACAGCCACCTCAGGGGCACAGAGATGGAACGAGAGGTTCTCTGCCGGTGTGCCACCGACCGCTAGACAGCATGCGTCGGCGGCAACGGCTGCTCGAGCTTTTGAAAGCATGCGGAAAGGCGGTGCCAAGAGCGGGCAGCAAGAGCGCCGTGCTCCTCCTCCTCCACCCCCTCCCCGGACTGACTCCGCAAAAAAGAGAGCTGAAGCATCTTTCGGGGCCAAGAAAACGGGCTACTATCCTCGGTCAAATACTCCTGGTGATGAGCCCCCGGTCACCAACAACAACTACTCCTCTCGCGTCAATACTGAGCGGCCAGAGCCCGCGCCAGAGCCCGCGCCAAAGCCCACGCCCGTACCCGATCCCGTACCCGATATCTTCGCCCAGTTTAGGGAAAAGAGCCGTAGTGAAGAGAGCTTCGAGGACCCTCGTCAGAGCTCTCCATACACCAAGAGTGGAGGCGAGAAGACCGATCCTTTCGATAGTGTTCCATTGAATCGGGCAAACACCACCAAGGAGTCATCTGAACCAACATCCAAGCGTCGCAGCTCTAGTACGCCCCGGAAAGAAACTAGAGAGGGGGCCCAGAGAAGGCGAGATGAGATGGGAGCAGATGGAAGACCTCGGGTCGTGCCTGTTGCCCCAAGTTCGCGACCTGCTGCTTCATTCAAAGCTCGAACAGAGGCGGCGACTGCTGCTGCACCAAATGGTAATATGTTCACGACAAACCAGACAAGCAGCCCTCCTGCTACTAACGATGCAACTCAATCCTCTCCTCATCATAACCGTGAGTGATTTGTTTGGCCATCACCAGGTCCAAAGCCATAGCTGACATTTCCACCTAAGCTTTCAACAAACCTCCGAGTCCGGTTAACGGCCCTTCAATGTATGCGACGCCCCAGAAAGACAAGCCATCCAACGGCAAGAAGAATTTTGCCAGTACCCCTCAAATGGCTACACCACCAAACAAGAAGAAGATTGTCGAAGTTGGCACAAAGAATAAACCACGTGTCCCGAGTGGAACACATGGAGCACTCCAGAGCCTCTCCCCTTTTGAACAGAAACAGTATCACATCTTGAGAAATCTGATTACGAATCAGCATGTTCCTGTTTCAAAGCCGAAAAATAAGCCACATCACAACACCCCGTGCAGCCATATATCCCCCGATGCAGAGAAAATGAATGCTAATAATATATCGCCCACTAGCTTCAACTTCAACTTGGACGATGACGCATTTTCTCCCAACTCCCCGGGAGCATCTCGATTCAGAAAGAGTAATAGCGCTGATGGAATCAATACGACTTTCGTCAAAGATGAATCTTCTGCTACTTGGCAATTTAGTGCTGGAAATGGAGAGTACGATCCCCGTCCTCAGGCCCGTTCCCAATCAAGCAGCAAAGCTGGTCGCCGCTCGCCTATTAAACGTCGGCCGGTTCCCAGCGCAAACGTACCCGATTCTGGAGCTCAGGCCCCTCAAAACGCAACAGGGTTTGATGCAGAAAGCTGGAGCACTCAGTTTGGGCCCCAGACGTTTGTTCCCCGGCCCATTACTCCCAACCCATCAGGTTCGCCCACGCGGCTGGGTCGACCAAACACACGGAAGACGAGAACTCCAAAGCCCATGGCCGGAAATGCCGCCATTGTGGATGATAGCAGTGAAGATGACATATATAGCTGGGCCGGCCGCAAAACTGATGCAAAAGCTGCAACGGTTGATAGTCCCCAAGCAATGGATATTGATCCACCACCGGCAGGTGTTCATATTCCTACTCCACCTCCTCTTGTTCCGACTACTCCTGCAGCGGCATCTACCACGGCTTCCGCTACGGTCCCCTCTACGATTCCTCCCGCACCCCAATCCCGATCACAGTCTCAGCCTCCATCGCATCCCCATCCCGTGGTTGCCAGGAACATTCCTGTTGAACCATCGCGGCCGGAATGGCGACCCGGAAATGTTACGGGCCTGGGCCAAATGTATGAGCAGCCCGAAGAAAGAAAAGAGATTCCGGTTACCTTCAAAGGGTCTGAAGATAGCGAAGAGTTCCGAGCAACGTTAGAAGACCTGAAGAATGTGGCACCATTTGCCCCGCCTAAGGCTGGTCTCAAATCATTTACAGAACTAAAGGATAATCTGCCCTTTGAGAGTCAGGCATCCTCCGAACTTCATCTCAATGTTCCCCACGCCCATCCACTGGTATTCCCTGAGCCCCCAATTGCACCTAAACTTCCGCCCACGGTTGCAGTTGATAGCATCAAGCCGAATGTTCCGTCATGGAATAAATACCTTGAGGAATTTGAAAGCTACCTACGTCGTTGGGATATCTTCAACTCACAGGTGGTTGACCATTTTGCCACGCGAAAATCCAACATCTCGCATGCAAGGGCCTCAAAGGGCTATTCATTTCTGGGCGCCCGGGGTGATGCTGACGTCGTGGAGTATCACAACTGGCTGGAGCAGGATAACGGAGTCCGCCAAAGATGGCTGGCAGCCTGCGAGGAGCACGAAATGCGATTCAGAGAATTCATGACGTTCAGAGAGAAGATGAAGTGACGACATGAATGATACGACGGGCTTGTTTTTTTTTTTTTTCCTACTTCCTTATTCTTAGCTGGCGTTTGGTTGGTAGATCTGAACAACTAGCACGCGACGGTCAGAACTTTGATGTTCATGATATGATATTTGCTTGATTCGGTTTTTCTGGTAACGATTTTCGATACCCATATCATTGGCTGGAGCATAGGTGTCGATTGCTCAGCACAGTGTTTTTTCGTCTCCTTTTGCCTTCAAAACTTTTGTTCTTTCTTGTTCTTCTTTGTTCTTTTTTTTTTTCATCAGCGGGAAAGGACATGGGGGATTATTGCAATTATTGCTTGATACAAGTACTAGATGATTAGAGGATCTCTTTGGTCTCGGAGCCAACGGACTTGAGCCGCTTGGGGGGTCTGCCGGGTATACGTGTACAATAGAAAGGTCTGCTTTGGAGATGTATATTGGAACGCGCAATTCAATAAAGTGAACGTCACTCCATGCTACGGTAATTTGCTTTCGAGGTTGCCTCTTGGGCTCTCTCTGAAGGGGACTTGATACTTGTCTTTAGATGGGCTTCACTTTACTTTGCCCTAGATTGTGTCCCATGGCCTTGTCGAATCCGACTACTACTTGATCTGTGACTGAGGAGTGACTCAGTCTTAAATTGCTCATTCACTGGGCGACATGTCATTCACTTCAACCCCTTTTCAGATTTATCTTGGCATCCCATATTCTGGCTAGGTCGTCTTATAATATAGACCTCCTACAAAAGTCTTACTACCCATCAGTTCTGTCTTCTCATACTCATCGCATTTCTCGATTTACGCTGGACAAGATCTTAACCTATCCGCAAGCCCAAAATCAACGAACAACCAATATGGATCCTGGAATCCAGGAAAAGGGTGCCTCGGCCTGGACAGATGAGGCTAAAGTACGGAGCACACTTAAGCCAAACGGCCCTTCGGTCTCTAGCAGCGTGTACCACGAGCCTGATATAGCTAACAGGGGTTGCCATATTCACAGTTCCAGTTCCTGCTGCGAATCGTTGCGCAACTCAAGGGAGATGGCCGGGGCATAAGTATTAAATGGGAGAAGATCAACATCCCTGGACGAACCCCCAAGAGTTTGCAGAATATGTGGACCAAAATCAATAAGCAAATCGCTGAGTTTGAGGCTCGAGAGAGCGGCGGCGAGGGCTCAGCTGTGGCCGTGCCTGCCAAGCCGAGAAAGAGGGTCCCCGGTGAGTGATATCCTTTTGCCATGGGCTTTCATGACGACGTCTAGAGTTTGATGTTGATACTTTTGAGGCATCCAGCCGGAAAGAAGGGCTTGGCCATGGCGGTAGACCAAGGCGATGGAGGCCTCGATGATGACGACCTTCACTTCAAGCAAAAGTTTCTGATGAAACGTGCTGCCGAAGGTATGGGTATGGGTTTTCTTCAAGAGGCCGAGTGCGGGAATGAAAAGAATGCTACTGACTGAATACGATGGTTTCATCTAGAACTTGATGATGAGTACCTTGGAGTAGGCAAGAAGCGGGCCAAAGTCAAAGCTGAGACAACGACTGATGGTGCTATTCGCGTGAAGAAAGAGGGCAAATGAGGGATTTGGGGTGTGCCTCTTTACATCTTCAGATCATGGGAGATTCAAGATGAATCATGGGTTTGCACAGCTTGTGGAGAGAGACGATTTGCTTTTGATGTTGAGCATGCAGTGGAATCTGAGCGCATATTACCTGTTGGTACAACGACATAGGAACAAGCTGCGGATGAATGAGATACGATGGATGAGCCCGGCGGAGCATGATTGCTAGCTATCACACACAATACTCGAGACATTGTCTTTGACAGAAACATCGTATCAACTAAGAGTCTTTCTGCTGAGTCAGGCATCATCACACGGCCACTTAGTGAATGCAACGCTGTTAGTGTTATGTATGTACATGCATAGGCGCGTGTAAGTGAAGATCTCCCACCCTTTTCCGCAGATCAGCAGGTCGGACTGGAGCAGACTGCCGATTACGTGCATACGAGCTTTTGAAGCACTGGGCCGTGGTACAAGAAAAATATCCCGGGTGGGAGTTCTTAGGCGATATGCAGGCCTGGTGTTGTGACCCGTTCTCAAGGGCGGACAGGGCGGAGAAAGCTGCAGTTGGGGGAATTTTTGGGGGGCGTGTGTGTGTAAGGGCGTTTGCGGTGCTGTGACGACATGTGGGAATCCGATGCAGCAATCCCTAGGGGTTTGGAGGCTTTTCAAGATAAAAAATATGAAGCGTGGTTCGTGTACAAGTACGTATGGGGACTATGTATCACCAGCGATGAAAGGGAGTCAATAAAGGGAGAAGGGAGCAGACAAACAATGACGACGATGCTCCATCGAGGCAGTGATATTGCTGGTGGGGTGGGTGGGAGGGCCATGTTTTGGTTGAGATGGGGCTGCCGGAGGGAGGCAAAAAGAGGGTGTGAACGACTGGAGCCTTGGACTTTACGAATTAATTGGCTTATGCTGGTTGGCTGCTCGATGCAACACAAGCACAGGATATACGCAAAGGAGGGAGGTTGAATGATGGTGGTGTTGAGCTCGGTGTGTGGAGGTGGCGGGCCTACCCTGGAACTGGATTTTGCATCACCTTTTTCCTCTTCGTTTTTGCCCCTTCCGTCAGCTACGAGTACGTGCTAAGCTATCATCACCTCTGCCTAGTCGCCTCTACTAGTCCAACCTGGAGTGCAGATACAAGGGGCAGCTGTGGAATGAAGTGCGTAATAATGGATCGCAGAGGCCCAGCTCTTAGCGGCTTGTTCCAGGCGGCTATTCACACGATAGGCTGGCGAGTGGCCTGGCAGTCTCTTTGAGGTTAATGCGGTCCAGGTGGTTTTTAGTGCGAGTCCAGGTACCTCTTTGCGCTGAGACGGGCAAGACAGGTGCTGGGACCCAGTGCCGGAGCACCTTGAGGTACAAGTACGTACCCGCTACAGCCTGCCTGCTGATCCACCTTTTTTTTTTTCTCCACGACTCCAAAGGCTGCATACAAGGAACCGTTTTGCCCAAGGTCCGGCATCACATGGGCTGCTGCTTTGCTGCCAATTGTTCCATCCACCACCATCTTTTCCTCTGCCGCGCTGCCTCTCCTTTGTCTGCGGCCGATATCACGCGCTCTAGAGCCTCTGCCCGCGTCTTTGATGCGCTGCTACCCTACGCGACACGCCGCGAGTCCGTCAATCGCTTCCACCCCGCGGTCCAGCGCCAGCAGTCAATGCGCGAATCGCTGCCGGCTGCCTCGACGAGTATAAGACGAGACGGGTGCCGACTCGAGAGCCTAGCTTCGGCCCGGATCCTTTTCGGCTTCTAGTTGCGACTTGGCTGCTGAGACGCTGCTTCTCCAAGCAACGGAGTCGATCAAGGGCGAGCTACAGAGGCTGTCTGAAAAACGACACATCTACCTGCATACCCATCAAGGGACAACAACAGCCCCCTTCTCTCCGCCCCCAAGCTGCACGGCAGGCCCCGTTTTAGCCTCAGGGGTAGAAGCAACAACAAAAAACGAACAACAGACTACCAACAAAAGTCAAAATGAACGGCACATCGACTTCGGCGGGGGGCAAGAGAAAAGCTCCCGAGTCGGCTCAGGCGAGCCCTCCCGCCAAGAGACCGGTCAACGGCAGCAACAAGCACGACATTGACATGGAAATGGCGGTTCCCGACATCACCGTTGACGAGATGAGCTTTGAAGAAGGCTCCGAGGCCGCTAGCGACTTGCATCCTCACGTCTACATCGGCACTCCCGGCAGCTTCGGCGAGTGGCAAGACACCATCCAAAAGGTCGTTCGCAACGTCGTCGCCATCCGATTCTGCCAGACGTGCTCCTTTGATACGGATCCTGCCTTGACGAGCGAGGCCACCGGCTTTGTCGTCGATTCAGAGAGAGGGTATGTGCTCTACTGTGCTGCTGTGTGCTTTTTGTTTTGCCTGCCCACCACGCTGGATAGGCCGTGAATCTATGCCAATCAGACAATTGGGTAACTACCATGCTGACGTGTTGCTTGCCTTTCCTATCTAGTTACATCTTGACGAATCGCCATGTTGTCGGATCTGGTCCGTTTTGGGGACACTGCGTGTTTGACAATCACGAGGAAGTCGACTGTTACCCCGTCTACCGCGACCCCGTTCACGATTTCGGCATCCTTCGATACGACCCCAAGGCGATTAAGTATATGCATGTGGATGGTCTCACTTTGAGCCCTGACCTGGCAAAAGGTGCGTTGACCTGGCGCGTCTTGTTGGACAAGAAAAGACATGGAAGAAGGAAAATGCTGACCTATGATGGAATCTAGTTGGTACCGAGATTCGCGTCGTCGGAAACGATGCTGGTGAAAAGCTGAGTATTCTTTCGGGTGTTATTAGTCGTTTGGATCGAAATGCGCCCGAATATGGCGATGGATACAGCGACTTCAACACGTGCTACTATCAGGCCAATGCTGCTGCCAGTGGTGGAAGTTCTGGCAGTCCCGTCGTGAACAAGGATGGCTGCGCCGTTGCGCTCCAGGCCGGTGGTCGATCTGATGGCGCCTCGACTGACTATTTCCTGCCCCTGGACCGGCCACTGCGCGCGCTTCAATGCATCCAGCAGGGCAAGCCCATTACGCGCGGCGACATCCAGTGCCAATTTTTGCTCAAGCCCTTTGACGAGTGCCGCAGGCTGGGACTCAGCCCGGAGTGGGAGTCGGCGATGCGACAGGCTTTCCCTGAAGAGACCAACATGCTGGTTGCCGAAATCGTCTTGCCTTCTGGGCCCTCCGATGGCAAGATCGAAGAGGGTGATGTCCTCATCAAGGTGAACGGCGAGCTGATTACGCAGTTCATCCGCCTTGACGACATCCTGGATTCGAGTGTGGGCGACACCATCAAGTTTCACTTGCAACGCGGAGGACAGGACATTGAGGTTGACATCGTGGTCGGCGATCTTCACAAGATTACACCAGATCGCTTTGTGACTGTTGCCGGAGCCAGCTTCCACGACATCTCGTACCAACAGGCAAGGCTCTATGGCGTAGCCGTCAAGGGAGTTTACATCTGCGAGGCTGCAGGATCTTTCCGGTTTGATAATACGGACAACGGATTCATCGTGCAGTCTGTAGACCAGAAGAAGGTACCAGATCTGGACACGTTCATCGAAGTGATGAAGCAGATTCCCGACAAGGCGCGGGTGGTTGTCACTTACAAACACCTGCGCGACCTGCACACGCTCATCACGACCGTCATCTACGTCGACAGACACTGGTCGGCCAAGATGAAGCTGGCTGTTCGCAACGATGTCACTGGCTTGTGGGACTTTTCTGACCTCGCTGAGCCTCTGCCGCCCGTGGCCCCTGTTCGGCGGTCCGCTTCGTTCATCGAGCTGGACCACATGCCGCACCCCGGCATCGCGGCCTTGATCCGCAGCTTTGTCCACATCAATTGCACTTTGCCCGTCAAGCTCGACGGCTTCCCTAAGAACCGACGCTGGGGCATGGGCCTTGTTATTGACGCTGACAAGGGCCTTGTCCTCATTTCTCGAGCTGTGGTTCCGTATGATTTGTGCGACATCACCGTTACTATTGCCGACTCCGTTATCGTCGAGGGCAAGGTCGTTTTCCTGCACCCGCTGCAGAACTACACCATCATCAAATATGATCCCGCCTTGGTGGATGTGCCCGTCATGAGCGCCCGCCTCAGTGATCAGCACCTCACCCAGGGCGCCAAGACGTACTTCTTGGGCTACAACAGGATAGGGAGAGTTGTCCATGGATCCACCAACGTGACGGAGATCACAGCGGTTGCCATCCCCGCCAACTCGGGAGCACCACGTTATCGCGCCGTCAATGTAGATGCCATTACCATCGACAGCAACCTCGGGGCGTCGTGTGGCAGTGGTGTGCTGGTTGCGGAAGACGGGACCGTGCAGGCCCTTTGGCTGCAGTATCTGGGAGAGCGCTCCCCGAGCACTCAGAGAGACGAGGAGTACCATCTGGGTCTGGGTACGCCAACTCTGCTACCAGTCATCTCGGCCATCCAGAAGGGAGAGACGCCGAAGCTGCATATGCTGTCGGTAGAGTTCCGATCCATCCACATGTCGCAGGCGCGCGTTATGGGCGTCTCGGACGAGTGGATCAACAAGGTTACACAGGCAAACCGGTCTCACCACCAACTGTTCATGGTTAGCAAGAGGGCATTTGAGCGGGTTAACCAGCCGGTAACCCTCATGGAAGGCGACGTGGTGCTAATGCTCAACGGCAAAATCTGCACCACCATTTCCGACTTTGACGTGATGTATTCGAACGAGGTCCTGGACGCCGTCATTGTGCGAAACTGTGAAGAGCTACACCTCCAGCTGCCGACGGTTACTGCCGACGACATGGAGACGCACCATGCCGTGTCGTTTTGCGGAGCCATTTTCCACCGCCCGCACCTGGCTGTTCGCCAGCAGATTAGCAAGCTTCACAGCGAGGTGTATGTGTCGAGTCGAATCCGTGGCTCTCCTGCCTACCAATACGGAGTTGCGCCGACCAACTTCATCACACATGTCAATGGCGAGCCGACGCCGGATCTGGATTCCTTCATTGCGGCGACGCGGAAAATTCCCGATAACACATGTAAGTCACTTTTTACTTTTATTGTTTTCCTTTTTTACTTTTGGCATCTTGTTCAAGGCCGATCTAGAGCTGACACAATTTGCATCGCAGACTTCCGTCTCAAGGCCGTCACATTTGACTCGGTGCCTTGGGTGATTACAATGAAGAAGAATGACCACTACTTCCCTACCATGGAATGGATCAAAGACAGCAACGAGCCCTGCGGCTGGCGTCGGGTGACGTACGAGGGCAACCAAGTCTTTGAGGGAGAGGCGACCGATGGAATCCCAACGGTTGCCGGCAATGCCGAGATGGAATAATTTCAGACACCAATCCACGGGCTATGGACGAGCTGATGAAAGGATAGCTGGGATAAGGGTATGCATGATGACGGAACTGTAAAAAAAAACACACACACAACACACACATGGATGGGCAAACGGGTCAATATGGGCGTTTAACGGCTATGAAGGATTTCACATGGGAGTTTTCTTGAGCTGTTTCTTCTTCTTCTTCTTCTTCTTCTTCTTCTTCTTCTTCTTCTTCTTCTCTTTTTTCTCCTCTTCTCCCTCTTCTTCTTATTACAATTACGGCATTTGTGGCATCTTAGAAGGAGGATTGGGGGTTGGACTTGGTGGAGTGATTTCTCTCGACACTAGGCCGTCGGCAGAAGAGCAGCAGTCTGTGGGGACTCACTGCATACCTTGGGTTATTACACTACAAACTTACTGGATTATTGGTAGAGACGTGGGAGTGGGAGTGTACAGCATGATGCGTGTACAGAGAGAGGCTGTTTGTACCCGTAGAATAGTATCACGTCGAGTAGTTTTTGTTTGTCTACTGCTAACCAACCACGGTATGCCTTCTGTATCTCTCCAACCCCCCTACATACACACACATGAGAGACATGCATTGCATCATCCAACCGGCATCATCTCAGACCACCAGATGCAGCACTAGATGCAGCGTGCCGGCTAGTCCTATCACGGCTCACCACGTAGAGACTGCTCCTATCGGGTGCTACCAATGGTGTTGAGGTTGGATGCAGGTTCATGAGAAAAGGGAAGTGTTTGAGTAGCGTGCGGGTCCAAGTGTAATTAATAAGTAAGTAGCAGTACTGGCAACTAAGACACTGTGCCATTGTCTTTAGTACCTGGTATATCGTGTGTGTCGTTTTAGTTCTGGTTCATTGTTGTCTTTATGCTGTCTTTATGCTATAACACCAGTCTATCAATGGAATTGAAGATCCGAGGGGTTCGAGTTGATCAAATGCTTTTGAAGGCCCCGCAACAACCAAGTGGGCTACAATTGAAGACCAGACAGACACTAACTGTCAAGGCTTAATAGCGGGTACGTTGTAGGCTAAGGCTCAGGTAAGGCTAAGGATGGATGGATTAGCTGCTAGCAGGTACCTTGAATTGGCACTGGAGCGGACCACCAGTGACGTTTTGTCTCAACATGCCTCCAGAAGCTCCGGTTTGGTGTCTGCCTACTTCGTACCTCCAGGCACTCCTTGATTTAATCCTGCTGCCTCAGTTTGCCCAATTCTTGATATAAAATCGCCGGCTTGATACTCTCTCGTTGTTCTCATCATCATCATCCCTTTCCTCTCTATACGATATCCTCTTGAATTCCCGTCCAACCGAAACCAGGAATCCTCCGCGATGCCCCTCGCAGCGACCTGGCTGGTAAGTCTTGATTTCTGATTTCAGTCCATCTTATGAACCCCGCCAGCTCCAGTGACGCAACCCGCAAGAGCTGAGCTGAGCTGACGTTGCAATGACCATGGCTACAGACCAAGCTCAAGGTCCAGCTGAAGCTCGCCATTGCGCGCCTGCGCATGGTGCAGCAGCGGGATGAGCAGCTGGGCAAGACGCAGCGCCGGGCCATGGCGCAGCTCCTCGAGGCGGGCAAGGTCGACTCGGCAACGATCCGCGTCGAGAACATCATCCGGTCCGACATCACGAGCGAGCTTCACGAGCTGTTGGAGCTGTACTGCGAGCTGCTGCTTGCGCGGGCCGGCCTGATGGAGGGGACCGTGTGCGACCCGGGGCTGGAAGAAGCCATCAAGAGCATCCTCTATGCGGCGCCCAAGACAGAGATCAAGGAGCTCATGACGGTGCGGACGCTGCTGGCAGAGAAATACGGCAAGGAGTTTGTCCTCGCGGCCATGGACAACGCAGACGGCAAGGTCAATGAAAAGGTGGTCAAGAAGCTGAGCGTGGAGGCGCCGCGACAGGAGCTGGTGACAGGCTATCTGGAGGAGATTGCAAAGGCGTACGGCGTCGATTGGCCCAAAAGGGAGAGAACGATCACGCCGCCACCCCCGGATCTGCTGGACGATGATGAAGACGTGGACGGCGGCGATCCGTCGGGTGGACAGGCGCAGAAGAACGATCTGACCAAGCCTCTAACGGCAGCGGAGAGGAAACTCTCGCTGGGCGAGGAGCAGATGGACCGGGCCACGCCGCCGAGCGCGAGGCTGGGAGAGCCCAAGAGCCCGCTGATGGTGACGCCGCCGCGGATGACGACGGACAATGTGCACCCGAAGGTGATGATGGGGTCCGTGGAGCTCAAGAGCAAGAAGGAAGAGGTGGCGCGGAAGAAGGAGCCGGAAGGGTCAATACCGGACATTGGGGATCTCGAGAGGAGATTTGCGGCGCTGAAGAAGAGGTGATGTTGTGGTGGTGTGCTTGTGTGCTTGCGATGTGACATGAGCCCGGGAATTACAGAGCAGCGAAAGCATTTCAAGGGCACATACATGTGTGTGCGCGCGCGTGTGTTTACACGAGTTTGTATGCGTCTAATACCATCAATACCAGAACCATAGCCATACCATAACTACAAACTACACCATGTAGGTACCAACTGAAGTTACTTGTACAACTGCTTTCGAGTTGCATTTTGCACTCGTATCTGATGCTGTGTCGACGACGTTGTGTTTCTGTTGCTCATTTATACAATCCTTGCCCCCCATGACGGCCTCAGCAGAATTGGTACAACCGAATGGGTACAGGTACCAGCGTCATCCAGCATAGGATTTGTTGTGCTGTTTTTTTTATTACCCGTCTCCTCCTCTTTTTCTCCTCCTTATGCCGGCCTGCTGCTTCGGCGCGATTCGGACCAGTCACGGGCATTGGCTCTTGTTACACAGCAGATTGCCAATCCGGCTGGGCATTATTTAAGGTGCCAGCGTTGTCGTGCGTGCTTCCGTCGGGTTTCCCTTCCCTCCTCTTTTTTTTTTTTTTTTCCCTCTTCTTCTTCTTCTTGTCATCGTCTACTTCGCAATTCCAGCTTGCTTTGTTTTTTGTCGAGTCTGGTTGTTTTGCCTTATCTTGCCTTGCCTTTGCAATTGGCGACGCATCTCTTTGACGGCTGAGACTCCGCTCTTTGGCTTTTTTTTTTGTCCGTCAAATTGCAAGTACTCACTCTCGCTCTTCTTGCTGGGCATTTTTGCTGCTGTTCATTTCCTCGTCTGTCTGTATGTCTGCCAGTTGGCACAGCTGCATGTTTGGCTTTGCCAGAACTTGCCAGCTGCCAGCCGTCTCCATGTCACCTCACGTGCTCGTGCCAGCAGAAAAACATGAAGAAGAGAATCTGCAAGCTTCTTTTCTCTTCTGCCTGGCCTGCCTCACCTTCTTCGCCGTTGTTTCGCTTCTGATCAGCTACCTCGAGGCGTACAAACGGAGACTCGTCAAGTTCCTCCTCATCCCCTTTGCGGCTCTTCAAGAGGGTGAAGAAGATGATGACGAGCATCTTTCCCGTCATCTAACGCAGCAAAATCCCAATCACGTTGATTATTTCCATCAATTTCAATCTGGTCACTACAAATACGACAACCCCTTCGGTATGTCTGCGTCAAAGTTCGCCATGGAGACTGACAGAGACGTGCTCTACCACGCTCAAGTTACTCTGGGCTGTAACGGTCTCCGTGATCTCTACAACCTGGGTTTCATGCGTCAAGACACTTTGGAGAGGCGAATCAAGGCTGCCGGCAACCGCATCAATTTGAACAGCACTGTTTCCCTCTGTGCCGTCTGGCTTCGCGAGAAGATTGGCCGCACCTTTTCCACCGCTGGCACGTTGCCTTCACTCAAGGGTCTCTGTCTCTTCCTCGAGCGCAGAGGCTGCACGCGAGACATGTGCTGCCAAATATTATACGACGCCTTTCAGAAAGTTGACCCAAGCCACGCGGACCAGGTCTCGCTGCGAGTTGACACCAGCGTGGTGCTGACGAGCTTCCGCGCTGTTGTCGACCACATCTACGACCACTGGTATCAATGGCTTGACGAGTCGGAGTCGCCAGCAGATGTTGTCGAACTTGAACCAGACCAACCAAAGAACGATGATGGCGGGTTGTCCTATCCTGCCTACAACCACAATCTGGAGATGTTGTCGCCAGCTGAGCATAACCTTTACCTCGTCGAAAGCCTTGAGCAGCTTCACAAAGGCCACGATCATCATTCCATTCGCGACAATGACGATGCTAAACGCGGAGCCAAAAGACGTCAACACCCTGGACACCGCGCGCCCTTTGATCTCGGACAGGCTAGTTCATGGGGCTCTGAGCCCAACCAGTCTGACAAGTGTGCCACTCGATTGCAAGATTGCGTGTGCAAGGAATGCAGTATCATAGGTTGGCTTTCCCATTCTGCTGGTGAACTCCTCATAACCACGGACGACATAGATATTCCTGAAGAAGAGAGATTCAGAGCTCATGAAAAAATGGTCATGAATCCTCAACGAGCTGCTTTGCTGGTCAGCACTTGCCCCGTCGTCGCGGCAAACAAAGCTGGTAGCAAGACCACTCAACCGCATGTCCTCCTTAACATAGAGACTGACAAGGAATCGACGTCTGATCTAATCATGTTTTCTAGCAGCTCTGGAACTGGTGGACTCGGACCTGTTCATGCCAAGGGCCGTTTGTCACCTTAGGAAGATGTAAGTTTGCCCCCCCCCGTCTGTTTGCCTTCGCTAAGCAGCATGTTTGCTAACTACTGTGGCTGTTGTTAGGATCTTGACGGCAGAAAAGGAAAGGAAAGTATGGATGCGGAAAGTGTGACTTCGTGGAATGTGATCAATGCTGAGAACATTGACGATGGCATGGAAGAAGTTGATCGTTTCTTAGCAGAACTTGATGCTTGTACTGAGGGAGGAGCGCAGAATCAAGGCATGGCATCGCAAGCTCAAGACGAGGCTCGCAAACAGCAAAACCGGGACAGCGCACCTATTATGGAGCAACCTCTGCTCGACAGTGCTCCAGAGTTGGGCAATGAACAAGGCTCTGTACCAGCAATCATGTCGGATCTTCACTTGGGTGTTGGCAACAAGCCGGTCCACGGGGACCCCTCGTACGACCCTATGGTCCAGGATTTGTTTGAAGGCCGAAGCAACCTTCGGATCCAGAAAGCAAAACGTCTTACGGCCCTTGAGATGTGGGATATTGTTGATGGCACAACCTCGAACGATGACCATTAGCCTTTGCAGCTGGCATAATTACGTGCAGTGAGTTCTCTGTTGCGAGTCCGGCGAGGGTAACGGCTGTTATTCATGATTTTTCCTTGAGTTGATGGAAATTCGGCCCCAGGTTTACTTTTTATCGGTTGCAAGTGGAGGAGATTGATTTGTCAGGGATTTGCTTGGTCGGCTATTAGGACACTCTCTCAGATTGTGATGTGGAAAAAAGTAGACCTGAATAGGTACGCAGAACTGAATCTACAGTCTACCCAATGATGATGCTTGACTCTCTCCTCTCGTGATGTGTTATTTGGTCTACCGATAGCATGATGAATCTCCTACAAGATTAATTATTTTAAACAAGCAGTGCTGCTCGCCCATAGTATGAATTCAGGATGAAGAGGAAGAGTACACGGAATTGAGGAATAGGTGAGCACCACTACTACCAATGTATTAATTAGGGAGTAATTTGAAGAAGAAGACAGCGGCGCAACTAGGCCGATGACTGCCATTATATTCCTGTTGCTCCAATTTGATCTCCAAGACGCCCAAAACGCCAATGCTTTAATCCTCTGCGCTCTGCACTATGCACGCATGTATGCGCTCTGCTAGATTGCGATTCAAACCAAAAGATCAAGTCCAATCAATGTTCCCCCGTCTGTGACAACTCCGAGCCGCGAAATGGATATATGTGTACAATCGGCAATCGCTTCCGCCCATTCCGCTTCTCTTCACCAAGAGCAAAAGGGAAGCATAGGGGGAAATTATGGCGCCAGTAAAAACGAGTATAAAAAAAGACGCGTCTCCCGCGCGCTACTCCAGCTTATCCAAATGCTCCAGCCGCGTCAAGACGACCTGCTTACTCGTCTCCTCAATCTCGCCGGCAAGAAAGACCTCATCCAGGATGGCGTAGACCTTGTAAAAGTTGAAGACGAGGTCGAGCTCGCAGACGTTTCCGAAGAAGGCGTCGAGGACCTCGACGAAGAAGTGGATGGCCTCGAGGAAGGCGAGCTCGTTGTCGTTTGTGTCGACGCAGGCGCAGAAGAAGAGGCCGGCGTAGCGGCGGTAGACGATCTTGTTGTTGCGGAACTCGACGAAGTTGGACTGGTACTTTTGGTCGCGCGGGGCGACGAGGCGGTGGACCTCGCCCTTGAGCTTGATCTTCTCGTCGTCGCTGTAGGGGGCGTACCACTTTGCGAGACGGGTTTTGCCCCTGGAGAGAGAGAGAAGAGAGAGAAAGAGGTTAGTTTTGGTGAAGTAGGGCGGGCTTTTTTCTGTTGAGAATTGATTTTGCGCGGATGCGCGTTGGAGTGTAGGAATGGAGGGAGGGAGGAAAACTTACTGTCTGTTCTGGATGAGGATAAAGGAGAGCATGATTGGAGTCGGGGAGTGGGAATTGGACCGTATAGGGGACGGGGCTGCGATGGGATGGCGGTTTGGTGTTTTTGGGAGGTTTGAGGCGCTTCAGGGCAATTTAGAGCGTTGCAGCGCTTAGTCGATCGCGGGGCCGGAGCGCACGGATGGCATTGGGCGCGGGCCGAAAAAGGGCAGTGGGACTTGAAGAATTGCAGTGGATAGATTTTGAGGGATGGATATGGAATAGTAATTGGATTTGATGGCCAAGTTGTTTTTATTTTATTTATTTTTTAGAGACGGGATAACGAGGTTGGACATTGTTTAGGAGATTTGACATGGAGAAAGAGCATGTGTAAGTGGCTTATTGAGATGGGTGCTGGGCCTAGGTAGAGAATAGCCACTAACAGGCTTAATGCTGCTACCTATTGTCTAAGAGCTCACGCCGCTGTGTGTTAGTGAGATTTGTAACAATACAGACACATCCATCGCATATTACCGACAAGAGCAAGAAAGAGTCAAAAAGAGAAAGAAAAAAAGAGACTCCATGACAAATCAATCGTACCACTTATTGTCGAGAAATCCCCACCTGTATTAAGCATGTCCGGATAACGCTGCCGGATTCCACACGTTGACTCGTACTCGCACCATATATGACGGGAGTGGCTATCTTTGATATATCTCGTAGCTTATGCGACGCCTAATAGTAAATAAAGTAAAGATCAATACACACTGTCTGCTACTACCTTAGTATGTATGATTACATGTATATATACTTGCATACGTTTCTAGAGCAACACATTGCTGGCATGAATACAGCATTGGCCACCTTAGGGGGCTCCTTATCACCATGGAGGGCAATCAATAGAATCCATTGTCCCTCTTCCATAGGGATCAATCGCTCTAAATTACTGCCGATTGCAGCGCTATCAGAGCAAATGCTGTCACCCTGCTCTAGCGCAATGCCCCACTGTATTTAGGACATCTGGTGGCCTTTTGCTGTTGCTGTTATAGTCGAGCTAAACCCCAATGCCGTCGAGCTCAGTGGCCTGATTGATCCAGCTTTTCGGATCTTTTCCCTTCCTGCCTCGTAGATCAACGACTCCTTCCCTCTGTGGAAAAGAAGCAGTGCATGACCTCTCGCCGATTGCCGATCTCGCCAAACCTGATTTTCTTCCATCCTTTAAGTCTCAGCCCATTCACGGGATACCAATTGGCATATAATTGATTGATTCGCCTCCTCTCCGCCTTTTCCTCGTCTCTCGTCTCTCTTCCCTCCTCCGCTGGGCTCGGGATCCAATTGAAAGCTCCATATCGATAGCAAAATCACAGATGAAGCCCCGGCCCTGGCAACCTCCTGCAGCCATCGTCAGCTAATCAGGCACACCCTCGCAATCCTTCATCGTCTTCCCGAGAGACTTCCGGTCACCTCTCCGGTCTGTCCCGGCTCGATTCTAAGCGACAGGCACTCAACAGCAGCTCAACAGCAGCTCAAAATCAGCCCAGAGCCTTTGGACCAAGGATAATGTGGTTACGGAAGCAGAAGCAACTCTACTCGTCATGGCAATGGCAAAGCTCCTACGCAGGGCCGTCACCCTGATTTGGGGCGACTGCGGTACCAAGGCCCTTTGGCAGCGCATTCTCAAAGATTTCATAGCCTGTATTATTGCAACCATTATTGCTATTCTCCCACAGCTCAAGAGCTGGTCTACCTTCCTTATACCAATGGTTGTTGCCTTTGCACACCCTGGTCAACGGATGGGCGTCGTCATTGAGAACATCATCATGATCATCTTTGGTTCAGGCTTAGGCTTATCATGGTGTATGCTGGGTTTATATTTGGCGAGCTTGGTCTACGATACCAACAAGCCTGCTGCTTTTACTATCCGAGCTCTCTTCTATCTTGCATGCACTTTACTCCACGGCTACCTGAGATCATCCACTCCTCGACTGTTCTTATTTGTCTTGTTCGTCATCCTGCCCGCCATCACGGTGCTCACAGCACCAACCGTGGCAACGCCTCATCTGTATACTACAATCTATGTGCCAATCCTTATTGGCGTTGGAGTCATGTTTTTCGCCAACGTCGCCATATTCCCAGAGTTTTCTAGCAGCTATCTGGGTACCTCTACCATCAGTGCCCTCTCCGAAATGGTTGACACGCTGGAGCGAGCCACACACTGGTTTGTCACTCCCGGAGGCGATCGTATCGAGTCTCAAATCCAGAGCAGTCTTTTCAATATCCTCGTAGCTAATGAGAATGGCACAAAGCCGCAGCAGCAGCAGATGGGGAAAGTCAAGCAGCTCGCTATCCGCTGCTGGTGCAAGTTCTCTGCTCCATTCCCTAACCCCTTTCTACCGGCCACCTCTGTTGCAACACCGTCTAGGCCACCACTGCATGCGACCACACTTGCGTCCTTGACGGAGAGGAAGCCCATAATTCGATCGAAACTTACATCGTGCAAAACCGCTCAAAATGAAGTCAATTTTGAGATATCTATCTCACCCCTTGCCCCAAGCGACATGAAGCCCATCAGCGTTGATCTCATGAGCCATCTTTCACAGAGCATCATTACACTCATTGGCGCCTGTGAAAACAAATTCATTGTCCTTGATGACGATGGCCTAGAAGAGAGCGATTTAGCGACTGACGATGATACCGTTCAATCGCCTGGGTGTCAGAATGCCTTCGATGGATCTGCCACGCCATCGTCCAGCGTTCCAGAAGCGAACCTCAGACTCAACTCTGGCGCGAGATCTAGATCAAGAGTGAGAAACTCAATCGACCCGTCGAGAGTTGGCTCGAGTAGAGTCGACTACATCACGCTGAATAGGCAAATTGAACTGAGTAGCGCCAAACTTCTCGAGTCAATTGTCATGCGGTTACGTGCCCCTGTACAAGAATTTCAGGCCTCTACAAATGAAGCAGTGGCTCTACTGATTTCTTGCTTGGCATATTGTTACGATGTTCCCACTCTACCCTCTGGTGCTCCTACCCCTCGAGGCATCCGCTTGGAGGAGATTGACCTACGAATCGACCTCTTCACGGACGCGTTGACATTGTTCGACCAACAATCAACCGAACAACTGAAGCTCATCGCCATGCAAGAGACGGGCCTGTCGCTCGATTTCATGCCTCGGATGGAGACTTTTCTCATCTCGTCGTTCCTTCTGGCCTTTCGCCAATCCTCGACTCACATCTTGAAAATGCTACGCCATGCTCGTCAATTGGTAGAGCAGAGACAACGCCGTCACAACAGGTCGCGCATCTGGATTCCTCACTATTCAAGTCTTCGGAGGTGGCTACGTACCGCCGGAGAGCGTGATTCAATGGTTCTACCAGAAGGTGCGCGGCAAGCTGCACGTCGCGGAGATTTGGTTGGCAACGGCCCGCCAGTTTCCGAACGCAAAGGCTCTGGCGATATTCTTGATAGTGAAGAGCAACAGAGGGGGGGAGCGTCTGATGAGGAAGCGGGTTCTACAACTGCCTCTCGAATTTCAAAAGCGTTGAGATATAGAAAGACCAATAACAAAAAGAAGGAGGAAAAAAGTGAAAAGCATGTACGGTCCAAAAAGAATGGTAGGAGAGAAGAAGACGTTCCTGATAGTTGGGCTTTGAGGCTTCGAGGAAAAGCGGCAGATGTACTGGAGTGGGCTCAAGATTCCGATGATCTTGCCTATGCACTGAAGCTGTCTTTTGCTGTCTTCCTTGTCAGCTGGCCGGCCTTCGTGCCATCCTGGAACGCATGGTACGGGGATGTCCACGGTGTTTGGGCCCCGCTGCAGTTGATATTCATATTTGAAGTGGCCATTGGCACGTCCTTGGTTACCTTTGCTGTTCGACTCATTGGGCTTGTCCTTGGCTGCACCGCTGGATATGTCTCATTTGTTATTGCAGGGGGCAGCAGGGCAATCACTGTCGTGGTTCTCGCTTTTCCGCTGCTGCCTTCTGCCTATATCCATGTCGCAACAAAATACGTCAAAGCTGGCGCAGCAGCCATTATATCGATAAATGTCGTTGCTCTGGGTAAGTCTTGCCACCCTCTCCGATCATTCTCATTCTGTTTCTGACAATCTCTATCAGCGTCGGCGAATATCAGTACAGAACCGCCGCATGAGGTCTACTATAAGCGCCTTATAGCTTTTATAGTCGGAGGTGTTACCGCTACATTGGTAGAGGTGTCGATTGCCCCTGTGCGTGCAAGAGATCGTTTGGTTGAATCTTTGTCTGCCTGCGTGCGGCATATCCAGAACATGCAGGGCGCCATGTCCGTGGGCGTTGACGGACCTGAAATTGTTGATCCTCGCTCTCCAAAACTGCAACGCCGTTTTGACAGATGGCGCGAAAAGGCTCAAGCCTCACTTGCGGCGGCCGAGATGTTTCTCCCGTTTTGTTCCTCTGAACCCCGCCTAAAGGGTAGCTTTAAGAAGCTCGCGCCCATATACACTGAGATTGTGTATGTGCTTCATCAGATCATTGATCGGATGGATAACGTCGTACAGCTCCGAAGGGCTTATGGCTCCTCTGTTTTAGAGGCACTGAATCCACAAGCTTATACATATCGACGGAGCATGGCGGCAAGCTGCACCCTAATGTTGTTTTCCGTCAATGAGGCATTGACAACTTGGCTCCCGCTCCCGCAATTCATTCCCTCGGCTCGTGTAGCGCACCTGCGGCTGATACATCGGGTCCGTGAGATTATCACATCGCAAGCAACGACATCGGCTCCGGTAACGCCAACAGTAAGCCATGGTAGTCATTGCAGGAGTGCGAGTGAGTACGACGACCAGGCAAATGAGAAGATAGCTCGTTTGATTACCAAGCATAACTTCCTCTCTTGGAATGCTAGCGCTGCTGGTCAGATGGAAATCGTCGAGTATCTTGAAGAATTGGTCGAGCTGGTCAAGATGCTAGTGGGAGTTAATGCATTTCGCTCGGGAATGTTGGAGAAGCCAAAGTATACACACTATGTGCAGACGAAGGATTCTCGCCAAGAGTCTCCAATCATGGCTCCTTCAACTGCATCTAGCGGATCGTCAACAGCTCACCAAAGCAGCATTGCTCTGCAGGAAGAGACGGGAGAGATACGGGATTTCGCTCTAAGACGAATTAACTCTGTTGCTGCTCGGTATGAGACAGCAAATCAGAGACCGCGAGGAGATGCTGCGACACGGCCTACCCGCAGAAGAGAGAGTACGTATGAAGAAGATCTAGAGGAGGTGCCTGTCAGCTTGTTGAGGGTCAACTCTCGACTTTGGCAGGGCAATCAAACTGCCAGAAGGAAATCACAAACAATGACCAGCATGCGATGAGAGTGCACAATTAATGTTGGGTATGAATAACGGATAGAAAGAAGGAGGGCGTTTTGTTTATTTGTTCTTCTACTTGGTTGAAAGAAGCGAGCGGTTGTCTTATTTATCTGGCTCAAGCTGTTTTTGCATAACGAAGCGAACACTCATAACGCAGCTGCTGAAAGACATCAACAGATTTTATTTGCGAGAGGATTATGAAGAAGTTATGCAGCATCTACGCATGGACAGTGTGGAGTCCATATTGAAAGAGATGAATCTTCCAATGTCACGATTGAGCGTTGGCCTTTTCACACAACGCATTTTAGAATACAAACGTAATAATAGTGCAATTAATCAGGCATTGTCGGTCTCTAATAGAGGACGAGATAAGCGACGAGCCAACTATAACTCTCGAAAAATGAAACAGTTCAGACATGCCATCGTTAGGCCAAAAGGCCAAAAATCGTCGATATCCATTCGTCTCAGTCCTTTCGCAACCGATCCTTATGCTTCGTTACTTGTTGACGGCGAAGACAGCTTTCGAACCTTCACTGAAATATAGTATATATATATATAATACCGATTGTGGAACTCAAAACTCCGTATTGAAACCGAAACCAAAAGAAAAAAAAAAGAAGATGGTGATGACCAAAAGAAAACAGATATTGGAGCGTTAAGGAAAAAAGAGGAGAAAATAAGACAGAAGACCAAGAAAAAGAAGAGGCGGAGGAAAGAAATCCGGATTCAAATAATGTTGAGACTCGTATGCTGTGCCAACCTTGTGCCGTTAAGCATAGCACGCGACTTCTTGGGTCTCTGCTGAAACCGTCGGAAAGCTTCTTGGACGTGTCTCGGCTCGATTGGCGAACGGCCCTCGCTGGGGGGGTCGAAAAGGCCCTGCTGGTGCTTGCGCTTCTTGGTTGGACCGGAATCGCCACTGCTGGCGCCGGTCTGGGCGCGCGAGATGTCCTCCTGCTCCTTGACCTTGAGGGCGACCTCGGTCAGGGTCTGGACCATTTCAAAGGTGAGGAAGCCGAGGATGTCGACGATATCGTCCGACGGCTTGCTGTCTGTGACGACGCCGAAGCCGGCCCACTCGCGGAAGCGCTTGCCCTTGCGCCAGGTGAAGGATGCTTGACGATATTCCGACCACGTCACGTATTCCTCGCGGGTCATGGCTTTTGTGCGCTCGTCAGCCTTGCGCAGCCGCTGAAGCGTGATGTAGTTCATTTCCTCTTCTTCCTCGTCCTCCTCGTCGTCGCGCTCGGGGACCTCGACTGAGTAGAAGGATGACGGATCCCAAGGGAGGCCGACCTTGGCTTTCTTGTTCTTCTTGGCTGCCTCGTCTACGGGGCCTCCAGGGACTACGCCACCGACGGCATCATCACCGGCGGCGATGTCTGCGTCTGCACCCTTGTCGTCAGAGTCCTTGACGTTTTTGCGAACGTCCTTCCAGGAGAGAAATGTGCGGAGACGAGATACTTTGGCGTGATCGTGGCGGATTTGGAAGATGAGGTCGTTGGTGCTGATGGACTTTGAGCCACGCCGGGCGGCAAGCTCAGTGCAGTTGCGCAGCTGGGAGAAGAGAGTGAGTTGGATGGCTTGTTAAAGAGGAAGAAAAGGAGAAGCATACTAGTTCAATGACCTGCTGCCGGACGATATCTTCGATGATGCCAGTGGTTTCGACGGAGGGTTCTGCGGTTTCGCCAGAGACGTACATCATCTGTTGGAAAGTGTCAATGATTATGGCGCGTCTGGAAAGGCGAGATAGATATCCGGATCTCATTCGATATCTTTGCCCATTCACGTATGCATATTCACTGAATCCCATGATGAGGAACGGGCAAGGCTAGGTGCCTTGGGGACGATCTGGGAAGTGAAGAGTAGGTGAAGGGTAGGTGAACAGAGAAGTGAAATGGTGAATAAAGCAGAAATTTCAGCTGAGATTGTGCAGTTTGTGTCAAATGGTGTTGGCTGAGCTTGCCACTTGGCAGCAGCGCGATGAGGCCGCAAGACCAGCATTGCCAGGTGTTGAGCGGTGGTCGGGTTTGTATGAGGGTGCGGGACAAGATGAGATGAGATTCTCGTGGCGATGAGGAGTCATGAAGGAAGCGGTAATAAAAAAGAACCGAAGATGGCTTTGAGTTGCTTTCTGAGAAGGGGGTAATGAGATGCATATATCCAGATTCCCCTTTTTGTTCGCCTCGTGCCAAATGGCTGAGATTATCAAGTAGATACGCTCAGCCAAAGCGTATAGGCATGAAAGGAGAGGTTACACTTCGTGTGTAAGTGATATATGGCCGGCCATGATGATAGACGCAGCGACGATGACATGTAAATGCTCATTATCAAGTGCTGAGAATGAGGGCCCCTCAGACTTCTGAGACTCATCGCTTCTCGGAAACCCCAGGTGAAGAATGAAAGAAAGCAGAATCTCACCTGACTAATCTCCTGGCGATATTTATACGCCTTCACAGTACTTGACTCGGCCATCTTTGCAGGTTCTCCCAATAAACGATTTCCTTCTCTTTCTGTCGAGGATCAGGTCGCAACCTGCCTGTAAGCCTGCGCGTCCAAGGCAGCCTCTCTCCCTCTCCCTTGAATGCGACGCCTCAGCCTCGCTCCCTTGCCGCCCCGTCTAGCGCCGTAGGATTCGTATTATCCAAGAACCACGTGTATTAGTAGATAGATCCAGACGATTGAATAAGCAATTTGCCAAAAAATGTGCGGCCTCGCAAGGAATTGATATGCCAACCGCTGGCCGCAAAGTCGCACCGAAATCCGATGGGGGCTTGTCGGTTATAAGGGCTTCTTTATTCTAAGTCTCCAAAAAAGAAATTATAAAGAGGATGAATAAGGGTAAGCAATTGAAGCAAATCACTGCAGAGCTGGTTCGAGCAAAAGGATCCCAAGAAAATGAAACGGGCGAGGCGATGATGGAGGAAAATGATGAGAGTTTAGAAAATGAGAGGCTTGAGCGCGACACAGAGTCAGAGCCAGAGTCGTTAGCAGTAAAGTATGCTAACTGCACCCCCTAACGCAGCGCTGTCGAGTGCTAGGTGCACCCCACTTATCGCATAGCATCACGTGAGCGATACCAGCAGCTGGCAGGACTTACAGAATGTCACTGCTTGGTTCATTCCAGTGTATTTCAGTGTGTTGCAAGCAAATATCATGCTGTCTCTGGTTGGTGGTGGAGCGTTGTGGTGTATATATCGCAACTACATTTACCTACTACTCATTGTACAGTGATGAACACTAGTTGTGACCAAACCACTAAGTGTACATAAGGATGATCCTTCGAGCAGTACGGAGTATTATAGAGAGATTCATTACAAGCTGCGAGAGCTGCTACTGGGCATCGCCAGCTCTTGGGTTAGAATGACTACCTATCAAGATAAAAATCATATGCTAGCTTGGATTCCATCGGCTGAATCCAATTGCAGGTATAAAAACCATCTCTGCAGAGTTCGGCACGACATAATCTTCAACCCTATGCATGATCTGTAAGGCAGCCCGCCGATAAGCGAGAAATGGCGCATAGCAAACAAGCAAACAAGGCCAATCACCTCCAAGATTCGGCGTGACTACACCGCCGTCGCGCCATGCAACCAGGAACAGGCCCCAAAGCCAGCAACGCATTACATCATTGTACGGCAATTGTTTTTATTCAATGCCTCTCCACCCCTCGAACCCGTCTCCCCTAAAACTCCATACAACAACGTAGTGCCCGGCAAGTAATTGCCATTCCTCGATTTCGTCGAGTCCTTCAAGCCTGTCAACTCTCTCCTTCTCTTCGGCGCTTACCCACTTGCTCCACAGGCGATCGATACTCAATTGACGGGTGGTCTCAAACCCTATTTGTTTGAACCGAGCTGCTTGGTCTCCTTCGTCTCTGCGGCGATCGAGGCTGGGCATGTGAATATTCCGCGCTGCCAGGTTTGACACCATGGTATCACTAAAGGGATCTCCTAGGTGAACCGGCTCGTAGATGACGACGGAGATGTTGGGGATTCGGGAAGAGAAATACTCAAGCACGCCCTCTGATTCCTCTTGAGAGAGATAGCAGAGACAGCATTCTGATAAGATGAGGGTAGGGACGTCGGTGCGAAGGCCAGGTAGAATTTCGGTGGCTGCAGGTGATAGGCGGCGGATATCTATCCCATGGCAGAAATACTCCCCATTCAATGGCTGGCTTGACCAGCCACCCGTGTCTCCTGTTGATCGATTCGTCAAGATGCTGGCCAAAGGTGGCACTGCTTCAACCGTCTTGAGCTTTTTGGTGCTTGTTACTGAGAAGTCAATCTCATGGTAGACTAGCTGTGGATGGCCCTGTTGACTAAAGAGGCGGAAAGGCCTAGTATCGGTGCCGGCACCTAGGGATACTATCTGCCTCGTGACTCCTCCCTTTTGCTCTTCCCCGTCAGCCCCTGCAAGGAACGAGTGAACCAGGTTATCTATAGCTGTTGTGCGTGTGTATGTTCCTATAGCGGGGTGTGAGCTAAGAAATTATCCCGAAGAAAAGGGATTACGTGAAGAGAGAAGAGAGAAGAGAGAGAGAGAGCCAGCTCAGCAATAGGTACTGGCCATCGCGTGGGACACCAACCTCTGTTGATGATGGGAAACCGTCTTGCTGGTGGACCATCGAGAGCAGATACAAAATACCGCGCGTACGGGTCGCTCAGATAGCCCACATCGACGGCGCTCAATCTCGACACGGCGGCATCGGTATCGGTTCCCTGGATGACGGCATCATGGGCCTGGCCTCGAGAAGCAGCAGTTTCGGAGCCGGTTCCAAAGCCTCCGCGTCCTTGCCCCCGGCCTCGGCTTCGGCCCCGACCGCCTCTGGCCCGGAGAGAGAGAAGATTGGGGATGGATGGCGCTGACATTGAATCGCAGTCTCAGGGCATGGCGGAAGCTGGTCTGGATATAAAGTGAGGCGAATGAGCAAAAGAGTGCAGCATGGATGTATGTAAAAGCACACCCATGTAACTTGTCACTCTTGGTTTCGTGGAAAAGGTACATTACAGTAGTACATTTCGAAGTACTAGGTACCGAGTGACGATGGACGATGCCGCCCCACTCCAGCTCTTTTTGCAAGGGCAGCGGCGGGGCATCTCGTCAGCGCCTGCCGCGTGAATCGCAAGCAGTGACAAAGGAAGGAAACACGCACGATGTTTTTTACTCAGGAACGAGGAAGGGCCAGACGTCTTTACTTCGTGTTTAAGCTTAGGGGGGGGGGGGGGGGGGGGAAAGAGCAAATAGCAATCAAGTATCTCCAAGTAGATCAGCTCTCTCAGGGTTGATCAAGCTTCTCCATATAATTGCAATTCTGGTGTGTAAAAGCGCTGTCAATTAATAACGCTTTGGTGCTCTTGTCTTGAATTTTCTTGATTCTCTTTCATAAACTCCATAGAGTTTTACCCACTTACACAGGCAGCGCTTTGCCGGATCCCGAGAGACGCTGGCTCGCAAAGCTCAATCCACGAGAACAAAACAAACCTCGACGGATGCACGGGTCGATGCATTTCGCTATCAAGGCGATGCAGCAAGCCGTTGAACAACTGGAAAGCAAAGCAACTGCTCCCGTCAAAGGTACCCGAGACAACGTGATACATACAATGCAACGAAGCACCTCCGCCACACACACACACACACACACACACACACACACACACCCATCGCAAGTTTGAGACGCAACTCTCATGCAAAGCTACAGTACCAGCACACGCCAGCAATTTGTTCCTCAGCAAAGCGACGTGATTCGCGCGCGCGCCGGTAAGCAAATGAACAAGATGATTTGACAGGGCTGCTTCGGGTAAAGGCCGTGTTTTTTGGGGCCCCTTCGAATCCATAGCTTTGCAGAATTATCCCGAAGCAGAAATGGCCGAGAAGCGCAAAAAGAGACTTTTGCCGCGTACACGAGCTTTTGTCGAGACTAATACTACGGAGGTGCTAGTAGTAGGAGAGGGCCTTTGTGCCTGCCGTGGGTGGAGGGCAGTGCTGCCTAGGCCGTTTGAGCTGGGGTGTGCCTGCCAGCCCACCGCGAAATCCTGCTCTTGCCTTGGCTTTATAAACCGTCGTCGTCTCCCGACCATCAGCGCGGATTTTGGTTGTTTCTTTAGCTTCGCTCCTTTGTATTGCACTCGTAACTCTTTTTTTTTTGCAACTGGTCAAAACAAAGCAAACGTCCCATTGTGACTCGCTTCTTGTCAGCACATCCGCCGCTCGTTTCGGGTTCATTGCATACAATAAGCCCCGAGGGTTCCGTCCGGCACAATGACTTGGACCGTCTATAATGGAGGCGAACAGGTCGAGTTCCATATGCCTGTATGGGGCTGGCCTCTGATTCTTGTCAACGCCATCATCTTGCTCCCCATTTCATTCTTTGTAAGTTTTCGCTTCGATTCCGCTGTTGAGACCTACCTAAGTAAATATGTACATTTCCACTAACAACGTCTATGTATAGATCAACTACACCCTCTTCCACATCTACCCCGTCTTCACCATCATTGAAGATGAGAACCCTCCTGCCTACGAACCCCTTCCCACCAGCGGAAATGGCGTTGACGAGGAGGCCGCTGCTGGCTCTACCACCAAGCCTACTGATGGCGCCGCCCGCACAGTGACCTCTTCTCTCCGTTCCATCAACCGCCTTCTCACCTCGTATGGTGGCGTCCGCAGCAACGCGCGTGGTTTCATGTGCGCCTTCACCCAGAGCGTCCTCACAGGCATCGTCGCCTCCATCTTCTCGTGGGGTCCCGTCAAGCCCTTTGCCGAACTCCTGGCCTCCCTGGTTATGGTCCAGTTCGCCACTGCTTGGGTTCACATTGTCATCTCGCAGCCCTCTCCTCGGAGGTTCTGGCGCCGCCTGCCCCCTTTCAAGCGTGCCTTTGATGCCACCTGGAAGGCCATCGTCATTTACTGGGCCGCAACCCAGGTGCACAAGTGGGTTCCCTACCTGCTTGCCGTCCTCATTGGCTTCGATGCCCCGACCATGGACAACCTCAAGTCCGGCGGCGCTAATGACGCTCTCCGCGACGGCGACATCTCCTATCTCATCAAGGCCACCGTCTACATCCTCCTCAGCACGATGCTCTACGTCGTCGTCATCATCCCCGCCCGCGTTGTCGTCGTCCGCATCCAGGCTTCGCTCCTGCCCGAGGACGAAGACCCCATCATCCCCTTCGACCGATCCTTCGACGGTAAGGTTGAGCCCGCTGTTGTTGGTGGACTCGGCTATGCCACCATTTCCGACGCTTGGTCTACCTTTTCCAAGGCCGCCTGGCGACGCGTGGTTATCCTTTACGTCAAGATTGTGGGCATCTTCGCCTTCGTTTCTCTTTTGTCGTGGGCCATTCTTCTCCCCACCTGCCTCGCCATTATCAAGGCTGGCTCAAAGAGCACATAATTTGCTCGCCTCTGTGCTCACAATCCTTCTCATCAAATAATGATTCATGTCCACTGAACATTCATGCTGCGAGCTGGCAGATGAAACTCATTCAGCCATCACCATTTAAATGAAGCAAATAACAAAAAAAAAATACACAAGACCAAGAGATTGCACCGAGTTTCGCCTTGAACAGGCAGTAAAGGCACTTATAAGTACCTATCTATCCAGCTCCTTGTCATAAATAAGATTCTGATTTGTATCTCATGTATTTTAACTCTTTACTCTTTCATGCGTGACGTCTTTATCATATATATCCCTCCCCAGCCGCGTAACTCCAACTATAGAAATCTCTACCTGCCCCACGGCCCGTAATCTCTCTTTGCTCTTGATTCGTTTCCATCTCTGTCTTTTGCTTGCTCATTTATTGCATCTGTGCCAGGCTCTCTCATTCAAATTCTTAAACCATCAAAAAGTCATAAAAACCAGAATCCAACAGTCGTCATTCGTCGCTCTTTGATCTCGCCACAATGTATATAGCGCGGACAAACGCCCCCTCTTCATCATCCTCGTTTCGCTCTTTTTTTTTTTTTGTAGGTGTTTTTTTTGTGTGTGTTTTTCGTTCAAAATGCAGACAAGGGAGAGGGGGTAGAAGTAACAGCAAGACATATCAAAAGATACAAGGCAACGGAGGAAATCAAAAGCGGAAAAAGCCTTAACCAGCAAGTCAGCAGGGCATCTGCGTGGGAAGGAAGAGGGAAAAAGAATAAGAGAAGAAAAGTGGGTGAAAGCAAGACAGAGAGAGAATGAGGGGGTGGGTATGGAAGGTTCCAAGTGTGTAAAACCGCCTCTAGTGTACTCATAACGCCGCCCAGAGAAAGCAAAAGCGCGCAGGAAATCTACGACTTATTGAAGAACCAACTACCGCGCTTGCCGGTGGGAGTCCCGTCACCACCTTGGATCGTGGGAGTCGCAGGAGCATCGCCGCCGCCGCCACGGAGAGGCTTGGCGATGCGGCTGCCAGCATTGGTGAAGCTGAAGCCGCCGCCGGCACCGCCGAGGCCGCGGGTGCTGCCAGCTTTGGCAGCCTCAAGGCGCTCCTTGACGGAAGCAAGCTGGACCTCGAACCTAGGTTAAAGGAGTCTAGGTCAGCACCAAGCTTTTTCAAGTTTGTTTTACTCGTAATACTACGTTGATGTTCTGTCGTGGGCAATGAAAAAGGGGGGGAACTGGGGGATACATACTTGTGATTGGCCGTCGCCATCTTCTCCTGGCTGTCTTGCAGCAGGCTCTCCAGGCTCTGGATGCGCTCGTTTCTCGCAATGAGCTTGCGCTCTGCGATGGCAACCTCCTTCTTCAAAGAGGAATTCTGCTCAACCAGCTGGCGCTGAACCTGGGTAAGCTGCTCCAGATTCCGCTCCAAAAAGGCCATCTTCTTCTGCTGAGCCCGGTTGTTGGACGATCGCAGCACGTTGTTGTACTGCTCGCGGGTCTCGTCGAGGGAAATTTCCAGCTCGACGACACGCTCGCAGCGGTTCTGCAAGTCTCGCATGAGACTCTTCTTCATCACGTCAAACTCTGCAATCTGCTGTTGGACAGTCTTGCCGTTGGCCGTGGAAGCGGTGCCACTGGTCTTGACGCGCTGCTGAAGCTCCTCAATGAGCGTCTTCATCCGTGCGTTCTCTGATGCCTTCTGGGCGAGGTCCGCCTTAAGCTCCTCGACGAGTTGCGCCTCAGATTTCTCGCGCTTGGCATAGGCAGCCTCCAGCCGTGCCTTGACCTCCTCGACATCGGCTTCACCAAGACCGCGCGTCAACACCTCCTCGTATTCTTGCTGCAAAGCCTCTAGTCTGGCCTCGAGCTCCTGTCTCCGTCGGGCATCCAAGTCGTTGGATGATCCGCTGTACATGGACAGCTCTGCCTGCCTCACGATGCCTTGCGTTTCGACCATCTTTGCTCGGAGGGCCTTAAACTCGTCTGGCGCGATGTGGTCGCCAATTGTGCTCTGTTCGAGCAGGGCATCAATGTGCTTGATAGTCTCGGCAATGGACTTCTCGTTGTCGCTGAACACATCAGTTCCGAGCTCGAAGCCGGCCATCATCTTGGCCATCTTCTCTGCCTTCTTCTTTTCCTTCTCATCAAGGGCTGCGCCCGTTTCCTTGGCGGTCATTTTAGCGTCAAGCAGCTGCTGCTTCATGTCATCCAACTCAGCAGTGAGCTCTGAGTTGGCTTCCTTGAGAGCGTCCATGGTGATGAGGGCCTCTTTGCCCTCGAAATTTAGTCTTTCTAGTTGCATCTTGAATTCGTTAACTTCTGTTAAGAGCTTCTCATTCTCCTTGCCCATTTTGCTGTCGTGTTCTTTCAAGTAGGAGAGCTCCTCCTTGGTCTCGCGAAGCTGCTTCTCGGCGGTCGCAGCTTGCGATTCTTTCTCTGTAATCTGATCCTGCAGCTCATTTTCACGGCGTAGGAACTCTTCCCGCTCATCCTTCTCCAGTGTTATGCTAGGAGTACCAGCGCGGTCAGAGGCAGTAGGAGTCTCGGAGCGACTCTCTGTGAGCCGCGAGGGAGTCGACGGTCGCGGTGCTCTTGCCTCAGCCTTGGCTGCGGAAACTCCGTCGGCAATAGGCTGAACCCACTTGTCTTTGGGCACGGCCTCTCCAGCTCGCCACAGCTGAACTTCGCCCTCGAGGTTTGAAATATAGGATTCGAAGTTGGTAACTTGGCCCTGGGCCTTCTTGAGCAGGGCCTTGAGCTCGGCAGGGCTGAGCTCGGCGTTGACCTTGGCCTTGTTTTTAATGGATTTTGCTCTGGTACCGAACCTCAGCGTTCCCAGGGTTTCAGCGTCATTGTAACTACTAGGAGAGCAGTTGATGATGAGCGTGGTTCGACTGTTACCACCCAGGGATTCTTGCAGGATACGGGTCAACTTGGAGTCTCGGTAGGGAACATAGTGGGATTTGCCGTCGGTCAGGGCGTTGATGACCATGCCCAAAGCACTCAAACTTTTGTTGATCTTTTTGGCTTCCTCAAGCGTCTGACCGCTGGCGCCAGTCTTGCCAACCTTTTCACTACCGGCCAAATCGACCAAGAACAGCTGACCGCTCTTGGCCGAACCGGACTCGACGTTCTTCTGGGTGATGGTGACAACGAAGATGGAGTGGGATCGCGAAGACTCTGCGTTCATGTTGGTGGCAGAGACCATTCGGGCACTTCCTCCTCTTCTCATCACCTCATACACCTCCTGGACGCTGGAGACGTAGATTTCCAAGAGGCCCTTGACGTAGATACCACGGTTCTTCTCCTCGTGAATAGGGAGGTTGTCATTCTGGGGAGCCAGCAGATCACGAATCTTCTCCATGTAAATCTCCATGTAGCTGACTCGGACGGTGTACTCGATGGTGCTGGGGCTAGACATGATGCTGGCAAAGATTTGCTCGACAATGCGCGGAATAACACCCCTCTGCTCGGGGTCATCGATGTTGCTTCCCATCATGGTGTATGATTTACCAGCACCGGTCTGGCCATAGGCAAAGACGGTACCGTTGTAGCCATTGAGAATGTCGTCGACGGTGGGGCGAATGGAGTAGTCGAAGATGTCTTGTTGTTTACATGACATGTCAAAGATTCGGTCAAAGGTAAAGGAGCCCTGTGCCTCTTTGGACTATATAAATCACGGCAACGGTCAGCGACAATTCCCCGCATCATGAGTTCTGCAGCAAGTATAGGGGCGGAGTAGAGTATACATCAAGAGTACAGGTGTCGTCCGAGGTGAAGGTGACGATGGGCTTGCCGCCCGACTCGATTTCCACCCGGTTCTGAGGCCGGAACCGGGCCACGACCTTGATACTGTTGTTTGACATGATGGGCAGATGGCGTTAGGATATCGATATCAAGAAAAGGCGTCGACCATGGGCGAAGAGGAGCGACCGTTTAGTTGTCGGCTGAGCCACGCAGAGGCGACGGTATCTCAAAGGGGGGGGTTCTCTCTCTTCACCCAAATGGCGGGCTCCAGCGATTCGCCCTACCAGGAGCGCAAAAGAAGAGAGAGAGGGGCTGGAGAGGAGACGCAAAAACAAAGCAGATGGTCGATCCGAACCGAAGCTGCGAGAGATCAAAAGAAACAGAAACCCCGCCGCAGGATCGGTGTAAGGGAGGGAAAAGGAAGGAGAGAAAAAGAAAAGAAACCCCCAAGAACAAGAGACGAAGTTCTAGGGAGGATGCAAAAGCAGCGGTCTGGGAGGGACTGGCGGGGAGGGACCCAAAAGTTCACAGTTGCAATGTTTGGAGGTGACAAGCGCGCTAAAAGCAGCCGCCGCGTGGTGGTTGGAGGTGCCCTGGGGGCTACAAGGGAGGGGCTGAAGATCAGGCGCCTGGAGGGCTTTACAGCGCACTGCAAACACTGGACATGCGCCCCAAACGTCTTCAGGTGCCACTAAAACTACCCGACCCGTACTGTAGCTTTTTTAGGCCAGGCACAAAGGACGCTTACCTACTCCATAGTAAGTACCTGCCTACGTAGCAAATGCTGTCAGACTACTCCTAAGATATAGTATGAAGCACTTCATGTCGTATTGATTCCAGTATTTTTTATGCGCAAGTGCCTACTAAATATTGATTTTGCTTTGTTTCGTTTCGTTTCGTTTCGCGCTGTTCTTCCGCTTAACGATTGTTTCCCATCTCAGTGGAAACGGTTGAGAAAAAAAAAAACGCTGAGCCCGCCAGGGGCTGCACTGGATTGCTGCATACCGACTCCATACAGGTACCACAACTGCGTAGAGGCTCACCGAGCTGGCCTCTTTTTCGTCTTAGCGCAATGATATGCTCCAGGTGGTATTTTAGCATTGATTGAATGACTACGAGTACCAGCATCATCTCCTCGGCAGGATTTAGTAGTGCCTGTGCTTTTGTGCTCGGCAACACATGCTGACGCTAGCAGCGGATTGGATGTTGGCCCAACAGAGTCCCAATTGGGCATATACAAGTACATGGCCGAATCGCAGCGGCGACAACGGACTGGCCGATTGATACCCGATATCTCGATGCCCTCACCAAAAGCACAGCTCGGTCAAAGGAAGCTCGCTCGAAATGTTGGGGTCTTCTACACGCGTAACTCGACAATCTCTTATAAAGGGGGCAGGCAGGTAGGGGACGGCAAAGGGGGTGGATCAGTGCGTAGGTAGGTACAGCCATCCCTCATAGAACGCCGAACCTGGACAAGCACAGACATGCATCATTCCGTTGCCACTGAAGTATTATTTGGTTATCTCCATCAGAGTGGTGATGATGCCAAAAACAAACGCTTGAATCCTAGGTAGAAAATAACAAGACATGATACGAGAACAATCGTCCCCCCTTCCTTGGTATAACCAGTTCAATCTCGTGCACCAAAACGCCTGCAATGAATCCTTCCCTTCTTTCCGTTGGGGGCCAGTCTCTGGGATACGGCACGAAGCCGATGCAGGCTAGGTCCACGTTCCCTTTCAGCTACCTGAAGCGGATAGGTGGTTGCCCGGATGCCGCCCAAGCACATGCCCTCGCCATTCCAAGCTTATCATGAGCTCTTTTAGTCTTCCCAGCTTCTCTCAACAGTCTCTCGTACGCGCTTAGTATACTCCTTTCGATTGTCTTTGTATAGGTTCGAAGCCTCCACATTCGCTGGTGAGCCGGTGTTGGGGTCGTTGAGTAGACTATGCAAAGAGAAAAGTCGTCCAAGTCAGCGAATGAGCCTCAAGCCAAGAGCAGGCGGTCAGGGACTGCCTCCCCCTTCAAATAATTACACACCTTTGAATGCTGGTTAAAACAGCAGCGACATCATAGGTTGGGCTCCATCGGTTTTGTAGAATGTCCAAGCACAGCTCGCCAGTGGCGTAGACGTTGGGGTGGAACATCTGGCTGATGAACTTGACCTGGGGAGGCTTGTTGGGGTATTGTTCTTCAAACTGCATGACGAGGCGGAATGTTCCATCTTCAAACGGTGTGTCGGCTGGTCCTATAATGACGGCATTCCTGCAAAGCGAGGGCGACGAGACATGATTAGCAGCCGGCCCTTGTATGTCCTTTGCGGTGGAGGAGGGAATGAGGGGCAAACCTACCAGGTCATGACATTGTCGGGAATGGGAGATGCGGAAACCCCCGCAGGAGGATCGGTCTGCATACGCTGGAATAATCATTAGAAACTGCAAACAAGACAGAAGATGTCCCGTCCGGAATTTGCAAACAAACCTTGAAGTCGCGCATCAAACGGCGTCGGGCAGCTGTCGACATGGTGATCGACAAGGGGCCTGATTCGGAATCGAAGGCAGGTGCAGTAGAGGCAATAGGATGGCTCTTGAAGGCCTTTTTCCGGGTCACAACGTATCGGCAACAGGAAGAAAAGGAGTTGAAGGAGGTAAAAGCGAAATTGGCAAAAATACCAACAAGGACTTTTTTCTCTCGGTGCTGTGGAAGAAGTTGAGCCAAGATCGGAACCTGCTCACGAGTCAAAGAGCGTGATAACGGCACTAGCAGCTAATGGCGGCCCTTTGACAGCCAGCCGGTTCAGGCGAATCGGCGTCGAGGCACGGACCAATGGCGGGTCGCGATATGGATGATTAGTCACGATCATGTGACAGCGCATCAGCATCGCGAAAGACATGGAAGAAATGAATGTGGCAACGGTGGAGCGACGCCACATTCTGGACTCAACTGGCAGGCTGGTTACGGCGATATAATTTGCCCAAAGAGGTTCCGTTGATACTGTACCTAGCCTCGGGCTGATGACGTGAGTGCTGCTGAGAGCGCAACGGGAGTACGGGTACAAGTATGGGGTACGCAGCAGGTACACGGTTGGGTTCGGCATCCAGAAGGTATTTGGAAACAGCCTTTTGCTCCATCATATCGTACAGCCAGAGTACCTATAGGTATCTATTGAGTACCGCTGTACCTGGTTTCACTCACATCCTCACATCCTCGGAATAATATTGAAAAAAATTCCCTTCCCCGGCTTTTCAATACCCCCCGCATTAAGCATCAAATGCTGCTGTTGTCGCCCGCAATCCCGGCTTAAACGCTCGGCTGATTCTCTCCCCGCTCTAAGCCGAAGCGTACCGAAACGGCCCAGAAGCTCCTCTCCATGTGCCTCTTCTGCCGACAATCTGTATAAAAAACAAAACACAACCCGTCTGCTGCCATTTATCCTCCAAACATCTTTCGATTGGTCTTTTTGATACCCTTGCTGTGGATAATTCTTTTCTCTGTTCGCTTTCTCTGCTACCTCTACAGTTTCACAACTCCATCCCACAATGCCCGAGGCTCAGCTTAGAACCGCCAGGCGGCTCGGCCAGTTGGCCAGCCAAATGAAGTCGGCTCGCCACTTCTCAACCGGCGCTGTCATGAGAAAGGAAATCCAGGAGGCATACATTCTGAGTGCTGCGCGAACACCGACAGCAAAGGTGCGTTACTGAGATGCTCGTATTCGCCTGTATGGATATCCAATGCTAACATCTGCTCTCGTCCAGTTCAACGGCTCATTTACCACCGTGCCGGCTCCCCAACTCGGCGCCGCCGCCATCAAGGCCGCGCTCGAAAAGTCAAAGGTCCCGATAGAGAAGATCTCCGATGTGTACATGGGTAATGTCCTTGGAGGAGGCATGGGCCAGGCGCCCGCCCGACAGGCTGCCATCTTCGCTGGCCTCCCTACCTCCATCGAGGCCATCACCATCAACAAGGTGTGCTCTTCTGGTCTCAAGGCCGTCGCCTTTGCGGCGCAAAACATTCAGCTGGGTCTGGCCGAGGCCCAGATCGCCGGTGGCATGGAGAGCATGACCCGAGTCCCATACTATCTTCCTCGTGCCAGTGGCCTGCCTGCCTTTGGCAATGTTACATTCGAGGACGGCCTGATCAAGGATGGTCTGACCGATGTGTACAACAAGTTCCACATGGGCAACTGCGCAGAGAACACGGCCAAGACTCACAACATCACGCGAGAGCAGCAGGATGAGTTTGCCATCCAGTCATACAAGAACGCCCAAAAGGCCTGGGCCGAGAAGGCGTTTGCCGAGGAGATTACCCCCGTGACCGTCAAAAACAAGAAGGGAGAAGTCATCATTGAGGCGGACGAGGGCTACCTCGACGTCAAGATTGAGAAGGTCCCAACCTTGAAGCCCGCATTCGTTCGCGATGGAACTGGCACGGTTACCGCTGCCAACTCGTCGACTCTCAACGACGGTGCCAGCGCTCTGGTCCTGGGTAACAAGGCTATTGCACAGCAGTACGGATCCGGCTCTCGAGTCCTGGCCAGGATCGTCTCCCACGCTGACGCTGCGGTGGACCCCATTGACTTCCCTGTCGCTCCTGCCAAGGCCATCCCCATCGCCCTGGAGCGTGCTGGCATCACCAAGGATCAGGTCGCCGTTTGGGAGATCAACGAGGCTTTTGCAGGCGTTGTTCTGGCCAACAAGAAGATTCTCGGCATCGAGAACGCCCGCGTCAACCCTCTTGGAGGCGGTATCTCCCTTGGCCACGCCCTGGGCAGCTCCGGATCACGAATCCTCACAACTTTGCTGCACCAGCTGAAGCCTGGTGAGTATGGTGTTGCAGCCATTTGCAACGGAGGAGGTGCTGCCACAGCCATGGTTGTGCAGCGAATTGAATCCGTCTAAACAAAGAAAAAAAAAGGGGGGGGTATGAAGCAAGAAAAAAAAGAGTTAGCACAAACACGTATATACTTTGAAAAGAAGGGAATATGTAGCTAGCATGTATATTTGGTTAGCAAGGGCCATGTAATTTTTAGAGTAATGAAGCATGAATTCGTTCAATTTTCACCATGATTCTTACACATTGCCAAGGCCATCATGAATATCCATGAGGTCAGTGACAGGCCTATATACCCAGCCCTTGGATCAAAATCTACCTACCTGTAGAATTAAAGATTGGAGATTCCACCCATAATAACAACAGGAGCATATTAAGGTATGGTCGTTCAAGGTTCAACACCAAAGCAACCCAAAACGGCCCGAATCACAAGGTTCAAACACTACGCAGCAAAGTTCAAGAAAGGTATAAATATGTAATAAAACCCGCTTCCCATGATGAATAAAGGCATCAATTGCAGTGAAAACAATTCAATCGCTGGCAGCTCGCTACTATTGCTCTCTCACAAAAATCCATTCAGTAACAACCATGCGCCACAGCTAGATCACCGCCACATGCAGTCCTACGCCACACCGTCTGCAACACCAGCCTCACTCATCCAAACGCGACTTCTCACCTATCTTCTTCCCTTCTCTCACTCTCACTAATTCTAAACCCTCACTCACCGCCAAAGGGCGAAATATTTATATAATATATTTTTCTCACCATAAACCATGTCTTTGGTCACGCAATTCCTCTCCCAGATTCAGCAGCAAGTCCGCAACCAGCAAGGCGATCTTCTCCGGTCATGGCTCCAAGTAGAGCCGGAATCACCAAAACAGTATCACGATCTAGCGAACGAGCTACGCGCCAAGTTTAGCCGCCAGGATGCCATTGACAAGCTCGTTGAGGATGCCCTACCACAGCAGGACGATCTGCCCGAAGGTCAGGCAACGGCTTGGCCGGGACTGCTGGCTTTTCTGAAGGATTACTTGACCTATTGGCGGGATGTCAATTTTGAAGATTTGCTAGGGGCACATCAGCTTCTCAGTGGGCTAGTCAAGTGAGTTTTCCGTATGCTAAATGGCATTGATAACTAGAGCCCTCAGAAACCCGCGGGTTGAAACTTGAAGAATCATCTCTTTATGCTAACAATGGCTTGCAGCTCTTGTTCCACTGCATTCGCACATCCCACCTATGGCTCAATGCTCCTCCAGGTCAGCATGTCTCTGTCAGAGACGCTTGCTCGCCTCACCATGAACCTCAACCGCCGGCCTGACCTGACTCGTCGTCTTCGCGTTGTGGACGATGACAACCGCAAATCTGTGGCCGAATCTTCGGCCGAGATCATTCAGAAGATCTTTACGACTTGCTTGACCGACCGGTCAGGCACCAGGACGAGCAAGCCGGAGGGGAAACGAGTCGGCGTCTACATGTTTGCCAACCTCGTGCTAAAACTTCTCTTCGCAGTATGCCTCCCTTTACCCTGATTTCTCTATCTCGTAACCCGTCAACGAACGCTATTCTCTAACCACAGAACTCATTGTCCAACAGTGCCGAAGAACTCAACTAGCGAAAATGATATTTGTTAACATCGAAACCATATCGCCTCCGCTTTCACTTTATCCTGCCGCTCAGCGCGTCACTTTTCTCTACTATCTCGGCCGCTTCAACTTCTCCAATCAACACTATCACCGCGCCGCCCTATGTCTCCAAGAGGCATACTTGCAGACCCCTCCTCAACTAGTCTCTCATCGCTCCAACATTCTCACCTACCTCATTCCCTCAAACCTTCTTCTTGGGCGATTCCCCTCAAATACACTCCTGTCACGGCCGGAGGCTCAATCCCTAAAACCCATCTTTCTTCCAATGTGCATGGCTATTCGCTCAGGGAACTTCATGCAATTCCAGTCTCACCTTGCCGCGCACGAGCAGTGGCTCTTTGAAAAGGGTCTTCTTTTGCCTCTTTCCAATCGCCTTCGACCACTCCTTTGGAGGAGTCTCACTCGAAAGTCATTCATCTTGACATATGTCCCCCCACAAGATGCCTCCTCCCGCAAAGCAGCAACGCTCGACCTCTCCCATCTCCTAACCGTGGCAACCTACGTTCAGCGCCGCCTTGAAGGCTGGTTGCCTGGCAATCCAACCACACGCGGCCGGGCATCACAGGCCAACCCCCTCTTCATGAAAGCTGTCAAAAACAGCATCCAGCCTTCTACCGAAACCACTCTTGCCCCTCCCCCAGGTGGCCCCCGGAAGCTCCGCCCCAACGAGGGGCTCATATGGGGTAACGCACTAGTCACTTACGAAGATGTAGAGATGACAGTTGCGACTCTTGTTCAACAGGGCTTTATGCATGGATTCGTTGCACATAGCCAGGGCCGCTTTGCCATTATTGGAGCAAAAGCAAAGGGCAGCCCTCTACTAGCAGGCTGGCCAAATGTTTGGCAGACAATTAAGGAGAGGAGGCAGGAAGACGACTTTGATTTAGACCAAGTTCCCGGCTGGGTGACATTGTAAGAGAGGGAGAGGGTGCGCATGATATTAGTTAATTAGGGCAATACAAGCGTAGATGGGAGAGGGCAAAGCATCCTTGATAAGGTGGTGCTAACTACCGGCGCTACTCCATAGCATGGTGTTCGTTTATTAGAAGCTAATTACTCCATAGAAGAAAACGAAATGATACCCCCTAAATCGTCAAATATCGCTAACTGTGGTTCATGTTTGAGACTTGCAAAGCGACGCACCAAGTATATAAGCTTACAGACCTCACAGCTTTAAGGTGTCTTGGTTACTTTTGCTCATCTACACGTGTCAATTCACTACAGGCTACATCCAAGAAACGTAAAATTCATAAGTCGCGCTATTTCTGTCTTTATCCTAATCCTCCTAAGCTCCTCTTTTTTTGGTTGTTTCGGTTGATGGGTATTACAGTAACTGTAATTCCACAACCCATTCTGAAGTAGTTGGCACGAGCATTAACAAAGCAAACAAAAGCAAAACAGACCACAAAAACCACTTCAAAACACCCCCTTGGACATACATCATAAATGTTTGATAGATAAAAAAAAGTTGTAAAAAAGAATCGCTCGCTTTTCCCCCTCCCTTTTCTTTTTGGTCCCTTATCCTCCGATTTTTCGTAAAAAGCTTTCTCTTAACCGCTGAAGAGGGGTATCGACGACAAAAGAAGGCAAATCAAACAAAAAAGGTAAAAGAAAAATAGTAATAAAAAATCATAATGGATAAAAAACATGCCACCGTATTCTGGCATCATGATAAAATTGGAGTAAACTCCAAAGAAGAGAAAGGAAGAAAAAGGGGAGGGAGATATTTGGGGATGAGGGGGGTGCGAACACCAACCCCAACTCCAATTCTCCAAAGACAATAAACACTATCGCCGACAGGGCATATTGGCTTATATGTAAAGCATATAATAAGCGTTATGTAAATAAAAGTAGAGCCATATACAGATACGGCGGCATAAAATATCAGGGGGGAAAAAAGGTGCGACGAGGGGGAGGGGGATCAGACGGCCCAAAATATGCGAAGCGAAAGAGAGAGAAAACCGCGTCAAGTGATATAAAGTCTAGAGCAGCATATGGACAAAAAAATATGTAAGCTGCAGCTGACAAAAGGTGACATGGACACTGAAGTAGACGTGAGAATACATTGGTCTGCCAGAGATACAATCAACGAGGCTGCTCGCCCATTATTTTTTTCAAAGGAAACAAGCCGCGGCAACAAAGGCAACGATAAGGCCTGCAAAGGCGGTGCTGCCTTGCTGGCGGCCAGCCTCACCCTTCTTAGTGGTTGTGGTAACAGGAGTCTCGGCCTGGGTCTGAGACGGCTCGGAGGGCGCCGAAGTCGTCTGCTGAGACGATGTGCCGTTCTCGTGGAACATGCCAGGCTTCACAGAGGCGTGAGCGCGAGCTTGAGACGCGGTTGACGAAGCTCCCTTGGTAGCGGTGGCGGAAGTGCCAGCCTTGGTCGTGCTGGAAGCGTCGGTGGTCTGTTCTGTTGTTGACTCTGCGGTTGTGGTGGTTGATGCAGCGGCAGTGGTGGAAGTGGCCTCGGTCGAAGAAGGAGCCGCAGTGGTGGAAACCTCTGTAGATGATGCCTGGGCGGTGGTGGTGGTGGTTGAAGTAGCCTTCTCGGCCTGGGCGGCAAAGCCACCGGCCTTGAGTCCATGGGGAGTGGAGCTGGCCTGGGCTGAAGAGGAAGATCCGGAATCAGAGTCACCGCCGCTGGAGCCAGAGCTGCCGTCCACGTTGTATGCCACAATGTTGGCAACGCCACCCTTGGGGACAGTGACAACGCAGAAAGCGGCGTTGCCAGCACCGACGGAAGATTCGTTGCTATCGACGCTGCCAGAGGCGTTGGGCGAAATCTCACAGGGCAATCCGTTGCAGCCACCGTCGGGGCACTCGATCTTGACACCCCAGGTGGGCAGGGTGTTCTTCAAGGGTGAGTCCTGCCAGATGGGGTTCCAGCCAAGCTTGACGAATGTGTTACCGTTGCTGTCGGTGTTAGCTCCAGCAACGTAGGGGCTCCAGTTGCCAACGGGCTTGGTTGGGACACCCCAAACACAATCCGCGACGGAGCTTCCAGGACCGTTGATGTAGTAGCTACACAGATTAGGTTAGCAACACCGTGAATTTGCGAGGCAAGAGACAAGTCGCGCGGGATCTCTTACTGAGCTGCGGTTCCACACCAGTAGCTTGTATCGGGAACTGCAAGTGTCGCCTGGGTTGTGACAAGAGTTGGGATAAGCATTGCCTCGTTACCAGGCAGAACAGTTTGGCACCACGACATCGGTTCACCACAGTCGTTGACAGCTACGACAGAGCCGGTACCTTCAACGCAGTACGGCTTGTTGGGGAATGGCTTGGATACAGTGCCGCTGTCATCACAGTACAATCCTCCGTTCTAATGCTGTCAGCAACTGAAACTGGCAATATTGGCCCTTCTCTCCTCTCAAACTGTGTGTTAATGACTTACCATAGAAGCTGGGTAACTGTACGAAGAATCGGGATCCCATTGCGCCATAACCATACCAGGCTTGCAAGCAATTGGACAGTAGTGGCCTGGCTTACAAGGCTGATCCGGGCTCATAGCCCAGCCAGCATTCTCAGCATCGGGCGTGACAGCAACCAGGTTGGGGTCGTCGGTCGGGAACGCGCATGTTCCTCGCTTGACAATAGAGTTGGCATCCTCAACTGTGTGAGAGCGCAGATGGGTATGCTTCTTATTGGGAAGCTGGTGAAACCTCCGGTGTGACGAGGCGACTGTACCGGCAGGCAGCGAGAGGAGCACAACGGCCGACGCGAAGGCGGCCTGGACGTCTGTAACCTTCATGGCGTCGCGTGAAAACGAGAGTCTGAGTCGAGTGGTGATACTAGCGAGAGAAAGAGAGAGCAGAGGTCGTTCGGCAAGGACGAGTACGACGCTCGATTCGATATTCGAACAAACAGAATTAGTGAGGGTCGTGCCACAAATAACCAGGCAAAGAGCGACAGATGTGACGGCAAAAGAGAGGCTCGTCTATACAACACGACACGACACGAAACGACACAGCGCAAAAACGAAAAAAGAGAGAGACAGCGGTGAGGTCGAGAAGTTCTATGAAAAGAGTGAGATGGGCCCGCGGCGAGCAGGGCGACAATGGGCTAGTAAAGGAAGGGATTGACTGTGGTTAGTTCAAAATACAACTGCTACAACACTATGTACATCCGACAAGCACAGGTACAGGCTCATGGCTAATAATGCCTCGACCGCCTTGCTGAAGATGGGCTGTGATGCTGGCTTCGCTCTGTGGATCCGTGGGATGAGCGCGTCGAAATTAAACAAGCCATGAGCCAATCAGCGTGCGGCATACTTCTCCCCTGGGAAACCGTCGACCAATCCAGCCACTCAGACAGGGCCAAAGGAAATTAAGGCCCTCCTAGTGTGAGATACGTATCGAACGCTGCATTAACTGCAACGGGCCCGAAGCCCATTATCCACCTCGACTGCCAGACGGGGTTCTCGGTGTCGAGGCAGTGTCTGGTCTGTGTACTGTAGAGCGCAGATGAGTCGGTTCACAGGCCTGACAGTAAAAGCCATGAGCCGACAAAAGTGCTGCTTGTCGTGCTACCGCCAATAGTACGGAGTAGGCCCTCGAAGTAGCCGTAGTGGCAGTAGCATCAGCGTTGAACCCCTAGCTGACTTCTGTGTGTCTGCTGGCGCGCTGTTCAGAGAGAGAAGGGAACCCGGTGCCCCTGATGCCCCGATTTGTGTGTACCTGCGTCAACATGTCTGTCGCCTGTCGCGCCACAAGGGGGCCACTACAGTCATTCAACCTGTAGTCCGACATACAAGCACATCACCGCAGTGGGATCACGGTGGCAGGTAAGGAGAAGAAATTGATCGACGCCGCCAAAGGCGAGATTTGGCGGAACGCTCCGAATCGCTGCGTCTTGCTGATCTCCCCCTCAACCGACTTCACCGTTATGGCCTGTAAGACAGCTGAGGCTGACGGTGTCACCCCACGACAATTAGTCGAATTAGAATTGGGGAGCCTAACCGTCTCCTTGCTGCGACACGACTCAAAAAACCAACCGTCGCTTGATGGTGGCGCTCGCCAAATTTCAATCTTGAGACGGTTCAAACCCGAATCTGATGAAACAGGTCTTACTTCTCCAGTAAGCATCTTTTCTACTGCTGCTGCCGTTGCCGTAAAGGACGTGGCGGTCGAGCTTCTCTCCCTAGAAACAAGCTAGTTGGGGTTAGACATGGGGCAACTCCTTTTTTCCGCACGGGGTTGCAGGGAGAGAAATTTTGCGTAGACGGCGTGCTCCACTCAACACGAGCATGAACGCCCACGAGCTGTCATTTCAAGCTGGACCAAGTTCCCCGTTCTTGTCCGGAGAAAGCCAAGCATGAGAATGCTAAGCTCAATCCAGTCCTGAGCAGAAAAGTGTTGCCTGTCGCCAACCCCGGCGAGCATGTCTGTGCTTTGCAAGGAGTGCTGGTTTAGCGAGGTGGTATTTGCTCATAATAATCCAGTAAGAGTCTGGCGGATTCTGGAAGAGAATGCCGGCGTACAGATAGGTACAATACGGAGAGTACTCCATCTCCATCTCCATGCCCTGTGCTCTGTAAAATCTCCAAATCTCGCTCATCGTCGCGATATCATCAGCTCCGCCAGCAGCTGCCGCCGATGGCTATGTCCAGGCAGGGGAAAGTTATGAGATGTGATTTACTTGCAGTATCCCGGTCTCCAATAAAAGCGGCATCATGCGAGATTTCATCTGCTCGTCTCTTGTGCCGTGGTCTTATCAAATTGCTTGCTTTCTTGGCATTGAAACGATCCATCATACTCGAGTGGATTTGATCGTTTGGACCAGATACCCAAATCATCCAGCCAAGAAAATTGGTCTTTTTTCAATATATTTTGCATCATTTATATCGTTCATATTTTGTCCTCTGTTAGCCCGTATGCAAGGTCTTTCAACGGGAAACCAGTTGTAATTCCAGGTTTGGTTATAATTTACATTGGTATACGGGTGTGTAATCGCGTTCACATAAGGCGCAATGGCGTGCTTGCTTCAAAAGCCTTTCAGATATCCTTTTCTCGATGGCCAACTACTCTTGCGAAAGAATCAAATGACATGGTCATAGAATGCCGGCCTGCGGTTTTGCTTCGCAGATGCTCGTCATAATTCAGCATCTCCTTGTAGGGCACTTTTGCTATGATTTCAACCATCCGAGCAGTGGACTTTTTGCCTCTCAGCGAAGTGATCGAGTCGTAGGGGTCAGGTGGCGCGTAGATCTTAGAGACATCAATCAGTTCCTCGCTAGAAGACTCTGCAGAACGATCATTGACTTCGAGGACATGGCCGCCCGCACCCGCTGTTATGTCATGCTGGACCGTTCCAGCGGCCGCTTCAGGGCATGTAATGTGCGTCAACATGATGGGCTCTAAAATGCCAATCTGGCTCTTGTCGAACGCATCTCTAAGAGCTGCTTGTACGGCAATTTTAGCCGCACCACTGAAATGGCCTCCAGTTGGCGATTCTAGCGCATCACGAGATGTATCAAGAGTGATGTGAACATGACAGCCATGTATCGGCGACGCACGGCGAGGCCCTCTGGCCAAGCCAGCTATAGCTCCGTTGAAAAGCTGTTGGCGTGCCTCATCCTCATCAACAAGTACGGCAGTGGCTTCGCCCTCCATGGGAATGTGTATCTGGACAATGTTGCCGTCCTTTTCAAGGCCGGTCTCCATCAAATCTTCCTGCTCCCCAGTTTCTATAGGTCTGAGAGTAGCTGTGCAGGTAACCTTGCCTGATTTGCCCGCTACCGGACGGTCAAAAACTGCATGCTGAGGAGAAGTCATAGTGGTAACGCATTCCTTGTAGTCGACCTCGATAGGGCCAAACTCGGCATCGATCTTGTGCTTTTGTCTCATGTTGTAGAGTGATACATCCAGATGAAGCTTACCCATACCCTGGATGGTAAATTGGTCAGTCTTTGGATTCCTACTCCACCGAAGGCTTGGGTCTTCCCGAGACGCACTCTCCAGAGCGACCTCTAATTGTTGTGCTGCAACATTCCCATACGGGTCAACTTGCAGAAAGGCAACCGGTGGTGGAATCTCTGGAGGTCTGATTTGAATATGTCGTAAATGTTCTGGAACAGTTTTGCCACTCGCCATGGTAATCAAAGTATCTCCAGTGCGGGCTTTCTTGAGTCCTCTCAGGGCTCCGATTTGTCCAACAGAAAGTTCTTGAATGTCGTCTGTCTTGGACGCAGATATTTGCAGGATGCCCATCGGTCGTTCCTGTATAAGCATATGTGTGTTGAAGCTTGGAGCATTGCGGGTCAGAGTTCCATGATAAACTCTCACAAAACTGATGACGCCTTCCTTTGGGTGGTCAAATACTTTGAAGACAGATGCCACTGAGCTAACGTTCGTATCGACTGTCTTTTTACCTTTTCCTTTCAGTGCTTCGTGAAGTTCGCTCTTCGTATTCCCGACCCTAACCTCCGCGTCTGGCCGTTCCGCTGGGTTGGGGAGATAGTCTGCGATGGCATCCATGAGCGGCTCAACTCCAATATGACGAAAGCTCGAGCCTGCGAACACAGGTATGACGCGGCCATCGCCGCTTTGAATGCTTCTTCTTATAGCCTGCTTTATTAATGAAGCAGGGATATTTTCGTTTTCAGCCAAGAATTCATCCATCACGGCCTCGTCAAAATCCGCTAGACCTTCAATCAGACGCTGGCGTGCTACTTGAATCTCCGCTAATAGCGGCTGGTTTGAAGTTGACAGCATCTCTTTGAGCTCGGCGGGTTCATATCGAATCTTTTGTCTTTCGGTCTTCCACCGATACCCTACACCGTCGATGACATCTATTACACCGACAAAGTCTTCTTTCTCCCACCAGGGAATTTGACAGACCAATGGCCATCCTTTGAGTCGAGAGCCAACTTCCAAGACGGATTTTCTGAAAGAGGCACCCTCACGGTCCAACTTGTTGCAATAAACAATCCGCGGAATCTTGAACTCCTGAGCAGAGGCCCAAACTCGTTCTGTGTGAGCTTCTACGCCCTTGACAGAATCGATGATACAGACGGCTCCATCAAGGATTGGTAAACATCGATCAACCTCAAATCTGAAATCCTGGTGACCAGGAGTATCAATGAGATTGATGGTTTTTGGGGCTGTTCCAGGAGGGCAATCCTGTTGCAGTGGCCAGGGAAAAGTTATTGCCGCTGACTGGATGGTGATTCCACGTTCCCGCTCAAGCTCAAGGAAATCGGTCACGGTATTGCCAGAATCCACATCTAAGATTGTCAGCCGAGCTGTTTCAAGTCTGTATATGTCTGCTACACACCGCCTACTCGCTGAGTCACGCCACTATAGTAGAGCATGCGCTCAGTTGTTGTTGTTTTGCCCTACACGATGGGGTAAGCGTCCAGGCCAGGATAGGTGGGTGCATATAGCTATAAGCCTTACAGCGTCAACGTGGGCAATAATACCGATATTTCGAGTATTTTCAAGCATTGAGCTTATGCTTCTTGCACCATCTCTGCTCCGATAAAGAGGTTTCTTGAAGGGGGACAAATCCGTCGCTGCCCTATAAGCTGACCTAGTGAAGAGACCGCATTGCCTCACTGAGGCTTGACGACAGAGCACCACAGCAATCATGGCGATTCAATATCGTAACGTGGGACTGCAAGAATGGCAGTAATTGCAATTGAACCACAAACATCGGGATTGCACCCTCAACACTCGAATATTGAGCGAGTCTTGTGTAACGAGCAAATTGTTTGAACGGCAATTTTAACTTTGAAAGAGCTCGAAGCTCGGCCTGAAATTCTAGGTAGCTCCATTCCAAGAAGGTACCTCTGCCATCAGTTCATTCATCTCGGCGGGGCTTGGAGGGGTAGCTACTAGCGGGTGTATGCATGAATATATCCCGAAGTATGCATATATAAGGTCAAGCTCTATGCTTAAATCGAGCCCCAACGAGCTGTTCTGGGTGACGTGTGAAAAGCAGTCTTGACAATTCATATTAGCGCTGTGTAGAATAATTTGAAAGTAGATTGGGGATGCAAGTCCTTTTATTTAATTCATGTTTCATTTCAAGTAAAACGTTGGCATGCTAAACACGCTGCCTAGGTATGCAACACATACTAGTTCTCCCTTCCATTCAAGGTTGACCTATTGCCAGACTACATCGGCCTTCAAAGGACATATAAAACTGGGGCCCTACTGGTATCACCATACCGGGGGCCTTAGAGACATTAAGATTTCCCGATTACAGTAAAATATAGATGTGCAAATAGACAGGTCTTGACAGCTGTTTATAAACCATGGACGAGAATGGCGGCTCTAGGGTAAGTTTGTAATCAGTCGGCTACACGCATAACAGCTAGTGTTCTGCTAAGCACGGCGACAAGATGATATGATCAACTCGATAATTAAGACGCGGTAATAGCTGGAGCAGACAAGGCACGCGATTACTAAGTCCAAAATACAGGCTCTAATTTCTTATTTTCAAGGCGTTTTTAGGCTTCAGAGAAGCAAGTTGCGTGTTGGAATGTATGATCATCACATGATCTAGGCCACACGTGCTTATTGCTCAGTGTGCCGCTTCACCAACTGTATTCGAGGCTTCTTCCAAAACATTTTTCCTCTTGAAACAGTCAGCCCATCGTTTTTTCTTGGGCGCCGATGTTTCTGGCCACACCGCTAGGACCTTGCAAATGCCTTGACTCATTGAGTTTGCGCGAGCGTCGCCAGACGCTTGATATCGACATTTAACGCGATGCCTAGACAAACGCGTCGAAGTGCTAGGACAACTCACAAGAAAGCGAAGAAACCAAAGAAGATAACTTTTCACGAGTTTCTGAGATCGCTTCCCCGACCATATCCGGATCCATATATCGAATGGCATATTGGATTTTATGATGCTGTCACTAATCTCAAACGTCAGCTTGAAATGCTGACCCACAAGCCGCTTCTATCCAACGACGACCTCGTGAAGCTGGGCGTCGTCCGCGGAGCCGAGCTCATCATTGATGAGGAGAATCCAATCGATTTGGAGCCTCGCTTTTTCAATCCTGGCTCCGCTCATGAGGTTGCACAAGGCGTGCGGAACTACGAGGAGACTCAGAAGTGGGCACGCCGATATCCAGAGCAAGAAACCCCCATCAACCCATGGGGTTATCCAGAAGCGGATATGGATGATATCAAAGAATTTGCCTGTGATTGCTGGAGTCTTGTAGACTGGCGAAGGAGGTATAGCGTCCGTGAAAGTCGTTTTACCTGGAAAAAGAATCCGAACTGGGATGAGCCTTTGTAAGCTAATCCAAGACCTTGAAATCCTGACGTGTTACTGAACTTGAGGCTACCTGTTAGTGTTCATCGTGAGACCAATTTCTACCACTATAAAAGAGACTGGGTTCATCGATATTTATCCCATGAATTTGTGCTTTATAAGTGGTTCATGAGTCGACCTTTCTCAAGAGGATGTGATCCAGGCCCAGAAGTATCGCATACGATGGTGATGGTGGCTGATACGATTAAACCTGACGACCGTTTGCTAAGAAGCGAGCTATTAATGGCCGCGATGCTCCTAAGAGACAATCTTGCACACCGATTTTGGCCTGCGCATCATACATTCCCTGTAAATACTCCCCAAGGCGCATACGCTTGACATTCTTCTGACAATTTTTTTTTAAGGTCTTAATGTTTTCTTTTTGCATGGCAGGCTGTCGTCTGCTTCAGATTCATTTGGACAAAGGCAAACTTCACATCAGGGTATCTCGTGCCTTGGATCTGACTAGCCGTGACGGAACAGTGCCTCCCGACGCTCATATTGCAGCTCGGTGGCTGTTGGCCGAGATCATCGGCAAAACTCTTTTTTCTGCAATTCCACGTACAGATATGGGAGCGAGTGATCATGATGGACCTCAAAATCCCGGGGCCTCTACTGCATTATCACTATTCCATAGTCCGGTGGGTTCTGCGTTCGCCCTAGACAAGAGTGAGACTCCTGCAATGCACAAAGCTACATTTATTTAATCGTTTTACATGTGGGTTCATCTGTGATTAATCTTGGCTCAACATGCTGCACATGATGCCGACGATGGCATGAAGTTGCGCCTTTGCCTTTATTTATACAGACATGAGACGAGGCAGAATGAAAAACCAGCCCCGAAAAGATGCCAAATCTCTCTAGCATGCGACGGCTCGACAACGGTCCTTGCGGTACGAACAAAAATAACAGACCGAACATAGGAAACAACTCCCTACGAAATGCCAATGCGTCATCAACATGTTGTAGGCCATACAGAGGTAGTCGTAAAAGCCACGATGGTTGCCAGCTCAGTAGCTGCAGCTGCTGCCTAAATCCCGCAGCCAACATCACAAAAAACGTCAAGAATGGGCCAATTGTATCTCATCACGTATTTGTGTGCTGGCAGGAATTGAGAGAGTGATGCAATGCTTCGGACAGCTCATCAGAATCACGAATATGCCTTCTATCAATAGGCACTTACATGTGACCATTGCTCCTCATTCGCAGAGCTTCAGAAGAGGTCTCAACAACCGATCAATGCAATTATATTTATATATATGTAGTCTACAATGCAGTGACCATTTCCTGGAATCGTAACCCCGACTAGCACCAAGCTCGCAAGCAACGACACAGACCGTCATTGAGAATGTCTTCAGTTCGATTGGAAGATATTCCCAAGACCCAACGGGCTTGGGAGGCGGAGGTTAGGCGGCAGGGCTTGGAAGAACATGAGTACTCTTGCTTTTCTATTCCCCAGATGAAATCAGCTTCTCGAGTAGACTTTAAAGATTGGCTTCGACTCAAAATCCTCTGGAGAATGGACGACAAACCTCTCACCCATGAATTCCTCTTTGGGAATCAATCTGAAATCAAGCGGTGAGCTTCGCTTTCGACAGATTCTAAAGCGTATCTCCAACAGCTTGATTGGTATCCCGCGCTGCAGTCATTCAGTAATGACCCCAGGGACTGGGGAACACTAGCTTCTTGGAGACAATCTACGCTCACTATCTCACGACGCCTCGGTGTTCTCAGAAAAATGACTGGGTTAACACTGCAACACCAACTAAGCGGCGAAGACCTATTCGCCCCTTCCAAGTTCTGGCTTGAACCAAATGCTGGCAGCCAGGATGACCAGGAGGCGGTAATGGATAGGCTGGAAGACATGGGCGAGAGCAGTGACAAAAAAGCGGGAAGAATCCACCGTGACCAACATGGGCAATGGACCAGAGCCAAGAATGAGACACCATTGAACGAAGTCCCCTATGACAGTGATGTGAGCATGGAAGAAGGGAACAGTTTTCTTTCAATAAACCAATCTTCCAACAGCGATAATGAGAACTCTTCGGCGAACAATTCCCACATGACCGGCAGTTCGACATCCTTTATGGGAGCCGGCCTGTCAAGACCTCCCGACGAGGAAATCATCAACATGTCACTCGTTCTCCTTCTGGAAGGGTTATGTATGCATGACCCAGAACTACGTGGCAAGGTCGGATGGTACCCCATTCGCAAGCCCTTTAGCGTTACGCAGGCTGGGGTGAAGGTTATGACAGCGAGGACCGATGGATGCCTACAACTTATTCATCCTGACAAATTAGATGAAGATAGCCCCAGTCTCGCCATCCTAGAAGCCAAGGCGGATTTGCGCACCAAGGACTCATCTCCCGTCTATCTTCAAGAAGGTGCGGAGATGGCGGCTTGGATATCCAGCGAACCCAACCACGGACTTTTACATGGGTCACAGGAAGCTGGTATATACAGGAGGGTTCTAATCTCACAAAACTTCAACCAAGTATTTGTTACTATCGCCGAATACGATGAGGACTATATTCACTATATTACTGGCCACGGTACCGCAACGAGGCTCTCGTCTGGATCACCAACGCAGAACTTATCTTCCAAGCAGACATCTAATAAATTATCTGCCAAACGGGGATCGCCTGATTTATCTGATCGAGAATCCCCTGATTGGGGGCCATCTCCGCCCGCTCGTGAGATTTCTCATTTTCAACCCGGCACAACGCCATCGCCTAAAGAAGATCTTAGTCACCTTATACAGAATGCTCCTGTTAAAAATAAGGGAGATACACTGGATAGATATGAGTACGATTATACAAAGGGGTTCTTAGTCATGCAGAAATTCAAGGGATTCAAAATTACAGACAGAAAGGAAGTGGAAGAGCTGATGATATTGCTTGTATCCCTTGTGCGGGAGCTGTACCATGGATCTCAATGGAATACTAGACTCTAATTTCATCTAGTAGATGGAGATAGATCTAGTAGATGGAGATAGATCTAGTAGATGGAGATAGATCTAGTAGATGGAGATAGATCTAGTAGATATGAATAAATTTAGTAGATATGAATAAATCTAGTAGATATGAATAGATTCAGTAGATATGAATAGATCTAGTAGATATCGGCAAGCGTTGGAAGGCCACAGAGAGTCAATCACCTGAACTAAGGAAGACGCTTTGTCGGGACCATCTGTGTGATCAAATGAAAGACCTACGAAAGCGGCCTTGGACGACCTTGACGATGTCAGCCTAGGTAGCTGAGAAATTGAACGGAGCTATGCGTCGAGCCTGTTTAATTTGCAAAGTCGTGGACTGATATATTCTGCTCCCAGTAAATGGAGTTTGGGTGTTTCTGCAAACATGTGATATGATGTCTTCTGATCCATTTTATTATTATTACTATTGTCCATCCCTATAGGTACTTGTAAAATTATTTCCTTTGTCTACCGTTTTAACACAGATGATCTTTGCTGAGACGTTGATGATTGTATTATCTGGTCCGGAGGAGATCAGGTTGCCTGCGGGGCGCTGGCAGGCTGCACTTTAGCACAGCTACAAGAGGACCAGGCACTAATTAACTGTATGCGCCAAACTTCCAGTTGTGGACGGACAATCTCCAACTTTCTGAATTACATAGCACGCCCTCAAGCAGCCATGGCAAGGAAACTGCCTTGGAAAAGGAAATCCGAGTCTTCACCAAGCAGTGCCACCAGAAACTCGGCAGTTCAAAGCCCCAGGTTGCCTGTTGCACGCCAAGATGAAAACCGGGACATTTTGCGAACGCCCGTCTCACGCAGACACGTTCGGCGCGTTCTGGATTCAGGTATGAAGATGGAGATGAATCTCATCCCAACTCACCAAAACGAAAACATTTATTGAAGATGATACTTTAATAAACTGACAGTAGTTATGATAGACCCTATCCGAAGTCCATCTACTTCGCCTCCGCCAGAGCGGCCCCAAGAAGAGTACATACCCATCACCTACATGATCGTGACGATCTCATCAATATTCAACTAACAATCCACTTCACCTCAGGTTCATGATTCCAGGGCCGCTAAACGACGACAAATTCAGAATGGTCGACGATGAGTTTCTGCACATCGCCCAGCGCTTCACCGCGCACCTTCATCGCGCAGAGTACGATCGTCTCAAAGCCCTGGCCAAGGCCCAAAACGCGGCTACCATCCGCGAGATTGAGCGCCCCATTGTGCCAGATACGGCGCCGACAGCCAGAGCACGGCAGAGGAGTGAATCAGCTCAGCGAGCTATGAAGCAGCGTAAGGCGCTGGAAGCTGAGGGCGACGATGATGCTGGCGATCGTGATGGTCGCGAAACGAGAAGAGAGGAACAGAGGTCGCTGTGGGCGGCGCCGGGTCTGCGAGGCTTGATGGAGGCGCCGAAACGAGAGGGAAGGACGATTATGCCTGCAGCGAGTGCTTCATCATCTTCTTCATCTAGGACAAGAGCGGCCGCTGGATTCTCGAGCAAGTCGTCGCTACAGCAAGATCGTCAAAGCCGTGCGCCATCACCGCCACTGCCACCATTGGTGTCTTCATCCAAAAAGATCAAGCTGGAATCACCTGCTAATTCAAGATCAACTACTACGTCGAGCAGAACCACCACCCAACATCCTCGTACCTCCACCTCAAATCCCCAAGCTACATCTTCACTCGCCACAGAAGTTCCTAGGGGAATTTCTCGCACAGATCGATCCCAGGTCAAAGGCAGCAATCAACGGCCTAGCGTCCACGGTCTGGATGACGATTTGGACGATGATCCTTTTGGCTTGCACGAGCGTATGATGAGCAGGAAGAAATCCCGAGAGCAGTTCAAACGACCAGGCGTCAAGAGCGAGGTCAAAGATGAATCGAACACGGTCGATTTGAGCTCCATTCCTTCATTCTTATAGACCTCTACTCCCAATATTGGATCAGTCGTTCACTTACTAAAAGCATTTACGAGACGTTACAGCAAACTAGAATTGATGCTTCGAGCACATTCGCAGTTTCTATTGAGAACCAAACGTGACGTCGTTAATCCCATTGCGGTAAGTTTCATGAATCCCTACACTACTTTAATTATCCTCCATCGTGAGCTCATCAAAGTCATCTAGCAGTTCGTCCATGTTCACTCCAGGCACACCATCGTCCTCATCATCTTCCGTCTCCGCTATGCTCATCTCATCAACGTTTGCCTTCTTGGGATTCTTATATAGCGCCAAAGCCGCACGGAGCTCTTCATCTTCCTCAACGTCACGCAAGAACATCTCGTATTCCTTATCCATACGCTCTTGGTCTGCCTTCTTTGGCAGAAGCTCACCCTCATCCTTATCCATGCGCTTGAGCTTCCAGTTGCGACGACGGTTCCTCCTGCGGTTGGGGTAGTGCTTCTTCACCAGCACCACGTCTGGAACGGTTGATGAATATGTGTTGGACTCTTCTATCGCATCAAATTCGGGGTTGTTGAAGTTGGTGCCGCTCAACATGTAACCCATTGCTGAGTCGCCTGGCTGCAACAGGTTTCCTAGATGTGTTCTGGTGAAGAATGTCTTGTCGTTGACACCCAGATCGGAAGCACGAGCAACAGTTGCCTCAGCGAGCACCCACTTGCCCTTTCGTGTATGAGTGGGCTCAATGTCCATGATGACGAACTCGACCAACTCCATAGCGTCGGCGAGGGCTGTGAAGGGGGCACGCCAGTAGACGGACGAGTTTACTTCTGCGGTTTGAAGGGTTTGGGGGTCCATGAGGTAGACTGCTGTGCCAATCTTGTGGCAAAGGACGAGGGGTGAGATGTTGCCGCTCTGTTTCGCAAGCTTTATCGGCAGCGCAACCAGGTCATCTCTGCATACGGGGACAAGTTCGGCGGAAAATGTGAATTTGTATGATTTTTTTGAGGTGTGGGTATCCATAGAGATCAGCTCTTGTGAAGACCTGACTTTGACGGGAACGACTGAGTTGAGGAAGTCGACAAATTTCTCTGCCTGATTTCGCACAGAAAAGAAGAAATCGATGCCGTCTTTGGCTTCCTTGATGTTGATGGTCTCTCTGTGCGCGCCATGCTTCAAGATGAGCTGCTCCAGGAAGTGGAACGTCCTCTTGTGCAAGACCTTCTGTCGGACTTGGACGCAAGCCCTCCAGTGGTTGGGGGTGAAACTCTTCTGGCATTCGGGGCACTGCTGAGTCGTCACAACATACACAACCTCGAAGCTCTGCTGCAGCAGCACTCCCTGCTGGACGGAATCTTGGACGGTCAACTTGACCTTTACTCTTCGGGAGTGAGGCTCAGTCCAGATGAAGCTCGCATCGACGATTCGCACTTTGTTCAGGCCCCTTAGCTTCTTGAGGCAGAGCGCTAGGAGTTCGCGGGATTCGGGCATGGCGGCGATCCAACTTGAGGGTGGCAACAGCCATCTCTCGCAGTCTCTGCATTGCTGGATGGTGGCCTCTCGCTGGATTCCCTGGGAAATGTCGTTGGTCAACTTGATGCAGTCGTAGCAGGCAGCGCCTGTGGCTGTTGTTCCATCGATCGGGGCACCGCAGTTGTGACAGAGGATTCTGTGTTTTGATAGTGTGAGCATATGCCTTCATCATGGCAGCCCGCAAACGAGGAAAAGAAAAATGAAATAGAATCACATTTCTCCTTCGCGACAAGCTGTGAGACTGGGAGAAAATCACTTACGTTGCTGAAGTCGCCTGCTGCGACATAGGCGCAATAGAAATCGCATCATCAAGATCCATGGACATTTTGCTTGATGTTGCTGGTGGTGATGTGGTGTGAATGTGAATTATGGGAGATGAATTTATCAGATGGAGCCCCTCTGATACAATGTCTACGAAGAATCGAAAAATATTTTGCCCCGCTGCTTGATAAGCGACTTATCGCTGGATTTGCCGTCGCAGAACTTATTGCCTTATCCGTAGTAGTGGCGTGGAAATATGTGCCAACATTGAGTCAATCGTGTGGACATGCACTAAACCGGTAAGAGGATGACGGACATCAGAGCTGACTTTACTGTTATTTTTCGAGGGGGACTTTATTAATATCTGTTAATACTTTTCGAGTATCTACGAAGTCCTAATTGGGTCGCGGCACATCTCGACCCCCTCAGTCTAGCGTCATGCTGCCTGTTGCTGTGGCTTGTTAGCGATCACCTATGGGAGGTCGCCACGACTATGAAGCAAAACCTACCCCATAAAGACACCAGATGAGTGGTTGCTTCTTTTGGATTGTAGGAAGACAAGCGAGGCGACTGAGACATACATGACCATTGGGTAGGAGCTAATGCCCAATAGACTATTCAGGATGCGACGTGACATGATTCCACGCCTATTATATAGATATCAAATACAACAGTTATATTTCAAGCTTTGTCTATCGTCAATGTAGCAGTATATTTCAGCATCTTGCATCCTCAACACTTATAGATTCCCAATTTGAAGTGATAATTTGTTATAACAAGAGACCATGTTAAAACCTGTGTAAGCTATTCCTTGGTTCATGCCTGCTCCATTATTGTTAGGCAGCTTATACTGACGATTTAATATCAGAGAACTTACATATGACTCTTATACAGTGGGATGGGTATGTGTACTTCTCTCTGAGCTTTGCGCAGCAAGGGCATTGCTTGATGAGGAGCACGAACCGCTTCCTCCAAAGGACAATGACGACAACAGCTATCTTCTCGGCAAAATGGCGAAACATAATGTAGTTATTGTTTTCCCTGGAGAATATGGCACAAATGCTGCCGCTCAAACAGTTGCAAACACCATTCGTACCTTTCCTAATATCAGGTTTGGACTGATGGTTGGGGTTGGTGGCGGTGCTCCAAAACCGCCCCATTCTGATCCACGAAAGGATATTAGACTTGGAGACGTCGTAGTAAGCTGCCCTATGGATGGACATGGTAAAGTTTCCCGCCCTTTTCCACTTCAAAATACAAGCGTCTTTATAATCCTAACTGAGAATGGTCCAGGCGGCGTTCTTCAATATGATATGGGCAAATGGGCAGATGAAGTCAAATTTACGATTAAATCTCATCTCAACAAACCTCCCCAGGTGTTGCTCAAAGCGATAAAGCGCCTGCAGCTAGACCACGGCTTCGGTAAAGGAAAAATGTGGACAGACATTGACCAAGTTGTTAATTTAGACGTGCCGGCATTAGAAGATGCCGGGTATCCCGGATTGCAGCATGATCAACTATTCAGGTCCGATTACCAGCATTCCACTGGGGAAAATTGCTCATCTTGCGACGTGACCCGGATGGAAGAAAGAGGCGTAAGAAAGTCCACCCGTTCACTCGTCCATTATGGCTTAATAGCTTCTGGAAATGCGGTGATGAGGTCTTCCGTGCATCGAGATGAGCTGCGAGATACCTGGGGCGTGTCTTGTTTCGAGATGGAGGCAGCAGGTCTGATGGATACATTTCCATGCCTTATTATCAGAGGCATATGTGATTACTCGGATAGTCACAAGCACAAAATCTGGCAGTCATACGCAGCCATCGCAGCGGCGGCCTACGCAAAGGACCTTTTGAGAATCATTCATCCTAAAGAGGTTGAAACTACACCTCCACCGAGTAAGTTCATTATGAAATCATGAATTGACTTTTAGAAGCACTATAATATTGACCTCTACTACAACATAGAAATTACTCAGCCCCCAAAAGAGAGCCAAGTCAACGGTGATGCTCCGGCTAACGGCAACGGCAACGGAATTGGGGACGGACCATCCCGTGGTGCCGAAGAACTGCGTGCTGACAACGAGAGGTTGCGCGCTGAGACCGAGAAGTTGCGTGCCGAAGCTGAGAAGTTACGAGCTGAAGCTGAGAAGTTACGCGCCGAGGCCGACAGACTGCGAGCAGAAAACGAAAAGTTACGAGCAGAGACGGAGAGACTGCGTGCTGAGAGTGGGAAATCGTCAGCTGGCAGCAAACAGGCAGAGCCTCCTACTGTACGGACTGTTTCCATTCTCCCTCAAGGCTATTTCCAGAATGGTGGCTACTTTCCAGGAGAACAGAACCACTTGGTTGTCTGTTGGCAATCAGGCAATACGGAGGCTGTCTGGGCTATTCATGACGACAATGGACCACTTTCCTTTATACACCCAGCACCTGGAGGTTGCCAAAATACTCGTTCATTTGCTTTTTCCGGTCGTCTTTTCTGCCCCCGCAACCCTCATATTTCTTTTCACATTAGTTAGCTAATTTACGAAACTCCTCTGCTCAATTTAGACGAATCTCTATATTAAGAATGCTGATGCTGAACCTGGGCTTCGCCGTACAAATACCGTAGATATAAACAGATGTACGTAGTAGCAAATATTGAAACCCGAAGAAAAATATATATCCATGTATTAAAAAATCTTGCTCAATACTCTGTTCACCCGCTCTGGTTGCTCGCTGGTATCTTCGCCCTTCTTGATCTTGGAAATCTGCTTAAACGTCCGTACGCTCTCCTTTGCATCTTCGTTGTCCGCGGCATCGCTTGCCTTCCTCTTCTTCGCCTTTGCCTTTGCCTCCATACCGTCCAGCATCTTGGCTCTCTCCACATTGCGGACGAACAACTTGTTCTCCCGCGTCGTCTTGCTGATTTCAGCCCTCATGCGACTCGACCTCTCAGCATCCTCGGCGGCAATCTGCTCCGTCAGATTGTGCCATTTGAAACCATTGAGATACAACAGGTTCCATATATCGTCGTGGTAGTAGCTTCCTTTCTTTCCGCCGATTGGCCGTGCGTTTAGAAGTTCGCACACAGCCTTTGCATCCTTTTTCTTGATAAACTCGACCCAGCCCTCGGTAAACGTCTTTTTCTTGTTGCCGCCGCCTTTGACGCGCCGCGCTCGTGCGACTGGATCTTCGGGGGCGAGGAATATCCTGTTGATTTCTCCGTATGGAGCGAGAAGGGAACGTAGTTTGTTGGGCTTCATGAATGGCGGCACTCGTGAAATGTATACCACGCCGGATTTTTTGATCGCTTCAGCTGTCGCAACGAGGTTCTTCTTCGTCAAGGGTCGGGCAACACCAGGCAAGTCTTTGGTCCTCAGCTTTTTGGCCTTCTTCTTGCCGCTATCAGCATCGCCTTCGTCGTCCTCTCCGCCTTGTTTGGCTGATTCAGGGTTCTCCTCCTCTCCATCACTAGCATCTTGCTCCTTGTCGCTAGCTCCAGCATCATCGTCGTCGTCCTCGTCGTCGCTGCTAATCTTTCGTCGTTTGGGACCGCGCCCGCCCTTTTTTACTTCGTCATCCGACTCATATCCATTCAAGCGCTCATCTTCGCTATCGGATGCATCCAGAAACTCGTTGGCCTTTGTCGCAGCCATGATGTGTGATTTGCAGAACACTATTTCGTACCGTATGCGCAACTCGGCGCAGAGCTCGACGGTTCAGTTGTCGCAGCGGAAAAAAAAGTTCCTTATCGCGATAAGAAATTGACTTATGACAGTACCGGGGCACAGCGCATTAATGGATGAGGCGATGTCATGTTCGGCAGTGTATTCACATGCCTGCTGCCTTTTTTTAGCGGCCAGCACCTGTTAACCTACCCGACAGTATAACTACCGATGAATGGCTTAAACTTCATGCCTAAATCTCTCACGTGGGAAAGAAAACTTGGCAGTAGACTAGCCTCTTTCTAGAGAATTTACACATTGTATTCCATGGTACTTGGCTATGTACCTATAGATGCTACCACCTAACTACTAAAGCGCCTGCTTATCTGTTTTGTCCTGACTCCGGTCCCCAGACGGAGCTCTCTTACGTACAATTAGCCACCCGAGAAATGCCTAGGCACGGCCACCGTCCTTAGTATGGGGGCCATTATGCTGTCTGATGTATGGCGGGGCAACGATATCGGTGACGTGGGGCAAAGTAATGAACGGGCAAGAGCGGTCCATCAGACCGGTATCACCATTTCCCCTCTCCCTATCATCTCCATTCTGGTTTCAAATCTTTCATAATTCACGAGTGTTCCCTTGTACGGCTGCTTCATCAGATATACCCGTCTCCGTCTCTTTCCAAGAAATACACGAATCATGTCTGTCGAGGTGATCAACACCATCTCGCCAAATACCAACGAGGTGGTCATCACCCGCAATGGCGCCTCCCCTGCCGATCTGGAGCTGCTTCCCAAGGTCGCCACGGAGGCTTTTCTGAAATTTCGCAATACGACTCTTCAGGAAAGACAAGACATTGTTCGGAGATTCCTCGACGCATTGGCTAAACAACAGGATGACCTCGCCCTGGAACTGACCACCCAGATGGGCCGCCCCATCGCTTATACAGCCAAAGAAGTCACCACGGCCATCAAGAGGGCAGAATATCTCCTCAAGATCAGCTCTACGGTTTTGCAGGATGCCGAGGGTGAGGCTGAGCAAGGGTTCAAGCGTTTCATTCGGAGAGCACCCGTTGGCCCTGTTCTCATCATCTTCGCCTGGAATGTAAGCAGTCCCATCTCCTGCACCAGCCACTACTACTCGCGTAAATTTTCTTTATTCTTTTAAATTAACACATCATTGTCTCAAGTATCCTTACTTGATTCTCATCAATGCGCTGATTCCAGCAATCCTGGCCGGAAACAGCGTGATATTGAAGCCATCGCCGCAAACCCCAACTATTGTGGAACACGTTGCCAAGCTCTTCACAGAGGCCGGCTTGCCAGAGGGAGTTTTGCAGTATTTCCACTGCGGCTCCCCTAGCGTCATGGAGACTATTGTGCGAGATCCTAAGATTGCACTGGTCTGTTTCACGGGATCCGTTGCTGGCGGCCTTGCCGTGCAGAAGGCCGCGTCCGACAGGATTGTCAACGTGAGCCTCGAATTAGGCGGCAAGGATCCTGCCTACATTAGAGATGATGTGGATATTGATTGGGCTGCTGAGGAGATTGTCGACGGCGCCATCTTCAACTCTGGCCAAAGTTGCTGCTCCCTTGAACGAATCTACGTGCATGAAAATGTGCACGATGCTTTTGTCGCGGCCGTGCAAAAGGTGCTCAAGGGATACAAGCTCGGAGATCCGTTTGACAAGTCGACTCATGTAGGACCCGTCATCTCTAAGCGTTCCAAGGAAACAATAGAGTCGCACATTCAGGACGCCTTGAAAAGGGGAGCCAAGGATGCTACGCCGGAAAACGAAAGCTTCCAAAACCCCCCGCCCAAGGGCAACTTTGTGAAACCAACCCTGTTGACTGATGTGGATCATACAATGACTGTCATGACTGAAGAAACATTTGGGCCTGTGATTCCCGTTATGAAGGTAAAGGGCGACGATGAGGCCGTGAAGCTGATGAACGATAGCGAGTTTGGACTCACGGCTAGCATCTGGACCAAGGATGTGGATCGAGGCTACGCACTTTCGGAGCAGGTTGACGCTGGCACTGTCTTTGTCAACCGCTGCGATTTCCCCAGCCCGGTAAGTCACGACGCGTGCACCCTAAAAAACACACATGCCCCCTTCTCCCTTGTTGGGTCGTCATCACATCACACCCGACCGGGTAACAACCCTAGCAATCAAGCAATCAAGAAAAGAAAATGATTTGATGAAGGATCCGTGTGCTAACTGTACGACCAACAACACAGGACCTCGCGTGGACAGGATGGAAGAACTCGGGTAGAGGTCAGACACTTGGCAAGTTTGGCTTTGACGCATTTGTCAAGTCAAAGAGCTTTCACATCAAGGACTACCCGAAATAAGCGTCGAACGGCGCCTTGTGGTACTGAACAATTTAAAACAAGTACATAATGAAAGAAAGAAAAGACGCTTTACTACCACCCAATGAACCTAGTACAGCTGTGCCTCCGCACCAGCCCCAAAGATTAGCGAGAGATCTCCCTTTGGGCTCCTTTGAGCGTCGAGCCGCGGAGCTTGTGATTGGCTCGCCTGCGACGAATAACGCGAGGATGCTGTATCGGACAAGGGTCCCAGGTGTTATCGTTCGTTTTCTCGTGAAGGGTCACCACAGCATCTCACATTCTCGTTCTGCATGAAAGGCGTCTCCACCGCCGCCAACCCTAAATCCAAAGACGAACGGGATCCAGTCCCCAATGCAACCCGTGATGAGATGAAACAGGAATTCGTCGCCAAGGCAAGGAGGCTGCGAACGAATCGGCCAAGCCGCCGTTGACCCCATTCGTTCTGTACAAAAAGGAAGCAAACAATGGCCGTGCACGTCCGTCCGTTGCTCCGCCATGCTCCGCCCTGGTATGATGGCCTTGTTGTCGTCGTGCCTCTCGCCTACCGACAGCTCATTACCCTGACGAATGCAACGGCGTACGGAGTCTTGCGTGAGGATAGCAGCATCTGGAATGCCAATTCAGTCCTCGTACATTCCACATTAGGCCTTGGGGTGATGCACAGGTCTTGATCCAAGCCGGCATGTGAGACAACTCTGCACCTCTCTTAGGGTTGTCGCACTCTGCGCGGGCGCGTGTGTGTTTAATGAAACCCCGTTCGACAAAGGCCCAAAAGCGGCACCGACCGAAGGGTTATCGAATAACGGTGCTCAGACACGCATAGCTGCCGATGTGATGTGTTATATATATGGCCAGCACCGCATCCGTCGGAAACGTGCTGAGCCTGTGAATCTCAAGCCGGACGCCTTCATTCATTCTGCACCCGCAGCTTCGGGAGCCTCACCAGCCCACACACTCCTTTCCCCCTTGTCAGACGGCAGTTTGCGCGCACTCTTTTTTACTTTCCTTTTTTCCTTGCCATTGTCTTGCCTTGAATTTCGCTTTCGGCAGTTTGCAGCAATAGCCGGATTTTGTTGTTTGTCTATTTGTGCCTTGCTCGTATTCTCTCTTCAATAAAAAGGCTACACCACCTAGACCCAAGCGTCTGTTTCTTCATCAAATCGACTTAATTCGTTTTACCAACACTTCATCATCCAACAGCATTTAGAAGAGAAAAAGCAAGGAAAAAGACACCAGCGGAGACGCTACTTTTACTATTGTGGTCTTCACTATTACTTCTAATTTCAGCAAACTTCTGTCAGCACAGTTGAACAAACAACCACTGTTGTCGGCATCTACCATCATTCTTAATCTTTTCTTTTTCTTCATCTCAACATCACTTACCAGCTGTTGAATTCATCTTTCGGATTTTCCTTCAATTTTTACCAATTTTTAATCCAGTCAAAGACTTGCCTTCGCCACGAGCGATGGCGAACTTGCCGCGAAGTGTTTCATTGATCAACTTGGAGACGGAGAGCATCGGTGGCTGCTCCAACACGACCTACTCTACTTCCGAAATGCGTCTCAAGAACAATGTCAGGACTCTGTACGAGCGCATGCAGGCAGCTTTGCGTCATGGCAGGCGGAAGCAGAAACGCGGGCTGCAAATCGTACGTCCATGTGCCTTGTTTCACACAAACGAACTTCTGACTAACAATGACTTTCCAGTCTCAGCCGTTTGGTCTCAAAAAGGAGCCTGTTCTGCTCCCCGGCATCTCGCAAGAAGAGTGAGGCACCCCGAGACAAAACCACGCTATTGATCAATGTCCTTTTTATCTGAACTTGCGTGCTAATACATGTTTGACACAGGCTCTGTATCCTTCGAGAAAAGGCTGCCGCTAGTCGCATTGGTGTTGCTGAAGACTCCATGTTTCCCGATCCAACGGCCAGCCTGCCTCGATCGATCCGGTCTCGCTCTCCTTACCGAAGCCCTTCGCCGTTTTCCGTTGTCTCTGCCAACACTCAGCAGCAGTCCAACTAATTGAATGACTGGATGCAAATATCATGAACGAAAAACCACAATATCATCATATCCATGATTGAGGACATTACGGGTACTATTATCACTACTTTTTATCGTTACTGCGTTGGATAGTGGTGCCTCTTCCCCTTCCATTTCCTTTTTTCTCTTTTCCATTTTTTCCTTTTCTTCTTCTCATGGGCATGGTAAACAAGGGACAAAACAGATTGGCTAGATTGGATAGGTTTGGGATCGGACAGGTACTTAATTATGGGCTATTACAGGATAGATTTGGGCGGGAATGGTTAGCAAGCGACGGGACAGGATAGATATTGCAATGATGATTTCCGTTTGGTCGATTCGAGGAAAAAAACAAAAACAAACAAACGGAAACAGGAATAATTTTGGTAATGATGCACGCGATTGGGGGCGAAAAAGGGGGACCGCACTTTAGTTAATGTAATACAGAGTAATGCAGGAAGAGAGATTGATTGTTTTCACGCAGTGATCTGTGCCTTGTGCTCTGACTGTACTATCTGGTTTCCCGTTTGTGCCAGCGTCATTTCGCTTTGTTCTTTTTGTCTCGGAGTGGCATGGGTTTTTGGCGTAATGAGATGTTCGCCTGTGAAACTTGACACAGACCATATACAGCCACCTGATGTAAACACTGGATCGGACTTTGTTGATCGATTTGGGTTCTTCTATCTTTCCATATAAAACTCTATATTAATTTTGGAGAAATGTCTCCTCCTCTTTCTTTTGCTATGAAGTGATCTACAGCTTTCCGGGGGGACCTGCTTGTCAAAGAACAAAGCGGGTTGAACAATGCCCGAGGGCGCGAAGCAAGCTATAGCCAGCCGTCGTACACGTCCAAGCTCTCCTGGCGAACCCCCTCCATCTCCCCCTTTACTCCCAAGAGCTTCACCTTGGCGTCTTTGTCGCGACTCCAGGTGGCCAGGAAATCCTGCACTCGGGCCAGCGTCTGGTCGTCGTCCCGCATCAGCAGGGCCAGCGCGTCGTAGCCGCCGGCGCCAGGCACGACACCGCCATAGACGCCTTCGAGGGCGCTGACGGCATCGAGCAGCTCGGTTTGCGTGTCGGGCTCGATGGGCACGTCGCTCTCGCGGCCCATCTGGCGGATCAGCTCGCGGACCTGGCTGAGTTTGCCGGGGAGCTGGTCAAGGGCGCCGGCCTTGAGGGTGGCGGCCAGGTCCTCGTTTTTCGACTGGAGGTCGTTCCAGAGGGCTGTTGAGTGCTGCTCGTCTTGGCTGCGCCATGAGAGAACCTTCTTCACCATGCCGACGGTTTGGCTGCCGCAGTCGACGTCGCACATGCGCAGGACCAGGCCTGGTGGCAGGGTGACGCCATCGTCTTCCACCTCGACGTCCCACTGCTCGCCATCTACGACCGCGAGGAGCTTATCGCTGAATCCAGGGGCACCGGGCTCGGGCAGCGCATTGAGAATGGAGGGCGAAAACCTGCGGTAGGTGCAAGACCCATAGACGGCGGCAGCGACATCAAAGCCTGAGCCGACCTTGCCCTGGGCGGCACAGTGGGCGGCCTGGGCAAGGTTGTGAAGTGTCTGCTTGCCCTGCTTGGAGGAGAGGTCAAAGATGGTGGCGGGCAAGTAGTGAGTGAGCAAGGAGGCGGTTAGGGAGGTGACGAGAGCCGCGGAGGAGCCAAGGCCGGTCTTGTTGGCGCCCTTGAGGGTGACGGGGAACTTGGCGAAGCGGCCGGACGAGGACGCGTGAGAGTGGGAGTAGTAGTCGTTGTCGGCAAGGATGATGATGCGTGAAGACTTGATGGCGCCGTGAGTCTTCTTGGATGAGACCACGGCGTCGATGTAGGTGAGGGCGTAGCTCAGCGTCGTCTCGACAAAAGGGTTGGCCGAGATGGTGGGGCCGCTGAGATGAGGAACCAAGACACGGCAAATGTCAGCAAGAGTAAAACAAGCCGGTTTGGAAACAAGGAGAAGAAGGGCTTTGCATGCCTTGGAACAGGCAGAAAGAAGAGGAAATTTCCCTTTAATTGAAAATGAGAGGCCTTGTCTTATTACTGGAGGGAATTGGGGCGTCTTGTCGTTGTCTTGTTCTCCCTTGGATTCCGCAACGTTTTCATTCCCGAGAGACAGACACAGAAACAAAAAGGGTTCCCCTTTCTCAGGGCCTCTCAAACAAGATGAATCCCATGACCGCAATAAAAATAGCAAATGAAAACAACAACAATAACAACAGTACAATAATAATGAATAATACGAGTACTCACACCTGCAGCTGGGTCACCTTGATGCCCCCCCTTTCCGGCGCGAGATGGTAGCCGTAGCGCCACTGCGCTTCCTGGAACTGCGGGCTGTCGACGACAATCTCGTTGAGCTGGACGCCCTCCTCTGTGAGAATCTCGCCGGCGACGACGTTGATGCGCGCGCTCAGGCCCAGCACCAGGCCGGTGTAGGAGCGGTCCAGCACCAGGTAGCCGCCGGCCAGGAGGACTTTGCCCGGCGCGGAGACGGCGACGGAGGCGTTTGCGGTGGGCATCTTTTTGTTATTATTATTTGGTGAGTATATGGAGAGAGAGAGAGAGAGAGGCGGATAGATAAGCTATAAGCAATTAGAGCCGTATATAGGGTGAGCAGCTATATATGCATGTATGGATGTATACTCCGTATATATATATCTGACAAGCCTTTTGCGATGTAACGGTGGGTAATGCAGGCGAAAACGAGGCTGGCAAAGAAGAAAGAGCCCAATTGAATAGCAGGGGATATAAAAAGCGGGTGGATATCAGATAAAAAAATGCTAAAGAGATGACCGACTTTTACTGGCCAATCTCTGAATCTCTTGACTTGCTCGTGTCGTTAAAGTCGACGCTGAGGCCTGGTGAAGGAGATCTCGGATCTTGGAGGTTCTGAAATGGAGCGGGGGGTTGAGGGATGCCTCACAGTGCAGCGTGCTATCGCGCCGTATTCGTATTCGCACTGTCGCCCAACGCAGAAGCAGTCATGATGGGTCTCTCTTCTGATAGTAATATGATTCATTCACACAGCTGCATCATCACCATCATCATCACCACTACAAAGTCGGTCAATCTTAATACTAGGCATTTTGTTTTATTTCGCTGCCTTGGCGCTTCCTCCTTTATATGCCCTTTCCATCTTCTTTGATATGATACACGGTAGCAGAAAATCCAGTCCAGTCCAGTAGTAATAAAGGCACAATTCCCTTGAACCCTTTATATACCATCCAAACAATCCCAATAAAACACCCAATATTCTGCTACTACCGTTGTGGCCGTGGCTTTGGCCTATGCCGAGTGGAGATTTGTCTATCAGCGGCTCCCAGAGTCCGCAATCCTTCAGTCCTGTCTTTCGCATCACCCAGACCCAATAACCAAAAAAAATATGCCTTCTTTTTTTGTATATGCAAATCATGTACCCATCCTCCGCCTGAAAACGCCGTGCCATCCTGTAGCCACAGAAGAAAGCTGTGTGACAACACAGAAGAAACCAGGATGATGAAATGGAATTCAAAAACACCACGCAGAGCCTCTGATATTAAGACGACACCCCAATACAAACACCATCCAACCTGCATGCCAAAGGGGTATCAAAACACGTCGAGGCTTAAAGCAGAAACGAAAAAACAAAAGAAAGATGAACAAATGAAAAAAGGCGAAAAAAAAAAAAAACCAAGAGACAAAGGCGTCGCTCTAACAAAACTGGAAAAGAAAATATTGGCTGTAAAATGTAGTGCGCACCAAATCACTCCAAGCTCGCCTCTTGGCCTCCGCCGAGCAGCTCAAGAACCTTGTTGACAACAGCGCTGGGATACCCGCGAGTGAGCATCTCTCCCACGACTGCCTTTGCTTCTTCTCTCTGCTCGACGGCAAGGAAAGCTCGTGTCATGGCCTCGTACGTGCTAGGCTCGCGCTTCTCACGAGGCACAGCATCGTAGATGGCCTGGGCCTTTTCGATCTTCTTCTCTGCGGCCCAGCCATGGATCAGAGTGTTGGCAATGTAGGGTGTGAGCTCCACTTGCTTGCTTCGCATCTCTGCAAGAACTGCCTCCGTTTCGGCGACCCGGTGATTCGCTACCATGGCTTCGAACAGGGCCTGGTAGATGCTGGCGTTGACAGGGACCAGGTATTCCTCTACGACCTTGTCGAAAACCTTTCGGGCGCCTTCCATGTCGTGCAGGACGCAGCCCCTGGCGTGGATGAGCGATGCATAGTGCACCGACTCGGGTCGCTGGCCAGCTGCGCGCATCTCCTCCAGTACCCGTTCAGCGGCTTCCAAGTCCACCGTCTCCAGAGTAGCGTGTGTGTCGATCAAAAGCTTGTAGGTGTGAGAGGTGGGTGCAATGCCCTTGGACATCATACGGTCGTAGTAGGCAAGGACCTTGGACTTGTCTCGCTTTGTCGTTAGGAAGAACTGCATCATGCTGTTGTACGGTGCCGGTCTGGCCTTGTAGTTGGGCATGGCCTCCATCTCGTCAAAGAGCTCTTCCGCAAACTTCTCGTCACTGACACGGCACAGCGCGTTGACAATGGTGCCATATGTCACCGAGGTTGGCTTGATGCCAAGCGCCCTCATCTCGGCAAAGTAGAAGAGACAGTCGTCAATGCGGCGAGCCTTGCCCAGCTTGCCGATCAGTGCGTTGTACAGGAAAGAGCTGGGCTCGACACCCTCGGTCTTGGCGCGGAGGAAGATGCGAACTGCTTCTGAGGCCTCGTCAAACGTCTTGGTGGAATCCTTCAATGTGGTGATGTACAGTCCAAAGGTGTTTGCAGAAGGGGTGGCGCCCATTTCAAGCAGCTCTTGATGATACTGCTCGGCGCGTCCGCGGTTACCCAGTGTCAGGCAAGCACCAACCATTGCGTCCAGAATCGAAGACCAGCCATAGCGAACTACGGCATTGTGAGCAATCGGGGGAACGTCGGTGCGAGCCATAGCAAGAACATCCTGGCAGAGATCCATCTTGCTCTCGCGAGCAGCGGCGGAAATCAACTTTGCATACGTAATGTATCGGGGGTGTCTGCCAGCACGTCGCATGTTTCGGAATCTGTTGAGAGCTTCGTTGAGACGAGGACCCTTGCGGCCATGGCTACCTTCCAAGTCATCGGCGATCAAAGAAGAGCCCTTGAAGTCGGTGTTGTGGGCATAAGGGTCATAGTTGTCCTCGTAGCTGGAGACTGTGGGGGTAGACAGATAGGGGGAAATACTATGAGCTTGTGAAGGGATTGTCGACATCTGAGAGGCCAGCTCACGGGGATCGACGATACCACGGGATTCCATGTAGCGAGCAATGAAATCGGAACCCTCATCAATCTCTTCGCCAAGCTGGAGGCGCGTTTCGGACTCGATGGTTCGAATTCTCTGGAACATCATCTCCGACTGCGCCAAGCCCTCTGCAACCTGACCGGAACCAATAAGGGAAACCGCGTACATGGCAGTGGGCTCAATGAAGGCAGCTGTGGCGTGCATCTCGGGGTTGGAGAGGACGTGCCAGTACTTGGAAGCCGAGGCAACGTCGCCGAGTCGCACACTCATGGCAAGAAGAGCAATCGAAGGAGAAGCGAGATCTTGGAGTTCCGCCGCATGGATGTTGGCATAAGCCTCGATAGCCGTTGTAGCATCGTTACCATCAGCAGCAACCGTGGCAATCTTCATCATGGCCTGGTCACGGGCGCTAGCGTTGAGGGATTGAGCCCACTGAAGTGCCTCTTGGAAGACACCCCTTGCGATGAATCCCTTGATGAATCCAAGGTCGACCAAGGCATCCTTCATGTCGGAAACAGAGACGCCATATTCGTCCACAATCTTCTTGAAAAACTTCATTGCGCCCTCGATCTTGTCGGAGATGACATAGGCATTGATGACCGAGGCATACACTTGGGCGTCCAGTCGATCGCCGAGCGAAGAGCTTCCGGCATCGTGAGAGATGGCTAGGCTTCGGTACTCGTTGTAGCATTCCACAGCGCTGATGAGGTTTCCAGACTTGGCATATGCAGTGATCATGGTGGGGAAGACATCGGCAGAAGGAATAATCTCGCTGAGCTCCATATGCTCATAGAATCGCAGCATATCTGATACCCGGCCAACCTGAGCGCAGGCCGAAATCAGCTGTCGATACGTCTCTGCAGAGTAAGAAACCTTGCCAGCATCGAAGGACATGTCAAACAGCTTAACAGCCAGATCGAGGCGCTCATCCTCGCACAAGATGGCGTGCTCCAACTCGTGCGAAGCAAACATGAACTTGCCGGGCTCATCCATTCCGCCAAATCGCAAGCGCTTTTCCTCAAGAAGTGACTTCATTTCTGAGACCTCCAGAGAACGCGAAGAAAGCAAATTGACAAGAATGTTGAAAGTTTGACCATTAGGGGACACTCTCCGGCGCATCATGTCGGCATAGACATCCAGAGCCTTGGAGACGACCTCGCTTCGCTGGCTAGGAAGATTGATTGCGGCTAATAGCAGAGCGTTGTAGGCACTGGCAATGGGCTGGACACCAGTGGCCAGCATGGCCTCGAACACAGCCGGGATCTCAGCATACCGGGCAGCCTCTGACAGCTTCTCCAGATGCTCGGCATATGACTGAGATTGGTCTTGTACAGACGGGGAGCCCGTGCGGGAAACACGACCTGAGCCTTGTGATGTTTCGACCGCAGGCGCAGGTGTGCGCGCACGAGAATGGGGGGCAGAAACGGAGAGACCTCCGGCGGCAGCTTTTTCAACAGCCGCCTGGAGAGTCCGCGCCTGGATTTCCTTTTCTAGAGCAGCATCGATGTGTGCAAGAGCTGCCTCCTCCTCCGCCGACATTAGATGCTGTGATTCCACAGCCTCATTGGTGGCTTCGACCGCAGCGCTCTGCTCGACGGCTTCTGCGCTGGCCTCGGCCCCATTCTCAGCGGCGAGAACTGATGACGCATTGGGCTTCCACTCAATGCGCTTGGGGAAATCGAACTGTGTCCATTCCTGGTCTTCTTCCTCTCCGGCGGCCTGCTGCTTTTGCAGGGCCTCGAAGTAGGCGTCTAAACCTCCATGGTTCGAGACATGACGGTGCTCAGCTGGGAGACCGGATGATAGCTTCTCGTTATGGAAGGCAGAATAGAGAGGAAAGGCCGAGGCACGACTGGATCGGTTCGGCTGTCGTCGAAAGACAGGGCGGTTCTGTGAGTTGAGGACGTGAGGATGAGTAGCAGCTACGACGGATTGTGCGTAGCCGTGGGCGGTAACGGATTTGGCGAATGTAGATCCTTGACGGATAAAATTCGAGTACAGCGAGGAGTAGATGGGCATTTAGATAGCGGGAGGTAGTGACTATGAGGCGGGCGTGTTAGTGGCAGATTCACACACACACATGGAGTTGTGAAGATGAAGGAGGCATGATATTGCGAGGGGCCTCCAATAATAATGCAGAGAACTGGATGCCCCAGGAAGACCAAGACAACAGCAAAAGACGATGCGTGTTTTTGCTTGGGCCGGTCACGATTGTGACTCTGTGACGGCGCACAAGCAGCGCATTGAAGCTTGGGAGGCAAAAATCGGGGCCAAGACTTACGGGGGAGAAAATGATAGTGGGCGATTGCAGGTTCATTTGACAGCCCTGAAAGCCGTCAAACAAACGCGCTATGTAAATTGGAAAAAAATGGTTGGGGAGAAAAGGGGGGATGAGAATGAAAGAAGAAAAAGACAACCGAAAGCCAAGAGCTGGGACGAAAAGAAAGGGTCCAGCCTCGACTATCTTCTTTTTTTCCTGGTGGTTTGTGTGCGCTGACTTGAGATGTGAAAAAAAGAGAAAATAAGGCGGCGAGAAAATGGCGGGGGCCCGTGCCGGCCTTATTCTCTCGGCCCAGGGCTGCGCTGAAGTGCCGTGGACGGATGGAGGAGGCCGCTAAAGGCCAGCGACAGCACCTACGTAAACAGCGCGAGTGGAGGCTCAAGGCCGCCTAGAAGGTGCCAGTACTGCACAGTAGTGCTGCTACAGTACAGGTGCTTGGCGCTAGCGCATTGGAAGGGTGGACTCGGGAGCTTCCAAAGGCACGAGCATGTGGAGATGACTCAGGCTGAAGAGGTGCAGATATGGCTCCAGTTGTCGAATTTTTCTGGCTATTTTTTTCTTCTTCCCTGCGTCTTTGTGTATGTGTGCTTGGTAATGCGAGCTGTCTTCAATCCAATGCAATGGCTTGCAGATGCCGCTACTGTACTGCTGCATCGTCTATACTATGTACTACTGGGTAAACGGGATACGGGATATGGACAGAAAAAGAAAGTCACCAAGCGATATCAGACGCGCATTTCCGTCTCGGGCTTGGTAGTTTCATCCCCTTAACGCAGGTGAAATGAGACGCGGGCAAATATAGAATAGAACTCAAAAGAAGCCTTATCCGTGCTCCTTCGGGTCAGCGTCGCCATCGCGTGCGTCATAGGCAAATTACAGTGCACGCATTTTGTCGCTGCAAGTCTGGGGTTCTTCAACTCACACACGACGCCTTACCCAAAACTGCTTCATACCGCCCACTCTTTTAAAGAAAGGAAAGCAATTTTCTCTGGCAAGGCGGCAAGGCATGCGCGTCCCACACGTCCCCGTTTTGACAGAAAAAAAGAAAGTTCATAGAGGCCCTGATTGGCTGCAGCGAGAACAAACCGGCGCCCATTCGTTGGGATTCCCTGTCCGACTCATGGGGACCAAGGGAGAAGCCGGAACCGTCGGCGGACCCTGGAGATGCTCCGTGAGAAGCGCGAAATGGGCCTCCAGTTGACCGAGAGGCTGAAGCCCTTGAGCCCCCGGCATTCCTGAGTCTCCGTCCGAGGCAGTGCTTGATATCATGAATGACGGGGCTTTCTGCAGAGGATTGACCCAGCGACAGCTGCAGGTTCCTGGCAGGTATCTGATATCATTCTGCACCACCATTGCTGCATCAGAAGCAAGTATCAAGCGAGCCAATGTTTTAATCCCTCAGACAACTACGACTACCTACCAACAGCATTACGTGGTTTGGACCTCTGGAATTTGCAGAGCATGCGCGTCGCAACAAGACACATGGCCATGATAGGCAACCCGCGATTACTCTCCACACGCAAAGGTGCGACGCCTCGACGGCCATCCCATATCAATCTGTATTAGTCTCCGTATTTGGAGTGCAGAAACGCAGTGTCGGACACTTTGAGAGCCCGACACCAGTGACTTGTGGGTGTGTGGTATTAGCGACAATGGCGTTTAATTCCACCAAGTAAGAAGCGCCTGAACAGAGTCGGGGCATCATGCATTATGGGATTGCCGTTTCAAGCACCTCGTAATTATCAAGTCTGCACGGTGCGTCTGAATTAGACGCGCACAAACCGTCTCTCGTAAGCCAGCTCCCGGGAAGATGATGCTTCTTTGCGGTCGATCTGCGTCCACACATGTCTTTGCTTTCATCGGGTGGCGATTGTTAGTTGAACGCCTCAAGTCGCCTGCAAAACAGCCACCACGCGAACATGCCAAACATGCTGAGACGTTTCTAGAAGAAAACTCCCACTATGGCAGTTAGTCGCTTCATGGCAACAAACCCTAAAATGAATCCGTCGCAGTCGCGTCCCAGGCGTGGAGTCTTTGTGCGATCCTTCAGTGCGCCAAAACTCAGCCCGTCACATGGCCGGGACGACGAAAAATGTCCCGTCTACACCCGCACCTTAGCTAGCCCATGCGAGTATCTCGTACTGCGACACGGGTTCGGATGCCACGGACACAGACCTAGCATCTCCGAGCTGCTCGGCATATTTTTTGCGACCCGGCTGCCGCACCCGGTAGCCCCTCCGTCAATAGGCGAGCCGTCGCTGTATTTGCTTATATCCGGGACCTTGACAAAGTGCGACGCTCAATATAAGCCGCGTGCAAACATAGAAGAACCTCCCCTTTTGCTATCTAGTAGGGAGTATTGTAGTTTGATTGGTATAATAAAGATTTTCAATATCAAGAACATACTTACCTACATGTAACTCCATGCTGGGTTACATGCCAAAGTTCATCCAAATCCCGTAGCGTTCATCCTGAGCAGATAAAATAAGTCTCTTTTCTTTATACTTATCCAATGCCCTCGGCTCGCAAACTTGTGTTGCATAGCCATCATCACTAACATTAGAATGCTCCCTAGGTAGAATCATTAGCAGTACAGCGTCATGATGCAAACATCGGAGTTGGCAATAACCTGGGCATGACATAGTATCTGCACTCTAAAGATAGCAGCGACAGAGGCAGGAAGCCCGTGCATAAAGCGCATGAGGGTCAGCATTTGTATAGCAGACTTCACGGGAGGATTAGCAGGGCTTCGTATGGTATAGAGCAGTCAGTGGCAATGCCCATATGTAAATCTTGCTCACACTCAGCTATTCTACTGCTTGTCTGAGGTATGAGCCACATAGACCCACCCACATGTTATCGCAGATATCTAGCCGCACTATCGAATATTTCTTATCGATAAGAGATTTTCCAAAGCAAAAAATCCCAATTGCATCTTTTGTTTTGGAGACGAACATTTCAAAGTCGAAGCCCCACCAGACTGCCAGAGCGAAGAGGCCACTCCCACCATGGCTGACGATGGAATGCTGATGAATTTTGAGCTCGGCAGTGGGCCGCTCAAGCCGCAAGTCAAATTCACCGGTGGAAGCTGGAGAGACAGGAAGCGGGCGCAGAAGAGCGCAAAGCTTGGCTCACGTCCAGCAGTTGAGAGATCAGGTCTTGACGACGACCAGCGATCGGCAAAGAGGCTGAAAGTTGATGGCCATGGACCCGGAAGACGCACCGACGGCGACTCGGAACACCGCACAGACTTTCCACGAAAGAAAACGGCAGATCATGGACACGCTCCGGGACAGAATAAAGGCCCCGGAAAAGGGTCTCGCCAAGTCGTTTCCCGCTTGTTTTCTTTCAACCCAGAGCAGAAAACAACATTCGATGACGAGCCCGAATGGAAAGAACCAGAACCGACAAACGCGCCACTACTGACGGTTGCTAACTTCGGATCCCTGACGATATCCTCTCGACTCGTGGAGGCGCTTGCCAAGATGAACCTTGAGCGCCCAACGGCAATTCAGCAAAAAGTTATTCCTCACATGCTGTCGAGCAGCTCAGATGCGTTTGTTCAAGCTGAGACGGGTTCTGGAAAGACGTTCGCCTACCTTCTTCCCATATTACATCGAGTTCTCCTCCTTAGCGGACGAGGCGACCAGCAGATTCATCGGGACTCGGGCATTTTCGCCATTATTGTCGCGCCAACCCGCGAACTTGCAAAACAAACACATACAGTGCTGGAGCAGCTCATTAGACCATTCCCATGGCTGGTCTCTACCGCGATCACTGGAGGAGAGTCTAAGAAAGCGGAAAAGGCTCGGCTTCGGAAAGGCATCAGCTTCTTGGTGGCAACTCCGGGAAGATTGGCCGATCACATCGATAACACCAAGGCTCTCAATTTGGGCACTGTAAGGTGGCTTATTCTCGACGAAGGCGATCGACTGATGGATTTGGGATTCGAAGAGGATCTAAGGAAAGCCATTAATGCTCTTAAGCAGATAGAATTGTCAAAGACTCTTTCTTCCGGAGTATCTCTCGAGCCTCTTCCAGATCGAAGAGTTACCGTTCTATGCTCTGCTACAATGAAGATGAATGTGCAGAAACTCGGCGAGATGAGTCTTGCTGATGCTACCTTCCTGGCTGCTGAAAAGGGCGCTGAGACGGTGGCTGAAAACAAGGACGAACAGGCTGTTCACAAGGCTCCGGCACAATTGCACCAGTCACACATCATTGTACCTGCCAAGTTGAGACTGGTGACACTTATGGCCTATCTCAAGTCTGTCTTCTCTCGCCGTGGCCACACAATGAAAGCCATAATTTTCATGTCCTGTGCTGATACCGTCGACTTCCACTACGAACTTCTCAAGGTTCCCGAAAACGGTGAAGTACCTCCCCCGACCTCAAAAGATGCAGAAAATATCTCCAAGACCGTTGCAAAGGCAGCGTATATCACGTCGCTTGCAAGCCCCGAGGTAGTGCTGCACAGGATGCACGGCTCCCTTTCACAGCCAGTTAGAACGGCAACACTGCGATCGTTCTCGGCTTGCAAATCCCCCTCTCTTCTCATCACAACAGATGTCTCGTCTCGTGGTCTAGACATTCCTTCGGTTGATTTGGTCATCGAATATGACCCTGCCTTCAGCTTTGCCGATCATATCCATCGAATTGGACGTACAGCGCGAGCTGGACGCTCGGGTGACGCAGTCATTTTCCTTCTCCCCGGTACAGAAGAGGGCTACATTGAGCTCCTCAAGGCTTCTGGCTCACCCTCCCCTCTATCTTACGAATCTGTGCTGCAAAAGGGCCTGATGACCAAACTGGAATTCCCCGTAGAAACGACAGCCAAGCCTGAAGATGGACAATCCTATCACGATAAAGCGGAAACTTTACAGCTTCACTTGGAGCAGCGCCTCCTCATCGATAGCAAACGACTTGAGCTAGCAAGGAACGGATTCAAGTCGCACATCAGAGCCTATGCGACACATACTCGAGAAGAGAGAGTCCATTTTGACATTACTCAGCTGCATCTAGGACATGTTGCGAAAGCTTATGGATTACGTGACCCGCCAGGAGGAATTGGCGCTGGTCTGGACCGGAAGGCACAAAAGGGAGGCAAAGATGCAGGGAAGAGGACCGCCAAAGGCGTTAAGGGAGCCAAGAAGGGTGATGATGATGATGATAGTGATAGCGACAAGCAAGATCAGGCGAAGCCGGCGAGAGCCATGCTTATGCGTAAGAGTAGGATGCTCACGACGGGAGCTAGCGAGTTCAATATTGGATAGCGATATATGCTGTTTCGATCTCTTTTGCTTTTTCAATTCTACAAACTTTGTTTTGATAGTTTCCGGTTTCGGCCTTGATAATATATATACATGATGAGATGACTCAACACGCGCACTAAATCATCCGAGTGACAGCCCGACTCATAACTGATCCTAAGATAAACCACCTAGACACCACCAAAAACAACTTCTGGAACGCTGACACCTCCCTGATAAAGACTTGCAGTCGAAACATGGTGCTCTACTAACCTCCTTAAAGTAAGGGTTTCCGGGTCAACGTCGGGCGAATACAAAACAGCCGCCGTTGCGACTTCCGGCGGGGTGATAAGAAAAGATAAGGGTCAACTGGTCAATTTCTTTGTGACTCAACTACTTGTACAAGATCACACGCGCGCCCCGCACCTGTTGGACCTGAATCTTGCAAACGAAACCTGTCAGGATCACGAGCGACCGCCCAAGATGGCGACCATTTACATTGACGAAGACATTGGCAAGGATGAGGTTTCCCAGACCGGCGCTGAGGATTCCCCCTACAAGACACTGCAGTTCGCCTATCTCCAGCGTCCCGCTGAAGGCCAATATCTGACTCGCAAGTCGCAAGCCGAAGATGAGGCCGCAAAAGAGTGGAAGCCCGTCGCCAAGGCTGCCCTGAAGAAGGCTGTCAACTTCTTCGACGTGCAGAAGAAGAAGGCGGCCAAGGAACAGGAGCTGGTGGTCAGGCGCAAGAAGGAGGAAGAGGAGCGAGCCAAGCACCTCGAGGCGGCCAAGGCTATTGTTGTCACCGAGGACCCCAGCCTCCCCGCTGCTGTTCGAATTGGACTGGACGAAGTTGGCGATCACATCAAGCTGCGCAAGCTGGACGACCCCGAGAGCAAGGGCACTCGCGTGCGCGTCTTCGGTCGCGTACACCGTGAGCGCAAGCAGAAGGATGTCATGTTTGTCACCCTGAGAGACGGCTATGGCTTCATGCAGGTGGTCATTTCCGGCCAGCTGGCAAAGACTTACGATGCCGTTACCCTCACCCGTGAGACTTCAATGGAAATCCTGGGAGAGATGCGAGAAGTCCCTGCCGGTGCCCGCGCTCCTCTCAACCGCGAATTGCACGCCGATTTCTTCAAGATCCCCAAGCACTGGAAGGCCCCCGGCGGTGACGATGCCATTACCAACAGAGTTCAGGCAGACGCCGAGCAGGCTATGCTTCTCGACCAACGACACCTTACACTCCGTGGTGAAGTCGCTTCAGGCGTCATGATTGTCCGCGACGCGGTTGAGTACGCCTTCAACCAGGCCTACAAGGAGCTGAGATTCCGCAAAGTCAGCCCTCCTGCCCTCGTCCAGACACAAGTCGAGGGTGGTGCTACGCTGTTCAAGTTTGACTACTATGGCGACGACGCCTATCTCACACAGTCTTCTCAGCTGTACCTTGAGACCTGCCTGCCCTCAATGGGTCACGTTTACTGTATCGAGAAGTCCTTCCGAGCCGAAAAGTCTCTGACCCGACGACACTTGTCCGAGTTCACTCACGTTGAGGCCGAACTTGACTTCATTACCTTCGATGACCTGCTGTCACACATTGAGCATATCATGTGCCGTGTGCTCGAATTGGTCATGGAGGACTCTGTTGTTGCTGAGAAGATCAAGTCCATGAACCCCGAGTTCAAGCTCCCCGAGAGGCCCTTTATGCGCATGAAGTATTCGGAGGCCATTGATTGGCTTGTTGAGCACGATATCCCCAACGAGGAGGGTAAACCCCATGCTTTTGGTGACGATATTGCCGAGGCCGCTGAGCGTCGCATGACGGACATTATCAACAGGCCCATCTTCCTGACACACTTCCCTGCTGAGATCAAGTCCTTCTACATGTCAAAAGATAAGGATGACCTTCGCGTTACCGAGAGTGTTGACTGCTTGATGCCTGGTGTTGGCGAGATTGTTGGTGGATCGATGAGAATGGACGACTATGAGGAGCTGATGGCTGCGTACAAGCGTGAGGGCATTGAGCCCGAGGCCTACTACTGGTACACTGATCAGAGAAAGTAAGTCACGACATGTTCTCCTTTTGCAACCCTATCCGTTCATTGGCTAATGGTATTTCTTCTTTCTCACTTAGGTATGGAAGCTCTCCTCACGGAGGCTACGGTCTGGGACTGGAGCGATTCCTTGCCTGGCTTTGCAAGCAGCACACCGTTAGAGATTGCTGCTTGTATCCTCGTTACATGCACCGTTGCAAGCCTTAGAAGCTAAACCAAGAGTTAGACTTGTTTGCTAGTTTATGAGAATACATGAAAGACAGACTTGCTTTGGGCCAGTTATCAAGAGATGCCCATGTACGACATGACAGAAAAAAAAGCATGTGAATTAACATATGAGGAGTTCGATGCTTGTGATATTGCCACTCGGCATCTTCAGATTCAATAGCTTCCCATACGGTTTCCGTGATAGAAAAAATTATCCGTCAAGTGACTGCCCTGATGATCGTGGAGTATAGGTGAATCTGCATATAACACATGCAGGACAATGGATAGTAGGGTTTCGATGGCTGTAGAAATAATCATCACATGTCAAAAACGTTACAAAATCCAAAATTTGCCCGATGATAAATCTGGATTATCATCTAGATATGTTTGTTGGGGCAAAGTTTAATGTCAAACAGCGTGCCAGCTTAGTTGACGATACTGTATGCAGAGATGTTGCCACATTCACATGCAGATGGAGATGATCAATCACATGCAAGCTAGGGGCTTCCCAATTGATTTCTCGATTGTTACTAATGGAAATTTCTGTTAGGAATTTGGCTATGTGATTTCTGGGGGAAGTAGCAAGCAGCTTGACTGCTTGTTAGATGAGAAGTGAGAAGAATAACAGAGGTGCGTATCCTTATACAATTATCTACTTAGAACAACGAATAAATAGCAGTTCAGAACATATTATTATAGAAATACCTACCATACGAATAGGTAATACTCCATCATTCCAAATTTCCATCAGAAATGCAATCCAATGAACCTAGGCACAACTGATGGCAATTACCCCAACAAACAACCCCTTACCTCACATCCAATAAACAACTCTTAGCATGTCTTCCAGAAATCTTGTTCGCAAGTACGCTAAAACGTCATGTATGGCGGATCGTGCGTAAAAGCACATGGCAACATTGTTCTTCCACGTTGTCTTGACGTCATGCGCCACGATGTCGATCGCCAGTCTCTTTCGCATAAGCTGGCCCGTCTTAGTGTATTCGATTATATATATCTGGCATGCCCTCGTTTATTTCTGAGCATCTTGCATAATAATTTTTTTCACATCGTTGAGTTTCATCTCAAAGAGGGAAACAAACATATACTCCAACTCAAGTTACACACCAACCACATATATCAACCATCAACACATAAACATACACCATGTCTGAAGAGGACAAGAAGACCAACACCGGCAACCTTACTGACACGGTCACCGGCACCGCTCAGTTCGCCACAGGCATCCTAGGCAACACAGTTGGCGGCTTGGGCCGCACTGTCGGCGGAGTTGCTGGTGCGGCAACTCGAGGCCTGGGAGGCACTGTGAACAGCGTCACCGGAGATGCTGGCAAGCCTGTGGGAGACGCCGTGAGCTCCATTGGAACGGGATTGGAGGGGGGCTTGAATACTGTTGCCAAAGGAGTGGAGGATGCAGGGCAGTGGAAGAAGCAGTAAAATGAAGAGAGATAGGGGAAGAGAGATAGGGTTGTGAATGGGAGGCAGAATGAGAGGGCTTCAAGCCCAAAACTACCTTGAATAATGAATTTGGAACACATTTGAATCAATCTCTTGTCATATCATGTATTGTCTCTTGTTTCGTGCTATTGGCACTACAGCCTGTAAAAAACTACCTACCGTATGATAACACTTAGGATAACACTTGGATCCGGCTGAAACCAAAACCCTTGACTCGCAATCTAACACATATGAACCTCCCATAGCCTTCCATCCTCACGTCGTAGACTCTATCCCCATGATAACCCATCAAGGATTCTATCTGAACCTCGTGTCATTGCAACACGGGAAAAGAACAGCCCAATCCCAATAAGTCTGTTATATGACCTGTAATCTTGCGCAATTGAGAGAGTCATGCTCCCCGTCGCCTGGTCTCGTTGGGAATGCCCGTTTAGACCTGCTCGGCGCCCCAGCCGACGTCAGCCTCTCGCATGTTGCTCGGGGGCTCGATCGAGGGAATGAACTCGAGGGCGACGTAGCCGACACCGATGATGCCGACAGCACCACCAGCAATGTTGCTAATGGCGTGGTTGCCAAGGAGGAGGCCTCCCAGAAGGATATAGACTATCAAACTTGTCAGAGCGGTTCAGAACAAGGAGTTAGAATCTGAAACATACAGATACCACGGCCAATGAAAGAAAAGAGGAAGTTGGCATATCTCGAAACCTGAGGGGGGATTTGGAACTCTGCAATCCTGGTTAGCATAATCCGGCTTCTAGGTGATGCGGGAAACAAGGAAAGGAGCATACCCAGAAGTGCGATAGCAAGGCCAAAGACAATCATATAGATACCAATGACGAGGTTCTGGCTATAAACGACCAACAATCAGCATCATCGACTATAAATCAGCCCCGCCCGCAACACAAAAGCAACGACAGACGCTGCAGCATCATGGTATGGCGGCGCTTCTGTCGCACTCAAGCGGGCGAGACGCGGAAATCGTAGTTCCTTCGGAGAACCTACAAGCCAACGGGGAAAATGTGGAAAACGCCTCCCAGAACGGTGATGCCCGCCACGGCCAGGTTAACAATGCGGCTGCGGCGCATCGAGGCGCAAATGTTAGCAAAGACAGCTCAATTGAATCGCCCGAATCATGTTGGTTGGGCAAGCGACATACAAAATATCGGAGAGTTCCATGGCTGCGAATCGACAGAGAGAAGCTGTATCGAGAGTTGGGACTGAATTCGACGAAGACGCAAGTGTCGCGAATGCGTGGATTTTGAGTCTCGCGGGGGCGGGATTCGTCGCACGTGCGCTCTAGGCAGCGGCTCGGACAGGAAACTGGGATTGGAAGAGAGAGAAGTAGGGAAAAGAGGAGGCAGTCACTTGCGTGTCATGGGAGACGAATCACAAGATCGGAGCTGGTGATGTTGAAGCTTGCGCAATCACTTGCAAACAGCTATAGAGATGCCCTTTGGCGGTAGCGGGCAACCGGGCAACAAGGCTGTGGTGGCTGTGCGGTGACGTACTTGCCTCGGTGGGTGCGGCGGTAAAAACTCGTCAAAACTTCGGACATTTATCGCGGCTAAAGATACAAAGGTACGTGCACTTCCCAAGCTCAGCCTCAGGCAGGCTCTCAATAAGGTAGGTCCTACCTTGGGTATCGAGGGGATTCTTCAAGTTCAATCTGGGTTATTTTCCACAATAGTTCTTATTTTATGCACCAAAAGTTCCTTTTTCAAGACTCTTTGATCTACTGCCAGTACGATTTACTGCAAAAATAATGATTGCAAAGAACAGAGGTCGCAGAACTGGAAATGACGAGGGATGACAAGCTCTAAGATGAAGGTGGGCTGCAAGTGCAGCTACATTGAGAGAACAACATCATTGATGGGCACAGGGTTTACCATCAAAAGGAGGGGAAAGGCCCAGCACCAGGCGTGAGACGAAGCAACCCGGCTGGAAGACCAAATCCATCGAGATGCTCACGGAACGAGATGATACGAACCGGAATGCGTTGGTATACACCGGCGTCCAATTCCCACCCTGTGCGTGGTGATAGGCTGCTGATGCCGGAGCCTTTGAACCGAACAGATGATCTATCATACCCTCCCTACAAGGCAAATACTCCGGGCCAGCTCTGTTTACACCCAAAGAATCATGTCATTCTGATTCAATTCACATAATACAGATGGGGTCATGGTTGCAATGGAAGGGAGAGTCTGAGTATACTCCTTGTTGCAAACGTAAGTTCATTTAACCACAGTGGCCTAGCTTGCTCCCACACACGGCTTACAAACATCCAGACAAACATGAAAAACGCCACTCGTTATAATTTTAGCAGAATGAGAAGAAGCGAGTCCTTCCAGAGCAGAGTACGTAGCCTGGTGCGAATGGTCAACTGAGACAGGCCGGGGTTGGAAGTGGTGACTACAAGCACTAGTACGCCACCGAGAAGCAAACAAGGCGGCATACGACAGGGGTTGTGAACTCCAAGGAATTGCGAAAAGCGCCTCGTCGAGGCAAGGAAAAGCAGACATCGGCGTTTCACACAGACGCAAAAGTACACAGACTAGCATCTAGCTACCACTGTATGCGACGGCATTTTGGGGGATTCAACTCTCCCTGCAGCGCGTGGTTTTCGTGCCCTTGACCGAGCCGTCTGTCTGGCCTATTCCAACTCTTATCACAAAAGCTTTGCATAGAAATGCATGAATACGGTGGAGATGAGCTCGGGGTCATCACACATGGATGGGGATTTTCAGCCAGCCGCAGGCAGGGCGGTGAATGCAAAACCCCAGCGGCACCAATACAAGATGCTGCTCGATGCTGATTTCTGCCCCCTTGGATGCAACCGAGCTGCTCGTGAGATGCGCCCTGCTTCATTCAGAACGACGGGCAGCATTACACGTGTCCGGAGAATCACGAATTGCCCCGGAGCCAGTCAGAGCTTTGCTGAGCTCGCAGCCTGATTTGCCGGAACCCCTCAGAGAGTGCATTATGCAGCTCCAATTCTTCCCAGCCACACATCGTACCATTATGAGCGGGCGAGACAAAATAAGAAAAGAAACATCAGCTGCCAAAGGACCGACCAAAGGACCGACCAGGATTTGAGACCGGCGAGGCAACCGAATGCCTCGTCCGGGGACCCTCCCCCATCACCCACTTCCAGCCAGGCTCGGGACGAGATCCCCGGCATTAGTAGTTGGCTTGCCCTCCGACCTATGTTCGCGAGCAGCACACCTTTCGTCTTGTTTTAGCGGGAGAGGGTCTCATGCTTGTTCTTCCCATTTGGTACTAGGTGTGTTTTTGAGCGAGCCATCCGGTGGAGGCACTTTAATGCCGGGAATCTCTTAAGTTTTTTTTTTCGGCCGATCGTCTCGCGGGCAGATCAGTGGGTACACCAAGTTACTGTACTTGCTAGGGGGAGCTACCCGCGAAGTTAATATTCACTTCAGGAGATGCTATACACGACACTGGCAGTGAGATGGGGAGGTGGCGGCACGTATAGCCTCCAGCGGCTACCAATCGAGCCCAAACAAGCATATGGTTGGCTGTATCACCCAGGGGAGGAATCGCATGCAACCAAGGCCTGTGGGATGGTAGTTGGACGGCTATATTCCATTGCTTGCTTGGTGCGTGGTACTAATCAAGTATGGGGTCTGGGGGATGGTGGTGTGCATCTAAGGGGAACCGCAGCCACTAGAACTCGCCCAAGTAGTGCTCCGCCAAGGCCGCATAAATCTCCTAAGACATGGCACGGCATGGCATCTCTTGCTGGCATACAAGGTACGTCAAATGTCTTTCAGTCAAGGAGCCTCGCAGTCGCTGATCTCGGGCTTTGAATGTGCCGACCCAGGCTAGTGCGGCTCCATGTCCACCCCGGTGAAAAGACGACCTGAAAGTGTGGTAGGACAGCATGCCTGGTGCGAGATGAACATGGAGTGCGGAGCACACCTACCTGCGAGTACATGCTGATACACGCAGAGATATCTGGAGTGTGCCATTACCTGTCCATGCAAGACAGGCCTTGTCTGCTCCATGTTGGGGTGTCCTATCTATGCAAGCTGCACCTCACGCAGAAGTCCAGTTCTAGACCCCCTGCTCCGAATTCCTACGAGTACAGCGCGCTGTATGATACGCGTCAGCAAGCGTGAGGGGAAAGAGAAAGAGGGAAGCATTTAGCTCAGTCCTCGCAGGTATACATGTTGAGGATGACCCAAGTTGGGACAGGGTACCACGACTTACTTTTTTGACAACCGGGCGTTACAAGGGGCCCTTGCCATCAAGCAGGTATCACACAGACACACCCCACGATTTGGGAGTCATCTTAGTAAGAGTGTGGCCGAAGATAGATACAGTACGAACAAGAGAGGGATGACTCGGCAAAGACTCGTGAAGCGAGCTTTTGAGAGACAGACTGAGGTCCGGAACGCGAGGGGAAGACCTAGACCACCCTCGCATGCTGATCGTTTCAGCTGGATTGCCAAGGCAGCTCCATGTGATTTGTGCCACGTCAATCTTCCTGTGACAATGGGACTGGTGGCGTACATTAATTAAATGCATGGCCGAGACGGAAGCCAGCCAATGTGTACTTGGTTCATACACAGTGACAGAACTCCGTGGACCTGGATTCGTACTTAAAGGGCAGGGGTTCGTTCCTTTTTTGATACCCAGCTTCATCCTTCAGGAACTTCAAGGTTTCATCGTTACACTATTGCACGCATCACGCATCACGCATCACGCTTTCCAACCCATCGAGACTCTTTTGTGTCACTCACATTACAACCAAAGCCCATTCTACAACCTCGTCCTTAGCTCGCAAAGGACCATACAAGTATTTCATATCAAAAATGTCTTCCTCCAGCAGCCTCCCCCTTACCCCCGTCACCAGCGTCGAGTCGGTCCACTCCCCCTTCGATGAGATCATCCCAACGGCAGATCAGGCAGCCTCTGCCTTCGAGATTAGCGAAATGCTTTGGCTGGACCTCGTCAAGAAAGCTGCCTTAATGTCATTCAATTGCGACACGGTCACCCTGGCTAGCCTGGCCAAGTACGGGCCAAAGCTCCCCGACGAATTGGAGGGGGCCACCGAGCTTGCTGGATATGCCAACTGGCAAAGAGAAGAGGAGGAGCCCGAATCGGCCGTCTCCATTGCGATACGCGCCATTCGCCATGGCTTGAAACGACGATGGGACCTGATGAAGATCAAGGCCACAATCTGCGAGATATCGAAGCACAGCGGCTTCAAATTTACGGATAGCGAATCTAATGGCCTCATTTTTTTGTTCCTTGCTTGGGCCTATATCCTCAGCGCATTCTTGCTTGAGCAGCAGCACATTCCCCTGGCCTATACAGACGCATATAAGCAGTGGGGCAATGGAACTTATGAAGGCGGTGCCTTCTTCATTGACCTTGGAGACGCCAGTGATGAAGAATATCGCTGGTGGTCAGCCCTTGTTCATCCTGGCCAAGGATGGAGGGCTGCTTATTCTTCACAGCCGGTGTGGGCTGTAACGCTTGGGGACCAGTTCAAGTTTATCATCCTAAACGAACGCAACGTGTTACCGTCGTCCAATGTCAATCCTCCCTCCAGCCGGGAGGCACTTGCATACCTTGCTCGGTTTTGTGCCAGGTTCAATCTGGAGAGCCAAGTCTCACTTGGACTCGCAATGGCACTGACCATTCCACTTCACGATAATATGTCATCGAAGATACAAATACCAGAACCATACCTTACCAAGAAAAAGGTCGTGTCTGCGTCCTCGTCCATCATTGACCAGGAGTTCCGCAACCTGTCTTACTACATGGTTCTTAGCTCCAACCCTTCTTTCATTGCCTCGGCCCTTTGGTCTGTCTTTTGGGAGCCTGAAATTGACTGCAACTTGGCCAGCCCCTGGTGCAACGCAATCATTGATACCATTAAACCTTTGATTGACGGCCATAAGCTTGAGACGCTGGGCCACGTGCTTGCCCAGCGGAGGCCTGGCGTGGCCGCTTTGTGGTATGGCCTGGTTGCCTGTGGTGCCACAGATATCATCTCATCCATCATTCCCTACCTTGAGACTTTGCACACTGCCCTGCCAGTAAGACATGTTCCAGAAGTTTCCGTCTGGACTGACACTCCTCAGTCGTTTATGGATCTTACTGGATCTGGCCCTTATTTGCAAGGGAATCAGGTCTCCCGCGAGGACTTGTGGCGGCTTCGACACGAGAACTGGAATGCATGGAACGGTGGTGTTCACTTCCGTCACCCACCAAACACTCCATTCCGCCCCTTTGGCTCCATTGACGCCGAAGAGGTAGAGGTCGCCGTGCGCCCGCACCTAGAGTGCCCGAGACATGAGTGGATATACTCGGGCTTCACTTGGACCCTCGATAATGGAATTGAATTGACCCACGAGCCGCGTGTATTGACTACCTCGTGGGCTCGGTTTGAGGCCGAGTCACACATCAACCTGCCCCCGGCCCGCACGGGTGAGCCAGATTTCAGCATGGATTACACGGCATCTAAGCAGGCTACCGGCGACATCTTCCGGTGGGCCGCCACGGAGATGGAGGAGACTGGCAGGCACATCTACACTCACCCGTGGGTCAACGTAGAGGCGCATCTTACTATGGTTGAGCAGGCAAAGCGCCGACCGAGAGGAGTGGTGCGTGTGTCGAATATGGATAGAGTCAAAGAATGGGTTGTTAGTAGCGGTGAGTAAACCCCGTTATTTCAGCGTCCTACGATGTTTTGTTGATCATGGCTGACCCGTTGTCTACTGTTTAGAAGGGGATGATGGAGAAATGGCTGGCGTCAATGAGGGGCAGAAGCTTGCCCAAGGTTGACGATGCTGCTACTGATTTCTTTCTTTCTTTTTCTTTTTTTTTTTTTTTTTTCCCTTTCTTTATTATAGATAGTAATGATCAAAGAAGACCAGCGGCATGGCATCCAGATTGATAGAAAAGCCAGCCGACTACGCGATTTGGGTTTCTTGGGGTAGATTTCTTGGGCAACCGGCAGGGCTGGGACATGAGAACTTGGGTATGGGTATTGGGACACGGGAACTGGGAAAAAAGGCCTGTTGGCAAGTGTGTATTTCGTAATTCTTGGCGACTACTAGTCCGCTCATTAATCAGTCCAGTTGCTTAATCCATTGGTTGTGAAAGTGACACATGCGAGTCTTGCATAAGTCCAGGTGCAGGAAGAGTGCTGTAAGAGACTTGCACTGTATCCAAAAGGGGAAATCCAAAGCGAAAGAGAGCCTGCGCAAGCCAGTAAAAATGAGGCCTAGAGTGAGGAAAGAGACAACAAGCAAACACGACCGACATATAATACCACAAACCCCAGCCGGTAGTGCATCTCAAACGATGGCCTGGATGCTTCGTCTAGGGCAGCGGAAGAGGATCAGATTGGCTCCACGCGCGAGAGAGCGGGGCGCATGAGACTACTGTACTCGTACTGTAGCAGCGTTCCAAGGCTCTGCGCTGTGCTTTCTTAGCGCTCTTTTCTTTTATTAGCCCTGGATTTACTCGTACAAGTACTGACACGACGGGAGCTTTAGCCGTGCCGTCCTGTGAGCGCAGCTGGGCATCACTACAGCACGGCACAGCACAGCACAGCACAGACAGGGACTGAGCAAATGATTGGCGCACAAACCCGGACGACTGCACCCATAAGCGCAGCGATCAACCAGCTTTGCAGGGCGGCCTGGATTCCTTTATTCATGCGCTCTTCTTGGGTTTACGAGCGGTCCATCTCTTTCTCTTAACACCGCTTGGCGAGGTACCCGAGCGGGCAAAGCCAGGACCTTTACTGCTCCGTACGGGTACCTCTAGACTATACCCTTGCTACAGTGTTACTCCGCTGAGGGGCAGGCTAATGCAGGTCGCCTATTTGCAGCCTCATGTGCCCGCCTTGTCCTTGTGATGGAGGCAAGCTTGGGATTGAGGTGGCTGCCTTGTTAGCTGCCGCACGCCCCCCAGCCTCGAAGCAAGGGAGAACTAAATCAGGCGCGATCGCATGTAGGGGAGTGTCTTCTCAGTTGCATGCCAGAATCGGAGCCTCTTGATTCGATGCTCTTGCTGCACATGCGCAAATATTAGTACCTGGTGTCGCGACTGTGCGGTACCTCTACTGATAAATGATACCTGGTACTGAGACGGAACACGGAGTGGATCCCCGGCGCGGCAAATGCCCAGATCCCGGCCCCACCCACTCCCAAGACCCAATCAGTGCCGGAAGCTGTGTCTCTTGCCCCCAATCCAGCCGCCTCCTCGCATCAATCCTTCCTCTCCAGCTGCACCTGTCTTGGCCGACTTTTCACATTGCTTTTTACCAAGTACCTGGTACCTGGTATTTCTAGGGAGACCAGCTATGAGACGGTAGGTACTGGTACGAGTACTTCCTGCTGGTGAGGAGGTGCGGAGCCTGCATGTTGGACGTGTTCAGTGCGCGAGGCTCGGGAAAGAGACAAATGTCACAATGCAGGAAAACCAAGGAAAGAGTCGATCGGTTGGTGGCATTAGGGCTCCCTCTGCTGTTTCTTCTTCTTCTTCTCCCTTCCCTTCCACCTCCAGACCTTGTTTCTGTCGTCTACCTACTTAGTGCAATCAAGTTGACCCAATCTGCCCTTTTTAACCAGCGTCGCCCGTCTTTTCCATCATCAAACAACTCTCTTATCAGGATTCGTTTTTCTAGATAAACTTACTTTGCTCATAAAATTTCTGCCTTTTAATCGGCCTATTCATCCATCTCTTTTACAATGGAATCTGCGCAGTTTCAGCAGCAAGCGTCTCAGCAAGACCAGCTTCTTGCCGGCCCTTCTCACCAGCCTCCGCTGTCTCCGATCGAGGAAGAGGCTGTGGCTGGGCTCTCACGTATGAACAAGCGAGTTCGTGAGAGTCCAGTCATCATTGACGACAACTCCAACGAGGAGCGTATCGTGAAACGTCGGCAGACTCTGGATTCTCGTGACGGTGCTGAAGCAGCTGTCGAACCACCTGCAGACGCGGCTGCTCAGATGACTGTTGAGAATGAATCTGCTGGGACAACTCCTGTGATGCCTACTCAAGAGTTTGATGAGCAGACAGAGGAGTTGTCCAATGAGGAGACTACTCAGGCCATTGTTAATGCGGCCAATGAGGCCGGCGATCGTGAAACCGCCCATCGAAGGCGGGTGCTGGCTGCCTATGTTGAGCGAAATAACACTCGGGAAGCAAGCTATGACGGTGCAAGCACTTGGAATAGTAGCCTTCGGGATCCAAGTGCTCGAGGGGCAAGCAATGGCAACCCAAGCACTCGCCACACGAGTCCTCAGCCAGACGCCGAGCCTGTTTGGAGAGAATTGCTCGACAGAGATTCGCCGGAGCGTCCCACATACCTATACCCCGTCTCCGAAGCCGATAGCGACTGCTATGCACTACCCAAGTCCATGTGGCCCATGGAGCACAAAACTGACCCATTCCGAGATCCTTCATGGGAACATGAATTCCAGCGGTTTGGAACATTTGTGCATGAGCATCCACAGGGCCTATGCCCGGAAAGCAAGGCTCTCTGTAAAGAGTTGCTTGAAAGTAAACAGCCGCTTCCCGAAAATTCCCTGTTTGAGGATAATCTTATCGGCGCAACGTGCGAGATGCTGCGTCATCGAAACGAGACGATGGTATTCCGCGACGTCACTCCTCTGGTTGCCCCGTCGGCTGAGCTCCTTGCTTTGCGCGGTGAAACCCATACAGGGTTGATGCATGAATCCACAAACGAAATATGGTCGCACTCTCAGCCGATTCTTCGCATCCAACCTCAACCCACCTTTGCAGTTGGGTTCCGAGGGGCGGCTTTTACACCGGAGCAATATCACAAGGTTTACACGCTCTTCGAGGACCGGTGCACGGACGACTCATCTCCGGTCGCGGGCACACCTTGGATGTTCTTCCCGTTTTTCTCATGTGAGATCGGGTCTCTCTCAATGGCCCAGCGCCAGAACACACACAACATGACCATTGGCATGCATGCTGTTGTCGAGCTCTTCCGCGGCGTCAATCGGGAAGCTGAACTGGACCGCCAAGTCTTGGCCTTTTCCATTGCCCACAGCCATCGCGAGGCGCAGATTGTTGCACACTACCCAGTCATTCTCGGGGAGGACACGACCTACTTCCAGAAGGTCCTCCATTCGTTTGAATTTGCCGATCCTGGCTGCGCCGACAGGTGGGCTGCGTACCGCTTTACCAGAAACCTTTATGACAGTTGGATGCCGATCCATTACAGACGGATCTGCTCTGCCATCGATGATATTCCTCAGCAGGCCGCCTAGATAAGCACTGGGTATGGCCAGGCCTATTAACAAGGAATTTAGAATCACCTGGGGAAGTTTATCCTACACAAAATTTACCTTGGAGCTATGAGAATGTCAGTGAGTTTTTGGGATCATATTTGCAAGGGCATTAGCTCTGGAGTACTCATCATATGTTTTTATTTTTCCTTCTTTTCGTTCTCTATGTGCCATTTGCCTCTACGGCTCTTTTTCTTATTCCTGTACTTAGTTTTCATCATCTTGGATTTGGATCATCACCTTGGATTTGGATCACGATACTTATTTTCAGATTGGACATTGGTTGTGCTGCTGCTCGTTCTTTTTTGGGTTTTATGTTGGATTCCATAGCTCGGTACCAATCTACATACACGGAGATTGAAATACATGTGGCCACTACGGTAGTATTACTCTAGACACACTTCATAGTAGGCAGTATATCATATAGGAATGGGAGTCAAATCTTGTATTTTCCCCAATATGAACATTATTATAAGTCCGTCTTCTCTTATTTTAGCCTTGTATATAAGTCGTAAGACTTATAAAAAAAAAACACTCTGCTGTACTTGGAAACTGATGTCCATCTTCAATCATCTTCCCAGGCAGATTGATTCTACGACCCGTTGCAACACATATTGGGTTTTCATGTCAAGATTCAGCGTCTAAGAATAGCGGTAGACGGCATCTATCGGCTTTACGGCATATACTACGCTCTTGGAACACTCTACATGCCTCCTCACAGAGTTGAAGAGCTCATCTTCATGTCGTATTTCCTGGGGATGCGCAACTATCCCAACTTCTGGATACGCAGACACCCACTCCAGGCGTGCCGATACTCATGTCCTTTTAACTGCCCCCAAGCAATCGTGCGGATCGAGCTCTATCTGCCCGAGAGTCCAGGCTAGCGTTTCTCTTATACTTGGGCTCTCATACGACACCAAATATGCAGGGCAACCATTTCACTCACATGTCGACCACTAGGTGCGAGTGAACAATTCACGAGAGGGCGCCAAGTGGGCTCTCTGATCTCGTTTCTTGGAGGTGGGAGGAGAGTCTAGAATCTCGGGTTCCGGCTTTTGCTTTTTTTTTTTTCGATGGGATGGAGCTGGACGAGGAACTTGCATGAGAAGATCCTGGTTCCTTTTTTTTTATCCCCTACACCGCCTCGATGGAGTTGGCGGCACAAGAGACATTTTTTGTCTTGGCTGGAATTGCGTGGCGCTCTCAGCAGATGAATTTACAGGTACAAGGACGAAAAAATCAGGCTGAGACGCTCGCGAGGCTTTGACCGGGGTCTCCCAAGTACAGATACACACGGACACACACACACATACGATACACCCCGTTCCCAGCCTGGCCATTGGGTATCAATCAAATCAGCCGCACAAGGGTCTTTGCCCTTCTTACTGGGGACATCCCATGTAAGTAAATCCACCCAGGAGCCCCGTGATTTTTGTTTCTTTTTCCTTGTTTGCCTTTTTGTTTTATGTTTTTCTTTTCTTTTTTTTGCTCCTCAGGAGGCAATCTCGGGATACAACCCTAGATTCGTATCCGAGATGGTTGCACTCGGGGGAGCTAGAGCATGAGTAGCAGCAGCCTGAATGTGGATGTATTGTCTTGACTGGGGGGGTGGGCCGCTTCTCGAGATGGTTGTGCGAATAGACGAACCGGAGCCTGTGAAGTAGAGCCGAAGGATCCAGGCTTCATGCACACTGCAGCCTTTTTATCACACCGAGATTGTGGATTGCCCTCAGAGAGCTGTGGAGAAGGAGGCTGTGTATGTATGTGAGCACATGTAGGAGAGTCAATAAAACCAGCTCGGTTGCAGCTGGCGGAGATTGCACTGTGTTGGTGACTGACTTGGTTTACGGCATTGAAAAGGCCTGGCTCTGGAGTGTTGGGGGGGCGTGTTGGGAGGGTTAGCCAATCAGGGTGGTGTTTTGACATCTTACTGTTGTTGGCCCTTGGTATGAGTAGAGCTGGAATCATACATTACGTTGGTGATGGTCTGTATGACGAAGAGTGTAGTCAGGTCCATCATGTACGTTGTGTAATGGTATCGTGTGTAGTACATGGGCATTGCGGCATCAACGATTAATGTTTTGTTATACTGGCCACGGTGGTGTAAATTATGTCTGCGATGATACTCTGATGCCAATAATCCAGCTACTAATGCAATTTAACATAAAACTATATGAACCCAATGTCTCTGTGTAGATGCGGAGAGGTAGAGGGCATGCTTGAGCGGTGCGTTGAGCATCACAATTCATTGCGTGAATAACAGAATCACAATTAAATAATGAATTGATTCAACTCATCGCACAAAAACTACTATACCGCTAAAATAATCCACTTCACTATTCAGTTTAATGCGCAGGGGATTGGCAAGGCTGGCGTGCTAGTTTTGAGCCTACCCTTGAGCCACTCGACAATAAAAACTGAACAGACATGTCTTTCAAGTTCTTGTAATTTTTGAAATATAGACTGTGAATGTAGAGTTGCTTTTAGCAAGACGAAACATTAACTATCTCTCTATAGGTGTGACAACACGGAGGTGTTCAAGTGGTCTTAAACATGAAAATACCGCAATATAAGAACAGAAAGCTGCAGCTACAGAACCAGGACGACAAGTAGAGGGAAGGTAATGTCCATTCAATGTAAGCTATGGTTAAGTGCATGGTTATTATAATAAGACTTGAACTGCTTCTTCTTCACAGAATCTTACAATCTACTGTTCAACTGAACTTGAACAGCGGTTTTGGTGGTCCGCCTAAAGAAGGTAACAATGAGTTACTCCTGAAGAAAGAAAAACTTGATACAGAGAAGAGAAAGTTGATGAGAATAAAAAAGCTATATATACACGTATACACAAGTTCTTTCATCATAAGCAGCCTCATATGTGATGTTCACTTTCACCATCGAGCCAGGCTTTGCCGAGTTCATCTCTCCGGCGATTCTGTAATCTCGACTCCAATTTACCGTACTCTTTACTATACACGCAAAGATTGAGAGGGAGGCACCAACAGTGGATTAATTTTGGAGAATCGGGCACAAAACATATCGCCCAAGCCGTTGTCCAAAGACTCCATCCCGAAACATTGTAAGCATACTAAAGTCAGAGGACGAAGAGTTTGTCGGCTGCAGTGCGAAGCTGTTTAGCCCTGGAATTCAGAGTCGAGCGAGTCGGTCATTATTCATCGGTTGATAGCAAATTACTAGTAAAAAGTTAACCTATTAAAAGCTGGTTGATCATCTGAGAATATCTGTTCCTTGATATCTGAAACAGCCGCCACCAAAAGCAAGTTACCGCCACTCTATCTTCAATTTTGACAACTTCTACTCCGCACCTTCCAAATAGAGCCCATGTTTATTATCTGGAAAGGATCATTTCCTAGGGATTATAAATTTAGGAATGTAAATAGCGTGGTTACTTCAAAGGGCTAGATGTGCAAAGGTTGGTGTAGTTGCTGCACAGTGAGGAGGTGAACTTCTTTTCTCTCTTGATATCACGGCTTCCGAAGGATTTGAACCCTTTTGGTATCTTTTCCATTGTTTATATTTTACTATGGCCACATGTCAGGAAACGCTATACATGACGAATAATAATCGGGTTGTACTACTGTCCGTCTCTACCTCGACATGTCACATGCCTTCCAATATTACCTCTGTGAAGCGCATCCTACAGTAACAGTAACGTCAATTTAAAATAGCAGGCATTTAACCAAACACCTCGTAACGAAACGGAGCACACCAATTGTTCCACAAGCCGTGCACCCGGAACGTTCCGATCGGGATCGAATCTGTGGGGATATCTGGGGTAAGCGGGTCTTCATCTGGAGTATCACAAGCCACGACAGTTCACCCTCGTCTGCTCATTAAGGGACGAATCCCCCAAGGCCCTCAAAGCCTTATTTGCTATTTGTCTAGCTGCATCTATACCCACACTGCCATGTGCTATCGGAAACAAAAGGAGAAAAAAAGAAGCACTAATCGAAACAAAGCAAGTCCCTAACCATCGGCGGCCATCGTTTTATGCCACACGTCCTCGGAGCCCATCTATCAAACCATTATCATACAAATTACTGGGTCTCTCCAACGACTTTTCGGATAGCCTGAGCCACATGGTCAATGTTGTTGGTATTTAGCCCGGCCATGCTGATTCGGCCGTTCTTGGTCATGTAAATGTGATACTCCTCGCGGAGCTTCAAGACTTGGGGTTCTGTTAGACCGGTAAAGCTGAACATGCCAATCTGATCTGTGATGTGGTTCCAGGTCCCTGGCGTCTCCAGCTCCTCAAGCTTGGATCGTAGAGCTTTGCGCATGTCGATGATGCGGCCAGACATGGTCTTCAAGTTCTCCTCCCACTCGGCAAAGAGCTGGGCATCATTCAGGACGGTGCTAGCGATTCTGGCGCCGTACAAGGGAGGGTTGGAAATCTCTGATCGCTGAAGAATGGCTAGCTGAGATGCAATGCGGGTGATTGTGGTAGTGGCGTCAGCAGCAGGAGCAGCCACGACATGGAAGCAGCCAGCTCGCTCTCCGTAAAGACCAAAGTTCTTGGCGAAACTCTGGGCAACTACGAGCTCGAAGCCTTGCTCGACAAAGTAACGCACAGCGCTGGCATCTCGAGCAAGGTCACCGGAGGCAAAGCCCTGGTAGGCGCAGTCAAAGAAGGGGAAGTGCTTCTTCTCTCGGATAATTACGGCCAACTGCTTCCACTGATCAAGCGTTGGGTCGACGCCAGTTGGGTTGTGGGCGCAGGGGTGGAGAAGGATGATGGAGCCTTCGGGAGCCGCTGAAATGGCGGCCGTCATGCCATCAAAGTCCAATCCCCTGGTCTCCTTGTTGAAGTAAGGGTACTGAGCGACCTTGATGCCGACATTGGCAAAGATCTGGTGGTGGTTTGCCCATGTGGGATTTGACACATAGACGGTCTGGCTGCCCTTGTAGAACTTGGCGAGGAACAGAGCTCCCAGATGAACGGCACCGGTTCC